CAAGAGAGAGAGTTCAAGGAAGAAGAAGAACTCTTTTATGGGCAGAACTTAAGATCAGGTGATTGCCAGCTTAACACACTGAAGGTTCAAGAGATTGCGTGGCAATCCATGTGATGCCTGACCTGCTCATGAGCATTCTGAAGGGTCATTTGCTTTGTGATATGGTCACTGATAAGGTCACAAGGTCACATAAATGGCTCAGACACGTATGACAGCAATCAGACAGCTCAAGAAAGAACTGTCTGTATGCTGAGGGGGAGTGTTGTGCCTGGGGATCACGTGAGTGCCAAGAAGGCCACATCTTCTGAATTCACAGTCCTTGTAGATACCTGCTCCCGTAATCAATCATCTATGAAGGCCTAATAACCGCTGCACAACAACATCTCAGCTGGCTAGACCTATTACTTGCCAAGATCCACAGCAGCTTTCAGCTCAACACCCTGTGCGTCGAGACCCACAGTCAGCGTCCGCTCGAGGCTACACGTGCTTCGGACAATGATGTCTCATGGCGGCCGTCAATCGTTAGGCCCCCACCACCGCCATATTGATGGAGTGCATTAGCCTTGATCGGTGAAATGATTGAGTGGTTCGATGATGCTGAAGGATCAACTAGCATTCACAGCGCCTTCCTGCTGCGGGCAAGTCGCCCTTCCAACACGAACGCTTTGCGATCCAACTCAGGTACCACAGGCCGTGCATGGCTTTTACTTACTGAAAAAGACCGAGCAGGTTTCCACAGCATGAGGCTGAAGAACATGTCATATATAGATCAAGTCCTTCAGCTGGGACTTACCGGTGCATCTCCTCAAGGCCTCATTCACGATGCTGACCTCGTTTCTCTTGGCTCTCGTGGCAAGCACTGTTGCTGTGCCCACGAAGCCGGCCAGCGTCGTACATGAGAAGCGCGTGCTTTTCCATGCTTCTCAGCATCGCAAACTCCAGCCAGTGTCGAGAGATGCTGTGCTTCCCGTTCGCATTGGTCTGACCCAAAGCAATCTGGATCGTGGCTATGATCATTTGATGGATATGTAAGCGTAAAGAATGTACCATTCTTGGTGCCGTGCTGACTGGAATCTAGTTCGCATCCGTCATCAGCTAAATATGGACAGCATTGGACTGCTGAAGAAGTAGCTGCCGAGTTCGCACCCACTTCTGAAGCCGTTCAATCGGTCAAGGAGTGGCTCGCCTCATCTGGCGTTCAACAAGCCGAGCAAACCACAAACAAGGGCTGGATAGCGTTCGACGCCACTACAGAACAGATCGAGCGCCTCTTCGAGACCAGCCTTCATGAGTACGAGAGCCGTAGAGATGGAAGCATCCGAGTCGGCTGCGATGAGTACTCCCTCCCTCAGCACATTGCTCCGCATGTGGACTACATCACTCCAGGGGTGAAGTTGTCGCCTCCCATGCGGAAGTCGGTCATGAAGCGAGATCCTGCTCCTTGGGGTCCAGGTAACTGGGGTCCAGGTGGATGGAATGGTAATGGTCACGGCTATCCGCATCATCGCTGGGGTGGCCGTCCGCCGTCAAGGCCTCCGTACACTGGTCCTTGGAATCCACCACCAGGTGCAGGCCAACTGCCAGAGGATCTCCGCACATGCGGCTTGAACATCACTCCAGCCTGTATCAGAGCTCTTTACGACGTTCCTTTCCCCCGCGAAACCGTTAAGAGCGGTGTCATCGGCATTTACGAGGCGGATCGTCTGAGCTCTTACAGTCAGGAAGACTTGAACTTGTACTTCCAGCAGTTTGCGCCATACGTACCTCAGGGAACTGAGCCGACTGTCGTCTCGGTCAACGGCGGCGTGGCACCTGTGCCGCAAGACAGCCAACGAAACAGTGGCGAGGCAGACATCGATTTGGACATGGTGAGTCTGCAGCAAAATATGAGGTCGGTGCACGCTGACAACCTGTAGGTCTATGGCCTTCTTGGACCAGTCGATGTGACCTACTACCAAGTCGCCATACCACCAGATGCACCGTCAACCGCCATTAGCTCATCCTTCGACACGTTCCTCTTTGCTGTTGATGGATCTTACTGCGACGTGAACGCCTCCGCTGCAGGCTTCCAGTGTGGTGGTGCGCCGCTTGCCTCCATCGTTTCATTCTCTTACGGCGAGTCTGAGGTCGGCGACGGTCAAGCAGCTGCGCAACGAACTTGCAATGAGTTTATGAAGCTCTCTCTGCAGGGCTACACATTCCTCTTCTCGTCTGGAGATGCTGGCGTCGCTCAAATCCCGACGGAGTGCAATGAGAACGGGTGCATCTCTCGCGACCTTACTACAGCCAATGGTCCAATCTTCAATCCCAGCATGGGCGCCGTCTGTCCGTACGTTCTATCCGTTGGCGGAACTCAGCTTCCAGGTGATAAGACTGTCCGCGATCCCGAGTCAGTCATGTCCATCCCACAGATCCCAGAAGGCCCGCGGAATTGCACCACACCGTCCGCTTTCCTCAGCAGCTCCGGAGGCTTCTCCAACTTCTTCGAAACGCCTAAATACCAGCAGAACGCAGTCTCATCATGGCGCTCCAAGTACGATCCTGGCTATCCAACCTACGACTACGACGGCACAATGTCCAGCATCGGCGCGAACGGAGGCGTCTACAACCGCAACGGCAGAGGCGTGCCAGACGTGTCGGCGAATGGCGCCAACTTCACGACGTTCAACATGGGCTCCGAGACGAACTTCTTCGGTACGAGTCTGTCGAGTCCGTTGTGGGCGTCGCTTCTTGCTTTGATTAACCAGAAAAGAGCGGATGTTGGGAAGGGCAATATTGGTTTTGTTAATGCGGTGCTGTATGAGCATCCTGAGGTGTTTAATGATATTACTATTGGACATAGTGGTGGTGAGTCGCTCAGATCGTCTTGATGGATCTTTGTACTGACTTCAGTCTACAGGCTGTGACACAGACGGATTTGCTGCTGTGCCTGGATGGGATCCTGTGACGGGCTTGGGAACACCCAACTTTCCAGCTCTTGAGAAACTCTTCCTGAGTCTGCCTTGAGCAGCTACTAAACACGACGTCTAACTAAGATACATGTATAACGACTCATATATACAACCATGCGGAAACTTCTCCGCCTCCGCCTCCGCGTTTCAATCCATCTGCCGAACAATCTCTCGGCAAAGCCTCTACCGAGAAGCCGAATTTCCACCGCACTTCTCTTCACCCTTCCACCACCTTTCTTTGGCCAAGTTTCGAGCGCCAAAACCTCCCCCCTTTCCCACTACTCTACCTGCCGCACGCCAATGCCGACCCCGTCTCTACCTGCAGGAACGTTGCATCGACTCCGCATGGGGAACGCGTGGAGGTGTAGGGACTAGGGGAAGAACGTTGAACCAAGCACCACCAAGACGCCAAGTTCTAGTGTCTTTGACGGGCAATATGTAAGGCTCCTCTTTTCTCTCGGCGTCGTTCGAGTTGGCTTTGGACTTCTTGACGAGAGGTGGGTTCTGATCTTGCTCTCTCTTGTGTTCGGTGCAGGTTGCCTTTGCAGTTCCTTTCGAACATCACGCTGTGGACTCTTGCTCCGGAGGCGGTCATGGCTCCTCTCTCGAGTTGGTTTGCTGGAGCGGCGTCGTTGCTGGCGGTTGCGGGTGCTCAGCATGTCGTTCAGGATGCACAGTCGGCGTGTTCGAGATTTGGAGAGACGTTCCAGCATGAGAATGTTACGGTCAACTTCGTCCATCATGTCCCTGCTGGAACGAACCTCAGCCTCTCGCAAGCTGGGCCACTTGCAACTTGCGATCAGGCCTCTCAGGTCGCTCCCGTGGATCTCTGCAGAGTCGCGCTGTACGTGGCGACTTCGAATCGCTCTGGCATCACGATGGAAGCTTGGCTGCCTTCGAACTGGACGGGACGGTTTATGTCAACTGGCAACGGCGGTTTGAATGGATGCATCAAGTACGTTGATGTTGCATACGGTGCTTCGTTTGGATTCGCGGCTGTTGGAGCCAACAATGGCCACAATGGCACGAGAGGCACGGCTTTCGAGGGCAACCCGGATGTTGTGGAGGACTTTGCGTGGAGGAGCTTGTATACGGAGACGATTGTTGGGAAAGCTGTTACGAAGGCTTACTATGGGAGCAACATCAACCATGCGTACTACCTCGGCTGCTCAACTGGTGGACGGCAGGGGTTCAAGATGGTGCAGGACTTCCCTGAGCTGTTTAACGGCGTGGTGGTTGGAGCACCTGCGCTGGCTTTCAATAATCTCACATCTTGGTCTGGCCACTTCCTACCGATCACCGGATCCAACACGAGTGAGACTTGGCTTCCTCCTTCCAAGTGGGCCATCGTTCATCAGGACATTCTAAAGCAATGCGATGGCCTAGACGGCGCAGAAGACGGCATCCTCGAAGACCCAACTCTCTGCCGCTACAAGCCGGTCACCCTCCAATGCCCCTCCAACGCCACCAACACCTCTACCTGCCTCACAGCACCTCAAGTACTCACAGTCCAACGCATCTTCTCAGACTACTACGGCAAAAACGGGGCCCTCATCTACCCGCGCATGCAACCCGGCAGCGAACTCGCCTCTGCCAACATCGAATACAGCGGCAACCCCTTCCCATACACCGAAGACTGGTTCCGCCACGCAATTCTCAACGACCCGACCTGGAACGCCAGCACGCTCGACAGCGAGACCGCAGCCTACGCCGCCTCCGTCAACCCCTTCAACATCGAAACCTGGAAAGGCGACCTCAGCGCCTTCAAAAACCGCGGCGGCAAGATCATCCACTACCACGGCCTGATGGACTCCATCATCTCCTCCGACAACTCCCCGCGCTACTACGACCACGTCTCCAACACGATGTCCCTCTCACCCTCCGAACTCGACACTTTCTACCGCTTCTTCCGCATCGGCGGCATGGACCACTGTTCCGGCGGCTTGGGGGCTTGGAGTTTTGGGCAGGAGGCCGTGGAGGGCGCTGAGCAGGTGCAGCAGACTGCGCAGGATAACGTGCTGAGGAGGCTGATTGAGTGGGTGGAGGAGGGGGATGCGAAAGCGCCGACGACGGTGACGGGGACGAAGTATGTTAATGATACGGTGGCGCTGGGGGTGGACTTTGCGAGGAGGCATTGTAAGTACCCGTTGAGGAATGTTTGTCGGGATGAGGAGAATTATAAGGACCCGGAGGCTTGGGAGTGTGTTTTGTAGGGAGCGGGTCTAGAGAGGAGGCGACAATTGGACAGCATTTGAGAAAGAGCACGAACCGAGCAACATCAAACATCCTCCACCCACATAGTGCCCTCCACCAGACACATCACTACTCCTTCCCGCTCTTCACATCCTTCACCGCATACGTCGCCTCAACAACAGCATCCACCCTCTGCGCCTTGAACCTCCACGCCGGAATCCCCTTCGCAAACAAAATATCCAACTCCTCATACGTCCTGCCTTTGGTTTCTGGCAGTCGAAACACGGCCCAGATGAGCACGAGAACGGTGGTGCCGAACCACAGGAAGCCGCATTTGCCTTTCCAGTTCCCGCCGGTTGGGTTAATGAGGTAGCTGTTGATGACGCCGAGGGCCACGCTGCAGAGGTAATACACGTTGCGGCCAACGGAGAGGGTGTGGGCGCGGACGCGAGTGCTGAGAGGAATGTCAGTCATTATCTGGAAAGAAAGATGTGGAAAGACTTACGCTGATGCTTCTCCCGCGACGGTGAAGGTCTCTGGGCCAACGAAGCCGGTATACACAGCCAGCCAGGCGATCGTACAGCCGACTTGAACCCACTTGGCCGCGCTGGAGGACTTCGCTGCGAAGTCTAGACAGCCTATGAGCAGGAGGAGTACGGCCAGCACGGAGTAACCGAAGATGAGGAGAGGTCTTCGACCAGCGGCGGACATGAACCACCACGAGAGGAATGTCATGACGAGCGCGATACCCGTCGAGCCTAGATTGAGCTTATAAGCGACCTCAGGTGACAGCCCAGCCTGCACGAAGAAGAACGTCCCATTATACGCGAACGCCTGCCCGATGATAGCCTGCGAGGCGAGGACGACGCAAGCGATTTCCGTGCGCCACCTGTTGAGCGGCGTGAAGCAGTCGCGGTATCTGGCCTTGGTGTCGAGGGAGAGCTCGAGCTCGTTGGTGTGCTTCATGATGGCGAGGTGTTGTTCGAGTTGTTGCTCGGTGAGGTTGGATGTTAGACGGCGGATGGAGGTGGCGGCGTCTTCGAGGCAGCCTTTGCGGACGAGCCACCAGGGGGATTCTGGGGCGAGGAAGGCGAGGAGGGCGAGGGGGATGACCCAGACCCATTGGACGGCCTAGGTTGAGGAGGTGAGTGTTGTGTGTGATGGTGAAGGTTGGTGACTTACGAAGGGAATGCGATATGACCATTCTGTGGTATTGCTGACAAGCCCCTGTGCAACCATCAGCGACGACCAACTCGACTCTAGTGCGACGACGACGACTTACCTGCAACACTCCAGCGGCCAGCAGCTGCCCAATAACCCAGCACGCATTGATAAAAGACAAGGAGAACGCCCTCAAAACAGTCGGACAAACCTCAGAAATATAAATCGACCCAATCGAAGCAAAAGCCCCCAGCGGCAGCCCATTCAAAACCTGTCCCGCCAGCAAAACCTCCCTCGTCTCCGCAAAGCACGTACAAAAGATCGTCCCCGTCAGAACAACCATCCCACACATGATGACCCTCCGGACCCCAAACCTCTCGATAACGAACCCACCAACGAACACACCAATCGTCTGCCCCAGCAGCGTGCCCATCCCAAACGCAATCTGCCACGTGAAGCTGATGACCGTCTCGCCCAGCCGGGCGTCGTACTCGCCGTACTTGCGGTTGAAGGCGGGGTAGGCGAAGAAGCTTTGGATGAGGACCGTGTCGTAGCCTTCCATGACGATGACGAGGGCGATGGCGAAGGACCAGAGGACGGCGGGGCGGTAGGTGATGAGGGCTTGTTGGACGGTTAGGGCGTGGTCTTCTTCTGTCGCGGCGGCGGCGGCGGAGTCGACTTCGTGCATGGCTTCTTCGTGGTGGGAGACGATGGGTTTGGTGTCTTTCATGTCGGTGGGCTTTGCCTCTGAGTTGGGAGCCATGATTGAGGTGGTCTGGGGGTTACGACACAATGAGAAGAAAGGAAAATGCTAAGATGGTCAGTTGGTAGGAGACTTCAAAACTCCCTTAAGTATTGATTCTGCGTCTCCGCCTCGTCTGCAGTACCAGTACAGAGCATGCACGAAGACAATGTCGGCAGTTCGCAACGGCGCTCGCTCTCGTGCATACTGCCATGCTGCTCATGCAGTCGAGATGCATGGTCTGTCTAGAACCGGACTCCTCACAATGCCCTCCATGCAGAGCCGGATCGCTGTGCCGTGCCAGGCGTGGCGGAGACTACTCAACGGATGCTGCACATGTACATCGCCGACTTGTCATGGGACTGGCCTCGCAGAATATCACGCCCCCATCAATTTGACGTTCTGCTCCTACGGTGAACAACCATACCAGCAAGGGGCAACAGCTCTGATACGCGAAGGCGATTTTTAGCAGTCATCGAAATGCGTTGGTCCTTGAACACAGTCAAGACACTGCCTTCTTCGAGGACACGTCCTGAATTGTGCTCTATCGGAGGCAGAGTCTCCTGTTCAATCGCTCGGAGCGCAGGCGAGAGTATCGGTCCAAAAGAGGCTCAATCGGCACCAAGCTATACCGCGCGCAAGCACCGTCGCCTTGGCCCATAGGAACCATACATGTCTGCATGATGGCCACGAGACCATGTTCCACCTCGTGTCGCACTTGGGCGAGGTACTCAGGTACAAGTGCCGTCTGGTTGACACTAGCGCGGCCTCGTGCGTCGTATGGAGAGCTAATGAAGGAGGCTCTGGCCCGTGATGGTTGATGGCTTGCGGGGCCCCATGGGGATGGCGAGATATTGTGGCATTGATGGGTTGATCTTGAACCCCTCACGATATGCATGCCGATGGTGGGTGGCGGGCTCGTTGCGTCGTAAGGGACTCGGCGGTTGAGTTGGGGAGGCGGCTTTGCAAGCTGGAATCCGGGACATACAATGCGTGGTCTTTGAATCTTGCTGAAGATGCTATACCCTCGTGTGCTGCTGTCAAGACTGATTGACCTGCTGTACTGTTTTCTGAGGTGTTCGGCACTCTGCGGGCTTCGTTGGGACCTGCAAAGTGTTCAGCGTCCTTAGCAGCCACAGCGCTCGGGGTACGCAGTCTCCTACTCCCAACAAGCGGCGCTGTACGCTCGAGGCAACTCGCTACGCTGCATGCCTCTGAAGCTCTATGTGCTACCCCTCAGAGGCTGTTGTTCTCCTTTGATCCAAATGCAGCAGCTTTTGTGGCGTCGCAGCGGTTCAATTGCTATCGTGCATGCCGAGAGCTTGTCACAATGTAGCCGTACTCCTTGCCAGCATGGATTGGACTGAAGACGAAGCTGCAGAAACGTCGAAAGTACGCCGAAATTTTGTACCAAGTCCTCTGAATCACTCGTGAGCAAGCACGAAAGCTTGGTCGTAGGCGAGGAGTGGCACTGCATGGAAGCTCTCCGTGAATCTGGTTGAAAACACGTGGTAGAACTGTATCTGCACCATATCAAAGTTCAATGCCGTAACACTCTCGCACCTCAAACATACCTTCACCCCGTCGTCTACGCACCCACCCCTTCCACAGCCCTCCTCGCCTCCCCAACAGCATCATATCCGAAAACCCACATTCGTGTCCCTGGACTTCTCATATCATTACTCTCCGGATCAGCCTTCGGCTTAGGCTTCCCTCTTACCCCCTCAGGTCCTAGCTCTTCTAACTCCTTCTTCCACGCCCTTGTCATCGCGCCCCACAGCTCATCGCGTTTTTCTTGCCCGGGACCGTCTTGCATGGTGAGGAATTGTTGGTTGCCAGAGGCGTAGCGGCGGATGCCGACCATGCGGTTTTGGCGGAGGGTATTCCAGGTTGAGAGGGTGGTGGAGAGGGCATCGGCGGAGGGAAGGGAGGAGAGGACGGTTGCGAGGGAAGCGGCGTCTTCGAGGGCTTGGGCGCCGCCTTGGCCGGAGTGGCTGTTCAACATTAACATGATATGGTGAGTGTGAGGGCATGGGCGGGGAACTCACGGTAAGATAGCATGTGCAGCATCTCCAATAACACACAACCTCCCGGACTCGCTCGCAAACGTCTTCAAAGGCGGCAAATCCCCCAACGTCCACTTATTGCACTCTGTCACCAAACTCCAAACTTTCCGGCACCGCTCATTAAAGGACTTCAACAATTCCGCTCCTTCCGCAGGATCCCCCTCTTCTGACCATTTGCCCACCAGATCACCATCTGCCGGCCTGGGCACAGAAAGCACGATGTTGTATAAGTTCCCGGCGTTGACCGGGTACCCTAGCATGGCGATGCCGGGGCCACACCACACCATCAATCCTCCCGCTTTCATCAACTCCTTCGTCTCAGGGAACTGGTCCATTCGCTCCTTAGGCACCACCGTCCGGAAACAGTATTCCTGGAAAGGCCTCGCTTTGATCCCCTCATTGCCAGGAATCATCTCTCGAATCTTGCCCCTCAAGCCATCAGCAGCAATCACCAAATCCGCCTTCTCTGTCCTCCCGTCTTGAAATGTAATCGTCCCCGTCTCATGATCCACATGCTGAACCCTCTGATTAAACAAAATCTTAATGTCCTCCCCCTTTTTCTCCTTCCTCTCCACCGCCTCCGCAAGCAACCTCTGGAAATCCGGCCGATACACCTGCCAATGCGGATACTCGTACAGCCACTCAGACTCCGGATTCTGCTGCAATTCCCCAATGACCCTATCGTCCGCGTATCGCCTGACTTCCATGATGCCGGGCTTGTTCGCAACGGCAGCGAATTCCTTTTCGAGACCAAGGCCGTGGATTATGCGAGTTGCGTTGGCGTTGAGCTGGATTCCGGCGCCGAGTTCGGAGAGGGAGGGCGCGGATTCGAGGATGGTTATGGTGTAGGGAAGGGAGTGTTTGTTGGGGGCGGCGAGGAGGGAGAGTGCAGTCGACAGGCCGGCAATTCCGCCGCCGATGATCTTAATGTCAAGGGGTTGGGATGGGGTGGACATGATTTTTGGGGGCAATGTGTAGTTCGTTGGGTATAGTTTTTTGTTTGGAAGAAGAAAAAGAAAATGGGTAGCACTAGAATGTGATGTAGGAGCTTGAAGAGGAGATCGTTTTCGTTAAGTCGTTGTCGTTCAATCCTCGGTATTGCCTTGCACAGGTAGATGTTAAAGAGAAAGATGAAAGGGCACCTCACCTCTGGTATTTCTTCAGCCGGCTAGGCGTTCCGGTGCTCGATGCGAACACCGCAAGTGTAGAGGCATGGTGATCCAAGAGGCCTAAACCTGGGTTAGGGTCGCTGATGTTGATGCTGACGTCGACATCGGGAACTTTCAGCTCTCTCAGCCGTCAGGGCTGTGCCGCTTGGGAATCTTGATGAAAGCTTGCCTGCAGCGCAAAATCCCGCTGCTTGTAGTCAGTAGGGCCCGCGCTAAGTCAGTTGGCGTAGGATGTGTCCGTGATAGGCGGGCTGAACATAGGCAAGGATGATAAGGTTGATCGTGATGAACTCGTTGCCCGGAAGTTGTGAGTGAATATAGGACACGAGCCGAGCAGGCCTGTCGCTATCTATGCCGACGCCTTGTCCATGCTGCCTATCGTACATCTAACCCTCTGTGGTCATGCCTTCGATCCATTCAGGTATCTTGGGTCTCCGTGCTCAATCATGTGTGAATGCAGGCTTGCTACTTCCGGCACAATCAAGCTCTCAATCTCCATAGCCGGCTCTGTTCTGTCTTTGGTGCCAGACCTGCCATCGTCTGTTCGGCCGGTCACACTTTTGGCTCTCCTGTTGGCCGGTACGCGGATCCATTTCTCGCCGCCATCTGCAGTCACGAAGACGACTTCCCACTTGCGAGTGTTGAGTAGATTGCCGATGACCAGGTGGTGTGCGTATTTCTTGAGAGCGCCTTTGGCTTTGCTAGCCAACAGGCTTGGGTCTGTCTCCAGCTTGAAGGAGATGATCATTGCTTGGGGTGCCCAGCCGTCGACCAGCAGCTTCAAGAACTTAGGAACAGGGTCCAAGTCAATGACCAACGATTTGCCGTCCATGTGCGCCGCAGGCTTCCGACCTCGCTGTTCCTCCTCGGTTGGCACATCGCCGTTTGGTTGAGCAAACTCCTCTCCTGACTGGATCTTGTGTTCCACCATTCGTTCTGCCGGGACGAAGAAGTCTGACACCGCAGCTGCTAGGTAGAAGAGGGCATTGGCTCCAAGCGGGTGCATCAGCATTGCCAATTCGCGCAGATTCCACAAGTACTCGTTGACCGTCACGAAGGGAAGCAGTAAGAGGGTGTTCTCCTTTTTGGCTTTGCGGTAGCGGCGGAGGACGTTGGCCATCTGCTGCTGGTAGTCGTTCTGCACCACCACGGGACCGTCCTCCGTTCCAGTCATGTAGTCCAAGAAGCAGTTCGTGCTGTGGCTGTAATGTCGCGAGTATGGAAGTAGCGAGAATTGTCTGTGGAGGAAAATGACCGCGTAGCCATTCTCGAGGAAGTATTCAGCGCTCGTGGCACCACGGGTGCCGGCAGAGAAATTGTCGATGAAGCGGACAGTCTGATTCTCCAGAGGCACAGTGGTTCCTCCCGAAGTTACCAACGCCACCCTGCGCTTGTTCTCGACATGTTGCTCGATGAAGGTTCGGGCCAAGGTGCTGTGGCGGTCGAGGTCGCCGGGTTTGGGGTTTGCGGCGAAGTATTCCATTTCTATGTTGGTAGGGGTGTAATGATCATCGGGCTGGCCAGCTTTTCTGCGCATATCAGCGATGAGTAAGTCAAAGCCCGTGAAATGGCACGATAGTAGCGGCAATAGTCCGGCGAGAGACGTCTTCTTACAGCAGGTCAAGTGAGGTCAACAAGCTTTACAGCGGAGGTATTGATGGGAGCGGAGCGGTGCGGCACGGTGGTGGTTCAGCCAGAAGACATAGCAGTCACACGTGGCGGATCAAAAGCAAAGAGAATGAGGCAGCAGTGCTCCATTGGGCCGAGAAGTGGATGTCGGCGGTGGGATGGGCATGAGCGACTGGAGGTGGAATACCTGGTATCTCCTCTGCATCGTAGCCTCAGTTCTGGCCTGTCTTGTTTTATTGGAGATGAAGGCCGAACTCACCAGTGTCTTTGTGTGTTTTGTGGCTCTGAAGTTCTGCAGTTCGTAAAGACACAAACCCGATAACGTATATCAAGATTGCCAGAGCTTCCTAATGTGGATTCGTCGGGAAAACTTATCGTAAGAAGTGTAGCGGCTTGGCAGTCTAGCCTAAATTATCATCGACCTTGTGTCCTGACCCGTGACCTCACTCTTGTTTTCATTGTGTACATGTGGCCAGCCTCAAAAACACTGTGACTTCGTGAAGCTGCTGTCTTTACTCTCACCGCAGGATCTCCCGAGGCAGCTTACTCAGCAGCGGGATTAGCCTTAGTTTCCCTGCGCGGAAGTCTGGTGGCATGTGAAGGTCTCTCTCTCTACCTCATTGCTTCCTCGACAACCACCGCAAGATCAATATGCCGCCCAATCCAGCCGCCTCCAAGTCGGGCCAGAAGGCCAACGACACCCCCAAGTCCAACGAGCGCAACGAATACATCCCCTCCTTCATCGCCAAGAAGCCCTTCTATATCGACGACAATACCGCCTCAGACGCCGACTACCTCGAGCATCAACGTCTGCAATCACAGAAGAACCATGATCCGCTCGCAACCGCACAGTGGTATGAGCGTGGTAACAAGAAAGGCCCGGCGGCCACCAAGTACCGCAAGGGCGCCTGCGCAAATTGCGGCTCCATGTCGCACAAGGAAAAAGACTGCTTGCAGAGGAAGCGCAAAGCTGGCGCCAAGTGGACCGGGAAGGATATCGCGGCTGACGAAGTTGTGAAGGATATCTCATTAGGGTGGGATGCAAAACGAGATCGGTGGAATGGTTTCGAGGCGGGCGAGTACAAAACTGTGGTGGACGACTTCAACGAGATCGAGCAGCTTCGGAAGGCGGCTGAGGGCAGGCAAAATGAAGACGGTGAGGATGATGAGCAGGAAGAGGGTGCCAAGTATGAAGAGGAGACAGACATGGGCAGACAGCAGCCGACGAGCACACGAAACCTGCGGCTCAGAGAAGACACTGCAAAGTACTTGGTGAACTTGGATTTGGAAAGCGCCAAGTACGATCCAAAGACCAGGTCTATGATAAATGATGCGAACGATCCGAACTCTCTCGAGGCGGAGGATGGCTTCACGCGGGGATCTGGAGACGCGGCCGAGTTTGAGCAGGCGCAGAAGTACGCATGGGAGACGCAAGAAAGAGGCGACAGAGACAAGATACATCTCCAGGCAAACCCTACGGAAGCGCTGCTTACAAGGAAACGCAAGGCAGAAGAGGAGATCGAGCGAAAAGAGGCGCAAAAGAAGCTCTTGACGGACAAGTACGGATCACAGGAGACGGTGTCGAAGAAGAACCCCGTGGCCGCTGCCTTGACTAGCAACGAGACATATGTGGAGTATGACGAACGAGGCAGAATCAAGGGGCAGCCCGAAAAGAAGGAGAAGAGCATGTACCCTGAGGACGTTCTCATCAACAATCACACTTCAGTCTGGGGTAGCTGGTGGAAGGACTTCAAATGGGGATATTCGTGCTGCCATAGCACCGTCAAGAACAGCTTTTGCACTGGCGACGCAGGGAAAGAGGCTGCTCAAGAGTTAGAGAAGTTTAGCAGAGCATTGGCGTTGCCGAGCGCAGAGGATGCCGGAAACGGACAAGAAATCGACAAGGAAGAGGCTTGGAAAGAAGAAGAAAGACTAGAGGAGCATGTGCCAAATGGCGTGGATCGGCCCGAGAAGCAGAACATGGACGAGGCCCGACGACGTATGGAAGAATTGAAGGCTGGCGTGACCGAGGCGGAAATGGAGAAGTATCGGCGAGAGAAAACGTCCAAGAATGATCCCATGGCCCAAATGTTGGGCAAAGACGAGCTTCTCGACGGCTGACAGCTGTCTCCGCGGAAGCATCGTTCAGGCACATTGCACGAGTCGCGGACGTCGTACACGATGATGAGGCGGTCTGTACGTTTCGTTTCCCGAAGGAGCCGCGTACTAGTCGACAAAGTGCAAGCGAAAGAGAGACGTGTGCAGCATCTACAAATCGTCGAGAGCTGGATTGGCCCAAGGATCAATATTTACGGGGTGGATCTCGGGCATCCCTTGCGGCCCTCGAAACCTTGAACGTCGTCCGCTGTCTGGTGAGGATCAAGACAGTGCGACACGAGGCAGTTCTCAGCATCATTCTCCATCTACGGAACACACAACCGCCAACATTCCACCAAGTATCCCTTATGCCCTACCATCAGCGATCTCACCAGACATGCCGGTAAGATGGAGCTCTTTCCCAATCTTGCAGCGTGAACGCCTTGGATGACAGTATGACTTGCGGCATGCAGAACTAAGTTCATGTACGGCTTCGGCTTCCAGAATCTCACACACAAGAGCCAGAACTTTCATCCTGAAGCATCCGCTCCAGCCGATCAAGTCCGAAGCCGAAATGCTATTCTTGGCCAGGAGATATCATATCTGCTCGACTATTGAATGGGACGAATGCAGGTCCATCATATGGCCCACAGAAAACGAGAAAACGCTTCGTCATCCATAAGCTTAGACTTTGGCGGGTAAAGGCACGAGGCCACACCCGGATCCATCGACAGTCTGAAAAAGATGAGCATTCGACGACACTGCGCTCTATCTCCCGCTCCGAGTCGAACATTAATCCCCATCGTTCGCAAGCTGCAATAGAGCGTTCCAAGCCCGGGAAGATGCTGGTCTCCATTGTCTCATTTTCACCGGAACGACGACAGCAATCCCGTCGGATGAATGTTTTCATGGTATGACGCCTGTCAACCCTCACCAGATAAGGAGGAGGTGGTCCGAACCTTGTCATCCTCGTGGCACTGGCATGCTTATACGGGTTGCTGTGCGTCGCCGTCGCGTGATGAATTGGGAAACGCAGGATCAAGAGTGTTCCGCGACTCAACCCATGTCGGTGCGCTCGGCTGCTTGAGAAATGCCGCCGCCGCGTGTGAACTGGGTAACATGTAAGTCTTTGACTCCTATACCAATGACGATACAAGAACTCGTGGCTGCACAGTCCATGGCTCTTTTGGATCAACCATCTCTCATTTCATTTCTCCCCGGCCTCGAGCGCAGCACTTTTGGGACCTCGCAATTTTTCTTACTTCTGCCTCAAACAGCTTAAAATGCATGCCTCATCCCCCTTACCCCTGCTCCTCTCCCTCTTCTTGATCCGCGCATCTTCAGTCCCTACCACTGGCCTTGCCTTCGACCAAGTCACCGACCTGCTCACCCCCATCACCTCTCCATGCACAGACAACAACGCCACGAACCGCCAGTGCTGGAACAATGGTCATAGCATTTTTGAGGACTTCGACCTCTCAAATCCTATCACTCGAAAGACCGTCACATATAATCTCGATATCACGAATACGACATGTAATCCGGACGGGCATGGGGAGATTGAGTGTCTGCTGGTGAACGGGCAGTATCCTGGGCCGACATTGACGTACGTTGTGATGCTTATGGCGAATGAGCATGGTAATGACCAGAATCACAGAGCGAATTGGGGCGACTACATGATCGTCAACGTCCAGAACTCCATGCAAGACAATGGGTACCTGCACAACATCCCACTGCCCCAAACTCGTAACTGACATTCCCCAGCACAACAATTCACTTCCATGGCGTGCGCCAATTCCACTCCCCTGGCTCCGACGGCGTGCCCGGCCTGACAGAATGCCCCCTCGCACCGGGCCAATCCAGGACATACGCCTTCAACGTCACGCAGTTCGGCAGTAGCTGGTACCACTCCCACTACTCGTCTCAGTATGGAAGCGGAGTCGTCGGCACGATTGTGTTTGAGGGACCGGCGAGTGCCAACTATGATGTCGATTTGGGGGTTTATCCCCTGAATGAGTGGTATTATGTTGGGGCTTGGGTGAGTTGAGTGTTCCTATGCTAGAGAGCGATGGTTTGGCTGATGTGGATGGGGTTCAGGCGGAGAATGCGCTTGCAGCGCAAGAGTTGCAGAGCTTCGGGGCACCACCGAACCCGGACAACATCTTGATCAATGGGACGAATAAGGTATGTAGGCATGATTTGGGCTTGCGAAGTCGACGAGCTGACGGGTGGTGTAGGACAAAGATGGGAACGGGCAGTATAGCCAGGTGAGCTGAACCTTACAAGACCGTGCATGCTGAAAGGGGATTATGCTGACCGAGAATTTGGTAGGTGCCGATCGCAAAGGGCAAGACATATCGCCTCAGACTCATTAGTATTGCGTTGGATAACTATATCCGCGTGAGCTTGGACAACCACAAGATGCTCATCATCGCCGCGGATTTCGTTCCTATCAAGCCGACTACGGCGGAATGGATTCTGCTAGGCGCTGGTCAAGTATGTTTCTCCACCGACCTCTTCCCGCCTATACTGTGCCTAACGTAATTCCCAGCGCTACGACGTCGTCATCACCGCCAACCAAGCTGCCGGCTCGTACTGGTTCCGTGCTGAAGTTGCTACAGAGTGCCTCTCAGGCAACAACTTTTACGGCCGCGCGATTTGGACCTACTCGTCTGTCCAGCCCTCTACGCCTAGCTCTTCTCCTTGGCCAGAGCCGTCTGACTGTCTGGAGCCCTCACCCCTGACCCCTTTCTGGTACCAACCTGTCCCTTACCAACCGGCGCTCGGCAACATGAACGTGGACCTGACCAAGGCCGTTATCACGCCTGACGGCTCCAACATGGTTGTCTGGGCCCTCAATCGTAGCATCGACATTAGTTGGATGTATCCTACCATGACATACCTGCTGAACGGCAGCATCACGAATCAGAACCTCAACACGTATCCATTCCCTGAGAACCTTAACGTTGTTCCTGCCACAAGCGAAACGCATTGGAATTACTGGTTGATCCAGCAGAGCGGTAACGCGAGTCTGGAGCCTGCGGCGGCGGCGAATGTGTTGGAGCAGATTGTGCATCCGATCCATTTGCATGGGCACGATTTTTATGTATGGAATCGGGTATTGCCGTTTGAGTTGAGATTTTGCTGACACTGTGGCAGGTCCTCGGGCAGGGTACCAATTCGACGTATAGCGGCACATCGCAGCTGAACTTCAATACGCCCACCAGGAGGGATACGGCGAGTTTGTATGGAAATGGCTGGTTGGCTATCGCTTTTGAGTCGAATAACCCTGGTAGGCTGGTCCCTGCATTGATTTGAAACGGAGTCTCACTAATATCATGCAGGTCCATGGCTCATGCACTGTCACATAGCATGGCATATCAGCGAGGGACTGGGGATGCAATTCCTCGAATCACCGAGCCAGGTAACATTGCCAGACCGCACAGCTTACGACCGAGAGTGTTCGGCTTGGGACGAGTACTACGCTACAGCATATTACAAGAAGACAGATTCGGGGTTGTGATGAATGTAACATGTTGAAGATCTAGGCCGTCGGACCCTCGAAGTCCTGTTCGTCTTGTCAATCCCTTCACTTACCGACCGAAAACCATCTGCGGTCGCTGAGTCCTTCCTCAACATAACATGCCACAGGTTCATCCTACATTCAAATGGAATTCCCAAGACTGCTTACTACGTCTACGTGCCTGAGCGATCCGGCCGCGGGTGTCCTTACGCAGCGCTTCGGCCGACTGTCGCCAAGCTAGGCTGTCAGACACTGCAAAAACGGGCAAAGATCAACACAACCCACCACCGACTGTATACCATTCGCGCGACCTGACTGGCATCGGACCGGACGCTCTCGCGTCTAAGGGGAAGATCTTTGCCGGAAGGATGGTGAGCCTCTGCTGCACGTAGCGAGCTGCTCCGGAGCCATGTCGGCACGGGCATGACGTGGAGCCTTGCGCTGGAACCTCATGGCCTCAACATATAGAAGTGATCGATCGAAGTGCATCGATGCGATCGACATTCATTCATCTTGGGCTAAGACTTTGAACGATCGAGTCCAAGCATTGGCATCGACGAACACATACAGTATGGACCCACCGCCTCACCATCTGCAGTTTAACAATCTATGGGCTGCCTATCAACCAGCCCCGCTGCCCGAGTTATTGCCTGTGCCGGACTATCATCAGCAGCAGCAATACTTCAGCAATAGTCTATCGAATAGTCCGACTCCATCAGCAGCATCCTCACATCTATCCTCCCCGACCCTCTCCACCCGCGAAGAAACAATCCACTCCCTCCACGAAGCCCGCAAACAAAAACGTCGAGAACAGAACAAAGCAGCGTAAACATCACCATCTCCCCTAACTCACACCCATCCCCTCACACTAACACCTTTTCTAGACAACGCAAATTCCGCCTCAGAAAAGAACAAACCGAAGTCCAGCTCCGCACCGACCTCGTCGACGCAGAGAAGCACCTCGAAGACCTGCGGAAAGACAACAGCCGGCTTTTGCAGGAACTCTGCTCGATCCGGAGGGAGAATCTGGTTTGGCGGGCGAGGCAGGGGGAGGGGGATGGGATGGGGGAGAAAGGGGATGAGATGAGGGAGCTGGAGGCGATGGAGCGGAGGTTAGGGGAGGGGGCCGGGGCGGGGTCGGGGTCTGGGAAGAGTTGATTGTGTGGTTTGCGTGTGTGTTCGTATCGGCGATGGAGAGGGAGGTAAGGGAAAGGTCGGGCGTTCGGGTCCGTGGAGAGGGAAATATGTACTAGTTTGTTACGCGGCCTCGTCACGAACGGACGTGATTTTAGCCGCATAGTCGAAGATGTCGTCCTGCCGGGAAGATTGATCTGCAGAGGATGCTGGAGTTGACAGGACGGATGGAGATGTGTTTTGCGCCTGGGACGGCTTTCTTGCCGTGTGTGAGATACCCCAAAAGGAATACATACGAGGCTTTGTTGTTTGCGCCGCTGGAGTCCAGGACGCTAGTGGAGTTTGGGTTGCGAGGTTATCGATGTAGAAACATGGTGCGACGTGCGCAGATACTGCGGCTGTTGAGTGTCAGTCACATTATCTATGAAGAACGCCCTTGGGATCGAGGGAGGTCATGGGTATTATTCCTGTACATTGCGAACACCTAGACGCTATCCAGAAGAACACCACTCTGCCTCAAGGTAGGGATCGCTTGCCCCTCCGTCCATTCAGTACACTTAATCAACGACGGTCTCGCCTCCCCAATTCCATAGAATGTTCCATCAGGCCTCATCGGCTCCGTCCTCATCGTCCGAACATTAAAACCCTTCTGCTTCGGCGGCGGCGGCAACCTCTCACAAACATCATCCACAGCCTTTGGATACGTCTCACTCGCCACATATCCAATGAACTCCTTATCAAAGAATGCTTCATCGGTTTCCGGGCGCTCGCGATCTGTTGATTGGTATTTCATGCCCGTGACGATGTCGCCGATGACGTGGTGGACGTGGCCGGAGAGGTCTTTGTTTGTTTCGATGAAGATGATGGTGTGGTAGCGGGGACTGGGCATGTCTGGGTCGGAGAGGGTCATGTGGTAGCGGACTTTGAAGGCTTTGTAGAGGGTTGTTTGGGGGAGTGGAGTGGTTGACATTGTTGGTGGGATTTGAGCTTTGGGGTGGATGTATTTGAAGTAGCGAAATGCGTCAGACGTTGTCGTCGTTTACGGAAAACATAGCCATGTGAAGGGCAGGCTTCGACGGCTACAGCCCTGAGACTGACGTCGCCCATTTTGTTAGAGTAGCCGCCTTGCTGGCGCTTGTATGCATAACGAAAGCTGTGCCACGCACGTACATTCGCACATACTTGCAACCTACCTTCACTCGAGAAGCGTGAGAAGATTTTATGTGAGATACTTGTACTAATTCATAGCTCATAGGTAAAATATGGGGGTTCGGGATGCAATGTCATGGCTTCCGAATCTTGTCACGAAGACCGCTCAAACCTGAGCTGCTTACAGCATCGTCTGTTCCACCGGCCCTATGATCTCTGGCAATGTGTCTCCGGTGCTGAGAAATGTTGTGCAATGGCAGATTGGAACACAGCCCTGTGCGGAGTGCTCGCGCTCTCCGCGGGCAGAGGTTCAAGAGGCCTCCAGCCCTTTTAAGTTGACGAAGGCTGTAGATCGTAGTCAATGCTGTCTATCCTGATTCATTAGATACATTCGGATCATTTGTACCTTACAACTCTTATAGCCGCTTCCATACCACGCGCGCGACCAAGATGGCTTCACAGGCAAAGATTTCGTTATCGGACCTTCTTGATCGAAATAAGTAAGATCTTCCAGAATCAGCACCGCGAACTTGAGTGAGACCTGATAGCGCGACTAGGGAGTATTCCAAAAGTCATAAGCCGTTCCCATTCTATACAAAAGAGCTTTTAGCCGGTCTCAAACGAACACTCATAGGTCCACGAATCGCTCATACCCTCTGTTGATATTTAGAACCGTGCTGACAACGATCTAGTCACCTGCATGGATCCTCGAGTCATTCCAGAGAAGTTCAGCAATTTCGAAGCCAACAGTTCGGTCCTCCGACGTTCGACGTACTGAGGCAAGAGACTGACGGTTTAACAGAGGTCCCAGTCATTCGCTGTGCCGGAGGTCGGGTCAAGTATGCCATCCATGATATCCTCAGCCTCAACACTATTGTGGCGATCGACGAGATAGTGGTGATTCACCATGTCGGTATGTACCACCATTTGACGACAGTTCAAAGTCCAGACGACTAAGACCGGGCGAGCAGACTGCGGCGTGATGCAAGTCACAGATGAGGCGTTTCAAGCAGAGGCGAAGAAGCGATCCGAATCAGAAGCAGCCAAATTGGACTTCGAGGGCATGCATATTGCAGAGTAGGTTGCTGCCAGTTTTGGAATTCTGGCTTTGGGCTGATGATGATGTTGTTAGCTTGCATGAGAGCGTAAAGAGTGACGTCGCGTGGCTGAGAAACAGCCCTCTCATCAAGTCAGATACTGCGGTCAAGGGGGCTATCTTCGATATTGTCAGCGGCAAACTGGAAGTGGTTGAGTCTTGAGAAGGGGGAGGTGAAGTTTGCTCACAATTTCTGCCTCAGGCACCAGATGTTGGATTCGAGCTTCACGACCCGTCTCCACTCTTTCTTGTTCACTCTACGCAACATGGGTGTATTCGGCGACGAATCTGTTCCTTGATTCATCTTGGTCTATACCATATTCAGCGACAATGGCACGCTCATTACGAATCGTTCGGGCCGGATGGGTCATTTTGTTCGGAGACGTCATGTGGCTCGCTGATCATTCCTCCAACCAAGTTCGCTGAACCAGTTTGTTTATTCTCCGCCAAGAATGCGATAACAGAGTAGGTACCTGTATCCAACTCGCCTTCCCTCCGTCGAAGCTACCATCCATATCCTCCAAAGCGCCTGCCATGCATCTTGTTGAAGTGGTTGAGAAGCGTCCGAGCTGTCCGACCGAGTTCTCCATCGACCCGCTCAGCACCGACTGACACCACGCGTTCCATCGCGCAAAACCTGCTGGGCGGATCCGACGGCTCATACCAAAAAACACCATATCCTTCGACCTCGAGAGAATGAACCATTCGCTTGACTGAGCTCACACCCTCAGCTCGAGAAGACGCCGCCAACATGAGCACGACGGATCCCGGAATCGAAGATGGCATCAAGCAGGCCGCCAACGATGTTGAGAAAGATAAGAAGATGGAGGAGGACGAGAGGGCGGAGCAGGAGGACTTGACACAGCCAGACACATGGTGGTTCGCGTCCACGGTCAACCCGCTGCTGGCGGCTACTTTTGGCCCCATTGCCAATGGCTTCAGTATCTGCGCCCTCGTCTACTCGTGGAGGTCGTACATACCACCAGGCGCATCTCCCTCGGAAGGTGTTAGAATCGCCGACCCGCACTGGTTGATCGCTATCAATGCTGTTTCTCTGGCTTGTGCTCTCGTCGGCAATGCTTCTCTTTTGCTCAACATGGCCCAGCGACTGTCGTTTCGCATCTCCCAACCCATCACGATTACTGGCTTCTTCATGGCCGGAGTTCTCTTGATAGGAGATATGGCTGGCCTGACGTCTTCTCCTACGTACTACATCACCGACCCTAGAGCTATACCCGCCAAGAACCATGCTCTCACCAGCGCCTACTACTATGCAATCTGGGCAGCGGCCATCTACATCATCATTGGTCTGCTCATGTGCCTGACCGTGTATGGCGCCAGTGCTGGCCACTACGCAAAGGAATTCAATCTTACTCCCTCTCAGCGGACATTAATGCTGCAGACCATGTCCTTTGTCGCCTACGAACTCTTGGGTGCTTGGGTATTCAGCGCTATCGAGGGCTGGAAGTACCTAGACGGCGTATACTGGGCGCAAGTGACACTTCTCACAATCGGATTTGGAGACTTTGCACCCACGAAACGAGTCACACGCGGTCTGATATTCCCGTACGCTATTGGCGGCATCTTGATGGTCGGTCTGGTCGTTGGCTCCATCCGCACTTTAGTCTTGGAACGGGGGCAGGAGAAGATTGCAGCACGAATCACCGAGAAGAGACGGGAGACCGCCGTCCATAACGTGGACGAGCGAAGACAGACCATTAGAATCGGCTGGTTCTCAAAGGCTGATTTCAGCACCAATCCGTCTCTCACGCCTGCTCAACGGAGAGAGGAGGAGTTCAAAGTGATGCGCAAGGTGCAGAAGATGGCCGAGCGTGAGCGTCGCTACATTGCACTCAGCATGTCTCTTTCCTTCGCCCTCATTCTCTGGTTCGTGGGAGCTGTCATTTTCAAGGCGTGCGAGACAGAACAGGGATGGTCGTACTTCCAATCTTTGTACTTCACATTTATCGCTCTGTTGACCATTGGATATGGCGATTTGACACCGGTCTCCAACAGCGGCAAGGCGTTCTTCGTAATCTGGTCTATGCTCTCGGTTCCCTCACTGACCATCCTCATCTCTAACATGGGCGACACTGTCGTCAAATGGTTCGCCGAGTTTACCGACTGGATTGCGTCGATTACTGTGCTGCCCGAGCAAGGCGGCAGGAGGATGTCGTCGAAACGAGCGGCCGCCAATCTCATGGGCCGACTCACCGATAGTGCTAATGATGCGGTCGGTAGGTTCACCGCTCCAGGTATTCTTGGCGAAACGGATCATGTCGCCATGGACGGTAAGAGACATTTCGAAATGCTCATGAATCGGCTGGCGCAGAGGCTGGAACAACACGTCGAGGAAGAAGAACTCGAGGAAGCGTTGAAGGCTGAGGCTGAGGGCGATGACCTTGAGAGGGACATTCACTTCTACCACTACGTACTTTCTCGCGAATCACGCAATGTACAGAAAGATTTGGCAGTATCTCCGCCAAAGAAGTATTCGTGGGGCGACTGGGAATACTTTCTCAAGATCATCGGCAACCAGGACGAGACGCCTGACTTTCCAGGACAGGAGATCCCGAATGATCTGGTGCCGAAGCCTCTTCACGTTGGCACCATACCCCCAGGCGGTCTCGGACTAATGCGCACAGATGGCGCTGCGGACGATAAAGAGCGGCAGACTGAAACCCCCAATACACCCATTGGACTGATTTCAGCGGGTAGCCAAGACTCCGAGCAGACTATGGCGGGGAATACCGATGGTGTTGTTGATCGACGGACGGAGCGGAAGAACGAAATGTCGTGGTCAGATCCCCACAAGAATAAGCACCGCTTACATCGCCATGATACGAGCGAATGGCTTGAAGAGTGGAGTTGGCTCTCAGATCAAAGTCCGCTCATGAGCTCGAGGACAGAAGCAGAGTGGATCTTGGAGCGGCTATCGGCAGCTCTTGTGAGGGAGTTGAACCGACAGCGGAAAGGACAGAAGAAGAGACCGCCCATTAGTATGGCTCATGTGGCGCGTGTCAGAGAGCTGGCCAAGAAGGCTGAGGCAACACAAGGCGTTCAAAAAGAGGAGGCTGAAGGTGCGGTGGGAAGAACGGTGCTTGAGGGGGAGACGAAGAAGATGTGAAACAGGCGCAGTGTGGCGTTCCGGGTTGGGATAGTCTTTGGAGACATTTGATACCCCTGTGACGATTACGGCTTTGTATCATGGTATGTACATTTTATGCTTTTGACATCCTAACCCGCCAATGCGTGCTCCCGTGTTGCCATGCCAAAGAAATGTGCGTCGCTTAGGAGCAAACCAGGACATACGGGTTCTCGCATGAATGCGTGCAAACGGCAGTAGAACCTTCTACTCCAACATTCCAGGGCTTCTTCAGTCCTGAAGTCCAATCGCCAGGCAATTTGTGGACATGGGCGTGCACAAGAAAATCAGCAAAGGTAAGTGAGCCTCCTCCCCCAGAACTTTCACATGCAAAAGCACGCTTTCACGTGACACGTGGCGTTGGCGCCTACTTCGAGTGAAGATGGCAGTCGCGACTGCTTCACTTGGACACCTCGCCTCGATGTGATTTCTTGTTTCTTGAACTGCCTTTCTTCATGAACATGCACCGAAGCACTCATTTCTAACGACATGACAGACCATCGAGCTGCGCGGCGGCAGCACAAGGACATGGCGTTTCAGCAGCTGCTACAGCGGTCACCGCCTCACGCGACAGGCGGAATGCCTCGAAACGACACACCATCGCTTCCACCAGCGACGAGAGCTACAACGCCCCCTCATCAGACCGCAGACATGGATCAATCGAACACACCAACTCCACCCTCCTCTTCACCTTCGCCACGACTCGATTCTGCGTTCGCAACACCACCTCATCTAAAGACTCCGACAGAGCGTAGAGCCTACACGAGCCCATTCCAAGCTGCAAACAACAACTACCGGTTGAACTCGTCGCCAACAGCGGGAATCCGACGACAGACTGTCAATGGGTCAGCTAGGCCGCGCGCTGAGCGTAAGCTTGCGTCAGCTATACCGCCATTCAATACTTTCCAGAATGGCAAGACCAGAGGAATCGACAGCTCGTCGTCTTCAAGTGGTGAGAACAGACCATTCGGACCTCCTCGACGTCCGCGAATGCAAGGCAATGGCAACTACCATGGCCCCCGCAACAGCCGTATCAACATGCCCTTGAATCAACAGCTTGTCGAGCGCAGTGGACCCTTCAATCGCGCCATCATTCAGAGCAGCCAGGCAAAGAATGCACTCGAACTCAAGATATGGGCTGTGGGATTCCCGGCTTACTGCACCGCCTTGGACGTCTACAATGCTTTTTCGTGCCTTGGCAGCATCTCGAGGATCGAAGTCAAGAACCTGCACTCCTTCGGCAAGGGCGCTAATATTACTTTCAGACCAGCACCCCCGGATACTTCTTGGGTTGGCATGAAGTTCAAATACCCCGATGCTGCTAGCAACATCCGTTGGATTGAAACCAAGGATGAGACTCCACCTCCTTACATGCACACCAGCCAGACTACTGGTAAAAAGCTACCCGACCGCATCCAGATTCCCGTCAACGACATCGACTTTGGTGTTATGGAGAGCGAGTCCACCATGCTTGGTATGCATTCGCTACAGTCGACTGCTCGCATCCAGGCGAGCTTGATGATGGATCTTTCATGCAAAGCTCTGTTCCTGACCTTCCCCGTTCGCATGGCCTCGAAAACGCAAGAGATCCACGAATGCGAGTTCAGAATGCGCCTGATCCCGGCGCAGATTCGCGATGGCCGCATGACCACAGAAGAGGACTCGTCTATCTCATTGTACTTCACATGCGAGACTCCTCCAGTAGTCCACCGCAAGACTTTGAAGCCGCAACAGACCTTCAAGGATAAGGATGCTCAATGGGATGACAGAGCCTTGTGGTTTCGTCAGACTTTGATCGAGTTGAACCCGAGCATCGCCAAGTCGTCGGTGAAATTGCGAGAGAAGGAATGCATTGTCGATCTCGGACGATGGTTGACATACCGCCTCAACATCAGCCAAGAAACGTTCCAGTCGCCAGGTTGTAAGGACCTGTGGCAAGCGTTGGCGGACCACAACGTCAAGATCGCGATGGATGAGGATACGAACTTCAACGCCGGTCATGTCGAAGATTTCTGGGAGTGGCTCGACACACCTGCTCCTCAGGTCGTCGAAGCCGAAGACAATCCAATTCTCGCCGACATGTACCAGATGGCCGGAGACACCGTGCACCTTCCGTTCTCCGTGCGGTACCAACTCGAGGTCTGTCTGAGTTTGGGCTTTCTGCACGAGTGCAACATGACCAAAGGCTTCTTGAACAAGCTCGCCAGCCTCGACCCGGCCCGTGGTGTCAAGATTCTGGAGAAGGTTGCCGACGACAAGAAGCGTTACTTCAAGCCCGACGACATCTTTCGCCTGCAGAACCGAGTCTCCATCGTTGAGAAGAAGCGACCTGGATATTGTACCAAGATTCCATCCGCTGTCGTCACACCGACTACCATCTACTTCGCCACACCCGTGCTCGAGACTTCGAACAGAGTCGTCCGTCAATTTCAGCATTTCGAGGACCGCTTTCTACGAGTCAAGTTCACTGACGAGAGGCACAAGGGCAGGCTGTTTCCGCAAGATGACCGCAACGAAGACGAGTTGTTCACACGCGTACTCCGAACCATGAACAAGGGCATCCTGATTGGAGACCGCCACTACGAGTTTCTTGCTTTCGGTAGCTCCCAATTCCGTGAGCATGGAGCTTACTTCTTCGCATCAACAAGCTCTCTCACGGCCGAGATGATCCGCCTGTGGATGGGCAACTTCACCAACATCAAAGTCGTGGCCAAGTACTGCGCTCGACTTGGGCAGTGCTTCTCGACGACCAGAGCGATTCCACACTCAGTCACCATCGAGAAGATTGACGACATTGAGCGCAACGGTTTCTGCTTCACAGATGGTGCAGGCAAGGTCTCGCCTTTCTTGGCACGGATAATAGCCCACCAGTTCGGGCTGAAGAACTCAGAGCATGATCATCCGTCCGCGTTCCAGTTTCGTATGGGAGGATGCAAGGGCATTCTCGAAGAAGATCCTTCGCTGAAAGGAAAGACGATTCAGATTCGACCAAGTCAAGAGAAGTTTCCTGCCGAATTCCAAGGTCTGGAGATTTGTCGCATCTCACAGTACTCCACGGCCTACCTCAATCAGCAAATTATCCTCGTCCTCTCCGCTCTTGGTGTTCCTGACGACGTGTTCGTCAAGAAGCTGAGGGGCATGCTATCTGAGTTCGAAGAGGCCATGGTGAACGAGCAAAAGACCCTGGACCTTCTTCAGAAGAACATTGATTACAATCAGATGACTATCGCTTTGGCGGGAATGATTTGCGATGGTTTCATGGAGGCGCAGGAGCCGTTCATGATGTCTTGCCTTCGGCTTTGGAAGTCTTGGACCCTCAAATACTTGAAGGAAAAGGCTCGCATTTGCGTTGAGCAAGGCGCTTTTGTGCTTGCGGGACCTGATGAGACCGGGACTTTGAAGGGCGACTTCAAGGCCAAGATCGCGCTTGACGAGACTGGTACCCCCCAAGATGGCTCTACGGCAGAAGATGGCGACGAGCTATCCGGTGATGACGAGCTTCCTGAGATCTTCCTGCAAATTCCCGACCCCGAGCAGCCTGGCAAACACAAAGTCATTGAAGACGTCTGCATCATCGCTCGCAACCCATCGCTGCACCCAGGTGATATACGTAAGGTCCGAGCAGTCGATGCGCCAGCTTTACGCCACATGAAGGATGTTCTCATCATGCCAATTACCGGGAACAGAGATTTGGCAAACATGTGCTCTGGTGGCGATCTTGACGGCGACGACTTCATGGTCATCTGGGATAAGGAACTGTTCCCGAAGGAGGACAGCCATCCACCAATGGACTACACCGCTCCTGAACCAACTCTCAGCGATGGTCCTGTGACCACAACAGACATCGCCAAGTTCTTCGTACAGCATATTAGGTCTGACAACCTTGCACGGATCGCAACTGCTCACCGCTACTGGGCAGATCAGCTTGACGATGGCATCAAGGACCCGAAGTGTCTGGAACTTGCCAACCTACATTCAAGAGCCGTGGACTACGCGAAGACTGGAGTGCCTGCTGAGATACCGCCCGAGCTAAGAGTTAAGAAGTGGCCTCACTGGGCAGAGAGGAAGAACGTCGGCCGTGCCAAGATTTATCAATCGAAGAATGTACTCGGCAAGCTTTTTGACGAAGTTAAGAGTGAGCCCTTCCGTGCGGCTTGGGATCTTGCACCCGACAAACGCATTTTGAACGCATGCGAGCCGACTGACCAGATGCTTCAAGATGCTCGAGAGGTAAAGGCAGCCTACGACGAGTCCTTGCGCCGTATCATGACACAGTATGGCATTCGAACGGAACACGAGGTATTCACGACATTTGTCCTCGAGCATCACCAGGACATCAACGACTACAAGCTCGCAGAGACGATGGGCGAAGCAGCAGAGGCACTGTGCCAACAGCATCGTGACCTCTGTTACGAGAAGGCCGGTACCGATTCGAAGTCAAAGGACTGGGAGAAGCTCAAGCCCTTCATCGTCGCCATGTATAAGGTGACAGCTGAAGAGATCGCCCACGCGTATGCTCAGACGAAGGAGACTGTCACCATCGGTGGCTGCCAAGTTCCGCGTCGCCCTCTCGACTTCGCCCATATGCCTTTGATGTCGTTCCCTTGGATTTTCAGGCGTGAGCTTGGCCAAATCGCTACGAGAGGTGGTAACAAGACGAAGTTGGAACCAGCTCCTCGTCCCTCGATGCCGAAGAAGGCTGCTGCTGCCAGAAAGCAAATCTTCGACTTGTTGGGCGATGAGTTTGCTCCCGAGCCGCTGCCTGAGGTCAACACTAGCGATGACGCTGTACGACAGGGTGATCTGTTGGATCTGTTTCATGATGAGACCCCCTCCATTCCTCCCGGCTTGCCCATTCTTCAATCATCCACGAATGCCGTCACGCAACCCGCAGGCAATCGTCCAAGCACCATCGATCTAACCTCTACTATCACGCCACTGCCAACGGCACCGAAGCCTAAGCCTAAGCCCAGCCCAGAAGCCTGGCCTGACTCCATCCGCGACGAGCACCTTGAGCAAGCCACCGCTGCCAGCGTCGAAGCCGAGAACGAAGTCATGCGCAAGGCTCGTCTTTATCAAAAGGCGGGTCTGCCGTCTGACTCGTTCAGTGGGAGGTCTGCGGCAAGCCAGGTGGGACATCTGTCCATCGCAGAGCGAGGCGAGAATGTGAAGGGTAAGGGTGAGGGAGAGGGTGGAGAGGAGGATCAGGATGAGAATGAGTGGGAGGGTGAAGAGGTCAAGATTGAGTTCGATGAGGAGCCTTCGAGGTTGGATCAACTTGCTTCGTTGGTTGGAACTGGGTCTTAGTGAGGCTGCCTTGGAAGCACTTGGGTCATGGATCAGAGTTGGTACTGTTGCTCTTCTTGAGATATAATCTCATCGCTTTGCAATGCAGCTACTATCGGCGTACACCCCTTCTCACGTACAGAGTAAGAACACAAAATGATAATTGGTCAACCATAGTGAGCGATTTCATGTGAACTTCGAATCTCATCGTCACAGGCTAAGCACATGCCTTGCAAGGGTCGATCTGGGGTCGAGACCGTGCGCTACTAACCGAAACCTTATTTCTCTTGCGCTAGTCCACATGTGGCGACATCAACAACGACATCTTGTCTTCGTGAAGCTGGCAACTGCTTGCTTTCACCAAACACACGCATCACCACAACACATCAGATGCTCGCACAAACATCTGAGTATCACTCGCTTGTCTCGCCCTTTGCGGACACATCTCGTCACTTCCCCCGCCCAGACATCTAAAACACCTCCACCTGACAGGCATCCACAGTCATCCAACCGCTACAACATGTCAAAGCCAAACATCTTGGCCCAGCTGCCGGAGGAGCTGCTGCAAGATATCTTGGAGCGGCTTTATAAGTCGGACTTGACGGCTTTGAACGTCGCTTCGAGATGGTGTTATCAAGTTGCGACGCCGTTGATTTGGAGGGAGGTGGAGTTGGTGGATTGTCGGACGGTGCATGAGGAGGGGACGGATGAGCATGACGATGGGGGAATTTTGAGGAAGTTGTTGTTGCTTGCTAGGTGAGTCGTGGAATTATTCGTTGCTGTTTTGGAAGCATTGCACGATCACGCTGCTTTGCACTTCTTTCCTTATTCGTGACACTGACCTGCTATAGCAAGCCGAACCTCGCGACATCCGTTCATACCCTCACACATCGATGTCATCTTCCTCCACCGGCGATCTTCTCTGAGCTGCCGTACAATACCTTCAGCGCGCAGACTTTATCGACAGACCCGAGAACCATCAGACTTGTCCAACATGCCGTGGCTCAAATGACGCACGTGCACACGCTGCGCATCATCCTGGGTCATCCGTCTTTGACTGATGCGCTTTTGCGGTGCTTCTTCGACTCCAATCGCTCCTCGCCAGGAAGTGGCTGTAATCCAGTTCGCAAGCTCTGGTTGGAGAACTGTCGAATCAGTGCAGGTCTAAATCCATCGCTGGAGTCACATCTATATTGGCTTCCGTTGAAGCTCGACTTCAGTGGTCTGGAGTCTGTGCGCTTTCGACGGCTGCCTATGCGACCGGCCAGCCCTTTGGACTGGTCGAGAGCTGGCATCGTCTACGCGCGAGGCGGCCGGGGACGAGAATTACAAGACGGCACGGGAGGGCAGTATGTCACAACACTCAACGACTTCAGCGAAGAGTCCAGAGCCGGCAATGATCACCTCATGTGGTTGGAGAATCGAAGAGTCTACCGCCCTCCGAACGGCGAGCCGGTGTCTGATCTTGGCCCCTCTCCTTTGGAAGCACTCTACGAACATGCAAGCCGTTGGGACGACATTATCTACTCAAACCTACCCGTCACGGCAGACCTGTCTCTTCCAAACGATGTGGAGGAGCTCGTTTCTTTGTCATCATACGATCGAGCCGTCATGGCTTATCGCGGACAATCGCTAGACTGTGGTGCTCCCAACAACCCCGGAGAGCGCGCCTACCCATTTCCTCTGCACAGAGACAGGTTGTTGACGCGGAATAGGGCTTACAAGACAATGCAACGAGAAACAATTCCTTCTTCGACTGCTGCCGTGATGATGCTTTCCAGTGCAAGCGCCACGCTCACGTCACTGACGCTGGACTGGGTACTCAACATCCCGCCCATGATAGGCCCGTCTATCGACCCGAAGTCGTACATGTCTTGGACATCGATGTACCTCGACCTCTTCAGCTGTCGCTTCCCACATCTTCGAGCGTTTCAGTTCAGGAACTGCGTGGTCCCAGATACACTATTGCTGCCTGGATTCTATCTCCTAGACCGCTCTTTCCGAGCCGCAAACGATATTGCCGGAGTTCCAATCTCAATGCTGCACAACAAGAAGGACGGTCAAGCCTCGTCTCCGGATCTCGCGGGCCTGGCGTTTATGGAGGCTCATCCGAAGTTGCAATGTTTGGCTTGGCCCATGAATCATTTCTTTGCACCCGGCGAGATATCTCCAGATATCGCTCCAAGGATTCAGGCTGTGGTTGAGACCCTTGGTCGGACTCTCACGGATTTGAGGATCGACAGTCTTTACTCTGGGTCGGGAGAGCCACAGAGTGAGGCTTTCATCTGCCCAGACCACGGTATGTTTCATAAGAGAGTTTGATGATATGTGCAAGTGCTAATGTATTACAGGTGCCAGAGCGAGCCGAAGAAAGTTTGTCACGGGCTTTGCGATCAAGATGAAGAAGCTTGAAAGCATCAAAATCGAAGGCGGCATGCCGCGTGACGAGCGTCGTGAAGTTATTCGAGCATTACATGGCAGCCCGATAAAGAAGATCGTCATGATTGGTGTTTGTAGTCCGCTGGGCAACACTTGGGGTCACGAAGGTACAGACGTGGGACAGTCGCTCGTGATGGACAGCGAGCTCGACGGCCTAGAAGCAGAAGAGAAGCCTACCGTCTTCGAGATCGGACCTACCAAACCACAGCCGCCACCGCCCAATTTCAAGTACAACTTCGAATACGGATGGGAAGGCAGTGCGCCGATGCTGCACACCATAGCATCCTTCCACGCCGACACCATCCGCGAGCTCAAGTTCTGCGGCTACAAGGGCGCACCAGTGCTCCTGTCCCCAACACCCATCACGACTCCGCTGCTGGCAGCTCTCAAACACTTCCACAACCTCGAATCAGTCATCATGAGCATGTACCTCACCACACTCTTCGAAGGCGCCCCACGAGACAGCGACATCATCTCCTACTGGCTGAACAGCCGCACGCCCACCTCCACTGCCCTCGTACACATCACCGACGAAGAACCCGAAGGCTGGGAGAAGGAACTCCGCACGAAGTTCGCGCCAGATGCACTTGCTTGGCAGATCACTAATTTCGTCGCGCCGTTCTTGAGTGAGACGGCGAAGAAGAGGGTTGGAGGGGTCCACGTCAGAGCGAGTTTCTGCATCGGGGAAAATGGGGGTCTGTTCGATGTGGATCTTTGGGTTGGGAAGGGAGTGCTGGGGAGTGATGTTTGTCTGGGGTTTAAGGGCCCTCGAGAGGAGATGGAGGATGAGAGACGGAGGGGTAAGTTGGAGAAGAGGCGGTGGTTCTAACAATAGGGATGAGGAAGAAGGCGATCACCCATCATACTGATTGACGGGAGATGACTGAATGAATGAATGTAACATTGGAGCACCTTGGACCACCAAACAAGAGAAGCAACTTGGAGAAAAATCCCTCACATTTCCCCAATCCACCTCACAATCTCCCCCGCCGTCGCCTCAGCACACCCCCGCAACAACTCCACATGATTCCCCTCCACCACCACCTCCACAACCTCCCCGTGCCTGGGCCACCTAGCCTCCCACTCCACCCCCTCCACTGGCTCCCCCACCCTCAAAAACAACATCGGCGCCTCCAACCCCTCCACCACATACCCCTGCGAAATCCTCATATAATGCCCCACAATCGCCAGATCCTCATCACTGTACAGCCCTCCCGCTTCGAGGATCCGCTCCGCGGGGAGTACGGCTAGCCAATTCGGCACGTTCTCCGTCAGAGGGTATGTATCCAGCAGGATCAGTGGTGCACGCAGGAGTTTGGCGAGGGAGTGTGTGATTAGGCCGCCGGCTGAGTAGCCTAGGAGGATTGTGGGGTGGGTTTTGTGGGGTGGGGGGAGGGTTGTGCGGAGGGTTTGCGCGAGGTGGGCTGTGAGGGTTGGGAGGGTGGAGGAGAGGGGTGGGGTTTTTGGGTAGATGATGTCGTAGATTTCGACGTTTTCGGGTAGGAAGGCGGTTAGGTGGGTGAAGATGCTGGTGGGGTTTGTTGGGGGGAGGAAGTCGGGGAGGCAGATTAGGGTTGCGAGGGGGTTGGCGCTGGTTCGTAGTCGGCGGAGGATTGGCGGATGGTGTTGAGCTGAAGATGGTGGGGATGTTGGGAGGGTGAGGGATGCTATGGTCAGGAGGCCCAGGGCTTCGGTGTAGTGGCGCGAGAGGCATAGCTTTCGAAATACGGGCGTCAGGCTCAGCTTGTCATCCGAATGAAGTCCCTGGTCGACTCCTTTCTCGTCACCGTCGTGGATATCGTCGATTGCCTTTGCTTCGCTCCCTGGGATTCGTCTCTCATCCAGCTTCTCAAGAACGATCTTTGCCAGCTCCCTGACGTTGTCGACTTCGGACATCACGGAGCTGGGTAATGCGACCCCCGTGAGCTTTGTGAGTTTGTTGCGGATCAAGACGCCCGTGAGAGAGTCCAGACCGATCTCGCTGAATGGGAGATCAGGAAGTTTGTCATAGCCCAGAGCATTCGCGACCTCAATGCGGATGAGCTCTTCAAGGCTAGTGAGCCTTTCCGCGATGCTCTGGCCTTGATGAAGCTGGGTCGTACGTGCAATCTTCCTCTGAGACGATGGGGCACTCGAAGTCCGCCTTGATATCTCCGGCACTTTGTCCCTCACCAAAAGCGGCACAACAACTTCCTTCTCCGACCTCAAAGCAGCATCCAGCAACTCCATCCCCTGCTCATCACTCATCGGCAAGAGAGATCCAAAGTCAGCGATCCCTCCCACCATCCCAGCAGCATTCTTCCAAGGTCCCCAAGCCAACGAGACAGCATGCAGTCCACGATGAGCACGATGTTTCGCCAATGCGTCGAGATACGTGTTTGCTGCGGTGTAGTTTGCTTGTCCGGGATTTCCCAGGACTCCGGCTGCTGAGGAGAAGAGCACGAAGGAAGAAGCGTTGGGGAGGAGAGTGTGGAGGTTCCATGCGCCGTTGATTTTGGGGCGAAGGACTTCGGTGATTCTTGACGGGGTTAAGGAGGCGAGAAGGGAGTCGTCGAGGATGCCGGCGCAGTGGAAGACGGCTGTGACTGGAGGATGGATGCTGTCGAGGAGGGGTTTGAGCTGGTCGTAGTCGGCGACGTCGCAGGGTTTGGTGGTGATTGTCACGCCAGGTGTTGTTACTAGGTCCGTCAGGTCATTTGGTGCAAAGCCGGTTCTGCTCGTCAACAGTACATTTTTGACGCCGTACTTCAGCACCAAATGTCTGCAAAGCACGCTTCCTAAAGCACCCGTGCCGCCAGTGATTAGCACCGTACCATCGAAAGTCAGGGGTCGTTCTCGCTGAGTCTCGACATCTCTCACAAGCCTTGGGGTCGTAATACTCCCCTCTCGAATAGAAAGTACGGCCTCATCAGACTCAATGGCAGATTTAACAGCGGCTTCCGAAGCCTCTGTTCCATCTACATCGATCAGAACGATGCCATCGCCCGATTCGGATTGCGCAGAGCGAACGAATCCCCAGACTGCTGCTGAGGCCAAGTTTGGATCGACTGTCGTGGCTCGTTCAGTTATGATGACTAGTCTTTGATCGCCGTGGCTATCAGAACTGCTGTTCCAGTCCAGGATGACAGCAAGTACCTCATTCACAGCCTCGTGAACATCATCCTCCCCAGGGGCTCGAGCGTGGACACGTAAGATCCGGTCGTTGTGCCCCCTATTCTTCCCACTCAGATGCGGCTTTGGGATCGGTTTCCACTGCAAAGCGAACAGTCCTCCAGATCTCCTGACCATTGCTCGGAGGGATACCATCTCGATCTCAGCTACCAGATGACCGCGCAGATCGTAAACCCGCACGGCAAGCTGATCGGTTTTCAGAACCCGCACACGAGCACGCAGCTCTCGTTCCTTCGATGGGAATAGACGCACGCCCGTCAGACGAAAGGGCAATGAGACCGCGACATTCCATGGGGTCGCGAGTAAAGGTGAGTGTAGAGCTGCGTCCAGGAGCACAGGATGGATGAGATGATGTTGAGGGTCGCAGTCCTGTGGTAGTACCAGCTTGGCAACGAAGCCCTCTTGAGTTTGCCAGAGACGCTGAACGCAGCGGAAAGCTGGACCGTACGATATCCCAGAGGAGTTGAGTCGGCCGTAGGCTTCTGTGATGTCGATTTCGCCCTTCGTGGGCCAGCTAGGACCGGACACTCCATCGTTTCGTTGCGAAGCAGTTTGTTGCAGGACTCCAGATGCGTGCAAGATCCAGGCCTCCGAGATGCTCGCATTCGCCGGTGTGGAGAAGATGGTGAAGTCACGGCTGTCGCTTGTCCCTGCTTCCTCTACGATCATTTGCAAACGCATTTCGGCGCCTGCAGATAGATCCAGAGGCTTCGATAGCGTGAGCTGCCCTAAGACGTCCAGTTCCAACTCAGTCCCTGCTTTCAAAACCATCTCCGCAAAAGCCGTAGCAGGCAAGATGGTCTTTCCAGACATGACATGATCGCCAAGCCAGGGGTACCTTTTGAAGGACACATGTCCGCTAAAGACAATCTGTCCCGACCCTGGAACAGCAGCGCCTGGATCCAGAAACGCACTTCCCTCAACTTCGTCTCTTGCACTCATCATTGGCGGATCCAACCAATACCTCCTCCTCTGAAACGCATAAGTAGGAAGCTCCACCTTCCTCGCACCGCTACCTTCCAAGACCTTCGACCACGCTACATCACAGCCTTGAATCGTGACGAACGTCAGTGCCTCGATTAGCGATCTCGCTTTTGCTCCGGTAGGTACGGCTTCTGGTACATGGCCTGTTAAGGCGGTAGACGGACCGATCTCGAGGAAGAGGGAGCCGCCGATGTCTTGGGCGGTGTGGATGGCGTCTGCGAAGCGGACTGGGGAGATGAGTTGGCGGGTCCAGTATTTTGGGGTGTTGAGACCGAGGCCTTCGGCTAGGGTTCCTGTGACTGTGGAGATGATTGGGACCTGCGGTTTTTGGTAGGAAATTGTCTTCAGGAAGTCGAGGTAATCTGGGAGGATGCTTTCCATCGCTGGCGAGTGGCACGCATGGCTGATTCGCAGCCTTTTCGTGCGACGACCCTGAGCACGAAAGCCGTCCTCGACGAGCGACACGGCAGTATGTGTGCCTGAGATCACGACGGAGTTCTCAGAGTTGACAGCAGCAATGACCGGGACATCGTCTTGTGTGGACTCAAGGTTAGCAAGAATTCGCTGTACCTCCGCCTCCGAAGCCTCAATACTAGCCATCGCACCCGGCTCGACGATGCTCATGAGCCTCCCGCGAGTAACGACCATCTTCGCCGCATCTTGAAGTGTCAGGGCCCCACTAATATGAGCCGCTGCGATCTCTCCTATGGAGTGGCCAATGAGGTAGGTAGGCACAATACCAAAATGCTCCAAGCTGCGGTACAACGCCACCTGGAAAGCGAATATCGCCACTTGCGCGATGTCTGCGCGGTCGATGACCTCTGGGCAGGCTTCCAAGGTCTGGAGCAAAGGCTCTTGCAGATGACCATTGAGTGCATCGCAGACCGCATCTAGCTTCTCCTTGAAGATTGGGAAAGCGGTGGACAGCTCCTGGAACACCTCGACGAATTGACCTCCCTGGCCAGAGAACATGACGACCAATCGAGGAGCGGTTGCCTGGCCCATCACAATCCTTGGATGAGAAACGCCTTGTGCCAGGGCTTCGAGAGCTTCCATGTCCCCTGGAGGGACTGCAGCTCTCCACCGAAGGAGTGATCTTGTTGTTGCAAGTGAGTATGCAACATCAGATGGATCGAGATGACGAAGACCTAGTGCCATGCGGGCTTGTGCTTGCAAGGCTGCGAGATCTGCGCCAGAGAAGAACCATGGGCATAGCTTGACGACTTGGGTCTTGGTGGAATGCTCAGCGTCAGTCACATCATTCTCATCCAGTGCAACCTGCTCAAGAATGACATGTGCATTCGTGCCACCGATTCCAAACGCGGAAACTGCAGCACGTCTCAGTCTCCTACTCTGTGGCCAATCCTGAGCCTTCATCACAAGCTCAATATTAGCATTCTCCCAATCAACATGCCGTGACGGCTTCGTGATATGCAGGCTGGGTGGAACAACCCCCTTCTGCATTGCCATGACCATCTTGATGATGCCCGCAACACCCGCAGCCGCTTGTGTATGTCCCAGATTCGACTTCAACGATCCAAGAAGGGCTGGCTCAGGTCGACTTTGGCCATAGGTAGCCATGAGGGCACGAACCTCGATGGGGTCTCCAAGAGGGGTGGCAGTGCCGTGGCCTTCAATCACATCGATGTCTGCTGGTGATAGCCCAGAGTTGCGAAGTGCTGCTCGAATCACCCGTTCTTGCTGAGGTCCGCTAGGTGAAGTCAACGTGCTACTTCTACCGTCTGAGTTGGTTGCTATGCCGCGGATCAGGCCGAGAATTTGATGTCCCTTACGTTGGGCATCTGACAAACGCTCGAGAAGGAGCAACCCAACACCCTCAGACCATGCCGTGCCGTTGGCATCATCAGAGTATGATCTGCAGTGTCCGTCTGGTGAAAGTCCTCGCTGCTTGCTGAACATCACGAAGGATTGCGGTGTTGACATGACGGTGACTCCGCCTGCTATGGCCAGAGAGCACTCGCCAGTCCTCAGGGACTTGGTAGCTTGGTCAATCGCGACGAGGGAGGACGAGCAAGCTGTGTCGACCGCGAGAGACGGACCGTGCAAGTCGAAGAAGTGTGAGATACGTCCGGCTGCAACACTTGGCGCTGAGCCCAGTCCAAGCTGTCCTTCGTATTCATGCTTGACGTTGGTGAACCGGCCGGCATAGTCGTGGTACATCACACCTATATAGACACCGGTATCACTACCTCGCAGCGAAAGTGGAGGGAGTCGAGCTCGTTCAAGTAAAGTCCATGTCGATTCGAGAAGTAATCGCTGCTGTGGATCCGTCGTCTGTGCCTCTCTTGGCGACATGCCAAACAGTCCAGCATCGAAGTCGGCCATGTTGTCCAAAAAGCCTCCTCTGCGAGTGGTCGTCGCACCATATGCTTCTGGGTCAGAGTTATAGACGGCATCAAGATCCCAACCACGGTCAGTGGGAAAGTCAGACGTGACGTCGAGGCCTTCTTCCACGACTCTCCAGAGATCTTCTGGGGAGGCGATGCCCCCTGGATACCGACAGGCCATGGAGATGATAGCGATGGGTTCATTTGCATTTGATAACTGGGGGTTTGATAGCGGCGTCGATAATTGTGTTGAGAGGGGCGTCGTGCTTGGCGCCGTCGGAGGTTTCCCATATAGCTGACCATATACATGTTCAGCAAGTCTCCTTGGTGTAGGATGATCAAACAGCAACGTGATGGGCAATCCCAATCCCATCATTGACACAAGACGGTCACGAATCACAATTCCGACCAACGAATTCATGCCCATATCCCCGAATTGCGTCGTAGGATCAACAATGGCGTCTGAAGAAAGTGCACGCGCATGCAAGAATTCCGCAAGGATGATCTCCTCGATTGCAGCCACGGTATACGTCTCGACGACGAGTCTTCGGTGAGGGCACGATGCTGCGGCACGACGCCTGGGTTTCCCGCTTCTGGTGCGCGGGATGGCATCGATTTTGAAGAAATCGACTGGAACCTTGTGACTGGGCAGAGCTTTTCGGCAGGCTGTTATCAAAACTGCCATCGAGATTGGTGTAGTGTGATCGGGCACGACATACGTAATGGGAACCTCGCCAAAGACATCGTGGGCGCGAGCGACGACGACGGATTCTCTCACGCCTTGAGAATCGTCCAGAACGCGCTCGATCTCCGCCGGATGGATATTCTCACCACCTCTGACGATCGTCTCCTTCAGTCGACCTGTGATGAACAGATTACCCTGATCATCACAAAGACCCATATCGCCACTGCGGTACCATCCATCAATGAGCGGCGGCGTCGGGTCGTTGTGGTATTCGATCAAAAGCGAAGAGCTTCGAATCCAGATCTCGCCCTCGTCTCCGCCGGCAACGTCCTCGCCCGTTGATGGCTCGACGATGCGAAGCTCACGACCGGGCACGAGTTTTCCGCACGAGCCGTCGATGTAGAGTGCTCCGACCTGACAGACGGTGACGATGCCGCAAGTCTCTGTGCATCCATAATGGTTCAGTATTGACAGACCGAGTTGCTCTTGGACATGGCGATTGAGAGCAGGTGATGCCGCTGCTCCACCGCTGATGCACAGGCGTATTGACGAGAGTCTTGAGGTTGGAATGTCGAGACTGACAAGCTCGCTGTAGGTGGTCGGTACACCGATGATAATGCTGTATGCGTGGTCCGCAAACGCCTCATGCAATGACGTCTGTCCCGTCATGTGTAGACTTGCACCCGTGCATAGAACAACGCAGATACCAGAAGAGAACCCAAACGCATGCGTGACGGACAGCGGACACAGTATTTTGTCATCTGGAAATATATTGGGGCCGGCCAGTAAGCTGTATAACGTGGATTGGATCCATGACTGCTGTGACGAGACGACGCCTTTGGGCTTGCTTCCTGTACTACCAGAGGTGTAGAAGAGGAAAGCCTTGTCTGCGGGTGCCAAATCTTCAGGTGGGTGCAAGTCTTTCGTAGCGCGTAGTTCGTGGAAGGAGAATGTGTTGAGTGCCGTAGGAGTCTTGTCGATCGTCCAGACCCTCGTTTTCCGATTGCCGTCTATGCCACGAACTTGATCGGCACCGGTAGAGTTGGTGATGACCCAATGAGGTTCGACGCATACGTCGTCCAAGATTGTCGTCAACTCTGCTTGCGAACATCGTGGATCCAAGGGGACAACAATTGCTCCAGCTCGAATAGTGGCCAGTATGCTCTCGACGGCCTCAACACAGCGGTCTAGCAGCACGATAACTTTATGTCCTCGACCAACTCCTGCATTGTTCAGGCCACAGGCAATACTGGCAGTGCTTTCCAGCAACTCGTGGTGAGTGACTGCCCTGCCAGGCGACGAGAATGCGACCTTTCCGCCATGATTTTCAGCGTTTCGGTGTAACAGCTCAGGTATTGTTGGTGTTGCCTTCGAAATCATCGCTCTTCAGCTCTCGTGAACAATGGATCCGGACAATAGATGTCGAGCTTTGTACCATCATCAAAAGAAGACTGCGATTATGTTGTACAGTAGCTACGCGCAACAACTGCCACGTGCTGCGCTGCTAAATCAGCCTCACCAAGCTCTCCACGAAGGCCACAAGATTGAGCTGTAAGACGTACATAACGGTGTATCCCATTTCTGGACCTGTTCGTTCTCGCCAAGCTCTACTGTGCATTTTCAGCCTGTCCTTGGAAAATGATTCGCACCACGATCGATGCGCTTGCCTCGGCTCGGCCGTCGCTTATGCATCTTCTGAAGTTTTCACCGAATCAATGGCTACTTTGCTATACCTTGCCGATGCAAACGCCACAAGCGTCTCGATGTAGCGTACTGGGCGTTTCCGGGAGCCGGGTTTTGGTGGTCGTGGTATCAAGAACAGAGAGCGTACGATCCTCATGCAGCTCGAATTTCTGTTCGCATTGCACACAAGCTGTTTCATTAGTCTGCAATGAGGTTAAAGAGCTTTGTCGGTCCTTAGAAACGGGAGGAAATAGGTTCCATGCACTCCTATTTGAGCCGAAAGGTTGAGGGGACGATTCCAGGCATGACCTGTCTCCTCAGATGTGCGAGTAGCCATGCTGCGGTCCCAGATTTTCAGTCCTGCCAGTCTTAGTTTCTGGATCTCCTCAAAAGTTGCAATATATCCATTTTCACTTGCCCTGATGGACAGAATGACATGTTAAGCTTTCATAGTTCAAACTCAATTGTGGAGGTGAATGTGCAGTGGCACATGTCGCCATCCCACAGGCTGAATAAAGTCGCATTTACTAGTAGGCACGCTGATTTTGTGACACTCTCCGATCCTGCAGGAACACTCGAAGTTGACAACCTTGCAATATCTCTTGATGCTCACCATACGTCCACTAGCCGTAAAAAAACGTCCCGATCTTGGCGAAGCGAGGAGCGAAGAGACTTGTCAAAATGCTAACCGGGGTAGAAAGGCATCAGATGCTCTCGGCAACATCAAACGATGTAAGGAGCAGGTCAATTTGATGAAATGGACATAGAGAATACGATGTTGTCGATGAGAGAGGAGTGACGGCAGTACCTGATTGCTCATCCGGCCGGTGGATGGCGCCACCGAAAGGCAGATGAATCATATATCGCCCCATTCCAGCGCTCAGAATTTTCCAGCCTTCTCGCCCATAAGGCCAGCAGGGCCTTCATCTCTCCAACATGGTCGGAACACGCTTGATGCTTCTGGAGTGGTCGCCGCCGTCGTCGACCAGCAAGGGCAGTGCCAAGCCGCCGTGATAAAGTTGGCCACCTCGCTTCTTCCATTGCCTGAACGACTTCGCCCATCCAACCACCAACAACACCAATCCGCGTCCCTCCAATTGGGCCTTACGAGAGAACAATCACCAGATCCAGCCCAACGCTCCTCAAGCGCTGCAAAAAGCTGCACGAAAAGATCCACCCACCCCTACCGCGCGACCTAATCAATTCTCCCACCGAATCCCATCAAATCCCTCCCGGGCCGTCGGCTACCAACCTCACCTCCCCGCGTCGTCGGCTGGTCTGACACCTTGTACGCACCCTCCCGCGTTCCAATAAGGCGATCGCCCCAAACACGGTCGACGTACCTCAGCAAGGGTGGTCAACGAGTGGAGGATAAGCTCGCTGTCTTCTATCAATCGGCACACTGCGTGGTCATTGGCACTGCACATCGGACTCGGCCGTGCAGCTGCCATTGAAACCATCACATGCTTCCAGGCATGCAAGTCCCACCGCAAAGCGCGCTTCGAGCGCTAGCAACGTTCCAAAGAGGCACTACGCGGCTGGGGCACGATGCAGGTAGGACGTGCGTGGCCTGGTCAGCTCTTTCCGGGCGTGTATCTACCACGGCTCCTCGCCACGCCAGACTGCTATCAACAACCCGACCTGCCACTCCTGTCATTAACTCTTTGACAAGATCTCTTCGAACAGGTCAAGCCATGGCTCCATCAGTACAACCATCTCGAACGGCGACCACTGTATCAACTCCCAATGATGTATACGAAGCGGTCGTAGTTGGAGCAGGACCCGCAGGCATTACTGCCGTAGGCAATCTTTTGGATGCCCGAATAGATCGCATTCTCTGGGTTGATGGCGCCTTCGATGGCGGCAGAGTGAACAAGTACTATCGAGAAGTCCCTTCAAACACCAAAGTCAAGCTTTTTGTTGACTTTGCCACGGCCGTCTCTCCTTTCAGGAAGATTGTTAGCAATGTACCTTCGCGGGACCGATGGGCGGAGCCAAGTGCGAGTGATGGTGTACCAGTTGATGGCAAGGAGGACAAACTTCAGGACATGCGACTGCTGGACCAGGAGACGGGTTGCTTCCTTGCACACCCCGCCGACATGTGTGTGATGCTCACCCAGGGACTGAAGAAAACTCCCGGTGTTATCACGCAGAGAGGGAGAGTCAGCGAAGCTGTCTTGGATGAGCAATCATCACTCTGGACTATCAATGTCGCGACAGAGTCCAACACCCCACAGGACATCACGACCGCCAAGACTAAGCGAATACTTCTTTGCACAGGCTCTTCACCCACTGATCCACCTCTCCCTTACGAGCCAGACAACCTCAAACACCTGCACCTCGATACCGCGCTCTCTCCCACCAAGCTCGAATCACTTCTCAGTCCATTAGGCCCAACAACCATCGCCGTCATCGGCGCTTCCCACTCCGCCGTCCTTGTCCTGCGTAATCTCTCCGACCTGGCGCTTTCAAGCAAGTCAAACCTCCACGTCAAATGGTTCACGCGCCATCCACTGCGGTACGCCGAATACGAAGATGGTTTCATCGCCCGCGATAATACGGGTCTCAAGGGCGAAGCTGCCGTCTGGGCGAAAGAGAACCTGGAGCCGGAAAGTCTGTCTTCCAGCCCCGTCAGCAAGGTCCTGACAAAGATTTCCTATGAGAAAGGCCACGAAAAGGAGATCTACGAATCTCACCTGCCTGGTGTGGACTTTGTCGTCCAAGCGATAGGGTATAACCGCGACCCCTTGCCAACACTCATAGTCTCCACGACCAACGGCACAACCAAAGAAATTACCCCGTATTTCGATCATGACAAGGGTATCTTCAACTACGTCCGCGAGAGCGACTGTGGGACGATTGGGGATTTGGCGAGATTACCCGGCGTCTATGGAGCGGGCATTGCGTTTCCTGAGCGAGTGGTGGATCGAAAGTACGGACATGAGGAGTTCAATGTTGGGTTCTTCAAGTTCATGAAGGCGGCGAAGAAGTGGGTGGAGGAGTGGAAGAAAGTGCCGTCAGTGGGCCAGTCATAGGACGGAAGAAATGTCGATGGGATAAATACCGGCGGGATACAGGAGCTCAGGGATACAGGTAATATGTCGAATGAAGAATCTCTCAAGATGTCGTACTAGCGTATCATGTTGTCGCTGATGCCAATCCGGGACTAGCGCAGATGTAAGGTTTCGATTTTAGCCGAAAGAACTCTTGCCAATGTTCTCAAACAACAGGGGCAGCGCATGAGCCCTAAGACATCACACGACTTCATCTGTGCGAGACTTCTTGGGCTTTGCGAGCATCTACTTGTTCTGAAGCACGATCCATTATCTTGGCTCTGTCGACGATGCTGTGGACCCAGACCGTTGAGATACGCTGACCCAGGACCTTCGCAAACCGCTGAGTCTTCCCAATTGCATTTTGATATTCAAGATGCAAGGGTAAAGCCATTGTGAAGATATACTGAACGTAAGTCTCCAATACACTCTGGCCGCCAGCTCTCCTCAACACCTACCTCGACGGCCGGCTGTTACCTCGGAGATCGAGACGGTCATTCTGCTCACAACTCCAAGAGCCTAGCTTGTGAGCATGGCATACGGATCAAGGACGAGTGTAACTTGTATCAACATATACCAAGTACATGTACTCAGTGACCTGTGCGATTCTGATAGCTATCCGGTCTCATGACGCCCGAAACTGGAGTGTGGTGCCCGTTCGGCCAAGCGAGCTGCCTCGAGATCTCTTATCTTCGCCTATCCTGCTCGCCGCCCGTATCGCATTCGCATCTCGAACCAAGACAGGTCGAAGACATGGCTCGAGTGTGTTTCGAATGACAAGACGGAATGCGTTAGGTAAAGTCTTGGAGATGCCGCACTCCGCGAGAGGTCTTTGGAGGTTCTTTCCACACGGCCATAGGCCCGCCGCTCATCCACCTGAAGCTTTCTCTCGAACACAACAACTCTCTTTCCCCTCTTCTGCGAATCACGCCCCAGCGATCGCCCATCAATGTGAGCCAGGCTCCGGCGAAGGATTCGACGTATATCTTCACAGCTCTCTGCCTCTCTTATCTCCTTGATCCTCCTACATCAAAGCAGCTCCTCATACCCGATTAACCACACACCACAAACGAAATGTTGATCCAACCCGTTCCAGTGCCAAATGGTACCGAAAAGTTCGAAGAAGAAAGACAGCGACTAATCAAAGAACTTCATGATTCCATCCCATCGGAGTACCATCTCCCGGAAAGCCTGGCCGAAAATATCCCAGCGGACGTCACGGGTATTCCGCGAACTTGTGGGATCCTCACTGAAGAAGAGCTCAAGATCACAGAATACTACGATGCTACCTCACTCGCTCCGGCCATCGCGGAGAAGAAGTTCACGGCGGTTCTTGTAGCCAAAGCCTTCGCCAAACGAGCGGCCATCGCCCACCAACTGACATGCTGCCTCACGCAATTCTTCATGGACGAAGCTATCGAGCGTGCCAAGTATCTCGATGACTACCTCGAGAAGAACGGGAAGACCATCGGCCCTCTGCATGGCGTGCCTGTTAGCGTGAAGGAGCATATGATGCTGGCAGGACACTATTCCAGCCATGGCTATCTTTCTACGAGGGCCTACAATGATAGGGACTCCTTGATGATTAAGATCCTGCGAGATGCTGGTGCTGTCTTCTATGTTAAGACGAATCAGCCCCAGGGGATTATGCATTTGGAGAGTGATGGGTTTATGGGGAGAGTGAATAATCCTCATAATATTCATCTTTCGGCTGGTGGATCGACCGGTATGAACAAGAGCCTCATCTTAGCCCTATAGACATGGCTGACCATGCCTGCAGGTGGCGAAGCCGCCTTGATAGCAATGAAAGGCTCCGTCCTCGGCCTAGGAACAGATATCGTACGCCGTCCCGTCCCGTCCCCTCCCTTACCACCCTTCTAACCACCCCTACAGGGCGGCAGCATCCGCGGCCCCTCCGCCTTCTGCGGCATCCACGGCTTCAAACCGACCTCCTACACCCTCACAATGCAAGACTTCCTTCCTGCCGGCTTCCCAGCCGAACTCAACATCCTCTGCTCCACAGGCCCCATGACCCGCACCCTCCGCGACATGGACCTCTACATGCACATCATGAAATCGTCGAACCAACACCTCACCGACCCACGCGTAATCCCCCTCCCCTGGTCCGGCCTCGCCACTCCCCTGCCAAATAAACCCATCAAACTCGGCATCATGCTCCACGACGGCGACATCACCCCTCAACCCCCCATTCTCCGCGCAATGAAGTGGGCTGAAGAAAGACTCTCTAAGTCATCCAACTTCATCCTAAAACCCTTCGTCCCCTACAAAACCGCCGAAGCCATGACCCTCCTCGGCGAAATGTACTGGCCGGACAGCGGCCTCAACACAACCTCCGCCCTCGCCGCCACCGGCGAACCCATGCACCCCCTCACAAAAACCGTCCTCTCCCCCGTCCTCGGCGCCGACCGCGAGAAAACCGCCACCGAAGTCTCCGCGCAACGCGTCGCGCGCGACGCCTTCCGGCAAGCCTTCCTCGCGTCCTGGAACGAGCAGGACGTCGACGCCGTGCTCGCTCCCTGCTTCGTGGGGCCCGCGAGTAAACACGATACGGCGTATTATTGGAACTACACCGCGTTGTGGAATTTTGTGGATTATCCGGCGGCGGTGTTTCCGACGGGGCTTAAGGTTGAGGAAGGGGAGGCGTATGAGGAGGGATATGTGCCGTTGAGTGAGCGGTGTGGGCGTGTGAGGGAGTTGTGGGGGGAGGGAGGGGAGGGGTTTGAGGGGGCGCCGGTGGATTTGCAGGTTGTGGGGAGGAGATACTGTGATAGTGAACTGTTTGGGGTGTTGGGGGAGGTGCAGAAGGTGTTGGGGTTTGCGTAGTGCTTTTTCAGATGGGTCAGGGGGTAGTGGGAAGTCAAGAAAAGGATGAAGTTCTTCATCAGCTCGTTGACGAGACTCAAGCGATGCGTATGAGGCTGTTCAGGTCTTTGACTAAGGCAGTCTGCAGAACTCATGTCGTACGCAAAATCACCCTGGCATATCGACGATAACGGATGGTCCATAACGAAGTACAAGATTGTCTTCAGCTCAAGAACCCCAAGGCCACACTGATGACTGTCCATAGCCCATGCGACCAGACGAAACCCTCCCTGTACAGCCCGCCTTGTCCAGTCCGACCCCTAATCCTCCCTTTGCATCGCTCACTCCAGGACCACTCCACAACTCAAATGATAATGCCGCCCTCGGACCGGTAGACGTCGTCCGATTTCTTGATGATGCCTCCGTCTGTGGAGTGATACACATCGTCAGACTTCTTGATGATTCCGCCGTCGGTGGAGTGGTAAACGTCGTCAGACTTCTTGATGATTCCGCCGTCGGTGGAATGGTAAACGTCGTCGCTCTTCTTGATGATACCGCCCTCAGTTGAGTGATAGACATCGTCACTCTTCTTGATGATGCCGCCGTCCGTGGAGTGGTAGACATCATCGCTTTTCTTGATGATACCTCCATCGGTAGAATGGTCAACATCATCGCCCGCCACAGGCAAGGCCGCAGCGCCTACAAGGCTGACAGCCAAAGCCACAACACCGATTTTTTGAACGAACTGCATGATCCCGATTCTTGACTTGAACAAACTCGAAATGCTAATAAAAAGATACACACCCGCAAGCCCAGGCCAACTTCCAACTATATAACCACACCCTCCGGTCTTGCCTGCTCGCCCGCAAGCTCTCCCCTTAGCGGCAAGCAGCCCTGCATGCAGCGAGACTCGCACCAGACACTTGCTTTAGTGCCAACGAAGTGGCGTTTCCTTTTGATAAAGCCTGTGCCAAGATTCCTGCAGATGGGCGCTTGGATTGTCACCTTCTGCTTTGGTTTTAGAACGAGTTTTGGGGACTGTTTGCCACGCCTCAATCTGTTCTTTTGTTTGCGGGCGATGGCTTGACGGGTTCCAAATGACAGCTTCTTTGATTCACGGCGAAGATGAAGTATGAGCGGTTGTTTCAACGGGAGCCTTGGTTGGAGAATAACGCCATTGAGGAAGACAGGGAAAAGGCTGCGCAAGATGAACATGCGGCTGGCCAACCTTTGCGGAGGCCCATATCACGTCGGTCCTCCGCCATACCCTCATTCTGGACAATCCTGGGCTACGCGATCGCGCTCTGCCTGGCAACATACCTCATATACGACAAACAGCACACGAAGAACGACTGGCCTCACCTCAAAAGTACGTCAACCTCCAACAACATCACCACATCTGCATCACACTCACCACCCTCCAGCACCCTCACCCCCAATCCCAGGCCTCAACCCACCCACCAAACCCCGAACCCTCCCCATAACCGACTGGCCTACGCACCCAGCCTCCCTCTACCGCCAACCGCCCTCCCCCGCCGTCGACGCCGAATGGAAGCGCATCTCCAACGTCCACAACCTCGCCCTCACCTCAGCCCAAGTAACCTCCCTAGGAAAAGACCCCACCCAAACAGTAAAACTCCCCCCATCATGGGGTTTCGGCGCAGACGCTCATCTCGGCCTCATAACCGTCCTGCACCAAACGCACTGTCTAGACAAACTGCGGCACGCCGTCTACTACGACCATTACTTCCGGCGCGGAAAGGGTTGGGGAAGGCTGCCGCCGGACGAGGAGCGGGCGAGGTATTTCACGCATCTGGATCACTGTCTGCATTTCCTCCTGGAGACGGTCACCTGCGTCGCGGACACGAGCGTCACGACGTACCACTGGATGGAGAACCGCACGCTGCCCGTCGCGGACTTCCAGGCAAAGGGGCAGTGTCGGGATTTCGAGGCGCTGGTCTCGTGGCACGCGGAGAACCACGTCGATGCGAAGGTCTCGAAGGAGGAGGAGCGGCTGTGGCGAGATTTCCGGCCGCGGGAGGACGATGTGGTGTTGCCTCGCGTGCCGGCGACGGGGAATGAGTTTTGGGATGTGGCGATTCTTGTTGGGCCGGAGGATGCATGATTTGCTTGTGTAATAGTGTCCTAGTTTCGCTGAATGATCGATTCTGGATCTAGAGCTTGTTGTTGGTGGTTTCGAGGCGCTATGGATCTGATAGCTTGTAGCTGTACATCCACACCTTCCAGCTCGGGCAACAGCACTGCATGGCATACATACCACTTACCCGACGACCGCAACCCGCTCCACTCCACCCCAGCTGAAGGAGCAGGTCCGACAGGCTGCGCGCACGCCCAAAGCGGAAGGTGGCATTCGCTTTCCCTCGGGCGATGTGAGCAAAATCCTGTATAGATCCAAATCCAACTATACGTGTATATATTCGTCGTTGATTCGCCGGAAAGGAGCACGACTACTACGCAACGGCGTCGTGGCGATAAGGTTGTGGGTTGTTGTCTCTTGGCGCCGTGCTTTGCTGCGAGATAAGGCTTTCGGCGTTGAGGCTTGTCGTCTCTTGTGATTGCCAAGTGGCATGCGTCGAGTTCCGAGATGTCCACGGAAGATTTCTGGGTGCTTCGTTCGGCCCTGGAGATATTTGCGCATCAACAAGCACAGGGGTTGAAGAACGCAGCGCCTTGCAGACAAGGGTATATATATTTACATCCGTGGTTCTCAAAAACAGACGACGTACTAAGCCAGACAAAAACGCCCCGCATCTCTTGCTCATCCTTCCCTTCCCTTCCCACGTCCCGATAAGGACCGGCCGGTTGAATACATACAGCAGCAACAAGCGCCGAAACACTTCAAACACCATCCATCCGTCAATCCATCCAGAAACAACACATAAAAGTCCCGTTTCCTCCTTTTTGTCGCCTGACATGGGTCTCTTTCCTAACGATAATACTGACAAAAAGGAAAACGCAACAAAAGGATCGCTCCAGTTCATCACAGCATTCCACCACCAGTGCCGGTGGTGGTCGTCGCGGTCGGCGTGGGCATATCGTCGCGACTGACCCGCGCGCTGCTGCCCTCTCCGCTCCCGGCTTTGCCCTCTCGGGTACCAGGTCTCGTCTGATCATCTTCATCGTCGAGCTCGAGTCCCCGCCTCCAGTCGGCGAGACCGCCAACGCCAACGCCCGTGCCAGCCGGGGCGTGCGTGGCGGACGTGGGAGTGCGTTCGAAGTCGAAGCGGTCCGAGAGGCGATAGTTCTTGTTCGTCGTCTCCCAATGGGTGCGTAGGGCGTCGAGTTCGCTGGCGAGGGAGTCCAGAGCCATGGAGTTGCGGTGGTCTTGCGCTCCTGCGGAGTCTGGTTGACCACCTACGCCGCTGGCCGAGTAGTTGCTGTCGCCTCCGCCAGAGGTATCGCGAGTGTGGCCCTTGGTGTGGCTTGAAGCTACGCTGGCCTCGCTGACGCCGCTGGGTGCGCGCTGGTGTCCACTGCCAGTACCATTCATGATGGGAGTGTTACCAGTCGACATGCGAGACTGTCGGCGGTAGTTGTCCACACTGTGCTCGACTTGATCAAGCAAAAGCTGGACCTTGTTTTCGGCATCTCTCGCTCGCTCTTCTAGGAGAGAGTTCTCCTTTTGCAGGCGGTCAATGTCGTTACGTGATTGCGAGAAGGTGTTCTGCAACGTGGCCAGGTCATTCTGGGCGGACGTGTGCGAGGTCTTCGCCTGCTGTAGTTCGCTCTCGGTAGAAGACAGTTGTTGCTGCATCGTCGCGATCCTCTTCTCCATCTCTGACACCGAGTGTTGCAGACTCGATTGAGTTGATTCAAACTCTTTCTTCATCTTCTCGCGCTCGGCTTCCCACTCAGCTGAAGAAGGCTCAGGGGTATTACGCTTGCTCATTTCAGCGTCGTCCTTGGCCTTGTCCAACTTCTTCTTAAGTTCGCCATTATCGTTCTTCACACGTTGCAGCTCTTGCTTCATCTTCGACAACATCTTCTCCGTGCCGCGCAAGTACTTAACCGCCGCTTGGTGATCGTTGTCGAGAGCAGTCAGCTTCTCTTCGTACTCTCGCTTCATCTTCTCGCCTCGCTCGTTAATCTCCTCGTATTGCATCTTGAGCTCCTCCTGATTCTTGATGTTAGTCTCCAGTTGCTGCTCGAGTTCACGTACTCGTGCAAGATCTGGCGTGCTGAAGCGTTGTTGCATGCTTGGCGAATCAAGAGCTCTCGATCGTCGCTTTTCAGAGGCATTGATACCACGCTCGCCAAGGATATCCTTCAAGGAAGCGTGTTGTACTGAAAGCGCGTTAGTCTCCAGCATGTGCCTCTCAAGCTTCTGCTCCAGCTCAGCCTTCTCACTGCTGAGGTTTTGATTGTCTCGCATGGTAGCCTGCAGTTGCTTCCGAATCGATAGACCTTCACGGCTGGCTTGTTCCTGGTAGGCTTCCAAGCCAGCGATGCGCTCTTCAGCACGACGAAGCTTCTCAGATGCCGCATCTGCTGCGGCTTGGTTCTGTCGGACCAGCGCATTCGCAGATTCCACTTGTCGCTGAAGGATCGCAAGACGCTCATCGTTGCCAGACGGTGCACTGGCATCGCGTTCTGACACTTTGCCAAAGCCTGCCAGAACAACTTCACGGTGTGTGCGTGCTTCTTGAGCATGCTTTTGTGCGAGCTCTTCAGCGTCAAGTAGTCGGCGGTTTGCGGTTTCGAGCTCACTCAAACGGTCGTCATGTTGAGACTTCAGATCGCGAAGGTTCTTCTCGAGTTCACTCTTGGCGCTGCGTTCTTCCTCGAGCTTCTTCTCCAACAAATCAGCCTTCTCGGTGGAAGCAGTGACGGCCTCTCGTAACGACACCAGCACGGTGGTATGACTCTGCCCATCGCCAGACACAGTCTCCAGCTTCCGACTCAGCTCGTCCTTGTCCACTGTAAGCAATTGATGTTGCGCCAAGATTTCGGCGTGGCTGGCAGAAGCCTCTCGCGCCGCCTTCTGTGCCTCGTGCAGTTCGTTGCGCAAGCTCTCGACTTCTGCGCTGTGCTGTTGTCGATACGAATCGAGTTCAGCCACACGCTTCTGCGCTGCAGTTGCAGTGTCCTCGGCAAGCTCCCGTGCGTGCTTCTCAGCCTCGACTTCTTGAATCAAAGTGTCTATGCGCTTGCTCAGCTCGGTCTGAGCTTCTAGAGACGAAGCAAGTCGTCGACTGATGTCGTTGCTGCGGTCGATGCCTCTGCTCTCACCATCTGGCATCGGGCTGCCTTGTCCAGCCAGCTTGGCCTTGGCAAAGACGGCCTCGTTGATGGCACTGTCGCGCTGCTTCTCGATCTCGGCGATTCGTTCCGCAGCATGTTTGCTCTGCTCGTCAATCATCTCCTGCACTTTAGCAAGCTCAGCGCGCATCTTGAGCAGGGCTTCAATCAGAGGCCGGTCGTCATCGTTAAAGCTCTCGTTCGCCCGCTCGTCAAAGACAGGTGATTCTGCCGCTCGAGATGCATATCCAGCTTTCCGTGCCAGTGCCAGCTCTGAAGCATACCAAGCGTTCTGCTTCTTCGCTTGCTCCAGCTCTTTCGCCATCTCGTCATACTGCTGCGTAAGCGCGGGCGATGATCCAAGGCCAGAGTCTTGGGGACGGTCGTCCTCAGACGTCTTCCTCACTTTTGACATGGGCTCGTTCGTGTCGACGGATGCGCGGGGCGTTTCGTCATGTCGTTCCTGCCGTATAGGGCGGGTCTCTTGTGATCGAGAAGACGTTCGCTCGTACGGTTGAGGGGGTTGCGGGGGCTGTGTTTGCTGCGATGGCTGATAGGTTTCGGGCTTCGCGGCAGGCTGCTCTTGTTTCTCGTTATCGAAATAGTCAGGTTCCGGATCGAATGAGGGAGTAGTAGGCATGGGTTGATTTCGCGCTACAGGAGAGTTCCGTGCGCCTTCAGATGCAGCAGCAATGTTATTGCTATCGAATCGCTGCGGTCTGTCATTCTCAGGGCTGAAAGCACGATCTTGCGGCCGAGTTGGTTGCCGTGCGGCTGGTTGTGCGCCATTCGGTCTCTGAACGGGAGCCTGCGGTGGAGGACCGGTTGGCGCAGGTAGCTGTCCTTGCGCGCGAGGTAAGCGCGACCCATCAGGAGACCGTATTCGATTGTCGCCGTTTTGGCTTCGCTCACGCTCCATGAGTTCTTGCCTGGACACTGCTCGGGTTTGACTGTTGTTGCTGCCTGTCCGCTCGCCGCTTGGTCTCCTTGTCCCCTGTATGCGCTCATTTGAGGATTGCTGCGAGGCAGAATCCGGCGGATATCGTATTTTGCCCGTATCCAGCACGTATCCCATGCTGAGCTCAGCAGGATCTCTGGGAGCACTGCTAGGCTCTCCTGCAAGAACCATGATCTGCTTGCCGACAGTGGTCATGCTGTGTCCTGAACGCGGGCTGGGACTTGGACCCATGTTTTGGAAAGTGTACCATCTCCTTGAAGTGATGCGAAACGCTGCCAGATCACCCAGATCGTTGCCTTCTTCAGTGCGACCACCGAAGATGTACATGACATCGCCGACCAGAGCCGCAGCATGACCCTCACGCGGTGACGGAATGTACCCTATGCACTCCAACTGCGTCCAAGAGTTCGATGCTGGCGAATACGACCAGACGTCGTTGAACCAGTGTACACCGTCTGTTCCGCCGAAGAGGTATAGTTTGTCACCCCAAGTTATGACTGTGTGGTTCGTTCGCGCAGGAGGTATCTGTCCGTGAGGTGGGCCGCCGTCTATCGTGTTCTGGATCAATACTTCCCACCGATTCGACGATTGCTGCAGCGCATTAAGATCGAATGCAACCAAGTCGTTAAAGAAATATCCCTCGACCTGACCACCAAAGATGTATATCTTGCTTCCAAGAATGTTGAGGGTATGTCCGTAACGACCTGGAGGTCGTGGGCCGGCAGGGAGTGCTCTGGACCATTGCTTGGTGGCTTGCACGAGTCAGTGTCGCATTCTGGTCGCAAATTTCAAGGGACTCACAAGTATTCAGCAAATAAAGCGTATCGTCCAGCATGTCGCCTTCGTCCATTTTGGTGTCCCCACCAAACACGATGAAAGCGTTGCCCACGAGCAAGCTCGCATGGCCTACTCTTGGCCCTGGACCTTCGCTGGTGGTCGCGACGGGGAAGCAAGTCATGTTTCCACCGGCAGCCTCCACCATCCACAGATCTCCCTTCACAGTGCTGCCATTGATGAGACCTCCCATCAAGTATATTGAGCCGTCTTTACTCGAGACCGAATTGACTGCAGCGCCGTATCGCGGGAACGGGTTCGTATGGGTGACTGTGAAGTTGATGCGGCGTTGCGACCAAGGATACGGCGAAGCACCGTCGCCTGAAGGTCTCGACTGCGTGGGTAGTCTCTGCTGCTGTGAAACTTCTATCAGCTGACTATTCGTGATGCCCTTTTCCTCCACGACCCGACTCACGGCGTCTCGGCTGGCGTCGCGGCTGGCATCTCGCAATGATTTCTGTTCGGGGCTGGGGGGTCCGTTGCTCCTAATTGCGCCCTCGTCTCTCAACGTCGTCACTCTGTTCTCTGCGTGCCGCGGGCCTGAGACACCCATCTCTTTCTCGGCGACGGCATTTATACTGGCGCTCATGCTCTGATCGGGGGTGGGCGACCCCGGCTTGCTGGAGATGCCCCCAATGCCATTGAGGGTGGGAATCTGGCTGCCATGGCCGTCGGAGGAGCGTATCTCGCGTGTCGCAGGCGGTAATGGGGCGGCGGCGGCGCTGGAACCAGTCTTTGATTTGGAGGACTTGCCAAACAAGAAGGCCATGGTAGGATGAGATCACGGCGCTCCCAGGGGCGCAGGGTATGGCGAAGGCGATGCGACGCGGGACAGAGTCATGCGCGCTGGTGGATGCGAGCGAGGGAGGAGTGGTGTGTCGAGTCCGTCGGAGGAGGTCGGGGGGTGGGAGCGGTGGGAGAAAGTTGAGGCTGGTTCGACAGACGGGGTGGAATGCAGCAGGCCACACCAGCACCCTTCTCGCAGCGGCAGGCCGAAGCTTGTTCAGACACACAATGTCTGCCGCAGCAAACAGCGTCGACGTCGCACGGGACCTCCTGGAAATTGATGGAGGGATTGATTGAGGATTGGCGACGGTGGTGAGGGTGTTGCTGGAGAGGAGGAATAATTTGGTGGTGAGCGGCGGCGATATCTCCAGCGGCCCAGGAGTCAAGAGTCAAGCGTTAAGGTGCAGCTCCCGAACGCCCGCTGCGATCGGCTCGCGAATACCAAGGCAGAGCGTTCTTTAATCAATCCCTACCCATTCATTCTGCCTACCGATTCGATTGAACATGGCCAGTTTACCTGCTTGATCATTCCATCTATCCAGCAGCAATTCCTACATCATCCCATCGTGACCGCCGTACAATCGCCTTCGCCTCTCACCGAACAAAATCTTGAAACAGCAGCACCCGCGTCCCGAAAGCCAAAAGGAAGCCGTCGTCCAGGGGTGCGATCGACGCCTAATGCGATGCCTCTAAAAACCGTCCGCCCACTCCCTTTCGCCTTTCTATATACAGCAATTTTAGTCAACCTTCTTTCCTTCGTCGGCCCTATCTTTTCATTGGTCTCCCTGCCATATTCTTTGCAGCTGAATGGGACAGTTACTGGACGTCACGCGCTCACGCGACCTTTATGCACGCCATTCGGGGCCGGAACAGGATCTGGCTGTGTGACCCTGGTCTGCCGGAGACGTGACTTTGTTGCCGGCTGCTGTGCGCTGTACTCCCATCTGCTCTTCAATCCATCATCACGACAACGGACAGCAGAAGGCGTGGAGTGGTGGAAGAGTAGGCTGACACGCTTGGCCCGGAATCGAAACCGCTCCAGACGCGCCGAGATAGACTTCCAACGTCTTTTCGAGATGAAGATGTCCCTTCCACGTGACGACGAGGCACAGTCGGTGGTAGCGAGACTGCCGGACTTCATCGATACTGCACTACCGTAACATCAGACAAGTCCTAGAATGACAAACGCCTTGTCAAACAATGGCGCCGAGGGACCCTCGAAAATTGGCTGTCCGTCAACATCACCCGGTCATCATCTACTGTACCAAAACAGCGACCTCGATCGCTCACTCGACCTTCGTATTTCATCCCGACAAAAGCGGCCCATCACTTTTTCCATTATGCAGAGCACAAAAAGCCCCTGAATTCGTCCACATCGTTGTCTTCTTCAAGACTAGAGAAGTCGACTGTGTTGACATTTCGGAAAGGTGCATTCGGCGGCGGCGTGCTTGCCCGAGACGTGCCATGGACGTGAATCCCTTCTATGATGACTTCTAAATCTTCAGCTTGGATCTAAAGGCATGGCCGTTTCGTCGTTATATGAGTCTGCTGCAGCACGCTTCTCCGCGGCGTATCGATGGCCCTGATCCCAAAATCATGTGGAGGGACTCCGCTGACCTGAGGCATATGTAGCCGATGTCGAGGCAGCATATCTAAAGCTTTCGCATCGACTCCTTCCCAACAGGTCGCATAGCTGCTGGCTGCTTTCCTTCGCCCAGAACATGGAAGTGATGGATAAAAGCGCAACACATGGCCACCACGCGCGATGCGGTGTCCTGAGACCCTGACAGCAGCGCGATCATATAACACCATTTCCTGGTGGAGACATCGTGATGGATCTGATTACTACACCAGCGCTACTCGTCCGACAAGGCTATGACCATGGATCGCAGCGAACTCCCAAGAGGACAAGACCGACACGTGCATGTGGGCACAATAGCCTCAGCACGTCCAGACCGGCGATGGTACTTCTTCGAGCGTTCGCTTCCCTGGCGATGGTCATCATTGCATCTTCGTCTGGACGATGACTGCAGTCGGCTCTCGCCTCTGTGTCTCGCGATGTCTGTGTTGGAGATTCGCCATCGGTCATGCCGACAGGCTGACCTCGACCCCATTCGATCTCGAAGTCTTCAGTCCAACAACGACCACAACATGCCACCAGAGCCATGGATGAGGAATGCCGGGTCTAGATACCAACAGCATTTCGACAGTCGACGTCGAAGAAAACATCAAAGTCTCGTCCATTGTCATTATCCCGCAGCGCAAACCCAAGAACCACGCGGGTGCCGACTCTAACCGAAAATTTGGGTATGGCGTGCTCAGGCTTCACCTCTCACCATCACACCAATAGCGCCATGTCAAGACTTCGAATCCCACGAGCAAGGCAACCCTTCGTCCCTCCACACGGTAAGTTCGCATATGCTTGGTTCGTCTGGACCAAGAAAATCTCTCGTAATAGTCTCTTCTTTGTTGGGGTTCGCGCAAGCCTGGGCGTGGATGGCGAATGGGGCTGTCAGATACGAACGGTTCGTGTTGAATGAATAAAAGCCAGTATGTCTCCGCCTGGTGAGGAGGGATCTGCATCGAGTTCCACTGTCACCACCCCTCTGTTGCGGAAGTCCAGCACTGGCAAGATGTCGGGCAACAAGTTCTTGGGGTATTTCAAGGGGCCTACTGTCAGGGAGAACAGTGATCCAGGGTCCAAGGGTCATGCCGATGTCGAGGAGACTCGTAAGCCTTGCCATACCTCTCTACTTCTATGAGTATCGTGCTAATACCTCTACAACAGCCAGCGAAAATGGAGTCATCGCAGAATCCAAGCGCCAGATCGGCATTGTGTCTGCCTCCTTCCTCATCTTCAACCGCATGGTGGGAACTGGTATCTTCGCCACTCCATCAGGCATCCTCTCCCTCACCGGAAGTGTCGGCCTCGCCCTCTTCATGTGGGTCGCTGGTATGGCCATCGCCGCCGCGGGAATGGCCGTATATCTCGAATTTGGCACGGTAGGCCCCCCCTACAATCATACCACCTCAATACCATGCTAACAAGGATGAAAGGCGCTACCACGTAACGGTGGTGAAAAGAACTACCTAGAGTACGTCTTCCGCAAACCCAAGTTCATCGCCACGGGTTTCTACACCGGCTACGTCCTCCTGCTCGGCTGGGCAGGCAGCAACTCCGTCGTCTTTGGAGAATATATTCTCTACGCCGCAAACGTCGAGGTAGGACGCTGGAACCAACGTGGCGTTGGTCTCGCATGCATTACAGCCGCCTTCCTCATCCACGGCCTCGCGCTCAAATGGGGTCTCCGCCTGCAGAACCTCCTCGGCATCATCAAGCTGATCGTCATCCTCATCATCGTTGTTGCTGGCTGGGCGGCACTTGGTGGAGCTCTCAAAGTCCCCAAACCACATAACTTCGACAGCGCCTTTGAGGGAACGACGGGCAGTGCGTACGGGATTGTCACGGCGCTGTACAACGTCATCTGGTCATACATCGGCTACTCTAACGCCAACTACGCCCTTAGCGAGACGAAGAACCCCGTGCGGACACTCAAAATCGCCGCCCCAACCGCCCTCTTCGGCGTCGGCATCCTCTACATGCTTGTGAACATAAGCTACTTCGCCGCAGTCGATAAGGCTACTATTTTGTCCTCCGGACGCATCCTCGCCGCCTCCTTCTTCCGCAACGTCTTCGGTGGCGGTGCTGCGGAGAGAGCCCTCTCCGTCCTAGTCGCCCTCTCCGCCTTCGGAAACGTCCTCAGCGTCATCTTCTCGCAAGGCCGTCTAGTCCAAGAACTGGGACGAGAAGGCATCCTGCCGTTCTCCCGCTTCTGGGCGAGCAATCGCCCCTTCAACGCCCCACTCGCAGGTCTCTTCGAACACTGGCTCGTCTCCGTCATAATCATGTTGGCACCACCGCCTGGAGACGCATACAACTTCATAATCAAGTGAGTTCCTCCCCCCTCCCCCAAACACACAAAACTAACCCACCCTCCTCACAGCGTCATCTCCTATCCCCTCGCAATAGTAAACACCTTCGTCGCCCTCGCCCTCCTGTACCTCTACTGGCACCGCAAGACCAACGGCTGGACCCCACCCTTCCGCGCCACCTGGCCTGTCGCCCTCTTCTTCTTCCTTTCCAACATCTACCTCGTCGTGGCGCCCTTCGTACCGCCCACCGACGGAAATGAAATCTACAAAACCCTGCCGTACTGGCTGCACTGCGTCGTCGGGTGGGGCATCATCGCGGGCGGGGGCGTGTATTGGTTGATCTGGGCGGTGGTGTTGCCTAAGGTGGGCAAGTATGAGCTTGTGAGGGAGGGGTATACTGAGGGGATTGATGGGTGGGAGAGGTGGAGGTTTGTTAGGAGGCCTTTGACGGGTCAGCAGTAGATTTAGATCTGGATGGATTACAATTTACATGATGAGCATCTTGCTTGTGTTTGTCCCCCTTTGCCTTCTGTTCGCACCACAGCCTCACGCGGAAGGTTTATCCCTGACTTTCGTTCCCCGTTCTCACAGGACAGTAGCTGCGACCCCGAATCTTGTGGTTGGCAGGCCCGTCCTCCCAACGATGTTTACCATGCTCAGGACGGAGGCATGATCGAGAAGAGAGAGTGACGACGTTTACTACTCCACCGACAGGGCCATTATCAAGAAGTAATTCAAGGACGACGTGTACCGTTCGGAGGGCGGTAGTATCATTTGAGTACGGGGGCACCGTTCTGGTGAAGGTCGTGAATGGTGTTTAAGGCATCGGCCAGTCATCCCAGTTTGAAGTTTGAAGTTCGAAAACTTGTACTCGTCATGAATTCAATGTGAATAGACGTTAAGGTGTTTGTCGATGATAGTATGTGCCTTGGTGCTTTTGACTCTCGAAGTCCTTCTAAAGGGTCTACCCGACGTCTGTAGTGAGGACCTTCCTATTGGTATATAGACTCCTCGAGGCTAAACGGTGACTTCTGGTGTGAAAGCGATGTTGAACGGCGCCATGCCTCGGGAGGACGTCGCCCAGAGGGGTGTAGAGACGCTGAATAGGGCCCATGACTTTCCTCGCCTCATAGCTCATGGTGATGAACAAGACAAGCCAAGAACTCTCTCATGTGTCTCCACCACAATGGAACCAAAGGCTAGCCACAGCGAACACGCACCTCTGAGAAAGCATAAGTTCGTGGCTCAGCGGAGTGACTTTCAAGGGCGACCTATCGAAATTCCGAGAATTGCTGCTGCTCTGCGCGTGAACCAATCATATTTGCCATGAGACGGTGCTTTCGTAGTTGTAGGAGGATCGTGTAGAAACCGATACGTCATCAAATACGAGCTTCAGGCAATGACATTCAACTCAAGGAGCAGCTGCTTCGTATCCTCGCAGATAATCAGGTAGTTGGAAGTCCTCTTGGAGGAACTCATTCAGCATGTCCTCGATGTTACCCCCCACGCCCTCCCCTAGAGGAGTGCTGTCAGAGTACGAGGCCACGCCAGTCGATGTTTCAACAGAACTCGTGGTAGGAGGACGCTGACTACCACTTCCAGCGACCACCAACTGGATCGTAGAATCTGCCAAACGTTGGAAACTCTGGCCGCCTTTCTTTGCCGAGGGCCACCATTCGCCTGCCAGCGCCAGCAAGCTGGAGCAAAGGCGAAAGTCGGATGAGAGCTCTGTAATGGACAGCGAAGATCGAAGTTCGTGGGAGTTCCAAACGCAGTAGGCCATCGTCGATCCCGCCAGAGAGATGCACTGCGTCGTCAGCCAGGTGAGGAGGAGGCATGACTCCCCGTGTAGTGACCAGGACAGGCGGAGACATTGGGCGGCACTGTCATGGCAGCGTCGCAGCGCTGCAGCGTCAGGGGTAGGACAGCCTACGGAGGGCTGATAGAGAAGACCGATAGCGTAGTAGTAGTCGATCTCTAGCTCGATGTGCAGCTGACGGGTCTGGGACTGGATAGCCTGGGCGTTGCTCATGCTTTGGGCAAGCCATGTATCCAGTCGAATGAGCATGTCTTCCTGGACATTCCTGCCAACGTTTGCTAGCAGAGGCAGCGCTGAAGTCGAAGTGCGGTAGAGATTGCTCTTGATCTCGGAGACCAGCCGCGCCCATTGCACTCGATATTCGAAAACGACCAGGTAGACTTGATCGGGGTCTGAAGGACGATCGTCGATTTCGTTGCAGATTGATGATGGGAAACTGAAGTCCATGCAGTCGTCAGCGAAGGCCAGAGGTCGGCCTTGAACAGAGCTGATGAGCCTGCGAATGTATGAGCAGACCCCTTGGTTGGTTACTTTCCGCTTACCTATCCAATCTATAGACGCAGAAAAATGCGCGGCGACGAATTTGGGTAGTGATGCTTGTAAGTTGTCCTGTGCCATCGCCATCGAGGTGCAAGCCCAGGTCGACGGCATATACCATGCCAAGTTGGAGGAGTGCCCACGGACTGCCGTGATGTTGACTCATGTAGCCATGTTGGACAGCAAGCACGGCCAGCTGCACAGAGGGGAGAGTGATGTCGCCCATGGCTATGGAGGTCAGATGGAAGGCCATCCCTCCATATCGATGGGGATCAGCGGCTAGACGGTGCCGGTGCGCCTGCACGTACGAGGCTATGCCAAGAACATGGAAAAGGATAGCGGCAGCTGTAGTGAATGGAATGGATATTGATCTCGTGCTGTTGCTCTCCTTCACTTCGCCATTGTAAGCGAATGATGGCACATCTGTTGGCCAGCCGGTGTCAAGAAGCGGACAGTCTGTGGGAAGGCTAGCGCATACATACACAGCTTCGACAAGCACCGCGATGCTTGGTTCGTGGAGAACAGGGTAAGCAGCGTGATTATGGGAGAAGAACAGCTGGATCAACCCTTCACACTCCGACCGTGCGGGAAGGAGATCAAGGATCTCAGTCAAGAGCGCTTGATCTCCACCACCATCGAGTACTTGATGCTGACGATGATGTGTAATGTTGGGGAAGAGTCGTGCACCTGATTTAGTCGACAATGGCCTGAGACCGTGTAGACGGGGTACAGCAAGGTTGGATGAGATAAGAGTTCCATCGTAGTCAGTACGAAGCGATTCCTGCTGTATGCCATTGGAGAGACGTCGACGTGGAGGTTGTGGAGGGCCAGCAACGTCCTCGCAAAGATCCGAGAGGTCTACATCAGGAAGCCGTGTCCTCACAAGATCTTCGAGTGCCGCGAGACGTGCGAGTGAATCATCGAGGAAGGCTTGAGGGAGATTCTCTCGACCACCAATGGCCCTGCCTTCGATGCAGGTGACCTTCGCTTTCACACATTGTGCGCACGAAGGCGCGGCTCCGTCGCACTGTGAAGGGCTCAGCCTACTCATGCCCACGGAAAAAGGCTCATACCGCATGCACTCACCTTGATACGCCGCCGACGGCATCTTTGGCATGTATTCTTGGCCTTCCTGTCGTGGGTTCGAGGCATGTGGGGAGCCTCTCCGATATTCCCTCTCAGATACAGAGTCCGTTAGTCCGCGCATCCAGGGTACTTGCTTGGGTGACTCTCCTACGGGAATCAGCTTCGCTTCGAAACGCGGCCGAGAAGATGCGTGGACTCGAGGAAGTCAGCGAAGAGGACATCGTGCGTCAAATCCCGCTTTTCTCTGGCGAATCCTGCGGGAAGTTGCGCACATGTGCGGAGCCTTCCGCTATGGGTATATATCCAATTAATGTGACTTGGCAATGTTGTCTTTCCTTCGCAGCAGCAAGAAAAGAGGCTTCAATGGCATCCGCACCTACTTCGCATTTTTCGCATCTTCCTGTCGTTCCACTAGATTCGATATATGCCATCAAGCAAGCCTATGCAGCCGACAAGCACAATCGCAAAGTCATCCTAGGATCAGGAGTGTACAGAGATGATCACGGTGATCCTTGGGTTCTTCCTGTCGTGCGAGAGGTCGGTCGTTTCCCCGACATCAAAGAATCATGTACTGAACAAGTCCTGTAGGCTGAGCGCATGCTGGAAGCCACAAACGATGCCAGCCGCTATGAATACCTTCCCATAACAGGATCCGCACCTTTCCATGATGCAGCTCGGGATCTGGTATTTGGGTCGCTGGGAAGTGACGTTGAAAGAGTAGTGTCCATCCACACAATCGCAGGCACAGGGGCGAACAGCCTTGGTGCTCGGTTTCTGAAAGACACCTTGAATCCTAACTCAGTGTGGCTTCCAGATCCTACGTGGGTCAATCATCACAATATCTGGAGTTCGGCTGGCGTCCAAGTGAGGTATTATCCGTACTGGGACGTATCAAGCAAGTCTTTGACATTCGGAGACATGAAGCGCATGTTGGAGACGCACGCTAGGCCGAAGGACGTCGTCGTCCTGCATGCTTGCGCCCATAATCCAACTGGAGTCGACCCTACCAGGGGACAATGGAAAGCCATTGCAGACGTATGCGAACGGAAAGGCCTGTTCCATTCTTCGACTGTGCCTAGTAAATGCGTACCACCATTGGGCTGGGAAGCCATTTCACGGCTAGGGACTAATGAAAGTGACAGTCTTGGGTTCGCCACGGGTGACCTCGACGCCGATGCTTGGTCGATTCGGCACTTCCAGTCTCGAGGGACTCTTGAATTGGCTGTAGCGCAATCTTTCTCGAAGAATATGGGTCTCTACGGCGAGCGAGTCGGCGCGTTGCATTTGTGGATGGCATCGAAGGATGCAGCGGATAAAGCTCGAGGCCACTTGACTCGATTGCAGAGAGGTGTAGTCTCGACACCACCGAAAAGAGGAGCAAGGATAGCTACTCTCATCATGCTCACTCCGACTTTGCTTGAAAAGTGGAAGATCGATCTGCAAGTTATGAGCTCTCGAATCAAGATGATGCGGCAGGCGCTTCATGATGAATTGGTGCTTCGGGCTGCGCCTGGTGATTGGAAGCACATCATCTCGCAGGTAAATCGAAATGTTCTCGCCATGTCTTGGTGCAACAGCTGATAGGCGGGCAGACTGGCATGTTTTCGTACACCGGGCTGACTCCAGAGCAAGTGGAAAAGATGCAGGCCGAGAGCCATGTATACATGCATGAGTCTGGAAGGATGTCCGTGGCAGGCTGTAAGTCAGCATGCCCTGTCTCGATATGACTTGTTGCACTAACAAGTTGGCAGTGACAACTGCGAATGTGCAATATGTGGCGGCTGCTGTACACGCCGCTATTGCAGTCGACGCTCCCACAGGTGGAAACAAGAGTCCATCAGCAAAGTAGTGGGTTGACCGTGTACGCTCTCGTTGAGCAGCCTTATCCATCGATCGGCTGCGGATGAACTTTGTTCCCGCCTTCTTTACATGCCGTTCGAACGCCGTGGTATGAATTTCATTCTAAACATGGACGGTCATCGCGCCTTTTGGCTAGACCTTTGCCTGAAAACGCAGTGATGTAAGCGACGCTCTCCCTCAAGTCGCCCTTGAGGCTGCGACGATGGAACTTGGATGTGGTGATGATGGAGAAGAACAAGTTCGTTGTAGACGAGAGAGTTCAGAAACGACGCCGCGGTCAGGGGAGATCGGGATATTTGGGCATGAACCAATCACAGGCAATCGTTGCATCTTCGCCCCCAAAAGGGTTCCAAGCTATACTTACACAGTACACAGGTACAAAGCCAAATATTGAGCCGCATGACCAGGAACCATCAACACCACCAGCGTCATGATTGCCAGGGCTTTCCCAGCCGCAGCGCCTGCTGAAGCGCATCTTCCTTGCGCTTTCCAGGCTGTTCTATATACGTCAGTGCTTCTCGCTCCGGCATGATTGTACCATTACCATATCTCTAGGATCTAACAGGCACGCCTGTTGGACTTTCCCGAGGTCAAGATGAAATCACCATTCCTTGGCCTTCTGGCCTTACAAACCGCTTCAGCAGCAATCACCAAGCGAGCACCGGTTGATCACGGCTGGCAATGCATCTCGCCTGCTCCTCGCGATGGATCTATCAAGCTACACATTGCTATCCGGCAAGCAGATGGCGGGAACGCAGTGGAACAGCAGCTCTTGAAGGCCTCGGATCCGAACAGCGCAACATTCCGACAACATCTCACTGCGAAAGAGGTCGCTCAACTTTCCCAGCCGTCTGATGAGAGCGTCAATACTGTACAGGATTGGCTTCGACAGCATGGCCTTATCACGAGTACGGTGCAGCCTCATGGAATCTGTGAGATCGACACGACCATTTCGGTCGTGGAGAATATGCTAAATGCGAGCTATCATTCCTTCTCTGATGGCACTGCGACAATCATGCGGACGGAGATTTTCTATTTGCCTGACGGCATTGCGAAGCACATTGACTTCATTACCCCAACGACAATGTTTCCAAACCCGTCGAAGGGCGATGGGATCCATCGCGAATTATTGAAGAGATCGCAAACCACCCAGCAGCTGGAGAGGCGAGACTCTTGTGGGCCTAACGACTACTCTACTCCAACATGTATTCGCCAGGTCTATGGTATCAACTACACAGCCGCCCCAAATCGCACCACTTTCGCTGTTTTCGCCACAGAAGGCGCCTCTGCAACGTACGATCAGGCTAGTCTGCAAAAGTATCTCGAGCAGTACAACAAGCCAGCCGCAGCCGCTCGACCATCCTATATTATCAATGGAGCAGGAGACCCTGCGAACGAGGGTGGCATCGAGGCAGACTTTGAAGTGGCTCTCGATACGCAAGCTCTGCTAGGACTCGCCTGGCCTGCCCAAGGGATCCTGTACAATCGAGGGGGCGTCTTTGGTCCGAACGTAGGAACAGAGTACGACCGATTTGTGGCGTTTCTGACTGAGCTCATGAACTACGAGACTGTGCCCAGTGTGGTTTCGTTCTCGGAGAGCCAGCCTGAAAACTTGATGGATCGTGACTATGCCCTGCGACTGTGCAACATGATGGCTGCGATTGGTGACCGTGGCGTGACGCTGATCTTCTCCAGTGGGAATAACGGGGCCAACGGTAAGCAAATGGTTCCACTTTCACTTCGAACGCTCTGTCTAACATACTGCCAGGTGACAACGCCAGCAACGATCCACCCCACAAAGCCATCTTCGAGCCTAAATTCCCAGCCTCCTGCCTTTGGGTCACATCCGTCGGCGGCACAACCAACCTCGCAGACGAACAAGCCGCCACAAAGAGCACAATCCCTCTCCTCTCAAGCATCGGTGGCTACGTAGCAAGCGGTGGAGGCTTTTCAAACTATTTCCCAGCCCCATCGTGGCAAGCTGTCGCTACGACGAACTACATCAGCACGCACGTCCCAACCTCATACTTCACCGAATCCGGCTTCTCGCGTTATGGTCGTGGGATACCCGACGTGAGCGCCTTCAGCACGCAGTTCCCAACTTATGTGAATGGATTTAGCGTTCCTATCGGCGGTACATCCGCCGCGGCGCCTACCTGGGCTGCGATCATTACCCTACTCAACGACTACCAGGCCTCGAAAGGCCGGCCTACGCTGGGGTTCATCAATCCTTGGTTGTATAGCTTGAAGTATGGGTTGAAGGACATTGTCAAGGGAGGGAATAACAAGGGTGATTGCTCATTCTTGCAAGGGTGTCGGTTGGAGAAGACGCTAGGGTACGATGTGACTGAGGGATGGGATCCTGTTACGGGGTTGGGGAGTCCGTTGTTTTCGGAATTGATCAGGGCGTTGGATGATCCTACGAGTGCCGCGAGTCCGCCTTGACGGAGCAATGTACGGTGTCAAGAACACATTGGAATAATCCCATACTCGCTATTGAAATCGTAGCACATTACCTTGCTCAGATCTAAGACCTCGCCCTAAACTCCACCAACGGCCCCTCCTTCATACTCGTAAACGAATCCTTCAACTGAAACTCTCCCCTCCTCTGCCTCCCTACCTCCTTGCTCATTGGGCTACCCTCTCCAACAGACGACCCGGGCTTCAATCGCATGTCATACATATGCACCACCCTCGCCAACGCCATGCCCATCTCCGCATAAGCCATTCCCTTCCCAATACACCCTCTCGGACCGACCGAAAACGGACAGAAAGCGGATTGAGCAAGACCAACAGCCTCGGGAGTTGCGAGCCAGCGTTCGGGTGAGAAAGTAAAGGGATCGGGGTAGTACGCCTCGTTATGGTGAATTGCGTAGTGTGGCACGCCGACCACTGTCCCGGCGGGGATGGCGTGGCCGTCGATGCGCATTCCGCCAGCGAGGACTTCGCGGGGGAGGAGTCCGCCTACGGAGGGGGAGAGACGCATTGCTTCGTCGAGGGAGGCACGGAGGTAGGGGAGGGAGGAGAGTGTGGAGCCCATGCGGATGTCTTCTGTTTCGGTGAAGGCGGAGCGAATTTCATCGTTGAGTTTGGCGAGTTTGGAGGGGTTGTGCACGAGGTAGAAGATTGCTGCTGTTAGAGCCGTGGATGTGGTATCGGATCCTGCGATGATGAGCAGGTTGCTTTCGCCCCAGAGTTCAGGCGTCGTGAACCCATTTCCGGTTTCTGGGTCTTTGGCTTTGAGGAGGTAGTAGAAGAAATCCTTTCGGTCGACGTCCATGCCCATTTTCATTCGTTCGGCCGCTTGTGCTTTGCTATATTGCATGTAGCGGGCTCGGCCAGCGGCAATCTTGCGGAAGAAGAGCTTGTCGAGGTGGTATTCATGGATCGGGAGATATGTGCCGCAGATCAGATGGCGGTGGGCGGCGTTTCCAATCAGATCAATGGCGAAGCGATTGGTGGGCGCTGACAGCATTCCAAATGCCTTGCCGAAGCAGAGGTCGCCCATGATATCGAAGGTCAGGTAATTGGCCTGATCGGAGACGTCGACAGCCTCGCCATAGCCTTTGTTCTCTGAATTCTGCTGATTCGCAAAGTTCGTCAGACCCGCGAGATTCTCGCAGAATTGGCGGACGTGGGCCAGGATATGGTTCTCCATCGACTTGATCGCGGCGTCGGAGAAGGCATGGCTGAGGACTCTTCGCTTTCGCGCATGGATTGACTTATCAATCGAGCTATGCGTGCTAGCTGAATATTTAGTCGCCCAGAACGCTTCGTAGAACTTTGCTTTCTGAACGTTTGCTTTGAAGCCGTAGATCTCCTTCAATGCTGTGTTGCTGTTGAAGGAAAGGCTGTTTGGCCCGAATCGGAACACTGGGCCATATTGCTCGTGGCAGCGCCAGAATTGGAGATGCCGGTCTCCCTTTAGGGCATGGTATGTCTGATGGAGATCCGTGATCTTCGCGAGGAACGGTCCCGGATACTTGGCCAGAGGATGGAAGTAGACGCGATAGACAATGAGTCCAATGGCGTAGATGGCCAAGCTGGCAGGGAGGAGAGCCAGCAGACTCGATATCGAGATGCCTGATACCGTAGAGAAGGTCATGATCGTGGTGGAGGAGCACAAAGAAGAGCTTACCGCACCTTACCTAGTCGTCTGGGTTCTTTCTTCTATATGCCTTTGTGCTTAAACCGAGCTGGTAGAGATACCGGCAGCTGATGAGACGGCTATGAACGGTTAGAGAGAGACGATTACGACAGTAGCTGACCAGCATATATAAGTAGCGTCGGTTTACCTCGTTGTCCCGATGTTGATGAGAGTGAGATGGGGAGGAGGAGTAAGAGAACGTTGGGGTGACCAATCAAAAGGGGGCTGATTTTCGACGCTTGAGCCGCGGATAGCCGAGAGAGGAAGTTCTGCTTACTCCTTTCGGGCCCGTTCTTGATCTCAGACACAAACAACTATATATACTGATGTTGCCTCTTGCATCAACTAAGCTCCACTCATACTAGTCTCTGAAAGACAGCTCAAAATTTGGTCGTCATTGTATATGGCGACACGATACCGTCTGCAGTGTAGTGCGATCGATCACGCAAGCCTCCTTTCGGAGTAGCTTGCCAGCTGAACTACAGGTCAAAAGTGGCTAAGTATAGCTCTCGACATCTCCTCTTCTCTGATCGAGAGACTGCGTGACCTTGTTATCTGAGCTCTACATTCCTCGTTCTTTCTTTTGGAAGCTGCAGCGTCCAAGAGTTCAAAACGAGGCTTGTGCCATGGCCGACCAATCGAGCACCAACAGTCTTCATGTCTTGATCAACGGCGCCGGTAGCAATCGCTCCATCACACGAGGATACTTTCTTACCTGCTCTTACGTCTCAATTTAGGTACCGGCGGACTCCTTCTCGCCCAAGGTCTCAAGAAACGAGGCATCTCATTCGAGGTTTTTGAACAGGAAGAGTCGGCTTCTCAATACCGTGCTCGAGAATGGTAGACCTCTGTCATTTTCCGGACGAATTTCCGATGCTGATGACTACAGGGGAATGTCAGTCCAGTGGGCACTACCTATGCTTCCAGATCTACTTCCTCCCGAGCTCCTGGGCCGACTGCAAGAAACATCTGTGGATCCTCATTATATTTTCCCGAAGTCTGGCAACTCTATGCCGGTGTATGATGGTTCATCTGGAGAGCTGCTCAAAGTCAGAGTCAGTTCAGGTCTCTGCTCGAACTAGAGCTGATCAAAGCGTAGGACATTCCGCTTGTCGAGATGATTCGAGTATCGAGAAACAAAATGCGAGCGCTTTGTGCCGAAGGCATAAACATTCAGGTATGCTAATGCAGCGAGAGAGATGGGACAGAGGTCGCATTGGTAATCTATTATGCAGTACAGCAAGGAGTTTCGGACACTCCGAACCCTCGAAGACGACCCAGTAGTTACAGCGCACTTTACAGACAACACCACTTTCACTGGAGCTTTGATCGTCGCGGCTGACGGTGCTAACTCTGATGTTCGTCAAGCAATTTTTCCTTCCGGCCAAGGCGCTTCGCAGCAAGTCCCATACGGCGGCGTCAACATGCACGTAAAGTACAACGATGCAAGTATCGCTCGCTTCCTGCGGAAGTCACTCAGCCCCATCCAAGCAATTGGTGTCCATCCGAAGGGCTACTGGCTCTGGCTCAGTGTCCAAGAAGTGCCCGAGCCGGACAAACCGGAAGACTGGACGTTTCAACTGCAGTGGACGTGGAAGATGGGACCAGATACTACATCGTTGGCGAAACTCGATTTAGAGAAATTGAGAGCAGAGGCAGAAGCATCTTTTGCCGATCCTTTCAAGACGGCTTGGACAAAGATTCCTTCTAGTACTCGTGTATCGGCGAACAGGATCTCCACTTGGCCGCCTCAAGCTGTTCCAGCAGATCTCTTCCAGGGCAAAGTCGCTCTTCTAGGTGATGCTGCTCACCCGATGACTTTCCACCGCGGGCAAGGAATGAATCACGGCATCGCGGACGCGGTGAAGCTAGCGAACGTCCTGGACAGCGTGCACAAGGGTGAAAAGACTTTGACTGAGGCTGTGAAAGAGTACGAAGACGAGATGATCAAGCGGTCAGGTGAGGAGGTCAAGATCAGCAAGATGAACACGGAGATGATGCATGATTGGGAGAAGTTTCTGGGGAGTCCGTTCATGCAGAGAGGTGGAAACAAGAATTAAGGCGGACGGCACGAACAGTGAGCACAACTTGATCAGTTACAGCTCACCATCCTTAATTACAGCTTCGTAACCCTCGACTTAGGCTGACTTTCTGGCGCCGAGGAACCTCATCGGGCCCTGAAGCTGTCTCAACTTCTTCCCGAACAGCTGCAAGAACAATGGTATCAGCATAGCAGCAGCGGTAATACCTGTCTGTACCCCAAACACCTTCGCAGCACCCGTTCCGGCCACCCACGGAATCTCGATATATGTCGCCATGAAGCCTCCCAGCGTACGCCCAACAGTGATCCAAGCGCAAACCTCGCCACTACCTTCGGGATAGCTGTCGAGAAGGTACGCATTGACAGCGGTAGTTGCAAGATTGATCCCAGCGACTTGCATCCCGTCAAATACCGCGAGGTAGGCCCAGTGCCAGTGGTACTGCAGTGCGAAGCCGAGAATCAGGAGGCCGACTGCCATCAACACTCCGGCAAGATAGCAGATTATGAGGCGAGCTTCGGGATCGATTCGCCCGTTGTGTCGCTTGATGTAGAATCTTCCTATCATGTCGTGGATCCAGTGTCCGAAGACTTCGCCCAGAATCGAGCCAGTGATGCCGGAGAAGTAGAACAAGCCGAGACCTTTGGGCGAGAAACCGTAGAAGGTCGTGAGCCATGTCGAGATGGTGGCGTTGACACCTATGATCCAGGCAAAGTTGAGGAAGTAATAGACCACGATGAGTGCTACTGGTATCTTGCAGATGGCTACGAAAGGCTTCGACACGGAGCGCAGGAAACTTCCCCGTGGATGTCGCTCGATCCCTAGCATTCTCAAAGCCTTTGACTTCCAGATCGGCTGCTGCTCTGTCGGAATGCCTCGATCATAATGCGTTTCATCAATCAGCAAGATCAGACCAAGTCCGACTCCATTCAGAATCGAATAGATCCAATACGCCCACCGCCAGCTCAACTTCCAAATCACAAAAGCAGCCGTGAAAGGGCCGAGATAAGGCGATAGAATCACGCCTCCCGACCAGATATTGATCTTCCTGGGGCGCTCATGGAAGAAGAAAATATCATTAATCCACATGAGTCCGCCCGCTTGCGCCGCAATGGCGAAGAAACCATTCACGATCCTCGCGGCGAGGAAGGAGTTGAAGGACTTCGCTGCCGCACACCAGATTCCTGTCCCGAGGGCCATGAGTTGCCAGAAGAGCAGGACGGGTAGGCGGCCGAAGTAGGAGGATAATGCGACGGTGAAGAGGCCGCCCATACCTAGGCAGAAGAGATTGCCGACCAGGTTGTGCTGGATTGTGTTCTCAGAGAGGTGCCATTGGCTGGAGAACGACTCGTCAGGATCATCGCCGTATTGTTTGAAGGCAGAGTTACTTGGCCTGGGGTATCAGAGTCACGGCGCCCATGGAACTGCCATAATCTGGCAGGAAGGCCAGCCATGTGATGACAAAGAGAATGAGGTGCTTTTTGCGATTGCTCCAGTTCAACGGGTCGTTCGGGTCATCTATCGGTTGTGGTATGAGGACTGTGTGCCCGTCTGCAGTGGTCTTGAGATCTCTGTGGTCACCGTCGAGGTACTGCGTGTCGAGATAGTAGCCATTGCTGTTGAGTTGATCAGTACTGTGCTGTGTGGGTTCAGACTTCTCCTTGTCAACGGTCGCAGCCTTGTGGGACATCTTCGAACACTGAAGTAAAAAACAAGAAGAGACTGAAGAATGAACGCATCACCAGAGGAGTTCAAGATGAATCAAGATCTTTTCTGATTCTGGATCTTGCATCCTTCAAGCTCTCAAAATTCTCCAGTGTTGATCAGTAGGAGGATCAGATCGACTTACAGCGCTCGCAAATCTTACCTGCAATAGGCCACGAATGCTTGAAACAGACAGAAAGTCGGGGCGTCGGGGTCAGCAACTCTAAAGAGTATGGAAAGGATCGTTGTGCCGTACCACAAGACCGGGAGTTGTGCGTCATGTCGTCTCGGGACGTGGTTTGGTACATGATCCGGGCTTGGAGCTTTGACGTCTCGACAATCTGCTGCTAGCTTTTCCCTCCTTTTTATTGCAGAGTAGACCAAACACGCTCTCTAATTAGGCATGTCAACAGTCTCGGAAGCAGTCCAAAGAGTCCAAGCCGCCGTCACAGAAGACGCGTCCGGTGATCCAGTTGCTCACACCAAGCTGCTCAAAGAGATCAACCTCTTGCGAGATGCCGCCGAAACGCCAGCCGATCGTCTGATGCGAATGCGATTTCACTATCTTGAGAACCTCTGTAATCGAGTAGCTATCGAGCTCGGCGTGCTGCAAGCCATAGCCGCGAAGAAGGGTCGATCAGTCACCGCGGCTGAGCTCGCCGAACAGACTGGTGCAGATGAGGTGTTCATTGTCAGAATTATGAGGCTGGTCTCGTATACTCGTGTCGTCGACGAGACCGGACCAGCGGCTTATGCGAGCAATGCCACAACAGAGTTGATCACCAGTGCAGGCGGCATTGGCGGAGAGAAACACCATACAGACCTGGGTTTTACGACAGGCAGCAGACTGATCGAGATGATCCGCAAGGGCAAGCTATGTCAATTCCCAGACAAGCCTGGAGAAGTCAGTCCCTTCGAGTTTGCCTATGGAAGTCCACTGTTCGAATACTTCCAGCACGACAAGGAGCAGAAGGAGGCTTTCGACGATTACATGGCGATCCGCAGGTCGGTGACGGCACCACAGTGGTTCGAGACGTATCCAGCCAGAGAGGAGCTCAAGGCCAACAAACTGAAGATTGACAAGGGCGCTGCGTTGATCGTTGACGTTGGTGGCGGAATAGGACACGAGGTTGCCAAGTTCAGGGAAAAGCATTCAGACCTGCCAGGAAGGTTCGTTCTGGAAGACTTGCTGCAGACATTTGAGAAAGCTACAGCTCCAGAGGGCGTTGAGGTCATCCCTCATGACTTCTTCAAAGAGCAGCCTGTGAAAGGTGTGTACTCACAGTCGGAATTCGATCTCGAGGTTGCTGACTTGACGAACAGGTGCTCGAATCTACTACTTGAGGCAGGTCATGCACGATTGGTCCGACAAGAATTGCAACCTGATCCTGTCGAATATTGTCAAAGCAATGGATCCAGACTATTCTCATATCCTCATCGACGACTATATCCTTCCTGACACCGGTGCTGATCGTCGAGCTGCGGCTCTGGACTTCCTCATGTTCATGTATGCTTCGGGGATGGAACGCAGCTCGCAGCAATGGTATACGTTGCTCGAGAGCGCTGGACTTGAGATCGTAAAAATCTGGCCGGCGAAGGCGGGTTTGGAAGGTGTCATCGAGGCCAGAGTGAAGTCTGGGTAGAGTGTCGATAGTTGCTGGTTTCGAATGAGAGTACTGATGGAGGAAGTTTGAGAAACTTTACGTCCATAGGCGCATTTAGAGCTTCACATAAAGAACTTGTGCAACAATGTCCAGACGGCCGTCGCTTCTGCATATTCGAGCTCGTCTAAATACTCGGTTCTGAGGGCATGATGTTGTCTGAATCTCTGATTTCATGGCAAAATCGACAGCGAGGTGTTAAATCGACCGCCCGCACAGTCGGTCGAATGCCTGATGTCCGAACACTGCATGGCGTACAAGCTGACATTCACTTGCAATGCTTGGCGTCACATGGATAAATTCAGCCCTAGCGAACTATCCAGTCGATCCTCTGTGTCATCAAAGTCTTTCAAGAAGCTTATTTGCAACGTGAAATTATCTGCCATCTATTCAAAGTTAGCAAATCAAGCCGATGATGAGGACTGGTCTCAACTTTTCCTTAGCAGCCAGTTCGTCATTACGTGAATGTTTGGAAATAGCAAGCTCTCACCAGCCCATAGCAGGTCCAAGTAAGGCAAATACTACGGCGTCTTGAAGTATCATCCACATGGACCTCATGTTTCTGCGAGCCCGAAATCGGCAGCGGTTAGGCTTCAGCCTCTCTCAACCTTATTATGCAGTAGGCGAACGGAATATCGGAATTATCACCGGAGAACAGCACATAGAACCAGAGAATAACATGGCACAAAAGTGTGAACCTGCGACACCTAAGGTTACTTTTTCCTTGTCGTTCTCTCCCATCTATTGTCGAGCCTACACGAAAGAGATCTGCAATGGCACAATACCAAAACGCCTACAACAACCCAAACGGTCCTGGCGATGAACGCCCAACTGCTATGCAGATCGTCCAGGATCTGGATCTTGTGGGCAAATTAGGCGACAAGACATTCCTGGTGACGGGTGTATCGTCTGGCATCGGCGTTGAGACACTTCGGGCGCTGTATGCTACAGGCGCTCACGTTTTCGGCACTGTTCGGGACATCGCCAAAGGTCAAGCAACCGTCGATGAAATTGAAGCCACGACGAAAGGAGGCCGCATAACGTTGTTGGACATGGAATTGGATAGTTTGGAATCCATCCGCAAGGCCGCGAGCCAGTTCTTTGAACAAAGTCGAAATCTGCACCTTCTTGTTTGCAATGCTGGGTAAGTGACGACGTAAACCTCACGACGCTTGATAAATACTAATGATCGACAGTGTGATGATGACTCCAGAGGGCAAGACCGAAGATGGGTTCGAGACTCAGTTCGGCACCAACTTCATTGGCCATTTCTACCTCTTTCAACTCCTGAAGTCAGCTTTGCTTGCGTCTGCAGCTTCAGACTTTCCGTCCCGCATCATCTCCCTCTCATCCAAAGGACATCGGTATGGAAGAGTCCGCTTCAACGACTATAACTTCACTGAACCCAACTCATACCATGCCGGCGCTGCGTACGGTCAAGCCAAGGCAGCAAATATCTGGTTTGCGAACGAGCTCGAAAGACGTTACGGAGAGCATGGACTGCATGCAATTAGCTTACACCCTGGAGGTATTTGGAGTGGATTGCAGACACATTTCAACCTGGAGCAGCTGGCTAAGATGAAGGCCGACCCCGTCATTGCAAAGAACATGATGAGTGTAGAGCAAGGCGCTACGACGAGCGTTTATGCTGCGCTGGTAAAGGACTTCGAGCCTTTGGCTGGTAAATACATTGCCAAATGTGCGGTGCAAGGTCCAGCGAGTGCAGTGGAGGCCGATCAGGGAAAGCCGGAGCTGAAGGACGATGGGTACGCTCCGTGGGCGTACAATATCGAGGGAGAGAAGAGACTGTGGAAGGACGCTCTCGCAATGCTCGGACTTGAGGATACTTAAGAAACCGACTAATGGTCTATCCACTTGAAGTAAAAGTTTGAAATGCATCTATCAGCGTTCGTGGTAAGTCTCCAGCGCGCAGGCCTGCAACATAGCCTGAGTGGTTCTCGACGTAATCTAACTTGGCTCCGGCCTGACACAGCGACTTTATGCTGCATAATACTGCGATACGTGATGGCGGAACTCTCGTTGGCGTTGTAGAGGATGGATGAGCAAGAAGATCTGAGAGGTTGAGGTGAAGTCCGGGAACTCGGACGTCCGCAGAGTCGGTCTCAGATTTCATACCCCACAGTCTAGACCAGATCGAGGCAGCTGAGAGAAAAGGCACAGAGTCTGAAATCTCAAGCCGAGTCTGGTAAACCAATATTTTTGATCACCTTTCTGCTGACGACTACCTATTGTGAACATTCCGACGCAAGATAAGGCAGTCAGCCCTCTGTGCAGACCCTGATCCGCTTCATGCTCGCAGGATCACAGCTAGCGTGGCCGACTCCCATTCACTTGCCCTCTTTCGCTTGGCGATCGGGCAAGAATCACGGACGATTGGCCGTCCTGTATCTTCAACGTAACAAGCATCGCGAAGCTCTGATAAGACATGTTGTGGCGTAATACCCTGTACGAGAATGTCGCCCTACGTTGGAGAGATGGTGGCATGCCGTGAAGAGCTACAAAGGGCCCTGCATGCCCGCATGATGACGGTCGCTGGTTCTCTGGACCGAGCTAGGCTCGAGAGTGTTGCGACATCAAGATGAACCGCATTCGCCGGCCATGGACGATCCAGAGACGGGATACAGACGGAGTCCAGATGAATACCCTTGATCACTCGGGCAAGGCCGTGGAGAGCGACGCTGGCTCCGCTGAGAAAATGCCCGCAAAGGATAATGTCGAGCCCCTCGACGTTCAACAGGGCCACTTGCAGGAGATCGAAGTTGACGTCGCACACGTCCTGCAGGACGATGAGATCAAGGATGTGGACGACGATACTTCGCCGTATCCAGAGGTGCGGGCTGTCGTTCCAGAGACCGATGATCCCAGTATTCCAGTCAACACTCTTCGAATGTGGATTCTTGGAACAATATGGGTGCTCATCGGAGCTGGCGTCAACCAGTTTTTCTCGCTGCGGTATCCAGCCGTGCATATTGTTTCAATTGTGGCAGAGCTTCTGGCGTTTCCTATGGGCGTCTTCCTTGCATATGTTTTGCCAATCATGGAGGTGAACATGCCGTACTTCGGGAAATGGCGAATCAACCCAGACCGGCACTTCAACATCAAGGAGCACGCGCTGATCGTTATCATGAGTAACGTTACCATCGGCTTCGCGGGGTATCCAATGATTTATTGACACTGGTAACCAAGGAGAAACGTACTGATTTGTTCGACAGAGGCGCTGACGCTGCGGGCGTCATCCAAGCAGCCATCAAATTCTACGGGTTCAAGCTGCCAGCAGGCTTCAGCGTTCTGGTGGTGATGTGCTGTCAGGTGCTCGGATTCGGTGTTGCCGGCCTATGCCATCAATGGCTGGTCGAACCAGCGAGCATTATCTGGCCTGGTGTGTTGGGAAATTGTGCTTTGCTAAACAGCCTGCACAGTCGGGCTAATGCGGTTGCCAACGGCTGGAAGATTTCTCGTATCAAGTTCTTCTTGATCGTCATGACGTGTGCTTTCGTCTGGTACTGGTTCCCCGGATTGATGTTCGTTGCGTTGAGTTATTTCACATGGATATGCTGGATTGTCCCGAAAAATGTGGTCGTCAACCAACTCTTTGGGTGAGTGGAAGATCATAACTGTCCGAGGCTCGCCGCCAATCTGACGTATTACAGGATGGAAACCGGCTTGGGTATGTTTCCCCTGACGTTCGACTGGTCCCAGGTGGCATACAACACCAACCCGCTCTTGTCCCCCTCTTGGGCTGCAATCAATGTGTTCCTCGGCTTCGTGTTCGCATTTTGGGTGATTGTTCCAGGTGAGACATTGTTTCGAATACTGAGATTCTCGTCAGCTGACACTAGTTGAGGCATTTACTACACAAACACCTGGTACACTGCTTATCTTCCAATGATGACGGCGGATGTATACGACAATACCGGGGCCGACTATAACGTCACTAACATCCTAACATCGTCCGGGACACTCGACCCAACAGCATATGCGGAGTACTCTCCACCATATCTGAGTGCCACATTTGCTTTTGTTTACGGGCTTAGCTTTGCCTCAATCATGACAGTCCTCGTTCATAGTGAGTCTACTAGCATTTCTTCTTGACAGATACATTGCAGGCTTCTCAGGCAGCAGCTTGAGGAGGAGTGAGGTCGAAATAAGCACTCCATCCAGGTCTGAAGGAAGCCTGCTGCCCGTCGAAGTTCAAGCATCTTCGAACTCCGTACTTGCACATTTTGCGAGCTTCTACTGACTGGCCCCTGTCGGCAGCTTATCTATGGCACGGCACCGATATCTACGAGACTTTTCGAGGCCGAGGAAAACTCGACATCCATGGGCGGTTAATGAGATCGTACGTTACAGGGTACTGTCACCGCCCCGTGCTCACTAACATTGACTTCCAGCTACAAGAAAGTGCCCTGGTGGTGGAATGCCATCATACTTGTCATCTTCACTGCGCTTTCCATCGTCCTTGCGGAAGTGTACAACACAGAGCTGCCTGTGTATGGTGTCTTCCTAGCCTTGGTCATCCCAGCCATATACATGGTACCGTGCGGTCTGGTTCAAGGAATCACTAATGTCAACGCAAACCAGTTGGTGAGTCTTCTTTTCCACTGCTACGTGCATGTTGCTGACAGTACCGCAGAACGTTCTTGCCGAATTCATAGTAAGATTTTGAGTGTCACATGCTGTGATACGACCGTACTGACATCCCTAGGGCGGGTATATGTTCGCTGGGAAGCCGCTCGCCAATATGGTTGTACGTATCTCGGCAGTTCTGTCGACTATGTTCACCGCCGTACAACGCTGACCAAATCGCAGTTCAAAACCCTCTCCGAGGACGTCGTGGCTCAAGGCATCTTCTTCGCCCAAGACCAGAAGCTCGGTCACTACTTCAAGATTGCACCAAGAACAGTCTGGCTCGCACAGGGCTATGCCTGTATCCTTGGCTCCCTCACGCAGACGGGTGTGACTTTGTGGATGCTTGGCAATATCGACGATGTTTGCAGCTCTGATCAGGTACGTAACCCAAAACTCTCTCGACGGAGAAGTCAAGCTCACGAGTTAGGCCAACGCATTCACGTGTCCCAACGGCCGTACGATTTTCTCTTCGTCGGTCATCTGGGGTCTCGTAGGTCCAAAGCGTCTCTACAGCGTCGGCAGGATTTACAGCGGCTTGTTGCACTTCTTCTGGATCGGAGCGCTTGCGCCGATCGTAACATGGGCGGCGTGGAAGTACACCAAGAAAGACTGGCTTAGGAAGGTCAACTGGCCGCTGATCTTCAGTACGTCTTGGACCGATCCTGTGCTTGCTGTGTGCTCTACTGACTTTGATTCACAGCCGGAACATACAACGTACCACCAGCGGTAAGGTCAGGAGACTTATTGCGAAGTGTGCCCTGCTGACAATTCGCAGACAGGAATCAATTACTCGTCCTGGGCGATAGTCAATCTCATATTCAATCATTTGATCAAAGACAAGGTATCTTCCACACACATCTAATATCCCCATTGCTAATAAGTCGCACAGTTCTTCGCCTGGTGGGCTAAATACAACTACATTCTTGCCGCCGGGCTCGACGTCGGAACCGCCATCTCCGGCATCATCATCTTCTTCGCGGTCAGCTATCCAGGCTACTCTTTCCCCGACTGGTGGGGCAATACTGTATATGCGAACACTGCTGATGGCAACGGGAGTGCGTGGAAAGCAATACCGGAGAGTGGATTCTTTGGGCCGCCGGTGGGGTCGTGGCATTGAGAATAATGCCGTCAGGTCGTGCTGTCGGTTATGCCATGGGGTGAGTCGTAGTGCCGTCCAATACCGGGGCGACATATGGGAACACGCTGTCGCCAAAATCACATGCCATCAGCTGAATCTTGGCGCATGGTCCGAGCTTCATCAGCGGCATCCCCAGAATCCAGCGACTAATGAACGGACGATGTATCTTCTCACACGATTGAAGGGTGCTTCGAGTCTACTCTATCCTCCAGCTGAAGTCCTCCATCAGTTGGGTTGACTCAAATGTCACCTGTGTTTCCAAGAACATCATCAGTGATTCGAGCATCTCTTAAGCCTTCATTCACTCTATATTTGTATCGATACCAACAACGACCTAGTTCAAGATCACTCAACCACCAACAACAGTCGCACTGTTATCCGCGCACGAAAACGCCGTCCCGACCTTCCCCGCCTTGAACTGATCCACAATATTCGAAATATTCGCATACGTGCCTCCGATGGAAAGGAACAAGCCCATCAGAAACATGCCCACATGCAACCACACCAGCGCCCGCTGCTTCACAGAACCCTTCCAGTACTCAACGTGGAGCGAGAACCACAAGACCGGCGGCAGAACCACGCCCAAGGGTCCGAAGCCCAGCGACCCGATCAGGCTGACGAGGCTGGTGTAGAAGGGGATGGCGACGGCTAGGAGCCAGCCGATGAAACCGCAGCTCAGGGTGCAGGCTATCCATACCACCCAGTGGGTTTTGGTGTTCTCAGTGAGGTGGTGACTACCTCGTAGGGCGCGGACGAAGAGGGTCTTGGCTGGGACATGGATGCAGATCATGCCGACGGCGATGAGGCCGGGCAGCGCCACGGCGTAGGCAGCCAATTTGATGGTAGGCCCTGCAGAGCCGAGCGATGGGCTCGTCACCCATTCTCCGGCGTATGCGTACATCACCATGGCCAGGGAGAGGTATGCTGCGTTGACGAAGGCGCTGGAGACGTAAAGAGCTCGGAAGAAATCTTGCGGTCGTCGCATCTCGCTCATTACTGGGACGTAGCCCGCTGTGTTGGCTGACGAGGCGTAGATGGCGATACTAGCGGCCCATGCCTGCGCAAATGTCGTCCCAGCAGGGGCAGCTGCTTGGAAGCCTAGATCATAGGGCCCGGTCTTGGGAGCGTAGGCAGGTCGCGATCGAATGGCCACGGCGATGACGACCATGAGGACCGATGCGAGGGCAGAGACGAACCCAACCCAGAGGATGATCCCGAGTCCGTGGATCTTTCGAATACTCCCTGCCGCCGTCGATATGATGAACGCAATCACATTGAAAGCCACAGTGCACGTGCCATGACTAGTGATGGCATTCAACGCCGTCCCGATCGCAAGAACCGCCAACCCAACACAAAGCAACCAAGCAAACAAATACAACACCTCGGACACAATCTTCGCCACCTTCGCCCAGAAATTACTCCCGCTAAGATGCAAAACGGAAATCTCCGCGCCGTCGATAATCGTGTGCATCTTCGGATGCGCCAGCTTGTAGTGCCCCTGGATGTACGCCGAGTAGGTGTTCACCACGCCCCAGAAGATGATGAAGATGGGCGAGGCCACGCCGCCGAGGAAGTACATGGCCGAGGGCATGGAGAGGACACCCGTGGCGAATGTCTGCTTCATGAGGAACATGCTGGCGCGCAGCCAGCCGACGGTGCGGAAGTTGACTTTGTTGGAGCCGTCTGCTGCGCCGAAGACTTCGTCCTCGTGATGGGTGGCGTCTTGTTTCAAGGGCTCTATGGTGCCGGTGTCGATGTCGGTTTGTTCTGGTGATATGGACGAGACCATGTCGTGCTTCTTCTCGTCGGCCATTGTTGTTCGCTGCGGTCAGCTACCAAGTAGAAATTCCAGAGGTTCGCGCTTGAGGTCGTAGATGTTTGCATTTTACCATATCGAGGCGATGGCGCCCATATAGCGAGCGCATGTCGATGATGCACGGTGTCGCTGGCCTATCGATGGATGGCCGCCGGCGAGATAGTGAACATTCATCGCACTCGGCATAGATCGTCCTCCAAAGAAGACCCTTGAAGCGAAGTGAAAGATGCGGTGCATTGTGGAAATCCGGTAATGGCTGCACAATCACTGAGATAGGGAAGACTTTGGTCTGACAGGTTGTCGATCGTATCGTTAGCTTGGAAGATCCAGCCGCTATCTCGCGTGCAGCAACAGAAGATTTGGCCAAGGCTGAGCGCCGGCGGTAAGAAGCCAAATCGTCGACTCGTAAGAAAGGCAGGAAACTCATCTGTTTGACACATGTAGCGATTTGGTATTTCAGTGCCGGGCTGTATCGTACAAGTTTTTGCGAGCTTGATCAACAAGTTCTTCTCATTCCGGTCGCTGCCGTTCTCACATATCTGCCATTAAAGATCAGTCACCCTGAGTCCTGCAATACTCCAATCCACTACCCTGTCGATGTCTTTTAAGAATCCGCACCCCACCCACTCTGCGTCGACCGTCCATTAAGCGTGTTCCACGCACTGACACTCCCCGAAATAAAGCTCACAGCCGCATCAACATTCCTGTTCCCCGTCTGCGGAACCTCACCGCTCGCCCTCCTCATCCTCCCCTCAACATCCACATTCACAGGCATATCCGTGCCATCGCCGTGGAATTTCTCCAGTACAAGGCTCCGGATCAAGTTTGCGTGTTGGTTCACCCAAGATTCTTCCGAGATCGTGGCGAACTTCTTCATCCCGTCGGCGGCCCATGTTGACCAGCGGAACTCGACGTCGCAGACTGTCCACCATTTCGTCAAGAAGAAGAGAATGGGCCAGGTGAAGATCCAGAGGAAAGTGAGGTAGAAGATCCATCTGACCCAGGAGATACGGGCGGAGTTGATCCAGTGTGGGTTGTAGATGTCGACGTGTCTGTCGGCTATGGGGAAGGTGATGTCGATGTGTCCTCTGTAGTGGGTGGATCGGATCAGGGGGACAATGCGGTCGCTGATTTCGCTGGTGATCATCCCGGTGACGTTGCGAGAAAGCCGGAAGACTTTCAGGGTGCTCTTCGAGTTGCAGAAGTCTTCACACCAAGCTTTAAGATCTGGAGCTTCCTCGGTGCCGACCTCGATATCCTGCTTGTAACCCTTGGCGCGCACTTTGAAGACTGAGCCACGATGTCGCTTGTCTCCATTGGTAGCGATATTCCGTGCCCAGAATCCTTCCTCCTCGCGCTGGGAAGTCGGCAGGTATGCTTGGAGACTCATAACAATATCGAAATCGTACACGCGCTCTTGCTCTTTCTTATTGTCCTTCTTCTTCGTCTTCCAATGCCAGCCTTGAATTCTCACGACTGGTCTCGGGGGAAGCAGGCTGAGGTAGGTTCTGATGTAACCTTCTAACGTTCGTGCGTCGAGCAAGCGATCTTCCATCCGTATACTGGTCTCTGAGCCCACGGCTTTGGTAGGCGAAACTCCCTTGCTGCGTCCACGCCAGTTGTTATCCGGCGGCGCTATCACTCGGTATTCGTCCAGGGGAGGCGGGTCCGCATAGTCGTGAGCATCGTTCGGTCGGGTTGAGGAGTCGCCAGATACGCTCTCGTCATAGGACGGCAATTGAGGAACATCGTCATATTCGTAGTCGCTTCGAGTTGTGTGCATGGAGACGGCATCGGGTTCGTCGCGATAACGGCTGGTGGTCCCAGTCGTAGAAGCTGGCACTGCTGCAGCAGCATGCTTGTAATCTGCTGTCATATCGATACTGTTGACAGGCGTTCGGTATGCTGTGAATGAATGGATAGGACTGCCAGACAAAGTGCAGAACAGAGAGAGTAAATAACGCGATAGCGAGCTGAGCTCACCTTGTGAAGTTGCACCAGGCTGCGGCACAGGCACAGAAGCTTGATCGTTCTCAGGGTGCTGCGCCTGCCTATATGTAAGTCCAAAGGTTCAACAGTAATCGCCTTCTGTGGCCTCAGTGGTACGTGGCCGCCGCCTGTCTTTGGCTAGGCTTGTCGTGAAGAAGTGATAGACCAATCCTTCGCGTCGAAGCTGCGCAGAGTCACGTCCAAGCTCACGTGCCGTGCAGGCCGTGTTGAGAGGATATGATTGGCTGCAGTGGAGCAGATTGAGGTAAATTTAGCAAGATGTTCCGAAGTTCGCCTTCAAGACTGGTCTCGAATCTGGACAATTGATGAATCGAGCGGTGAAAGCCGCGAAACACTTCATGATGCTGGCGGATTTTCATTTCAATCCTGGTACATATATTCCTCCCTCTTCACCAGCGAGACTGGCGGCACGTAGTGCTTGTGTCCTCTGAAAAAGTAGTAGCCCGTCGCTATGATCATGATCCCGCCAAACATGACAATGGCCCAGTTCATTCCTTCAGCATCTGTTGGTGTTGCTGTTGGGAAGAACATGAAGACATATACAGCCAGCAGCCAGCAGATTGCAATGATGTTGACTGCCATTCCAGCTTTTCCTAGGCTCCATCGTCGGTGCGGCAAAGGTTGCCCTCGAATCCGTTTCAGCAGGACCAATGCGATGACGATAATGTACGATGTCAGAAGGCTGACGGTCGTTAATGCCAGAATTGCATTCAATGCAGCGGAAGAACCAATGTTGATAAGCGACAGCAGGCTTGTCACGAGCAAGCTGACCAGAACCGCGTTGAGTGGTATGTTCCATCCGGGAGTAATGTGAGCGAGCCAGTGATGCCCAGGCATTCCTCGGTCTCGGGCAAAAGACCACAGTTGCCTCGAAGCCGTTGCGATCTCAGCAATGGCCGAGGCGCACAGCGTGAGTATGACGATAACTGTCAAAATCGATGCTCCAGCGTATGATTCTGTGACGTTGTAGAAGACCTGGATGAAAGGGCATCCTGTAGCAGAATTGAGAATAGAGTCCACGTCGCCCAGGGTAAAGCACATCGTGACTGCCATGACGAATCCCAAACAGGCGTTGAATCCCGCTGACCAGAGCATAGCTTTCGGTACCGTTCGTCCAGCATCTTTGACCTCTTCGCTCACATGCACCGCGCAGTCGAAACCAATCATCGATACCATGGGGCTTAGCAGTCCGACCATGAAACTGGTCCCTTCGGAGTTCCAGCCGCCAGCATTGGTGAATGTTGTGAACACGTCTTTGGCATTGGCGGTCGGGGCCAGCACCCAAAGCGTGATAATGATCGCGAAGAGTCCAAGGACATGAAGTACTAGAAGAAGGCCCTCGACCAGTGGTAGACGCTTGGCCAAGACCGTATTGAAAATGATTGCGAATGTGGCCACTGCGATGACTAAAAGTGTCCCGTGCCAGTTCTGGAAGACATATCCAGGGTTGTTCAGAACGATCAAGCCTTGTATGACGGTTCCCGCGAGGTATGTGATCGATGTAATAGCACACTGCCAGCCAGTGAAGCAGAGCCAGCCTACAATGTAAGACAAGAACTTCTGCGCAGGCTTCGGCGCAAACTCTGAGACCCAGTGGTATCTGAAGAAATATTAGCACAGTTACTGGGATAGTTGTTGCATGGTGCCAGTCAATACTTACTGCCCGCCGCTCGTTGGTGCCACTGCCAAAAGTTAGTTTCTAAGTCACTAGTGCCACATTCATTGGTCGTTGCGACAAGTCAGGCTTCTCCAGAAAAGGAGACGTGGCACAGCCGTTGAGTGTCAATGCTTGGAGACAGTCTACCACGACGTCAAAGGAATCAACTTACTACTTGCCATCTCCGCAATTGACATGTAAACGAAGGCGAACCCAAAGACCACGACAATAAAGCCCCAGATGACACCAGCCGTTCCTCCGTTGGTAAGTACCGATGTGATCGTCGTCAACAGCACCTCCCATGTGGCGATGAGGGTACAACCGAGGCCGACTATGGATAGGAAGTGGAAGTTTCGCTACTCCAGGTCAGTCAGAGCCAAAATGATCTGTTGGTATCAGGCGAACCCGTAGTTGCTGCACTCGCCCCAGAGCAGACATTTCACGTCTGTCCGCTTCCGTTCCTTGCCGTTTTCTCTTGACAGCATACTCAGGCAACTCAAAGCCGTCATCGCCGTCGTCAATGGCTCCTTCGGAGCTGCATGTCGTCTCGACCTGCGGTGGGGTGCCTTTAGGCTCCGGTGTCAGGAACGTCGGAGACGACGAAGAGGATGCCATGCTTCCGCCAGCTTGGTAGCGAACGTAGAGGTTCCTCGCCACCGCAGCAAAGTAAGAACCACACGGACGTCAAACTTGCGCCTGAAACGAAAGTCGCCTGGAGAGAATGGTGTGATAAGGAATGCTTGTTAAAGAAAGAGAAGACAGCAAGGTTCGTTCGAAACTACCTTGGCATGAGGTTCAAAAAGCCTGCCTTCTGCCGCAGCTAAGCACCACTCGACGAAGTCGTGCATTTCCTGCAACAGACCAACGACATCGGGAAAGAGACGCTCGGTGCGGAGAGATGGGTTTTCGTCGAAGTTCGCCGTGCCGCACGTGCAACGAGATTCCCTGCGGCCATGTGAACACGAACGGAGATGACAATTCAAGAGGAATGGCCAAGGATATCGCGTGGTGAGCGGGTATGCATGAGCACATTAGCATGTAGATCATCGACGTGGGCCCGCGGCGGCAATGCGTTGGTGATTCGTGCAAGCACTGCGAGACATTCCCTCTTCTGGCCTCCGCGCAGCTTGAATTCTGTACATCATAGTAGCTGGTAGCCTCGATGACTTTGGCCATTGGACCATCTTGGCGGATGTTGTTGTTGAAGAAGAAGAGAACGGCCGTTGGAGAAGTGAAGTCTCTCAACGCCAAGACCATTACGGCATGCTCCGACCTCACCTGCTCTTGCAATCCTTGAACTCGTTCCACTTCGTCTCCATCTCATCCACCAAGATCGTCTGCCGAATTTCTCTATTCACCATAGATCATGCATCTACTGCAAATGCCCCGTGCGAGCGACGAAAACCCATGGCATGGCCGCGAGGAGGAGCGCACGAACCGTGCCCTTCCCCGAGCACGCACCTCCAACAAATGATTGTTGAAGACAATCTCGCCGTCGCAGCGTGGGACACAGCAGCCCTCGTATCTTCAGAGAACAAATCCTAGCACAAGGATGCGCAAAAGCTGGGCCGTTACACGAGCCAGTCGACGAACATTCGGGTGACAGTGGCTCGACTACAAGTACCATCCATTCGATTTAGCCTGTCGCTGCCACGTTTCTTGCGCATTGCCAAAACAGATCGGACAAGCGCTACTGCCAAACCCGGCTTCGACCAGGGGAGTCACAATGAGTCTATTCGATGGGTTTCAACCTGGAGCAATTTGTGACGACATCCTCGTCACAACACACCAGATTTTGACTGCGGTCGTCCACCACACCTTTCGCTACCTTTTCGGAACAGAGGAAAAGTCCTCATGAGACTTCAAAAGGTTTTGCGTAAGCGACTTTGCACGACTCGAAGTAAGTTCACAACGAGAAGGGCGACTTCACACCTCACGGCTCGGGGTTAACTCGAGACGAGGATTCTACGCAAGCTCCACCGTTCCCAATATGCATTTCTAGGTAAGGATATGATGCCTTACAACCTCCTTGCGTGTGGCCCAATAGTGTACCCTGTTGCCATTGCCGATCTCGCTCTACCCGAGAAGCATCCCCATTTCGTCGGGTATTGCTCTCAGCAGCCTCACCGAAGCACTCCATCGGCATGCTCTGGGGAACTTCGTGCTCGAGCGCTCACGATGTGCGACTTCACCAAAGACTGAACAACCTTCAATGTGGGCACTGGCTGCCCCTGTGTTGCTAACACACTCATAAACACCCTAACGCTTGACGACTGACACGACACTTTACTTAATTGCCTCATCGGCTCCCTCTGACCTTCCCGATGGTTACAAGAAGCCTATATTACCCTTCGATGGTAACCACCGTGGGGCTGGTATACACATCTGCAATGGCTTTGGCTTGACTGTGATCCTGATCACCCTTGCCATCAGAGCCTACATACGAACACGGGTGGCACCTCCATGGACATATGACGACCATGCGCTGGCTGCTGCCACCATACTTGCAACCATACAATGCTTGCTGGTATTTGTTGAAGTCAGCGGTGGATTCGGCACGTCGTTGGAGCTCTTGAACCCGGAACAACTGTTGACTGTCCAGAGGGTAAGGCCGCCGTATTGAGTCTGCTGCAAACCATCAAGCTGACCGATGATCAGCTAGGCTATGCAGCCGACATCTTCTACGTCCTCTCAATCTATGCCGGCAAGATCAGTGTCGTGCTACTGTTCAAGCGCATCATCGCGGAACGAATGCACCAGATCGTTGCATGGAGCATCTTCGGTGGCTGCTGCGTAATGGGCTTCATCTCCATCTTTCTCTCAGCTTTGCGCTGCGATGTTTCTCAACCATGGTTGCAGTTCGAGAAGAATTTCCCTTCACTCGCCGCGCAATGGTCTGCAGTCGCGGCTTTCGATATCGTCACCGAGCTATCGCTCTTCTTCATCAGCATCCTCCTCGTCCATGGTCTCCACACCAAGGCTAAGAACAAAGGGCGAGTAGTCCTAGCATTCGGCATTCGCCTGCCGTGAGTCTACAGCGAACATTGTTGCTCAACATGGCTAACACACTACCAGCATCATCGCCATCATAATCATCCGCCTCATCTACCTCAAAAGAGAACTCCAATCCCCCGACCCAACCCTCGATGGCGTCCCCGCCTCCATCCTCACCCAAGTCGAAATCTTCTACAACATCATCACCGCCACCGTACCCTGCCTCCGTCCCTTCCTCGCAGGCTTCGCAACCAACTTCGGCGCCATCGGCAGCGGCACGGTCCTCGGAGGCTCACAAATCGGCACCGGCAGCAAGAACAGCCACAGCAACTCCAAAAGCGGGAGTTTTGCCCTATCCTCCCTCACATCGAGGAATCGCATCTCCGCTTTGAAAGAGAAGATCATACCGACGAGCACGACACAGAGTTCGAGGAGCCATGATGTGACGGGGGAGGATGATAGCTGGCGTCCGGATCCGAGTAATAATGAGACGACGGTGACGAGGGGGAATTCGCGTTTGCCTGGGAATGATGCGAGTAGTATCGCGAGCGATGAGAGTACGAAGATGATTATCAAGAAGGAGGTGCAGTTCTCGGTGGGCAGTGTGAGGGAGCATGGGGCGCAGCATTTGGGTGTGCCTGATGAGGTGGGCAGAGCGAGTCAGGCGTGAGCTTTTTGCGATTTGAAGAGTTGTAGACTGGATATGACGGTCTCCTGAAAGTGTGTCTTCTTCTCTTTTCTTGCAGCCACATTTCAACTGTTGAAACGCTTTCTCGTCTTCAGCCTATCGTCACCATCCGGAAGCCCGAAGATCCAGGTTAAGAATGCTTTCTCTTTGCTGGAAATACTCATGGGTGCTGGAGAGCTCGAAATCCGGATGCCCAGCCACGTATTCGCCAGGTTTCATGCCAATGTGCCGCCTCCAACTTTCCCCGTCGGGGAAGCCAAGAGTTGGAGATGGGTTTAAAAATGTTGGAGAAACTCAAGGACCGGTGAGGTCATCTTCTTCAACTTTTTCCACTGACGCCGAAGTAGATATATATACCGCTTGTAACGCGCTACTACCACTTTCTTGTACAACCACGAAAAGAACGCCACTCCCTTTCCCACCAGCACCAAACACCTCCAGCCCCCCTCCCCATCATGTCATCCCAGCACTACATCAACGAAAAAGGCGCCGGCGAGAAGCACAGCGATCTAGGCCACTACTCCCAAGCAGTCATCCTCGGCAACATCGTCAAATGCTCCGGCCAAGGCGGCTGGGACAACGAAGGCAACCTATCGCAATACGACTCTCGCGCACAGATCGACAACGCCTTCGACAACGTGGACCGAGTCCTGCAAGCCGCCGGCTTGAGAGGCTGGGAAGATGTTCGTGCTCCCCTGAATTTTGTTCGTGCTTGGGTTGATGGGGATTTTTTTTAGGTCTACTGCCTGAGGAGCTACCAGGTTGATATTGGGGTGCATTGGGAGTATTTGGTTGAGAAGCTCAGGAAGCGGATTCCGGGGCATAGGCCTATTTGGACGGCGTTGAGTGTGCCGAGATTGGCGTTTGAGGCTATGACTGTTGAGCTTGAAGTTGAGGCTATTCGGCAGGAATGATGAGAGTAGGGATTGCGTCTACCGAAAAAGTTTTTCGATTCTGTGTTTAGTATGCAGGCGCTCTCGACTTTCGCAAGCATTGATCGATTTGCGGCACTGTGACTGGAAGGGCAAGTCAGTCGTCATAGTCGCAGTTTCGGAGCTGTAAACCCAAGTCTGTGGCGTAGAATTCTGGAGGCAAATCGTCATCTCTTCTCATGCCCTAGAAGCTCATCGTTTCGTGGACGGGATGCTCATTCCCAGGCATCCAACACCAAAGCGCTCGACTTGCACTTGGTCTTTGTCCGAAACATGCAGCCCCTCTACCCCAAGCACTGTAAACGCCATATCATGCGCCACGCTAGAACCCCAGTATCACCGATAACCCATACCCACTTCAGTTCCTTTACCAGTACCCATTCTTCACTCATACAACCCCATTAACCCTTGCATCGCCCTCACTCCCCTCACTCCCCGTGATAACCCAATCCTTAACCCCACCCTTCCAATCACTAATCCTCCCATCCCGTATCCTCACGATCACAACTCTCACCCCCTCATCATCGATATAACTCTCTCGTCCCCCATCCTCCTCCGCCTCCGGCACATTCCTGCTCACGGTCCTGCTCAGACTCAAATTCTCCTGATCTTCGTCGAAAGTGTTATTGGCGAGATGTTGCTCTTTGCACCATTTCTCTTCCGGTGTCCCAGAAGCGAGCACATGCGCGGACCCGTTGATCGTCGCGGAGATGGAAGAGACGGCGGTACTGTTCATTTGCATGAGCATTTGGGCGAGGGAGCTGCGGGGCCCGCCGGTGGGGCTGCGTTCGCGGTCGGCGCCGGAGAGGGTGTTCGGCGGGCGGGAGGAGACCCAGTCGTGGACGAGGAGGGAGACGTTAGGGTTGCTGAGGAGGTTGGAGGTCTTTTTCGAGGAGGGGTTCGAGGTCATGACGATCGCGGGGCCTGGTGGGAGGGTCGAGGTGGAGGGGAAGGGGTGCGAGGGGAGGTAGGTGAATTTCATGAGGGAGACGTGGGGTATGTTGGAGGTGCAGGTTGCGAGGTGGAGCTGTGGGTGAGAGATTAGTTTAAGCACGTGCTGTTCGTTGGGTGAGTGAATCTTACGAATCGAGCATTTTCGAGGCATGTGACGACTTCTTGTGGTAATCTGTCGGATTGAGTGGAGTGGCAGGGCGTCGCGGACTCTTCCCAGCGAAGTGGTCGTGCAGATTCAGCTGCCATTGTGGTGATTCTGTTGATCTTGTGGTTGTCTAAGTGTAGTTGTTGGTATGTTCAAGATTCAGTGCGCTTTCAATCAAAGCTCCATCAAATGACGTCGGCATCCATTGATTAGGGCTTCGGGCCGAGCTGAAACGGTTCCAAGGCAGGAGTTGCGCGTTGCAGGTGGCTTGGAGACTTCGACCATTCGCCTCTATAAAACTTGCCGCTTCCAACTGAATGCTGGCACTGACTCGAGCCGCTTTTGACCATAAGCATACCTAATCTCAATCGAACCACACCACCACCATGTCGGGAGAGTTCTCTCGCGACGAAACCAACGGCGACGTCGCGGTATCCAGCCCTGCAGCTGCCACTGGACCCAATCACAGCACCAATGGCGATACTCCTGTTAGTCCACAGGCCCCGAAGCCAGGCTCCAGCGGCGGTCTACCAAACAAGGCCGTCGACGATGTCATGTATTCGAACATTGGCGTGAACACGCTGCTGGATCGCCTCAAGCAAAGCATTGCCTCGGCTCGCGACTTTGCGCAGTTCCTCAAGAAGCGCAGCAGTTTGGAAGAAGATCAGGCGAAAGGGTTGAAGAGATTGGCGCAAAGTCAGCTGGAGAATGTCAAGAGGAGCGAGGTTAGAGGTGGGTCGTATGCTGCTCAGATGTCTGAGCTGCTGCGCGTCCACGAGCGGATGGCGGACAATGGCATGCAGTTCGCGTTGAGTCTGCATCAGATGCACGAGGATCTTGATGTGTTGAGCTCGAATATGGAGAGGGGGAGGAAGCAATGGAAACACGAAGGTCTGGCTGCGGAGAAGACTGCGAGCGATGCGGAGCAGGCGATGCAGAAAGCTAAGTCCAGATACGACAGTCTGGCTGAGGACTATGACCGCGCGAGGACGGGAGATACAAAAGGTAGCCGCAGAATCGGCTTGAAGGGTCCGAAGAGCGCTGAGCAGTACGAGACGGATATGCACAGGAAGGTCGAGGCTGCGGACCAGGATTATAAGGAGAAGGTCAGGCAGGCTCAGAACCAGCGTGAGCAGCTGATCAAGACCGATCGACCAAAGGCCGTCAAGGCCCTACAGGAGCTCATCAAGGAAAGCGACAGTGCTTTGACACTGCAATTGCAGAAGTTCTCCACCTTCAACGAGAAGCTGCTGCTGGGCAATGGTCTTGCTGTGAGCCCATTGACTGATGGTAATGGACCACGCACGCAGAGAAGTCTGAGAGATCTTGTCCTGGATATCGACAACGAGAGGGACTTCCACAGCTACGTCAGCAGCCATTCGGGCAAGGTGACCAGACCTAGCGAGATCAGATACGAGCAGCATCCGACACTTGCTCCGAAGACGCAAGTGCCAAAATCAGCTGCTCCTCCATCACAGCCAAGCGCGCCGGCAATGCAACCGACTCTGGCTGTCAATACTGGCACTTCGCAGCCAGGTTCCATGAGCAGCCGATACGACTCACAGCCTCTACCGTTCAATCAGAATCCGCCGTTGTCCAGCCATGGCTACCAACAGTCGCCACAGCAGGACACACAATCACCTGCGTATCAGACGACCCAGTCGCCCTACAACACTCAAGCTACTCCCCTCAAGGACACCTACAACTCTCCTCCCTACCCTACTGACCCATCGGAGCGTGTCGGTACTGGCTTCTCGCAACACCAACAAACGACCGGCACGATTGCTGCTGCTGGACCGCAAATCGACTCCTTTAATCAGTATTCGGCGCCCACCGGGAAAGGCAAGGTCTTTGGTATGTCTCTGGACGAGCTCTTCGCACGCGATCAGTCTGCCGTTCCCATAATTGTCTTCCAGTGTATTCAAGCTATCGACATGTTTGGTCTGGAGACCGAAGGCATCTATCGACAAAGCGGCACCCACTCCTACATCAACCGTCTCCGAGAAGCTTTCGACACTCTACCCGCCAACAGCCCACAATTGGACTTCCGCAATCCGTCCAACTTTTTCCATGATGTCAATGCCGTGGCAAGCTTGTTGAAGGCATTCTTTAAGGAGCTTCCAGATCCGTTGTTCACGAAGGCTGGGTACGCTCACTTCATCGAAGCGGCGCAGGTGGACGATGAGGTTCAACGTCGGGATGCAATTCATCAAGGGATCAATGACCTACCAGATCCAAACTATGCAACGCTAAGAGCTGTCGTACTGCACCTGAATCGTGTGATGCAGAATGAGTCGAAGACGAGGATGAACAGCGAAAACTTGGCTGTCTGCTTTGCGTGAGTATTCAAGGCCTAGTTAGTGTGAATGAAGAAGCTAATGTGATGACAGACCAACCCTCATGGGCAACCAGAACGGTGCTATCGCCGACGCAAGCTGGCAACACAAGGTAGTAGCGACGATCATGGCCAACGCCACGGCCATCTTCGACGAGGACTGAGAACTTGCGAATGAGACGAACAAAAGTGATCTACTCAATGCATGGTGGCCAGGAGCCATCGAGCGGTTTGGGTGAGCTTCTTTCATGATCGTACTACGGCAGACAGCATATCTTAATGAGTTCATTGCGAAAGCATTTGTATTAATGAAAGCATTTGTATTAATGAAAGCATTTGAAATATCAGCCGGCTTCCAGCGGTACTGTTGACCTCGTAGCGACGCGGAAAGTGTAGTTGACTTGGCAGCGATCATAAACTGGTATAAGAGCGGAACTGGACGCTCTTTGCTGACTCAACGCATGAAAGGCGTTTGACGGGGCTGAGCATCACGGCATCGGCTGCGCGACGACAGCCGAGCTGAGCTTTGAAAAACAGGCAAAAGCTCGCTCAAGCCACCCTGCAGAGGATCTCGAGCGAGCTACTGCTACTACTGTCTCCGACTCCACAACAAGCTTACTATCGAATGGCGAGCAGCACTGTCCCACACCGGCCAAAGGTTCTATTTTGGATCAACAAAGACGCCACGTCGAACAGTGTGTCCAACAGCTCGCGTGAGCAACGATCTGCCATTCAGAGCCAAATTCAACGAGGACGCCCGCGGAAGAGGAAATCAAAGAAGGACCAGCCAGATGAGGCAATAGACAGCATTTGCAGGACCCCAGCGTCGGACCGCGTACTCCAAGAGAGGCCAAAGGAACTGTACGATGCCACGACACGTGGTATAGCCGCTCCAATCGACCCCTTTGACACTGCGTCAATACAGATTGACACAACGGCGCATGGCCTATTGCGATATTACGTCCATTACTACCACCCGGCGCAATGGCCCAACGAGCCCTTCTCTCGCGACAAGGGTCCTTATTCGTACAAAGCCTCGGTACATCGCATTGTGACCACCGCTATGCAGGATCAATTGATGATGTTCTGCCTGCTCAGTGCCGCATGCGCACGTATCCAGCACATCGATCGGTTGGACTTTCCGACTGTAGCACGCAAGCAAGACGGGTACACGCAGAAGGCTATCCAACTTATGCGGGAAAAGGTTGGCGAGATGGAGCGACATCGGCAAAGAGATGAGCAGACTCTGCATATGCTCCTGCATTGCATGCTATTCCTGGGAATGCATTATGTGTACGGTGACGATTTCGAGGCTGGCAGGATACATCTTCAGGTCTCACTGGCGTTGCTAGATCAAATCGGCGGAATTAACGGACTGAAAGATCGGCATTTGCAGGAGAAGATTTTGATGTCTGATCTCTTCCTTGCGTGTGTCGATATGCAGCCTTGTCTCTGTGGCTGGGAATATGATCCTGGGCCGGCTTCTGTTCTTAAACTGCAGGATCGTGAATTGAGGCAGTTGTCTGCCGAAGATGAGTTTATGGGGTCTGCTTTACTCGGCAAAGGCGACGATGTGCTACCAGCTGACCTCCAAGAGCTCATTGAGCAGATCATCGAAATATACCACGTCAAGATCAGACTTCAAAGATCGACCATCTCGTGCACGCGCGCTCTGCAAACTGGACAATGGATCACACGGCGGAACATGGCTCTTCGAGCGCGATTACTGGATCTCAAACTCGACGACGACAGGATGCACGCTTTGAGAATTGTGTCAATCATGTGGACGCTTTTGTCCATGAACATCACCGGCCGTCTAAAGACTGTCAAAATCATGGCTGGCAAACTCCGCAATGTTCTCGCACGCATCGCCCCAGAGCAATGGATGCCAATGGAGAACGTCCGATTGTGGATTCTGCTCATTGGATATACCTGTTCGCCGCAAGACTCGGAACTTATGGAATGGTATTTCGAACAGATCCGCGAGAATGAGATGGCGCAGATGAGTGTTCTGGAAGAGTTGGCGTATAATGTGAGTCTGATCGACTGGCTGGAGGAGTTTCAGAAGGGGTTCTTGTATCATGGATTGGTGCAGCGACCAGTGACGCTGGACTTGGCTAGGAAACTGCTTGAGGTGGAGAAGAATTCTTGGACCTGAGGCAACTAATGGGACGATGTGACATGTACAGGCATCTCCGCTCGAAAATCTTGCCCGGATTCACTTGGCACTTTAAGTTTCGGGTTCGCATCTTGCCAAAGCGAAACCACTTCCGAATCGGGAAGTTACGTGCCGATATGCTTCGGCATGCCGAATGTGTGCTGCACGTCAGTCACCTTGCGTGGGAGTACAACATAGGGCGCACTCCCACATCGGCAGGGACAAGCTCAAGTGATTGCTCTTCTCCACGGTATCCAGACAATGGCTCCGACAGTCCCCGAACAGCGGCTTCGTGAAGTACCGACCTGAGCTGGATGACACAAGCATGCGTGAAACATGCCAGCGCAAGGGTGCTTTTGGAACTGGTCTGACGGATGAACCACGGACGAAAAGTGATGTTGGCTCCACATAAAAGCAGCACTCCTTCTATCGATCGCTCTGAGTGCATCAATTAACAGCCCATCGACATCAAACCACCTCAGATACAATGGCATCGCCTTCCCTACCTGCAACAATGCGAGCAATCATCCACACTCAGTCAACACAAACCCTAGCCCTTTCCAACAACGAGCCCCTCCCAGATCTGCCTGCGGGCGAATACCTCCTCAAAAATGAAGCCGCCGGCATAACGAACGGTGAACTTTTCTGGCCGCGGCCCCCTGAGCTCGACAGATCCTACCCTTGCGTCGAAGCAGCCGGTGTCATAGTCCAGGCCCCGAGCAGAGGGAAATTCAAGCCCGGAGACAAAGTCTACCACCGCGTCGTCTACCCCCGAGGCGGCGGAGCAAGGGAATACTCCACCGTAACAGAAGACGTCCTCGCTCTCAGGCCAGAGAGCATCAGCGCCGAAGAAGCCGCCAGTATCCCCGTCTCAGCTCTAACAGCCTGGCAAGGCCTCTTCGAACAAGCCAATCTAGAACCCAACTTCGACACGACCTCTCACCCACCGAAATCCCAGCGTCCGCAAATCTTCATCAACGGCGCCTCGGGCGGCGCGGGGAATTGGTACGTCCAGCTCGCCCACGCGGCGGGATACTACGTCGTCGCGACGTGCAGCACGAAGAATATCGAGCTCGTGCGCTCCCTTGGTGCGGATGAGGTGCTCGATTACACGAAGACGCCTCTGGCGGAGTACTTCACAACCCACCCGAAATACCCCCTCGTCTTCGACAACGTCGGCGGTAAATCCCTCCTCGCCGCATGGCATGCCGTCGCACCGGGCGGGAAGCTGTTTACTATCGCTCCCCCGGGCGAGATCTCGGATTTTGTGAACTGGAAGTATGAGCTGGAGCCTCCGAACGATAAGGGGGTTAGTGAGGGTGTGGAAGGGAGGTTCTTTCTTATGAGGGCTGATGGGGCGCAGTTGGGGAGGGTTACGGAGTTAGTGGAGGAGGGGAGGTGTAGGGGGGTTGTTGATGGGGTTTGGGGGATGGGGGAGTTTGAGGGGGCTTTTGGGAGGGTTGGGAGCGGGAGGGCGGTGGGGAGGGTTGTGATTAGGGTGAGTGAGGGGTGAGAGTTTGCACATGGATTAGTGAGTGAGTGTGGCTTCTGTATTGAGTTTTTGGTGCTCTTCAGCTGACTTGCGGAAGTTTCCGGATTTTAGCCGGTGCGAGTGAATGTTCGTTTGCAGCCGCTGTTTGCTCGTTGCCCCGTGCAACTTCAAGGGTCAAAAAGTTCTACCGACTTCTTCCTCTCTTTTTTACTTTCTTCGGTTCTTTGCGTCGAAACGTCATCTGTCCGCAACACCATGGCGCCCCCCCCCCCCCCCCCGGGGATCGTGCGCCCGTGCGACCGAAAAATCAGAAGCCTACCCTTGAGATGACACGCCAAGCCGATGAGGAGGGCATGGATGCAGACAGTTTTGATACGCTGATGGACATGATGAAGCAGGCTGCCGATATGTCCAAAGTCTCTGGCATCAAGTCTGAAAGGCTCGCTGAGGAGGGGAAAGACGTGGAGAAAGCACGTCTTGCGTTTGTGGCAGCGGCGAGGGGCCTGCAGAGGCGCCCAACTCCATCTGGTGATACCTTGGTAAAGAAAGCCGCTCTGAAGAAGATTGAGAGGTTTGACGGCGAGGAGGGAAAGAAATATTCGTTCTCCCTGGCATTTCCTCAACCATATCCGCCATGCTCGCGGGCGCTCGAGGATCTGACTTGAGACAAGGGCCGATGTTCACATGGGAAACTCAAGCTGATCATCTATAGATGCACTTCGAAGAGCTTTTGCTGGATACACATCATCGTGGACGATACGTGTTGGTGCGCGTCGTCGAAGAGCCCAAGTTCCAGCCGTCACGCGCCATCACCATCGTTCAAGATGCCCACAAGCAGGCTGAGTTCGTCATACTTGAGCACGGCCAACACCAACTCGACAGTCGTGTGCTTCCCAAAGGCGGCTTTCTTGCCATTAAGGAGCCGTACTATACAGTGGAAACAGACCTGCAGACCTGGTACATTCGTGTTGACCACCCGAGCGACATTGTACAGTTGTCACCGCAGTCCGCCATGTACCTGCTGCCCTTCGCCAGGTGAACTTCAACACCACCGATACCACAGCTGAGGCTTAGAAGGAGAAAGGAAACAAAGCTATCAAATATGGGACTGTCAGTGGATATCACCAAGCCGCGTACTGCTACACGGAAGGCCTCGCCTCCGTCGGCGAGAATGTCGAGCTCAAGCTGGATTTGCTACGCAATCGAGCGTACGCCAATCTTGAGCTTGGCTACTATGATTCCGCTGAGAGAGATGCCCGAGCCTCTGTCAGCAGTGGAAGAGTCGCAATCACGGATCGTATGAAGGACTTGGACTATAAGGCGTATCGTCGAGCAGCCACGGCTACTTACAAGTTACGGAATTAGAAGAAGGCGCAAGTCCTTCTGAAGCTGGCTCTTGCCTTGAGGCCTGAAGGTGACAACAGTGACGCTGAGCAGCTTCTTGCCAGAGTATCTGCCCGCCAACAGGAGCAGAGCTCCGGCACCTACGATTTCGAAGCCATGATTGAGGGCTTGGACAGTTGCCCACGGATAGATGCCGCAGACTTTGTGAAGCAGACCGAGGTCAAAGCGAGTCCCGGTCGTAGTCGAGGTCTTTTTGCAACGGAGGTGAGTCGTTTTGATGAAAGCACTGGGCTTATACTGATTCGTTGCAGGACATCGAAGAAGGCGAAATCATACTTGTCGAGAAGGCCGCCCACATCATGTTCGACAATGACAGCGACTTCTACCTCGCCTTCAACTACGACAGCACCTCAGACCAGATCTACAGGGATCAAGGAGCTCTTCTGCAAAACATTGTGCGGGAGCTAGATCGTAATCCTTCCAGGCTCGGGGAGATTCTTGATCTCTTCGACAACAACTACGCCAAGGATCCAAGTGAGGGCACAGAGTTTGATGGCAAGACCATAATTGACGTCTTCCACATCCGTCAGCTGATGATTCACAACCTGTACACATGTGCGACTCCATCGACGGCTCAAAAGCGAAGAATGCTCGGTTTCGTCTCGTATTCGGGCATACAGAACGCCGGCATATGGCCTCGCGCCAACATGATGAACCACTCATGTGTACAAAACGTTCGGCGAAGCCACATCGGTGACCTCCTCATCTTGCGAGCGGCACGTCGAATCGAGAAGGGTGCTGAGCTCTTTTCTGTCTATCGCGAGGATTTCGACTTTGAGCAGCGGCAATCCGTCCTCAGCCTCAGATGGGGCATCATATGCTCCTGCGCAGTCTGCACTGCTGAGCGCAGTCAAACGCCACAAGTCCGTCGTCGTCGTGGAGAGCTTGTTGCCAAGTACAATAGCCTTGTCAAGCCATCAGGCATGATCGTGGATGGACAACTGCTGGAAGACAACACAGAGGCAGTTCTCCGAATCTACCTCGATCTCGACAAGACGTATGAACCGGCGTTTCAAGGATTGCCCGAACTCATTGCCTGAACATGATGAATGAAATGCTAGATACGTGGTGGGTTCTCAAGCCCGCAAACCTGGTCCTCGCATTCGTCGCAGGGGTCGCCAAGAACATGGGCTGGGTCGTGGTGAACATCGAAAAAGACGAGCCGCAAATTGGATGCATGGAGCACTGCGTACTGGATCCTCGACTCGCGACTGCTCTCGTCATCGCAGCTAAGGTGAAGGAGCTGCAAGGCAAGTCAAAAGCCAGCTTGGAGCTTCGACGACTCGCCTTGGGTGCTTACAAGACCATCAATGGTGTGGAGCATGGGTTTGAGATGCTACAGAAGACGATCGATAAGAAGGGGGCGCTGAGGTCCACCAACCTAAAGTGAGGGCTTGACTTCAGACATTGATGGGCGGTCAACGTGGTACGCAGAGCAGCAAAGCAAAAGCGAGTAAAGCACAGAACGCAAATGGAGAGACTGACCAGGCTTTGTAACTTTCCAAATTCACATTGCGAACACCGCTGCGAGCCTAAGTATTCGCTCATTCGTAATACATACTTCCTGTTCAAACCAATTCAAGGCTGTTTGAACAAGGCCGCCGCAAGGCGCCGAGCTTCCATCTCTTCACCTCGTAACATTGAGAGACAGAGCGAGCAACAAGAGAGGCCGCCATGAGAAGAATGTTGCCAAGAATCGATTCCATGATTGGGCTCACTAACGATCCAGCCAACTCGGCGAAGAACATTGGTCGAGCGGAAGACTAATAACCTTAACAGAGGAAAGGTCTCAGTGATTGCATGGCCGGCAGGGGTCATCAACGACTACGAATCCGCAAGAGCAAAGATATCAAGGAGCTCACGTCGGGGAAAAGAGACAACCTAACACGGAAGCCGGCTTTGCAGACGTTCAACGAGGCGGCTCAGATCTACAAGGACATGATCAAGACCTACGAAACAACTCGATACGAGAACGTGCCCTGCCCTGCCCTGAGCTGGTCGAGATGGGGTACTTGTTCATACAGGAGTTGTCATTGATGAAGCCCACTGGAGAAGCCCTGGCAAAGATCGAAGCCATGATCCGGTACATGAATTTGCACGTGGATCTCAACGAGGACAAGCCCATGCTGCAGTGTCGAGAGAACAGCATCACGGATCACAGACTCGTCATCGCATTGCTGATCGCCGCAAAGTTGAAGAAGAAGGAGGAGGGCAAGAGCGCGGCTGTGGAAGAGCTCGAGAGTCTTGCGGCTGGGGCTTATCGCACGATCAATGGCGTGGACAACGGCTTCGAGGGCCTGCGGAAGTCTGTCAACGGCAAAGGCTTCTTGAGGCTATCCCACCTGGGTCGATGTGAGGGCGCAGTCATCCCGTGCGGCAGATCGAACGTCACTACGGAGGCATGTACGTGCTGCCCGTAACGCGGTTGTCGCGGCCGCTTAAACTGGCAGATGGCTGTCATGTTAGTTTAGTCGCTCACAGGAAAAAGAAAATGGCTTCCTCCCAGAGCCATGTCCTTGACTTTGTTTGACATGCAGTGTATACGACCAGAGGCATCAGACAACAAGGACACTGTCAAAGAGACGGCTATCTGAAGAACATTGTCAAGTAAAGGGTCCGGATGGAGGAAAAGACTTCGTTGTTCAATGGCGGAGAAGATGCTGCAGGCTCTAAATAAAACAGTACACGACTACAAATTTCTGAAAGCAAGGCCATCGAAGTCATGATCGACAACTCAACCTCAGCTCGTAGAGCTGAGACCGTGTGCATGCTCGTTTGGCCTGCAGTATTAGCTTCGATCGAGCCAATCCCTACGAAGCTTCAACAAAATTGCGAAAAAGGCAACCCTCGCATCATCCACTTGACCGGATCGAGCGACTGACGACAGTGTTTATGTCGCGAGAGAGCTCCTGTTCAGGCAGAGACTGTTAAGAGAATCTGGGATGCAAATTATATATAAATTCCTGTTGATTCCACATCCTAAAAACATCTCGACCCTCTCCCCCAAAATGAAACCCAACGTCCCCCTTTTCCTCAGCCTACACCTAGCATCCCCCACACTCTCCATCTCCCTCCCCACAAACCAAACCTCCCTCACCTGGCACAAATGTCCCACCTCGAGCGAAACCAACGCCGGACTAGACTGCGCAGAGCTCCGCGTCCCTCTCGATTGGTCCAACCCCAACGACGGCGAAACCATCACCCTCTCCATGAACCGCTGGCCGGCGAAAGATCCCGCGAAGAAGATCGGGACGCTGGTGTACAATCCCGGGGGACCGGGGATTTCGGCGACGGACTCGGTGGTGGATTTTGCGTCGGGGGATACGTATTTTGGGGAGGCGTTGAGGGGGTTTGATCTTAGTAAATCGTCAAAGTAGCAGTGGATTGTGGAAGGACATTACTGACAAACACAGTCGGCCTCGACCCCAGAGGTGCAGGACGTAGCACCCCCATCAAATGCTCTCCTGACCTCTGGAACGCCCGGCCCTCGCAGTTCGTCCACACCGAGCAAGACTTCGCAAACCTCGTCCAATACAACCGGGATTTCGCCCTCTCCTGTCTCAATCGCACTGGTAACCTCGTCAAGCACATCGACACGCCCAGCGTAGCCAGGGACATAGACGCCCTGCGGATAGCTCTCGGCGAGGAGAAGATCAACTTCTACGGCCAGTCGTACGGCACACAGATAGGAGAGTCGTACGCTGAGTTGTTTCCAAGGAATTTTCGTGCGATGGTGCTGGATGGCAATGTCGATCACTCTCTTACGGAGATCCCCACCGTCGTGTCCGAGGCGTACGGATACGAAGTTGTCTGGAACCGTTTCGTGGCCTGGTGCAACAAGACGGAGGATTGCGTGCTTCGAGGCCAGGACATCAACGCCCAGTACACCAAACTCCTCGACGCCGCCTTCCAATCTCCCCTGGAAGTCCCCGAGTGCGAAGATCCAGACTCATCCTGCCGTCCCTCCGTCCGACTAGAGGATATAACAGGCACCGTGCAATCGACTCTCGACTCCAAATTCGTGCCCGCAGGCTACGATCAAGATACGCCCACCTGGCGCTCCCTGGCGAAATACCTCTCCGCAGCCTTCAAAGGCGACTACTCGGACTTCGCGCCAGAAATCGCCGAGAATGAGACCTCGCCCTTGTGGCAAATGCAGCTCGTCAACTGCCTCGACTGGGAGCATAACGCGGCAAGTGCGGCGGACTTGATCCACCAGACGCAGTTCATGTTCACGGCCGCGCCTCACACCCGCGGGACGGCGCAGGCGTACGCTGTCAATTCCATGTGTGCTGGATGGCCCTTCGCGGTACCTGATCCACCGCATCGACTTGTTGTGGAGGGTAATGTGGCGCCTGTGTTTCTGCTGAACAGTCTTTATGATCCGGAGACGCCGTTCGATCAGGCTGTGGGGTTGCAAAGGCAGCTGCCTGGTAGCGTGTTGGTGGCGGTTCGGGAGGAGGGGCATACGAGTTATCAGTATGCTGGCGAGGCAGCGAGGTTGATGGAGGCGTATTTGGTGAACTTGACGTTGCCTGAGCCGGATACGGTGGTGGACAGCTGAGATACCGCTGAAGTAGCCTTGCCAAGGACCAAGGGTTCGTCGCTCGAGGATGCCGACAGACCCCTGAAATCAATCGACAAATCCCCCATCCCGCCCCGTCCTCTCAACCAACCATCCAAACCTCCCCTTATCCCTCCACTCGTCCTCCACAAACCCCGGCAAATCCATCCTCTCCCTCTCCAAGAATTCATACGTCTCCCCCTCCCGCCCAAACAAATCCTCTCCCTTCCTCACCCTCTCGACAATCGTGCCCGCATCCCGATTCTCCTCGGTGTTGAGACTCTTATGCGAGAAGCTGGACATCTTGGTCTGGAATTCTGCGACCGTGGCGAAGCACGAGGAGCAGTGCCAGCCTGCATCTTGGAGGGTGGCGCGGTCGTACCAGCGTCGGAGGGAGGAGAATGGGAGTGAGAAAATGGATGAAGGAGGGAGGATATCCATCCTGAGATCATTTGGTCGTAATGTTTCCTCCATCGAGCCCATGTACGTCGTAGCCTGAGGATGCGGCCATGGCGGACCGATGTGTCTCCATTGGAAGGAGTAGTAGAAGAATTGGCTCATCAGCGTCAGTCGTCGGGGGATCTCACATGTATTGAGCAACACTGCTGTTTCTGGACGAATGAGCTCGTCGACATCGCTGACGAGTAGAACGTCTCCCTTTTTCGGCTCGGCTTTCGTGCCTTCCAGCGTCGGAAATGTGGACGTCAAAAGCGCGTTGCGGAAGAAATCCTCATGGTCCCATGCTCGGGTACTGTTCACCGGATCTTCAACAATCCGATGAATGATCTGTTGATGAAAATTCCTGAAGCGATTCCAGTGAACAGGATCGTCCAGCAAAGTCGGCTTAGGCTGCCCCGTGAAAGTCGTCGGCGACTCCAGAATGACAAAGTACGAGACATACGGACCCAGAGTGTTCAGCCGAATCTCGAGCCAGTCGAGCTCAGTCGAGAGTAGGATGAGGTCGTAGAGCTTCTTCTCGGGCGATGGTGAAAGCAGGAAATCGTGAGCGTCGCAGAGAGCCTTTCGAGCAGCGAAGTCGTCTGAACCGGATGCTGCATATCTCCTCACGACATTATGGTCGAGAACATGCTCACGACTCCCATCGTGTTGAACCAGCCATAGCGCAAGCACGACGCCTGTCGCGATGACCGCTAACCAAGCAAGCCGTCGTCGAGAGCGAACCCGTGAAGAAGTGGAAAGCAACATCCCTCGTCAGCGACACGCATGCATGATGTGGATGATGAAGAAGAGCAAACGAAGGTCCAAATTCGAAGCAAACACAAATCTGGCAGGTACGACCTCGCGGTCTTTTCTCGTCGTCATCGCACCTTCCTCCCTGCGCCCGGCCGCTAAACCAGGCTGTGCGCCTTAAACGGCAGCAACGTAGCACAGCAGGTACGTGCATGCGCGCGACACTTTCCTCCTTTGTGTCGTACAAACCTTCCAGCAGCCTAAATGCAGAGTGAAGGAAGACGACTTTGAGTAGTGCGTTTCCATCGAGAATCCTTCTCGTATCGAATCGTCGTCGGGCTTTAGGTGGTGCGAGGCCCGCTGTGGTGAGCATTGTCATCCTTACGCAGAAACGACAAGCATCCTAAGCTATTTTAGACGAATTCTTGTTACTCCTTCTCTTCATCAGGACCATACAGTATCTTCGAGTCAGCCTACATGCAGAAGTCCCCGAGGGGCGATGCATCGAAGCTAATTCTAAACGACACCTAAACTTACCCTCCCGGAATGAGCCTCTACAGCATTTAGCTCTTACTTATACAAACTCAGCCGCAGCTACACACTCCCTCGCCCGTACTCGCTCACATCTCGTATCCGTTTACAACCTCAAAAACCTTCCATCTCATCAAACCATCGCTCGTCCCAAACGCATAAGCTGGTAATCCCATATCGCCAAGCCTATCCCATAGCCTCGCCCACCCCAACCCAACAAAGCTGACCAACCCCAACCGACCACAACACCCCCAAACTCAAACCCCTCAGCCTTACGTAACCCCCATATCCACTGGTAGCATATCTTCTTTCGCAAATACACCACGCCGGTGGCGGGAAACATCCGTTAGTTTCCCGGTCTATCCCACCAGTCTCGCACTCGCAGAGCGCCAAGATAAATATCTTTGGATGTCATGATTGATGTTCCCATCTGGTGGTTACGGACTGTGAGTTTCCATGAATATTGGCAGTAAGCAGCAAATATGTAAAGGTACGAACACATATCATTCGCTGCTGTCAATAAGACTATGCACATCGTCGTTCCCACGGCACACCAACCCTCCTCCATACACAGCCTCCTCCCTCTTCTTCTGTGCACGTCCGCCGTCTCTCTGCTTGCAATCAACTTCCACCGCATCTCAACTCATATCCTCCTCGACATGCCCGGCGTGAATGCAAACGCTCCATCCTTCCATTTCGTGAGCTACAAATACAGTGGTGGCATGCGCGTGAGTCGTCGTTAAAATGATCGGGCGTTGTCGTCGGTATAGGGTGCTGGGGGATTAGTTAGCGTAACGACATCGTCCGTCCATCCAGACTCCTTCGCTAAATGCAAACGTCGCACGGCCGAAGAACTTTTTGTTGCTGCTTTTGCTGGGCCATCTTCCTCCGCCTTGACGATGTCTTCCAAGCACAGTCGTCATCCAACGCGGTCCTCCAACACTTCACTCCCGGATCTGCTCATACAACAAGATGTAGGCGACCTTGTTATCGCGCACGCCTTCCTTCTTAGCGGTTGGGGTTCTCTTGCCGGTTGTGCTCGTGGGCGTGCTCGTGCCATTCGTCGTAATGGCTGCACCGCTCCACTTCTTCGCATGACCATTGGTGCTGCCATTGACCTCAGACCATGGTTTCTCTTCTTCAGGCTCCTTCTCGGCCTCGTCAAGTCCTTGGTACATGTTGCGCTGCTTTTGCAGATCGGAGTCCGCCTTGTGTTGTTCGAGAGCTTTGGCGAGGATCTTGGGGTCTTCTTCGGCACCGCCTTCGGCGACATCTTCTGCGCGTACCCGGCGAATGATGGTATCATCCATCCGGATCCATTCACGACTGTCCTGGCGAAGGACGTCGACAGTGTAGTGGCCTCCCGCTGCCGACTTGCCATGGTGGTAGACAACGCTGGTGAGACGATATTTGGGCTGGTTCTTGACGCCAAGACCGTTGCGCTTGCCTGGTGGAAATACCTCCTTAGGGATCTCCAGCTCCAGTGGGTAACCGACTTTCTTCCAGATCTTCTGCGTTCCAGTGAAGCTGCTGTCGTATTGAAAGCGCTTGAGGTGAAGGATCAGGACTGGCGGCAGTGAATCGATGAACATCTGCTTCTTAGCACTGTTGCTTCTGCCACCAAACTCGCCAGTCATCTGCTCAGTCCTAGTGAGTCCCTTCAAGGCATCGATGATGTTGTTGACCTGAGCGGAACCGATGTCCAGCTGCAGCGGCTTGTAAGGTTCCAGCGTGACCGAGTCCTTGAGGCCTGGAACTCGGAATTCGGACCTCAAGTAGCCACCAAAGATCTTCGTGATCGGGGATGGGGTGTCTTCCTGGCCGGCAGTCCTTGTCACAGCGGCTTTCTGCTTGGGTCCAACCTCTTGCCAGCCATCAGCTGACGTTGGTGACATGACGGTATCTGGCGATGCGATGCCGTTCTCCTGTGGTTTGTCGTCCGATTGGCCCTGCATGACCTTGACACATTCGTCGTGAAGACCTTCGAGCAAGAATCCCAAGAACTCTTCAGCGTCCTGCTGTTGCCCCCTCTGTACATTGTCAGCCTCATCATCCGCACATCATCACTCAGTCTGCACTCACCCTCATGCCCGCGAACCGAGGCAGCTTTCTAATCACCTCGTAAACGTACTCAGGCGTCACCTGTTCGCCATACTCCTCGAGCTGTTCTTGCTTGAGCATCGACCTCAATCCGTCCGCCGACTCCGCGCTTGCCAAAACCTTGAACTCTCTCATAAACATAATCATTGCGTCAACTAGAGGGGTATCGCTCTTCATCGAATGCACAGTTCGTTGCCGGACCTGATCTAGGAAGTTGTAGAATGGTACGCAAAAGACCAGAACTTGAAGAATCTGCACCCATGTTAGTAAGTCTGCCCATCGTTCGAGATTTGAAGATGTTGTCCAGGTACCCACCGAATTCATATAGCACATATTGCCGGTGTTTACGAGCCCTTTTGGCTCGAGAAATGGGAGCATCATATCGCCCCGGACGTTGTACTGCTTCAATGCATCTGCGAGAGACGCCGTCTTTGGCAATTGGATGCCGTTGGTGATGGCCTCGCCGTTGGTGGTAGCGGCGGCTGCACCTGGCTTGGACTTGGTGCGGACCAAGTCAGCCCACGACTTAGGTGCTGGCTTCGGTGCAGGTGTCTCTTGGACAGTCTCCGCCTCAGTTGGCGCGGTTTCCCCACTTCCATCCTGCTCTTCCGCCGCTTTGGGTGTCTTCTCTTCCTCGGTCTTTGCCGCTGCATCTGGCTTCACAGTCGCTGGCGGCGAAGCTTCTTTTGGCTTGGGTAGGCCAGGTATGTTCGGTACAGCAATTGCTGTGCGGGTATCTCTTCTCGCGTGCTGCTGTTGTGTTGGTGTAGGTTTGGGTGAGGTGGTCGGGGCTTGCGCAGGGGTGGCAGGTGTGGAGACTTGGGTGAAATCGCTTTCAGAGGGAGCTTGAGATGTGGCTGGGGTTTCGGGCTCGGAAGGCGCGGCGATGGTAGAAGTCTCGGATGGAGGCTCCGCAGCAGAAGCTGTCTGTGACTCTGTTTGTTGAGGCTCGTCTTCTGCCACCGGCTCTTCTCTTGTAGGCAGCGCAACGGCGTTGTTCGAAGCACGCAGATTCCTACGTCTGCGTCGGCGCGTGGGAGCACGAGAAGGAAAGGTCTGCTGATGCTCAGGGACGGAGTACCACGGTAGCTATATTTTGTCAGTTATAGCTTACCCAATCGTATCTGAAGATATCTTACCTTCGGCCAAAAGGGCTGCTTATGCTCTGGTGGCAGAGAGAGAGGATTCTGAGAGGTAGATGGTCTGCGTGCGGGTTGAGCAGTAGATGTCTCCCCTGGTGTCTGTGCTCGAGGCTCTTCTGCCTTTGGCGGCGCTGATGGAGTCGGGGCTGGCGAAGGAGAAGCTGCGGGCGCCTGCTGATGCATGTAAGGGGGAATTGGTCGCGGTGACTGGGTAGCCTGCGGAGGCGCGGTCATTTGTGCGGGCTGTCGTGTGACTGGGGTCATGGGCTGCGCAAGCGGCGCCGAGCTGACGACCATGGGCGATCTAGGCTGGTATTGAGCTTGGATATGCGGCGGCGGATAGGCGTGAGGCTGTGGGTACGGTGGAGGCTGCCATCGATATGCTGCGGGCGGCGGATGTGGATAGTAGTAGCCGGGCTGGATGGGCGACTGCGGCGGGTGGTGATAGTACTGCTGCGGGTGGTGCTGTGGGTAGCCATATTCACGTCGCGGCGGAGGATGCATGGGCACGGCAGCGGGAATATGGCCCGCGCCTGCCATGGGGTGCTGCTGCATGGCTGATGCCCCGGGGGTCTCTACCTCCTCACGGGAGGTAGCGACGGCTGGGCCACGACGCCTGCCGCCCTTAGAACGAGTGAGGTGTCAGCGGAGGGTTGCAAGTGGATGAGGTGATGGTGCAGCTGGGCGAACGCATCGAAGAGCGCGTGCGGCGTGCTGCTGGCGGGTGCGCAAGGATATTCGATGTTGGCCGGCGGAGGAGCGGAGAGGTCAGGACGGTGCTCGAAATTATTCAGCGCCCATCCTACAGCGGACTGCGGCGTCGACGTCGGCAGTGAGCGGTGTTTCGGGATGGCAACGAGGATAATTCAGAACGAAGGCACAGCGGGAGACTGTGCAGATGGAGGTGGTGGAAGTGTGCGTGAGTGGTTTAGCAGCACCGTCTGGAGAGTGATGTTGAACGCCGACCGCTAAGGAAACTTTGTCGTTGGGTCTGTGCGCAACCTGTCGGCGAAGGTCTACGGTCTCTACTTTGAGCAATGCAACACGTGAGTAGTGAGTGATGGAATTGGATTGTTTTCAAGTGCATCTTCAGTTCTCAGTTTGTGTGAAGAAGATTGGCGGCGTAAGCCTCCGATCTTCTTCATGATGCTGTGGGTTAAGTGACAACGCGTCCTTCTCTTGCTGCCCACCAAGAATAGCCGCCCTGAGCTCGATTGATGCTGTGCGCTTGAAAGACAAAGACCCAATCACCCCAAGTCTCAAGACTGCTTGAGCATGTCTTTGGCATCTCAGTGCATCGCTCCCTCACTTGGTGAGGTCAGGCATGTCGCGTGGATAGAGAATTTGGCCCTCATCCGGCTTCTTTGGCCTCGAGGGTCGGGAAGAGCGACGCTGGGAGTCTGCGACAGTGCCACCTAGCACTTCGATGTTTCGCTCCTCTGCTGGCCTCGCGCTCACACGCGGCATTCTAGCTGCACCAGATCCCTGAAGCCTGCCTGCACGCGAAGCCCATCCCTCGAGCGGGTTTGGGTTGGTGGGGCTGTCTTGCTCCGTGGTATCATTGAACCAAGACGGCATTTCGATGTCGCTTGAAGCGGTGGTCTGCAGCTGGGCATCACGCGCCTGAGAGGTGATCGGGGACTGCATGAGCATAGCTTCACTCGATGCATGATACGACGGATCGGCGCTGGCCTGCCTAAGGTTCGACGCCGCTCGACGACGCTTCAGAGTACCTGGCGTCGACGTTGCACTATCGGCGTCAGAACCTTGCGTGTGGACCCCTCGTCGCTTCACGGCGACCGCGATGGTCGAGGAATCTTCGTCGCCTTCATCGTCTGCTTCATCCCCCTCGTCTGCCTCATCGTCCATGTCCATGGCGTCCACTGCCGAGCTAGTGGGTTGGTGGGTGTAAGCAGTCTGGGGAGACATCTCGCCAAACGTGTTAGACGAAATCATTGAGCGCTGATGACTCTCAGATGGGTCTCCACCGGAGTGGACTTGGTGCTCAGCAGCTTCAGGGCGGGCTGAAGAAGGTCGAGTTGGCAAATCGTCCGCGTTGACATTGATCGAACCCACAGTTGGCGCTGAAGAAGCTCTAGCGACTCCGTCTTGGCTGGTGGGAGGTGCGGTCTGCAAGTGCGGCTCAGACTGAGGTCGTGGCTGATTGGTGCCATTGAGCGCGTCTCTGAGGGTGCTCAAGACCAGCTTCTGCTCGTTGTAGCCCGACTGGTATGTACTGACACATGTTAGTGAGACACATGAAAGACAGAGAGGAATGATACTCACCCAAGCTGCTCCAGAATCTCGTCATGGTTGGCGAGAATCTTGGCCATGGAGTCGCTGTGCTGGTTGCAAGCTTGCTGGATCGCGAGCACCTGATCGTGGAGTGTGACACCGCCCGTGCTGTGATGCATTTGTTAGCTAGGACTTCAAACGACGCTGATGTCGTGGCCTACCCATTCAATACATCTTGCAAGCCGTCGACGGCCTTCTGCAAGCTGGCAAACGATGTGCCCTGGTTGGCGACGAGCGACGAGGTATTGTCAAGCGTCAGGCGCAGATCCTTGACCGTCTGCTTCGCCTTCTTCAGCTCAAGTTGCACCTGGTCGAGCTCTTTTGCAAGTTTCTTCTCTTGCTCTTCGGCGCGCTGTTCGATCTGTTGCTTGAAGACGGTCAGTCTCTGATTGATACGCTCATCAATGAGCTGCTCGAATTGAGCGCCCAACAGGCCCGCCATGACGTTGGCTGGAGGCGGGAGTGGACGGCACGTAGTGGCAGGTGACGGTGTCGTGGTCGGCGTTGAAAGGAGAAGAAAGGTGAGTGCGCGCAATGAGCTTGAAAAAGGTCGGCTGCTAGCGCGAACGGAAGGTGCGAATCCTAAGGAAGGTGCGTGTTTCACTTTTCGTGTCGACATGTGTGAGGGCCGCGGATGGGAATTTGGCTCACTTGCCCATTTTGATTGAATTGTGCCTGAAAAGAGAGTTAGTCCCCAGGCGGCCTGGCATTACTTTTGCTGCGTTGTGGGCGTACCTGAAGAGATCGAACCTGTATTTGAAGGCCTGAAAGGGCCAGCCTCGACTGCTGTCAACAACGTCAACACCAACAGGAGGAGGACGCTCGAGAAGATACAATGATAAAAGATGAAGAGGGACTACACTCTACATTGGCATTTGCTTGAGAGGCAAACTGTTCACCTATCGGGCCTTGCTCCCGGCCCTGTTTATCTCCCTTCCCTAATACTTTTTCTCGACCTGCAAGCTCTTGCTGTGCGGTTCCAAAGCAGAGCTCGCCTGCCGTGCTTCTTGCCCAGTTCAAACGCCAGAGGTTGGTATCATCGACAGTCGTTTCTCTTCTTTTATACAATAGCAATACAGCCATCGAAGACTTCTCCTCATGACATTTCCGACACTCTCCTACTCTTCTGCATCCGGTCCAGAGGCATTATCATGGGCCTGCCGTTCCGCAATTGGGACTTTCGGAAGGCTTCTGTGAGGATTGGGGAGCTTTCTGTGCGAATTGTTGTGCCAATTGACATGAAGAAGCTATCAATGCATCAGCATTGACCTCCAAGAAAAGCAGGCTCTTGACATACCCAAACGTTGCAGCCGAGCCTAGCATATATTGCCCCAGTGTTCGCATCATTCCATTCGGTCCTGGCCCGTATCTGATGATGTTTGTGGCGCCAAAGATGAAGCCGATACATAGGCCAACAGCTGTCATACATCAACAAAGGCAAAGATGGCTGTAGCATCGTAGGACGTACTGCCACCCATCATGGCGCCCATCTTGGCTGCGAGCTGTCAGACGTCTATTCGCTGAAGGTAACAACGCAATGCAATACCTTTGTCGAAGGTAGAAGGACCGGCCATGCCGCCAGCGCCAGCGACGGGAGGCATCTTGAGGGTTGTGAATGCGAAAAACACGGCAAATTGGTTTCACTCGTCCGAAGCCTGAAGCTTGAAGTCGAAGTTGGAGCTGCTCGGCTAAACAGCGATCACGTGATGGTCTCCAGTGTGGAGCAACTCCTCTCGCAGGGCATCGGTCGTCGGGCGAGGACAGTTTGGGTGAACCAGACAGAGCCAGCAAACCGACGCAGCCCCCCGTTTCTCACCACCACCCTCGATCCATCCGCCCTACGACGCTCCAGGCACGGGACAGGCTTGCTGGCGACCGATGCGATAGCGCGCGAAGAGACAGGGCGTGTGGCCGCGACCGGGTTGGCGGTGCTTTGCCGCCCACGACCAGCACACCGAGCCTTCGAGCAGGAGGAGCAGCGGCAGTGAGCAGCAGCGAGCGCTGACAGAACCTCACCTCGCCGAGTTCATTCACCTCACTCTCCGCCCTCCACCGGCCCCTTCTCCGTCTGGCTGCCACGCCTCCCACCACCACCTCCAACACCGCTCGCTCCTGCCCACTCCTTCTCCCCCGCGACTTCGACTTTTCCCTCGCCGAGCACACGACTCCGTCCGTGCATCGCTCCGACCCTGGTCCTGACGGCTGAAACGAAACGACCTCACGACCGCTGCTGCGACGTCAACCACTACGCCTTGTAATACTACCATACCTCCTTCCCTTCGCGTATAATTGCTCTTGCACGGCGTCATCGGCGGGAACAGGCACGTGCGGGACACGCAGCGCTACAACACAACCTCACACCTCGACGATTGGCGGCGAGTCAGGGCACCGAGTCGCAACTCCTGCAGCCATATCTCCAATGACGGCGGTAGCACCTCCCTTGACCTCCTTTCAGCCGAGTACGCGTCTGGGATGGAGTTCTAATGGCAACGGCTTTGGCGCCATGAACTCGGATGAAGTCAACAAAATGTTCAATCCGGGCCCGCGCAAGACTGCTCAGCGCCAGAACTCCTCGTCATCAATTGCCTCGACCGCGTCGTCAACTTCCACCATCTCCGCTACCTCCCAGCCACAGACCAACGGCGCAGTACAGCCTCCTGGGACGGAAGCTGGCAGTTGGGCAGCGCGTAAGAAGCCTGCGCGTGGTCTCTGGCCGCCGGGCAAGTCAGAGCCAGCGACAGGTATTACTACTGCCAGGCCACAACCCGTGAGCTCTGCAACCTCTGGCGCGACCGCTTCTTCGGCGATATCCGCACTCCACGCGCCTTTGCTTCCGTCGCAGCAAATGGCGAACGGCAATGGTCAGACCAACGGTGTGATGAGGGACCAGCAACCGCAAGCAATGCCACCTGCCATACTACACCTGCTACCCATGAACGGCACCTTTGAGCGCAAGACCATTACTGTACCCTATGCTCCAGACGTTCTCCGAATCGGGCGACAGACCAACCAGAAGACTGTGCCCACACCTCTGAACGGTTACTTCGACTCCAAGGTCCTTTCCAGACAGCATGCCGAGATCTACGCTGATCGCCAAGGACGAATCTTCATCCGAGATGTCAAGTCCAGTAACGGTACATTTGTCAATGGCATGAGGTTGAGTCAAGAGAATAAAGAGTCAGAGCCTAGGGAGCTGCGCGAACAGGATGTCCTGGAGTTGGGAATCGATATTGTTTCGGAAGACCAAAAGACTGTTGTACATCACAAGGTGGCTGCCAAGGTCGAACACGCTGGCATCTATGGGTCAAGTAATGATGCTCTGAATTTCGGAGATCTCGATCCTAGCGCGGGACCCGGGCTTGTCGCAAGTCCACATCAACTCAAAAGGACCGGAAGCCAAGGCTCAGTCAATGGACGAGGTGGAGCAAATCCGGCCATGAATCAGCAAGCCATGAACATGGGAATGCTTAACCAGCCACAGCACATGAGGAATTGGTTGAACCCGATCACGACGGAGCACATCGTGAAGAAGCTCAATGTAAGTGAAGCCCTCGATTTCACGACAAACTCGACTGATTGGGTCAAGCACGAAATGAAACTCGCCATGCAGCAATCGCAAGAGATTGCACGCGCAAGACAGACCGTCGAGAACATGCTCGGTGGAAAGCTTGAACCGCCGCCGCCTGTCCCAGAGAAGAAGTCCAACTCGGAGAAAGCAAGACCTTCACCAACCAAGTCGAAGCTTGACCTCAAGGCTCACTTCTCAGAACCTCCCGCACCGCCGCCACAAGCACCTCTCCCGGAGAAGCCAGACGTCGCGAGAGCACTTGCCGATCCCATCATTCAACCACTACTTCGCCGCACGGATACCGCTCGAACGCCATCAGCAAGCAGCTCACCTACCAGGACTGACCACTCTGGCGACATTCTCCGTCTGTGTGAAGAATTGAAGTTGGCAAAGGGAGAGTTGAGCAGCCAAAGTGAACGTATGAAGAGCTTGGAGAATGATCTTGCTCAGGAACGCACTGCGAGAGAAAACGCAGAGGAAAGAGCGCAGCGGCTAGAGCAAGGCCCTAGGCTGGATTCACCGACCAACGAAGGTCACCCAAGCGCAGGAAACAGCCCCAGCTCGTACAGCGATACTGCGCCCGATCTCCAAGCACAGCTAGACCGGTTGCGGACGTCGATGGACGAAATGAAGCAGCAAATGGAGTCGTATCGTCAAAGGGCAGAGGAGGCAGAGACGGAACGTGACGAAGCCCGTCAGACTCTTGCGGAGCTCGTTGAGCAGAAACGCAAAGAAAATGCCGACCTATCTGGGAAAAGCACGCGGTCGTCTTCGAAATCCCCACGCACACCAGCAAAGCGCAGTTTCCAGTTCGATGGCACTACTTCTCCAGAGCCCAATGGCCACGCCCTAGCGCCGGCTAACGTGAGAAGCCCTACTTCTGTCAGCTTACTGGAACGCGCGGGTGTGGAGGACGGACAGCCCATCACCAAGGAACAGGCACAGATCATCACACAATTCCTATCACAAGAAGTTCTTGGGCCTCAGGCGAGGTCAAGAACAGGTGAAGGGGATTCGTTGCTCTACTACGGGTTGCCCTATGGTTCCTTTGCTGCGGTGGTCGTCCTTGGTTATATCGCAATGACTTGGGTCAATGGCTGGCCGAAAGTGGAACGATGATCTTACGAGAATGAAGGAAGCCACACGCATGTCGAAATGAGAGCATTGCTCGACGCCGACTTGGCGGCCAAGCACGCGATAGGAGCTGGGCGTGGCAGGAGAGCATGGCAGCATATGGCTCACACGTGCAGACCCTGACACAACTCCCGACCCGGAGGAACCGCTGCCATGCGCCACCGCGTTACCCTGCGCAAGGGCACACGACGAGCAGTGAAGAAAAGTCCGCGTACCTGCACCTCGCGAACGTATCAAGAGATACCACCAGACAGCGCAGCGGCACCGGCGGAGAGGAGTCGCATGTGGAGGAAGAAGCGAAATGCCACAATGTCGCCGAATGACAATCACGGCCAGTGGATGGCCTGGGACATCTGTCAACACAAAGAGGTGTAATGGAAAACGATGGGTGCGAAAAGGCAAGAACCTTGTACTTTTGATCTGTTTGGGTGCGCGGGTAAAAGAGCATGGAACCGGAACCGGGAAATGGGATATGGAATCGGGTTGGAGGGAAAGCATACTCGGTGCGTACATTGAGGGCTTTTGGATGGGAGGCTTTTGTCGTGGTCGTTCTTTTTTGAACACAAATTTTTCTTGCTGTCTTGATGATGTCTCTCAGGGAAACAGCATGACAGACATGACACACCTGGCGTTTTGAGAGAACATGTTTTTCCTTTTGTTGTACATACCAGCCACAGCGCTTTTCTGCTTGAGTAGAACGGGAGGGGAAGAATGAATGAAGAAGAGAATACTACTACGAAGACTTGGAACGCTATCATGTCTCGGCACATCTTTGCTGGCGTCTTGCTAGAGACTTGGGGTCTTGGAACCTTAGGGTTCGTTTCCTCGCGGCGTGGCGCTGAGGCTTGCATTGACTCGTCGTTTAGTAGGTGGTATACGACTATACGTGCCGAACAACTACTCTTTCGAGCAACGGCATGCAGTAATCGGAGCCGAAAAGAATTTCAATTCTTTCATGGACGGCACGGCACTGAATCGGAACGGCATGTACGAAGGCGGACGGACGAAGAAGTTCGTCCTAACGCCGCGGTGTCGTGGTGGTGTTCGGCAGTTGCATATTCGGCGAGTTGGGCACGATGTACACCAGAGAATGCCGCCGGGCAGACTTCAGTGAGAGAGCTTCGTGATGCTGAACGACCCCCTTCCAAGCAGGAAGCAAGAAGGAAGACGTACAGCGAATGCGGCATCTACTCCTCTAATCCCTCGAACACAGCCCGAAGAAGTATCATCATCAAACAACAACAAAAAGCAGTATACGAAAAGAAAAGGGTCTGCCATTGCCATTGAGTTTTTCCACAACCGTCGATCCAGCCCAGACCCACGGAACGCCACGTGGATCGAGTGTCCGTGGCAATCCTTCGAACAAAACTCCTTGTGGCTTTTTTTCTTGCCCGTGTTGTTGGCGTTAGGGCAGAGCTGGTGATGAGCATTGGGAGCTCTTGAGGGATGCGCGTTTGGAGAGTGGGGGTTTTCGGAGTCGCCGATGATGAGGAGGATTGGGATTGGAGTTGGAAGGTCAGATGAAGGACGTGTACCCTTGGGGTTGAACGGGGCTGGGGAGAATGTTCGCCATGCTACTACTGCTGTAGCCAGTGCTACTGACTGACCTATACTGTCAGTCTTCGGATAGCCAAGACTCACAATACGGTCTTGGGCACCCACTCTTTCGCCCCCGGACTTTCACGGACATGTTCCTCGCAGCTATTGTGCAACTGTGGCGTTCTAGGGCGAGCAACCTTCTATGCGCTTCCCGCCTTCGAACAAGACCCTATCCGGGTACCGCCCAGAAGCCACAAGGCTCTCGGCCGTACCTGGTCATCTTCCAGCTCGCTCATAGGCCAGAGCACGAAGCTCTTTGACGAGGATTGTGGCTTTCTGATCACCGCCGCTCACTTCGGCGGGCAATAGGGCTACAGTATAGTACGGCATCCCGCATACCGACCTTGCCTTTGATTATCTAACCCCGAATCTACTACACGCGGATTACGCAACGGGTGCATCTTGCGGGTGGATTTTTGGGTTTGCTTGGTAGGAGCGCGACGGCTTGGGAGCGCAAGGAGCGAAGTCGCGAGCCCTAGCTGGGGACTACCGTCCGCCGTCCTTCGGGTGACTGTGTGAGGGTTTAATAAGGGTTGGGGTCCCTATTCGGAGAAGTCACTTGTTGACAGAAGATCAAGGCCGACCATCGACATCGCCATCGACAACGACAACTCTGTCCGAGAGGAACTGGACGTGCGGAGTCTGAAGCCCTAGTTTTCAAGGGCAAGAGGGAACGTTTAACAGCGACATCGATAAACATCAAGATCCTTTCCACGAGGCCCCGCAACCTTCCAGCGATCAACACAGCTGGAAGCCCTACTCGCCTAGGCCAAGGGGGGAATACCAACACCAACACAAGAATCTGTCAGAAACGGTTGTGAGGAATCGCCCTTTTTTGACAGCGGCTCCTTGTGGGATCAAATCACCGCTATCCCTTCAGTATTACGTCGGCCGAAAGCCCTACTCGCCTAGGCCAGCACTCAGCTGCCAACAGGTGCTTGATCGGTGTTGGATCGTGTGACCCTATCACGTACGGCCAAACGAAGGAACAACAGCGCGCGATTGCGCGGATTGTTCTAAAGAGCAGCAAGGAGTGCTGTCAAGAGCATTTCAACAATTGTAACCTTACGCAACAATCCACACACCGGTACGACGACTAAGGAACAAACGACCAAACAACAACCTGCTACAACTTCTACCCCCAACCCTCCACACAACATGGTCTCATCCCTCGAAATCCTCCGCCCAACCCCCTCCCTCCGAACCCCAACCCATCGCCCAACGCACTCCCCCTCCAAAACCGCCCACGATCTCGAAACCCGCTCCATAGCCATCTCCCGCGCCCTCCTCCTCTCGGACCCCACGCACCCCGTCCTGAAAACCAACCTCACCCCAGACTTCACCTCGGAAGAACCCAACCGATCACGAACCTGCGTCGGCATCGACGTCATCACCGTCTCGGCGAATGTGGACGAGGAAAGGGGCCGGGCGAGCGTGTGGGTGTTGTTCCGGGAGAGCGATCTGACCAGTGGGGGCTTGAGCGGGGAGAATGTTAGTGTGTTGAGTTGGTGGAGGGAGAGGGGCGTTTGGAGGTGTTGGAGGCAGACTGCTGTGAGAGGGGTTAGTGGGTTTACGCAGGGGTTTTTGAATTGAGGGATCATGGCGCTGTTCTTTTGAAAGGTTGGCGATATATCAGTCGGGTCGTGAAGCTTGCGGGTTCTTCCTACATTTGATGTTGTTCTTGAGCGGGATGTTCGGTATGAAACATTGGGTTGACGTGGCATCTGGTTTCTTGTGACCGTTGAGCTTGTTGAGGGAGGATTCCACAGAGCGTCTTTTGTCACTTCCCAGGGGAATGGTGGAAACCGCCGTATAAACTTTGGGAACGGCATCATCGACTGCTGAATGAAAAAGTCACGGCTGACTCCTCGTATCAGAATTCTCTCTCGCTTAAACAAATAAAAGGACTTTTATCTACCACTTCATCACCGCAGAGTCACACGCAGTACGACATTGAAAGCCCAAACTGCTTTCATGATCGCAACATCGGCATCTTAACATTCACTCACATTGATTGGCCGTTGGCTAGCGTCGCGCTAGCGGCAGGCTGCATGGATTGCGAATTCCTTCCCGATCGCGTGTATCACACGTGTCTCGCCTATCTCTGTTGCCCGCATTTCTCTTCCCTTCCACTTCATCACAACATTCTATGATAATGTTTACGATGGTCTTACGGCGAGCGATAATGCTTGCATAGAACATCGAAATTGTGAAGAGAGCATTGGTGGGCATCGCTCCTTCCGGGACTCATCCTACAGCCAGTCGCAACCTTAACCGCCAAACAATGCTATGTCCAAAGCATACGACCACGGTCGAACCTCTATAGCAAGCTCGGATGATATCCCTCTCCACGAACTCCAACAACTTCCAGGCGGCCGCCCCTCAGCCGACTCCCTCCACTCCTCAGACTTCGGCCATCTCCTCTCCGACGATGCCTCCTCAACCTCCTCAACAGATCTCCCGCCCATCGACGGCGGCCGGGGAGCTTGGACTTTCCTCTTCGGAGCCTTGCTTCTTGAGGCGACCGTCTGGGCATTCGCGTTGAGCTTTGGCGTCTTCCAGGAATACTATTCGAAACATGAGCTCTTTCGCGACAGTAGTCTTATTCCCACGATTGGAGCCGTGGCGACAGGATTCACGTATCTCGGCATTCCGGTGACGAATCCGATCGCGATGCGCTGGCCGCAGCATCGGAGGAAGATGGTGGTTATTGGGTATGTGTTGTGTATGATTGGGTTGGTAGGGGCTTCTTTCGCCAGGGAGGCGTGGCAGCTTCTCCTGTTTCAAGGACTGCTGTTTGGGTTTGGATGGGTGGTGTGTTATACACCTTTGCTGTTGATGCTGAATGAATGGTTCGTGGAGAAGAGGGGGCTTGCGCATGGGATCTTGCTCTGTGCGAGTGGGTTTTCGGGCTTGTTCATTCCGTTGGGATTGGGTGCTTCGTTGGAGAAATTTGGGTTCAGGAACACGTTGCGTGGGTATACGGTCCTGACGATTGTGCTTTCTGGACCGGGATTGTTCCTCATGCGACCTGGGATCACCCACAACTACAGGGACGACTCATTCGGGCAGGCCAAAGGACCAGGAATCACCACTCTACTGAATTACTGCAAGACCATTCACCTGCCACTATTTGCGACCGCCGTCTTCCTCCAAGGCCTCACATTCTTCCTCCCAAACATCTTCATCACTTCCTTTGCCAAAGATCTGGGCCTGTCCTCGACAGAAAGCTCCGGGCTCCTCGCTCTCATCTCGCTTGCTCAAGTCCTCGGACAGCTCTGGCAAGGCTGGATCTCCGACCGCGTCAACGTCTATATTCTCGCTTCGATCTCCACTATCGTTCCAGGTCTCGCTGCGGCTTTCCTCTGGGGTCCAGCCAGAGGCATGGCTTATCTGGCGCCATTCGCTCTGATCTGGGGTTTCTTTAGCGCGAGCTATAGTGTGCTTTATACAAGGATGTGTACCACCGTCATCGATTCGACCAAGGATGGAGATCCTGGAGAGGGACTGTTTATGCTGCTATATGCCGTCCTGAGCTTTTTGCGTGGGGTCTCGAATATTCTGGAGGGACCTCTGAGCACTTTGTTCATTGGCGATGAGATTGATCTTGAGACTTTTGGTCTTGGGAAGTATCGAAGACTTGTGTGGTTTACGACGCTTTGCATGTTGGGGAGCTCGCTGGTTGGATTCAGAATACTGTGGCGAAAGAAACAAGTTTGACATCTACAAGCGGTCAAACACTAATCGCACCAAGGCCATCGAGGACAACTTCGATGTAGCCCATGCCAACCTGTCGCCCGTCACTGGCTTGGTCTACAGCGTCAACGAACGAACCCTCGACGCCTCCGAGGCAATCCAGAACGACGTCTCTGTAGGCGGTCCCCGTCTCGATGGGAAGGAACTCTTCTGCATAGCTCTTGAGCATACCCGGACGCTCATGAGGACTTGCATCGTGCAACTCCTTCCAACTCTTGTCCAGCATATTAGTCCAGAGGCCAATCTCCAGCAGGCATACGCCGAGAGAATATACGTCATGCAGGAAGGTATACTTTGGAAGTGGTTCGGCGCCTAATCTGGATGGGTGTCGATAGATGTCGTATTCATGCCGAGCATCTCTAATCCCCCTCGAGGTCCCGGATACTGCTCTGGAATCTCCAAAACCTGCCAGTATGACTTGCCCAAAGTCTTTAGCGGCGTCCTGAGCATCACCATGACCGATGATAATGTTGGCGGAGCGTATATTCTTGTGAACGTACTGGTACGCATGCGTGAAGAACACGGCAGTTGAGAGCGATCTTGCCAGCCCAAGGCGAGCGTTGAGACTGTACGTGTTTTCTGTGGCCAATAATTGACGCAGCGACTGGATCCCTACGATGCCGCTCGGCAGCTCAAAGATCATTTTGGCACACTTGCTCAATGGGATATATCCAAGGCACTGCGCAATGTTCGCCTTTCTGGATTGAAAGTTGCGATCATCTAGCGTGGCGGCGTGAAAGGTCGTCGCCACTTCACGGATACGGCGCAGCGTGTTTTCCTTGTCACGCGGACTCTCCCATGAGTGCGTCTCGACAATCGAATGATTCCCATTTTGCGATCTTCCCGTTTCGAAGTTATCGTCTTCAAGCTCGCGCCCATCCAATACGTGTAGCAGTACTGGAGGAAGCTCCAGCTCCACCTCAAGACTCGTATCCTGGCGTCTCGCCAGAGACTTGTCAATGAAGTCGACTATTTTTCTTGTCTCGCCATCAACAATCGGCAGGATGGAGGATACGCCATGGACGATGAGTTCCAACGCCAGGTTAGCCTGATCTCCTAAAATCGTGTCGACAATCTTCTGCAGCTTCCTCTTCTTGCCAGTCGCCCATTTCAGCGCTCCATATGGACTTGTTCTCAGCTTTTGGGCGAACCCCACGAGCTCCTCGGCCGACTTCTTCATCCTTTTCATCCTGTCTTGCAGTGCCTCGACGTCACTTTTTGGTAGCTTCTGCAGCATCCCTTCGTGCAGATCGATGACTTTGAGGCGATAGGACACATCGACTAGCATCTCGTCCTGCTCCTCGCCGGAGTATCTCACATCGTGGATGAAGGTCTTGATGATTTCGCCATATTTGACGGAGAGCTCAACCAGAGAAATGACTTCGAGGGCGCTTGCTAATGCCATTGTTGATCCTGCCTGAAGACGAGGATGAGAATTGGGAACTTGTGACTGGCTCGCGAGGCTGAAATGTAGCCCATTAACGTTGCTCAGCTACAGATTGACACTGATGTCAGAATGCAGATAGCTTTTCACGGAGCAACACAACACAGGCATCTGATCTACATCCTACTTTCAACACCCCTGCTAAAGCTGCTTTGGTCTATGCACGACTCCTGACAGGGTAACAATACCGGTGGAAGTCTCAACGCTTATAAGCGCATGCCCTAGCCGCACTTTCTCTCGACGGGAATCCTTGCGGCTAAGGCTGTACAACACTCCAATATCGCTTGGGAGTGTGTCCTCGGTGCTCAAACCCAAAGACATCGACAATGGCGCCTAAGCAGAAGCCGGCACCGCTCCGACCATTTAAGAAGAAAAGTTACGCCCCTGGTCGATTGCAACAATATGCTTATGCGACAAAGACTCCATCTGCAAAAGCAGATGAAACAGAGTCACCACGAGCAACCGAGTTACCTAGTTTTGCTATTTCGGGATTGTCGTGGGCATCGGCTTTTGTTCTGGAGCTTGTCCAGAGCAGAGTGACATGCACAGCTGAATCCAACATTCAAATACTGCCATATGCCCCTGCCATTGGCAGTAGCATGGCGGTCCGGAGAGGCATGATGGATGGCGAAATCGTTGCGGTCAAGGAGGTGAGAAATGGCGTCAAGGACTTTGGCAAGGCTCTGGCAGATGCGCTGTTCGAAGTCCGCGTCATGTCGCACAAGCCCTTGGCCAGCCACCGCAACGTTGTAAGTCTGCGAGCGGTCTCTTTCGCAGACGATGACATTCAGGACCTTCAACCAGCCCAGCCTCGTGTGCTAAGACCCCTGATTGTCGTGGATTGGTCATTGGGCGACTTGACGTCTCACTTGCTAGAGAGGAAGCTCGACTTCACCGAGAGTGCGGAACTGGTCGCAGATATCGCGGATGGCCTTCAGATCCTGCACTTGTACGGCATTACTCACGCAGATCTCAAGCCGGATAATGTGCTGCTCTTCTCTGACCCAGACTCGCATTCCGGGTTTGTTGCAAAGCTGGCCGACTTTGGCTTCCCTGGAAGCGAGGAGCACCGTCAAGAACGGAAGGGGCTGACCAGTCGTTGGGCAGCACCAGCTGCGGGCGGGCACGATGATTACCTCATGAAGAATACCGAATGCCCTGGAGATGTGTTTTCGTTCGGCCTCGTTGCAATGTTCGTGGCTGTTGCCCCGGATTGGGATTCAGACGTCCACTTGCCTGACTGCTTTCACCCAGACATACAACGAGCAAAGTTCGATTACACGCTTGACCGACTATACGGTGCAGACGAATTTGCACCGTGGCACAAAATCTTACACTCCACCGTTGTGTCAAACCCGAACGAGCGTCTGACGACCCAGGGGCTGGGGACTGTTAGGGAGCTTCTCTTAGGCCAGTGAGTGTACCAAACTCTGTCAAATACATTTGATTGACCACTCCATAGTGATCGCTATGCGCACGAACGAAGGCTCCTTATGATACACATGATTCCGTTCCGAGGGATGAAAGGAGCGCAGAATAATGTACGGCATTGAGCTGATAGATGAGTTACACTGCTGACGTCCTTACAGTACAGAGCAGAGCTCGAATTCTCCAAGATGAGCTGGGACTTTTCTGCTCACGCGAAGACAACTTGGAAAACTTTGCCTAAGTGGATGAAAACGAGCATTCGCGAAGACTACATGGCTTTCGACATTCAGCCTGCCAAATTCTACAAGCACATAGATGACGATCTCGCCATTCGTATCATTGCCGTGACATTGCTCGGTATCATTCTGCTTACCACCGAACCAACCACGCCCATACTTCGGCGGCAGTTTCCGCTCGGATATATGGCATGGCGAGTACATGAGGCTGGTACGAGGCTCGGAATAGAAGATCTCGATGATCGACCCCCAGTATGGCGACTTGCAGCGAAGAACAAGGTCGAGGAGGCTCTATCCGAGCTACGTCGAGACCCGAGCCAGCTGACATACAAGCATCGAGGCCACACAATCGTCCATTACGCTACGTTGTACGGCAAGCCGAAGCTTTTAGCTGGCATATTGGAGACGACGCTGGAAGCAGTGTCTCTTGTCACAGCCCGCGGATTCACCCCTTTGTTCTACGCTGCCGCAGCGACAGACCGGCGTTCGGAAGAGTGTCTCGACATTTTGCTCGACCATGGCGCCGACGTTAAACACATCTCACCGAACGGAGAGTCCTTGCTGCTGTTTCTGTACATGGGCTACATGCAGTCTGGAGAATGGACACCCATTACAAGAAATCTGAACCGTATCAGATGGTACAAGGAGTGGGCTGTTCGTACTGCCCTTCAAAGGCTTGAGGACAGGTTTCCGCGCACGGAGGAAGAGCGTCGGGAAGCACAACGAAAGAACGATGAGCTGCTTCCACCATTCATGAGAGGACTCGATTGGTGGGATAAAAATCGCGAGGGTATTCTCGAGCTTCGAGACATGCTTCTCAACAATTATGGACCTGGAGTCAGCGATGCCCTACTGGAAAAGATCGAAAGAATCCGACAGGAGACTGGTCCTTGTGACGATATGCTCACCCTTTCCGCTGGATTTATCCCTTTCCTCGAGTTCCGCGTATTCAGTGGTCATCTCCTAGGCTCTGTGTTCTCCGCGGCCGTCGTTCTCATTATGTGGATCACTAAGATCTTTTCAAGTTTTTGGGAAGGAGGCATCATCAAAACTGGATTCACCTGCTATACGTACTTCGTTTTCTGCTGGCTGGTATTGTGCTGGACGCTGCGAGGCAATTACACATTCATGGAGATGTACTTCAATAATCTGACAGGCAATCTTGCGAAGACCCCTCTGCTCGACACACTGACAAATGAAAAGGGCTCATTCAAGCTGGTCGAAGAAAGTGGCGGAATTTTGTTCCTCAACTTCGTGGGCATGCTTCTCCTCGACTTCCTTATCCGCGAAAACGAACTCTTCACCCTGGCGATTATCTGTCTCGTCGTCGAAGTCAAGCGCACTAACCATAGGCTGTCCAGATTTGATCGAGAGATGAGATGGATCCAGCGAGTCTCGAATATCGACGGCGAGTACGACGAGCATTTCACCCCCACCCGCGAGAATACTCGTCGAAGCACCAAATTCAAAGTCGTTATGGAGTTTCAGATGCAGATGCGGCGAGCCTGGAGAAAAGCCATGAGTGATGGTTAGATTCGTTCGGTGGGCGAGCTGGAGTGTTGCATGACTGGAACACAGCGTCTCGGCACAGCCTCGCGAGAGAACGCTGTCCGTTTCTGGCAACGATCGATTGGAAAGTCATTAGGGGTAACAAGAACCACATGATCTTCTGCGTTGCTTTTGACAGGCGCAGGGAATGAGACAATGTGAATATGCTGATTAGTGTTCCACCAGTCAGCATCAATGGGTCCTTTTGTGCGCTGCAAGATATCATGTCTAGAAATGCATGATACCACATGTGCTGAGAAGAGGACCAAACATTTGCATTCCTGTTTCTACGGCTTTTGGGGCCCTTCAATGTCCCATTGATGGTACGGATACTAATATACCGTGACTTTGCGCAAGGAATGTCTTCTGAACATAATGACAATGAAAGACACTTCTTTCCCACTGTCTGCTGGTCCAAGATCGCGGCACTTCCGCCGTATCAGCTGCATTACTCCAATTAATAGATCTTGTACTGACCACGTAGTGCCATTGTGCTCTCCCGATGTCGAGTGTCACTCTGTGCACCCTGGAATAGACCCCATGCAGTTGCATGCGAGACCTTGCTGGCACAACCCCGTGGCCTCCCAGGAGTAGGCTCCCTGACCCATCACGCCACAGCATAGCATCTGCGCGTCTCATTAGCAGAGACTCCCAAGTCCAAGAGCTTTAATGTTCACGGTATGATTCTGCCAGCAACCCGTGTCATCGATGGCGCCGCAGAATGAGCCGGCCCGCCGGCATCTTGGTCACAAAATGCCTGAGCCCATGGCAGCATGATTACAACGGCGGTCAGAGACGCCAGCAAAATAGAGAGGTAGAATCGAGTCATTGTGGATGAGTAGCGCTTTGCTTGGAGATGATTGAAGGCTGCGCAATTTCGTTTCTCGAAAGAGTTTTGGAGGAGAGAGAGATGCCGACTTTTATGTGCATCTTGAGGACGAAGCCTCCGGCGTCAGTTGCAGGGCCTATCTTGGACTGTTATCTTCCTTCGCCGTGATATGCCCTTGCAGGGCTTTGTCAAATTCCATTCTGCGCATATCTCGCCCTCCATGCTCTTTGCAAGCATGTAGCGTAGACTCAATGCACGGCCTCTTTCTACCAGCCGATGTTACAGTGGAATGTTACTCGAACTCATGCAACAGTGAAGATCATTACTCGGCATGTACAGGATCGAGCTGCAATTTATCTTGATAGCCAATGTACCGCGGCTCATCAACTTTGTAGCCTTGGCCAAGGCTGACACGGACGGTGATGTGACGCTTAATGCACTTCCGAGAGCATGGCACTTTCCCCTCAATACGTGCTTTGTAAGTCACACAATGCCTCATAATCAATGATTAGACCTAGTCTTTCAATCTACATCAAAAGACCAGCCCTTGGGGCTGACAATAGGAACCAGGGTTTCTAGTATTATAGCCTAGCTTCCGGCTCATATGGATGTCAAACTACCTTCCAGCCCAAGAAGGAGTTCCCAGCGACTGAAGAAGAAATCAAGGCTGAAAATACTTCGATGATATAGCCTCTTAGTAATGCCGACGTTTCTGGATTTGCCGTTCTGCTGGACGTGTCTACTGTATCAATTCGACTGGTGACTCTGCGTTTATATTTGAAAGCGGGTGTAACCACAGCGTGTTGCCTTCGACATTTCTTGACACGGATCCAAATCCAATAGTTTGACACCTAGAGAGTGTTTGATCTGCTACCTCCGCCCCACGAAAAATGTGGAACAACTCAATTCACCAAAACTCTCACCCACTATTCCTGCCATACAACATCAATCGACTGCCAATTACCAGTGACTTTGTTGGTGATAGCGTCACAGCCGACCACCTGTCCAGGCCCACTGCAGTCATCCGTTGCGTAGCCATAGCCAACGCAGTACTGTCCATCTCGTGCATCTTCCCCGAAAAGACAGATCCCTGCCCCAGCTGGCTGACATGGTGACTCGCCCTGGCCGTCTTGAGAAGCCTCTCCTACGTTTTGACCGGTGCACCCATTTGGACCGACACCAGTGTAAGCACCAACTTGGCAGAAAGCTGCATACGCTCCCTTGAGGAAGGCTGCCGCAAAAAGCAAGTTGGAGACGGCTTTGATCTGCATGGTCGCTGAAAGAACTTGTAAGCTGATCTGGACGAAGCATGTTGTAGAAAATGCTGTTGCATTACTTACTTAATGTAGGCTGCGGAGACTACACTAAGAGGTTGATGATGTAGATTTGAAGAGGATTGGGAGGCTGAAGTGACGAGTAAAATAACGCGAGAGGCTTTATAGAACACCTTGACCGCATTCGAGCAGCTAATGTAGCGTAGTAGATATGGAGCACAGCCTGATTCTGACAAAGCTTGCACTCCAAAACGTCAGCCCTAAAGCGCCCTCTCTTGGGATAGGGCTCTGTCTGTAGGTCCTTGTTGGATGTGCCATAGTTTATTCCTTAGCAAGTGTCTTGTCTTTGCAGATCGTCGCGGTGGTCTATGAGCGCAATGCACTTGGAGGCAGTTAGTACGCCTTAGCTTCGAGTAGCTAATGGTACGCAGTAGAGACGGAGCTGAGTCTAAGGCTGACAGAGCCATGCTTCTAAGTGTTAACCCTAAGATACTTTTGTTTGGAATAGTGCTCTGTTTGGACGTTCTTGGGGGCTATGCTATGGACTGTCGCTGAGTAGCTGTTTTCTAGATCGTGGCGAGCTCCTTACAAGCGCAACGTACTTGGAGGCGCTTAGTGCGCAAAGGCTAACTTGGCGTAGTATCTATAGATCTTGCGACTTATTTGGTAGCTTCACATTTTGCTCGTTACCACCGTTTGGTCGAAATCTTAAACCGACGATGGCACCATTGGGATATGTGAGAGTTAGTGCTACAGCTCGACCCCAGGCTGCGATTCGTGGCAAAACCAACAACAATTACCAAACCGCAGGAGCCTTGAAGACTAGTTGGGCGAACTGATGATGTCTGCCGTAGCCTCACCTTAAGTTGATCTCTGCAAGGTACAAGCCATTACAAAGCAAGATTCGCTGTGCGTCAAGCCTAGGCCATGCTACATCGTGTGATTTTGTCGATTCCTTGAGCTGAAGCCATGAGCGGGTCTAGATGAGAATTGTGCGCAGCATTATAAAGTATCATCATCCTCCACTCCATTTCGGTACGAGACCAGCAAACTCATTGCAGCTTCCTCTCGATTACAAATCCACACAAGCAAGATACAGCTGTCAAGATGCTTCGACTTGGAGCGCTTGCTATTCTTCTCGTCAATGGTGTTCTTGGGGACTCATGGACGTTGAGCTTCTACACTGCCACCCAATTCGATGCTGGGAGTTGCACTGGTGATACAAACGACAATCCTCCGGTCTGCTGCCACGGCGACTGGTCCAACGTCAAGTCTGTCCAACTGACGGGAGCGGCCGACGCCATCGCTCTGGTTTCCCAGGTAGCGGACTTGATGCTTGCGGAGACACAAACAGCTATACTCAGACGTTTACGGGTAATTCAGGAAGAGTCTTCTTTAGCCATCCGGGCCCTAATGAACGTCAACGACTTCGACAACAGCTACAACAATGTATGTCAATAGATGAAAACAGTAAGTCATCTCGAGGACATTAGACATTCGTGCAGAGTGTACGCTAATGAAGTCCAAACCAGAAATTCAAGGGGTTGAGTGCGATGACTTACAGGCGACAGTTATTGACGTCGCCCGAGGGTGTGGAACATGTATCATCTGGAGACGCATAGATTTTATCAAGCGCTGATTCTACCACTCGCCGTATCGTTCCTTCGCTCATTTAATTACCTTGAGGTGCTGCCTGCGAAGTAATTCAGTTACATTCAGCATGGGAAACTGACATTGGAATGACAAGGCTCCTCCTTCGCTATTGCAACTTCTCACAGATTTCCTTTGAGATATCTCATTTTCAAACGGCCAACCACTTCGTCACGACGAGAGGCTTCGTCTCGTTTTCTTGTACTGCAGCCTAACCAAATCAGCGTTTCGAGAAGAGCTCGACATGTTATCTATCGATGCCCATCACCAGAAATTTGAACTGTCCCGGGTGGTATAAACACAGCGCTAGTCGTACTATACTTCATAGCGGTGGGGGGACGAATGCAATCATGAAGGCAATACAAGAGCGATGGGAGCCATGTTGAGAAATATGATTTCGAAAGCGGAAGACAGGACCAACTGGCCCCTTCTCCACAAAGCAGCCAGGGGTTCGAGGCCACCTTCCCCATCCAGAATCAGCTCCGGCACTACACAAGCACAACGCAAGCGCCAAGACCACTGGATTGAATCAATCTATCCCGGAGAATTCAAGGGTGCCTGTTTCTGCGAACCACTTCCAGCACGTGCAACATTTCCGAGCGTTGGAGACGTGATGAGGCTAACGGCATGCATATGGCGAGAAGTCGTATATTAAGAGTTAGGAACGGCGAATGGAAGAGCAGCAGTTCGAGCACGAGGACTGTTTCGTCTATTGGGCACCCGGGCTTTGTGCTGGGAAGAAACCGAGTATAAAGAGTTCGTAACAGGCCCACGAAAACGATGAACTGTCAAACTTCCACCGACGAAAACATGAAGCTCACTCAAACCTTCACTCTCCTTATCGCCGCGGCTTCGGCTGCCGCTATCGACAAAAGAGCAGTGATAGCCCACGATGCAGTTGTAGGCTTCTCTCAGACAGTCCCGTCTGGCACAACCGGCGACCTCTACCTCAAATACAAGCCATACCTATCTCGCGAGAGCGGTTGCGTGCCCTACCCTGCTGTCGATGCCGAAGGCAATACCAGGTGAGTTTACGAAAAGCACTAAACAAAGCAACAATCAACGAACTCACACTATTTCTCAGCGGCGGCCTGAACCCTACCGGCGACCCAACAGGCGACTGTCTCGACTCGACCGGTCAGGTGTACAGTCGATCGACAACATACAATGGCGCCTACGCCATAATGTACGCCTGGTACTGGCCCAAAGACTCGCCCTCAACCGGGCTCGGCCATCGCCACGACTGGGAAAGCATCGTCGTCTGGCTCTCGTCCGCTTCAACCTCCGCAACCTTGAACGGCGTGGCGGTGAGCGGACACGGAGAGTACGAGACGAGCACGAGCCCGAACTTGAGTGGGACGAGGCCGTTGATTAGGTATTATAATACTTGGCCGGTGAATCATCAGTTGGGGTTTACGAGTACGGTCGGGGATGAGCAGCCCCTGATTGCGTGGGAGAGCTTGCCCAGCGCTGCGAGCGAGGCGTTGACGAGTACGGATTTCGGTGAGTTTCTCATTCTGCGTAGAAGTTCGAGGTTGCTGAGTGCTGATTCTGTGGTGCTGCAGGTGATGCCAACGTGCCGTTCATCGATTCCAACTTTGAGAACAATCTCGCCACGGCGGCGTTGTAGTCTGATACGGCCAGAGAGAGTGCCATTCCATGAAATGCATCAGCAGATACCAAGATACTCTAACGGAATCAATGCGTTCCACCCAAGCCTTTTTACCGCTAGAACACCCTTGAAATCGCCGCCTCACGCCTTCTCTTCCTCCCCTTTCGCTTTCAAAGCATCCTGTCTCGCCTGATTCCTCTTTCCCAAAATCCTCAACGTATTCCTCTTCTCCAAATCCGTCATCTGACCCCAATTCTCGATTCTCGAAAGCGTGCCGTCTTGGTTCACTACCAAAGGCCCCAGAGCATCCATCTTCACTGTTGCCTCGCCGCTCGACATGTCCAGCTTGGAGGCTTCCTCCTCACTTGGAGGTGGTGGGAGAGGTAGTGGTATGTCATTTGACTCCGTTTGTGGTTTGTCTTGTGGGTTCATGGTGTTGGTTTGCTCTGTCCCGAACATTGTTGGGTTTACTTTTGTTGTGATGGCTCGTGAGATGCTGTTCAAATCGTGTGAAGGCTTTGCGAGGTGGGTGCGTAATTGAGGCCACAGAGTGCGCATGAGGAAGTCGTCCTAATGTGTTAGAAGGTTTGCGAGAATGGCAGCGAAAGTTGTAATGACGATGATACGATAGCGTGATTTCATGATTCTGCGGAATCTTCTGGAAAGTCGGATGTCCATGTCGATTTAGTCGAATTTTAGATGTCTTGTGGTCTGCACAGGTGGACTGTGATATCAGATCGGTCTGTACATATGACGCTCATCGTCTCCAGAGGAATCCCGAAGAAGCACTTGGATTGATCATGAATGCGACTTCAATCACGTGATCTTGTTGAAGAAGTAGTTGGAACTGTGAACCGCCCTATCTTTCCGCTCAAAGTGAAAGAGAATAGGCTGCGATATTCCGGATAGAAAGTGCTCAAGCGCGTGATGGTACCTTGGCTCCATCGAATCGGTGGCTGGTCGATAAGGACAAATTCCCCTAAACGGAACGAGAAAAGAATAGCAGTAGTCGAGATCAAACAACCTGCTCTAGTTGAGTCTAAATCAAGATAGACAGGAACATTGATCAAATTTTGCCAAAGCCAAATTCAACGCGTCCGTAGGGGATTCGAACCCGGGTCTAGGGAGATGACCAAAAAGCAAAGCATCCAACCACTCTCCGCGCTACGCCACTAACCGGTCTGGTCCGTTAGGACGTGAGGACCTCTGCTAGCTTTGCCTGCGTTGAGTGATTGGATGAGAGAGCTAGATCTGAAACTCATTATAGAGTCTCAATGCGGTAAGTCCGGTTGCCCCTATGATTTGACGGTGGGTGCTGCATTTCGGAAAGAGTGAATGTGTGGTTGAGTCATCCTGGACGGTAGCATTCTCGTGAAGGTGAAGTTGTTCCACTTCACACATGATGTCGACCCTCCTGGTGAGTTGGTCGTGGCTTCTTCTGACGCTGTTTGCTCTCCGTCGCCAAAACTCGCCGCTTGATGCCGTTTGCTGCCAACACAAAGCGACCACACCTTCCGATTTTGACCTCCTCTTCTACAATCCAGAGTCGCTGGTTACCATCATTCGCCTCATGCTACTCTGACATCGCACCGCCTTCCGATCGACAACTCCACAACATGCCACCCATCACGCGCGGAGCCAAGACCCCTCGTCGTCACGACAACCTCAGCATCTTCGCACAAGACAAGCTCGGAGGACCCATCGAGTCTCCAGGCTCAGAGAACCTCCAGCTGCCAACCCCAACCCCAAGTCAACGCAAGCGCAAACGCGCGCCCCAAGAGGATGAGTTCGTGCAGTTCGCCCGCTCGCTCATCGCCGACGACACCGCTGTGGCATTAAGAGTGGCAGGTTGTGGAGGCGATTCCACGGAGACTGCGTCCGATGGTAAGTGGTGCCTGTGCGGTATGGCGGAGGAGGACATCGTCGACTTGGAGTACATGATTCGGTGTGACAACCGACAGGTAAGACCACATCATTTCCGTTCCCTATCCCTCATTTTGCGGCCACTGAACATTATCGAGTGCAATCCGGGCTGGTTTCATCTGCGTTGTGTAAAACTTCCCAGTCAACCACCATCTAGGTTCGGCTGGTTCTGCAAGGATTGTTTGAAGGCGTGCAATGTCGGAGAGGCGATCAACGGACTCATCTGTCAGCGCGGTGAGGATGGCAGCACGGAAGTCCGCGACTGGCTGGTGGAGCAGCAGAGCGAGAGGGATACGAGGCGTAAGAGACGGCAGTTGAAGAAGATGGTGCAGGATGCATCTGACGGCAGTGAGGGCGATGTCGATGAGTGAAGGAGTGAGAGATGCAAGGGTATTATGAGTTGGATGGATCCGTGGTCTCATGGTTTGCAGTGGAGAGAGTGATGGCGAGGCGCCTAGCAGGAACAGTGTTGCAAGATTGGTTGCATTCGCCAAGAGAAGCTGGATAATCGCCAACGAAGGATGTTTCCAAACTCGCGTTCCAACGTCGTGTTCCAAATTCGTATCCATAATCGCGAGTCGTGGTTGTACCAATTAGCTCAACAGATCTTCCAAAGAAGGGAATGTTCCACCTCCACTTCTCCCGTCGTTGTCCAGAGACCCTATCATCTGCATCAAAGAAGGCAGCTCGATCTGATCAGGGTATGCATTGTCAGGTAGTACGCTCGCGAGCGATGGCAGCGAGTTCGAATTGTTCTGGGACGCTGGAGGTGCTGAAGGGAGAGCGGTCAGCACGTTGTTGGACAGAGGCCTTGGCAATTTTAATGTCATGAGCGGGTCGATGCCAGTGCTCTTAGATGCCTCAGCGTTTGAGGTCTTCCCGGCATCCGCCCCTGCCCAGTCTAAGATCCTTCTATCCAAGACGATAGGCTCGCCGTTCTCCTCGTCATCATCGCCAAATGCTCCACCAAGGAATACATCGTCCAGAGAGAAGAACGGCAAGTGAGGCGGTCTCCTTGTTGGAGCAGGCTTTGCAGTCGTGGCGTCTTCCTTATTTGACGGCGTGCTTTTTGGAGCGTCTGTCACCACTTCGCTCTCCGACCCGCTAGCTTTCTCCGCACTGTCTTCTACGGCTCGCTTTGCCACTGAAGAGGCAGACGAGCTGGGCACAGATTTCGAATACTCGACGGGGTACCTCGTGCGAAAGCGATCTCTCAGGTCAGCCGCCCTGCGTCCCGAGAAGCCAAAATCGGGATCTTTCCTGATCGTTGACCAAGCGTTGCCGTGTTTCTTGAAACCTTGCAGAAGTGCCTCGTCTTCAGCAGTGGTGTACTCATGACGATTTCTTCGGCCGACGTTGACAAAAGGCTCGTTGATGCCCAACTCTTTAAGCTTGGACGGTGAAATCTCTTCTCTCGGAGGGCCTTTGGTAGTCGTCTTGGGTTTGGCTGATTGCTTGGCTTGCGCACCAGGATCTCCACTGGAAGATGCCTTCAAGGCCTTCAGACTCTTGTACGAGCTCGGACAACATACGCGGAACCTATCTTTCAGATCGAGGGCTGTCCGTTGGTTGAATGAATATTCTTCGCAGTTGAGAATCTTGGTCCAGCTACCAATTCCGAAATTGGCGACACCTTTGAGCAGGTCTTCGGTCTCCTGGTCAGACCACTTTCTCCGCTGCCGAGCTTTCGGTGGAGGCGGCGCTGGTGCATCATCAGGCTTGGTAGGTCGAGCACCACTGGAATCTTCCTTTCGCTCCGTAGGTTTCGGTAATACTGGCTCGATGACAGGCTCCGGCTGGCGAGGAGGTAGTACCTGGGGCTGTTCTACACTGATAGAGGGGAGCAGTCCAGCATTCGGGGGAGGCTGATGGAGTCCAGAAAGCGTTGGAGGGATTCTGAGTCGCTTGGTTGTATGATTCCGGACAGGAAGCTTGGGCAGATCCAACGTAGTATTTTCTGATGTTTTCTGGCGTTTGGGAGGTCTTTCGGAAGACGGCTCGAGAATTAATTTGAAAAGGTCACTATTAGAAGATTTCTCAAGCCTCGCTTTTTCGAGATGTGGCGTGCCGTTCAAGGGGTGCTTCTGAGAGCCGGCCTGCGGCTGGGAAGGCTCGATCGGGTTGGGAAGATTGATGTAGTCGATCGAAGTCGGCCTGTACGCATCGGAGCCTGCGCCATCCTGTCCAGACGGCATGGCGATATGGCCGTGAAAGGCGAGCGATGTCGTGTGTGCCATCTCCTCATGAGGAGGCGAGGTGGGCAGGAACTTACGCTAACAGCCCAAAGCGGTATAGCGTGAAAGCATAATCCACATCAGTTGTCCTCACTCCCACTCCCACAGCTCTCCTCTTTGCTCTCTTTCCCATAACTGTTCAAAAGTCGATTACGCCTACCCACCTCCATTCACCCTATATTGCCGCGAGAGCTACAGCATGGACGCAACCACTAGTGTCTATGACCCCCAACGCATCCTCCTCTTCCCCGCGTTGATCCACCCCCGGCAAATAGGCTGAATTCGCTGATGCATGCCCCGAAGTCCTGTGCTACAAGTAGCCACGCATTGCAATACCAGGTAGGTCTCAGCCACAGGTAATAGATTCACAATGCTCAAGCTCTTATTCCTGTTCGTGTTCATTGGCCTCGTGGCCGGAGAAGATGGCCTCCAAGCATGGCTTCGTTACGCACCTCTTCCTCGTGGCCATCACCGCTCTTCTCTTCCTTCGAGAATTGTCGCGCTCAATGACTCTTCTTCCAGTCCAGTCTACACCGCCGGGCAGGAGCTTCAAAAGGGTATCCTAGGCATTCTTGGAGAGGACCTTGAAATCTGTGACTCCGCTCCAGCAGGAAATTCAGCTATTCTCGTGGGCACTGTTGGGCAGTACAATAAAGTGTACCAAGATGCAACGCTTCATCCCGATCTCTCGGAAGATGGCTTCTGGCTGAGTACTCAGGGCACCACGGTGCGGATCCTTGGTCAGAACGAACGCGGAGTGCTCTATGGCGCTTTTGAATACCTCTCAATGCTTGCGCAGGGAAATTTCTCAACAGTCGAGTATCCGACCAACCCGTCTGCACCGATCAGATGGACCAACGAATGGGACAACATGGACGGCAGCATTGAGCGAGGCTTTGCTGGGAACTCGATCTTCTTCGACGATGGAGCCATCGTGGCCAACCTGACACGAGCGGCAGAGTACGCACGACTTTTGGCTTCGATCCGAGTAAATGCAGTCATCGTCAACAATGTCAACGCCAACTACACTACTTTACAACCGGACAACATCGAAGGCCTAGGGAGAATCGCGGACGTCTTCAGGCCTTACGGAGTCCAGCTTGGCATGTCGTTGTACTTTGCCTCTCCCGCCAACATCACCAATCTGACGACATACGATCCCCTAGACAGCCGTGTCATTGCTTTCTGGAATGACAAGACGGACGAGATCTATCAACGTATCCCAGACATGGCTGGCTACCTTGTAAAAGCCAACAGTGAGGGCCAGCCGGGCCCCATCCAATACAACCGCACTCTTGCTCAAGGAGCAAATCTCTTTGCGAAAGCGTTGAAACCTCACGGAGGCATCTTGATGTTTCGGGCATTCGTATACGATCAGCTTAACGAGTCTGACTGGAAAGCCGATCGAGCCAAAGCTGCCGTGGACTACTTCCAGCCACTCGATGGCGACTTCGACGACAATGTAGTCGTTCAGATCAAATACGGCCCCATCGACTTCCAAGTCCGCGAGCCAGTCTCACCTCTATTTGCGAATCTCCGGAACACAAGCACCGCCATCGAGCTTCAAGTAACGCAAGAATACCTTGGTCAGCAATGTCATGTAATCTACCTTCCACCACTGTGGAAGACAATCACAAACTTCGACCTCCGAGTCGACAACTCCACTTCTCTCGTCCGTAACATCATGACTGGCCAACACTTCGACCGTCCCCTCGGCGGCTCAGCTGGAGTTGTAAACGTCGGCCAGAACACCACCTGGCTCGGCAGCCACCTCGCCATGTCCAACCTCTACGCCTACGGCCGCCTCGCATGGGACTGGACCGCAGACCCAACCGAAATCTTACAAGACTGGATCCGCCTCACTTTCGGCCACAACCAGCAAGTCATCGACACAATCACCGAAATGTCCCTGGCCTCCTGGCCCGCGTACGAGAACTACAGCGGGAATCTCGGGATCCAGACATTAACAGATATCCTCTACACGCACTTCGGACCCAACCCGCAAAGCCAGGACAACAACGGCTGGGGCCAATGGACGCGCGCGGACAAAGCTTCCATCGGAATGGACAGGACCGTCTCAAACGGCACGGGCTACTCAGGCCAATACCCGCCCGAGATCGCCTCCCTCTACGAAGACATCTCCACAACCCCCGACGACCTCCTCCTCTGGTTCCACCACGTCAATTACACACACACGCTCACCTCCGGCAAGTCCGTCATCCAGCACTTCTACGATGCACATTACGCCGGCGCTTTGACCGCCCACTCCTTCGTGGGCATGTGGGAATCCCTCAAACCCTACATGGACACGGAAAGATACGACGATGTCCTCTTCCGCCAGAAATTCCAAGCGGGCCACGCGCTCGTCTGGCGCGACGCAATCACGAATTTCTACCATAACCTGTCCGGCATCCCCGACGAAGCCGGGAGGGTAGGCCACCACCCCTGGCGAATCGAAGCGGAGAGCATGCGCCTCTCCGGGTACGAAATCTACGCCGTGGCTCCGTTCGAAACGGCCTCGAACGCCACGGCCATCGTCACGAGGTCCAATTCTACGACCGGGACGGCATCCACGACCATCGCGTTTGATTCGGGGGTATACGATCTCGCAATCAACTACTACGACATGTACGGCGGGAACAGCACGTACGAGGTGTGCATTGGGGATCAAGTGGTAGCGAAGTGGACGGGAGACATCGTGGACACGGGAAAGCTGGGCCACACGCCGTCGATTTATCTAGATGGGCATTCGGCGACGCGGGTGACGTTTCCGGATGTGAAGATTCAGAAAGGGGATGTTTTGACGATTAAGGGCACGCCCGATGGGATTGAGCCGGCGCCGGTGGATTATGTTGCGCTGTTGCCGAGGGGGGTCGTTGATTAGGTTAGGTCGTTCAGAGCGCATGGTTTCTTGGGTTGGGATTATTTCACTGTCCCCTCCTCCCCAATGCATCCCTTAGACTACTCATCCTCCCGCCGATGCTACTCCCGTAACTCCCCTGCGTGCGCATATTGCTCATCAAAGCATCCTCCAACGCACTTTGCGTCACGCTCGCATCGTCCAAGTCGCTGAAACTGCTGCCCATACTGGGCGATCCCTCGCTACCGTCTTTGCGATACCGAGGCGACATGCTCGCAAGCTGGGCGCGATGACGGGGACTCAGAGGCCCAGGAGGTCGTTGCTGGCGGCCTTCGGTGCCGTTGTCCGTGTCGGTGGAGGGTTGTCGGTGCATGCTGGCTGAAGAGGCAGAGGACTCAGTTGCCGTGGAGTTCTCACGGATGGTTTTAGGTTTTGCTGTTGCGATTGTGGCAGTCTGTCGTTTTGGTGAGCCGCGGATGGTTGCTGCTGGGTCGGGTTTGGAGGATGTAGCGAAGGGGAGGTAGCCGCCTGAGTCGTCATCATCTTCGTCTGCTTCTGCGTCGCCGTCTGAGCCTAGTGTGCCGAGGGTTTGTTTTGCTTTTCGGTTGACGAGCGGGCGGCGGAATGCTTGGCTTCGAGATGCGGCTGAGGGCTCTTCTTCTGAGTCTGATTCTGATGGGCCTTCGTGTTCGATAGCATCCTCGTAGTACTCGTCTCGAGGCGACTGGCCAGCTGATGTAGCAATAGGTGCGGGTCTTCGTCCTGATCCACTCGATCCTCGCAATGCACGTTGTAGAGGTTGCTGTATCCTCGAACCAGTTATCTTGCTCTGCGTGACAGTTGTGGTGGATGGCGTACGAGATATCGGTACTCTCCCCTGCGGCGTACTGGTCCCGGGTGATGATTCACCACCAACTGGCGTGATGGGACTGTCCCGCTTGAAAGCAGAGACAGTAGATCCAGTCTGCAGCTTAGATTCTCGACTTCCTGTCCTCTCCATTCTGATACCTCCCACTCCACTTCCGCTGCCCGTGCCATCGCCCTGAGCTATGCGACCGACTTGTTTGCGCATTCTCTCCATGTGCCGCTCGCTCAACCTGTGTTTATGTCAGCAGATTCATCAAATTTGCTTCATCCTCAACTTACCACGCCCCTTGCATAACCAGAAACCCCAAATCCACACCAAAGTCATTGCTCAGACCCTCCCAATCCACATCTCCCTTCCCACCAGAAATCAACTTCCACAACTGCCTGTCCTTGGCTGCATTCCATTCTACCGGCGGCGGATCCTCAAAGGCACCCCGAGTGAAAGGCAGGCGAATGAAGACCGTGTAATGTGGAGGTTTCGAAGAGCTTTGAATTTGGAGATATGGCGATTGCGGTCGTGATGATGGTTTCGGTGCATTCGATGAAACCTTTGATGGTTCTTGACCGGGAACAGGAGTTGCGGTGGAGCTTTGACGGGATCGGGGCTTGTTCTGCGAAGGCAGCGCAGATGATGATGGCGACATGCTTTGAGTTTGATGAAGGTCTTGAAATGGTTGAGTTTGATGAAATGCACAAGGTATGTTGATGGAGTAAGGTCTGGGAGCTGTAGGGCTGAATCACGTGCAATCTGTGTGCCTGAGGTCAAAACAATCAGGTACCAGTCTCCCTCTCTCACGCAGCAACGAGCAAAAATGACAAAGATATTGGTTGAACCTGACTCTTTGAAGCATGCATGATCAATTCGCCTGCTATGGAGAAGCCTTTGGCTGCGGTGCAGTCCTATCGTCACGCTGCTCAAAGTGCCCGGAAAAGCCATCCCACCGACATACGCCCACCAAAGCCAGCAACACGCTTAGATCGTCGTCTCGTATGCTATCGGCGTAACGCTCTCTGGCTTGTTGTCCTTGGCGCTGACAGTCCGCGCCTCTCTTGGCTTGACTGGCTGTCTCTTGAGGTGCAGGTGCTCGCCAGTCTCCTTCGCCTTGCGCTTCTTGGCAGCGTTGTCCTTCACACGGACGATGAACTCCTCACGCGAGCGCGAGTGGCGGACGTGCTCGACGCGGACGTTGATGCGCTTCTCGATGTAGCGGTTGCCGACCTGTCGGTAGAGGATGACGCCGACTGCGGACTTGGTGACATTGTAGACAACACCGGTCTTGCCGTGGTAGACCTTGTATGGCTGTGGAGGGTGTTAGTCGTGCTTGTGAATCGAGGGAGGTGCAGGATTTCGGGAGATCGTGGATCGCGAAAGTAGCCGCTCCTCATGAGATTGTACTGACCATGCCCTTCTGCACAGCACCGTTGGCGACAACATCGACGATATCTCCGACGCGGTACTGCTTGAGGTATGTGCCCAGGGCGATCATACCCTTCTTCTTGAAGTCGCGAGAGAAGGCTGTTTCCAAAAGTCAGTCGCATGTTCCCATCTTCTCCAACCAAGACCATGTTCCCAATTTGCCTCCCTTCATCTTTCCATCTCTTTCACGATGTGTGCGAGTACTGACCATAGCGAGTGCCAGCCCTGAGACCTGCGGCGTGACCCATTGTGACGGTGGTTGAAGGCTGCGCGGGTTGTTAGCGGTGGATGCGATCGCGGAGGGATGTTCGGTGCGTACGTCTTGGGGTTATGAGTCTATCAGATGTCAGCACGGGTATGTTTGATCTGTGTTGCGGCAAAATACTCACTGTCGTGGCGCTGCGTCCGTGGTAGAGTCGACTTCGCTGCTCGGTTCAAATTTGGTCGTGGTGGATTTCTGTGCCAAGCCAAGCTGAGCTCGGGCCACCCAAATTCGCCCACGACCATTTCTGCCCGCTTCGCCTCCAGCTTTCTCTTCGACCAGCACGACTCCGACGGAGCACACGACAACCAGCCATGGCCCCGTAAGTCACCATCCACAGGCCGATACGAGGATGCAGCAATGTCAGGAGCGATGCATGGCGGGAATGCAATGCGATGGAATTGGGCATAGGGCTGAGCGCGAACATTGCGACTCGCAGGCCCAGAAGGAGGATGCATTCAAGAGGAAGAGAAAAGCGGAAGATACGCATGCAACGATGCATTGTGCTGACGAGCATTGCTCTGAAGTGCGCCTTCTACTGAAGGACATCGCATTCTCGCCTGCATCGACTCTGGACATGCTGCATTCTCAGGTCTGCTCAACACCTTGAGTCTCTCCGCTAACATCTTCCAGACGCTCCTACTCCAAGACCTACAAGGTCCCACGTCGTCCATTCGAGTCGGCTCGTCTGTCAGTAATCTCCCATGGCCACTGAGCGTGAGCTTGCTCCGTTCACGTCAATGGTATCTAACAACCGCCCAGTGACTCCGAACTGAAGATCGTCGGCGAGTACGGTCTCCGCAACAAGCGTGAGGTCTGGCGTGTCCAGCTCACCCTCTCCAAGATTCGTCGTGCTGCCCGGTATGCATCGTACTCCACCCGGGCTTGGGAAGATACTTTTGCTGACAATTTTCTCAGTGAGCTCCTCACCCGTGACGAAAAGGACCCCAAGCGTCTCTTCGAAGGCAATGCCCTCATTCGCCGTCTGGTCCGTGTCGGTGTGCTCGACGAGTCCCGCATGAAGCTCGATTACGTCTTGGCCCTGAAGGTTGAGGACTTCTTGGAGCGCCGTCTCCAGACTTGCGTCTACAAGCTCGGTCTCGCCAAGTCCATCCACCACGCTCGTGTGCTCATCCGCCAGCGTCACATCCGGTAAGACACATAACACATCTGAATCATGACAGATACTGATTTCTTGACAGCGTCGGCAAGCAGATCGTCAACGTCCCATCCTTCGTTGTCCGTCTCGACTCCCAGAAGCACATCGACTTCGCCCTTACCTCGCCATTCGGCGGCGGGCGCCCAGGCCGTGTGAGGAGAAAGAAGGCCAAGGCCGCCGAGAGCAAGGGTGACGATGGTGAGGACGGCGGCGAGGAGGAGGAAGAGTAGACTACTCGTCTCCTTGACATTCACGATTCACTGGGAACGGCATCGGCGCGGCGCATATGAGTTGGGCATGGATGCACGTTTGGCGACCATAGATAGTCGCGGCAATCAAAACAGATGAGTCTTCACGTTCAACTTTATGTTCATGATGTTTTCTGTGTGACTTCCCTTTGGGCGATCGTGCCTTCACATGTTGGCTGCCACGCTAGGCTCGCTAGTCTCTGCTCTGCAGACCCGAGCTGTGACTGCATGAGCTCCGCCGCCCAACTTCATCCTCTTGACAGGCGCTCGTAGGCTGCCAAGCTGTCAATCATGGCGCCGAAAATCAAGCAGGAGTCGCCGGGACCTCCGCCAAAGCGCAGCAAACACAACTACGCCGACACCTGCAAAGTCATCGTCGGGTCACGAAAAGACGAATTCGTCATGCACACGGCATTTGCAACGGCCAAGTCAAGCTTCTTCAAGTCAACGATTTCTCAGGATTGGAAGGAGGGCAAGGAGAAGACCGTTCGGCTGCCTCAACACGAAGCAGGAACCTTCCACGTGTTCGTGCACTGGATCTATTCCGGCAGTCTTGACTTTTCAATTGTGGATAACACTGGTGCGCACGATCCACCCAGCTACCTCAACTGTGGTAGAGTCTGGGCTCTCGCGCATTATTTGGGTGCTCCACAGCTGCAGAACCAGGTCATCGATCGCATCATCCACAAAGTCGCAAGAGGAGACACTCGAAATGTGGCACTGTCCAGCCTCAAGCACATCTGGCAAATCACTCCACCAGGCTCCACGATACGCCAATTGTTGACAAACTGTGTGGCGAGCGAAAATCGCGCCTATAACGGGGTTGGTGAAGCGGAGGAGTTGCCAGAAGAGATCCTTCTCGAGGCAACCCGCCAACACCTGTATGGTGCTAGCAAGAACGTGCCAACGATGGAGCACCGTTGCAACTACCACGAACACGATGAGGGAGAGCCGAGATGTGAGTAGGGAGTTCAGGAATACTCGAAAGGTCCTGTTGGCGAAGATTGTGCATCTGGCAGGAGAGGAAGAAGATGGAACGACCGTTTACCTCATGAAGGCAGACGGGGCTGGGGTTCAAGCAGCGTGATCATCCTTCGACTGGAGAAGAATATAACCCATGCACAAGTCCAACAAATTGTTTCATTCCGCCTCACCAGTATCTGTTAAACTCACTTTCCTGGCGCCCAGTGCCTACGGAGGGCTAATCGTGCACCTTGGAAGCAAAGGGGAGGACTAATTTGAATCCCCGCGATCAACTTCATTTCGAACAACACGTCTACGCCGACAGCATTCCCAGCAATTGATCTTCGTTTTCACTCGGTTGTGACTCACCATCTTTGCGGAGGCGGAGGAAGATTCACACGTCTGAAATATAAAGTGAATCCATCGACCACCGCGTCACGCGACGCGAAAACTGCACGTACTTCCCACCACTTACTTGTATTCTCCGTCGCCTTCATTACATGCGGAAGACAGGACTCCACATCAGCAGCACATCCACCTGTAGTAATCGACATGCCACGAAAAGGCGGAAAGCGTCCTGCCAATACGCAAATGTCCGAGCCCGCCCCAAAACGCTTCAAGTAATCCAGATCCTCTCAACATACCTCTACAGTCGCAGCCAATTGACCATCCTCAAAGATCCAGCTACAACAAAACAATCACCGTCCTCGTAGGTCCCGAAGAAGACAAGTTCATAGTCCACAAGAGCACAGCATGCGACAACTCCCCCTTCTTCAAAGCCGCCTGCTCGCAGCACTGGGTCGAAGGCCAAGACAAGGTCGTCCGTCTTCCAGACACCACCGCGAAACTCTTCGAGACATTCCTACACTGGGCGTACACCAAAGACCTCAAAATGGAGGGCGTCGACGACTCCACCACCGCCGACCAGCCGCGCACCTACGATCTCGGCAGCGTCTGGGGTCTGGCCAACTACCTCCAAACCCCCGCCCTCCGCAACAAAGTCATCGACCGCCTCCTGCAGAAATTCGACGCCATGCCGCACACCGCCGTGCCCCGGTCCGCCCTGAACCACATCTGGGACCTCTCGCCCCCGGACGCCACGATCCGCCGCTTGCTCATCGACCTGCACCTCACGCGCATGTCGCGGCAGATGTTTGAGGCGTTTGAGGATGAGTGGCCGCAGGATTTGATTCTGGCGGCGGCGAGGTTGCATTTTGCGAGTGAGGAGAAACGGAAGATGTTGAGGAGTCCGTGTTTTGAGGAGAGGGCTTGTTATCATGAGGCGGAGGATGGGGAGGGGGAGGAGGAGGGTGGGGCGGAGCTGGCTAAAGCGGAGGTGGATTAGGTCTGGAAGTTTGAAGATGGTGGTTTTGATGAAGATCTGGGAGGCGTTTGAAGAAGGTGAAAGTCGGAACGATTATGACGGTCTCTCTGAAATTCGATCGCAAAGTGTTAACGAGGAGGCACCAATTCCATCAGTGGCTGAACCGCGGATCACATCCAATTCTGGTCGGAGAGATGATTTGAGGCGGCTTATGAATGTCATTTCAAAATGAGAAGCATGAAATGAAGAGCAAAAGAGAAGAGGGAGGTAATTGGAAGAAGTAACTTCTTCATAGCTGGCCGACAGTGCTAAAGGCACTGCGACATGCACCCGAAGGTGCTTGTGCTATCTATCGGTAAGGACTGTGGTCAACATTATGCTACTGATACAACCGTATTGCGTATTGTTACATTCCCAAGCCGGATACCTCAAATGTAGAACATGCCACCCTTCACATCCCGACCGCAAGGGTTCTCATTGGCTCCTTGGTTCCAAAACCTATTCGAGCTGATCGTGGTGGGTATGTTAGTGGGATAGCGACCAGCAGCAATCTCGGTGGCCACTGTCTGCCGCTTCTGCTCGTCTGACATCCTGCCCAGCCCCTGAAGCCAGCCGTCGTGAGTGGCTTTGGTTGGACGAAGAGGATGCCGGCCGACGAGAAGTGGGCGTAGGTAGCATCTGCCACGCTCGCAGAGCTTGTCGGCGTAGTATGCTGGACCGACGACGGAGACGGGCGTGACTGACGTCGCATAGACCCAGCTGAGATCGAATGTCTGGATGAAGTGTCAGTATCGTTCTGTAAATTTGTCCCGAGGTAGACTTACCACTTGCTGAAGCTCATCGGGCGTGAAGCCGATGCCGTTCTCGATCACGAAGTAGTGGCAAGGCCGGCCAGTGCCTTGCAGAGGCTGGTGAGCCTGAAGCCAAAAGTCGAAATACTGCGGGAGTCTGATAGAGCGGTCGTCGACCACAAGACCAGGCTTGAAGTTGCCTTTGCGATCCGAGTAGTCTGTCTGGCGGTCGATGTCGGCTTGAGTTGGATAGAACCTCGTGGCCTGGCGCTTGGTGCAGACGATCAGGGTGATCGCAGGCTTGTAGTCGATGGAGTCTTGAGCTGAGATGTCATCACAAGCAGCTTTGATGGCTGCGAATTCCCTTTTCTTCACCATGGCGAATTGGTCCTCGCCAACTCCGTCGCGATAGAAAAGGATGCTGCCGGGCAGCGATCCGTTGTTCTTTGAACGCCACACACGAAGTCTCTCAGCCATCATGGCTCGCAAGTCGATGATTTCCTGTGGATGTTAGCAGTGTACCTTTGAAGATGTCAGCAAATGCTGCTTACCTCTGTTCGACCTGGCTGCAGACGCATTGAGCCTGGGAAAGTCACGCAATCCCTATCAGTGCTGGCCACTACTCCAGCGATGGAAGGGCAGAGCGGGATGCCGGCTGGACCTGGGTGAGTGACATCGGCTCCAACGACCATCGTGTCGCCAGCGTCGGGTCGATGAAGTCGTGAATACGCATCGCTTGTCAGAACGTGGTTCTTCCCGCCAAGTTTGGCATTGAACTTGAGAGCGAGGTTTGCAAGAAAGCCTGGATTGGCCAACGTGCCAGTCTTCTCGTCGGTCAAGCAGACAGTATGGACGCCTTTGAGCTGATCGCCCCACCACTTCACCAGTGCGTAGTTGTCGTTATTTTCGTCCTCGAGAATCACCAGGACGACTTTTGAATTTGCTTTTAGCCCGTTGTATGCTGCGCTGAGATCCGCAGGCATCGCAAAACCTGATTGAGCCCGAGAAAAGCCTTGCCTGCTCGTGACGCCGTATTGCCGCAAGCCATTCTGAAAGGTACGAACCAGCTGATCACTTGGTCCGTGTGCATTGCCGACCTGAATGATGATCATGTCGCCGAGGTTGGAGCCTACATAGAATATTTTGTGTTTCAGTTGCCATCTTCCCACCCCATTGTCCTCGACCAATGCTTCGACCGACTGGCGGTTGAGATACTTTAGCTTGGGCGCTGCGAGCATCCTGCCATTGACTTGAAGCATGCTCGGGTTGACATTGAGAACGAGCCGAGTGCGTAGGTTATTCACCTCGATGAGAGAAAGACCCAGTCCGGGAGTGAGAGCATTTGTGGTGTTCTGTCCCTGGCCGGTAAAGTTACCTCGACCACGAGAGGAGCCCCGTCCGCGATCCTGACCATGTCCAGGGCTTTGACCACGTCCATGAGGTTGGAAAGGTGCAAAAGGGTATCCCCGTCCTCCAGGCTGGCCGCGTCCTGGAGGGAGACCACGCCCTGTAGGCTGGCCGCGACCAAGATTCCCACGTCCACGGTTCTGACCTTGTGCAGGATTCTGACCTTGAACGCCTTCGATGTGTTGAACGTTCTCGGCAGGAGTTAGCCGAGAGATGGTTCCCATCTGGTCCATGTCGCAGCGAGGTACCGTAGTGCTGAGGGCTTGGTTGGGTACGATCCAGAGCAGCTCCATCGGTATCCATACTTGAGCGTCTTTGTCGACTGGACCGCCAGTGTTGACGACCGGAAGTCCAGGGTGCCGGAGATTTTGCAGCAAGACGTTCTGGTTGAAATGGTCCTGCACAGTCGGCGTCTGGCCGTTGATGGCGAAGGTTTGTTGACTCGCAGGCTGTCCGAGGCCTGCTATGCGCTTGACGCGGCTCTGTGGTGTAGGGGCCTGATGAATGGCAGATGCGTTTTGATTGGTGCCGTCAGGTGGTGTGTACAGGTATTGGACTTGGAGACCTCTGAGACTGGCCGTAATCTCCGGTAGAAGCTGCAGATTGGCTCCATTTGGATCAAAGTTGCCAGAAAATCGAGTCGTGAGAAAGTCAATCACTCTGCGAGAGGGGTAAAACGCCGCTGCAGAAGTGTTGAGTTGTAACTGCCATGCATTGTTGGCAGGCCTGAACGAGTTGAATACACCGAGTCTTGCAAGAAAGCCGGATGAGTTGAGCGCATGGAATGGGTTGGCGGGAAAGAGTCTGCTCCGTCCTGCGCGAACAGTGGTTTGAGTCTTGACGGCAAAATGCCTTACGAGGATGTTGAAGGCTTGGACGAACGGGCTGAAGTCGAAGGGGGTCGTCGCAGTGGGCTGGCCTCGGATGTACGCCCTGAACTCACTGATGTTCAACCTGTTCTGGAGTTCAACCTCCGCATCGTTGTTGATTGGAGGACCTTGCGACGACTGGTTGTGGAACACGTACGGGGCCAAGATGACTCCAGAAGCATTTCTGGGAATAGCTCCAGTTGACAACGTTTCGAGAGGTGCCTTGGTGACGATCATGTTGTTCCAATCTGTGAAGACCTGGTCGTTGCTAGCGCTTTGACCCCATGGCTGCTGCATGGAGAGGACTTCTTGCATCAGTGCCTTTTTGACGTTTGAGTTCCTCACGTCTCTGCCATTGATAGGTTGGAACTTGACACTGTAGATGTAGAAATGGGAGATAGATCCGTCATCGACAATGTTGAAGCGATTCACACGAATGTTGATTTTGCTGCCAGAGGTTCCTTCTCCAGCGTCAGCTGCATAGGACTCGTCAACAAACCTCAATTTTGGTGGAGGCTGCTGCTTTTGCTCTGATCCCTCATTTGTCTCGTCGGTACAAGCAGTACTGTCGCCTGAGGCTGACGCGGAGCTGGTGTCGACAGATGGCTTTGACGAAGATGCATGCTGATGAGGGCCAGATTGAGAAGCTGAACGTAGAGGGAGAGTCTGTTGTGTGACGTTCTGGTGGGCGCTGGCATTGGATGGCGTGCTGCTGGCTGAGGTGCTGTTGGTTGGCGTGCTGTTGGAAGGCGCATCCACTGGCTGGGGCTGGAACGTGGCAGCCTTGGCGGACAGTCCGGCAGCTTGAGTCGGCTGACTGGACTTCTGAGCAGTCGAGGCAGAACTTCTTGCTTTTGGGATCGCTGGGACGACGTTACCCGCGACACGACTGTAGGACATCGATGCCGTTGGAGGTCGTTGTTGTGGTTGCTGTTGTGGCGGCTTGTCTGGGTCCGGGTTGGAAGCCTTCTGTTGGTCGGCCGGAGCCTTGTCAGAAGACATGACGGAGGAATAGATGAGGAGTGGGAGTTCGGTGAGGGATGATGAGTTGAACAGTGGTGCTCCTACTCGTTAATAAAGTCCAGCTCGAGAAGTTGCGTGCAAGGGATTGCGTTTGCTGGGGCGAAGACATAGCTGCCTGCGATCTCAGTCTGACAATGCCAGCTGCACACTATGCGTGCTGTGATGCACAAATGTCTTTGAACAGACCAAGGAGATGTAAGACGAGCTTTCCAGCTTGAGACATGGAGCTTGTCGGTACAGAAAGCAATTGGTGACAGACAGAAGCAAGGAGAGACAAAAGGCCCCATACTGCATTGCAGACAAAGCTTTTCGTGCTGCAGCATAAGATAAGTAAACAGCCTAGTGTTGATCCCGAAAGAGACACATTATACTTAGCAAACAAATGAGAGACATGGGCTCTGTTGCCTGCGACAATATGGGAAACCGTCCACGCAGTGTTGAATGCATCATTACTTGCTGCAGCAGGTGGGAGAACGACTGCGCTTTGAAGATAGAGAAGATGGTGCTGATAGGCTTGCGTGATGAGAAAGGTGAAGGCGAGTGAAGGGACAACCTAGAGCTTGCAGTCGGAGGATGCCAAGGCTCGGACCTCGGGCCGGCACCGAAGGACAGGGGTACAGGGGTACTGCAACGTCACTTCGTGTAGATGAGAGTCGTGAGACTTGTCTTCGTCGCATTTCCATAATATCTACCATACGTACGATCCAACGTTGTGCTAGTAAGCTACAGCGTGTATCGAAATAGCGGAGACCTATCACCCATGGCCTCAAGTTCCTCTTCACTCCACTTCGCAATGACCTCCGAGTCGGACAAAGTAGCCCTTCTCTTGTTCGTAAGGTAATACACAAGTTCGAGGATGATACATGCCCCTACACCCAACGCAGCGAACGCAAGCGAACAGCCGTACCCGGTGGGGTACCTTGGGGCCTCGCTTTCGATGAAAATATAGCTCCCAACGATTCCTCCCAGATTCCCGAGACAGATCATATACGCGAGACCGATGGCTCGCTTTGTAGATCCAGCAAGATTGTTTACTGTCCACGCATTGCCGCCGGGGTTGATTGGGTAGAGGCCAATGCAAGCAAGAACGATAGCGAAGAAGCACGCCGGAATGTGGTCTGCGATGTTGGCGGCCAAGGCGAAAAGGATAGCGTAGGCGCAGACAACGAGAAGCTGAGGCACCACGATGAACGGCATGCGCCAGGTAAAGCGGTCTGCGAAGATAGCTGAGAGGTATGCGCTCACGGCACCGGCAAAGTAAGGCCCGATGGTGAGTAGCTGGGCGTTCGAAGAAGTAAACCCCATCTCGCGAATAATCTGGGGCATCGTGAACTTCAGCGCATTGTTGGGCACCGTGTTGGACCAGTAGATGAGAGCTTGGAGATAAATCTGCCAATCAAACACAACATCACGAAGTGTCTTCCAGTCGACAGATTTGGCCTTCTCTTCGGGGTTGCTCCTGCCGTTCTGAGCTATTAGGCGAAGTTCCAGGTACTTGATTTCATCGGGATCGAGCCATTTACCGGAGCTGGCTAGACTATCGATCAAGCAGAAAAAAGCCAAGACTCCAGCAAGGACAGTTGCGAGGTCCTCGAGGATGAAGATCCATCGCCATCCGGCATAGCCGCCTACACCGTCCATCTTGGCGATTGCAAAGGCAAGGAGAGCGGAGAATACTCCTGCGAGTGCGCTTGCCATGTAGAAGAGAGCGATCCTGGTCTGCGTTTCGTTCCTGGTGTACCATTTGGAGATGATGAGCACGGCACCTGGAAAGAAGCCAGCTTCTGCCGCACCGAGTCTGGTACTGTTAGCCTAGCCTACAAGAGATGTCAAGGGCGTTCTCACAGAAATCGCATCCCAACAAGCCCCCCGAAATTCTTCACAACGCCCATGATGGTCATCATGGCACCCCATAGCATGATGATGGAGCCAATGTATCGAGACGGTTTGCTCAGCCTGTTGAGGATATAGTTGCTAGGCACCTCTGCAGAATGGTCAGACCCTGGCTGCGTTGCTGGCTTAGGCTTACTCGCCGAAAAGTACATAAGGGATGAAAAACACTGAAACGGCGATGTTATATTGTATTCCCTTGAGACCAAGGCTCGTTGAGAGACCAGCAATGTTGGCGTTGGCAACATTTGCTCTGTCGCAAAATGACAATAGCTGCGTTTTTAGTGGTGTTCGACCCCAAGGACCTGAAGTACACTCACATAAAGCAAAGCCAACAGTGGTATGAGACGTATGTCGACCTGCAAAGAGTTATGCCCTCGTTTCGGAGCTGAACTGCGAGTGTGGTACCTTTCGTACTGCCCTTCTCTTCTTATCCTCTGGGAATGTAGCCAGCCAATTCGATTCCTCTTCTGAGAGGCCCGACAAAAGCGTGACAGCCTCGGTGTGCTGAACAAGTTCGATATCCTTATCGAGGCCCAAAGAAGCCTCGCGCTCTTGATTCATGTTGTAACAAGCTCGTACAATTGGAGTATGATGTGAAGGATAATGCAGCAAGAGAGCCGTGGCCTGTGATAGCGTGCTTCTCTCGTGGGCGGCCACGCTTTTGTATTCCCACTTGGCAAGCACCAATGATCTAGATCTTATTACCCCAGGTAACGAGGCAGATCTGGATAAAGTGAATGACATCGCCCAAGACCAGCGATGACAAGTTCGCGATCACCTTGGAGACCAAACTGAAAAGCGTGTTGTAGGACATGTTTCCCTCTCCGTGCTCGGGAAACAGCGACCAGAGTCTCCAGAGATGTCAATAGGGAATCATCCCAGTTCCGTCCTCCCAGAGCTAGGATCACGAATCCGTTGAAACAGTACGAGATGGAGGTTGCAGCGTACATGTCGGGCGTGAGGTTCGGCAGGAGTGTATGGTTGCTTTGCAATGCTGATTGGTGGTACTTCTTGGCCACACGCAGGAAGCGAGATCGTGAGCGGGAGTCTTGTGTTGCTCGATGGAGGGCCGAATAGGCTAGGAGGGAGTCGAGACAGAAAGGGTGGGCCGTTGCTTGTTTGGGAACTTCGGAGGAGAAGAAGGTGCCGGGCATTTCGGAGCCGCTGGCCAGCGACTGGTGTGCCTGCGTTATGTAGTGGTGCATGAGTTCGTGTTCCAGATCGTTGACTAGTTTCTTCATTGGGTTTGAGGACAATGGGGTGGGTGTCATTTCGCTCCAGATGCAAAGCTGGCAGCTTCTCTTGCAGTTGCTGCATTTGGGTCGGGATTCGCAGCACTGTAAGGAGTCATTGTCAGTGATGATCTTGCATTGTGATTCGTGCGCTGATGGATACCTTGATACGTTTTGCTTTGCACCTCTGACAGCCTCGCCGGGATTTCTCATGCCAACGTTTTGACAAGCTTCGTTTGGGAGACGTCTTTGCTGTGATTGTCGTCGCTCCTGGATTGTTACTCATGTTGACCGTATCTGCCAATACCCCTGGACGTGGTGAACTTCCTTGGATTCGGGTTCCTCCGACTGGTTTGATTTTGGTGAAATTTGTACTGTTCCTCGCTCTCCGTTCCTCGTTACTCGTTTTTATGCTGTCTTGCTTACTCGAGGTATTACTAGGTGGTTTCTCAATGGTGGTGTACTGACCTTGATGACATCCTGAATGTGCTTAAAATCGTTTGCACTGCTGTCTTTTGCCCATTCCCACTCAAAGATCTTATCGAAGGTACTCTGTTCCATGATCTTCTGGTCCGGCCCACTTTAGCCGCAGCATCCGGTCGCATCCGCGTGAGGACACCGCATTTCGCTCTTCGTTCATCGTTCCGCTCCCGGCAGTTCCAGCATACTTGAACGAGAGCGGCTTTTTCTCTCTAGGGTCATTCATCAGGGAACTAATGCTACGATTAGACGAAGCGACCACTTCATTAAGTTCTTCTCGGTGGAACTAATCTGCAACACACCCTAGGTTACTGGAAAGTACCTTGAATTGTTGATATTGTATGCAGTCAGTTGAATGCATAATACCCGGCGTAGATTCCATCGATAGACGACAACATGGACAACGCTAAAAGGGAAGCCGCAGAAGTCGCTTTCGATCTTCGGAGTACGTGACTTCAATCAATCCGACCCTTGGTCGAGGAATGTGGGAAACATTGACTGATCAGACGACTTGCAGGTGATGTCGTCACAGTACCAACATCTTCCATGCTCCAAGCAACTGCGAACGCAACATATGGGGACGATGTTCATCACGAGGATGAGACCACTGAGTCCCTTCAGCGTGACATGGCCGCGATGACTGGTCATGAAGCTGGCCTCTTCGTTCTTTCAGGTACAATGGGTAACAGCTTAGCATTGAGATCTCTCCTTTCTCAGGCGCCGTACGCCGTCATGGTCGACTCGAGTTCCAATATGCTGCTATGGGAAAGTGGACATGTTGCAGGACTCACTGGAGCGGTCACTTAGCCAGTTGAACCAAGCAACGGGAAGTATCTAGTCCTGGAAGATATCGTGAACAAAGTCATACTTGACGATGACAGCGTCACAGCAACCCCAACACGGGTCATATGCCTGGAGAATCCAATCCACGGCGTTGTGGTGCCGAGAAAAGAGGTTCAGAGGATCAGCCAATTCGCTCGAGCACATGGCATAAAGCTGCACATGGACGGTGCCAGGTTGTTCGATGCGGTGGTTGCAGGTGGTGGAACTCTGTCAGAGTATGCAACCGAATGCGATACGGTCACAATGTGCTTCTCAAAGGGGCTGGGAGCGCCTGTTGGGAGCATGCTAGTAGGACGCGATAGTACAATTCGACAAGCTCGAAGGCTTCGTCAAAGTATCGGAGGTGGTATTCATCAGATGGGCGTCTTGTCGTCGATGGCACGAGTCGGTCTCGACGAGATCTTCCTCGCCAAAGGACATGACGGGAAGTCGAAGATGGCGAAGAATCACGAGTACGCTCGACGTATCGCAGAACTCTGGATTCAGTCAGGTGGAAAGATCTCGAAGCCGGTTGAAACCTGTATGGTATTCCTTGACCTTGAAGCAGCCTCGTTGCCTCGAGGAGAACTTATCACACTTGCATCGGAGCACGGCCTCAAGATCATGAGCGAGCGATTGGTTGTCCATCATCGTAAGTGTTGTTTTCCATTGTAAATCGAGGAGAGCTAATGTTCTGCCACAGAAGTCACCGAGCAAAGCATTGATCGATGTCGGCTTTTGTTCCAAGCTATCGCCAAACGTCCAAGGACCATGGAAAGGGATGAGTCGAGTCGAAGCGGGCTGCATATTCGCGCACATGGGACCTGACAAGTCCAGATATTGTATGAGGTTGCGCAACAGAGAGATTAAGTTCAAAGGCGGTAAGTCACAGATGTCGTCCCGACCCGGAAGGAGGCAGTCTAAAGTTGGTGCAGAAGTGTGGAAGGGTGCAGGTGAAGTGTCTGTCAATGCCAAGGCCCGAGCCGCCGATCTCTCAGCCGCAGAGATTGTGTGATTGATCCTTGACCCCTTCCTTCCATCTCACCTCAATCTCGACCTCACCTCATCAACTTGCATCAACGCAATTATGGACATGCATCAATGTCGTGAGCATCGTCCTGCTGCCCCTCACGACCGGAAGTCTACGATCATACCACTGAAGCCTGACTACGCCAATGTGCCGTCGTAGTAATCGACGTACAGCTGAGGGTTGACCTAAATTTGCAGCACCAGCTATCCCAAACCAGCAAAGCGGAACGCCTCGAGCAGCGCGTGGCGGCAAACGATATGCATCCTCTCGGAGGCCTTAACCACGTACAAGCAATGCTCATGCAGAGGGGCCAATCGCTCGCCGGCATGGACATCTTAACTCCAGCCTTTTGCCATGGAAGCTGCGCGCCTCGTCCTCCAAACTGCCCGAGTCGTGCGTATCTTGCGAATCTCTAGAGGGTCTGGATGGCGCCGTGGCACACGGATGGCCTGACTGCACCGTTACACCTCGGAATGGTAAGGCCTGTTTTAAAGGCACACAGGTAATGCAAGCTCCCTCATTTTGTTTGCTCCTCTCATCTTGATTTTCCCACCTTCTCGACTGCTCCATTGCGTGAGCTCTGCCATCCTCGGCGAAGATGACCGCCCTTCCGTTCAAGCCGCATTTCAGCGACAATACCGCGTACGTTGGGGTGCCCAGCTATGGCGACGAACCGAGTCCAGGTCTTTCGGACGACTACTACAAGCAGGGCCATGCACCACCCCAGCAAATCGATTTACAGCACCATCCACAAATTACTGGCCATCGCTCCTGGTGGAAGACGCTGTTAACTCAAGGTTTCAGCGCGCTGTGGCTGGCGCCAGTTGGCGTTCTACTGTACCTCAATCTTCACGGACATGTCATAGGAGCGTCCGCATGGTGTCCAGGCGGAAAATGTTATCCGCAAATGTTCGACTCCGTCAGCAGTGTTCCTCAGGTTCTGGCAGCCGAGCACGATCATGACACCCATAATCTACTCGGAGCACTGCAGCTGGTTGCCAAAGCGCTCGAAGTTTGGTTCATCCTCATTGCATCATGGCTGGTCTATCTCATCACCATGTTCCTTGCTGGTAGGAAGAGCGGCTTGCCAATCGCCTACATCACTCGCCCAGTCGAGTTCTCCGAGCTTGCAGGTGTGCTGGACCCTCTTCTCTGGAGGACCCTGCCCAAGCCATTCAGAAAGGATGGACCGAAGAAGGCAAGATTGCGGGTCTGGATATTCGTTGGCTTCACTGTCGGACTTGGTCTTCTGTGTAACTTGATGGGTCCAGCGACTGCCGTGCTTGTATTGCCAACCCTCCAGTGGCGGGATACCGAGAAGGTTGAGCCGTATACCCTGGTGTCGATTGACAGCGCCTCTGCTCCTGTTGTCGGCACATATGCCTACTATTCTGCTCCCTACTGCACTGAGGAGCTATGGTCCAATGGAAACTACTCCTGCACGTACAATCCGTGGGCGACTGCAATGGACTCCTGGATCCAGAGTTACATGTCGTCTCAAGGTGCCTGGAATGGCATCGCGCAACAGGACATGGTTTCATTCGCCTTCAATTCCACATCATGGACTTACGACGATGGTAGCGTTTCCGACTACCTTTACTGGGCTCCAAGCCGTATCATGATGCGATACTTGAGCGTTGACTATCTCTCCATCCAAAATATGTCTTGGGGCATCCCGAAGAACGAATTCGCTTTCCCACAGTACTATGACAGCTTCATCCCACTCAACAATACCGTCCAGCTCAACGTGGAACGAGAAGGACCTATCTTTGGTGTTGCTGCCAATATGTGGCTTGGATACGACAACAAGACATTCTGGGACTCCCAAATCGATGACAACAGGGCTGTCCGATGCTGGAACGATTATAACGTTGGCAACACCCCCTTGGCTCGTGACATCATGACTGGCAATTATACCAAATGTGTGCAGTGGGGTTCTGGCTGGGGATACGACTATCAAACAACCGGCTTCACGATTGAGGGCATGTACAAGAGCTGGGCGGATGTCTTCGGGCCGGACCTCAAGTTCGATATCTGGAATTCGGCCAGAGCCGCGTTCTTGCCCAATGGCACGATGCCAGATGGCTTCCCTGTCGACTGCTTACCTGTTGGCGAGGTGGTCGACACTTCCCTCAACTGTGACTGGGACAAGTTCTTCGCGGTGGATGAGAAGTCAGCAATGGCGACGCGATCAAGTATGGTCAACACGATCCAGATCAGCGCAAACATGGAACCCGCCGACGGCCATCCGACCACCATTGATCTCATGTTCGACTTCGTCACTTATGTGAACTACACATCCTACTCTCTTGATCCCTCTCCGCAATCCAACCCCTTGATCCAGGTCACCACTCCTGACCTCCCAATGAGTGGCAAAGCCATCGAAGTCAGCCCAGCATGGACAATCGCCGCCTGGTCCGTAGACATCGACGGCCTCATTCGCGCCAACAGAAGCTCAACGCTGTCTATCCTCCAGGCATTCGACACTCTGTGGGAAACGGACTACTACAACTCCGTTGATCCTCTCCTGGCCTCCTACCCAACAATCGACTATATCGGCCTCCTCCCCATCATCCAAACTCTTAGCCTTCTCGAGTTCACGATGGACAACACGACCGCCACCAAAGTCGACGCCGACCATCCGCAGTTCCACCGCAGTGCTCGCATCAACGTTTGGGCATACGGCATGTCGTCACGAACTTCATGGCTTGGTGTCGCAGTGGCTCTACTCGGTGTTCTCACAGTCGTTTTTCAGACGCTCTTGGGTGTAATCGATCGCCGACGGTACAGATCTCCGACTGAGCTATTGGTTGCTGCGTTGGAACATAGCCCGAGCGAAGAATTCCATGGCAAGTCTCACGATGAGAGGGCGATAGCGAGAACACCGTTTACGGTGCGGGATCACGCGCATGGACACGCTTCCTCGTTCAAGTTTGAGAGGTCGGTATGAGGTTGTTGTTGAGATGTGTGTAGCGTTTGCGCGGATGTTGTGATACCAGTATTTCATTCTAATGCCATCATGAAGTCTTCAATCTGGATGATCTGCTAAATCTTGACATCTTCTACAATGACACCACAATCTTGCTCGCCGACACGCCTTGCTTGTGCTTCTCCATGGCTCCTTGGATGGCCTCGAGACCGGCACCAACCACATCTACCCTGGGCGTGGGCTTGATTCTGCCGTCCGCCAAAGCCTGAGGGAGGAAGTCCTGCCAGATGGCTTTAGCAACTGCTGGCTCCATCAGGAACACAGTAGGTGCAAAGACTGTTCGTGATAGATCTTAGTTTCGTGGAAGTGCTAAGGACGAGCATATCGGACTTACTCATCTGGGCTGTCACGCCACTGGGCAACTCAGGAGGAGGATCGAGAGCAGATGCAATGACGCCGCCTCCAAGTTCTTTGGCGATCTCGGAACATATTTTGCCTGTGTCTCCTTCGGCGATGGCTGGATTGCTGTCAGTAAGTAATTCTTCAATAGAAAGGTAAGATACTCACCATCATAGATCCCAACAAATTCCCCCTTGCGCAGCTCCTCCCCAATACCCTTAAAAACATCTCCCCGGCGATAATCAAATGGTGTCGCCCCCAAACTCGCCACGAAATCAAAATTCTTCTCCGAACTCGTGGCCAGAACTCTGTACCCAGCCGCCTTAGCCAGCTGAATCGCTAGACTCCCAACACTCGAACTTCCACCCCAGACCAAGACCGTCTTTCCCGAACGATCACCCGGCGCACCAGGATACTCCAGTCCGAGATGGTTTTTCTCGAACAACCCCGCCGCAGCCGTGGATACAGCCAGCGGAAGGACAGATGCCTCCTCAAACGTCAAAGAGTCCGGAATAGGGGCTACCGCACCCTCAGGGCAGAGCGTGTACTCCTGGAACGCGCCGTTGGCATTGTTCTTCGTCGCGAGTGTGATTCCGTGGCCGATGACCCTCTGGCCGACTTTGAACTTCGTTACTCCTTCGCCGACTGCTGCGACGACGCCACTGGAGTCGGTCCCGAGAATGACTGGGAAGGCATCGATGTAGAAGCCGTAGGTTTGCTGTTTCCAGTCGATGGGGTTGATGGCGAGGGCCTTGTTTCTGATGAGGATCTCGCCAGGACTGGGGGTGGGTGTTGGAATTGCGCCCGCTCGAAGGGACTGAGCGACGCCGTCGAGGAAGGCGGCGCGGTGAGTGGACATTTTGGTGGGTTGCAGAAAAGGAGTCGTTGGTTGATGCACTTGCTTGTGGTGGGATTGGTGATGTTCCGAATCCTTGAAGAGGTGGTTACACTGTTGTTGCTCCCTGCCATAGCATCAACACTGCCGATGGTCTTCATATACTCACCCATCTATCCTCGTGTTCTGACTTCAGCCCTTAGGCTGACAAACCCCATTGCCCCTGAACACCCTGCCACCAGAGACTACCAATACGAACAGCCCCTAGGACATTCTCCTCCTCAAGCACAGGAAGTGCATTACTCACACCCAGTGATGTCTCGAGCGGCTGCCACCTCTTTCCCAAAAGAGCCTGGCGAAGATAAAAGATCGACGCTTTCTCGCATTTCAGTACCTTAGTAATTCGCTGTTGAACAGAGCGCGGCTGACAATCACTCTAGGGCAGCGGAGACTTTTGGATTTTTCGACTGCATTTCTCAGCTTCATTGTTTCTCCTGATGTTGTTGAGACGTTGCTATGGTATCCGATGCAATGTTCTCCAGAGTGAGTCTTCTTCGCACGTGGAGTGCCTCTTCACACAAATTGCTCACCAACTGCTGTTCGACAACGGTCGACTGACTGGTTCCTCATGGCCACGGTTTTGAACCCCAGGTGAACTTTTGAATTGGTTCTCTCGCTTTTGAACAAGACTTACGAGATGGCAACAGTACAAAGCAGCGGCGCTTCCACAAAGCTCAATCGTCTAACAGACTGGACTATACTTTAGTCTTGCACTTGTCACAATCCCCATCGTGGATCCCATCGTCGGCGACCTCCGATTACCCGACGAGTCGACGGTTTTTACATGCGTTCTTCAGAAAGAACTCCAGACTCCCCTCGAGTGAATATGCCACTGGGACCCGTGGGTCCACCTAGGACAAGCCTTTTTATGCCGTTGCAAGCGCATCGAAGAAGACTTGATGTCGTTTATCGAAGCGCACCAAGACGGCGACTTAGCCGGCTTGGGGAGTCTCGCCCAGGATCTGGCAGGGTCGGTTCGAATCGTTGAGGCAGTTTCGTTAGTTCTTCTATGGGAAGAGCTGCAGAAGCGGGCCCTCTTTTGAGGAGATCGGACCGCATTCCTGCTTGTTTAGGGATAGGAAGGAGTCTTGAAGTGAAGCCGATGAATTCTCGGACGACAGCTATCCACTCGATGAAAGTCGATGGTTGACGAGAAGCTGCATTGTCAAACAGACCAGGGACCCCTGCCCATACAAATCCTCGAATTGCTTGTCCTATTTTCCCACACAAGCACTTGGCGCAGATTTCTCAAGCTCGAGTCGCGTTGCGATGATAAGGTCGCTGCCCTCCTCACGGGGACGCTGTTGTTGCGCAAGCAAGAGGCGAAACGCAAGCTAACTCAGCCTGTGTCACGAAATAGATCAGACAGTTCACCATGATCCCAGCACCGGAATCGCAACCAGGTAGCCGATGGTAGACACAGCCGGCTTTCCCATTCGCTCGGGGGTACTGTCTTATCTCTTTCCTTCGACGGCGAACACACCACGACGGGATATACGAACACTTGAGTGCATAAAAGAGACCACTAATAGCCATTGGCGGTATGTCCTGATATGGTATTCGCGGGCTAGACTTTTCCGTCGGCCAAAAGATAGCATCCTTCACAAGCATCCTTCACAAGCGTCCATTGCTCATAATTCTTAAGCGGCGTATCGATTAGCTCGGCGGTCCATGATCGAAGACAGGCGACCCCATACCGGAACTGGCAGGCGTCAAGACGGGCTTCTTTCCAGAGAACTTCTTTCGCAGCTAAGCGGACTTTCTGTTGCTTATGAGTGGTGGAATAGAAGATAGCTACTTGTCTGAAGCACGGTGCAAGGGTGCGGCGCGACATACCAGGGCCCTTGATAGTCTCACGTTGGTCCCGGCAAGATGGGGTGTGAGGGTCTCGTATATTACAACGTTCGGACGTCTGACCGTGCCTTTTACCACCGCATCGCACTCCGTCAGACTGATTCTCGTTCCGCAGAAGAGCGCGGTTTGAATCATGGCGAACGTGAACGATATGGTCGACCCAAGAGTCGAGGTCGAGCCAAAGGTCAGTCGTACAAGAAGATATCCAGACGGCGTGAGACCAAAGTTGACCGGCTAGCACAGGGTTTCATTCATCCAGACGTCCCGCCAACCACAGAGAAACAGATTGTCTTCCACTCGGGCATACCGACCCTGGTGATGGATATATCTCGACTGAGAAGGAATTTGCGAAGACCGCAACTTATGTGGGCGAAGGCGAGATTGATGACGCCGACCTGAAGGATAACGACGATGAAGATGATGCGCTCGATCCCTTCGTGCCGTTCAAGGATCTGCCAGAGGAGAAGCATTACATCGTGACGATTCGTGCCATGGCCGTTGGTATCGTCTGCGGAGCTCTCGTCAACGCCTCCAACATCTACCTTGGTCTCAAGACCGGTTGGACGTTCACAGCCAACCTCTTCGGTGCGATTGTTGGCTTTGCCGTGTTGAAGGGTCTCGCACGCGCCCTGCCGAAGAACCTTCCGATCCTGGGTGGCGACTTCGGTCCTCGTGAGAACAACATCGTCCAGACTGCCGCGACAGCTGCGGGTGGTCTGTCCAGTGTCTTTATCTCTGGCATTCCAGCTCTTTACCAGCTCAATTTGCTATCCGACAACCCACGAGATGACTTTGCACGTCTCATCACCCTTACCATCGTTGGTGGGTATTTTGGTTTCCTCATGTCGACACCACTGCGGAAGTTCTTCATCGTTTATGTCGCTCGAGAGTTGAGGCTCATCTTCCCAACCGCCTCTGCCACCGCCATGACGATCCGCAGTATGCACATGGCTGCAACCGGAGAGAAGATTGCCCAGCTGAAGATGAAGGCACTTGGTGCTGCCTTCTCTGGTGCACTGATCCTCCGCGTGGTTTCGCAGTACGCAGTCGGTATCCTTTGGGACTGGCATATCTTCACCTGGTTCTTCATCTGGGGTAATTACAACAATTGGGCCATCAACATCGAAACTGGGACTGGTCGCTTGAATGGACTCCGGCCTTCATCGGTGCCGGCATGCTCGTTGGTATGAATACGGCTATCTCGTTCTATGCTGGATCGATCCTGGCTTGGGCTATCATTGGTCCTACGCTCGTCCATTACAATGTCGCATTTGGCGAACAGGTCATGCCGGGCGATCCCAAATGGGATGGATATGTCAGCTTTAATGGGCTTTCGGGCGACTGGTCGACTAAGGACACTCCCAGCCCACGGTACTGGCTGGTATGGCCCGGTGTACTGCTGATGATCGTCGTCTCGTTCGTTGAGCTCTTCTTGCAGTACAAGGTCTTCATCTACGCATCCAAGGCCATCTATCGTGGCTCGTGCGCCGGCATCAATGACGCCTTGAAGAGATTTGGCAAGCACTCGGCCTATCTGCAGCGAAAGGGCCAAAGCAAGACTGAAGATTTGGTTGAAGACTTTGCCGAGGACAAGGACCTCGTCAAATGGTGGATGTGGTTCCCCCTTCTCATTGTGGTGATAATCCTCACCTGCGTCGTCATGGGCATTCAATTTGACATGCCGGTCGGCATGTCTATCTTGTCCATCTTCTTGGCCTTCTTCTTCTCACTGCTGGCTGTTCAGTGCGTTGGTGTCACGGACATCACTCCTCTGACTGCCGCATCCAAGGCTTCGCAAATCGTACTCGGCGGTGCTACGAAGGGCGAGCATTGGCCAACGGAACATGCTCAACGACTCAACCTGCTAGGCGGCTCTCTTGCTTCCATCGGCGCAAGCCAGGCCTCAGATCTGGTCAGCGATTTCCGGGTTGGCTTCCTGCTGAAAACCTCTCCCAAGCAACAGTGGATTGCTCAAGGTGTCGGCACAATAGTCGCCGTCTTCCTGGCCCCTGCTCTGTTCATCCTGTTCGCAAATGCCTACCCTTGCATTCTCGACATCGAAGCAGCCGACAATTGTCCCTTCGGCGCCCCATCAGTATCAGCCTGGCGAGCCGTCGCCGTGGCCATGACTGATCCCGATTTTCCAGTCCCAACCAGTGCAGGAATTTTCGCTATTGTCTTCTCCATCTTTGGTGCCATTATGATCGTCATCCGCCACTACGCTTATCGAGGCAAGTGGGAGAAGTACAGAGTCTATCACCCGAACATGATGTGCATTGGCCTTGCCTTCACACTTCCCCAGACGGTCTATGGGCTCGCTATGGTCATGGGTGCGGTGCCGTGTTACTTCTGGGCGAAGCGATCTGCCAAGTCATTCGACATCTATGGCTACGCTATTGCTGCTGGGCTTATTGCTGGGGAGGGTATCGGAGGGTGAGTCTTCCATTGAGTGCCAACTCGAGCTGATAATTTCCTGACTTCTCTTTCCAGTGTCGTGAACGCCATCTTCCAGATCGCCGGTATTTCCGGGAGCCAGTACGGAACCAATGTCGCTTGCCCAGCCGACTCTTGTTAGTCTGGAAATTTTGACATCAACGCTCTAGCAACCGGTGGAGAGGGGCAAATGCGCCAGGTGTTCGAACATCTCTGCGCTCCAGTTTCAGATGCTTTTCTCTCTAGTTGATAGTCGTTGTTCCCAATACCCCAGGCCTGTTGTTCAATCGGATCCGAGCACCTGTATCGAGATTAATGTCGGAGAGCCATGTCGACACAAAATATGTGACGAGGTTTGACAACCTTCAAGTCGATTGGTGCTCATACTCAGTCAGGGCCTGCCGCACTCTCAATAGTCTGAAACCAGTCTTGCATACCGGCGCCCGAAAGCCAGCCCAGCATGTCCGTGTCTGTTGCTGGATACCCAAGTCCCCAGTCGTCGCTTTGGATGCTCTGCGGTGCAGCATCAACAGCATCATCTGGACTTTGGCGTGCTAGACGTGCTGTGCTTGCGATATCCAGGGTTGACAAAGAAGATGGGCTATCTGTGTCATGCAGCACGCTCGGCTCAGCTCCGGCAACAGAGTAACCCGTGTCGTGTCCCTGCCGAGCCCATCTGAGAAAGTCCAGAAACGAGGTTCGCGATGCTGAAAGAAGACCGGGCACAACTTTAAGCTGAGTGTCGTCATAAAGATGTCTCGGTTCGTTGCTTATGAACGCGCCGCTTTCCAGATGCACCTGCTTGACGATAGAGATGTACCTCTTCTGTATCTTCGATTAGCTCAGACTAGTACCATTCATTCTGAAGGAGAGAATTGATTGTTTACCATGATGGTGGGTCCCCTCCAAAATGCTCCCAGTTCTTCCAGGAGACCAAGAGTGGCCTCGACTCGAGCATGTGCATCTGCCTGCACACCAGCGTCAGTGCAATGCAAGAAAGGCAGCTGGATGATACAGCCACAGTACAGAGCATAGGCAACCATGTTAGGTAGGCTACGAATCATCTTTTTCTTGGACGACATTATCAGCCATGCCAAGTCACATATGGAAGTGGCATGATTCAATGCCACCTGTGCGGAAACCAGGCGAGCACTAGAAGATGTGACATCGTCTGAGCCGAGTCGAATGCCGCAAAAGAGAGGCACGCGCGTAGCATGTATGGCCACAAAACTCTGATGATAGACGAAGTTGATCATGAGGACTTTCGATAGCTCGTGGTCTGGCCAGGCCGCGATGGAGTTTCTAGTCAGATTATACGGGTTGACTGTCCACCAGCGCGAGAGTTGTCCGTCGATTTCGTATAGAGTTGCGTTGGTCATGCGATCCGTGTTGGAAGGGCATGGTCTTACAGCCGACAAGCTTGTCACCCTAGCGTTCAGAGAGACAGTGGTTAGCCCGTTGATCACTATGACATCTTCAGAGCTGAAATACCACAAATTCAGAGCCTGCATTGCCGCCGCATAGATTCCGCATGGCTGAGACGGATCGTAGTGCAGCATGACGTTCGAGGAAGGCATCTTCTCCGCATTGAAGTTGCTCTCTGGCCACGGCAAAGGCACGCTTGACGGATCAGATAAAGAGTGCGTGAGGTGGAGATCCAACGATGAATGACAATCCATGCAGTAGCATGCCCAGAAGCGTCGTCGTCGCAGCTCCGCTTGCCACTGCTGCTCCTGGGAAGAGCACTTGGGGTGGAGGCCAATGACATGGATCTGTGCGAACGCGGCAAGCTTGTGAAGCACGGCACGCCGCCATTGGCCTTGTGAAGCCCAGAATATTGTCAGTATGGAATGAGTCACCATGTTGTACTCCTGTAATTCCTCCGCTGCAGCGAAGACCAGTTTGCCGGCCCGGGTTGCCCAATCGATCATGAAGCCATCTTCCTTCAGAGTGGCACGGCCATTGCTGTCATGGTAGAAGCTTCATGTGGTCAGTAGGCAATGTTCTAACAATCAGATGAGTGTTAACCATACTTTGCGGCCCACGCACACATACTTAAAACCAAATGGTCTGGAACTCTACCGGCAGCCAGTGCAGCTTCGAATCGCTTTTGATGGAGCACTAGGTGTGCATTGAACATCGTCTCAAAGTAGATATCTTTCAGTATCTGCACAAAGGAGCCTGGAATCCCCGGCACACTGGCCATCTTCAGCTGTGCTTCGGATGAGCCAGCGGAGGTCAGCTCCTGGGAGTCACTGCCATGCGGTGAGAAGTTCGGCGGCAGATTGGTGTGAGAAGCTGGAACATGAGTGCGGCGAGAATACTGCTTTGCTACAAAAGACGTGCTCTTCGTCCGATGACAAGGTCGTCAAAACTCAAGCAACGGCCACAGCCATTTCTTTCGCCAGAACACTTCACCTGCGCCAAATGGATAGTCAGCTCTCGGAGGGGCTTAGAAAACTGCATAGCTTGCCTTGAGAGCATGGCACGAATCGCAAGATTTCCGGGGGCGGCCAACGCCTTTCCGTGACTCCATAACACCGCAAACCGAGCAGTACTGTTCGCGATCTCGAGCATGAATTGGGACAGCTTTAAGGCCCTCACTGGTCTTACTAATAGATGATGAACTTTTGCCCGTCTCAGCCTTAGCGCAGGAAATGACATCACGAGCCCCTAATTTCCTAAACGTTCAGCCGTGCAACGAAAGAACACCACGTGTGCCAGTTATTTCAAAACCGAGTGAAACCCAGCAGCACTGCTTTGGGCAATGCGAAGGCCAGCGATATCGGGATGGTGACCGTGAGATTCACAAGGACAGCCTACTTCATGGCAGTCATTGAGGAACCATCCTCTCTCCTTGCGCTTGCTTTGCGATGGCTTCCATTCTAGGGGCGGGCCCTGTCTTCAAACGGTCCACCGAATTCATAAACAGCCTCGGAGATTCAAAAGCTCAGCCAAGGCTCAGCTCAGCCACCTGATAGAAGGCTGGGTCTACCCTCGGTGTTCCGCTCAAAGTGGAATACTCATCCCCATTACTCCCAGTTAGTCGAAGCAGCTTAGAGTGCAATTAACAGCGCAGTCGCTCACAAAAAGTCGGAGAGGCGGCGGTTCCATACGTTCCATATGTTCCACTTTGACCGGGACGAGGAGGGTGCCAGCGTTATGTTCTTGCTGGTGGCGTTGACCTCAGACCTTGCCTTCCCCGCCATTTGCGTCGTAACTTCTGTCTCATTGTTTGGTATTTCAGTCAATAATACTCCGCAAGTGCCCATGATCCCATGGATGTGAAAATGTTCTAAATGCACGTTCTCCACCCCTCTTTGAAATCTCACTTACTATCCGTGAATACCGAGTCAGTCGACGAGTCTGAAGAGCTGAAGCAAGAGCTCTGCCATGTCGCGGCGCTCTCAGTTCTTGAATGCCGTACTTACCTAAGCCCTGAGCTCCTTCGACGCCTTGGGCCCGAAGAAGGCGAGCTTTCGGGCGGTGAGGAACTTTCTGATCTCCACGGCGATGACATCGATTCCGAGATGAGAGCTCTACCACCGGATTCATACTCTCTCACGGGATTTGTAGTCGAACTTAGATAGAAGATCTGAGGCAAGCAGGCTACTATCACTAAGTATTGGCCTTCTGCACCCGTGGATGATCCGGCCATTCTGCCTTGCGCACCACTAGATCTGTCTAACCGTGGAGAAGCGTACTGTGGACAGCTTACTGAGGAGTTCGATCTCCCTCAAGGCTTTTCTATTTACCATGAGTGTCGGAGATGGTACAAGAAGGGTTTGAGCATCGACATTCTTCCTCGTTTCCTTCGCATGATATGCGAAATCAAGTCCGCCAACGTATCTCTCGACCATGAGCGGCTTATGGGCCCGTCTGGACGCCTCGACTCCAAGATTATGGCCAGTCTGCACTACGGTACAAGGGCTACGAAGCAGTCCTTCAAGTACGGATTGACGCTCGATAAGACGAGCCTGTGTCCTCGTCTTGTTCATGAGAAGCTCAACTTAGTTCCGTGCCTCGTCAACGATGTCGTGTGTTATCGGCCGATCAATGACCAATAGCATGATCCAGACGCCCCAGTAGGCGCACCATACACGCTCTTCCTGTCTCGTAGCCCGTTGCCTGCTATGGATCGCTTCCATCGCTGGCTTGTGCACTGGAGTCAGGCCAAGGTCAACATTATTTTTGGACGGATTCCAATGGAGAAGACGATTACAGCAGTCAAACCCACCTATTACTTCGCCATCGAGGAATCAGTTCCCCTCTTTGGCAGATTCCACCGTATCGCTGCCCGGTTTAATGATGATGGTTCTTAGGGGAGACTTCACTTCATTATGTACTTCCCTAAGGCCTTTATGCGAGGCCTTTCCCATCAACATGTCGAATTGTGCAACTATCTTGTCAACGCTGCTTGTGCTGTTGCCGGCCACACCGTCGTAAGCCCATCGCTGTTCCCCAAGTACGATAGATTCGATTATCTCGGTATCCAGCGGAAGAAGACCCTCGACAGTAAGCAGATTGTACGCGGGTCAAAAAGGACAGCAGGTAACCAAGAGGCGAGAGAGGCGAAGAGGGAGGCTGCGCGAGAAGTTTTGAAGATACTCCACGGACCTACTGCCCTGAAAGACATCCAGAACGCAGTTGCAAGAGCCAATTCTCGGACTGAAGCAGCGAGCCCTACCACAGGGGCTGCTTTTGCTAGTGTTGGTAGGGCTGGAAAGAAGGCTATTCGCCTCCTCGCAGCCCAATCGAAGCATAATCGCCAACGCCGATCCGAGGAGGGAGTTGGCGACTATGCTCTTGCCGTGCTTTCTCCCAAGCTTCTTGCAGTTTGGCAGCTCTCATATCTTCTCACTGGAAATGCAACATCAATCCCCATGGCTTTCGAGCTGTCTAACCAACTTGGAGCGCGAACAGAAGCGTGGTCGCTCTCGTAGCATCGGAGACGCAACATCCCTATTTGCAACCTCCCTGCAGATATTGCTGACCTCCCTGCAGCTCAAGCACTTTACACGGCTCTGCAAGATGCTGACGTCGCCCGTTTCCACCGCATTGAGGCAAAGGATAGCGCTAAGGACAAGGACAACAACCGCCTCGCCCCCGTATCTTCAGACAGGATGTTATAGCGGATGCGGATAATGGTATTGGAGCGCAATGCTTATGTTAGATTGTCGCTTAGGTGTATGGATCATTTAGCATCTCATGTTCCTTCTCTTTTCAAATTTCACTCACCTGAATGTGAGTCTCGTCAGCTTCCAAGCCTCGCCGAATTTTTCTCGAAAGTCGGCTTCCAAGCCTCACTGTCTTTTTTCCCTAAGTCGGCTTCCGCGCCTCACTGGCTGTCTCTCAAAAGTCAGTTTCCAAGGCCTGCCCACCCTTTCTGTGAGATTGGCTCTTGCTGCTGAAATTTTCTCCGAAAGCCAGTTTTTGGTTTCTCGTCTTCCGCTAGAACGTTAATACCCAATTGTAGGTAGTATTAGGATCCTCTTTCGCTCCAAGCTCAGCTAAGCAGTCTAGCATTTGATCGTGGATTCGAGCCAGAGTTCGAGCCAGATTTGCAAGAGTTGCAACACATGAATCGATTCAGGACAGCCGCACTGCACTGCCGGTCAGGTTGAGGAACATTCACTTCCAGCTCGGAGCGGCAAAGCTTGTCGAGTATAGCGGGGTAACATGAAGTTTTAATGCAGTGTGGATTTGCCGAGTGAATTGTCCGGGTTTTAGCGTGCGCTCGGGGAACCCCTATGCAAGGCTGTGGCAATACGACGCTAGCGGGGAAGCCTCATACTCCGCAACAGGAGGTTTGAAAGGGCATCCTCACTTAATCGAAAGACTCTTCGCTAATCGTAACTTTGATCATTGATCTACTTCTACTTCAAGAATACCTAGTACAGGTCTTTGGAATGCGGTTTGACTAACAACATGGAGTGTGGCGTCTCGTGATACGCCGTCCCTTTCGAGCAGTACTCGGTTCCGAAATCCTGTCTGGCATGTCGTATCAACTCTACGAGGGCGATCAATGTATCAGCCACCGAGTAGTGCGTTAGTGGTTGGCTGCTTCCCCATCAGAAACGCTGATCAGCTTCTCTGATGCGTAGCGGCTGCGGCACACAGGCGTAACAAAAGTCAACACTGCGATTGTGTAATTAGCGCCACGACGATCCGGGAAATGGAGATTGAGTGATTCTATCATCTGGTCACTAATCAGACAGAGCTTCAGGAGTTTTAAGCGGACAGTGCAACGAAGTGGAAAGCCTGTCTCCAATCCAAAACTTCTACCTGGCATATCGGCATGCTATGAGAATATGAGAGCTAAAATCCTTCTTCATCTTGGTTGGCTCGTCCTGGCTCACGGCAGCAGCAACGGAAACGGGCCTCGGTGCGACGAGAATGTCACCCTATCAATCTCAGCCTCCGCTATCAATCTTGACATTCCAAGCACGTTCTCGCTGTCCACGCTCAACGTCGAAGACAACATCGAAGGCTTGTTGAAGTCTTTCCCAACAACGACCGTTACCGGAACCTACACAATTGCAGGTCGATACTGCGAGCCAGCAAACTCGATTGCCTCGAGAAGCATAACACTTCAAGTTCTCGTGCATGGCATCACTTTCGACCGCAACTACTGGTCTGGAGAAGGTGCTCCAGGACAAGGCCTCAACGGAACGTCGTACTCCTGGATTGATTATGCCTCAGAACAAGGCTACCCAACCTTGTCTGTAGACAGGATCTGCAACGGCCAATCTTCGAAGCCGAACGGACTTTTGGTGTGTCAGGTCCCGTTCAACGCGGAAGTGCTGCACGGCGTGGTCGAGGCTGCTCGCAATGGCAGTGTAGGGGGCCGACCATTCGAAAAGCACTCGGAAGGGTCACTTATCGGCAACAGTCTGTCACAGCAATATCCCGACGATGTCGATACCTATATCCAGACAGGATATACCCCCTTTTTGATCCTTGGTGGGCCCGGTTTGGTCGTGGCCGGGGGTTATATTCCAGCCCTCCTTGCGGATCCCGTCAAGTTTGCCGACGTTACCGATATCACATATCTAGCGGGGACCAGCGTGAGCGGAGTGGAGGCCAACTTCTTCGCAGGCCAATATAGCCGTCAAGTCGCAGATTTCGCGTACGACCACCGGGGAACAGCTACGACCCGTGAGATCGCCTCTATACCTCTTGGTGAGCTTCCTGCTCCTGGTTTTAAAGGCGCTGCTCTTGCTATGAATGGCGAACGGGATCAAGCCTTTTGCGCCCGACTTCCGACAGATCCATTGATAGGTTATCGAGGGGATTGTGGAGAAGGGGACCTGTCTTACACAGCGCTGGCGAAGACGCTATTTCCAAACGCAGCACATTTTGAGTATGTCAACTTGAACGATACCTGTCACAACGTCGGTCTGCACTACACGGCACAGAAAAGCTTCAAGATCGCGCACGAATTCCTGGCTGCACAAGGATACTAGAGATGAAGGATACTCATGAGCAGTTAGAATACCAAAGCCACGACTCTCTAAAACTCTGAGAGAGCTTTTCATACACGTCACATTCTTTGCACAAAGTTTCTGTGAACAAGCTAGAACAGCTGGAAAGCAAGTTCTGTGAACGAGCATTTACTTCAGTAGTCTATTCTGCCCGGAAGTTATGCAAGCTTTCCGCTCGCTGTAAGGGGATAATCTTCAAGAACATGAACTAAGTGATCATGCAGCATATGCGCTGACTGAAGAGCAGCAGACAGCAAACAAAGGGAGAAAACCCCTTTGCCATTCATCTCCGTGCATGGGAATACCCTCAGGGCACATCCCGTGAGCAGCGTGCCTCGCAAATGCACTATATTCGTAATGTCTGAGATTTGCTGATACTTGACAGGCTCGTCATTGTGATTGCGAGCTTAGCTTCCGAGCGAATATGCCGTAGTTAGGGTTGACACAAGTTTCCCGACTGTGCAGCAACATGTGGGGCGGGTTGGGCGGGATGCGTGAACGAGAAGCCAAGATCGGCAAGCACCAAGAATGACTCCATACTTTTGAGAGTGGCTCATCGGGGGCGGGAATAGAGCGCTTCAGTCAACTAGATTGTCGCTGAGATAAAGCTCATTGGCTTGTTTCCTCCTGAATTATTAGCTTGGGGGTCGCTTGATCGTTTAGAGAGAAAGGCTGCAAGGCTGCTTCACAGAAAACCTAATATTTCTTCTTTCCACCACCTCACCTGAATAAAGTCACGAACAACGAAGTGGTCAGATTATCGTCTCATCTTGCGTCTCATGACGAATCCTGCCCACAATGCCACGATACGAGATCGATCATGCCATCCCACTCTCAGCTTCCCAACAAGATGATCTGGCTCAAGAGATCACCAGGCTCCACCTCGCCGCATTCCGGCTGGTTCCTAAGTTCTTCGTGAACATCATCTTCACGGACCTATCTCACAAGACTTGCTACGTCTCCGGCAGGAAAAGGAAGACGAACCACATAAAGGGGCAGCTTCGCCAAGGCAATCGCGATAGATCAGACTTCCAGAAGCTCGCCAACGATATCAAGGAAGCTTGGGGACGCATTGTGGTGGATAGGGCTGAGGGAAATCGCAAGAATTATGCTATTCAGACTGTGGTCTTGATCCCAAGCAATCAGGTTGCGGTCGAAGCTGGGTTTCCGGTGCCTTTGGTTGGGGAGGAGCATGCATGGTACAAAGATCATGCCGCCAAGTTCGAGCAGTTGGCCAATGCAGGCGACGAGGATTCCAGAGAGCTGGTTCAAGATATGCATGAGAATGGTCTAGGATAATCTGTTATTCGGCCCTTGAACATCTCTGATCTACAGCACAGTCAAGTCTCACTTTCTGTAGAACCATCAGGTCTAAAGTGGCTTACTGGGTGCCACGATGCATTGGCGGCTCCCGTCGTTGCTTTTGGTTGTCCTGATTGTTCTCCTGGTGCTCGATCCTGGCGAGCTGTTTCGCGTTTTCCTGGTTCAGCCGTGATCAGTCTCATGATCATTGACTTGTCAACCACGACCACAAAGAAGTTGAGCATTCGAGACGCGGAGCTTTCAGAAATCTTATTGCATAATCATACGCACAGAACCAACAGCCCAACCATTGCCGAAAAACCAATTCCACGCTTTCCCCCTTCTCAACCAACCTGAACAAACGGCGTAATATAATCCGCCTTCCCCAAAGGCACTCCCTCCTTGCGCAGAATTGCATATGCAGTGGTGATCTGAAAGAAAATATTGGCCTGTTGAAACCTCAAATACGCCTCGACCGACATGGGTGCAGTGAAAGGTCCAAGGTTCGTCGGCTCGACGATATCCACGTTCACGAGGACAGATTGCTTGTCGATCGCGTCTAATGCGGCGAGTGCTGATTGGATCCGGGTTTGCATTTCTTCGTACGAATAGGTGACGTCTTGGCTCAGGTCGATGGTTGGTGCTTCTGTCTTGTTCAATCTCGCCAAGGCTAGGGTTGTTTGAGATGTGGCTGCTAGGACTTGGTAGCTGAGCGATTTCATGTCGTCGTACAGGCGACTCGTTGGGAATCGAGAGGCATTGGGGTGTTGTTCAGCCTTGTGGAGGATGTTTGAGAGAGCGCTCAGGGCTGCGTGAGTCTGGCGGACGAATCCTTCGTAAATCGTGTATGGCATTTTGTTGGGCCGAGTAGATTTTTTGCATAGTAAACGACAGGGCTAGAAGGTTGTGCGATGGGATCTATTAAACCCTAGAACAACAGGATGTGCTTCTGCTCTTGCATTTTGATCTGATCTGCATCAGGTTTGTAATGTCGTCTCCATTTGTGATCATCTCTCTCTCCTCGCTGTTGTTATCGATCACGTTCTACCAGAATATGGCACGCAAACACGGAAAATTGTGTACCGGCGTCGTATGGCATGATTTGTAACAGATCCGCTGATCAGGCTTCCAGCACGGGAAACTGCCTCGAACTTTGTCGGCAAATTCATCATTGGCTACGGATGTCACAACGGCTTTTGTCTGCACAGCTCTCAACAAGCAGTTCCAGGCAAGACACTTGTTCTCGTGGAAGCACTACTTCGTCGAAATTCTCCATTCGTCAAAACCACCCAACCAGCCCAAAACCCCTTTCCACACGCCCCCCCCCCCCCCCCCCCCCCCCCCCCCCCCCCCCCCCCCCCAACAGACCACTTTCCCTCAACTCCCCTCCGGAACAACCCGATACTTATCCCCCGAAACCGTGCCAAAATCAGGATTATATCACTCATCCACCCTCCCAAGAACCCACCCCTTTCCCTCCCGCAGCCTCAGCATCTCAAAATCCACCCTCCCATGCATAACAAACTTCCTCCCCGTAGCCTTCCTTGCAGGGAGATCACCGAGATTCGTGCCGGTGGCGCGAAAGCGGATGCTATATCTCGCGGTGTCGATGTTGGTGCCTTGCTGATGCCAGCGCTCGACGATCGTCATGGCGAAGTCGGGGATGGAGGTGCGCCAGATTGTGTGATGGATTTTGAGGGAGGCGTGCCCAGTGCGGGAGAAGCCGTGGGCGTGGTCGGTGTAGACTGCTTTTGGGGAGTAGAAGGGGAGCCAGAGGGTGGGTTCGGGCTGGGACCAGGCGGAGGCCCAGGCTGATGCGAGGGCGTCAGGGGTTTGGGGGGTGGTCGTCATGTTGTGAGTGAGATTTGGCAGCCTTGAGAGGTAAGGGGGGAAGTGAGTGCTTTGAGCTTGTGGAGGCTGCTGCATGGATATATGCACACGGCGTTCACGACGCACTTGCGGAAGAAGTGATTACAAATCGCTTGGTAGCATGGGACCGTCAGCACCTTAAAGGGCTCGGTGGCAGACTACGGCAAATGCAGTTGTGTAGCAAGGTAAGTGGAAACAGCTACGAGGGTCGTGAGCTGCGCAGTCCAGGCCCTCAGCCTCTTCAACATGTGAACCCGTATGTAACAGAAGATACGCTCTGTAATATTCATTTCCTCCGCACAATCTTCGCAATCCAAGGCTCCACAAACCTCGCAATCCCGAAAGAATTCCTCTCCAAAAACATAAAATGCCCATTCCCATAAATCCCCACATTAGGCAGGTGAATCCACTCAACATCCACTCCACCTTGCTTGAAGTACTCCGCCGTGCAGTAGTCATACACAGCATGATACGACGCCTGTGTCGTCAACATGAGTGTCGGAATCTGCGACAGGTGGGTTAAGCGACGTGCTGGGTCTTTTTGGAGAGTACAAGGGGCTAGATCTGGAGATGGCGGAGGGTGGTACTGGCGTGTGAGTTGTGAGGCGTTGGTGACTGGCGGGTTGTAGTGTAGGGGTAGTATGGTGATGCCGTAAGGTCTCTTTTCAGAGCTGGACTTGGGCCATTCGGGACTAAACGGTGGACCGCCGTAATCCGCGAAAGGGGGTCCCAGGGGTTCGAGGGCGACGATAGCTTTGACGAGCTCTGGACGAGCGTCTCCTAATTGCCATGTATGCATACAGCCTTCGGAGTGCGGCACCACGATTACCGGTCCAATTTCATCGAGCAAGGCAGTAAAAGACAAGTTGTTATACATCGCCTGCATTTCAGTGTCCGTCTGGACCTGGAGCTGCGATTTCATGAACGCATCGAAGATAGGGTCTCCGATTCGTCCGGATCCGGGCCATTGCGTGTGATTGATAGCCTGCGGGTACGATGGGAAGTCTTGAGGGGCGGTAAACTGTTCTTGGATGAGAGTTGCGGAGAATTGGGACATGTTGCCCTCGTCTGGGAGCCATGGGGACCTGCCGCGCTGGGCTTGGTCGGCGAGGTAGACGATGTATCCTTGACGGAGGAAGAAGGACGCCCATCCTTCGCGGCCGTCGGGTGTGTTGAGCCAGTTCTGCCAGACGAGGAATTAGCATATACTGTCATGCACAGGCAGCACGAAACTCATGGACAGAACGCACAAGCAAGCAAGACTTACCGTCCCACTCTGTCCAAGCCCAGCAATAAACAAAAGCGGCACCTCATACCGAACCTTCAAAGGTACAAGCTGTTCAACGTAGACCTGTCCTACAAGGTACTGAGCCGTCTCGCCATTCCGCGCAGCATTGATATATTTCCCATCCGTGTAAAAGTAATTCCGTCGCGCGTAGGCTTCGACCGCAGGTTGCGAAGGAAATGTCGCAGCCGCTGCAGCCGCAGTTGCGAACAACAGGATGGATAAGTCGAGCATCGAAAAGAGGAGACCGGAGGTAGAGATGGATATGTGCCTTCGGCGAGACTCTCTTATATGGATGTAGTCTGTCCATAATGTCTTCTTCCCCTCGCTGTTACGGAGGGTTGCCGACGTTAAAGCACCGAGTCGTGGAATCTCCGATCTCTCTTGACTGCGAATCTTCGCTGTGTTGGCGCTCCAGTCCTACCCATGCAGCCTCGACCTGGACACAGCTGGTGGAGGTCCAGTAGCCCGTCGTCGAAACGTCAGACTGGAAGCTGCATATCCTTCACCGCCCGCCCCCTCGTCAGACTGGTATCGAATGGCTTCTTGGCGTTGTCTGTGTAGCAGGTCAGCGGAAATTCATACCGAGCCCACGAAGATCAAACCATTATGTATAGACAAAGCACGCTTGCTTGTTCTTCGTCAGTTCACATGCAATTCAGTACATGTACGAAACTGCTCGCTGACTGTCCCATCGGGGGATAAAAAATTGAAAGGCATGCAATTCATTCCTCATGCTATTGATGATATCGATATCGACAAGCCCGCATCGAGCTGTCCTTCTGTGTCTGTGTCATACCCCTGTTGTCTCAAAAACCGAAAAGAATATGCCACGCCTCCAGATGCTGTGGTATTCATTCATCCGTCTTGCATGCATGCAAATAAAGACATTACCGTACTCTCAAACTTCATACGCTTTTTCTATACCGAACTGTCGTACTCTTGCGTCAGAGAAATCTGCTGGTCGGCCTTGACTCTGCTGTGCGTTCCGTTCGAGCCGCTCTTGCCGAGGACGGTGATGCTGGAGATGAAGCATCCCGAGTCGTAGCCGAAGTGGCCGGTCATGCGGAAGCGGCCGTTGGACGAGTAGCTGAAGTGGATGTAGCTGTAGCTCTGCTGGACGAGGCTGTTGCCGTCATCGAGGTAGAGGTCTCCCTCGGCGGTGCCGTTCTTGCCTGGTGCGATCACGATGTTGAAGTTCTGCTTGCGCAGCTCCGTGGTCGTGTTGGCGGAGTTCTCGCGCTGGGCAAGGATCTGACCTCCCTTGTAGTACAGCGGGATCGAGGTGTAGGCAACTTCGGTGACGGTGTATGGAGCGCCGGTACCTTGGATCTTCGCGTGAGTGTAGTAGTCATAGAAGACATCGTTTGGAAGGTAGAAGTTGGCGACGGTGCTGTTCTCCTCGACGACTGGAGCCACCAAGAGGCCTGGGCCGAAGAAGTACTGGAAGCCAAGAGGAGCGGTGTTGGGGTCCTCTGGGTAGTGGAAAAATGTTGGCTGGATCGATGGGGTACCGGTCTGGTTCTGCTTGTAGAATGCGGTGTAGAAGTAGTCGAGGAGCTTGTATCGGATTTCGATGGCGTTGCGTGCAGCCTCGGCGACTTGTGGCCAGCGGTAGAACTCCTGTGGGATCGAGCCGTCCTGGTTGTGGTTGCGGTAGAATGGAGCAAACGCACCAAGAGAGGCCCATCTCGAGCAGAGGTTGACGTTGGTGTTGTCACCGAAACCGCAAACATCAGATCCGACCATGGGAACCTGGTAGAGCGAGTTGAACTCCATAATCTCGGTGATAGAGATCAAGTAGTGGAACCAGCTGGAGAGGTTGTCACCAGTCCACTTGCCGACCTGAGAGCCAGAGCCTGCAAAAGTGGAACGAGTGATGATCAGTGGGCGGACGGATGGACGACGGCTCAACATGGCAATGCGGGAGGCTTCCGACATCATCGATCCGTAAATGTTGTGGGTATCGTACTCCACGTTGCCGCTGTAGAGGACAATGTCGGTGTCGGCAGTCTTGTTGCTGAGGGACCCGGCAGCATTTTGGATGTCGTATTCTGGGTTGATAAGATCACGGCCAGAGAGACCCTTCTTGTCACCAGTGGACTGACGCTTGATGTTTGGCAGGGCAGGGTGGTCCAGGTATGAGAAGTCGATGAAACGCCTCACCTTGCTGTTCTGAGGTGGCGAAGACGTAGTGATGTTGTAGACGGGGGTCTCTTCAGTGCTGTTGCAGCCGCCAGTGGACATGGTGTGATTTTGAGCCTCATACACATACGTGCCATCCGGCTCTGCGCGAACAAACTGGAACGAAACGACGGTGTTGGCTGGGACGTCGATCTGAGCGCTCCACACAGGGTAGCTGGTGGCGTCAAGGGGAGCAGCGTTGGTGATGTCGTCGGCTCCGATGGTCGACACGTTGCCATAGACAATGATGTTCTCGCCATAGAAGGTGGAACCATTGACACGGAAGTTGACCTGAGACTTGCACACTGGCTGGAAGTCCGCAGGGAACCCAGCGATGGGTCGAGGGGCACCAAGACGAACCGCCGGTGGACGAGGAGGGTTACCCATTGTGCGTGCCTGCTCTTCTGGGTCGCTGCAGGGGTAGTTGCAGAAGTTGCTAGGATCGTTCATGTCAATCCAAAGGGCATCGATGTCAACACCAGAGTCAGCGCTGAAGAAGCTTTGGAACTCGCCGTCCCAGTAGCCTTGAGTGTTGGGGTGGAACCAGTCAGGGAAGGCAGTCACACCGGGCCAGACGACTCCCTTGTAGATCGAACCGTTCTCGCGCTTCATGAAGATGTCCTGGTCCTTTCCGTTGTTGAACGGCGCATTGTCCTGGTACGCAACGGCTGGATCCACCATGACAATGTAATGCTGCTGACGGCTGTGCAGTGTAGAAACGAGCTCTCGCATGAGGTTCAGAGGGTAGCGCGCCCCGTCCAAGGTGAAAACTTGACGAAGATGCATGTAGTCAATGTCAGTCCACATGGTCTCCAGAGGAATGTTGGCAGCCGAATAGTTCGCGACAACTTCTGCAACGTCGTAGACATCCTGGTATCCGTAACGACACTGGTGGAAACCGAAGCCCCAGTATGGCATCAACGCTGGCTTGCCCACAACCTCGGAGTACTGCTCTGCAACCTCGACCGGCGTGGGGCCAGCCAGGAAGTAGAAGTCAAGCACGCCTCCAAGAAGGTCGTATTCGAGGTACTGGCCCTCGTCATCATTGATCTTGTAGTTCATTCCGTTCGAGTTGAGCAAGAAGACGGCGTGCGTGCCATTCTTGCCACGGTTGTCGTAGTAGACTGGGTGGGTACCGTAGAGGTTGGAGCCTGCGGGGGTTCCGTAGGCGTCGCGGTTCCACACGATACGAGTGTAGTTGGTGGTATTCAGCATACTGTAGCAATGTTAGCCACGGAATCCAACCTCTTTCATCTGCACGACTCACAATGGATCGGTGTGCTCACCCGTGCCGTAGAGGCTTGGGTTTTGTGGGAGCGCAGTCCTCAAGCGCACATATTGGTCTTCGAAGATGAGCGATGCTGCAGATGTATCGAAGAGGACTTCGCCGCTGCTACGGCGTTTGACTGTGAAGCTGAAAGGCTCCTGGACGTAGTCGAAGACGAGGTTGCTTGAGCCGTTCTTGACACCGGTGAAGGTCGGGCGAGGGAAAACGGATTCGGGGACTTGGTAGACTTGTTGGTTGGCATCCTGGATCAACACGTGAAGACGGTTGTCTTGAAGTATAGTTGTTAGCGCATTCGAGTCGACACGAGGTCGAGTCACTCACCAGTCTGGTACTCGACCGTCAAAGTCAGGTCCTTGATGTCGTTGCCGTAGATGTTGCAGCCCTCGCCGGCCAAAGTCAGCTTGGCGGTCAAGCCATTGGCGTTCTTCTGAACATCGCTGGCGCTGTAGCCCGGGCACATTGAGCCGGTGCTGCTGGTGCCATTCTGGCGGCGCTCGAGCTGGTGGAAAGTAGCAGATGCGGAGGTAGCGACGGCCAAAGAGGCGCAAAGGAAGCGCGCGAGAGGAGCCATCATCTTGGCGAGGATGAGGCGAGGGAGGAAGAATGAAGAGCAAGGAGCGGAGACGCGACACCTACGAGCGTGGTCTGAGAGCGGGTGCGGAGGAGTTTATGTAGGTGCGGCGCAAATCTGGGGCTCCGGCGTGGACATGTGGTTCGTGTGCTGCCCCTTGCTCAGTCTTCACCCGTCCGTCTGTGCAGCGTGTGGGGATCGGCGGTCTATTCACGTTCAGACGTTGCGGACAAAACTCCAAGAGGAGGTTTTTTTGCAGCTGCGCGCACGTTGGACGCGGCTAGCACGGAGAGTTCGAGAGCTGCTGCTGCAGGTGTTGCCGTCATGTGGCGATCTTCCCCGCCGCCGCCAGGCACATGAACGCAGGGATCCGGCGCAGGTCGTGCAATCTTCCACCACCGATTCACGGCGACTGGCAGCAGATGCATAGATTGCTGCTCGAAATGGGTCCCTTGTCCAATTAATTGCCCATGCATTCTGCGCGGCACGATGGGGCCTCGTGATGCGCAAGACGTGGACGCGAGCCGCTACTCAGCAATTCATGGCGATCGGCCTCTTCGCAGCTGCTTCCGGACTCATTCGCAACGGCAGGCGAGCAATCGTCCAGATGAGCACGCGGAAACGTACGCCGCACCGGACACTCGGCTGTGCCTGACGATATCCGGGCAGATGCATTTGTCGAGCCAAGTCTCTGGTCTTGGAGGACATGTGCGACGTGATGGAACACAGTGATGGAGGTGTGAAAGAGGTCGCAATAAACTTTCCCCTCATGTTCCTGTCCCGGTCGGCCCGACTCTGCTCCACATTCTCAGACGCGCTAGTGGATCAACTCTCAACCGCATTTCACACCTCACTCCTCGTCTCCTCTACCTTACTATTATCAATCGAATCTCACAGCTACATTGAAGAGGTGCGCTCGTATTTGGTCCATGGCACTGTACGGCTTAATCAGGCTCGAGGATTGGACCGAGGAATGGCGCTGTCAAGAACGCAAGATCGCACGCCGAGATCACAGATATGTGCATTGGCAAGATCAAATGAGGCTTGGCGCTCTCCGGGCCAATGTGCCGTGTCGATGAAAGGGTGGCTACTCGCCTGTACCATGCAGACGTTCTGGCTCCTTCACGAATAGTGGAGACCACTACCTTGCTCGTCTCGTTCGTGTCCGTTTCCATATATCTACTGTATCAAGGCGCCGAGTCAATTCCTGCCACAGGTTACATGCAGCTTTACTGGTTCCTTTTAATGGATAGTATGATGGTTAAAGTCATTGACGGCATCTTATTACACACCTCCGTGGCAACATGTGAAAAGACGCTAAGAAGTCGCTTATACCCTTTCTCGCCTTACCTGCCGTGTTCAGCGTCAGCATGACGCCAGTGAATAAACAGCACCTTGACGCGTCTTTCACAACAGACGACAAACAATTCCCGAACGCCATCGACTTCCATCACATGCAATCGAAAGTGCGACGATGACAGTGACCCTGAGATTCCGCGACCATGGCTAGCAGGGATGTCTTTCGCGTTCGGCTGAACTGCCTGGACAACTACCAAAACGCACCTTCCACACTGGACGCGCCCATTTGGGGTCCGTCCGCATTGTCGTCCACACAGCGCAACAGTCTCCCTCAAGTTCCTGTGATTAGAGTCTTTGGTGCAACGGAGACTGGACAGAAAGTGTGCGCTCACATCCATGGTGCCTTTCCGTACCTTTATGTACCTTACCAAGAGTCCACCGAGAAGAGCCATGTGGATACATACGTCTCGACTTTTCGCCATTCCATCGACCATGCACTGGCTCTTTCGTACAGGCGGAATCCATACGAGAATCCTCGAAATGCTGCTTTCGTCGCGCACATCAGTCTGGTCAAAGGCGTGCCCTTGTTTGGGTACAATGTTGGGTACAAGTACTACCTGAAAATTTACCTCCTGAACCCGCAACACATGACTCGATTTGCGGATCTTCTTCAACAAGGCGCTATCCTCAAGCAAGTCTTCCAACCGTACGAAGCCCACATGCAGTACCTGCTGCAATGGATGTGCGACTTCAACTTGTACGGCTGCTCGTATGTTGAGACGGACAAGCCACACTTTCGAGGCCCGGTCCCGTCATGGGAAGATCTGGATGATCCTGCACATTTGTGGCATGACCGATCCATTTCTCAAGATCAAATGCTGGATGCTGAGAAGTTCCCACGCCAGAGTCATTGCCAACTGGAGCTTGACATCCGCGTAGAGGATATTCTGAACAGACACTCGATCCAGGCTAGACCCTTGCATCATTCCTTTATCGAACGATTAGCGAGTCTTGAGAACCTACCTCCTGAAGAAAAGCTTGTGCATTCGATGGCTGGTCTATGGAAAGATGAGACCCGCAGACGGAAGATACGAATGGGCCTGACAGACCCTTCTTCGTCTCCTTTCCCTCCGGAAGTCCTTGTCAGCATGTCTGCTGATCCCAGGAATGATAGCAAGGGCGGTTGGATTCATGAGGAAGAGTTTCGAGAGACTGTGCAGAAGCTACTGGAGCAGGAAAGGCGGGCTCGAGGCGACCATAGCCTCTCTTTCGAAAGCTTCAGCAGCCAAGGCAAGGAGAACGATGACGTACAGACTGTCTTTGAGAGCGTGCAGGAGCTCTTCCACGGTGTTCTCGAACAAAAGTGGATAGCAAACAGGGCGAATGACGATGAAGCCATTGACGTACAGTTTGATGAGGCTGCCTCTGGCGCCGGAGATCGACCCAAGGACACCGCCAGTGCGCCTGTTGTGGATATGAGCACAATCGCTGAAATAGCGGACGAAGACTACTATGGAAGCGATGAAGAGACTGCCCGGGATATTGCCATGACACAACGACAGAAGCTCAAGCATGCCGGCGTCGAGGAGGGCATGGGTGAGGCGAAAGTCAATGGGCAATTGGACGACGTCGAAGCCGCAGCCGAATCGATTGATGAAGTTCAGATCCCTGGCTCCACGGTGGAGCAACATCAAACCGACTCGCTAAAACGTGGTCCTCCAAACGGATCGCATGCGCCTTTCAAAAAGCTCAAGTTTGACGATGCTGGTACTTCTACAAAGCTGGGCAAGTTTCGAGTCAGGGATATCAAACCTCCGAGTCGTACCAATGCAGTGCGACCGGATACGTCAAACGCATTCGAGCCGCCACCAGCAGCACAAACGCGGAAATCTGTATCATTTGGCATCAACCCGCCGCATATGCCGCCATCTGCACAACCTCCATCGTCACAGCGTTCTTCGCAAGGGTCACAAGTCGCTAAGATCGACTTTCCATCTGTGAAGAACCCACACGATGCGGAGACGCCTCTGCGCCTCAGCCAGCGAGATGACTTGGCACATCTACCTCACCGAAGTTCGCAGACCAGCCAGAAAGATATTTCATCTGCCTCCTTCCATAGCTCAAGAGAGTCGCAATCGACATTGAAATCGCCCATCAAGGTTCAGCCAACAATCAGCTCGAAAGTTGCCGGCTCCTATGCCGACGCCTTTCAGCTGCCCTCCGATACTGATGTCTTTGTCTTTGGCGCGATGCCACCTTCATTCGAAGAAGTGGAGAGAACGGTCGAGCCTTCAGTAATCTATCAAGATGCCTACTACAGCGATGAGAAAGATGTGCCTGAGCGAGTACGAGAATATGCTGGCCAAGAGTTCAGGCTTGAGAGTACAACGCTTCCTTTCTTGCAAGTCTTCGACAAGGATGGTAGCGTCTTCAAAACCAAGCCACTGGAAAAAACTGCCGTGGAATTGGCAGAACAACGAAAGCGGCGACAATGTACTATAAAACAGTGGGAGATCATGAAGCCACCGCCTTCTTGGGATGATGTCAAACAATGGCTGAATGACGAACGGCCGCCAGAGAAGGATGACCTTGAAGACCTGGAGGTCGATGGCCCGCCAGCAGCCTCTCAGATCAAGCGGAAGAATCGACCACCTCCCGAGCTGTCCCAGATTGAGGGCCCAACACAAAAAAACAAGCATGGCTTCAAGTACTCGCAAAAGAAAGCGAGCACCAGTGTTCAGCATGAGACTGGCTACATGAGCACCATGAGTCTCGAGCTGCATGTTAATAGTCGTGGTGAACTCGCGCCCGACCCTGAGCGGGACGAAGTGGCATTTGTCGTTTGGATCATTGTCGATGACCAGATGGAAGAGACTTCCAAATTGGGTATTGTTCTCTTGAACAAGGACGACGACGAAGACTTGGTCGAAAGAATTCGTCATCTCGTGGGCAACAATGTCCAAATCGACCCAGAAGACAATGAACTTGACATTATCAATCGCATGGTTGACACGGTACGACTTTACGACCCGGACATCTTAACTGGATATGAGGTTCACAACAACAGTTGGGGATACTTGATCGAACGAGCACGACTTCAGTATGAGTTCAATCTCCCGGACGAGTTCTCCAGGATGAAATCGCAATCACATGGACGATTTGGCAAAGATGCAGATCGTTGGGGCTTTACTCATACTTCGACAGTCCGCATCACTGGCAGACACACCATCAATATCTGGCGTGCCATGCGCTCTGAACTGAACTTGCTTCAATACACTATGGAGAACGTCGTCTTCCATCTACTGCATCGACGTGTCCCGCACTACTCATTCCAGACATTGACAACCTGGTACAACAGCGGGAAGCCACGAGATCTGGCCAAGGTTTTGGATTATTTCGTTACCCGCACCAAGCTTGATCTGGAGATCCTTGATGCCAACGAACTTGTTCCTAGAACCTCCGAACAGGCTCGACTGCTTGGTGTGGACTTCTTCTCGGTCTTCAGCCGAGGCTCACAGTTCAAAGTCGAATCGCTCATGTTTCGTATCGCGAAGCCTGAATCTTTCGTTCTGGTGTCTCCAAGTAGGCGACAAGTCGGAGCTCAGAATGCACTCGAGTGTTTGCCACTGGTTATGGAGCCGCAGTCGGCATTCTACAACAGCCCATTGCTCGTCCTCGACTTTCAAAGCTTGTATCCAAGTGTCATGATTGCCTACAACTATTGCTACTCGACTTGCCTTGGACGGATCACGGAATGGCGAGGCACGAACAAGCTGGGCTTCGCGGACTTCAAGCGCTCACCGGGGCTTCTAGAACTTGTCAAGGACAAGCTGAACATCTCACCGAACGGCATGATGTATGTCAAGCCGGAGATGCGCAAGAGTCTTCTGGCGAAGATGCTGGGCGAGATCCTTGAGACTCGAGTCATGGTCAAGAGTGGCATGAAGGTGGATAAGGATGACAAGACGTTGCAGCAGCTCTTGAACAACAGGCAACTGGCACTGAAGCTAATCGCCAACGTTACTTATGGCTATACTTCAGCATCGTTTTCTGGTCGAATGCCCTGTTCGGAGATCGCAGACAGCATCGTGCAGACAGGCCGCGAGACACTGGAAAAGGCCATTGCGTTGATACATTCTGTCGAACGATGGGGTGCTGAAGTGGTATATGGCGACACGGACAGCTTGTTCGTCTACCTCAAGGGCAGGACGAGAGACGACGCCTTCAAGATCGGCGACGAGATCGCGAAGGCAGTCACGGACATGAACCCAAGACCAGTCAAGCTCAAGTTCGAAAAGGTCTACCATCCTTGTGTTCTACTGGCCAAGAAGCGCTATGTCGGGTTCAAGTACGAAAGTCCCAAGCAGACTGAGCCAGAGTTCGACGCCAAGGGTATCGAGACAGTGCGACGAGATGGCACTCCCGCCGAGCAGAAGATCGAAGAGAAGGCACTCAAACTTCTGTTCCGCGCTTCTGACCTGAGCGAAGTCAAAAAGTATTTCCAAGCACAATGCACCAAGATCATGGCTGGCAGGGTCAGCGTGCAGGACTTCTGCTTTGCCAAAGAAGTCAAGCTCGGCACTTACGCCGACAAAGGACCCCCGCCACCGGGTGCTCTCATCGCTACGAGGAGGATGCTTCGTGACCCTCGCACAGAGCCACAATATGGCGAACGCATCCCGTACGTCGTCATAGCCGGCGCGCCTGGTGCCCGCCTCTGGGAACGCTGCGTCGAACCAGAACGTCTCATCAACGACGAACACGCCGAGCTCGACGCCGAATACTACATCAGCAAGAACCTCATCCCACCGCTCGAGCGAATCTTCAATCTCGTCGGCGCGAACGTCCGACAATGGTACGACGAAATGCCCAAAGTCCAACGCATCCGCATTCTCGGCGGACCTCGCGACGGGGACGTCAACGCCAAGTCCAAGAAGACCATGGAGAGCTACATGGGCAGCTCGCTGTGCCTCGTCTGCCGCACTAAACTCGCCCCCGTCTCCTCCAACAACCCCCCTGAATCCGAACTGCCCCTGTGCCACGACTGCCGATACAAGAAAACCCCGCAGACACTGCTCGCTCTGCGCGAGAAAGTGAAGAAGGCGGAGAAGAAAGTGGTGGATATGCAGGATTTGTGTAGGAGTTGTGCGAATTTGGCTTTTGATGATGAGGTGAGGTGTGACAGTCGGGATTGTCCGGTGTTTTATAGTCGGAAGAAGGCGGTTACGTTGGCGGGGGTCGTGAGGGGTGGGGTAGGGAGTGTGTTGGAGAAGTTGGAGGGGGAGGAGGGTGGGAGTGAGAGGTTTGAGTGGTAGTCAAGACCACGGGATGGACAAACAGACGAACGCAATGCAACATGCCTCGTGACCAACAACGCCTTTCTTGCAACACCACATGAAATTGCCCGACAACATGGATCGCCTGCAGCATCCATCCACCGAAAAGCTCACCACACTGCTTCGTTTACCTAGCCTTCAACATCACAAGAAAGGTGTCTGGCCCCTGAATGAGAGAACTACTTTCGAAACGGCGTACGAATGGCTCCGTACCAACGGAGCATTTGTCACTTACGTACATCCATGAATCGGAGAGTCAGGGAGAGCCAAAAGAAAAGCCCGTCGTACGATCATCCCACGACCCAGCTAGCAAGCCGGACACATAAGAACTCGAACCCATCATCACAGAGAATGCAAGACTCTCAGCGTGGCATTCAGCAGCGTCTTCGCCACGCCCCAAACAGACATGCGACCCAAAACCTCCACCGTCTGCCGCAGGACGAGTTCCGGCCCATCATGCGCAGTCAGGTCCGGCACACCGTGCATTCGGGGCGTGCGGCGCCGGCTGCCATGCTCAAGCCATTCGCGCAGGTTCGAGGATTCCGGGTCGTCGTCTTCTCCGAACCAGTCGATATGGCAAGGGGGTTTGTTGGGCCGCGCTGGGCCATGAGCGACGGCCGTCTCCTGCTGGCGCATCAGAGTCGCCATGACCCAGACCGCCATTCCGGCGTGGAAGGTATTGTACGGCTCCTGCGGGTGGTTCGAGGGGTGCAGGCGGATGATGCTCAGCAGGCGGGCGTTGGCGACTTGGAAGGCGCGGGTGGCCTGGGGTCGGCGACGGATGAAGCTCAGGATATGGGTCCGCGCGGCTTCGGCCTGGGGGTGTTTGCGCCAGATTAGGTGCAGATAGTCCCACATGTCTTCGCCGGCGATGATGTGTGTTAGTTGGCAGATGCATAGTTGGTGGATGCAGGTGGCGAATTTGGAGGGCGCCATGGTGATGGAGACACTGAGGCGTCGGGAATGCGCGAGCCGGTCGACGAGATGGAGGAGATCGTCTTCGCCTTGTTGGACGGGAAGATACGACGCGAGGTGCTTGGCGCCAGGCTGTGTGGTCATTTCTTTGTGCGTCCACATCATCCTTGCAAGGGTGTGAAGAAGCAGGCTCGTCTGAAAGTCCTGCTCCAACGAAGCTATGGTCTCGTCAGCGTTTCCGAGCAAACCATCGAGGCAAGTCCCAAAGTCCCATTCGCGGAGGGCACCATCTTTTCCGTGTCGCAGGATAGCAGCCCAGGCTTCGGCAGTTTCGGCCTCCCATAGGGATGTACGACTCGGCAGCTCCATCTTGATCTCGTTCAAGGAGATGAACGGACGATCATCTCGCATGGTAGCACTCGCGGCGTCGTGGTCCTGCTGACTGGATCAGAGAGACGCCTTGTCTTCACGTCAACATGCTAAGAAACATACGTATACCGCCCACGCGAGGCGTTTCAGGCTCTCAGCGCGGAGCCACGTCCTCCATCGAAGATCCAGACTAGCACCCGGCGGGCATTCGCCATTTTGACGGGCGAATAAGCCTGCACATCGGGCGTTGTTGATGAGGCAACTGCGGTCCCTTTCTGCAATTTCGTAGAAACGCTTGCTGCCGCATGAGAATCCGTGGATGGCGTGGAGAAGCTGTGCGGTGATGTAGGTTCCAGTACGGACTTGACGGGGGTCACGCTCTGCCTGCGAAAGGATCAGTACATCCCCCCAATGATGTTCGGACCCTGGACAAGAACCAACGATGCACAGCAGTAGCCAGTGGTAACAGATCGATATTGGTAGCCTGCATAGAAGTTCGATCGTCAAGCATTGGATAGATGAGCACTTGCTTTGCCAGTGGTGGCGTGAGACAACGATCTCGGGCAAGGATGGAAAGAGCAGCAGCAAGGCCCCCGCCAGCACTATCCCCGTACACCTGTATGCGACTTTGATCGACTCCAAGCCGCTCTGAATTGTGATGGAGCCACAACAGCGCCGTCCAACAATCTTCCAAAGGCGTAGGGAAAGGATTTTCAGGGGCGAGGCGATAATTGACGCTGAGCATCAGGATCTGACTCCTCGCGACAAGGTCGCTGACAATTGCACGGTACGCGTAAACGTCGTATGTGATTAGGCCGCCTCCATGGATGTGTAGGACTGCCGAGCTGTGGGGATCGGACGCGCGATCCAGAGGTTCATACCATATCATTTCCAAGTCGAAGCCATCGATTGTCTTTGTTGTGCATGATTGAGCTTCAACTTGCTTGCTGGAGGGCATGGCTTGGAGTCGAAGTCGCATTGGTTCTGTGTTGACTCTCAGCGATGCAACGTCTTGTGGCTGAGATAAGGCAATCTCATCCCGTGCCTTGTGTAGCAGAGCCATACTCTGTCTGAGCTCAGGATCGTATTTTTCGAGCACGTTCATCGTTGCAGGCAGCGTACGAGCGACGTACCGACCAAAAGCGAATAGAAAACGAAGATGTAGCAGCTCTAGAACATCAGCCGCACTGTGAAATGTCGGACACTCTTCCATTCTCATTGTCATTCGGCAGAATACCTGGCACGGAGTTCCGGGCGGCTCGATTCGTGCTTCTCCGTCTCCCCCGATCGACTTCGAGATGCATGGTCATCTCCTGGGCAAGCATGTCAAGATGCCCCTGGGTTCTGAACTCTGGACCAGACCAAGATTACTTCAAGGCCCACACGGTGGTCTTGTCAAGTAAAAAAAGACGGCTGTCAAGGACAAGGTGACGGTATAATCGTGTCCATTGAGACTTCCGCGGAGCAAATGCTCTAGTGCCTCCATCCTTTTCCGCGTGTATCTATGCGTAGCAAAATTCTTGACGACGAGTTTGAAATTGTTTCCATAGGGAAGTATTTATATGACGTGAACAGGATCATAAGTACACACTCCGACTTTTAATGAGTTTTTCCTCCAATCGAACGTACAACATAATTGGTGGCGTTCCGAGACACTCTTAAGTCCTTGAATCAAGGATTTGAATATATAACATCCTGCTTGCCCGGTACTAACTCCACATCAACGTGTTGGACTTGGCCGCTGGTGACATAGGCACTGAAGGCTCGAGCAGGTACATTCTAAATCTTGTCAGGAAATCCCGGTCAAAGCAGAAGAGATGTCAAGTGTAAGAGAGGGCATAGTACTCACGTTCATGAACATCTCGTCAATTTCCTCCAAAGAACGATCCTTCAGCTCTGGCACATAGAAGAATGTCCACACAAAAATCAGGACCTCCAGACCTCCAAAGATGAAGCCAATCTTGGTGCCAAGGTTTGCATATTGGGTGTCTATCAGGTATGGAATACTGCAGACGATTAGGATATCGCTTGTCCAGGCGACGATCGTGCCGATGGCCATTGTGCGCGAGCGAAGCGTTGTTGACGGTAGTTCCCCAAGCGATATACCCGTAAGTGGGCCCCAAGAGGCTCCGTAGGCGTAGATGTAGATGCACGTGAAAGCGGCGAGAGATTGCGCTGCTGCTTTACCAGGCGCCGCGACACCAACGATGGCGATGATTAACATCGATATGCCACAGGCAATGGACCCGGCGAGAAGGATCTTGCGTCGTCCCACGTAGCCAACAAGAACCACCGATGAGATGGATCCAGCAATGCCGCAAACACCGGTAACAATGGTAATTGTGAAAGCATTCTGGATACCGGAAAGTTGAAAGAAGTATGTGCCGTAGCTGCAGATCGCCTCGCAGTCAGCCCTCGTGTACAGTGCAAGTCGGATGCGTCGATAGTCGTTACCTCGAAATGAAGGCGATCCCAGACCACGCTTGACTCAAAGTCATTCCGATGGTAAGCAGTGTCCGTCGACGATCGGTCCCGCGAAAACAATCGGCAAAGGAGGTAGACGTTCGTAACGACCGCTCGATTTCGATGAAAGCCACGACCTCCGCATGCTCAGCTTCCAACTCTTCTTCGGTATATGTTGAGCCTCGTAAGCGGCGCAGGGCAGACATTGCCTTTTCATCTCTTCCGCGTGAGGCGTGCCACCCTGCAAGAAGCTGTCAATACTGGACCATCGGCCAAGCGATCGCGCCCTGATTCGAACAGAAAGTGGGAAGTGCTTACTGGGTGTGTCCGGCATGAACACCAAGGCGATCAGGAGCGAGAGAGGGGCAATCAATTCGACCAGCAATGGGATTCGGTAAGCCCATCGGTTGTCCATGGCATGCGTTCCCTGGTTGATACACTGTGCTATGAACTGGGCCACGTTTGTCACGCCTTGGTACATTACCACGACCATGCCACGCAAGGCAGCAGGAGTCACCTCGGTCCAATATGCAACTGCGAAGTTATATGCGAAACCAATGGCCAGACCCGAAATACATCGACCTAGCACGACTTGGTACCAGTGAGTCGCTCCAGCCTGGACAGAGGGGCCAATGAGTGCCGTGATGGCAGCCAAGACGAGGCCAGCACGTCGACCGAATCGTGAGCCAAACGGTCCCGAGATCCATGCCGCAACACAGGCCAATGCAAGTGGTGTGCCAGTTAAGAGTGTTTGGCTGTCTGCAGTAATGATGTATGCGCCGGCGTCCGGGCTATATGTGCCAAAGTCACGAACAAAGCTAGCAGGATGGCCGGTCAATGGTGAAGCCTGAACAAGCTTGGTCAATGTTTTCTGTACCTTTGCATGGCGAGGAACCCAGTGGTCCCTCCATAGTCAAATCCAAATCTGTGTGGAAAGAACGACATGGTCAGCCAGTCTCATAAGTGAGTAATTCTTGGGTCCCATTACATTACCGGCGCGAGACATATCACGAAGCAGTAGAGCAAGACACGCTTATGACTGTGGGTCTGCGGGCTCATGGTCTTTCGAAAAGTTTTGAGTTGCGTTTTGCAGAGAAAGTGATGCACGTTCAAGCATCATATATTCTCTACTTGATGTAGTTGGGACTGGCCGAGTTCGGCACGCGGAATTCCGAGAGAAGCTGCCCCATAAGCCCCTGCGAAACGTACGCTAGTAGTTTGACCATGTAAATGAAGACGACTGAATTCCCGCACTGGCTACCAGTCTTTGATGAGCTTTCCAAAGACGTCAAGCTCTGCAAGACCGCAGTCCTCTTTGCAGCATGTCTCTGCCTCTCTCAAACCTCAGTCTTGTTCCCGTCACGCCAATTGAACACCTCCATAACACCCGTCAAGACAACAGCACCCCCCTGAACAAGCGGATTCAGAACTGCAGCTCTCCATCCATCCATCGCAGCGCTCTGCAGAACACGGAACGGAATTGGAGTACCGAACATGGACTGAACCGCAGCCGGCAGCCAGCCTGATGATCGAATTAGCTCACTAGAACATAATCCGCCATCCACACGCCAGCCTTGTAGACTCGATGGTCATCATTGCGAACTTTTTTACGTTGGAACCCTTCCTGAAGTCGACGAGGTGCCGTCGGAGGAGCAGCTTCCGAGTTTCGTTCCCACTCTGTTCAATGCGAGCACGCAAAGAATACAGCGGAGTTGAGCAAGACTCATGTTGTCGATTCAGATGATATTCTGCATAGGAGGATACATGAGGCGAGGTTGAATTGGAACGTATTGCGCAGAGGAAGAAAAAAAGGCGGTATGTTTCAGTGGAAGGACGTGCGTCAAAGTTTGCTTGGCAATCATGTGAAAGCTTTCCTGTTCTGCACTTTTGAACTGCATTCAGCTAAACTGACGCTAGCAGCTAGTTTCCCAGTAACACACACTCTCTTGTTGCGGACAGTCGCATGCCTTCACTCGGTCCTTCTCCACCAAACTCAGAAGCCCAAACGGGAACAAAAGTGCCAAAGGTCTTGCAACAGGCTCCGCAACAGGGCAGTGACTAAGCATGTTTGGATTAGAAAAGACCTGGAAGTATAGTACGTGGGAGTACTTACAAGCCAAGGCACCATAGAACCCGAAACCCATGCGCATAGGCACAATCATGATGAGCGCGTCCGGGACAACAGCAACGAGCAAGCAGACGGTCTGGAACGCGATGGAGCCGGGGTATGTGCTGAGGTATTCCATGGTGTTTGGAGTTGGCGAGGTACACTGGATATCCTGGAGGCTTAAGATGAGGTGTCCGAGGGTTGCTTTGGAGGCTTCGCAGATGTTGGTGGCGAAGTCGGAGGTTGCGTTCATCTTCGAAGTCGTCGTGGTTTGGTTGGTGATTTTGATGAGTAGAGAGACTGCAAGAGACTGGAGGGGATGAGGGGTTTTAAACAAGTGTTCACGCCACGAGATGGTTCCGCGTGCTTGCTTGCTTGCTTGACAATGGCAGAAACTTCCAAGCATGAAATTGCAGCCATGGACGAATTCTGTTCGATCTCCTATCTTCTAGAATTTGGGCCACGCATACTTTACTTTGCTCTATAAGGTACTTGGAGTGTGAGACATCAATTTTGAGCCTGTAAAGACCGCCCCTAGTACCTCTTGGCAGTAGTGTGAAGGGCTCCAATGTACGGTTGGGGTGCTGCGGCGATCAGAGGTAGATTTGACATTGAGGCTTGAGTTGCTGCTCAAGGCTCGATAAGATCGAAGTTTTCAAGTTTAGACGCTCAACGCTAGCGCGAAAAAATCCCACATGGCTATTCTTGGCAAGCATGTGACGCACGGAAAGAACTTCTGTTTCCGAGACACAACAATCAATCCGCCAGCAGTACTCCACATCCCCTTCAAATTCTTCTAAATAACTCCCTCCCATCCCCTCCCCCAACCCCGGACCCCTCAACCCTCAAACAAGCCTTCCCAAAACCGTCCCCCTTCAACATCCCCACAAACCCCTCTGCACCCCTTTCAATCCCAGTCACCTCACTTACCACAGCCTTAATCTTCCCCTCCCCAATCCAAAACCCCATATCCCTCTCAAAGTCCTCCTCATACTTCGGTCCGAAATCCCTCATCCCCACCTGGAAGCCCCTCATCGTCAGCCCCTGACTGAAGAGCCGGAAGAGGTTCTTGACGCCGTACGAGCTTTGACTGGTGTCCGTGGAGGACGTGGAGTCGTATTGGCTGAGCATGCCGCATACGATGATTCGGCCATGTTTCCGCATGCACGCCAGTGCGTCCTCGAGGGTCTGGCCGCCGACGTTGTCGAAGTAGATGTCTATCCCTTCTGGCGCGAGGCGTTGTAAAGCCGAGAGTGTCGATTCTTCTTTGTAGTTGAATACGCTGCTGAATGCGAGCTCATGCCGTAGGAGACTGCACTTCTACGCCGAACCTGCGGAGCCGATGACTTTGAGGCCTTGGAGGCGTGCGATTTGTCCGACAATCTGGCCTACGGCGCCTGCGGCGGAGGAAACGAAGATTGTCTCGCCAGGGCGGGGCTTGCCGATTTCGAAGAGCGAGGAGTACGCTGTCAGGCCGGGCATTCCCAGGGGACCGAGGTAGTAAGCTGGGTGGAGCGTGGTGGACGAAGGAAGTGTTTTGACCTTCGCACTCGACGATGCCATGTCGATATCCTCTCTGCTCAGGACGGAATATTCTGCAATCGGCAGACTCGTTCGAATTAGCGTTCCGATGGGATAGTCGTCGCATGACGAGTGGATCACCTCTGCCACTGCTAGGCTACGCAGTGGGCTATTGAGGGTACACGGCTTGCGATAGTGCTTCGTGTCCGGCTCGACGAGCATCAGCCGCATGTAAGGGTCGAGGGAATTGTAAATGTTGCGGACGACGAGTCCATTCTCGGGGATTTTTTCAAGGTCGATTGGACGGTCTTCGATGATCAGGTGCTCGCCAGGTATGGGCATGCCTTTGGGGACGGCTTTGAAGACCAGGCTGATATTCCTTGTCGAGGGCATGATCATGTTGTTTTCAGGAGAGTTTGCCCCAGAATCGTCCTCCTTGCAACTGCAAGTCGCATCTCTTTTGTACGTTGTATCCCTGATATCAATTCGCACCCTGTTTTCCTTCTCATGACGTCTACATTCTTTCCATCGCTGCTGAAAGCTCGACCTACGCACCCAAGCTACCCCTTTGTCGGTGCCCCTAAGCTCAGCAGGCTCTTCAGCTCAGCCCGACAGCGAAGATTGACGCCGAAGCCGGCGAAACCTGACCAGATGTCTTGAATACATAGCGACGCTTTCCCATTGGAAGCAGCAAGTCGAAACTTGGTAAGTCTATGAATTGATTCCAGATCATCTCCGAGACGGAGATTGTGGACAACAACAACCCTGGGCGCAGCCACCTTCCCAATTGCAAGATCATCAGTATTAGGTCAAGACTTCATACATCAATCCGTTCCCAGCCAAACCCACTCACGACCGCCTCTGATTCCAATTGAGCACCCCATCTAAACACATCCCCATCAGCTACAAACACGCACATGCTCCACCTCGAGATCTGAAGGCTCACGGATCGAGCTGCAATACTCAGCCTCGCCACAGCCCTGATAGCAGCCTTTTTCTTTACAGGTATCTGTATGCATGAGCACAAGACGATCCTTCGCATTCTGGGCAGAAAACCTCACGGCGGCTGCAATATGACGCTTTGGGGGACTTCTTCTTGGATGCGAGGCAGCCGGGTTGATTACATTTTGTGAAGTCGATGCTGGAAAGGAGGACGGGCTGTCGAACGACTTCTTTGCCGGTGGAGGATTCGGGCATTTTGTTTAAGATTGGTAGAAATGAGGTGGGACAAGTGTTTGGATGTATAGGAGAGTTGCATAGATGGTGATGTTTCAAGACGCTTCTCATGTGATTGATGACTCTTAGGAGGTTTTGGCTTACCACCCACTGATGGCCACTGGGGTGTCTGATTAGCTGTATCTCCTCTTCCAGATAACATGGTTTGACATGGCGTGATGAACGTGGGTCAAATGTTACTGGAGGAGACCGTTGAGCTCGTAGTCCCTGCATGAAGGCAACATGCGAACACCTTCGTCCCAAATTGAGGGGAAGAGGTCCGCAACAAGTGAATTGTGCTCGGCGGCACGGACCTGGAGCGCATGATTGCCTCAGCACAGGTCCCATTGCGCACAACGTCCTTGCGCTCGTTTGGGCAAGCTGACCACATCGCCGTCTCCTGCATTGCGTCCGTCTATACTTGGAGTGGAGATATCACGGTATCGAAAACCGTCTCGTTCAAGAGCTTCATCGCTTTTCAACATCTTGCTCCACGACCTTCTGCGCCTTCCTCTTCTCGATGTCATCCAGCTCCTTCAACTTCTCCGCAATGGTACTCTGGAAGTCCCAGGTCCCCTTCTCATCCTTTTTCGCCAGCACCCCAGCGACCCACTCCTCCATCTCCTTGTCCGCCTCAGCATCACCGCCATAGAGATCTTGCCCTGTTCCCTTCTTCACGAGTTCCCTCACATCCTCGATATCCGCAATGTCGAAGAACTTCATCACAGCTCCCGTGCCTGCCATGAAGATCGCGCCGACGTTGATGGTGGCTAGGAAGAGGGCTTCGACGGCGTCCAGACCACCTTCGGCTTTGGCTTGATTGTTGGAGGTTGTGAAATGGGGGACCTCTAGCTTAGGGACCGGGGATCCCTTGGTCGTTTTTGAAAGGTGAGGATATAACGCGGTGATGTGTTGTTTTCGAGTCAAGGATCGCCGGGTGATGAAGGCGGAGAGGAATGTAAAGGCCAGACCACCGAAGAGGAGTGCATTCTGGCGGCGAGCGCGATGGGCGGCGTCTATTCGATTTGGTATTATAGGAGCCGGCCGTTTCTCAAGGTCTTCGAGTTCCTTGTGGATCTGCTGCTCTTCCTGCCGACGAGCAGCCCGGACGTCACCGGGAGCGAAGTATCTGTCCCACCACGACGACATCCATGCGGAGGGGCTGCTGGACATTGGAGATATGAAGGAGTGTGATGTATCGTAGATGTGAAGTTCGAGATGGCCTGAGATGGGAAGTCAAGTCGGGCCGACGAATCGGATGGCTTGATTTTCGGAGCGGGTAAGTCGGCCCTCGATTCCCTTTAGCACGACTTCGATGACCGTTGCGCGGGATTGGCCTCAACACTCAACACTGCAATGCTTCGATAACACCACAACCACCACACGACCTCCCTATACACCCCCGACAATGGCCTCCCTACGAGCACCCGCGCGCCGCCTGGTCTCTTCAACTTTCCTCGAAACCAGCAAACCCCTCCTCATCCCGCAGAAACGCTCCTTCGCCACCACGATCGACAACCCACCACCCCCTTCAACCACCAAATCAGAACCCCGACCAGCAACCGCCTTCACAGACCGTCTCAACTCCGGTCCCTCATTCTCAGACTTCGTCTCCGGGAAACCCAAAGACGAACCCCTCTCCAAAGAAGACCTCTACGAACTCCGAACCGTCCAGATAGGCCCCGAGGGCAAGAAACGCACACACACCCGCCTCCCGGAATGGCTCAAGACGCCTATACCTACGAATGACAACTATAAACGCATAAAGAACGATCTCCGCGGTCTGAACCTCCACACCGTCTGCGAGGAGGCCCGATGTCCGAATATCAGCGACTGCTGGGGCGGCTCTAACAAGAGTGCCGCCACGGCGACGATCATGCTCATGGGCGACACCTGCACGCGAGGCTGTAGATTCTGCAGCGTGAAAACTTCCAACAAACCCCCGCCGCTCGATCCCCACGAGCCGGAAAACACCGCCGAAGCGCTGAAGAGATGGGGCTTGGGATACGTCGTCCTCACCAGTGTAGATCGCGATGACTTGGCCGACGGTGGCGCCCGCCACTTCGCGGAGACGATCATGAAGATCAAACAGAAAGCTCCTCAGATCCTTGTCGAGGCCCTGACGGGCGACTACGCGGGCGACATCGAAATGGTCAAACTCGTCGCACAGTCGGAGCTGGACGTCTACGCGCACAACGTCGAGACGACCGAGGAACTCACGCCCATGGTTCGTGATCGACGAGCGAAGTTCAGACAGTCCCTGGCTGTCTTGAAAGCCGCCAAAGAAGCCAAACCCACCCTCATCACAAAAACCTCCATCATGCTCGGCCTCGGCGAGACAGAGGACCAGCTCTACCGCACCTTGAAAGAACTCCGCGCCGTGGACGTCGACGTCGTGACGTTCGGGCAGTATATGCGGCCGACGAAGCGACACATGAAGGTCGAGGAGTACGTGACGCCGGACACGTTCGAGCTGTGGAGGCAGCGGGCGTTGGATATGGGATTCTTGTATGTGGCGAGTGGGCCGTTGGTGAGGAGTAGTTATAAAGCTGGTGAGGCGTTTATTGAGAATGTGTTGAAGAAGAGGGCGAGGCATAATACGCTGCTGAGTGCGGAGAGGGTGGGGGATTTTAAGGATATGAAGAACACATAGATACGAGGGGCTGAGGTGATGTAAATACCCTCCTCCCAGGCACCCCTCTGCACTCGAGGCTGGAAGAGGTCAGAGGGAAAGTGCCACAAGAAGGCCGACGATCGATATACATTTGTACAAAGAACGAGAATCAAAAAGTGCACTTCAACGTGCTTTGCAAGAGAGACACTTAAGTTTCCTCCAGCTCACCTCTACCTTGTGCGAAAGCTCTACCCTTCCCCCGATCTTTCCCCCTTTCTTGAGTTCGTCGCTGGCCGGTCGTGCAGCCGGATAGAGCAGCGATTGACCCCAGCTGGTGCTTGCCAGTCCCACCGAGAGCTCGTCAAGTAGACGCGTCCAGATCAGGGAGATTACGTATCGATGGCATTGGCATTGGCAGTAAGTTGGAGAAGGGGTACTTCATCCCACCCTACAGCGCGGACGCCCTGCTTCTCGAAAAGGAGATCAACACTTTCCAGGTCGTCTCCTCACGTGGCATACGCAAACAGACGTCTCACAGCGCCATTCCCACGACAAAGAATCCCCCAACAGCCATGTGGTCCGAATCAAACCTCGCTGGCTTGTTCTATCCCGGTACAGTGGGGTCCATTGAACTCGCCGCCCAAGCAGGCGATTTACTTACTCCTCCCTTCGGCCCTCTCCACAAACGCCTCCACATCCGCGTCCAAATACGTCGTATAAGGATGCACCAAAGGCGGCGCGCTTTTCTTCCCGATTGTCGCGGTATTTTGATAGCATCGCGCCTGCATCACCGTCGTCGTGTGCACGTATACCGTCTCCTCGTTCTGGAGCAAGTCGGGCGAGTCGTCTGCCGCATAGCGGATGGTGGTCGTGGACGCGAGTACGCGATCGTAGTGTCCGCAGGGCTGCGAGAGGAGGAGCAGAAGGTGGCATGCGGGGATGGAATGATCAGACTGGATGACGCTGTTGAGAGGGATGGCGAGGAGGTCGCTTGAGACTGCTCGCTCGACGGAATGGGACGTCTGTACTGTGGTTTTGTAAGCTGTGCCCGCTTTGAGGCGCAACTCGAGGCCTTGGTTTGTGATGGTGTAGGGGTTTCGAGAGAATCGGTTTTTTAGCATGCGGGGCAATTTTTGGTTGAGGAAGGATGATGGAGAAGTCGCGAGAATGGGCACAGTCCGGAACGGTCGTAAAGGGGTTGGTAGGCCGCTCCAGGCGAAGATGCTTTCGTCATTGCTCGTGCGGATGATCTCCTCTTGGAGACGGTTCCAGGCGCGCGAGCCTTCGCCGTATAACAAGGGCATGTTGATGCCGAAGAGGCCTAAGGCGCAGTACGCCATGTCTTCTTCGCGAGTGGTTGTTCGATTCCGCAACCAGCTCATCTTTTCGGCAGTGCGTCGCGAAGAGATCACGACGTTGTGCTCGAAGACTTCGACCGGGATTGACGTGATTTTCGAAATCACTTTGGTTATATTCCGCTCAAGTAGCCTGCCCAAGGTGGTCATGGTGTTTTCGTATCCGGTTTCGTGACCGCACCATCCCATCGCGATCCAGTTGCTGGTGTAGAAACTGACGCTTTTGGGTGCGACTAGTTCTTGCAACGTCCAGCCACGTGTAAACCACACCGAAGAGCGTAGCTGTTCAAATGTTTCATCCAGGGCGTCATCCACATCTGAGAGATATGCATAGCACTCGATGGCGTTTGCGTACCATTGGTACATCGAGTTAATCGCCTCACTGAGCTCGCTGCTGCTCCTCTTGTCAATGCAGACTGTGTCGATCCAGACATGGTGGACGCCACGCAATCGGGCAACTTTGCGAAAGAGGACGACTTTCCTCCAGCCCAGAGACTCTCTTCTACGTTCCTTGATGTAGTCTTTGAAAGTGATTTCATCGTCAGTCCAGCGGTGGGAGAGAGCGACGTAAGGTGGTATTTGAGAGCCCGTGTACTCTTTGAGCTCGCCCGTGTTCGTGTCAATCAGTCGCATGTTTGAAAAGACAGCGACGAAAGGAAATGAAAATAATCTTGGACGGCTGAAGTGAAGAACGCATTCTTCTACACCTGCAGGTGGCTGAGTCCAGATCGCATGGAGTTCGCAAACTTGACTGCCTCGGCCTGTCTGTCGAAGCCTTCAAGATGTGGACTTACCATCTGAGCAAGACGGTGATGGGAATTGTTGTTGAAAGGTATCTCGAATCCAATGCAATCGCTTGAACGCAAGTATTGTGAAGAAGTGAGCTATGAGGGAGGTGCAGCTGCGGGAGCTTCGGTGCCGCTTCCCGGCCTGGATCCAGGAGGAGGCGGCATGAACAAAGGCATGTATCCCTGCGAAGTCAATTAGAATATTACGGGAGCGGTATGTCAGGTACCTGAACCTACAACACCCAGCGAAAGCACTGACATGCCGATAGACAGATACGCCGGCGAGGCAGAGTTGGCCTTTTGCGCGGGCGTCTCGGACAGCCACTGCTGGATGGCGAAGAGAACAGCCGTCCAGCCGAGCATCCTACGATGGTGAAGTACATTAGCTCCGGGACATCTTCGATGATTGGCGTGCACAGCGCATACTTGTTCCTCGTGAATATCTGCACGTCGGTCAGCAGCCGTGCATAAGAAGGACGACACCCGATCACGTGTTGGCGAGAGGGGATGGGTGGCACAACTTACGGCAGCCATGGGCAAGGTGCTTGTCATTGTGCCTGCATGGTGATTAGAATCGAGGGTGTGTGACGATCGGTCAGACAGTCTGGCAACTGACTCTGGAAGTCTGTGTTTTCCTTGTCCTTGTCAGGATCGGAGTAGGGGACGACTGTGGGTGGGACAAAGGACCTGGTCAGCCGGTGATGCCTCATAGGGTCATGCAACACTCAACGTGATGAGGTGCGGAGCATTCCTTACTCAGGTCGTCGCGGCGCATGTCTTTCTTGGCTGCCATGGTGGTCTGGGAGCGTGGTACGGGAAGGTGGAGTGGTGTGCGGGCGATGTATGTGAGGCAGTCAGGAGATAACCGGCGAGAGATGCACGTGTGGTTTAGCGACGAGATTGGCGAAGACGGCGAGATGCGGATTGATTCCGGTGGGTGGTATGTGTGGTGCTGTGCTGTGGCAGAGTAGTGGAGGGATGCAAAGCAAGAGGACACGAGATTCCAGCCAGCCAGCCAAGAAGGGAAGGCGGAAGGGACGGGGCCGAGAGTCTGATATGGATTCACCACCACATGCAGCAGGCGAGGCGAAACGAGACGAGGAGCGTGGGAGCGAATGGTCAGCACAGGAGGCGGCCGGCTAATAATGTACCATAATATTCGTTGGCGACAGCTTATGCTGATTGCGATTGCTTTTGGACAAGATTCGCCGGAGCGACAATCTGAGGTGTGATCTTTAACCAATCTGCTGACTCGGGCACATTTGATGGGATGTGCGGGTGGGATTTGATGTGATTTGATGGAAAGCTGGAGCGGTCCAGCGCCGTGGGAGCATCGCCGAATTTGATTAAGGATGCAGGCAGTTTAACACGCGCCTTAACCCACCTCGCATCTTTCATCAGTCGCCGCCGTTGACATGCAAGATCAAATAATCCTCATCATCGCCGACGGCAAAACTGGCGGACGCTACGGAGGCGTGGACTCGTTGATGACGGATCGGGGGCAAACGGTGATCCATTACACATACGACGGCATCGCAGATTACGTGCCAGCCGAACTGATAGTAGTAATAATGGACCGCTACGCCGTGTAGTAGTAGTGATCAGTGAGAGAGGGATCCGACGGGTGGAAGGTAGAAGTGCGCAGGAAGGGGAACTGGGGCCAAGGCTTATCCTGTCCGATGGCACAATTGCATTCGTGGATTGCTGAGGGAGGTGACCTGATACACGGCGTCTCGGGCGAATCGCGTGCAGCGTCGGAGGTTGGGTGGTGTTGGCTCGTCTTGCGCCTGTATCCGTTAGATGCTGCTTCGGCTCCCGGCCCTGCTGCGAGGGTGCGCCTTTGTTCGACTCTGTCACCCACACGCCCCCGGTCCTCTCCTGTGCAGCCTTTCCCTCCCACTCCACTCTGTACACTGCATCTTCACTGACTGCTGCCACTACCGGACCACGAAATACAGTACATCTCCCCCCATGGCGACGAGATAGCAGCCCTCCCGCGCCTGAAGATGCTCCGGCACTGCGTGTGGTGTGCTCCCGTGCTATGGATATCCGATCAGGCCTGGGCAGCACACAGAGACCACCGCCTCCCCAGCGTGCCGTGAGCGGATCATACACTCTCCAGCATAGTCTTAAGAGGCCCCAATTACCCTCGCGCCTCAGCAATCTGCGCTCCGTGTCGCAGCCCGTCAACGTCGTGGATCTTACGGCAGATGGGGCCAAATCCACCGACGTCAGAAACTCGGCTGCCTTTCTGAACAATCAAGGCAGCGTCTACACCTCGCCCGATGTCATTAACTTGGACGACGATGAGAATGAGAGGCCTGCGAAAAGAGTAAAGACGAATGGGCATGCATTGGGGAAGGAACAGGCAAGGGACTCCTCTTCCGAGGTTGAGAAGGATGCCGCACATCAGACAACACCAGGCTCGCCTCTACCTCAACTGCGCAAGCCTACCGCCGCCGCGAACAAGCAGAATGTGCAACGAACGCGCAGGACAGTGGTGGACAGAACTGCTCGTCGGGCGAACGGACTTGAGCCACCACCCATGGCGACAAGGCTACCTCCGCCCAAGAATGTCGCCGACTTCTCACCCTGGAATGGACACCACCCGGAAGATATAATGAGTGAGACTGTCGTCAAGGCAGGATACTTTGACAAACCACCAGGTCCGAACTCGACCGAATGCAACTCTGCAAAGCCAACCATCTGGCCGAACCTGAGCCAAAAGAACAACATGGGTTTGCAGACACTGTCATATCTGTTTACGTCGGTCATGGAAAAGAGGCAAGCTATGGGCAAATGCACCGCGCCATCAACGTTCAAACCCCCACCACGAGTCACAGTCACCGATACGAAACGCGAGGCATGGCTGCGAGACCTTGCCAACTCGGGTGTGCCGCTACGCAAACAAAGCAGGACGATTCCTCATGGTGTCAGAGGCAAGTTGCTTATGGAACAGTGTCTGAGCAAGGACATTTCCATGCCTCGTGCGGTCTGGCTGGCCAAGTGCGTTGGAGCGAACGAGTTGCGTGCGTTTCGGCGGAAAGGTGTTAGTGGAGCTGCCGCAGCCAGTGGTGAGAGCAAGTGGGTGCGTGAATGGACGGTGCATGTTGAGCAGTTCCTCGAAGGTGTCATTGCAATGTGTGGTCAGACGGATTGGCAATCAAAGATGGACTATGCTGTCAAACTTGCGACCAGCTTCTACGCAGAAAAACTACTCGAAAGGGACCACTACCTGGATTGGATCGTTACATCATTTGCGCAGGCACCTATGGATCGACTCCCCATCTGGATTATCTTGGTGCAGCTATACTGGAGGGACATCATTGGCTTTGGAAAGCGAGGAAGGCAGCTCTCGACCGCTATCTTGGAGAATCTCCACCGAATTGGTACGGGCCAGGTCAGAACGTGCGAAACACTCAGAGATCGCTTGAAGAAGCTGCTTGTGGTCATGGCTGTCACCAACCGTGGATGTCTCGTTCTCCCACATACCTGGGAGAAGTACAAGCATCTTCTGGCCCCCAGACCTTTGGCCGATACTGATGCGAAATTGGATACACCTGCACAAAACATCACCAAACGAAACGAGAGACTCGGCGGGCCGCTCAACAAGACCCCCAAAAATACCTTCTGCGCACTTCTTGGCCTTTACGCCGTCTTGGATACTGTGGACTTCAGCGTTGAAGTCGAGAAGCTGACTGATGTTTGCCTGGCGAGAGTTGAAGACGTCGAGAAGCTGGTCCCTGCCTTGTTGAAATGGTCAGCTTCAGTCTATCGACAAGGCTCGAGTCGCGTCTACTTGTCGGCGAGGATTATCACGGAACTTCACGACCGAGGTCACAACACGGACGGCGCGGTCATGGAATACATCAAGACCGAAAGTACACAATCCATCGACATCAATAATGTGCACCGGGTCGTTGCAGATCTTGCTCGAGCAGGGTGCTTTTCCACTGGCCGCTACTTGAAGTGCCTCATTGGAAGTGGTGCTCTCACCAGAAGCGACAGTTCGAAGCTCTTGACTGGCCTCCTCACGTCGCTACCTCTTGAAGCGCTTCCCCCCCATCTTGCCAACACCCGACAGACACTCATGAGACGGCTTGGATACACGCAAGATGAAAACACCGCAATCAGTCGGTTGGTCGCAAACGTCGATCCCATCACAGGCATGATCTCCTCCTCAACTGACAAGCTCTTCGCTGGACTTGAGACTTTCAGTCAATCTGCCAAGCTTGAGTTTGCTCGACGAATATCCTCGTACGCAACGAGCTGGGCAAAGGAAGGCGCCATTAGCCTGAACTGTTTCTGCACTGTCCGAGATCTTCTTCAACGATGCGGCGACTTGCGAGCACTGGCGGATGTGACCCGAGCGGCCATGTCCACGGAAGATCTTACCTTGCTCGCTACTCTCGGCGACACTCTCAACATGCATGCAAACACGTTCGCGGCTATCGGATGCTTGCATAATCTGCTGGAACAAGTCCTCCAAAGGTATCGCATGCTGCGTTCGACCCAACCCCTCGATCGCTGCTCGGTGCTTGCCCTGTCCTCGCTGGTGAGACGCTTCTCGGATAGAGCGCTGTATGGACGACTTCTAGAGAGTGATCTGGCGATGTGCGATCAGCAGAACTCTATGGCTGTCTGCTCCCCGGCCTCGGACAACCTGGTGAACATGCACGCATCGAACTTGGACTCTGACGAAGACATTGATGCGGTCTTTGCTAGTGGCAATACCATGGACGAACAGCTCATGAAGCGAGTATTCGTGCGCATTGTGCAACGAGCGAGCAAACCCGGTCGACCAGACACTCGTTCGCCCAGCAAGGTGTGCCGCTGGCTGAATCAGTTAAGGGCTGTCGATGTTGGTGGCTTCCAACATTTGGCAATCACCCACGTCAAAGCCTGCTTGAAGGATAGCAGTCCCGACAATGCCTATGGCAAGGTCATCAGCGCGCTCATCGCCAGTGGATGCATACAGTTCGAGGCCGTCACCGAGATGGCGAAGGACATCAACCTCCCAAATGCGGCATCCGTGATCGTGCGCTTGGTGGTGTCCGAGAACATTGCGAACGACAATTTGCATGCTTGCGAAGCCTTTCGATACAAGACACAGCAAGCCCAATGTCGCATCGAATGCTCAGGTAGCATAATTCCATCTGTGGTCGGCTCTCTCGAAAACCCAAACTCCGAGTCAGACGATGAGGAGTTCAATGTGTTGGCTTTGCTCTATTCCATGAGCCACTATCAAGAGGCTCTGCAAGTTGCAACCAGTGCAACACACTTCCCAACCTACTTGGCGAATTGCGCTCGAGTGGTTAAGAGGATGCTCAACTTGACGCAAAACAAATCAAGCGGGCCCCCATCAGCACGAGACATCATCTCACTCGCGGATCCTCTGTCGGTGGTGTACTGCGCAGCAGCTCTGGCATTCTATTCCAAGGTACCAGCTTTCATAGAGGCTGAAGGCGATAGTGGAATTCGCGAGGCTCTGCTAGAAGCTCTTGCTAATGGATGCGAGGTCTGGCCGCAACTTCTTGGAAGTGCAGGACAAGCTACGGTTCAAAGCATATATCAATGGGCTCGAGAGCGGGTGATTAGCAGTGTCCTTGCCAGTGGTGGACCACCAAATACCGAAGACAACGATGCGGCTCAATGCCTGGATATCCTCGACGTTGCACATCATGCCGCTGAGGACGAGGATACAGCTGCTGTCATGGGAACGGTAACTGACAAACTCAGGGTGCTCGAAAACCAGCTCCTCGCATTGGAGAACGCCAGCGACAACGACTCATTCAAGCAGCTACTCAGCTCACTGCAGATACTGCTCCATCTCGCCGTGCTCTACTCTGCGAGCTCAGGTCCTGTCACCGATTCTCTGCAGCAGAGTCGGTGCAACTTGCTGGCTGGACTGTGCGCATTGCTTGTCCAGCCCAAGCTCCAGAGTCAACGCGAGACGCTCGAATACATTTTCGACGTAGCCTCTGCACTGGCTGACAAAGTACCAGAGGCCGGACTGCAAATGCTGGCAAAGGCGAACGCAACAATGGCCAAAGACCCTCGCCTGGCGTGCATCCTCGGCCATAGCCCGGCACCAGACGGCTGGCTAGCACTCGTCTCTCACCCTCAACCGCAAGGCTCACAACAGCAGCGAGCGTTGATGAAGCAGGCTGGTGGCAGCCAGCAACAGGCAAGTCAAGGGCGGCCATCCGTTCCGGCGTCACCACTGCAAGGATCGAATCTGTTTGGCAAAGCTCCAATCGGACGACCAACGGGCGAGACGAAGACTGTTCCTTTCCCACTCCGACGATGGGAGATTATGAGCGATGCGACACCGGCTGTGGGCGACAATGACACGAGTTTGAGCTTGACGTTGTTCGGGGCGAGGAAGGTGTGAGCCGTTATTACTATGACTTTTCTTTGTTGGATCAATGACGGCGTTACTATGGTGTTCAAAACGGACCGGGGCGGTGAATGGGAGATACACATGAGATGGGCATGGGCTTTGCATTGGGTACCCTATTGACGTGGTTTGATGCGTTCTAGCGGAGTGTCATGGGATGAATTGGATATGGGAGTGGCAAACACAATGCATGGCGTTTGAGGTGCGAAAAGGCATATGGTATTGCTACTGATGGTGGCGGGATGAGAGATGAATGTGGTGTGGTGATGTGGTGTATCGGTATTCGAATGAGATGAAGAGATGTCCGGAAGACGAGGTGATGTCCATTTTTCAGATCATTCTTTCTCTTGTCCTCTCAACGATATTGAAAACGTGGCAGATGATGCGATGGTTCGATCCCACAATCCCATGATAATCTCATCAAGCAATAACCCGCCGAACCAAGCCCGCCTCGTCGCTGTCCGCGCACGAGGACATGAGATCATGACGCCCCCAAACTTCTTGGGGGATTCCGGCACCGCGGCTCCACCTGACCGTCTGAGAGGGGAAATGCTTCCTGTCCATCATCCAAACCTCACGCTTGGCACCGTTACAGTTACATCCTGCCTCTCTCTTTTGTGGTTTTAGCCTGTTGTGAAACTGCCGCTCTTCATACCGCGTCGGTGGCCTTTTTGAGAGATGTATCCTTGATGAAATCGTCGTATTTTGGATTAGAGGGAAAGATTGAAGTGTTTGTGTTTGTGAATGGCATTCCGGCCCGACTTCGTTTGCTAAGAAGTCCCAAGACGTTTCGCGTGTCTGGCGGTCTTCACTAAGGTGGTGGTTTGAGGGTGTTTGACACATGCATGGAATAAGGGGACTCGTGACTGCCGATTCGACATAATAGCCGCCCGCTCTAGGCTCTTGTACTTCTTTCCAAGTTGCACGACAGACACCAGGCACATCATCGAACATCGACAGAGACAGAGACAGAACAACACTCACAGAACAGCATGTTTCGCACATTACTTATGGCGGCCACGGCGGTGTCGGCGACGAACCTCTTCGTGGCGGATTACAGCGGCAATATCACGACGCTGAACCTTAGCGAGCAGAATGGCTCATACACTTTGGAGAAGACTCACGAAAACGACGGCTGTGCGCCGAACCCTTCCTGGCTCACCATCGACGCCGGCCGCGGTCTGCTGTATTGCATGAACGAAGGCCTGGCGGAAAACTCCAACGGCTCACTGGCATCCTTCATCATCAGCACCGACGGCAGTCTCAAGACCGTGCAGAACACCACCACTCCCAGCGGACCGGTCAGCGGCATCATCTACGGCGAACCGGCGGGTCAGCGGGGGATTGCGCTGGCACATTATGGAGGCAGTGCGGTTAGCACGTGGAAGTTGGAGAACAATGGCAGTTTCACCGAGAATGAGGAGTTCTTCTACTATCTCGACCAGCCGGGCCCTGTTGCCGATCGACAGGATGCGCCGCATGAGCATGAGGCGATTACAGATCCCACGGGCCAGTATATCCTCGTGCCGGACTTGGGCGCGGATGTCGTGAGAGTGTTTTCTTGGGAGCAGGAGAGTTTGGCGTTGAAGACACTCGAGTCGCTCAAAGCCGCTGCTGGTTCAGGCCCTCGCCACGCGGCGTTCTATACGCCATCTGGATTGCCTGGGAGTACGACGTATTTCTACCTCGTGGCCGAACTCGCCAGCACCGTGACTTCGTATGCGGTGACATACCTCCCGGACAACAAGGGCTTGAGCTTCAAGGAACTCAGCAGCCAACCCACCACAGGCCCCTACACCCTCCACCGCACCAACGCCCCCGCCGAAATCCACATCTCCCCCGACAACCGCTTCGTCGTCATCTCCAACCGCAACGACTCCTCCTTCTCCCTCCCGCAATCCAACGGCACCATCATCGAGTCCGACTCCCTCTCCACCTTCGCCCTGAGTCCCGACAGCGGAGAACTCACCTTCCATCAACTCTGGGCCGCAGGGGGATCTTTCCCACGACATTTCTCGATTTCCGCGACGGGGAATCTTGTGGCGGTGGGGCTGCAGAATGATCAGAGTGTTGTCGTGCTGGAGAGGGATGTGGTGAGTGGGTTGATTGGCGAGCCGGTGGGGAGGGTGAATGTTGGGGGCAATGTTACGGCTGTGGTGTGGGATCAGGAGAGGGCGCTGGGTGGGCTTGGGGATTAGGGATTTCTAAGTCTTCTCGACGAGCAGATGATTTTGACACTGAAGGACGGGCTTGGGGTGTGAGTTTGACGGAAGTTTGTACACGAGCGCGCAGCATGCGAAAGTATAGATATGGCATAGCGTAGCAACACCCAATCCTTCCCATCCCCATCCTCATCCTCATCTAAACAAACCCATCCCCCCTCCCCTCCCTCACCACCTTACTACTCCTAAAAACACCCCCCTTCGCCGTCCGTCCCCCCATCCTCACAACCCCACTCAAAATCTGCACGCCCGCCACAACCCCATCCACAACCTCCACCCCTCTCCCACTTACAGCCTCCTCGAGCGCCTCCTTCATCCCGCTCATCCCCGCGCACCCCAACAATAAAACCTCCGCACCCTGCGCGATGAGTTCCTCCGCCGCGGAGCGCATTTTCGCCATCACGACCTCCCGAGGCAGGCGCTCGAGATCGAGAACGCCGAGGTCGACGCTGCTGATGCCCGCGCAGGACGTGTCGTGCGCGAGGTGCAGGGCGTGGTTTCCTTTACTCCTTTGACTCGTGGCGATGAGGCCGTACCGCGCCCCTAGCGTCGACGCGAAGAGGATAGACGCTTGCATGATGCCCATGACGGGGATTTCTAGTTCCTCCCGGAGGAGTTTTATCAGCGGGTGTTCGGAGTAGCATGCTACCAGGATGCCGTCGTAGGAGGGGAGGTTCGGGTCCGCGAGGAGGGTGCGGGCGCAGGCGGAGGCGGAGAAGATGGCGTCGAAGGAGGATTCTATTGCGCTTGGGGAGAGTTTTGCCGGGGCGGTGAAGGGGGTTAGGTGGACGTCGGGGGGGAGGGTGGGTTGGGCTGTTGTGAGGCAGGTGGTGGTCATGCTGGGGGTGGAGTTGGGGTTTAGGAGGAGGATGTTGACTTTCTTCTTTGGGGTTCCTTCGTTCGTAATCGCGGTGGGGTCTCCATTTGTCGTCGTCGTCCCGTTCGTACTCCTCGTCGTCGTTCCCCCTCCCAGCCTCGGCGGCTCCACAACCCCCGTCTGTCCCACAATCCGCCCATAATGCTCCACCCGCCTATGCCTCGCAAAATCAAACGTCCTCGTCTTCCCCTGCCGACAAGCATCCAGATCAATCTCCGCGAAAACAACCTCATCACCTTTCGTCTTCGCCTCCGCGAGAATCTTCCCCTCCGGATCGATAATACAGCTCCCCCCAATGAGGTTGTACTTATCATCATCCATCCCACACCTCGCAGCACAGACGGAAAAGGTGGCGTTCATGTAGCTGTTCGATTGCATGGTTAACTTGTGGTGGAAGAGGGCGTCGGCTTCGGCTGCTTCGGGGGTCTGGGAGACATCCGCGCCCCAGAGGTGAGGTGCGAATCCGGCTGTGTTGTATCCGCACAACACGACTTCGACGCCTTGCAGGCCGAGACACCGCCAGGCTTCGGGCCAGCGACGGTCGTTGCAGATCATCATGCCGAAGATGGGTTCGCTGTTGGAGGCGAGCTTGGGCACGCGGAAGGCGTTGAAGCCGAGGTTTCCGGGGAGGAAGTAGCGTTTTTCGAGCTGGAATGGATGTGTTAGAGAGGGTTATATGATGGTGATGGGAGAGGTGATATGGCTTACTTGATTCACGGCGTTGGGGTCTTTGAAAGGTTCAAAGTCGCCGGGTAGGTGGATCTTGCGGTATTTGGAGAGGATGGAGCCGGTTTTGGAGTGGTAGTAGATGCTGGTGTTGAAGTGTTGGCCATCTTCTGTTGCTTCGCCGAGGCCTGGTAATGATCATTAGACTTGTGGTTTCAAGAGAGATATTGGTAAAAAGATCCTGGAGTGGAAGCTGATCTTGTATGTTTGCACGACAACCAGGCAACGAAGGCACGAACGACAGTCGTCTTTCTGAAGTGAAATGAGAAACAAGATGACTTGTCCACATACCTACGGAAATGTCAACCCCCAGCTCCCTCGCCTTATCAAACAGCGGCTTGGTATTAGGAGCGGTAGCCACATCGCCATGTTCAAAGAAAGATTGCAATTCCGCCTCATCTTCGATCAAGTACCGGGGAAAGAAAGTCGTAAACGTTGTCTCAGGAAATAGTACAACTTCAGCACCTTGTGAAGCTGCATCTCCGAGCAACTGCAGCAGTCGACTCAATGTCTCTTCTCGGGGTGACGTCCGGTGTACAGTACCGACTTGGGCTGCTGCAATTTTGATCTTTCGTGGCATGATTGTGCTAATGGAGTCTCGATCGTGACAGCCTGGCTTAGGAGGTTTGAAGCTGTGCTTAGGCTAATGTTGTTCGACCCTGGATCCTGGCGAAAGGAGCTTGATAATGCTTATCGAAGGTGTTGGGTGGCGATTGGGAAGAACGAAAGAAAGTCTCGTGTTGTGGATGATCTGAAAGCAAGGAAACCTCAAGCCAAGAGGAAAGATTGCGTGGTTACCTGCTTGATTGGGACTTGTGTTTTCACATGAAGCTCAATCATGATGCAGAGGTGGGGTCTTGGTGTTCGGCCAACATACGTCTTCGCCGGGCCGGTAGAGTCGGCCGGCGGCGTATCTCATGCATGATAACGAGGTGGATTGGCGTCAGGGTGCAGCGAAGCCGGCGCAGGGCGTGCTCGCACAAGTGACAGGATCAAGTCAGGTCTTGTGTCGGTGTTTGAATGCAACGTCGAGACTGGGGTGAGGTGGTAATAAGATATACCGAGACGAGGTGTGGCGCCTGCTAGCCATTCCCATTATCAATCCCGCCAGTTTGGCTCAGGTAACCAACGCGGAGAGGCCGGCGGTGATTGGTTGTTGCTACAAGATCGTCTGCCATCTGCACCGCATGGCAGTGGACCCGCACGTGGTATCTTATCAATGCATTTCCTCAATCTTTGGGGCGGCGACGACGACGGGGTCGACGGGGTCAGGCTGCATCGAGTCAAGGCGCACGCCAAAGTGCTGACGGCCTCGGAGGAGGTATGCTTGCGAATGGAAGTGGTAGTGGTGAGGAGGAGGAGAATAAAAGTTACGGCGGCGATGGCTGACTGCATATCTTCGGTAGAGTCAGTCGGCCAGGTACTGCGCTACACTACGCTACCACATCCTCCTCCTCCTCCTCTCCTTCCTCTCGTTGCATCTGCTTGTCCGTTGGCGCGTAGGCATGCCGCAACTGGAGCTGTCATTGTGAGCTTCGCGGTAGTTCGATTGCCGGTGCGTATCAGTGCAGCGCTTGGTGCGGTGCTCGTCAATGCCGCTATCGGCACCGCGCCAGGTGGAGTCGCGTCCATTCACTCACGCTCGCAGCTGCTCGGATAGGCCAGACAGCCTCCTTCGTCCCCTCCCGACTTCCCAATTGCACGCAATCCATGCACTAGTCCTCGCGAACTGCGGGTCTTTGGGGGCGCGAGTTCCCCCGCCAAGCCGACTGCCCTCATCGCCCTCATAACCACCACCATGGCCCTCCCGTCCCACCACTCCTACCCTCCTCCGCCGCCGCTGAACAACCACCACGCGCCTATCCATATGCCGTCCTTTCAGCAGCAGCAAAGCGCCACCCCAGCTCCTGCCGGGGGTGACTCCGCAACCGACCGCGCCAGAGCATACAAGTCACGCAACAAGAGGCCATGCGACTTTTGTCGTTACAAGAAAGCCGCCTGCCACTTGGAGAGTGCGCCTCCCTGCGAGTTGTGCATTCGCTACAACAAGGAGTGTACGTTTGTGGAATCGCCCGCGAAGCGCAGAAGACCCAACGAGCAGAACGGAGACGTACACAAAGATGGGGTCTTCAAGCATTCAAGCAGCAACAGTGTGGATGCCACTCCATTCGGAAACGGCGGCATGGGAAGTATGGACATGCAGCAGGATATCATGCCCTGGGAGAGCAACATGACTCCGTTTCAGATGCCCAGCATGTCTCTCCAAGGCAGCATGGCTCCAGACTTTCCGTTCGATCCCCAGCTGTACCAAGAACCGGTCCATTTCGACACCTTCGAGCCTATGTCTGCTTCTACGACCGGCAATGCGTTCCCCGAATTTCACCACAACAATCACAATCGATCGTCCATAGACACGACATCTCCACAATCGCAAGACGCAGTCCTTCCCACGAACCTGCAGCTACCTTTCGATTCGACCAGCGGCGAGCCATCTCTGGATCGCCAAAACTCCTCCAACGCGCAAATGGTTGGGTTGAGTGGAGAGTCAGACCCATACCTACTTTCCAAGTACCGATTCGACGAATACAACGAAGCTTCTTTCCAGTCAATACGCATGCGCAAGATGAGCAGTGGTCCAGCCGACAACGACAGCAGTATTCCAACCTTTTTCATGATCCAGCACAACGCCTTGGCCTCGAAAGCGCAGCCGCTGGACAGATCTGAGACGAGCGAAAGATGGCGACGAGAACTCGAGGACATCGTGGGCGATGACATAGGGAAGCGTCTCATTCGATTGTTCTACAAGTATGTACAGCCATACTTCCCGATTCTGAGTCGCGAAGGTGGTGAAAGAGATGTAACTGGGGTCAAAGAGCCTCGAGAGGTGCCGCCGTGCGTCTTGGCTGCGATATACGGTCACGCTCTGCCCTTTTGTGCTTGGGATGAGAAGCTGTGTGTGGAAGTGTACACTCCACCGTCCGCGGATGCTCTCTTCAAGATTGCGTGGCAGTCGTGTCAATCGCTGCTTCACACACCAAATATCGCGGTGATGCAGACTTTACTGCTCCTCGTGCAGCGGCGACCAACCAACAGGCATGTGAGCGACACTCCATTCAAATGGGTCATGATGACCACGGCAGTCAGCATTGCGCAAGCGCTAGGTCTTAACCGAGATCCTACAGATTGGCCGATTCCTTCGTGGGAGATCAAGCAGCGCAAGCGACTCGCCTGGGCGACGTTCATTCAGGACAAGTGGTTGGCTCTCAACTTTGGACGAAGCAGTCACATTCAGGCAGATGACTGGGATGTACCGCCATTGACTGAAGAAGACTTCCCTGAGGCAGACCGCAAGGTTGATGACTTTGGGGAAGGCAAGGCCGATTTTACTGCACACCACTTCATCAAGCTGTGTGAGCTTACAGTAATTGTGGATGATATCTTGAAAGATCTCTTCAGCCTCAGGGCCACGCGGCAGCTGCACGCCAGTCTGGAGGCGACGCTTGAAGTTGCAAAGCCGTTGCGAATTCGGCTGACCGAGTGGTATCAGATGCTACCAACCGGACTGCTTCCAAATCAGCCCAACGGTACATCCTCCATTGGCTCGCCTGATAGCGGTCGACGAAGGTCGATGCAGCTTGAACTAGACGGAGGTGGCTCCCTGCAACTCGCATACATAACCGCCAAGATCGAACTTTTCCGCGCAATGCTGAGGCCTAGGGTCACGGATGCCAATGCTGCGGCTGTCACTGCGTTGCGGACTGGTGCACTAGCTGTCGCTAAGGAGATTTCAGAGTTCTTGGAAAGCTTGAACGCACGAGAGTTGGAGGCCTTCTGGGCCAGCTGTAAGTCGATGCTACATGTTGCATTGCAACGAAATACTTACCCCGCTTTCCAGATTCCCGCACCAACTTCACGATCGCATCGTCCTTCATGCTCCAACTCTTCGTCACCTCGCCGATGGTGACCGATGCGAAAGAGTGCCTCGCCCTGCTCAACGCCTGGCGAAGTCTACTCAGAATCAAGAGCCGAAGCTGCGACCTACTGAACCTTGCCTTGCTTCGTCTGGACGCTGTGTTCGTTTCTGGCATACAGAGTCTGATAGAGTTGAGTCCTGCGGCGCAGCAGGCTTGTGCGGAAGCTGGGCAGGTGAAGTGAAGAGGATTTGGGGATTGACGAGGTTATGAGAGCTGATGGTCTTATGAATGATGAAGTGGCAGAAGGAGTACCTTTCTTGTAGATAGAGATTGTGTACAGACGAAAAATAATATATCGAATGAAGTACCATTAAAGCCCGTGTCTTCCCACGTGCTGCTTACATAACAAGATTTCTCGGAGATCGACCTCACCTTTAAAAAAGTTGGGTGAGTGCAACATCGTTCGATCCCAAATACAACACCGCATTCGCTCGCTACATATTGAAGGCAACGCTCCCTAGAGAAGCTTGGAATTACGATTGGCTTTGCGAAATTCCACCACAATGGCCCAAGACTCAGCCGTCATCGCCATTGTGTTCTGCAAGCAGGACCGACACCGCTCTCCAGAAGCCTGGCAAGAAATCGCAGGCCACATCCAACAACAATTCGCCGGACCCAACACTTCAGAGTCAACACAAAACTCACAAATACAATTCCTGGATCAACAAGACAAAAACGCCACCACCGGCCGCGTCGCCGAAATGTCCATCCCCATCTCCAAACCCTCCACTCTACAAGACTGCAAAACCCAAATCCAATCCCTGCACTCCTTCGAACTCCGACACAACATCGAAATCATTGCCCAACCCTCAAACCTTTACCATGCCCACAAACACCCCGGCCTCGCCATCTTCGACATGGACTCCACCCTGATCCAACAAGAAGTCATCGACGAACTGGCCCGCGCCGTCGGCTGCTACGACCAGGTCTCCGCCATCACCGAAGCGGCCATGCGCGGCGAGGAGCCCTACACGGATTTCGAAGCGAGTTTGCGGGCGCGGGTGGCGTTGTTGAAGGGCGTGCCGATGACGATATGGGAGGATTTGAAGACGAAAGGGATTATTACGTTTACGCCGGGGGCGGGGGAGTTGTTGCGTGTTTTGAGGGGGTTGGGATGGAAGAGTGCGGTGCTTAGTGGTGGCTTCATCAATCTCGCGGAATGGGTGGAAGAAACTCTTGGACTGGATTATGCGTTTGCGAATCATCTCGTTGCCGATGAGATGGCGGGTGTTCTTACGGGGGAGCTTGTGCCGGGCAAGCCGATTATTCATGGGGAGAAGAAAAGGGAGTTGCTTTTGGATTTGGCGAAGAAGGAAGGTATCGAGAGGGAGAGAGTTGTGGCCGTGGGCGATGGTAGTAATGATCTGCCGATGATGGGGGTTGCGGGGTTGGGCGTGGCGTTCAATGCGAAGCCGAAGGTGCAGGTGGCGGCGCCGGTGAGGTTGAATTCGGGGAGTTTGAAGGATGTGCTGTATGTGCTTGGGTACAGTGAAGGGGAGATTCGGAGTGTGTTGGAGGGTTGAGGTGGTGGTGGTGTTGAGGTGTTGTTGACGGTTATGAGAATGTGCATGGAGCGAGAAGTTGAGGAGTAGGTCTTCAACGACGTACGTTGGCTGGTGTGGCTGTGTGTTATTGTGCGGCTGTACAACAGCGAGAAAACGTCAGGAGGACTGATGAGCAGATCAACAGATCGAGAGTGAGGATGTAATTCGCTAGCCAGGCAACAATCCCTTAACATGAAAGGCGATTCGCATCACTTCGTCGCCTTTCGCTACATCCTCTTCGCCGACATTCGCTCCTTGCTTAACAACTACACCTTCCATCTACAAACGTCGAAGATCACCACAACGCACACAATGTCTCTCATCTCCAACGCCATCGCAGCCATCAAGAACCTCATCGATCCAGAAGTACCAACTTTGTGGCAGCGAATCCTCACAGCAATCAATACCAACCCCCTCGCGACCGTCTCATACGTTCTCGGCATCACGGCGTACTTCTTCCCTGCCATAGCGTGGATCCCCGCCGGTCTCACTCTCGGGTTCGGAGCTGCTGGTAAGACCTCCCAGACTGCCATTTTGGCTATCGAACCTCGTTAATGTACGTATTGGTTAGGTCTAGTGGCCTCTACGTTCCGGCCGATATTTCCCAGAGATTGGGTGTTCCACGCCGCACAGGGCGCCAGTGCTGGTGGTTGGGCCGGACGGGCTCTGAATAGAGTCGTGAGAGGAGGGATGGCTGTTGTGCGTGGGTTGGTGGGAGTTTGGCGGTTGATGAGAAGGGGGTGGGGAGGGGCGACGAAGGACACGTGATGATGGGAGTGCGGGACTTGGAGTGGTTGTGGTTCAGTCTTGGGCTACTTCATTTGAGTACTTCGATGCCGTACGGTGAAATAGGCTGAATCTTGACTCCGAGTAGTACCATTGGGATTGGAAGTGTCCTGGAACGAAGAGGGATGACGTTCTCTGTTTCAGTGCAAGTTGAAGTAATGATTTCTTGCCATCTTGTGAAGCTAGACAGAAGTGCTGCTTGCATTGACAGAATCAATCGTCATCTTGCATGTGACCCAAAGACCAAACGCACTAGTGCTTGCGAACGCCGCCTATGTTAACACTTCCGCTCACCAAGCTTCTTCGAGCTTCAATGTCGAACGCCTCGAAGATAAATAACACCAAAAGGACTGACGATGGACGATGTGCAGGGTGCATTCGAAGGCGCAGCTAAAGCGATCGGTGATGCGACTCAGCAAGCACAACAAGACTGCGAGGCCATTGCTGGCCATACCGCGGAGGCAGCTGGCGGAGCAGCCAAAGCACTCGATGAAGCTGGTCAACAGGCAGGACAAGATTGCGGAGCTGCCGCAGAGGCAGCTGGTCAGGCTCTTGGTGATGCAGGCCAACAAGCACAACAAGACTGTGACGCAGCAATCAAGGACGCTGAGGCTAAAGCGAAAGAAGTCGCGGAGCATACTCGTCAATTCTTGGAGAAAGCTGCTGGTGGCGTGGCCGAACAGGCTTCTGGAGCTTTCGACGAGATGAAGAACGCAGTCGGTAACTTGGTCGAGGGACTTCAAGACTTTCAATGGGATCAGATTCCGGCAGCTATCATCGACTACATCAAGGAGAACCCGAAGACGACCACACTCCAGCTAGTCTGTCTGCTTGTGGCTGTCTCTCCCAGTCTCGTCGCTACGCCTACTCTCTTCGCGCTGGGATTTGGAATTGAGGGACCCATTACCGGTATGTTCATGTCTCATCTCCCCATTTTTTAGAAAAAAGACTTACCGAAAGATACAGGCTGGCTGGCTGCCTCGTTCCAATCGGCCTTTGGAACGCCACTGGCCTTCTCAACGCTGCAGCGTGCTGCAATGGGTGGCTGGGGTGTGGGTGCCGTGGACGGTATCGTTCAAGCCAGTGCAGCCAGTGTTGCAGGAGTCGCGGAAGTGTCTGAGTGGCAGGACAAAGACGGTGGGGAGGACGAAGCAGAAGGCCAATCGGCTTGACGCGCAAAGGAGCTGGATGAGAATTTCTGTCCGTAGAAGTAGATGAAATGAACAGCAAGACCGAGCCTCATTGTAGCCTCAGGCTTCACTCAGCTTTGACACCTGCCGCCGATCGCAATTCGTTGGCGTTGCTGCAGCTGCAAGCCACCAGCGGCAGTGCTAGTTCTACCGCACAGCCCATATGAACCAAGGCATTTCTCATCTTTCCAAACCAACATCATCTTCTTCTTTTCGCGATGAGCGAGTGAAGGATAATGCGTCTTGTTAACATCCACACGCTCAAACTCCACGAGTTTGTCGAAGGCTCGATCCCGCCTTACGCTATCTTGTCGCACAGATGGACCGACGAAGAGCTGACGTTCAAGGAGCTTGCGAAGGACCGCGCCGACAAGGACAAGAAAGAATATCGAAAGCTGCTCGGTGCATGTCGGGTTTCTGCCCATTATGGTGTCGACTACGTCTGGATCGACACTTGCTGCATTGACAAGAGAAGCAGTGCCGAACTTTCGGAGTCGATCAACTCTATGTTTGCATGGTACCAGAAGGCGAAAGTGTGTCTGGCATATCTCGAGGACGTCCATGTTGGCCCGAATCTGGATGAGGAGTTCAGGGGGAGTGTTTGGTTTACGAGATCGTGGACTTTGCAAGAGCTGATTGCACCAAAATCTGTGCACTTCTATGACCATGACTGGGAGCATTTCAGCTCGAAAGACGGCGTCATCCCAACTCTCTTCCATATCACTGGGGTGGATCGAGATGTGCTGTCAGGTTCTTGCTCGGTACGTGAGTGTTCCGTTGGCGAGAGAATGTCCTGGGCCGCAGATCGCCACGCCACGAGATCTGAAGACGTCGCATACAGCCTGATGGGAATCTTCAATGTCAATATGCCACTATTGTACGGGGAAGGCCAGAGGGCATTCGAAAGATTACAAGAGGAGATCCTGCGGCGCAGTAGTGACACAACGATTCTGAGCTGGGGGCACGACAACGAAGAGATGCGCCTGCTCGCCAGATCCCCAGCTGACTTCAATGTTCTCAAGGGACAGGAGGCCTACTGCTCAAGGTCGGTGTGTCGACTAGGGATTTCTAATGTTGGTCTTGAGGTCCACGCAATCGTCGTGCGATTTGACCTCGAGACGTATGGCATCTTCATTGGGCAAGACGGCGACGACCAGACGCTCCACGTACTTCTCGTTCGAAAGATACAGTGGCAATACAGTTTCTACAGAGTTGGCGTTGCAAGGATACCGATCTCTTACACAGATTGGAGAAAGGATCGAATACTCATGCTCCTCTGGGCCAATGAAGACCAAGCAAGCGCAATCCGTCAGTGCGGCTTAAGCCCACATGTTGGACACGGTTTCCGCATTCAAGCATCACCTCGACTGCCAGTTGTACCGGGCAGTCTTCGAATTCGTCTCTCACTCTCCAACCGTCGAAAGTTCAACCCCGCCCATGTCAGTCCCTGCGCCTCAGGGTTTGTTTGGGACTTCGGCGATCCGATAGAGCCAGCGTATGCCACAATGACCTGCCACCCCAAAGCGATGCGAGACTTCTCAATCTACTTGACCTTCGACTTTGACGGCCGTCCTTGCTGTCTCGTGTTCCAAGACGCTCCATCCGACCCGTGGGAATGGTTTGGTACTATAGACAGATCCCCAGAGTTGCAATCTGATGAACGAACAAAGAACGAGCCAGATGTAATTTCTGTCCCGGACCCGGTTACCGGCACGACCGCATGGCTCTTCCGAAGCCATTCTACCAGAAACTGTACACAGGCACAAATCCCTGTGGCGATCACTGGCGTCGACAAGACCATATGGCTATGGTTCTGCCCCGGCGACTTGCTCGGCATGTTGGGAACTTGGACGTTTGGGCTGAATCTGACGGAACCACCACTTGTGGAGAACAATTATTCCTCGGGGCCCCTGCCTCAGGAAAGTCCCCGTTACAGCATTGTGATGGATGGAGAAGCTTGATTGAATAGTCAACTCAGGATTCCACCACCATAGGAGGATCCGCTGTAGAATTTCCCAAGCAGCGAAGCAAGTACGAAGAACGAGTCCATCAGAGCCTAATCTATGTGAAAGCAAAGTTGAGCGAGGCAGCATCACAGCATCACTGATCTAGCACCATCGAATGGTAGGCTGCCATAGGCTGCGGCGACATGAGCGGTTCCTGAGAAGCCTATATGACATGCCTGCGGTCTGCTGCTGTACGCCACAGAGCCGCTTGCTGTAGTACCACAACGCATTGAGCGGAGATCAAGGAGACACACTGAACGAAGACATCGTAATCACCTTCAAACCCCCTCCTTCGCCGGACCAACATTAACTGAAGTACGTGCTGGCGTGAGACGATCTGGAAGAAGCCCTTGGAGTGGACTTGTATCCTGCTTAGATCACAATCCCCTGCCGTAAAGCGCTGCAATACGATGGAATACGCTCTTTCCCCACCGAGGCATGTCGCACGGAAACGATGGGCGATCCCCATCTACCTGCCCCTTTGCAACCCTGACAACAAATCGGCAAGACCCCACCATCCAGGCCGTAACATATCATCAGCATAGTCAAGGATCTTTGATGGCACCACTTCAAGCGAGAACTTCTTCGGGCGACATATGAGGCTGCCATCCGGCGCCAACCCCTTTTGAGAAGGTACAGAAATACCTGGGCTTGATCGGCGTCGCGCAGCTCGGTTCCGTCCAGGCTGTTTAGACCCGATGTCAATATATTGAAGTACTAATATATATATAGTCGACGTTGTTGCCTTGAAGCTGTATAGCAAATTGCAACCAACAGCACCTTCACCTAAACAACAAGAAACCAAACGGTTCAAGCAACATATACCTCTCAATGGCGTTCAAGTTTCCTGTCTGGTCAGGCTTCAATTTCACGTCGACGCTGCATAGTTCTGTTCCGGCATCACTGAAGCCGGAGAATCAGACTCTGCCTGAGGGACTTGTCATCTGCATCACAGGCGCCAGTCGAGGCATCGGAGCTGAGATCGCAAAGATGTTTGCCGAAACAGGCGCAGCAGGCCTTGTTCTCACTGCACGAACGAGGGAAGCATTGAAAGACACGGCTGAAACCTGTTCTCGTCTTGCACGAAACAAGGCGCTGAAGATCTCCACTGTCGCGATGGTCGTCGACTCCGAGGAGGATGTCAAACGTCTCGCCAGCCACATCCACGATGAATTCAACGGCCGTCTCGACGTCCTGATCAACAACGCGGGCCTCGTCTCCACAGACCCCACCGCCTTCTCCAAAATCGAAGACATGAACCTCAGCCAAGTCCAAGACATCATGAACGTGAACTACACCGGGCGCTTCCTCACGACGAAGTACCTCCTCCCCATACTCAAAACCTCCACAGCGAAGACCATCGTCGACGTCTCCAGTATCGGCTCGCATTTCACCGGCGGGGGACCCGTGGCGTACAATATCTCTGCTTTGGCGGGGAATCGATTGACGGAGTGGATTGCGGATACGTATGGATCTGAGGGTGTGGTGTGTTATAGCGTGCACCCGGGCATGGTGGGGAATGCGAAGCCGCCGCCGGGGATGCCGGCGGAGGTGAATGACAAGTGTGGTGATGAGGCCGATTTGTGTGGGGCGTTTTTGGTGTGGTTGTTGAGGGAGAGGCCGGAGTGGTTGAGTGGGAGGTATTTGAGCGCGACGTGGGATGTGGAGGAGTTGGTGGCGAGGAGGGAGGAGATTTTTGGGAGGGATATGTTGAAGATGAGGATGGTTGTTTGAGAGAGTGAGTATTGAGGGGGAGGCGATGGGATGATCCTACTCACGAATTTGTACGACAGGGGAGTGGTTCGTGGGCATACACCATGCTTCTAGTTTTGCAACCCCCGGTTCTCTCAACCTTCCGTGGACATCAGATGCCACCCTCCGCAGCTTTGTTGCTCGCAACATCACCCTCTGGCATCATTCGGCTGCACAACAGGAAAACCCTCTTCACCATCTCGATTACTCCTCCAAACACCCCCATCTTCAAACCATTCCTCTTTCCAAATCTCAACCTTGGCCTTGACTTTCTCCAGGCACTCTTCCCCAGCCAGCCAAGCTGCCTTCCTGTGCGGAGCAGAGACGGCGATCAGGATACTCTCGTCGCCGATATCCACTCTTCCCAGTCGATGCGTCACTGCAATGCTCACGAGGGCGTGCTCTTGATGGATCTGGCGACATATGCTCTGTAACGTCTTCAAGGCGAGCGGGGCGTAGGTGGAGTATGAGAGGTGCGTGACGGTCTTTTGGTTGAAGGAGTCGCGAGTGCAACCTATGAGAGTTTGTTTACTTAGCTGTCTGTGATGCCGGAGTCAGCGCGAATGTAGGTGAGGAATGGAGAAAGCACTCACCAGCGAATAATACTACTGCGCCTGCTTTGGCGCTCTTGACTCTTGCCATCTGCTTTTGTGCATCGAGCGGATCGTATGTGAGCGAGACATAGGCGTCTTGCTCCTCGAGGCTCTTCTCGCCTTCGAAGTTGCGGACGTCCGGTCCATTCATAGCTTGCGACGCTACATTGTCAGCCATTCTGCATACAGACTGCATCAACAATAGTTTGCGGGACCGATTGCAGTGTCATGTAAGAAGGCAATGAGGATAACATTGGAGGGGCATCTCGGAGACCAGTCGCCTAAAGCTCGGCTAAACTCGAGAGCACATGACCGTCGGCAGGGGGAGCTGAAGCCAACGTGGTTCTGGATCTCGACGTTCGCTCTCACTCATCAACCACGTCCCGTACGTTTTCGCATGGCACATTGAAGTGGCTAGTGGAGCTAACGTGATCTTCACAGACTGACCCTCGCAATCGATACCACAGCTCTCGCCATCCCTTCTCGCCAGCGCCCACACTCGGCCTGAGCAAACGACCCGAAGCCTTGAGCGTTAACGATCATTGAACTTGGGAGCTGGCGCGAGAGCTATCATTTGTAACTGGGAGCAGGCGCATTGAGGCAAAGGAATACACTGGACTATTGTACAATATCTGCTGCGCGCTTTTTGGAGTCGAGGACAACGAGAAACTGTACGTATGAGCCATGTCTGAGATGTCATGAGGGATGGTGGAAGTTACGATACCTTGTCTGATACATCACTTGCTGAGACGATGAGACTGATTGTATGCTACTCAGACTGAACCTGCTTGACCTTGCTCGAGGCGTGTACATAACCCGAGAAACGCAGGACACTTACTCCTTCAGAAAGCAGTCTGCTCCTAGCAGTCCCACATTGACAATCATTAACATACCACTCTTCGCTCGTATAGTCGCAACGCAGCCGGACTCTGGCAACCATGTCTGGAGAAGACGACACTTTCGACATCGACATCTACGGCGATGACGGCCAAGAACCATCGGGGACACAACAAGAGTACGCTCCTGAAGATAGGCTCGAGTTTGATGATGATGACTTTGGATACGATGGTGCGAATGACGCGCAAGGTTCAGCACAGCACAATGACAACAGCAATGGACAGAACGGGCCGTCAGACCAGGCGCAACAAGACCAGGAGAAGAACGATTCCGCGGCCGGAGCTTCACAAGGCACGAAGCGAAAAGCTGAAGAGCAAGACTACGGCGACGAAGAATACCGCAGCAGGCAGCCCTCAGCATCCACTCTCTCACATCAACAACCTACCGACCCCTCCGCGACAGCCGCATTGAAAATTCACGACCTACATTGGTGGACCACTGAAGAAGATCTACGTGCATTCTGCGCGACGGCATCCGTGGAAGATCAGCTTCGCGATGTGATGTTTGGAGAGCACAAAATCAACGGCAAGTCTAGAGGAGAAGCATATCTTGAATTCAGTAATCCTGCAGCGGCGGATGCAGTCAAGAAGGCGATTGAGGTGCGATCACCTCCCAATGCAGAGAAAGGCGAAACCGAAGGCAAGAGAGCGAACTCGTTCCACGTTTACTTCTCACCGATCGGAAACCCTTTCAAAGGACGAGACAGCGGAGCGCAAACTAAGAAAGAATTCACACCATCACACGGAGGACGGGGAGGCGCATATAACAACTTCAACAACCGAGGCGGAGGATTCAGAGGCGGCGATCGTGGCAATTTCAACAATCGCGGAGGCGGATACAACAACAGAGGTGGATTCCAAGGTGGAATGAACCAGCAACAGGGAGGATGGAACGCTGGTGCAATGGGAGGTATGGGCGGTGGCTTCAACAACCCGATGATGAGTATGGGCAACATGGGCATGATGAACGGAATGAACATGGGCAATTATGGGAACATGGGTCGAGGAGGCATGATGAATCGTGGTGGATTTGGCGGCATGGGCGGAATGGGTATGGGTATGGGCGGTGGACGTGGAAACATGATGGGTGGTGGACGAGGCGGCTGGGGTGGAGGCTTTCAGCAAGGGGGGATGCAGGGCGGATATGGCGGAGGATTCAATGGAGGGATGGGAATGGGCAACAAGAGGATGAAGCCCGATGGATGATTTTGAACAGCAAAAGGCGTTATATGGGTGGCGGTGTCATGTGGGAGAGGCTGTATCGGAGTTACGGATGGCACAGACAGAACCAATGTCGAGGGGATATGCGCAGATTCCTGTACTGCTAGAATATGCTGATGAGAAGCTGTCCATCAGTGATCGCCTGGATTGACGACGGTGGCTGAAATGTACGGGAAGCTCTTCTCATCCACCTGCAGTAGCATCTTCTGGCCATGAATAAGCTCGCTACTTCATGCGTGCTGCTGTCGCCGAGCTCAGGCCGGAATTGGATCGTCGGGCAGCAGGAAGGTGATTGAAGGACGAATTGTTGTGTGTGACTGTATCTCACGTACATTTCGTAAACGATATCATCACCGAGGCCATCCGATCAATGCTGGAGCCATCTGTTGGAGGCGTTGTTTTTAGTACCTGACATTGAACTCTAAACCCGCATGCGTTGCCAAGGCGCATCCTTCGAGGCGTTTCAGGATCCTGGCAGGCGCAAGTGAAACCGAACGCCTCACCCCACCTCATTACTCGTCCGGAGGTGGCACGGCCAGGAGCGCACGTCGTCGCTAAGCATACGCAGAGAGTCAGACGCACAGAGTTTCCAGCTCCGCGACGTCGCCGACAGAAGTTGTTTGCTCGCGTGTCGTTGTTCTCCTTCACTCGCACCTCCATCCGGCCGCCCCTGTGACGTCGTCGCTGTAGAGACTGGCCTGCACGAGATTCACTTGACGCGCGGCTCACCCAGTGGTTCTTGCGGACATTTCGATAGGGCGGTTGGGCAGTTTGTGGCACACTGGACTGCACGCGTGAAACGACCATGGCGACAGGGTATCGCGAGGCCGACCGGCTGCGAGATGGTGTCGACTGGAGCGTGCCCCATCGCGCGCCGCCGCCTGTGCCTGTGCCTGGTCCTGTCTCTCCCACCACCCATCACCACCACGCATACTCGACCGTCGCTGAAGGACACCGCGGTGTTGAGGGCTATCTGCCGGACCAGACATTGAACAACGGAGGGGCGACTGCCACGCGAGAGAGAGGTCCGTTCGCAGGAGCTGGCGGTGACGAGGCGGCGTCTGTCGACAGTCGATCCCACACTGGCCGCCGCAGAGGGTCGAGCTTCAGCAGTCTTTTGAAGCGCTCCACCAGCAATTCGTCGCAGCAGAACAGCGCAAACGGTGTCTATACCGCTGACGCCAGCGCCCCTCCTCTTCCCAACACTCGCATCTCCCAGGCGCATGCAGACGCTGCCGCCAGGAAAGAACAGTCGCAACATAAACCTCGACAGGGCAGCAACAGTTCGACAACCTCGCGCAAGTCGTCATTCACCATGCTGCGGAAGTCGAGCAAGCTGAAGCAGCAGCAAGCTGAACAGGCCCGCCGCGAAGCATCACTTCCTCGAGAACCACCGCACCTGCCTTCACTAAACCCACTCCCTGGCATTGCCACCTTTGGAGGAGAAGATGCCCGGCCAGACAGCGTCGCCATCTTCAACAACGCCTACACTCATTCGCAACCCGCCACCAACTTCTCCCGCCCCTCCGCCATGGCGCCCTCGAGCAACATCAACAGCTCCTCCTCACCCGCCTACGCCGTTCGCGGCGCCAATGGCATGCCCCGCGACTCGACTTCACCACCCGATTCACGAGCCCCCAAAACCAATGGAGAGTATGTTGTGAACCCGAGCTACGACCGAACTGAGAGCATGACCAATCGAGGACGTTTTTCCTATGCCAGCACCACAGTCAATGTTAACGCGGTCAACAGTCCTCGTAGGGTGCGCAGAAGGAAGGATCCGACGCCATTCAAGTAAGCACATCTTTCATTCATCTTCAACGTCTTTCACTGACTCTCGACAGCGTCCTGGTCATTGGTGCCAAAAACAGTGGGAAGTCATCCTTCATCTCCTTCCTTCGACATTCACTCGCTTTGCCTTCTCACAAGAAGGGCTCGGACCACCAGCCAGAATCGCAAGTCGGTGGCAATCGATCGTCTTTCACATCACAATACCTCGAGACCGAAATCGACAGCGAGCGTATTGGCTTGACGCTGTGGGATTCCGCCGGTCTGGAAAAGAACGTCGTCGATTTGCAGCTGAGGGAGATGACCGCTTTTGTGGAAGCCAAATTCGAGGATACGTTCGTTGAGGAGCAGAAGGTGATGCGAAGTCCTGGCGTAAAAGACACTCATATCCACTGCGTCTTTCTCATTCTGGATCCTGTTCGTTTGGACACGACTATCAGTGCTTCTGCGGCCTTTCAGAAGAATGGCTCCCACACTGGCAGTCTGGACGATGATCTTGATTTGCAGGTCATGCGTGCGCTTTGGGGCAAGACGACTGTCATTCCAGTCATCTCAAAAGCTGACACACTAACGGTTGGCCACATGGCGTTCCTGAAGCGTGCTGTCTGGGAGGCGCTGCGAGTCGCCAAGCTGGATCCGCTAGAGGCCTTGGAGTTGGAAGATGACGGCGAAGACGAAGAGGAGGAAGAAGATGGCGAGGCCAATGGTGAAGAGGAGGACAGTGACGAGGGCGACGAACTTCCAGTCCCTAAGACCCGCCGAGCCCACAAGCGCCAGTCCTCCCTCTCAGCCATCGGCGGCGCACCCTCTGACGACGGCGAACCACCCTACCTCCCGATGTCCATCATCTCCCCCGACATTTACGACCTCCCTCCATATGCGCCCAAGTCCAAATCATCGAAACACGAGAAGATTGGCCGCCGCTTCCCCTGGGGCTTCGCAGACCCCTACGACGCCGACCATTGCGACTTCGGCCGTCTCCGCGATAGCATCTTCTCCGAATGGCGCAGCGAGTTGCGAGAACTAAGTCGCACGAAGTGGTACGAGAACTGGCGTACATCCCGTCTGAAGAACCTGCCCGGCGCGAGGCAGAGGATCAAGGGAGGCGTCACCCCGGTGGCGGCTGTGCCTCGAGAAGGTCGAATGGCGAGCCAAAGCAGCAGACAGTTCTCACCACCCACGGCGCCGAGCCAGAGCACATTAGGCGCGACCGGTTCGTCTGTGCCGCGGAGCGTGAGCACGACTAGCCATACGACTGCGGCGACGAGTTTGGCTGTTCGAGGTGCTTCGGGCGAGAAGAGGGAGTTTTCCGGTGGGAGCGTGCGGTATTAAGTGAAGAGGCCTTTCGATCGAACGGGACTAAGCGGAAATCGAGCATCGAGTACGATACGAACATCCCATGAAAGCATGGCGTAGAAGAAGAAGAAGAAGAGGAGAGGTGGAGTAATCAAATGAGATGAAACGAAGCAAGGAGAGAGCCGCGATACCACAGAAGAGCTTGGAATGTGGCTTCCTCGTCGACAACCTACCGAGTACTACTACACCGCCGAGTTTCCGAGTTTTTGGGTTTCGATTGAGACGGCAGACTTCTGACGAGGGGTGTACGTCTTGGTGATTATCCCGTGGTGGAGTGTGTTTTGTTTGTTTTTGTTTCTGCTTTTGTTGCTTTGCTTGCTTTTCCAAGTTGTAGATATACCCCCTGAACCGCCGACGAGAGCGTTTTTTTGCGAGAGGATGAGAGATAGAGTTTTTGTATGTACCTTTTTCGAAAACAACGCTTTGTACATCACACTCGCTGCTGTTTGGTGTTCCTTTTCGTAAGTGAGAGCCCTCACGAAAACGGGGAGAGTTGTGTAGGTAGGTTGAGGAGAGATGTATAATTCCACTCTCTAATCTCTGCTACTTGGCCATGCCATGTTCTTTTGATGTTCCTTCCTCTTCCCATGCGAATGCTGATATATACACATGCAATCTTTCTGAGCGGACTTTTTATTCCCCCTTCACCTCCCCATCCCTCATCCAAATCCCCAGCATCATCCCCTAATACTGACTCGCCGCCCCCTGACAAGCCTTCAACTGATCCAAATACCACCCACAAATCGTCAAACTGCCACTATTCTCATCCATGCACCTTCGGAAATCCTGCACTTGGTTCGCGCAGACCGAGGGAGCGCTTTGGTTCGTCATGGTGGAGTATTGCTGTTGTTCCGCTGGGGGTGCGGCTTCCGCTGGCGCTGCAGCGGACGAGCCACCGCCGAACCAGCCGCCGACGGCGTGGCCGATTGAGGAGCCGACTGCGACGCCGCTGTTCATAGATGTAGGTTAGATGAGGGGGTTGTGTTGGAGGGGGGTGGTGGGAGGGGAGGGGCTTACGCAGCGGTGCTGGCCATCTGACCGAAGAGACCTGGGCCTTGGCTTCCTGCGGCTGGAGGGGCTTGTTGCTGCGGAGGAGCTTGTTGTTGTTGCGGGTGGGCGGCGGTGGAGGCCTGGCGGGTTTGTTGCTGCTGGGGTGCTGGACGAGGCGGTGGTGCGGCGGCGACGGGGCGCCTGGGGGCTGGGGCTGGGCCGCGGGATTGGCGGGGCATAGTCACGTTGATGGGGTGGTGGTGGTGATGGCGAGGTTGGGTTCGGGTTTTGGTGGTGTTTGTGAAGCCGAGGAGAGAGATGTGAGGTGGATGGATGGTGATGGCGAAGAAAGCTCCGGAAGTTCGGTTTAGCTTGGGAGGTTTGGCTCGTGCTTATGGAGGGCATGTGATTGGTGGAGATGTTGCTCGAGTATGGAAGTCTATTTGAGCCGCTTGTTCTATTCTACATTGCTATGGGGTAGTCGATGTGAAGAAGATCAAGCGATCTCCAGCGCCTTTGCTCACGCATATCGACACCAGAGAGCTCATACAATTCATATCCCTTCGTCATGCTTCGACACTGACTGAGATGGCCAAAGGGGTTTGCCTTGGACGAAACATTCTTGAAACACATCTTGAACTCGAGTCCGCGAGCATTTGTCAAACTATCTACACGAGGGACCCTCGTCCAGCTGACTGACCATTGCTCCGGATGTCCGCGCCTACTCTAGCTGCAGCCCCTTGGCACAAACCAAGACAAGACCATGGTAAGAGATGGTATCGAACGCGGTCCTTCCTTCGTTCCGAGCCCGTCTGCCCAAAACAACACACTTTCCGACAACTGACACAAGAAACACGCGCAAGTACTCAACAATCGCCCTTCCTTTCGTTTCGCCGCTCAATGGAGTTGGATTGAAAAAAGTAGAAGCTTGCCGCTAACGCAATCGTGGGGATTTGAAGGTGGAATCATTTGATGAGTCTTGCGATCTGTAGTGATCTATGAGTTGCGCTCTCCGCTGGGCGCTCTGGCTTGCTTTGCAACTGTGATGACATTGAGGAAATGATCCGATGATGCTGCAGTCCGAAGTCATCTCTTGCTTGGCCTGTCCTTCCACAATCCAAATGATGGTGTAAAGGAGCCAGCGGTAGGACTGTCGAAATGCAATGCTGGGTATCGTATGGATGATCTCAAAGGATCGAGCACTTCGACTTCTTGACCTTGGTGGGAGGTCGGGGGCTGATGACGGCCCTACGCGATATGTTAGCCCTGCCCTTCTTCAGGCCATAGAGTATTCTTTACTTGATAGCTTCGTCAAACACGCTCTTCAGGTTCCGCTGGGTTAGAGCAGAACACTCCAGATATTTCACCGCCTTGATCTCCTTGGCCACCTGCACTGCTTGCTCGTACTGAATGGGCGCCATCTTCCTCTGTCGCAACTGCTCGCGCACTTCGGGGTCATCTCTGAGATCGAGCTTCGTGCCTACGAGGATGATCGGTACGCCAGGCGCGTGGTGCTCGATTTCGGGGTACCACTGTACATCGCCATTGTCAGCTACAAGCTCTTTGTCTATGCTTGCAGGATGTTTTACCTTGGCTTTGACGTTGTCGAACGACGATGGGCTCACGATCGAGAAGCAGATCAGAAAGACGTCGGTCTGCGGGTATGATAAGGGTCGCAGTCGGTCGTAGTCTTCTTGTCCGGCCGTATCCCACAACCCTAAGCTAATGGGCTTGTTGTCGACCATGACGCTCGCCGAGTAGTTGTCGAAGCTTGTTGTTCATCAGTTCAAGCTCAACATGCAAGGCCCTTCCTCCAATCGCTTACACTGTAGGAATGTATTCGCCCGGGAAGGCATTGGTGGTGTAGGATATCAGAAGACATGTCTGGTCTCGCGTCAGCCATCTCATCAAGACCGAAAAATGTCGCTGCTCTTACTTTGCCGACTGCACCATCGCCCGTAACCACGCACTGTACATCGCAATCAGTATCGCGCTCGTGGAGCCGGGTGGAAGCTCGCTGCGCACCTTCAAGCTCTGCGTCGCTGGTTGTGCCATGTTCCTTGCTCCTCTGCTCTGTTCTGCTCTGCTCGCTGCTGTCGCAATGTCCGCGCCCGAAACTCGCTCCTCACCAACCGCAATGGCCAAGCTGGACCCTCAAACGCCGCCTCTTACCTCACGTGTTGATGGCAGGGTTTCGGTGCTATACCGCCTGTTCGGGGTGGGCCGCGGCTGTTGGTATTGTGTCGCCACCGGGTCGGCGCAGGTCGCAGCGAAGGGTGCGGTGGGTGAAAGGGTGGGTGGTGGTGGTGGATAGCGTCGCGGTGGAATGCTGTGGTGTGTCTCGCCCGCCAGGCTTAGATGGAGGTGGTCCCTCGCCGCTCCAGACGGTTCACTTGGTGCCGGCGCTGCGTGATTGGAGGTGTGGACGATGTTGAGGCGGGCCGGGGCGCGTGGGAGACGGCGTGCCGAGATCCTTTCTCTCCGGGGCCGGTAGTGGCAGTTCAGGGTGCGTGTCGCACGGCAATGACAAAGACAACCAACAAGAATCGGCTCAATCAATTTGTCAGTGGAGGGTCAATGAAGTGAGGTCAGGGAGAAGTGGCCGGGCTGTGCGACCGCTGCAGCATTGATGAAGGTGCGGCAGGGAGCTTGGTGCGATAACTCAAAGGCCCATCCACATCCCTCCGCTTTGGTGTGGAGAGAGCACAGAGGATTGTGCGCGCTTAACTGACTGCACCTCGCAAAACTACCCTCTGTCCAATACCTACATCACTGCCACCCTATTCGTGGTTGTCATCTTCACACTCATACAGCAATCACTAGGCTCTGCAATGCGTGTGGCTGCTTCTGGCGCCTGTGGAAACCTTGGACCAGCGCTACACTCTGTCACAATGGGCTAAATTCTACGCTCCGTCAGTGAGCACATGAAGTGAGGCTGCAGAAGACGACACCATCGGTAGCTGTGGTGCGTGCGTAGTATGTGTCGAACACTTGAGATAGATATGTAGCACCTGGGGTCTTCGAGTTGTTTGTTTGAGTGAGTGTTCATCGAAATCTAACTTCTGAAAGTGCCAAGTTGAACTTTTGCTAATTGTTTCACAATAGATACAAAGTGGCCACATATTTCCGAATGCCAAAATCGAAGCGAACGACAACAGACAATACAGCGAAGTGATACATCAAGCTGTCTCTTCCTCTGTTGATCCCGGATTTGGTAGAACTCCGGGGCAGGTTGTTGGGTGTGAAGGTACGTACGAAAGACATTATGAAATTACTCAACGATGAGATTGAGAGGTCTGTGTATATCGGCATGGCTTACCTTTATTGGGTCCCTGCCAGCAGGGTGGTCCCAAATCGCGCAATGACTGCACGAAGCATCACGCCGCCCCAGGAGAGCGTTGGGCACTCAGGGATACCGAGCATACCTGATGGCTATATCGCTTGTCGATACGTCCCGTGACAGAGGTTCAGTATGAACTGGAATCACGTACGTGTCCGGACATAGTTCTTGAAGGAACTGACGGCAGCCCCACGCGCCTGGGTACTCCTGTGAATAGATCAGTTAGCCTTAGCCCGCGGAAGCAGTCGCAGAAAGCCTGATGCGGCTACGACGAAAAACTCACCGGAGCCTCACCACACGGCGGTACAATGTGATATCCTTTTTTCGACTTGTTGCCCAGTATCGTGACGATCTTGGAGTTGCTGAGGTCTATTTGGTCGTTGCGGGCGCAATATGCCAGGGCCGCCATGGGCTCACCACAGGACGCACCGCTTAGGTGTCCTGTCCCAAGGCTCTCGGGCTTGAGCCGAACGCGTGTGAGGGCATCGTGTATCGGCCCCGTGCGTAGCCGCGCCGGATTGAGGTGCGTGAATCGACTCCCCTGAGAATTGCCGTTCCTGAGATAGAGGTAAGGGCCTCCTTTGATAGATGAGGATATGTACGCCGTATCGCCCACCACGAGCGTCGTGGTCGCGCGAGGTTTTGCGTGGCTCTTCTTGCCCTGATCTTTTGTGGCATCGATGATGTCGTCGCGTGCGACTTGTGTGAGGTGGAGAACCTCTCTGTCGCTCCATTCGCTCAGTCCTGCAATGGTGGCGATGGATCCGTACAGGCTGTAGCCGGCAGGCTGGTGATCTGGCTCAATGAATGCTATCCCTAGATATCGTCCATACGCATTAGCGCGAGCCGTGCTCGAACAAGACTTGGGGGAGCGTGGATGCTGATCGGGGAAGGAACATACTAAGCTGACCGGGCTGGATAGCAAGTGACAGGCGGACCAAATGTTTGTACAAGAAGAACAGAGGAAGGATGATCAAAAGCATTTGCAGAGAACAGATTGTGTGGCACCAGGCCTAAGGATTGAGATGAAATGAAGCGACTGAAGAAAGACAAGTACTATTCTGAACTGGACTCGAGCAACGAAGTGCATATATGGTCGAGCTCATATATACCTGTAACGAAAGAACGACCTCGCTAACTCTTCCGCTTGTTGGCTGTCTCTGATTCTGAGATTGACTCTTTCTACAAGGAAGTCACTATACTGTTGGGCTCTTGAGACATGTTCCAAAGACAGCTCGCGGCCTCACTGCATTGTTGCGCTGAGTCCTGGGAATGAGACAAGTCTGGGACAAAAGAATGTTGACTAGGATCGAGTGGATCAATGTCGAGGAATTGCCTCGGACGCGTAATCACTGCAACGTGGAAGACGTCTTTCGCCCGGTGAACGAGGCTGCCAAGCGTGACTCATGGACGACGGCTTGTGCGCAGCCTTAGATGCCTCTCCAGTATTTCCTGATGCACGCTGTACAGATCGAAATCTTGGGACGATTCCTTTCCTCTCTTAGAAAGGCTATTCAACTCTCTAGAAAAACATCTTAGAGGTTCATCGGAGGAGCGTTTCACTGTCGTTTTGTTTCATTTAGTGATGAAGCTACAAGTTCTTAGCAGTGCCTCCTTCTAACAAGACGTTATGGCGCACGAATTCAGGTGGTAATCAGTAACAACGGCGAGGTCACAACGTTAATAGATGTCAATGCCAATTCAATGTTAATGCGTAAGTAGATGACCAACAACAAGTGAGATGGGGTCGATGTTTAGCAACACGATAGGGACGTCATCGTACCATCTGCGAGTACTATTCCGTCTCCTGAACATGCCAAGGAGGATATGAGCTTCGACAAGAGAGATCTGAGGGCAGCACGTCTGGAGTTTCTCGAGTCTCCAAGTTGCTCGAGGCAAATGGTCCTTCGCCAACCTATCGCGCAATGCCCAAATGCTAGCCACTACTACCAAAGACTAGCAGACCCGTTTGTATATTAGTGTGTCGAAGGGCTATCTATGAGGTGGTGCTCACGACTCTAAAGACGCGCGGTTCTCACCTCTCTTCGCTTCTAGGTGCTGACAGTGAGCACACATAAAGAAACTCTACATACCTACGACCTTTGAGAAGCTTGGCCATAGGTGGTAGTCTCTATACTGCTCGTTAACTCGTCGCCTGACTCGTCACCTTCGGCTGCAGCGACGGCTATCGTCTTGCCGGGTCACTGCAACGACATAGCCTGAAAGCACGGCCGCAATACCCAATCCGGTAACAACGGGACAAATGGCGCATTCGCGCCAACCCGAGACCGGCCAGCACCATTTTGTCGACGTTTCTTTGTTTTCCGGGCTTCAGGGTGCCTTCGAAGCTATAAGTGGATCGTCTAGAGCGCAAGTTCTACCGATAGTGACTATGGCAAGTCTTCTCTTTCATAAATGCAAGGCTGTGGGGTCTGAATGCCGATGACGTTACTTTCTTTAACATTCCAACATGTTGGACGCGAACGGACTGCAAGCGGAACTCCGGCTTTGTTAATGTGGCCACGCTTTTCGGTATGTGCAAGGCGAGTTCGTGGGGCATTCCTTGCTATTGTAAATCTTTGTCCTCGAGTCATTACTTGAAACGCCTTCGCTTCGACCTCTGCGACCTCGACACTTGAGCGCTACCACTTGTTCTTTGGGACCGTTTAGAACATCCACGATTGCTTTTTGCCGTCGATACACGTTATCATCGCCTTCGGCCACCTCGAGCGCCTCGCATCAAACAACAGGCTATCTTGAGCGCAAAATTCCCCTCGAATCAGTAAGCATCCCCTGAGATCCTCGTCGGAACGACTCAAGTCATAAAGGCTGACTGTTGTGAAGGGTGCCTTTCACATCCACACGTAGCCTGCTTGCCAATTGACAGGATCATGCCTACGCTCACGGACTTGCCAAGTGAGCTGCTGCTTCTTGTCTTCGCTTTGAGTCACGATATCCATGACGCAGTCAGCTTCTGCAGAGTGAACCGGCGCTTGCATGCCATTTGGCTGGAGAATGCCGACCACATCAGCAAAGCAGTACTTGAAGAGAGTATTCCGGCTTACGACGACGCCGTCGACCTCGCCAAAGTCGAAGCAAGGTATACTACACCGACAAACGAGTTATCCTCGGACCCAACCACGACAGAACTCGCTCCTCACCTCTGGCTACGTCTGCTCGTGAAGTATGCAGAGCTTGTCTCCCTGGCAGATATCCTCCTTACAAGGATGGAGAGAGAGTCGCCCAGAATAATGGAATGGCCGCCTTTTGAGATCCTCTCATTCCCTCCATCATACTACATGATTCGGAAGATTGTACTTTCTTACGACCACCCCGAACTACGACCTGCCCTAAACGCGACGTTAGAGCAAAGTTCTGCAGACAGAATCATGACGCATTTCAACCTCATCAATATCCTTTGCGAGTGGGCGGAATTTGAAGAGCAGCTCCCGCATGGGATCCCCAAGCGCAGAGAAGACTGGACATATGAAGACGCGTTTGATGACTATGCGCTACTTCCGCCTTGGGATTTTGCGTTTAGTGTCCTCTGTTTTGCAAAGATACTAAGGGAGGATCCCGACAACCCTGAGCACCGGAAGAATCCGTTGATAACCCCTCAAGAGTTCGGGTATCTGAGGTGATTCGCCCAGCCAAGCCGACGTATCTCTCGTTCAAAGCTAACAAGTCCTTCCTTCCAGACAAAATCACGGCCTGGGACCAGAGCCTGAGGATAGGGAGGAGCCAGTTTATAGTTGATCCAAGCAACATGGCAACCCGCGGAACGAGCCGTCCGGGCTCGGAAACTTCAGGAACGTCGAACATCTCACGACCGCGCTTGGCGCCACTGTTCCCAAGAGACTCGTGCATCTTCGATCGTACGAAACCGACCCCAGCCCCGTTTCCAACACGGACACCTCCATCCCGCGGGGCTGACGCGGTGCAACGGGCAGTGGAAACAACGACTCGACCTTCTTTCAAGTACGGCTTACGCTGCACCTGTTTTTCTTGTTACTTGCTGCTTGCTGCAGTCTCGCGTTGATTGCAGACGGACGGCTTCGGCGCCTGGCGAGGTCCGATTTTTGCGGCCCAACTTTTTTTTCCTCAACAGCCGCATCAGCGCGCACTCCCTTTCTCTTGCAGTTCTCAGACCGGCGGTTACATTGGTTTCTCTTCGAGCGTTGCGTGTGTTTCTAAGCCCGTTGTTTCGTGATTACTGTACTTGAGTCTAGTTCTTCTGTTCTTCTTCCACCCCGAAAGAGAATTCTTGCAGAAACATTCGGTCACGTTCTGGTCTCCCCACCCACCGAGACTCCCGCGTGCTGCTGCTGCTGATGCAGAGCACTGATCACCAAACACTGCATACATAAAAATCTCATCTCCGGCCCGACTGTGCAGTGCAGCTTGCAGGTCGAGTAGTGTGGGATATTGAGGTGGCGGACCAACAATTCGATTGAGGCCAGGAGTCCTATAAGAACGCTGCTCTCTGGACAAAGGAAGCGTGCCCAGACAACTCGGACATCGAGGATTCTTGGCGAGCCTCCCTATACCAGACGACACGAGCATATTCAAATGAGGGAAGGAACGCATTCGGGAACCATGACGCCTCCGACTTCGCACGACCCCGCAAACGGCTTCCTGCAACTGCCACCGGATATTCGCGACATGGCGTGCCAAATGGCGGCGAGGTTGGAACACCAAATGGACGTGATCGTATCGAGCGGACGACTAAGAGCGACCAACATCATACCGATCGGCAAGGAAATTCTGGACCTCAGTTCGCTCTGCTGTTGCATACAAAGAATGCTAGCCGGCGAAGTCCCGTGCAGCATCCCATCACACGAGGACCTGGACGAGCACGTCATGACTTGCATAGACCAAAATTGCTGCGGGTGTTGTTCGGTGCTGGCGCTGATGGACCTTGAAGGAGATGTGTTGCGGAGCTTTTCAGACGACGATGATGACGGGGTGATGCCGGTGGAGACGCAAAACGCAGCGCTGAGGATCGTGGTCCAGGAGGTGGAAAAGGCTGTGGCGGCCTTGAATGCGTTATTTCCCGAGGAAGGGAAACCATTTCCGGACATAGAGAGGCGTGGAAGCTTGGAATCGCCGAACAACAGGCAACTCAGTCAGAGACTTGGTGGATTGTTTGGGAGGGCGAGGAGGAAAAGCGCTCGTTCGCCAAGGAAGGCAAAGTCGGGCGATGTAGCGAGAATGCAGCTGTCCGGGACGTGGCAGGATCTACCGTGTTACGAGGAGCTTTGATGTGCGTGTAGATCTCGCATGCTGAGAACGAGGCTCATGTTCGGAACGAAATGCTACGTTTCATCCGTATCGAGAAAGTAGTTGTATCCCACGATACCCGTCCCGATCACAATGGGTACTCCAAGGATTAACTTCGCAGTAGTCCTAATCAGAGACCTATGCTCTTCAGATATGGTCTGCCCAGGCTGTCTGAGAGCTTCCATGCCTGGTCTCGTGGCGCTGAGCTCGGAAATCAAATGCCCAAGAGAAGGACCAGATAACGACACTTTGTGCTGGGCTCCGGCGAGGGTCGACTCATCTGGAGGTGGGCGACGCTTGGGCACCGTAGATCCGTGGCGAATATATGTTGTGTTCCGGTAGAAGACTGTTGGTCTAAACAATCGTGACGCCATGGCGGGAGTGTAACACAGCCAAGTGGCCGAGATATGTTTTGTGCCAGTCGATTAGACCGCAGAAGCAAGCGTGTTGTAGGGAGGGGAGCTTCACTATCTGTGTTCGTGAAGATGGAGATTTCATGCGTGTGGTTGCGAGTGGAAGAGGTTCAATTGGTGGAGTCGTTCACGTCACTGCTTCTGGTCCGTGCATGAAATTGCAACTCCCCTTTTCGGCTGGTCGTCAGAAAGCCACCACCATCAACAAAACAATTTCTTCGTCGTATCGATCAACGTGGAGACTCGCATCAGGCTGCAGATCCTCGCGGGAGCTCGTCAACGACGCGACGAAGCATTACCTTATCCTTCTCAGTGCCTCCGGCGATGCTCGCACAAGCTGCGCAGAAGTACATGCGCGAGCAGCCAAACATGCAGCCGCCTGCACAAAGGGTGCAAGGCACTGATGTGCGTGATATCAGTGGCTAATGTGAGGCTCGCAAGAGCTGTCTTGCGGCTGCAACGTAGGTCAAGTATGTCTGCTGTCCCTCATTAACAACAGCGCCCGCTCGAAACAGTGACACGGGCACGACACGACCATGGAGAGCACAGAGAAGCAGAAAAGCACGTCCAAAATGGATCATGTCCTGCAAAGTCTTGAGGTGCAGAAACAGGCCTACTTCGATACGATGCAGAAAGTTCATGATTTGCTCTCTAACAACCTGGCATCCAACTCTGAATCGCCCATTCGCCGCCCTCAAGGTCAACGAGCGGGTACTGGATCGAACACCCCAAAGGATCAGACAGCTCGTGCAGTGGCAGGTGAATTCAATCTAAATAAAACTTCTACTGGCCTTTCAGCCGGCGCTCCATCGCTGTTCTCCAAGGGCACAGGGGAAGAATCCGGTGACTAGCAAACTGACGACCAACTCTATGCTCAAGAGCCTCTTCCGCCTGCAAGCTATGATCAAGAAGGGTTACATCAGCATCTGATAAGTACGGCTTGGGATGAGTACGGCTGGGAGATTCTCAAAGACATCCTTGGCAACGGTGCGATCAATAATGCGTCTCACGGCAGAGAGCATACACTATTTCCCACCCAGAATGGGCCAGTTGAGGACCGCAGCCACCTCAGTGGACATCAGGTGTGGGATATTGGCTCGGATGGCGCACCTCTTGCGGTCGAAGCCTTTGGAATTGATAATGAGAGCTCCAAGGCAATGGCGATTTGGCATTGCATCAAAGACATCAATCCGCCATCGAAGGACAGAAAAGCTGTTGGACGTATCACAATCATGCGAGAACTGAGTCCAATACTATATGGCGCATTGCACTATACTCTCAGCAACACATTCGATATGGACGAGATCTTCAAGCAACTCATCGTCGCCGATGGTTCCACTGCAGACGTACACCGAGCGTTCGACCTCGATGCACGTAGGCAAAGCAGCAAGATCTTCATCTTTCAGTACTTTACCATCATTGGCGAAGACTGCAAGCCAATGCCCTGGCAGCTTTCATCGGGGGAGATTGACAATAATCCGAAGCATATTCGCATTACCCGATGTAATTCGGTTGTTGCTCTCGCTTTGACCGGAAAGCCCATCCGCAAGGTGCGTCCATCACAATGAGAAATTACACTGTCTGACATTGGTCAAGGTTCGCAATCCATCACGCCGTGCACAAAACCAGAACGAATACGGCAATATCTACGACCCTTGGTCGTCCTGGCACTTGCTGAACCTGCAGTGCTATCCGGACCTCAAGAGCAGCACTGATGTCCATGATACTCAGAAGCATTATGTCAATGGGCCTGAAGCCTTTTTGGTGACGCTCCTGGGCGAGTTCCGTGATGCACAAAGGCGTTTCGAGGATATCAATCGTGCAATCACGAAGCTCATTACCCCCTCTTCTTCCTTCATGTTCGATGGAAACTATCGTGACGACCTCCTGTTCGAGGATGAGAAGTTCACATACGTCCGACGATATTTCTGGGCCTATCAGACACTCGGTATAATGAACGAGAGCATTCGAACGATCGTGGACGAATTCGAACATAACTTCACCGATGAGCTCTGGGAAGGAAAGGACAAGACACTCTGGCCCATTGCTGATTCAGACAGTCCGCGCAGCATGTACTACAAGAAAAGGTGTGCTGCCGCCGATCCAAATGGAGAAGATCGAGCTGACATAGATACAGAATGGCCACGCTGCGACAGAAGTTTGAAACGCAGATGAAAGCTTTCCGCAAACTCATCAACGGCAACGAAGAACGACGTACTGAAATCAGAGGCCTTCGCGAAGAGCTTTATGTCGGCACCAGCGTCAAGGAAAGCCGCAAATCCGTCGAAGCGACTGAGACTACTGTTCAGCAAGGTCACAACATCAAGCTGCTGACCCTCGTCTCGATCTTCTTCCTGCCGTCTCAGTTCGTCACGTCCGTGTTTGGCATGACGAACATGCCACAAACGCCCAGCTACTGGACTTTCGGCGTTGTGCTGGCGGCCGTTTGCGTTCCATTCTTTATCCTTATCGGCTCTCTTAATACCAACAGGGGCATGACCTTCTGGAGAAATCGTTTCAGAAAGGCTTTCGTACGCATTATGAAACTCTTCTCGTTCCTAGGTAGATGTTTCAAGAAGAAGGACAAGTCAACTCCTGAGGGGGAAGAAGATGAGGAGAAAGATGAGTCGAGTCGACAACCCTCTCAACGTGAGCCACAACCGAATTCTAGGCGCAGCATGTTTGCTCGTTCGCCTAGGAGCCAGGATAGTGGATTGTCTATGGAAGATGGACAGCTGGAGTACTCGCCTCGTGTTGGGCGGACACCAACGTCCAAATTGGCAGAACTCCTTAAAGGGAAGCGTCGGCGGGCTTCGACGACGAGCACTGAGGTGTAGCGAAGAGTGCCGTCTTGAAAAGGAAATTGGCAAGGGAGAAGGTTCTGATGCCTTTGGTACCTTTTCGACTTGCTCATGTCTGTTATGCACTCTGCGACACTTCTAGAGATACTCCGTATCTATCGTCATTGATCGCCTGGTTGCCCTGTAGTCTTCCAAGTTCGGATGAGTATGCGGCTGCAGCGTTAATCAGCGCCCTGGACAGTCATCGCGTCACGATGTAGCTGGAAGCACGCGATGCACCTCAATCACGATACCTTCGAGTGGCGTCAAGTGGACTTGCGCTTCATCATCGTTCCTATCAGCACCATCACAGAGATTGGGAGCAGCTGCAAAAGTGCCCCCTGAAGCTTCTGGTGTGAGCAAGCTCGCGGCTTGTCAATTCGAGTGCGGCCATTGCAAGGTCAAGGTGCAGCCTTCTGAGCAGCCCAGTCTCTCGGTTCGAGACAGTTATTTGACTGGCAACTTATCATGCCCACCGAACAGTCGTCTTGTCTACCAGGTCAGGCTGACCGAGACCCGTTCAAGTGGAATCCTTCGTTGGAAATTTAGAAGTACGCGGCGCAAACTTAAATTCAGCTTCGGTTTCAACGTAGGCACGTCGTAGTGTGCTGTGCCGTTTGCTCTGTGTACGAAACAGAACCCTTAATGAGCGGACAACCGGAGCTGGCAGACACATCATCCGTGACTCTATTATCGACATCATGGTCAACGTTGAGCACTTGAGATGGGCAGGCTTCCGTGCCTTCATCAACGCCAGAATATACCTCACCCGCTCGTCATGGCTTTCGCCAGCCACGCAGCCCGACCGCATCAAGACCTATCCGTGCCGGCCCAACTTGTTCGCGGCACGCATGTTCTTGCCCTCAGGATATTCTCAGGACCATCCGCTACCTCTGGTCATCCGCGCCCATGGAGGAGGCTGGATTCTGAACAACCCAGCAACCGATGACCCCATGGCTCGCACCCTGGCCGACAGCGCCCACTGCATGGTCGTGAGTATAGATTACAGCAAGGCTCCTCAGTGCAAGTTTCCTTCTGCATACGAGGACGTCGTCGCGCAATGCCTCGCTGCTCTGGACGATGCAGAGTTGCCTATTGACCAAAGCAACGTTGTTCTTTGTGGTAGCTCCGCTGGTGGCAACCTCTTGCTTGGCGCGGCTCAGGACCCCCGTCTGCGAAACCGCATCCGTGGTGTGGCAGCTTTATGCCCTGTCGTCGACCTCTTCACCCCGAGTCAGGCGAAATTAGACACACGTCCAGATCCCACTGTGCCAGACTTCATCGGCGGTAGCTTTGACAAGATCGTAGACCTGTATCTAGACAGCAGCCGGAACGACTCTCTCCAGGACATACGCCTTAGTCCGTCCTGTCTTACAACTCGAGAGAGTCTGCCGCCCCGGGTCCTACTGATTGGTGCCGAACATGACATGTTCTGCCACGAAGCAGAGCAGATGGCTGACAAGCTTGCTTCTCTGTCGGGGGAGACCAAAGCCTCCAAGGGCTCTGGGTGGAAGACTCCAGGAGTGCAGTGGCACAAGATATTAGGCCAAAGGCACGCATTTGAGGGATTCCCGGAGAAAGATCCCAAGTTGGAGGACGCAAGACCCGCTGCAATTAAAGAATTGCATGTCGTACTATCTGAGTGGCTGTTAGCGACTTGGTCATGAATCTGCGTTGTTTTTCTTGCTTTGTCTGTGGATAAGCTGCGCTCCGTCGCACGAGTTGCTGGGCTTGACAGATGCACTTGACCTCAGACTTGTCACTTCCCGCTCAGGACCAACACAAATCGGCCGAGGGCATCGCCTTCTCGTACCAGAATCGATGGCGAGATCTTGGCATAGCTCTGGCATTTGTCGTGTTCAAGTTTTCGGTGGTATTGCTTGCTACTTGGTTCGTTTTTGAAGGGATGAAGCTACCACTAAGACGGCAACGGAGGTGTAGCGTGGAGCAGACCACCGATGCTCCAGCGAACGAACCAGCAGCTTCCATTTTCTCTCCTCCAGCGGAGCTCCAGATCGCGACTGGTGAAAGTTTTACGAAGCAGGTGTCCTGGGCGCTGATGCTAGAAACGGGCGGAGGAGAGGTTGGTCGAGAATAGTGCAGTAGTCGATTGATTTTACCAGCCGCAGTGATTCTTAGACACTAGATCGTTGCAAAACGCCTCGATATCGCATGTTGCCGCTTTCCAACTTCTCAAATGCTTCCTTCAGGCCCGTTGCATCCATGTCGAAGACCTCGACCCAGGGCTTGATCTGATGTCTGTCGGCAAACTCCAGCATCTTGATGTGATTCTCTCGCGAAGCCTCCGTCGAGGCTATCAACCGATGGCCAGGGAGAACGAACTGCATATAAGGCACTACCAGAGATTCCTGCTGAATCGTCATCAATACGACTGTTGCCCGTCTTGCAAGCAGCGGTAATACTGTTTCCAGCTTGGGGACAGCATTGGACGTGACCAGCAACACATCAATGTTCATTGAGTTTGGCTCGTCCACGGCGCCAAATCTTCGGTGTACGGATCCAATTCTGTCGGCATACCGAAATTCATCGGCTCCTAGCTTCCATGCATCAGGAATCTTTGTCATTGAGTTCGATATGACTGTCACACCACAAGCCATCGCTCTCGCAAAGAGCACGCCCATATGACCCAGGCCCCCGAGTCCCACGATGCCGACTCTGTCCCCAGCTTTCGTACCAGCTGCATCGAGAGCTTCGTAAACAGAAGCTCCAGCACACATCAGCGGCGCTGCGTGTACAGAGGAGATGCCGTTGGGGAGTTTGTACGCAAATTCCGCATCAATGATCCTGAAATCGCCAAAGGCGCCTTGGTCCAGGTCTGAGAATGCAAAACCTCTTGCTTCTGAACAATACTGTCGGTAGCCAGTCACGCAAGTTTTGCAATGGCCACAAGAAGTGTGGAGCCAGCCCCAGCCGACTCTGTCTCCGATAGACAGTTGTCTTACTGCTGGACCGACTTCGACGATGTGACCGACACCTTCGTGCCCCAATCCGCATTCTTTTGACTTGGCGTGTACGTCAGTGAAGCAGATGCCGGAGTGAGTCGTTTTGATGAGAATGTCGTTGAAGCCGAGGGATTTGGTGGTGGTTTTTGGTGCGAAGGAATTCCTGGAATTTTTGAAGCAGTAGGTGTTCAAAGTGTGCGCTTGGGAAGACATCTTGGATGATTATTGCGGGTCTGGCCTCTGAGAACGAGGCTGATGAGAAGGAGGTCACGAAGGAGGGTTTTGAAGATGCCGTGTTGTGAAGCGATGACGTCTGGCTTGAGCTTCGAATTCTTTAGAAGAGCGGCTTGATCGGTAGGACACTGGTCAACCTTTATATAGCATTCGTGTGTCTGGACAATTGCCAGCAGACTCCGCTATATGCAGCAGAGCAGCGAACGCGAACATTTTGAGAAATGGACTCGTAGATCGATGCTTTCCCAAGCTTGCCCTGCCGCCAATCGGAGGACAATGCGATTGTGCTACCAAGTGCAAGCTGCTTGGTCGACGAGCCATTATTGAGGAACCCGTGTATTGATCGCTAGTAAAAGTATTTGAGGAGGGGTTCGTGGTGAAATGTATAGGTATTTCTGTGTTCATGTTCTCCCCGCCAGTCTCCTTCTCGAGGCGTGACGTCGCGTTTAAGCGCGTTGCCAAGGAACTTTAAAGTGCTTGGACCTTCGACCTTGATGAGCGTCCGACCCTCTTTCTCCGACAACATCACCTCAACCAAACTTCAAACATGTCGTTGAAGCGTCGGCGAGAGCGTGACAGGCCAAAAGGTGGCCCAGACGACTCGTACGACCCGAACAAGCGTGTCCTTCTCAGCTACGCTTCGGACGGAGATGAGGAAGATGGCGAGGGTGCCACTGAGCAGCCACTGCAGCAGCCGTCGCAAAGCAACCAAGACCTCTCGACCTATCAGATGGACGAGTATCCAGAGGAAGAGGGCGATGTAGAGGTGGGTGCTGAGCGACCTCCCGAGATGGGCAGGCAGAAGGACGTTCCCAAAGATACGACGACCCAACGAGACGCGGAGGACAAGAACGCGAGCAATCGACAGACCCAGCAAAGCAAGACATCGAACAAATGGGGCAACAATGTCAAAAGAAACGAGAGAACCAACCAGTACCCTCAACTCGGACTGGTGTCTTTTCAGTGGGACAATGAAGATGAGGACGAGGACTACGACAGCACAACAGAAGAGGCCATGGCATATCTTCGAGCCGTAAGGTGTGTTCTTCCGAATCAAGTATTCAATTTTACCCTTGTACTCTGCGTACTTGCTGACACCCGCCCTAGATCCGAGCGACAAGACTTGCCGGAGATTTTGACAGCGCCTACCCAGAAGCCGAACACCAAGGCCAGCTCGTCACAGCTCGCCGACATGCTGAAAGAAGATACAGCTCACGCAGGAGCCCGGGTCACAGCTGCATTGCGTCCTGTCCCAAAAGATGACGACCAGTCACCACAGAAAGTCTACACCCGCCACATCACAGAACGCTTCCTTGACCAACGCAGACAACTTCACTTACAGCCGACAGCCAAAGCTCTTGCTGATCTTGACGATAGCTATCCCATATCCTTTCCGCAAGGTAACAACAAGGCATGCGCAGAGTGGCATCGTCTGCTTTCGTCAAAGGTACCCCGCCTTGCTCAACTGCAATCACTCGAGCAAGAAACGGTATTCGATCTCCTGGAGCTCCTGCGGACGAGGATCCTTGCTCCTGAGCGGAAAATCGAGAAGCACGTGAGCAACTGGATTTGGTCTCTCCTTGCTCGGCTTGACGATGTTGGGAATATGACGAATGACCAAGTCTACCCATTGCGTGAGTTGGGCAAGAGAGCTGTCTTCTTGCAGTATTCCATCACCAGCCCTGAGGTGGCTGCACAACTGGAAGCTCTCGGCCAAAGCGGATCAACAAGTCTGAGCGGAGATGAGATACTCTTGGATGATGTTGAGCACGTGGACGAGGCGCCAAAGCAGCCAGGTCCGAGCTCTTCGATCAAAGATCAGGACACAGCAACAGCTGCTCCCAACGCTATGGACAATACGCTGGCAACCCTGGACATGATTCTCGTTGTCGTCGGCGAGGTCTACGGACAGCGCGACTTGCTGGAATTCAGGACTTCATGGGAGGCCCCCGATTCAATCAAGCATGATCATCAAGCATGATCACCAAGCATACAACCATCGCAAACCTAACGCAGCCTGTCTACGTGCAGACGCTATGGAATTCGACGATGTCAAGCAAACGTATTAGAGGCGGCCAAAGCGGAGCGGGCAATGCGGTCCCGGCGAGCTTCAAAGCTGCACATCAGCTCTCCACGCCCTGCCCGAACCAAGAACACACTGCTCAAGCGTAGCATTGACTGTGGACCCACTGTAGGACCTCAGCTTCTGTAGGTACAAATACTTCATTTCGCTGTTTATCGTAATCCTTTCACTACTCTCAATACAATCCTCCTCACGATGGCCGCGATTTCCCAACTCGTTAACAAGCATCGGCCGGACCTCTCGCCGTACGAAGAGCTCTACAAATACTTCCACGCGAATCCAGAGCTCTCAAATCAAGAGAAGGAAACGGCGGCGCATATTGTCAAACACTTGAAAGAGAAGGTCTCGTCCGACTTCGACGTGCGACCCAACATCGGTGGCCATGGCATTGCAGCTCTGCTATTCAATGGCGAAGGCCCCACTGTCCTACTCCGCGCCGACTTCGATGCCCTCCCGGTGCAGGAACGAACGGGTCTAGCATACGCCAGCACGAAACGTATGAGAGACGCAGATGGCATCGAGAAGCCTGTCATGCACGCCTGCGGTCACGATATGCACATCACCTCACTGCTTGCGGCGGCCGAGACGCTGGTAGCTTCTAGAGACTCATGGTCAGGGACCTTATTGCTGGCTTTCCAACCAGCGGAAGAGCGAGGAACCGGGGCACAAGCTATGGTTGATGATGGGATGTACGATTCCAAGAAACACGCTGTTCCTATCCCAGACGTCTGCCTCGGCGGACACGTCGTGCCATGGCGTGCAGGTGTCCTAGGTACAAAGCGAGGACTCATGGCCACAGCAGCAGACAGCATGAGAATCACCCTGCACGGCCGTGGCGGCCACGCAAGTATGCCAGAGCGCCTTGTGGACCCTGTCGTCATGGCCGCCAGCACCATCATGAAACTCCAAACCATTGTCTCTCGCGAAATCGACCCAGCGGACCACGCTGTGGTGACCGTGGCCTCAGTCCAAGCCGGCGACGCAGAGAACGTGGTTGTCGACGACGCCCGCATCGCCGTCGACGTGCGCTCCACGAACGACCAAACCCGCGCCAAAGCCCTCGCCGCCATCCGCCGCATCGTCGACGCCGAAAGCGTAGGCTCCAACGCCGTCAAACCACCCACCATCGTGCCCACTCGCGCCTTCCCCTTGACAATAAACGACGACACCCTCACCACCGCACTCGAGAACTCCTACTCCGCCCACATGACCTCGGACGCACACAACTACAACGCGAACTGTGATCGCATCGGCGGGTCGGAGGATTTCAGCATCTTGGGAACGGCGGTGGGGAAGCCGACGGCGTTTTTCTGTTATGGCGGGACGGATCACGAGTTGTGGGATAAGTGTGAGAGGGAGGGGAGATTGGGCGAGGGGATTCCGGTGAATCATTCGGATCGGTTTGCGCCTGTGATTCAACCGACTTTGAGGGTTGCGGTTGATGCGTATGCTGTTGGGGCTTTGACTTGGTTGGCGACGGAGAAGTAAGAGCCATGGGGCGGGATGTGCGCAGGTCAAAAGTTTTGAGTAAGAGATGGAGCGTGTACCGCTTTTTAGACAACCTGGATGTCCTGGTAAAATCTTTCGCAATTGACCAGCTCCGTGCTCTGTGTCCTGAATGCCGGTCGGGGTATCATATGCCACCGATTCTATCGTACATTGAAAGAGCTCTGTTTCCTCCCATGATGCTGTCGACGACTTCCCTCTGCTTCACCTCATCCGCACGATCATTGGGCCTTCTTCTTCTTGTTCTTGTTTTTCTTTTTGCCTCCATCCGCAGCAGAACCACTAGGCGCAGAATCCACCAGAGCCTCCTCCAACGCTGCAATCGCATCCTTGTCGTCGCCCTCAGTGCCTTTGCCTTTCATCTTCTGCTTCTTCTCAGAAGCACTCGAATCCTCCTCCTCATCCCCATCCTCCTCCAGATCCTGCGCCCTCACAACAGACACACTCTCGCCCTCCGTCGCCTTACTCTTCTTCGCCACCCCCTCCTCAAACCTCGTATGCGTCCCCATCGCCTCCAACTTCCTCTTCGCCCCCGCCCTCTCCCGCGCCTCCCTCTCCCTCCTCTCCCGATCATACCTCTCATTCCCCGCCAATCCCGCCTTCACAAACCTCCCCGCGGCCTCTCTATCCACCCTCGCCCGCACCGTCCCTCCTCCCGCACCCATCTCCTCCGCGGCGGTGATTTTGCCGAAATACCCCTTGACGCGCTGCAGTTCGGCGAAGATGGGGTGGGTTTTTGCGTCGGTGCCGCTGAGGCGCAGCGCGGTGAAGAGGAGGGATTCGAGGGCGTAGACGGTGAGGATGTAGGTTTTTGCTTTGTCGAGGAGGGGTTGTTTGGAGGTGGAGGCTGTGAGGGGTTGCGAGAGGAGCGGTTGGAGGGCGGTGGTGAGGGTGTCGATGTTGGTGGTTAGGTCGGAGAGTTGGGGTGTGAGGGATTCCATTTTGGTCGGGTTGTGTGGTTGTTGGTGATGTTGGTTGTGAGTTGGAGATATTTTTGAGAAGTGAAGCATGTGCCTCGAGACGGGGTCAAAGCTTCAGCTGCACGTTCACTTCACTCTCGACTGCGACTCTGCTTCTCTGTCTTCCACTATACCCACTACACTCATCAAGTCTGAAAACTATCTCCATGCCTGTGTGTGACACACAGTCAGAAAAGACGATTCGAATGCATCGAGTTACGCAGCGTCAGCGCAAACACGTGCATCAGCTCGAACCCGCACGGAGCCGTGTCCCATTCACTGTCACAGTATACACCGCGAGGCGCATTAGTCGCAATCCTCGCGAACTCTTTGTTCTTCATCACGGTGAAGAGAACTGACGTCTACGGTAAGAATGTAATGCTCAGCCTTGGACTCGTCCTGGACATGGACGTCATGGGTCTGGGCGACGTGGACGTCTCATATATGTCTGGTGCATCGGTCGCTCCTGTTTTTGCATCAAGAGCCACTTCATTTCAGTCAAATTTTTCGTCAGCACTTTGAGTTCTTCATTCGAGATGGCACAGGAAGACGCCTCGAAACAAGCCTCTCCCATATTATACCCCACGGGCCACCTTAATCACCTCTCTCATCAGCAGGAGCAAGCTCTGGAAGCCTTTCGAGAACTCTGCGTAGCCAACGGCTGCTACGTGCCCGTCGGCAACGGCCATCAAACCAGCCACGACGACGAGACATTGCTGCGCTTCCTCCGCGCCCGCAAGTTTATACCGCAAGATGCTTTGAAGCAGTTCAAGACGACCGAAGACTGGCGCAAAGAACAGAATCTCGATGACTCCTACGACACTATCGATGTGGATGAGTATGAGGCTACCAGCCAATTGGTGAGAATATCTCAGACCAACCGATACAGTGCTTACCTTCTTCCAGTACCCTCACTGGACCGGCCGGCGAGACAAGCAAGGCATTCCAATCTGCGTCTTCGACGTCGGCAATCTCAACTCCAAGAAACTCTCCGCCTTGGACTCGTCAATCTCAAAGCCTCGCTCTCCTTCTCGCTCGGCTCTATCTCCCACACAGCTTCACCTCTTCGCCACTTACGAACATCTCATCAACTTTATCTTCCCGCTCTGCTCCTGCGATCCTAAGCGGCAGTACCCAGAAACCCCAATCAGCCAAACCTGCGACATCGTCGACGTTTCTGGCTTTGCTCTCCGTCAATTCTGGGGCTTGAAAGCCATGATGAAAGAAGCGGTCGCACTGTCAGAAGCGCATTATCCGGAGACTTCAGGACGGACTTTCATCATCGGTGCGCCATCTTTCTTCCCATCTGTTTGGCATTGGGTGAAATACTGGCTGGATCCTGTCACTGTTGCTAAGATGTACATCCTTTCCGATGCTGAGGTCAAACCCACGTTGGAGAGGTATATTGACGAAGAGAACATTCCCAAGAAATATGGTGGAAAGCTGGATTGGGAGGCTGGAAACCCGCCGAGTCTTGACCCAGACTTGGCCAAGTTGATGAATCTGGACGGAGGCGCCACGATTCCAACAGGGCCGATGCGATGGAAGAAGAGCCAGGATGGAGACCATGTCGAGGCTCGTGCCCTCGGAACTGTTTCTGGAAAGCCACGAGATGAGGTCGTGGCGCAAGTCTCGGTGGAGGTCTTCGAGAAGAGTCTCTTCGTGCTTTGAACACCTACCAGCATACGAGCATGATCGATGGAATACAGTCATGAATCGCGAAATGAAGCCATATACATTGTCGGATGCACTCGGCATAAGGCTAGTGTCATTTGTCAGCGGTACTGAACAAGATCAATGGCTGTTGTCCGCGGGCCCGCACCGGACGACTCGCCCAGACCGTGACCGTACGTCAAGAACGATGTGCTTGAGTGGTGGCATTACCGAGACGTAAACGACTATAGAAAGCCTTCTCCATTTTGGCACGAAGACACTCCACCCTCAGAGGAATGACAAGCTCATCCTACATCGACAATGTGGCGTGCACAGCAATTCCTGAACACCTGTCTTTGCATTATCTCATCAACATGTTCAGTGAATAGCTACCATATCCCTTTTCATGGCAATTGTCCAACCCAACTCGTCTACGAATATCCATCCGACGGCACCTGGTTCGAGAACATCGCCGTCCGCTCCAATGGCGACTTACTCCTCACATCTCTCAACCACCCAGCAGGTCTCAGCACGCTCTCTCCATTTGGAAACAGCCCTCCTAAACAAATCGTCACATCGGCAGACCTAGGCTATCTAAACAGCACGCTTGGGATCACCGAGACGGAGGAAGATATTTTCTACCTCGTTGCTGCGAATTACAGTCTCGCGGAACGGACTGTCGGGACGCAATCCGGAACGAATGCTTTGTTTCGTGCGCAATTCGGAGGCTATGGAGACAATCGACCGGAAGTCCGGCTGGTGAAGCAGTTTGGGAATGAAGTACGCTCTCTGAATGGATTGACGAAGTTCAACGACACTCTCCTCCTCGCCGCCGACTCCGTCCTGGGGGCCATATGGGCGATCGACGTACCCTCCGGCGAGTACTACAAACTCGTAGAAGACGATCTACTGGCGGCTCCAGATCCTGAATCCCCCGGCTTCAAAGAAGGCATCAACGGAGTCCGCTTCTCACCACACAAATTTGGAAAAGGCGGAGTGGCATACTTCACCAATAGCCAGAAATACCTCTTCGGCAAGATCGAACTCGATGGAAACGCCCACGTCCTCGGTCCAGCCGAATGGATCGCCAACAGCATCGCTGAGAGAGGCGTCAAAGCAAAACTAGACGATTTTGCTCTGGACGCTCATGGAAACGCCTGGATCGCCACGGAAGCTGGGAACAGCGTGCAGCTTGTGACGACGAGGCAGGGCCAGGTGAAGGTCGTAGCTGGGGACGTGAATAGCACGGAGATCGGGGAGCCCACGTCGACGGCTTTTGGACGGACAGAGAGGGATCGTGGGGTTTTGTATGTGGCTACGTCGGGTGGGTTGGCGTTTCCGGTTTGGAAGGATGGGAGAGAGGAGAGGGTTGGGGCGCAGGTTGTTGCTTTGGATACTGATAGATGTGGGCGATAGGGAGAGTGTCCGTGTGTACAGTATGGTTATGTGTTCAAAGCGATTAGAGGTATTATGGTTTAGGATCTAAGTGGTGTTATTATAAGGCAGAAGTCCTATAAATGTTTTGCTCAAGAGTACTTTTAGGTATAGCTACAACAGCGGGAGCAGCTCCAAACGAGCAGGCTCCAAGACTGGACTTTTCTTTGTTGCCTCCTATAGCCTTTCGACTGGGCCACCTAATTGCAGGCCCTTGATTAAGCCGCATGCTCAGCAGTATCATTGTACGTCCGAAGACTTATACATCAGTTTCTGCGGAAATGCACCTTCGGGGAAGATCGAGCCCTGGCTTCTGTGCTGCGGTCAGGACTTGTGCGCGCTAGTGATCATAGAGGGACGCATGATTAATACTTACGGCGAGCCGAGTTCGCCCAACGTGAACTGGTAATCCTTCAACGTGAGCTCCTGATCCCCGGGTGCAGCCCACTGGCAGCCGATCAGGCGTGCGACACGGCCATGACCATCCTCGGTCGAGACGTGTGCGGCCATGAAACGTGCCGCCTCGGGGACATCGTTGCAAGTGAGCGGTCGATCTGGCGGAAACCCGTTCATCGTCCTCGCGGCGGTTTCCTCCTCGTCTACGATGCGCTCCATCACGGCGGCCAAGAAGTCGCTGTCGACCAGGCTTTCTTGAATGTGGAGTCGACTCGGGATGAGGAGCGCTCGTCTCCGAGTCCGTGTGTCCCGGCTTCGCATGGCGATGCCGAACAATGGGAGAAGAATCTCTTGACTCAACGCAAATGCGCGCAGAGGTCCGCCGGCGCGTGGTGCGTTGAGGTAGTCTGAATCCTGAAATGCTCCTTTGAGGTATTCTTCGATCCGGCTTAGCATGTAGGGGTAGTACTTGTCAAAGCGGTCGCCCACAGTCTCAGTTCGATCCAACCATGTAGATGAGGTAAGCCACAGCTCGAAGAATTGGACATCCAGCAGCAAACGGAATTGATGATCCGGATGTTCTGAGGTTGCCGGTATACAGGCAAGGGCCGAAGACCACGCAGCCACGGATCGCTCAAGGGCTCGGATGTGTTGTTCTAGCCTGGGGTTTTCGCCCAGGTTCACTAGCCGTGAGGAAGCTGAAACAAGGCATCTCAGCTGCTTGCCATCCAGAGTGCTAACGTCCCTCGAAGTCCTAAGCTCTTCTTCAGCTAAGTGAAGAAGCTCTCCACGGGCACAGTAAATTGCGCTGGTAAGAACATCCAGATGGAGCTGAGCATCGTTGAGGCTTGCAAATACTTTAGGAGTAGGGCAAGGGTCACTTGCAGAGGCTCTGCCAAGGGAAGCCAACAGGATCGGCTGGTCTTGACCGAACATGGAAGCGGCAACACCTTCAAGCTTGATGTAGACCTTCGACAGCCGGTCCAGCGTGGATCGCGGGTCGGCCTTCAGTATCAATCTGTGCCTAGATCAACCTTGTCCGCGTCGCATACTAGTAGGTAAGACGCACCTTCTCTGATTCCGATCTGTGGGCATCGGGCCGTACAAGTGTTCATAAAGAATCCTAAGCCCGGTCTGTAAATGTTGGATAGCAAGAGAATTGTTCCCGTTGAGAAGTTCTACACAGATAAACATTAAGCACGCCAATAGGACCAGCTCAACGGATTTGCGACTTCCCTGTTGCTGACTAGAACGAATCTGTTGCTGGACATGGCCTACGGCACGGGAGTAGCGTTCCATGGCGAACTGAAACTGCTCGGGGGCATAGGTCCTCATAAGCAAATTCGTCGACCTGGTGGTACGCGCCTGGTGCAAGGAGCCGACAGCAACGATGGCACACATTAAGGCTGGCTCGGCGAGGCTTAGCTGCAGGGCAATCATTTCCCACGTAGTGTCTGTGCCGCCCAATCCTGGAGGGGAATACGAAGTCTGCTCGCGGAAGAAGTGGAATGCTTGACGCTCCTGGAGGATTATGAGTGTCCCTGTTCAACAGATCACGGCATGAACGAGTCGTTGCTCACCTTTGGGGACAAGCCGCTGGGCAGGACCGCCAAAGGCCGCGGGACATGTTTCCACCTCACGATGTCACTTTCGTTGCATCGAGGCGACAGCTTTCTATACGGCTGAGCTTGGTCCCTGGAAAGAAATGGTAGACCGATCTCGTAGCCCAAGCAGTCACGCCCGGTAGATGTGCATCTCTCGCAAGCAGGTCGTTCTTCGTCGCATTTGATTCGCCGGATCCTAGTCGCGCAAGTCATTCTCGAGGCCATTGCCGCGTGGCGTCGTACTGCGATCCTCACCTGCAAGTCCTGCAGCCGGTTCTGGTCTTGCTATGGGGTGAATTAGACGACGTTGTCCGATTGTTCCGACTTGGCCGGGACTTACACGTGCTTCACTCGTTTGCGTTCACTTGGAACTGTCATGGCGGGATCAGGCGGCCTGCCTTGGCTGGAGTCATCAGACCGAGACGCGGGTGTCCGTTCGAGCCTCCCATTATATGGACATGCATTTCTTGCAGGTCATGTCGTTCCAAGGCTGTGACCTTCAGCCGCAGAAGATTGGAGGGACGTACGATTCGCTCGTTCGCTCATGGTCCAATCAGATGCGTTAAACTTTGACCTCACGTCTTTGTCAGAATCCGCGCTGAGCTGAAGTCCCTGGTCAGACTACAAGACCGGTTACTCGTGCCTGAGGCAGAAACCCAAAAGCCTATCCCCATCCAGCCACTCACTCCAACTTCACGTTCCTCTTTCTCTCCAAAACACAAACCCCAACCATGTCAACCACAACATCCAGAAAACGCAGACGCACATATACACAAGCTCAAGAACCCACCAAACACACCCTCTTCACACAATGGAGTCTCGACCGCGGCGTGCAGATCCACAACGTCCAGCCCGCCATCTTCCCCGGCCGCGGCGTAGGCCTCATAACAACGACCAAAATCAAAAAAGACTCTCGAATCCTCTTCGTGCCCGAAAAAGCCATGTTCAAACCGGACGCGACGGTCTTCGGAAAGTCCCAATCGAAGACGTGGACGCAGAAAGCCTCGCCACAGGTCCAGCTCGCGATGAGCATCATGCGGGAATGTCGAAAGCCGGAATCGCAATACCATAAATGGAAAGCGACGTGGCCGACGGCTGAGGAACTCCTCCCTACGCTCCCGCTGTTCTGGTCTAAGACGTTACAATCTCACCTCCCGCCTTCTCTGCATCAACCCCTCGAACGACAACGATCAGACTACGAGAAAGACCTCGCCACCGCACGCTCGTTCGCGAGAGAAGCGGGGTTGGAGTGGGAAGACGACGATTTCAAGTATTACTGGAGTATTGTCAATTCGCGGAGTTTCCACTTCAAACCGCCCGGGGCCAGGCCAGGGTTTATGGTGTTGTGTCCGTTTGTTGATTATATGAACCATGGGCCTAGTGGGACGGGGGTGTTGGTGAGGCAGACGCCGAGGGGGTATGAGGTTGATGCTGATAGGGATTATGGTATGTGTTGAGGAGTTCTCTTTCCGTCTCGTGTTTCTGTTGGTCTGCGGTTTCCTTGGTTTCGACCTCTCCTTTCTGTTCCTCTACATATGCCAGAAGAACAAAACCCGGCGACTGCTCTCAAGCGCCATGTAAAGCATCCCCGACTACCAGAGGTGACCCTCCTCACCACCAACCCTCACCACACCAAGCACCACGCACCACCCCTGCCAAGCCCCGTCCCTTCGCTGACCGATCCTCGACTCCCCAGACCCCGGCCAGGAAATCCTCGCCACCTACGGCGCGCACCCCAACGACAAACTCCTAATCCACTATGGCTTCACGCTCCCCACAACCCCACCTCACCCCACTGACGACGACATCCGCCTCGACGCCCTCCTCCTCCCCGCCATGTCCCCCTCCACGACCTCGGCCTTGCAAGACGTCGGTTTCCTCGGCGGATACGCCCTCCTCCCGGCCACGAACGAGTTGTGTTTCAAGACGCAGGTGGCGGTTCGGGCGGTGCTGTTGACGGCGAATGAGTGGGAGTATTTTATTGCGAATGGGGAGGATCTGAGTGGGGATCAGAGTGAGAGGGTGCGGGAGTGGGTTTTGGTGCGGTTGAGGGGGTTTAGGGAGTTGGCTGAGGAGAAGATTGCGGAGTTGGAGGGGTTGGAGGGGTTGGAGGGGTTGGAGGAGGGGAAGGAGGATGCGGAGGCGGTGAGGGTGTTGGTAGGGCGGTGGAGGCAGATTTTGGAGGCGATTGAGCGGTATGAGGAAAGTGGGAGGTGACAGTTGAAGGGGTTCGGACGACTCGAGGGATGGGGGTGTCCTTCGTCTGTCAGCGACTCTGATCGCTCTGCGTCGTGTTTTGTGGGATCTGTGCCTGGTCCACTGTGCCAGGCTCTGTACATATCGTACAACGGCACGTCGCACGCGTGCTTCCTCTTATCGCACGCTTACCCCACCGCACACTGGGTATATCAGACTCTTCCCCGGACGCATCTTCTTCTCTCAACCCTTCCCCCCTCCCTTTCCCACTCGCTTTCCCCCAACACCTCCAATCCATCCCGTCTCCCTCCTCAATCCTCCCTCAACAAATCATCCAAATCATCCTCATCCCACCCTCCCCTCCTCACAACCTTCACACCCCCCTTCCCATCCCCACCCCCACCAGCCGCCTCCTCATTCTGCTTCGCGACCGCCGCCAAAATCTCCTTCAACTGCTCCTCCGTGACCCTCGCCCGTAACTGCCCGCTCCGCGCCAGCATAATCAGGCGGTTCTCCACGTCTTCGGCGCGTTGCGCGTTGACCATCCTGATGCGGCCGAGGCGGTCCGAGGAGGAGGGTTCGAGGATTTGGGCGAGGATCGAGGTGCGGGCTTCGGATTCGCGTTGTCTGGATAGGAAAAAGAGTTAGTCTGGTGGGTTTAGGGGAGTGGAAGGGAGGGTGTGTGTTACTTTTGCTCGTCTTGTTGGCTTCCTCCACTTCCACCACCGCCCGGGGAGGCGTTCCCGCCGCCTTGAGTCTGCTGCAGCTGTTGCAGACGGGCGTGCCGGATGGCTTCGAGGTCGCTGTCCGACATTTTGCGTTTCTGTGTTTATGGTGTTTGTTGTGCTTTCGTAGACCGAAAGTTTAGATGTCACGTGTGGTTGATGTTTTGGAATTTGCCCCGCAGCGGAATGGGGTCCGGGGATGATGGGCGAGGGGCAGTTGAAGATTGAGGTGAGATGAGATTTTGCTGCGAGATGATGTTGATTGCCGCATGTCTGCGCAGGACCTACATGTGATTGTTAGACGTCTGCATGGGCTACTACCAAGGTCGTGTTCGACATCTTGTTGTCTCGCGTGCGACTTCGGCTTCAAACAAGTCAACGTCCTTCACCTCAACGAGCAAGTCTAATGAGCGTCTAGAATATGTCTCTGAAAACGAATTCGCCAAGCAATGCTCAATGCAATTGAAATCGATATCTCTAATAAGTTCCATCTCGATCAAACAACCCCGACGACCAACAACGTCGTCAATCGATCGTGTAGACGGCACGGCAATATAGCGGCTCGAGAAGAGTCACACTTGCCGTCATACTTCCCGGGCAAAGCACCTCATGCAATCGCGAAAGCAACAAAGGTCCGCGGACGGGCGAGGGGATGAAAGAGTGTGGCTTGCCTCGGAGATCGAAGCTGTACCCGTACCGAGCGTGGAATGTTTCCTGCTTTGTTTCGTTTCTCCTGCTGGGCGGTGCCTGAGGCGTCGAAAATTCCAGACCAATTCCAGCCCACTTGATTCGCCTCTCTGTAATCACAACTCGACCAGCACATTCACTCTGATTTCGCATCAGTGTCTTATATACGATCCTGATAGCAAATACCACCCGTTTCCAGACTCGATTTCCATGTGGTGAAAGGATGACGGCGTGCAAATTCGGATTCTGGCGTTTCTCACGCTGTGATTGGCTGGAGGGTCCAGAACAATGGGGCCCTAGCGAGCACGCAATTCTTCTGGATTTGTGAGCATCGGCGGCGAAGACGAAGAATGGCGTGCTCGCTCGTGGGCGCGGGCGAGCCCCTCTGGCTTTGGCAGCAGTGAGGCCAGTCCGTAAGTATGACACTCTCCGATCCTCCTACGATCCATCTCGAGTGCAAGAACACCGACTCTTGCTTGAACACCGCTGCTCTTTCTCCGTTTCATCGCCTGAGATACACCCATCGAAGCCTGCTCTTGTCGAGACGTTTTCAGAGGGAATCCCACAGGCAGCATCCGCCCGTGCGAAAAGGAAACAAGGAAACCAACTCACCTCCAACCCACCTCTTCCACAACCATGTCCTACCGCCAACGGTCCAACTCCACGGACCGCGAGTCTGGCTATGCCAGTGGTAGCAGCACTGCCTCTCTCGCCGAAGTGTACTTCACGCGCCCTCATCTCAAACACATCAACTCGCAACTCGCCAAACTCTCGCCGCAAGATGTCCTCAAATGGTGCATCACATCTCTTCCCAACCTCTTCCAGACTTCCGCATTCGGCCTGACGGGCCTCGCTGTCATGGATATGATCTCGAAACTCGACTTTCCGCTAAAGTCCGATATTGAAATGATCTTCTTGGACACCTTGTACCACTTCCCGCAGACGCTTGACTTGGTGCAGAGGGTCAAGGACAAGTACCCACACCTCAAGATCCACACGTACAAGCCTGAGGGTTGCGAGACGACGGAGCAATTCGAGGCGAAGCACGGCGAAAGGCTGTGGGAGAACAACGAGGAGTTGTACGACTATGTTGCGAAGGTCGAGCCGGCACAGCGTGCGTATCGAGAACTCGGCGTCCAGGCTGTCTTGACTGGTCGTCGTCGGACGCAGGGCGGCGCTCGGGGCTCGCTCGATATTGTTGAGATTGACGACGCCGGCTTGATCAAGGTGAACCCGCTTGCCAACTGGTCTTTCAAGGATGTGCAGGCGTATATCCAAGAGAATGAGGTCCCCACGAATGACCTGCTCGACCAAGGATACCGATCTGTTGGTGACTGGCACTCGACCCAGCCAGTGACGGACAGCGAAGACGAGCGTGCCGGACGCTGGAAAGGTCGCCAGAAGACCGAGTGCGGTATCCACAACAAGCGAAGCCGATACGCTCAGTACTTGCAGGAGCAAGAAGAGAAGCGGCAACAGGAGTTGAGCGAGGCGATCAACGCTGGGTTGAATATTGACTCGGCGGCGTAGTCGTCGAAGGGTGTCTGTTGTGTCGACTTTGAGGGCGTGGACTTGAATGAGGATGACTTTGATGATGAGTGGATGGAAAGACCTGAAGTTAGCATGGCGTTAGGTATCTTGGAGAGCGTCTCGAGACCGCTGGTGCTGCTTTTGCACCCAGCCATAACAAAAGCATTCACCTGCTGATATAGAGAGATAGACTCCAATGAGAGTTTGAACATGATCATACTTGCGTCCGATTTCAAAGACTTGCTCTTGGGTGAGGAAGATGGTGCCAGTGCTGAAGGCCTGTCGCTCGTATCTTTTCGAGACTCGTCGCTTTCATGTCACCTGAAAGCTGGCTTCAGCTTGAGATGTCGACGGACGCATCCATACACCACTCAGCTTTGTGGCCGATGCGAATATATGTCGAAAAGACAGTGTGTAGACGAGGCGATAAGCGAAATCAGGTGGAAGAGGTGGGAGAGAGGTGAGGGTAGATGCGGTATATGGTACTTTGCTGGGCGAAGGAAGGCCCGACAGAGGCGACGACCCGAAATCCGATCGCCCGGATTCAGCATCAACACACAGCAACATGCAGCCTGGCCCAATAGGAGGAATTGATTACACTGCTGTGCAGGCCATGTGGACGGCGGCGACGGTTAGTGGTCGTCATGCTGGATGTATAACGCTGCAGAGGATCGCAGGGCAGTAGTCTTTTTTCCCAACATGCGCTCTTGACGACCAACTATCATCCCACGCCTACCACTTATCTGCAATGCGTGGAGGTGTTATCACTCTGCGACGTGAGGACGACGTGGACTCTTGTTTCGAATTGCAAGGCACGGCCATTTGACTGAGGCAGTGGAAATTGGGAGTGTACGCAATGGAGACGGCTGCAACGTACAACGCCTTTCCTGCCGCGGTATACCCGTTGCTTTGCTCGACTCGAGCAGTTGAACATCAGAACGAGAAGTTCTTGGCCTGATGAGGCTGGTGTTGACCATGGCGTGGTTAGGATGGCATTCCAAGGAGTAGACTCTCAATGAGCCGTCAGACGTTGACCTCCAGGTTGAAGAGGGATTCTGGGACTTGTTTTCGATTGAAGACAGGCGTCGTAGATCAATCCCTGCCAAGCGACGTGTTTGCGTCGCAGTGTTGCGCGGTTCCCTACGAGGCCGATAAACATTGAAACTGTTCATCAGGTCCGTGTCGCTTCTCCTGACTCTGGTCGTTGTTGCCCTTTCTTCCCACAACAAATAACGCCATTCTCTGCTGGAATTGCTGAATTCCAGTCCAAGTCCTCCTCTCGAAAACTCAGTCGGTACGTCACGACGCCTTCCGGATTGGCATGCATGCATGCATTGCAGTGGGGCTGACTATACTTTTCTTACACGTGCAGACCGAAAAGTTAAACAACAAGACACCACAAACAGCACGCAAGGAACCTCTTCGTGCGGCAACACCCCATACAAATCCTCACAATGGCCAACCCACCACACGTGCGTCCTGCCCCTCTCTATACGAGCCGTTGCCCCAACTAATACCACCTTCACCACAGGGAGGTCAACTCAAGGACCTGATCGCCCGCGATGCACCCCGCCGTCAGCAACTGTCCGCCGAAGCTGAGACGCTGCCCGCCATTGTCCTGCAGGACCGCCAGCTGTGCGACCTCGAACTCATCCTCAACGGCGGCTTCTCCCCTCTCGAGGGTTTCATGAGCGAGAAGGACTACAATGGCGTCGTCGAGAACAACCGCCTCGCCGACGGCAACCTCTTCTCCATGCCCATCTGCCTCGACCTCTCCAAGGAGGACATTGAGCGCCTTGGTGTCAAGCCTGGTGCTCGCATCACCCTGCAAGATTCGCGCGATGACCGCTACTTGGGTATAATCAACGTGGAAGATGTGTACAAGCCAAACAAGGAGAAGGAGGCCAAGGAGGTGTTTGGTGGTGACCCAGAGCATCCAGCGGTGAAATACCTCTTCAACCAGACCAACGAGTACTACGTCGGAGGCAAGATTGACGCCATCGACCGCCTCATGCACTACGACTACGTTGGTCTGCGATACACGCCCGCAGAGCTGCGTCTGCACTTCGACAAGCTTGGCTGGTCCAAGGTCGTGGCTTTCCAGACCCGCAACCCAATGCACCGCGCTCATCGTGAGCTGACTGTGCGCGCTGCTCGTCAGAGACAGGCCAACGTCCTCATCCACCCTGTCGTGGGTATGACCAAGCCAGGTGACATTGACCACTTCACTCGTGTTCGTGTCTACCAGGCCCTCCTCCCCAGATACCCCAACGGCATGGCTGTCTTGGGTCTCTTGCCTTTGGCTATGCGTATGGGTGGTCCTCGCGAGGCCATCTGGCATGCTATTATCCGTAAGAACCACGGTGCTACCCACTTCATCGTTGGCCGTGACCACGCTGGTCCCGGCAAGAACAGCAAGGGTGTGGACTTCTACGGACCATACGACGCCCAGTATGCCGTGGAGAAGTACAGAGACGAGCTCGGCATTGAGGTCGTGCCATTCCAGCAGATGACCTACCTCCCCGACACCGACGAGTACCGACCAAAGGACGAGGTTCCGAAGGAGGTCAAGACTCTCGACATCTCAGGCACTGAGCTTCGTCGCCGTCTGCGAACTGGAGGTGACATTCCAGAGTGGTTCTCTTACCCCGAGGTTGTCAGAGTCCTTCGGGAATCGCATCCACCACGCAACAAGCAGGGTTTCACCATCTTCCTTACCGGTTACACCAACTCTGGCAAGGACGCCATCGCCCGCGCTCTCAACGTCACCCTTAACCAGCAAGGTGGCCGATCTGTCTCCCTCCTCCTCGGTGAGACCGTCCGCTCAGAACTCTCCTCAGAGCTTGGCTTCTCTCGCGAGGACCGCGATATCAACATCCAACGCATCGGCTTCGTCGCCAGCGAGCTCACCCGTGCTGGTGCCGCTGTCATTGCCGCACCCATCGCCCCCTTCACCAACTCCCGCAAAGCCGCCCGCGAGATCGTCGAGAAGCACGGCTCCTTCTACCTCATCCACGTCGCCACGCCCCTCGAGTACGCTGAGAAGACCGACAAGCGCGGCATCTACGCCAAGGCTCGTCGTGGCGAGATCAAGGGCTTCACGGGTGTGGATGATCCTTATGAGGCTCCCAAGGACAAGGAGGCGGATCTCGTTGTGGATCTGAGCAAGGACAATGTGCGCACCGCGGTGCACCAGATTGTGCTCTTGCTTGAGGCGGAGGGTCTGCTTGACCAGCTTTAGAGGTGGAGAGTGGAGGGTCGATGATACTGATACCAGTAGATGTAACACAAGACGCATGGCATGGCCTAGAAGGGCTATAGAACTTGTGAGATAGACGGGAAAGGAAGGCGACTTTGGTTCCTCTTGTGCAAGAACGGATTTCGTCCGTGTCGGTTTCGATTCCATTGCAACAACGAGGTTCGAGTTCTGCTTCGTGCCATGGCGAACTTGTGTCTGTGCCTGAGGCCACCAGCTTCACGACGCTTGTCGCAAGCGTCATGCAGATGGCAACCTTCTGCCGTTTCAGCACAGCACACACCTACCTGATTCGACGCCACCGGACGGCATGCGAGCAAGTGATGGCCCTTGGCCATAGCTACCTGCCTTGATTCCAGCGCATAACATGTCGAAGCCTCTTGTCCCGAGCACTTGTTACTTACCCGCTCAGCTATTGTTATTGCACGATTCTCAATGGCAATTCGGCGCTAATCAAGGGCGGTACTGACCCAGGCCGATGTCTCCTTTTTGTCCTTGAGTGAGCTGATGCACGGTGGCAGCAACGACGACCCTAACCGCCGTACTGTTTCCTTCACCTGATCTCCCACCACATCCCAGCAGGCCTTCACATACCAACGCTCACGATGGCTCAACAAGACCCATACAGCCGACGACAGTACCCGGACTTCTACGACATTCCTTCTTCTAAGCCAAAGGATGCTCTTCGCTCGGAGTCAAAGAGTCGGGCGGCAAGGTACAGCAGTCACACGTCCAGAACTACTAAATGGCTGGATGACTTGGAATCGGCACCGTACACCCCTTATTCACCGCCTCAGACGTTCCCTGAGAGTGTTGACTTGAAAGCCTCTCCTAATCTCAAAGCCTCGCCTGGTCCCAAAGGCCGGTATGACAAGACACATTTATCAAACAAGCTTTAAACAAGACCACGCTGATGCGTTTAGCGACGCGATCTATTATTGCATGTGGCCGGGCTGTACTTTCAGTTTTTCACGAAAGTCAGACCTGCAGCGACATCACCAAAATGCGCACAATCGGGAGTCCGTGCCGCTCGTGGATTGCCAGGTGCGAGGGTGCCATCGAAGGGGGGCTTATGGATTCACGAGGAATGACAAGATGGTGGACCATATGCGAGAGGTACACAAGGTTGATGTACCCAGTAGAAGGCGCAGAAGCATGGGCAGCAACCCGATCAAACGTAGCACCACATCCACAAGTCCTCTCAAGGCTAGAGATCGCAGCATCGACGTGGGCGCCGTGATTTTGGCCGCCCCAGGCGACGAGAAACGGTCGCTCTGTGGTCCCGCCGACAGTAGAGATTCTGGGCTGGAGATTGACGGCTCCAAGAAGTACATGTCAATGCCATCGCATGATTCGCGATCACGCGCAGCACGACACCAGCCAATTCTGCAACCTCGCGAGAGTGTGCTCGCCGACAAGCATGACCCCTATCCGGAAAAGCCCGCCCATCGAGGTCGAATGCCGACTCGCGCATTCGACGACCGGAAAAAGGAACTAGAGCAGGTGTCAAATGCACTGCGCCGCGAATCAAACAGTCAAAACACTCATGAAGGTGTTGCGAGCCGGACAGAAGCGAAGGTGCAAGCCAAGAGTACAGCATTGGACAGAAACGCTACCAGAGTGGGAGACGACCACCCTCCATGGGCCGCGGACGTTAAGAAAGACTTCAGGAGTCTACGCAACTTAGATCTGTCGGTTGTTTCTCCGAATGCACTACCGATACTGCCTTCCTACAGCCCCAACTGCTCAGACGCTTGGAACCATATCGTTCGCACGGGCACCGAGGATCCTAACGACGCAGCGATTGAGTCTCGAGGGCAGCCTGATGTCGAGAAACTCAAAGCACGCTCGACTCTTCGCCGTAGCCCTGTTCCCTCTAGCACGATTGATTCAAATGTAGTTCTATCTTCTGGCAGAGACAAAAACCATTTCGAAGACAATGTGCGAGATCTCGAGAATCGACTGGATCGACTTTTAACCTTGACAGAACCAACACCACCCTCTTCACCGGGGGATAGCACCGGGGAAGAGATCACAAGTCTCTCTAATTTTGGGAGCCCAGACCGAAGTCCCGGCACTCGCCAACATGCCAATGGGTATCAGCAACCTGGGGCTGGTCCCTTTCAATTTCCTGGAGCCCCTCCTGAGACAGGCAGACCGTTCAGGAAACAGGCCAACCAGCCAAGGGACGATGGCGATGAAGGAGAACATCCCTCTGGCGCACGAGACAGAGGAAACCGAAGCTCCATCTCACAGAGCTCGAAAGCAAAGCGATTCCCGTGCGTATATCGTGTCGGAGATCCTGGGAGATTCGACTCTCACACTACGCGCTGGGAATATGTGTCGCAGGTGCTGTAAGTCATGAACATCAAAGATGGGCTGATGTGTCACTCAAGCTGACCATTTGTTTGTAGCCGTCACCTGGAATCGCACAACTTCTTCATGTGTTCGAAATGCCTAACGATGTTCACCAACAAGGAGCAGAAAAGTATTCACGATAAGATGAGAGCCTGCGTCAAGATCTGCACAAACAGCGCGTGCAAGAGGCATACCATGGATTTTGAGACTCCGAGTGCGACTTGCAATTGTCTGTTGACCTCTGATGACCTCTGGGCTGCGACTTTCCGCCGGGCGTTTCCTCACCTTCCGCTACCTGCGCCTTGGCCATCCAAGGTCCAGTCATGGCTCGTCGCGCCAGTTCAAAATTTACAAGAAGAGCCTTGGATCCGCGATCCTTTTCAGTTCCATACATTTCCACTTCCTGAAGGCATATCGGCAGACACGGCGGCGCAAAATGGGTTCGATATGCAAGCGATGATAGATTACAACGTGGAGCCGGAGCTTTCTGCCCCTGACTTTCACAACACCTTTCCGACAACCCGTAATCCACCGACTCCTGATGCCAGGGACGAATTTGACATATCTGCCACCTCCTATCCCAACGGTGCCCTCGCAAGGCAGGTAGAAAGACCTTGCGAGAACCATTCAGCGCAGCCAGCATCTGGCGACGACGTCCAGAAACTCCGAGAGCAGGTCGCAATCCTCGAGCAGCGATTCGAAAAGCCAAGCCGCGCCGAGCAGAAAGAGAGTGCCATGCTGCGGCTAGCATGGAATCGCTTGGTCGAGATCGGAGATCAGTCAGTCCAGGAAGGCGGCGTCCTTCGACAGGTCGCATCAATGTTGACACCAGAACTCATTGCGGATGGTAAGAAGGACAGTGACGAGAGCAATCCTTCGCAGCCGATAGAGATGTCCAATGCCATGGACTGGGAGGCCGCAGGTCTCGATCCACATCAGCTTCCGCCTGGTGGCAAAGGCAAGCAAAGGGCAGCCTCGCGCGCGGCAGACTCAGCGTACTATTCCGGAATGCGCATGAACTGATTCTGCCGCCAAGCCAGGCCTGCCGGAGCATAGCACAAGTCCCATCGCTGTCATATCATCATCGCACCATCGAGCGACGTACACGCCACCGCCTGCCATCGACCCTCCAGAAACTCGAAAGTCGTCACAGCCATCGCGCGCTTGACGATCCCCGGAGGTATACCTTCAACTTCGAAATTGAAGCACACGTCCGCCTCACCGGCGGTGGACCAAGCCTTCACTTGCGTCGTCATATCGACAATCCGTAGGCGGAATTCCGGATATTTGGCTACCAGGTCTTGCTGCATCTCCAGGCTCTCTTCGAAGGAGAGAGGTTGTCCTTCTAGGCCATAGGGGAGATAGGGGCCGATCCAGCTGAACTTGGCACGATACTTCTTGGGTGCCATGTAGGTCCATCCCGGCGAGGAGCGTTTAAAGCCGCGGTTGTTGACAGCGTCGCTAGTCGCAGCGACGTGGGCTTCGAGCTGAGCGGCGAGGAATTCGTTGCTGAACATCTCGTCGCTCATCTGTCGATCTGGCGATCTGTTAGCCACGGTCTTTGCCTCCTTTGTCAATCGAGATGTTCACCGTCGGCTTTCATCGCACAAGTCCAGTCGCAGACTCTGCCTTTTGGAACGTCGTGCTTCATTGTCGATTTGAGGCTCTCCGACACTGAGGAAACCCCATCATGCAAAAGCGGAAAGAGCAACATTCTCAATACCACGGGCGGCTATATATATATACATAGTCTCAAGGCACATGCCATCCTGGTTCCAGTGGCCAATAATAGGGGCAAGCCAAGCTGCCTCTACCACGGCAGAATCTCACATTCGGCCTAGCAATGATCTTCGCCATGCAGGCCTGACCTGTGCTCCGAGACTGCCTCCTCCTTCGGTTCTTGTCCAAAGAACGCCCCCGAGTCCTAGGACAACACCACGATTTTACGATTTTACGATATTGCAATGTACTTGGACTTATTAGAGAATACGCTGACTACTAATAAAGAGCCCTGAACTCAGCCCTGATTTTTGCTTTAGCTGCAGCAAGATCCCTCGCGCCTTTCCCGAACGGCTGCAAAGCCCTGGTCGGGCTGAGGGTTGGCCTGAAAATAGCAGGTAGTATAATACAACCTCACTTGCACGGTAAGAAAGATGTCTCTTCAATTTCTACTTCTCGATACTGGTCAACTCTCCTCCCGTCACGATGGAGTTTCCTCACCTCATGGCCTCGTTGCCGCATCTGAGCCTGCACCCTGATACTACTAAGGAAGAGATCGATCCAACGAGAATTGTAACTCAATGGCTTTCTTCTCTTGAAACCCAACTCAAAGACGCCACGACATCAACAGCCAGCAATCTCTTCCTTCCCTCCGACCTGCCCTACTGGAGAGACATCCTTGCCCTATCCTGGGACTGGAGCACAAAGAAGTCCTCCCAAGACATCCTGTCACATCTCTCATCCTCGACTCAGGGATTCGGTGTTCTGGAAGCTGTGACTAAGGGAGCATTGCAACCAGCACTGGTGGATCTGGAGGGTGCCGTATGGATTCAATCGGGGTTCACGTTCCGTAATCGATTTGGTCAGGGTAGGGGTTTAGTTAGGTTGGTTAATGGGGATGATGGGGAGTGGAGGGCTTGGACTGTTTTCACGCAGTTGGAAGGGTTGGATGATTATCAGGGAACCGGGAAGGTCGTTCCGCCGGGAGACGAGCAGGACGAGTATCAAGTTCTGGTGATTGGAGCAGGTAGGGAAAGAACGCGAAACCGCAAATTGTCGATGCTGACCACTATCTTCAGGACAATCAGGCCTCGCGATCGGCGCCCACCTCCAACACCAAGGACTGAAATACCTCGTCGTAGACAAGAACCACAGAGTCGGCGACTCCTGGCGTGCACGCTACGAATCCATCACAACCCACACACCAACGTACTCAGATCACTATCCCTTCCTGCCCTATCCAGACGACTTCCCTCAATGGCTTGGACGAGACCGTATCGCGGACTGGCAGGAATACTATGCCAAAACGATGGAGCTCAACATCGAGCTGGCGATTAGAGCTGAGGTCTTTAAGTACGACGAAACCAGCAAGAAATACACCATCCACCTCCACGGACCAAACAACAACACGCGAGCCATCCACTGCACCCACCTCATCCTCGCAGCCGGCATGTTCAGTCCCAAACCCATCGTCCCCTCCCTCCCAAACCAAGACACCTTCACGGGCTCAGTCCACCACACCAGCCAACACACCTCCGCCTCTAAAATCCCCAACCTCTCCTCCAAAAACGTCCTCTGCATAGGAAGTGGAACCTCCTCGCACGACATCGCCCAAGACTTCGTCCACGCGGGAGCCAAGAGCGTGACCATGCTCCAGCGAACCCCCATCGTCACCGTAACCCGCACTTCCTACATCACCACCCAAATGGGGTTGTGGAACACCCCCGGCATCAGCACAGCCGAAGCAGACATCCTGGGCAACTCCTTTCCATTCCCCATAATCCGCGCTTTGAACCTCCCTGCGACGAAGAAGATGAACGAGATGGACACTCACCTCCTCGAGCCGATGCAGGAGAAAGGCTATAGAGTTTTGAAAGATGTAGGCCTCGTCGACCAGCAATTCCTCAAAGGCGGCCGCTTCTACATCGATCAAGGGGCCTGCGAAATGATCGCCGACGGTCGTATCAAAATCTTAAACTGCGAAGCAGGAATTGAAAAGTTCACGTCCAACGGCCTCCGCCTCGCAGATGGACGGGAACTCGAAGCGGATATCGTCGTTTTCGGAACGGGTTTCGAGTTGATGGAGCATGTCGTAGAACAAATCATGGGGAGTGCGATCAAGGAGAAAGTCGGCGATATTGGACATTTAGACAGTGAGGCTGAGAGGATCGGTGTAAGTCCCCAAACCCTCACACACACACACACACACACACAAACTCCCAGACTCGCAGTGAACTAACACCTCCCTAGTGGTGGCGCCCAACCGGCATGCCAGGCCTGTGGTACATGACCGGTTCCTTCCTCTGGACTCGCACATTCTCCTCCGTGCTGGCGTTGCAAATCGCCGCGGTGGAGAGGGGGTTGAATTCGGGGTATTATACTCAGGAGACGGATGGGCGGTTGAGGAGGAAGGCAGATTGAGCTGTCGCGGTGCTTTCAAGCGAATGCACTCACTGAGGTGGGTTCGGTTCTCGATGAGTAGATGGTATGGATGGCATAGATGGCCGGGAGTATTCGTCACTGCAGCGTCGACATGCACTCGCAGGTAGTCGGGCGGTACCTCCAGCAGGACGCGGTCCTCCTGTTTGATGGTCCGTTCGACTTCTAAGCCAATTCCGCCAGAAACAATATCTGCGAACTCGATGAAGGAAAGTAAAGCCAGGACAGTAGGACGAGCGGTCGAATGGCATCAGTCATCGATTAATAGGTCATACAATACGTACAAGCAGCCGTCAAAAACGCAATCCTGCCTGGTCCAGGATTCCGTGCATCTATTCGTACAGCATAAGTCGTGTATCTCAAAAGCCTCACAATGTAAAATCCACCCGAGCGCCGGGGCTAAAAACGATAGCAAACAAGCCCCGTCGAGATCAACCTTTCAGACGAGAAGCGCTCTCGATCTCCGGCCCAGCCCGGTAAGGCTCCTCTTCAATCTTCTCACTCCCGCTGGACCTATCCAGCCGGCCGCGGCTCGGGGAAACCATACCAGCACTGCCGGGCACCTGCTGGCTATCTCGACTCGGCAGGCCGGCGAGATCATTCGAGGCTATCGAGACTGGAGGCGGCCGGGCCACGTCCTTTCCTGTCGCCGCGTTGTCCTCGTCGAATTCAAAGTTTTCCGCCTCGTGCTCGTTGAAGTCTTGGCCTGGGTTGGCGGTTTCGTATTCGAGCGATTTGACCAGGCGGTAGAATCCTACCGCGATGAGGGCGCCGAGGGCGGGACCGAGCCAGTAGATCCAGTGATAGCCGGGGAAGCTGTGGAGGACGACGCAAGGGCCGAAGGATCGTGCTGGGTTGAGGGAGCCGCCGGTCTGCATTGTGGAAAGTCAGTGCTGTGGTCTTGACGTTTCGGCGTTTGGGGAACTCACGAAGAAGACGCCAGACAGCTCAGCGATGAAGAGAGAGAGACCAATGCCGATGGGCGCGATGAAAGTCCCTTTGTGCTTTTCTGCGGCCAGCATGAAGATGGTGAAGACGAGCTGAGCCGTGAGAAACATCTCGATGACTGATGATGTGTCAGTGAAGATAAAAACCGCAATGGTAACGTTATACATACAGAGACCGCGAGTGACGCTGGTGCCGCTGCTCAAGGTGGTGGAAACTGCCATTGGACCTGGGAACAGTGCTGATACAACTCCAGACGCCGCCATGCTACCGAGGATCTGGGAGACAAAGACCAAAGCCGCACGAGGCCAGGTAACGGCTCCAATGAGTGCCATGCCTAGTGTGACTGCTGGGTTGAAAAGGCCTGAATGACACAGATCAGTATCCTACTTCTCAATCTTAACTCTTCTTATCACTCACCTCCGCTGATCCGGAAGAAGACCCAGGCATTGACCGCCAAGCTGAAGCCGAATGCAAGACTGATGTACAGCAAAACGCTGGTATTGGGCACCTGAGTCAACGAGCCACCGCTTGTACCTGCTCCGGCTGCTGCTGCATTGGCGACTTGCGTAGCAGAAAAGGCGAAGAACAGGAAGAGGAACGTCCCGATGAACTCGCCGATCATAGCAACGAGATGGTTGCGAGGCTTGTTGGGGATGAAGCCGAGGAAGGGCACTCGAAGCTCATTCTTGTCGGACTTCTGTCTATGAAGTCCGGGCAGATTTACGCCTCTGATGGTGGGCTTGTTGATGTTCATGGTTAATCCTGTGGCCGTTCGCTTGCGGGGATCGTAGGTTGTAGGTTCTGACGATGCGGTGTGGTAGGAGGAGTGAGGGTTGTTCGACGGTATGGATGCTGAAGCAATGGTTACTGAGGTGGTGAGGTGATCTCTCGCCTCAGAATAGGTCGATCGTCAGGACTCGGAATGCAGGTGTAGCAGGTGCTCTGGGTGCTGGATGTTGGGGCGAGATGTAGGCTGGATGGATGGATGTTGAGGCGGATGAGGTTTGGGAGGAAAGCAGACGATTAGTACCAACGCCGACGCTTGAACGCAGGAGCGGTGGAATGAGATAGGATCAAGGTCAGGCGCAAGACGGCATGCCGACTGCAGATGGGAAAGAGGAAGAGACCAGCTCGACGTCGCGAGCGGCAGGAGGGCGGTCTATACTTGTACCGTATCTTGAGCTCGGCAACTACTGAACGAAGGGATCAACGAAGGCCGATGGGGTTCATTGTGACGCAGCTGGCACGTTTATTTTCTGTCGTGGAGTAGACGATCAGCGGCAGCCTCAAGCGTTCGTTGGCCCGAATGAGACTGGCCCCGAGTGTAAGATCGAGGCGGGGCGTGGAGATCAGTCCGCAGCATCGTATCGAAGAAATTCCTCCAAGATGGCGGCCCGCCGTCTGACGAGAACCATTACGCCAGCAATCAGTACGTGGCGCGGCTGAGAGGAGTGCGTGGTGAAGAATGGCAGCTTCGTATGGACGGACAACGAGCACATGTCGAGCTGGTGGATGCCGTTTCTGCAGAATCTCCCCGCAGATTTACTTTTCTACGGTGCCACCAGCGTCATCGGTCGTGTGAACTCTCGCAGAGCCTCATGTGAAGATGGTCTCCGAAACTTGGAAGAAATAGGTGGATGTTCTTGTCCCTGCACTGTTCGTTGTACTTGACAGCCGTTGGTTCAACTGCACTGTATGACGTATCCCGGTTGATGGATTCCTTGACCATGTGAAGTGCCAAACATGGGCCCGGTCGTTGCTCTAGTGTCAGCTCGGCGAATGCTGAACATTTTAAAGGCAGAGCTTGTGATTTCACACGAAATTGCACAGCTCCAGCAAAGTAATCATCGCCTCCATCTTGCCTTGCGATGTGCTCTTGGCCGCATCTATGTTGCCATTGGCAATCATGTCGTACACCTCGCTCTTACTGACTGTCATCGTCAGATTGGGCGGCTTGCTGCTCAGCGGACTGCCCAGAGCTCTCCTGCGGCACGTCAGTGTCCCGTTTCTCAACGTCAATACCCATGAGGTCTTTTCATCTGGGACATTGATCAAGATCGTTTGAAGACACGTCTTCCAAGCTTCCGGTCCGTCTATCTGCAGCGAGAGAGCGTCGAGCCAATCCTCGACAGTCGACTGCGGATTGATGGCGATGACATTTTGTGGTGTTATTACCTGACTCTTGCTTCGTAGCTCCTGCGCAGCAGTGAGGTAGAAATTTCACCAGACAGCATTCTCAGCACCGAAGCCAAGCCGCTCATATACTGATGCCAGTTCATGTTGCTCTTGTTCGTTGCTTGGTTCGGCCGCTACAACATGGTCGAGGAGGGTTGCGGCGAACCGAAGATCACCTGCGTCTGCGAAATCTCTGGCCTTTTTAATGACAATCGAGGGGCCACCCATGCAATCAACATAGCGGGTTCCCTCCTCTTTTGGTGGATGCTTCCACAAGTTAGCTGGATTACCATCGAACCACGTCATATAACGCTGGTAGATGCCCTTCACATTTTGTGATAAGCAGCCGTAGTATTCCCCGGCATACCATTGTTTTTGCAATGCTGGTGGGAGTTGGAGCTGCTCCGCTATTTCAGTTCCTGTCATTCCCTTGTTCATCAGTCTGACTGTCTGGTCATGCATATAGCCGTAGAGGTCTCGTTGATCGGAAATGAATTCGACGATGTTGTCGTGACCCCAAGTTGGCCAATAATGACCCGAGAAAATGACATCGACATCGTGACTGTACAAGTCGAGAGTCTCGTCCAAGTGCTTAGACCACTTCTTTGCGTCCCGAACCTGAGCCCCTCGCAAGGTGATGATATTGTGCATAGTATGAGTTGCACACTCAGCAATGTAGACGGCACGCTGGTCAGGGAGAAAGACGTTCGTCTCGCACGGTGCCTCAGTCTCAGGTACCATCTGGAACATGAGCTTTACTCCGTCGATGAGTCGTACGTCGCCGGTCGCGACGATAGTATCATTCGGCGGTAGGATGATCGTAGTGCCACTGGAAGCCGCCGTACCCAAGCCGCATCCCCTGCAAATGATTAGCTTCTGTTCATCATGCTTGACGAGGAACACATACACATGAGCTTCTGGTCCGATAGGTAGAGACCCACCAAACATATAGACAGCCCGTCTTCGCATTGCGGGACCTGCGACTATGTTCTCTTTAAGCACGGCATCCATGAAGCCAGCTGAAGCAAGTATCGGTATTTGGGGCTCGTTGTCAGTAGCCGTCGATAGGACACCTTGCGCGCCACCAAAATGATCATAGTGCGAGTGTGAGTAGATGACTGCTTCCACTGCTCGGTTGCCGCGGTGGCTGCGATAGAAGTCCAGTGCTGCAGCCGCGCACTCGGTCGATGCGAGGACGTCCAGCACAATGACACCGGTCTTGCCTTCAATAAGCGTCATGTTGGAAATATCGAAGCCGCGGACTTGATAAACGCCTGTCGTGACCTCGAACAGACCTTGCTTCGTGTTCAGCTGTCCTTGTCGCCAGAGTTTCGGATGTACCGTCGATGGGCAATCGCCTTGCAGAAAAGCATAGTCCTCGTTATTCCAAACAATCTGTCCATCTTTGTTTTTAAAGCGGCAGGTCTCCAGAGATGCAACGTGGCCTCGATCGGCGTCCTTGAAGTCGGCGTTATCCTGGAACGAAGGCTGAGCGGTTGAACGAGACATGGTTTGAACATAATGTAGCATCGATGAGAAAAGAGTCACAAAGGTGAAGATTGTAAGGAAAGTCGTACGGGGGCCATACCTCCTAGAACCACATTCAAGTAAGAGGATTAATTTTTAGCGGCATTACTAGCATAACATAGAAGCGACAACTACTCAATCAAGAAGATGATTCCACATCGAAACTGGAAGGCGCACGCGCGTTGCAAGCCTCGGTGTAGGACCATTATCGATAATGCGAGCCACCCGTGAAGGCATGATATTGGAGTGGAATAGTAGCGAATTGGTGTAGGTAGTGCGTGATATGAGCAAGTGATGTGTTCTCACAGACACTTTCACATGACAAGGAACTCCTGAGCGCGATGAGACGAAATTCACTGACTGACTCAAGTGGGGCTTTCACGTGACGCGACCTCCCGGCCCAAGGAACATCATCAACAGCGACCCCCGGTCGAAACAGGACGTGTCATACCACTCGTCGCAGCACAGCCCGCTGGACAGAGCTTGTGAAAAGGCACATCATTCATTCTCATTCACTTCACTTCATGGTCACTTCATTCTCAGCTGATTTGCTGCAAATCCCGTGCAGCTCTCAGCATCCTCGGCGGCTTGGGCTCTCTTTCCCGGCGTGATCGTCATCCAAGCAAGCACTCGCTCGCTCGCTGCCCTGAATCGACCCGCCTCCAGCGCCACTTCACCCCGTCGTCCACCCGCACCGCCTGTTGCACCTCTTCACCACCGCTGCCACCCCCACCGCCAGCGGATGCCGACATAACAACACCTGCGGCTGTGGTCGCCGCCTGCACCACCCAAACCCCTCCGTTCCTGCGACCGCCCTTTCTCCTTCCGCGCCGCACCAGGCCGCCAACATGCGACCCCTCCGATTCCTCCTGACCGTCCTCTCCTTCATTCTGGCCTTCTTTTTGCTGCTTTTCATTGGCCCCTGGAGCAGCAGCGACATTGAAAACGTGCAGGACCGCAGCAATGTGGGCACATACTTCAACTGGCGGACGCCTTCCTCGTTATTTCCGCCTTCTGCGATCATCAGCCTGACTGATGACAATTCTACCAACTTTCTCGCCCGCCCCGCCGCCTTTGGACCTCTACTCCCAGTGAAGAGCCTAAGTGGGCAACTATGGATTGGGAGTGGGTTTGGAGATGATCATCTGGGTCGAGGAGAAGGCGAGCTGGGATGCAGCGATGTACCAGGATGGGACGACGGGAGCTGGACGGTCGTGAGTGGGAATACCAAAAAGCCCTCTGCTGAAGGCAAGACCATGAATGGAGAGTCGACCAGCTCTGGGTCGAGCAAGAGCAAGAGGAATTCTGGGGATGACGAACTTGAGGACGACACAGACAACGATGAGCATCCTTCTGAGGATGATGGAACGGATGATTATCTCCACCATCCATTGCCAGCGAGCGATGGCCTCAAAACAAATGGCGAAGCCGCTGGCAAGACTAAAAAGCCGACCCATGCCGACATTCAGTCTCTACAGGAAAGTGCAGAGATTGCTGGAAAGATAGTGCTACTGAGCCGAGGAGGATGCGGTTTCCTCGAAAAAGTCAAGTGGGTGCAGCGAAGAGGCGGCATTGCGCTGGTTGTGGGAGACGACATTCGTGGTGGACCGCTGGTGACCATGTACGCTCGAGGCGACACTTCCAACGTCACCATTCCTTCTCTTTTCACTTCACACACAACGGCACAGCTCTTATCGAGCCTGATGCCGTCCGGAACCTTTATTGGACATGTAGAAGAGGCCAACCGGCTTGGCCTGACCCCTGGAAACAAGGGCAAGGGAGACAGCGAGAGCGCAGGAAGCCAGAAGAACGCTGATTCTGCTGATAAGCCCAACTTCACTACAACTACAACCGCCACGGCCAAAGCTACCTCCACCCCGCAGACTAGACCCAAGCACAAGAGCGAGAAAACTGCTTCCAAGGAAAGGGAGAAGCCAAAGCATCGTGGCTGGCTTGTCTCTCTGTTTGGTGGCGGCTCAGATGGTGCGGACAGTCGACGTCCGCCGAGCAGTGGCAATATCGGCTGGGTGCTGCAGCAAGAATTTGAAGATGATGAACCAGTCCATGGAAAGACCACCAAGCTACCTTCGAGCTCTACATCGTCGCAAATACCGACCGCAACTCCAAGGCGAGGCGATAGCGACGGGTTCCAGATTGGTGTTCAGGACTGGCGCGATCCTGACTTGGTTGCGGAGCAGAAAGAACAGAATCTCAGAGGCTCCACTACCTCAAGCTCGAGCTCAATCCCTGTGATCAAGAACAGCAAGCCCACGACATCTTCTTCTTTAAAGGGAGGCAGCATCACTCCTGGAAGCGGCGAGTATGGCAAGGCGAATCACGAAGCAGTTGATATCGCTAGCTCGAAAAAGTCACAGTCGAAAGACAGCATGACTTCTCAGCAGACCAATGACCAGCAGGACGGCTCACGCGGCTGGCTGGGTAGTCTGTTCTCATCTGACCCTCCTGCAGACGATGCCAAGACCGAGACTGCACCAAAAGCCGCCGTCAAAGCTCCTGAGCTCCAGTCGCATCATTCCAAAAGTGACAGCGCTCATCGCCGTCCACAACCTGCGAATGGTCCTCAGATGCACGAAGGACTATGGGTGACGCTGTCGCCCACGTCCATGTCCTCGTCGCCGTTCTTTGACACATTACTGGTACTGGTCGTCTCACCTCTAGTTACACTTACTGTTGTCTACGCTCTTTTGTTACTACGATCTCGAATCCGACGGAGGAGATGGCGCGCACCCAAGTCTGTGGTTGAACGGCTACCTGTTCGAACATACCAGACTATGCCGAGCAGCACTTCAAGCTCGACGTCATCCTCGATCACATCTCAAGCCAGTGCAACGACGCCGTTGCTACCAGCTTCTCGACCCATCAACACGCGCTCTCGACCGCGCGCGCGAACAGCATCGGAAGTGCCACATGGATCCTCGATGCGCTCTGACGAGATGGCCAGCCCCTCGCTTGATCAGATCGAAGAGAAGCGCGCGGCAGGCCTAGCTGAATGGAGAAGGCGATACGGTGGCAAGCAACGAGAGTGTGTTGTATGCTTGGAGGAATACGTGGATGGTGTCAGCAGGGTGATGAGCCTTCCCTGTGGCCACGAATTCCACGCCGAGTGCATGTAAGTTGGTGATATCCAGCCTCGTCAAAGTGTACAATGCTAACATGTCGCACAGAACACCCTGGTTGACCACCCGCCGCCGCACCTGTCCCATCTGCAAAGGCGACGTCGTGCGTTCGCTGGCTCGAAGCGCCGGTTCTTCTTCCGCCTCGCCACCGCAAGCACATTACCGGGACGATGAGGGTGAAGATGAGGCCGACGTGCAGGAACAGGCCTCCAACACCGTTAATGATGACCCGGCGGCACAGCAGCCTGTGAGCCGGGAAGATGAAGCTTTTGAGGATCTTGAAAGAGGCGTGACTCCCACTCCGGATAGGACGAGATGATTGAAATGGAAAGCGTTTGCGATATCTTTTTCACTGGATTGTTTCTCAGATGGGGAGGGGCGTTTCAATTGGTGTTGTAGGTAGGTTTGGTTCCTTTGTTCCCTGAACCTCGATACCCATCGTTCCTTTTTGGAGAAGGAAAGAAATTTCGCCTTGATATGCACCCTAGCACACATCTTTCTGCGCGTTTCCTTTCCTCCTGTCGACATCCTTGCGAGCGTGGCACGCCGGGTTCTTGCCTCTCTCTTCGTTTGTGTGCAGGGGTATGCGTGAGGGGAAGAGAAACAGCTTCATTGTGCGCAAGGTACACCCGCACTCCTCTCCTCTCCTTTCGACTTTTCAATAATCAGAAGCATAGAATTGGCACAGCATCGAAGCATTCTTCGAGCTTGTTTTGTCTATAATTCCACTTCTCTTATTCACATAGCAGGTCCCTCCGACTTATCACTAGCAGTGCCTGGTCAAAGATCTCGGAATCATGGCTCTTCAGAACCTTCAGAAAGCGGTAGATATGGAAACGGATATCAGGAAGTTGAAGGAGACGGTTGCGGATTTGCAGAAGGAGGTGGGGAGGCTGCAAGGTGAGTGGGCGCTCGACATCTCCTTCACCGTTTGAACAACTTCGGATGCTGAGAGTGAGTAGACATCGAAGCCATCCGAAACCTCCAGCACGCGTTCGTATACTACCTAGACGAAGGCTGTATCGAGGACGCTCATTGCCTCTTTACTCAGAGGGAGGGTTGCGAGCTGGATATCCAAGCGAAAGTGTACGTTGGACATGATGAAATATCGAAATGTCTGGTGAGCTCGTCAGAATCCCTTCTCGACAGTGTGTGGGTTTGTTGACCTGTTTCATGCAGACTCTTCATCGGAGAGGTATGAGTCAGGGTTATCCGTTTAAAGTAGGGTTTGTTATGTTTGGCAAGGAGGATGGTGAGATTGTTGCGAGGCTCGAGGGGTTGGGTGGTGAGGGGAGTGAGTTTGTGAAGGAGGAGGGCGAGTGGAAGATTTGGAAGATGAAGTAGAATGTCGGGAGAGCGCCGAAGTGAGTCTCTCCCTCTGTGTTTCGATGGATCTCTGCTGTGACGCTGAGGGTTGAAATCGTCTTAGTTTACGGACGGAGAGGACGATTCCGCTGGAGAGGAGGAGGCCAGAGGATGGTGCAGCATCGTGCGGTAATGAGGGTCACGCTCAGGAAGACGAGCCGGATCTTCAAGCCTTGCCGATTCAGACGAAAGCTCTTTCTACAAGTTTTCCTTCACTGGCGAACTAAGACTTAGCACAAGCAATCCATTGATCCCTCATCCCCTCCTCGCCATATCATTCACCCTCACAACCTCCCCCCTCGCCCCCTCCCAAGCTTTCCTCTTCCCCTCGTCAAACAACCGAAACATATGCGGACTCAACAATCCATCCATGACCAACTTACACATCCTCCTATCCCTCAACCAAAACTTCCACCCTTCAACCCCATACCCAACCCTCTTCGCCACGCCCAAACCAGCGACGTCATCGCACCACTTGAACCACTCCCAATTATTCCTCAAATTGACATTCGCGAGCTCGCCCGTCCTGGCGATTTCGAGAATAGAGGCGTGCTGCGCGTCGACGTGCGCGGACATTTCCGCGGGGGAGGGGAGGGAGGAATTCCCCGTCCAGACCTGCGCGACGGCCAGGCTGGAGATGTCGTAGTTGAGACAGGCCATGAAGCTGAAGGGGGATGTGCCGAGGAAGGCGAGGCTGGTGGGGTGGTCCAAGGAGAAAATCCCTTGGTATAAGCGAGGTAGAGGGCGGGAGTCAAAGCCTGGGAGGGAGGACCATTCTTTGGGAGGGTCCCGTGTTGGGTCCACGGAGGGGGACATGTAGCTGTAATCTGACCGGAAGCCTGTGGCGAAGATTATGGCGTCGATGTCCGTCAGGGTAGAGCCATCCGAGAAAGTGAGCGTGCTGCCATTCACTTCCTGCAGCGCGGGTCTGAGATCTATCTTCCCTTCGTGGAGGGCTGGGACGAACTTGTCATTCGCAACGGGGACTTTCCTCGTCGGTGGCAGGATCTCGCCGAGATTCCACTCGGCTTTGACGTCGAACGTGCGTTTCTGCACGGCTTTGATGCCTAGAAGGCTCATTTTCTGCGCGAGACCCGGGAGATATTTATTGAAGATCCCCGCTAGCATCGTGAGGCGCACGCTCATCATATGATCGCCAGGCTTGCCGGTTTTGGCGTTCGTGCGGGAGAAGAACGCTGCTCCTTTGCGGTGGGAGAGCCAGACGGTGCTTGTGTGGTTGGTGAGGTCGACGGCCGTGTCGCAGCCTGTGTTGCCTAGACCGACGACTACGACTCTTTTGCCGGTGAAGGTGGAGCCGAGTTTGTAGTTGTTGGAGTGGGTTGCTTGGCCGGTGAAAGTTTCGAGGCCTTTGATTGTGGGCAGTTTGGGGGTTTGAACTTGGAGGCCTACGCACATTACGACTTTGTCGACGTGGATCTGCTGTTCTTCTTTGGTGGAGAGCTGGATCATTTTTAGGAGCCAGCCATCATCATGCCTCTCTGCTTTCGACAACTTCATTCCCAGCTTTGCATGCTGCAGAAGTCCAAAGTGTTGGGCGTAGTCCCTCAGATATTGAGCCGTCTGTGCCGCCGTTGCGTAGTTGGGGACATCATCCGGGTAGGCGTAGTCCGTATAACATGACAGCTGCTTCGAAAGATTGGCCACAGTCGTCTTCAGAACGGACGTCTTGTCTGGCTCCTCAGTGTGCTCCCACAGGCCGCCGACATAGTTGTTGCTCTCGTATCCAGTCGCATCGAAGCCGGCTTCACGAAGATTCTTGAGTGTTACTAGGCCACAGGAACCAAGACCGATGACGGCGACTTTGGACGCAGGCTTCTCTGCCATCTTGTAGGATGTGCGTAATCTCGTTCCAGGGCTCAATATTGATGAGATACGTGAGATGGGTGCCGGAAACCCGGCACTTCTGATCATGCAAAATCAAGTCACTCGCCCTGAAGTGTCGGATCTCCTCTCGAGAAGACTCCAGAGAATTGGGCACTTTCGCGACGGCATGGTTTGTAAGGACATGGTGTTGGTTGATGGCAGACCTAAGTCAGCGCGAGCTGAGCTGCAGGTGGCACAGAAATCCTTCCGCGTACGGCTAAAGGGGTAATTTCGCTAACCTCGCTAAACCAAGAGACCCACCTCTGTAAGTCTGTGAGTGAATGAATCTTGGTCAAGACTTTTGTCTTGCCGGGGCCGGCGGCGCCGTCTCAATGTCTCGTCCGAATTGACTCATTATCCGATGTGATGTGGTGTATATCTTTCCTCTCACTTCTTCTCAAACCAAGATCTTCTTTTCCGCTCCAAGACAACTCTCGCTCCTGCCAAGATGGCGATCGAAGCAGTCACGAACGTCACGAAAGTCCAGGACGGCCCAATGATAGATGACAAGCCTTCCACGATAGTAACTCTGACCGCACAACAACTCCGAACGTCGAAATTCCTCCCCAGCCTTGTCAACACAATCAATCAGGCATACAAAGCCGCGGAGGGACAGCATCTTGGCGAAAGCAAAGGCGATCGACTGGGATCTATCGATGAGCTTATCCTTGTGCTACGCGATGACCCGGAATCATTCATCATCGTCTTGACCCAGCCTCACGCCCCGGAAGAGGTACTCTCGACCGCGACTTCTCGAAGATACTTTGGACCCAGTCCTGATGCGAATACAAGTCCTTGGGCGTGTGTTCACACTCCGGCCGCTGATACTGAAGAATGGGAATTGAAGCTCTTGGCCACGAGTCCTGCTGCCCAAGGGAAGGGCATTGCGAGTTATATGCTCGCACTCGCTGAGAAGGAGGCGACGGAGCGTTTTCGTGCAAAATCCGGCCAGGGTGAAGGTGCCATCACACACGCCAAGATGATCCTTTGCACACCCAAGCCTCTGTATGGAAAATTCTACGGCGGAAGAGGGTATCGAGAAGACTACATCAAGATCAGGGAAAAACCTGATATGAGCTACGAAATCACTTTCATGTCCAAGGTCCTGGCTTCACGATAATAGAACGGGATTGTGACCGAAGAGACGAGTTCGATTACGTCTACTCAGGCTTGCGACCGTACGTGACGTGCACGATCGAGTAATTGCCAACGTCCAGCACGAGAGAACGCTCAAAGTCTTCCACCAACGCATTTATTTTCTCCTCGCTGGAGCCCGTCATCGATAGGACTCGCTTGATGCTCAACGGTACCACCTCTTTGGCATCTTTCGCCCAGAATTCCCCAGCCTTTTTCAAGAATGGCGTCCGCTCACGACCTCCTCCAAAATACATTCGATATTGAACTGTCTCAATGTCGATAAACCCCGCCTCTTTCATTATACGTGCGGCATTTGAGCCCGCATACCGCTCGAATCCTAGCGCTTCCATAGCTTTGACCAACCGCTTGTTCCATTGCTCTTCGGTTAGCCACTCTTGGTCATTTGAGTCGTACCAAACAGCATCCATCTCATGGCATTCGGCCCATCCTCCTGGCTTCAGCAGTTCGAAACTTTTCTTGAAGAATCCTGGCCAGTCAGTCATGCCCATGAACAAAAGACGAGACCAACACAGGTCGAAGAGGCTGTCATTGTGCGGGAGTGTGGACTGCCCATCAGCTGCTTTCCATCCAGACGGCATCTGCGTCAGGACGTTTCCCTCGAAAAACTTCACATTCTGCTCCCATTGCCGGATATTGGGCACTGGAGACAGGTCCAGGCCGATGACTTCTGCGTCTGGATATTTGCGAGCCATCGCGTTGGTCACGTATCCAGTACCGCAGCCTATGTCGAGGCATCGAGTGACCTTAGCTGGCTCCAGCGGTGCGTGGATAACATCGCCGTACATGAGGCCTTCCATGAGCCGGGCTTGCATCTCCAGCCGGGCGTGCTCTGGTGAGCTACATTATCCTGTAAGCAAGGACCGGTGCAAATGAGACGGAAGTTACTCACTCGTTGGGCAGTACATACACAGACGAGTCGTCCTTGTGGTAAGCTCGAGCCTCCGCCGAGACGGGAGTGTTCTTCTTTAAAGCAGCTGAGTACGACCAACATCACGGACGACAAGAGGATAAACGTACCACATTGAGTACTGCCATTATCGCGAGAATTGGATTGATGGCTCACTTCCGCCTCTGGTATCTTCATCGCCTTTATACGACTATCGGTCTCGACTCTTCACCTTCTCCGTTGCCCCCGTCGTGAGCGGACACGGCCGCGACGGAATCTGCTTGACAAGGACAGATGTTCATGGGCATGTTTAACATGGATGAAGCCAGACCGACATGATCGATCACTGAACGCACTTTGCAACAAATACGAAATGTGTCGACATCCCGGTCTTTTGCAAAAGGATACCGGTTTGCTCCTCTTGCGTATACTTGCAGGGACAATGTCAACTCTGCCAATGTTGTATGGCCCCATGAGAGACCATTTACCGCACTCGATTGCCACAAGCTTCCTGTTCAACCACATACACGGGACTGGCAACTTGCTGAGGTCTTGTCATCTAAGCCTCTCGGCCTCATGGTCACCGAGACGTATTGGAGAAGTGTCCTCAGATTCAAGTACCATGGCTCGCGGCCAGCTGTTGTCAGTGATCGCAGGTTTTAGCATCCGATCACACGGGTCTCAACGTATCACCCCAGCATGAGTAGATAGCTGGTGGACTTTATTCTGAACCACATTACCCAGCGCCAAAGCCCTACTCACCGAACTATAGCGCCGTTTTATTACTGCCTACCGGAAGCGGCACCCACACAAGCCGAGCATGAACCTCATGCCAGGGATACCATACCTCTCCCCAGCGCAGCTGACTATTCGCCAAACCAGACTGGAAGCCTCTGAGGGATTCAAAAGCCCTCACCTTTCTTAGGGGTGCAGTCAATGCCTACTTTACAGACAGTGCCAGCTGGATTGAACGAGACATCGAAGCTCCTAGAAACGGCTTTCAACCAAGCTGAATAGATTCATGCTTTCAAACAACCTGGCAGAATGATTGTTTCACGATTTCGAACACCACATGTTGTCTGGCTGGCTGTATACCTTTCGAAGCTGGTGCTGAATCAGAGACGGCAAAGGAAGCAGCAACGGCGAGCAAGACAGCTGTAGCTCGGTATCTTGCATCGAATGAAAGGAGTGTGCAAAGATGATGAAATTTATCAAGAGCATCTTGCAAGGTCATCTATGTCTACAACAGAGGAAAGAATGCGTCAAAACGCCGATGGCCAGTCTGGCATGACCTGAAAGGCAGAACCCTTCTGAGCTCGAGACGCAACTTGTTACAAGCCAGCCGGTTCAGTGGCCGGAACCAATCTGACATCGCATATTCGAATGGCCATGACGCGACCACTCAATACCACACAATGGATAGGACTTTACGTCGCTCACAGCTCGAAAAAGATCGCCGACAATGCTGGACATCTACCGGATCGCCTTGCCGAAGCCCTCAGTTTCCCCGCTTTTGTTCTGAACGGCGAGTGAATAAGTCTGCTGAAGGCTTGCTCTAGGTCTGCAAAGGCAGCTGGAGATGATATACGGCAACAGCATTGAGGACGGGTACGACGAGTACCCGTTGCCCGGGAGGAGGCCGATGAGAGCAAGTAGATGCAATCACGCTTTGAAAAGAAGGCCACCATCTCTCACAAAGACACGAGCAGAGTGAGTGATCTTTCTGTCCAGTTTGAGGCCGAAAATGTCTCAACAGGCCCGTGGCAAGATGGCAGTGGATTCACTAAGCCATGTTGCTGGCGCGTTGGTGATCCTAACAATCTGCTACTTCCTAGCAGCACACATTCTACGCTCGTATCGCAGCAGAAACAAGTTACCTCTTCCACCAGGACCACGCGGGCTTCCTCTCATCGCCAAGCTTCCTGAGGTGATAGCAGCAAGCAAGACCGGTGAACAACATCTCCTCTTCCAGCGATGGGCGCGCGAATATGGCGATGTCTACAAAATCGAGTTGAGTCCGTTCACACAGTACATGGTCAGCTCAGACGTCGCAGTCAAGGCCATTTTCGACAAATTCGCAGCAACATCTTCGAACCGACCTCACTGGATCGTCAGCCGTGAGCATATCTGCAATAATTGGAACGTCCTACTTTTGAACGCGAACACACCCAGATGGAAGCAGCAACGCAAAGTCACTTGGGCGAATGTTGGCAGCGTACCAAAGGCAGACGCCGCTCTACCCTTTCTGCACTACGAGACGCTCAAGTTCATGCATGATGTGGTGAATGATCCTGCTATACACGAATCAGGACCTGCGTTGTGGAATGCGATCATGAGATACACTTATAGCAACTTCGCTACGCAGATGTTCGGGCTCGATGTCCCTGGCTCAACGGACCCAGCCATCCACTACATCCACGAGACCGGCGTAGCGCAAATCTTTGGCACATTACCTGGCTCATACATCGTCGACGTATTGCCGTTCTTAGATGCCTTGCCTTTGTTCATGAAACCTTGGGAGAAAACGGGAAGAGCAAGGTTTCGTAGAGACCTCGAGTGGTCTACTGAGAAACTGCAGAGAGTCCAGGCGATGGCAGATCGAGATGCTATTCAAGACTCGCTCTTGTGCAAGATCATTGAAGATGAGAAGTATCTCGGATTCCAGACTTTGGAAGAGGGAGCGTATTTCTGCTTGATGCTTACGGTCGGTGCTGCCGATACAAGTCAGATATCGACGTGGTCTTTCATCGAGGCCATGTTGGAATATCCAGAAGTTCAAGTGAAGGCTCGTCAGGAGATCGAGAAGATCGTGGACGATCGTATCCCCGAGTTTGCGGACTATGATCGCATTCCCTACGTATGTCAACTCTTGATTCCGTGGCTCGACAACTGATCAGCCGTAGGTCCGATGTCTCGTGAAAGAAACCTGGCGCTGGAGACCGCCCGTCGGTCTCGGCCATCCGCACGTAACGACTGCAGATATCCAGTACAACGGCATGCGAATCCCCAAAGGCTCTCACCTCCATTTGAACGGCTATGCGATCCACCAGGACCCCAATCGTCATCCCGACCCCGATCGATTCTGGCCAGAACGATACGCAGGGGACGAGACGTCGGTAATGCAAAGCATCAACGCCTCAGACGTCCGCGATCGAGATCACTTCGCCTTTGGAGCTGGCCGGAGGATCTGTCCTGGGTATAACGTCGCCGAACGATCCCTTGCCGTGGCCATTATGCGAATCTTGTGGGCGTTCGAGATCAAACCCTCTCGTGATGCGAAGCTGCCGCTCAATATCGGTGATTGGAGAGGAGGCTTCCCAGGCCTAGCAGGGCCAAAGATGCCGGTGTCGATGGTGCCTTTGAGCGAGAAAAGGGTCGATCTGATCAATCTGGCTTTCAAAGACGCTTCTTCTCACAGGACCAAAATAGTTCGTCTTCCTCATCTTCTCCTCAATGTTCGACGGGTACTGACGGCAATCATAGGAACCGCTGGATGTTAGAACTCAAAGCCAAGCTTATGAATCACATAGATGAATGCCACGACGGACCTCCGGTCACCGTACGTGAAAGAAGTGTCGTGGGATCACGCTGCTTATGTATCCACCACAGCTCACAGCTCCCTAGTCCAGCCACGCACACCATCGTGAAACCTGCTCACTAATCGACTTTCCAGCTCTCACCTAGCTCTTATCTCCTCCTACGTTCTACGCCTTTCTCTCCACAACGATGACCTAACAGACTTTCCCAAGCGCCCATAGAAATCACATGAGGCATTGTCCAAAAGCAGTAATTTCGCAACCTCCACCCCTGTAGCGACTTTACCGCAGCCTCAGCATCATTGCCGCAAAAAGGCAATAAGTAACAAACCTCCCCTCGACCCAGCAAGCACCAAACTCAACAGAAACCAGCCACAACGCATGCCATCGTCAATAGAGAACTCCCAAAACGAGGTCATGGCACAACAGCAGCAGCAGACCAACGACCTCGTCTTCGTGACCTACACCGATGCGCCTACGCGCGCGGCGCGGACACGGGCTGTCAAGGATCTTGTGCGGAAACAGGCTTTGAAGGCGTATTATTCGCCGCAGGGGAGCGATCGGGTGGAGGAGAGGCGGAGGGAGAGCGATGCGTTAGATAAGCAGAGTAGGAAGAAGCATATGAATCGGTTTCGGGTGAGGCGGGATCAGGAGCTGGGGAAGGGGAAGGAGGATGAGGAGAAGGTTAAGGGTGATGGGGATGAGGGGAAAGCGGTGGATCCAATCTTGTTGTCGAGGAGGGTGTATGCTTTTGAGCCGTATATTTCTTCGCTGGGGCCGGGGGCGTGGGAGTTGTTGGAGTATTGTAAGTCTCGCTTCCACATCCGAGACGTAACACGTCGAGCTAATATAGTTGGTGACAGTCCGCAACAGCTTCAAACTGAAATCCATGTCCATACATGGCGACAAAGAATGGTTCTCCTTCACCATGTCCGAGAACTCCATGGCACAAGCAACCCTCTGCCTCGTCTCCCTAAACCGAGACTTCGCAAAGGGCACCGCCGTATCTTCCGTGACCCTCCATCACCGGGCTGCCGCAATGGAACAGCTCAAGAACGAAATCGACGGGACGAGAATAGTCGACCGGGAGACTGTGGCTGGAACGGTAGCAATCCTAGCCATCGCAGAGGACATGGAAGGGAACTTCACCAACTCCTCCGCGCACTTCGACGGCATGGCGCAGATCGCGAAAGCATGCGGTGGGCTGAGGTGGTTCACCGGCGAGAGATCGTGCATGATCCTCAAGATCATCGCTTGGGCCGACCTGCTCCACGCCGCCGCCTGGCTTTCAGAACCCCGTCTCTTGGGCTGGTTCGACAACATTCTCGACCTCAACGCGACGGCCATCGCGCCGCAGGACACGTCCGCGAGGCTCGGTGATCCGCTCTTCCGCCTTGAGCTGGAGAGACTCACCTGTCCGCACCTTCGCGGTATGATGGATATCTTGCATCACTTCCCTCAGCCGACTGCGATGAAAGAGTCTCCGGAAGCGGAGCAGGCGCATTGGAAGAGGTTGCTTCACATGACCGAGCTGATGGTCAAGCAGTTGAAGACAAGAATCCCATTCGAGGGCTCTATACCCGCTCTATCGAGGGCCTTCACTTCGGCAGCGCAGCTGTATGTGCCTGCAGTGTTGAGGCAGACTCCCCTGCCTCGCGATGCCGCGACCTCGTTGACTGAGGAGATTGTGAGCGAACTAGCAGGACACCACATCCGTGCGGACCCAGCGGAGGGAAGATCACCGCGGAATCTGCTCATTCTCTGGACTCAAGTGAACCTTCTAGCTGCGCTGGGTGAGGTTTCTGAACGCGAAGCGCTGGCTTCTGATTTCCAAGAAACGCTGTCAGCCATGGAGATATACTCCGAAGAGGACCTCCTCGAGCAACTGTCCCGTATCGCCTGGTCGGCGCCCTCGATCGATGATGAGCTTGCCAGCCTCATCTTGCCCCTTCAGCTCACATAGATCCCAGCACTCGATGAGCATCCCTTCGATCCGAGAACTTCGCCCAACCACGCCGGGCTTTCGAGAATCCGCTCCACACAACGCTCCAGCAGCCCACGATCGAGCTGAGTCCAGTGAAGAGGATCAAAGCTCCATACTTGGTCCCGAAACCCCACCGCTCAGCGCCTGGAATAGCGCCAGCTTTGAATAACTCCACACCTGCGACTCCGCTAACTACGTACCCAACACCTCTCGCGCCGTTGAGGAGCCCGTACAGCATGCCTGTGTTGATGGCCTCATTCGCCTCTATGGCCTCGCGCTCGAGGTCCTTCACCCAGCCGCCCCACGTAGACGAGTATCCTCCAGCGAAGAAGCCACAGCCCAAGGAGAACGCGATCAACAACCCAGGAATCCGGTTCGACGCAAGACCCCAGAGGAAGAGCGCACACACACTAGTTCCGAAAGCTGATAGAAAAGTCGCGATAGGTGACCACTTCCTGCGATCACTCATAAAGCCAAACCCCACGCAGGAAAGAATCCCCGGTGCATTGAACAGCGTAATCGTAATCGACCCCGAAAACGTCGACTGGTGCAATACATCCCTCGCATACCCCGGCAGATACGTCTGCGGAATCCCATAGCCACTGCTGAAAACCGCATTCGCGATGCAATAGACATAAAACGTCTTGTGCCGGAGGAAGCTCCAGGGGACCTTCGCGGGCGACCTCCTTGCGAGAGAAGCCTTGGTGGGGATGACAGCAATTCCAAAGATCCCCGTGACGAGGAGCATGAGCGCCCATATCCTCAGCGTCCAACGACTCCCCACGTGGTCCAGCAGCGCGGTGAACATGAGCGGACAGCACGTCCCGACGATATTCTTGCTGCTCAACGTAGCGCCGTAGGCCGTCGCTTTGCCGCCGTGGAAATGCTCATCCAGATACAGCGTTGTGGGAGAATATAGCATCGTGCTCCCCAATGCCGCGAGAACGCCCTGCGTGAGGACGAGATGCCAGAGCTGGTGACTAAACGAGCTGAGCAAGAACGCTAGGCTGGAGATGAGGACCCCAGTGATGGCTACGCTGCGCCGGTATTTCGCCCAGGTGCCACGGTCGAGCGCCGTGAAGAGAATGGGCATGGAAAGGTACATGACGCCGTTGAGGGTGGTTCCGATAACACCAGAGGAGCCGCTGGAGGAGGTGATAAGCCCATCGCGGATGTACGCAGATTGGAAGATGCCAAAGGTCATTGCGATACCTGGGATGAATGAAGCACGTCAGCGATAGCGAGGCAGCAAATGAAGCAGGAGGTGAAGCATACCCCAAATAGGAAGCTGCAGAATCGAGCAACCCAGCAAGGCGAAGTAGGCATGTTTCCTCGCCAGTTTCGCTGATGCTCGTTTTTCGTCAGTCTGGCTCGTCGTGGGCGACAGCTCAATCTCCGCGTCCATGATTGTGACTTCGAAAGGATCTGTTCATGTATTGGTGGGTAACGAGGAACAGGAAAGTGCTCGTGTGCTGCTTATAGTATACAGCGACGTCAGTGAATGACTGGAAGTCGGCAAGAAGACCGAGCCTGTAGACTCACTGAACTCTATATTCGCGGTTCGTGCCGATGAGGTGCATGAGTACATGGTCTTCTTCCTGATGAGACAGTCAGCATTTGCGCAGATCGTAGTCGAGTCATCTGCATTCGAGGAACGATGCGCCGATCTCGGCCTCGCGATTAACGTTCTGTGGCGCTCAATGAGAAATTGGAAGAACAATCGCCATCGTGCAAACATCTCTCTGCTTTCGAGAGTTTTCATTATGAGTTCAGTACCAGCGGCACTGCGCTGTGGGCAGTCAAAAGCTCATCGTCGTCCTTGATCCTCGTCGCCTCAATCATTTCTGTTACTTCGCATCTCAGCTCGTTGCTTCGTCTTGTTTCATCCGTTCTCATGCCATGTCTTCATCTTGTGCCATCCACCTTCATTTTGATATCTTCATCTCACCCCTTCGCATCTCCACCTTGTCAAGTGCCATTGCCTTGCATGTCGTCAAACATCTTCTTGAATGCGTCCTTCGTCTTATCCGCATAGCCCCCTCGGTCATTTCTCGTCTGACGTCCAGCTTCCTCAATTGCATCGCCTTGCTTGCTGCTCGCGTGACCCAGCCCTACACCCGCAGCATAGGCTGTTTGCTCGATCGGTGCGGTGATGCCGTCTCCCGATCCCAGTGCCTGTCCTTCCTGCCAACCCGCCTTCTTGAGCAAGTTCCGGGCAACCATCGTGGAGTGTGCTGGTGCCGCATCGTTGGGCGTTTGTTGATCACCTCCCTTTCCTCTTCGAGCGGCGTCTTTGAGGGACACTTTCTGGAACGTCGGCTTCTCGGATGACGCGCCTTCCTTTCTGGCCTTTGCTTCTTCCTGGCGGCGCTCCTTTGCTCGGTCGCGGTAGTCCTCCTTGGGCGCGGGTGCTTGTATGGCCTGCCCAACTTGCGTGCCTCCGTTCTCACTGCTAGTCTTCATTTCCACGTTGAGCGTCTGATGTTGATCGACTTTGCGCGACTTCATTCTGTCAAGTCCCTGCTTGAAAATCTTATCATCCTTGTAGTTCTCTGCATGCTTCGCGCTGTACTGCACATGGGCAACGAGCTTGGCGGAATCCGTTCCGAATTGAGCGTTGCAGAGAAAGCAGCAGACAAGCCGCTTGCCTTCGTTCCTCTTATCGGGTCCATTAAATGCAAAGCTTTGCTCTTTTCCTGTTCCTGTTGTATAATTCTCGTGATTAGCGCCTGAAAGGGGATCGGGATTCGGATTCGCATCGTTCGTCTCGGCCTCCCCGTCCTCACCTCGAGCTTGGGCTTGAGCTCTGTTCAATTGATTGACCATCGCAATTTCGGTCTTCACTTTCTTGGTCGGTTCTGAAGGATTGTCGAGGGTGCCCATCGCTTCGGTCTTGGTGCGCTTCTTGGTCTTGGCCGTCGCCTCTTTGGCGGGTGGTTGTTGGCTCTGCGGTGGAGCAGGTGGGTCTGCGTTGACCATTTGAGGGGATGCGTAGTAGCGAGTGTCGTGGTACGCAAAGTTTGTGCCGTTCCAGTCGAAGGCGAACTGCTGGTCGTCGCGAGAAAGGCCGAGGGGGCGAAAGATGCCAAGGTGCGGGTGGCATAACTCGATCTGCTTCGACGAAATGGTGCAGCTGTTGCCCAAACTCTTGGCTCTGGCCAAGGCCGCCTTTGCATCTGCAGGTGAATGATATTCAGCAAAACCGAACCCAAGACTCCTGCCACTGATGCGGTCACGAATCACGAAAACACGCCTGAGCGTGTTTGGCGGGGCTCCACGTGGCGTTGGCTGGCGAGGCGGCATTCCTGGCGGCATTGGCATGGCGGGTGGTGGTGGCGCTGGCTCGTTCTCGTCCAGGTAAAGTTTCTCCAGGCCTTTGGCCAGGAGGCTCTCGTCCACGGCCGGCTTGAGTCCTCGGACCAGGAGGACTTTCCACGGGCTGTCTTCTGTCGCCACGTCCCCGTCGCCGTTGGGGGCTGGTGGCTCCTCCGGATCGTTGTAGATCGTGGGGTCGGAGTACCCGGCCCCGCTCGAATAGAGCGAGGCGCGGTCGTCCGAACTACGGGCGCGGGAGGTGTCGCCGGGGCCCCAGTCCCGCGATGGACGGTAGTGGCGGTCGTCCTTATAGAAATGTTAGTCGCATGGTGGCTGATGGTGTGTTGGAGAAGTGGGTTGACGGTGGAAACTCACATCACGCCGCCGGGGGTACTCCCTGCCACCGCGAGGAGCGTCTACATCGTAGTAGTCGTTCCGGCGGCGAGTGGGCGAGCGCGAGCGCTCGTAGCGCTCCTCACGGCGGTGGGAGCCCGCCCGGCTGGCCGCGCCACGGATGCTGAATTCTTCGTTCTCTTGACGCCATGATGTTAGCACAAGCGTCCCAATTCAACGCCAGGAAGTGATCAGATCTCTGTTCAAGGGTTACCGTTCGTACGCTGGGAGGACATGTTGGCGGCGCTGCCAACAGCAAAAAGGCGGGGATGATGTTGGTGAAAGAAGAAGAAAGCGAAGTTCAAGTGAGCGTTGTAAGGGCGAAGACGAGCGTGAGGTTGGACCCTGCAGCGGGACGCGGCGGGCGCTCCCTAGCGCATTTTCCACTTGACGTCCCCCTGTCCAGCGCGATCTTCTCCCAGCGAAACATTTTAAATAAGCAGTCAACCAGCTCATCGATGTCGTGGACAGCCATCAAGCAACGGAAAGGATCGTCAGGTGAAGCATTCCATCTTCCTTTAGAGTACCAGTTGATGAGGCTGTCCAACACTGGGTCAATGCGTTAGACAGCGCCTACATCAAGGAGAGAACGGGCAAGTAAAGTAACCCATCTGCCCCTAACATCGCAACGAACCATGCAATCCAACACCTCATCACTACCCTCATCAACGACCAAGAAACGGAGATAAACGAGAAACATCTCAAGTAGCATTACCATTAGAAGAATCTCCACTATCCAGTCCATCCATCCATGAACAGCGAGCCAGGCCAGCCCGATGTCCCTCCCCTCACTCTCAATAAAGACATCAACCCATCAAAGCCATGCACGCTCATTTGATCGCGGACTGTTCTGTTCGTGCCATCTTTACCACAATCCAAAAGCAACGCCATGCAAAAGCAGCTCGAAAGCGCCTCCCCATATCTTACAAATCACATTTCGCTTCGCTTCGCTTCAATGCCGTGTTATCGTACAAGTACAGTGTCCATGCTCTCGTCTTCTTGCGTACTTTATTGTTGTTGGTTCTCCATGGCTCGTACGCGTGCGAGCACCGACGAGCTCTTACGCTCGTGGTTAGGTGGTCGTTCGACCGAGAGAGAGCTCCTGGCTGATTGAGACTCTCGTTGTTCAGGAGCGGGTACCTGCAGAGACTCGTCGTTCGCGTTTTCCGGCTCCTGGGATGTTTCGGACTCATCAACGGCGAGCACTTGGGCCTCGACGTTGCGAGTATCATCTGCAGCAGGTTCGTCGTTCGATTCAGCTTTGGCTGCAGCCTTAGCCAGCGAGTCCTCCAGCTGCTGATTTGCGTCCTCAAATGGTGTTTCTGGTTGTGGTGAGAGAGCACCAGGATCCGCCTCCTCGTCTTCTTCGACGTCTAGTCCCCGGCTAACCGGTGGCGTGATAAAGCGCGGATCTTCCGTAGCACCTTCGTGTGTCGGTTGTAGCTCTGGTGTCGACACCGCTGCAGCCCCAGAGGACATGTTGACGAAGGCCTGGCTGATACTCCTTGGCTGCTCCTCAGCTGAAACGGTCGCATTGTCTCCTGACCCCTCCGAGCCCATCGAGGATTGAGCGGCGGCTGCTGCTTTCCGCTCGGGTATGCTTTCCAGACTTTGCCGCGCACTCTTGACACCAGCAGCCGAGGTCGGCGTAGCTGGCACGCCTCTCTGTGCCATTTGCAAGCAGGGAACCACTCCTCCACCGAGGCGAGCCCAGAACATTCTCTCGCGCAAACGTACAGCTTCTTCCCAAGCACCCTTCTGCTCCTCGTCTGTATCGCACTTCCAGTGACCATCTCGGATCATTCTCAAGAACCCCACAAAGTCGCACGTGGATCTGACTCTCGAAACGCAGTAGTCGCAGAGAGGCTTCGAGACGTTGTCGTCCTCAGATGTGCGGAATCGGAACTTCCGAACATATGGCTCTCCCCTCTTGCTTTCACCACACAGTGTACACGCAAAGTAGTGCTTGCTCTGCGGGTAAGGTTCTACAGCCAGCGTGCCGTTCAACAACGAGCCCACAACTGTTCGTCTACTCAAAAATGAGAGTCCAGGGGCCAGGTCCAGTCGGAGCGTAGGCTCGATGTCTTCTGCAAGGGCGCGCTTGTAGAACTTGCTTTCTTTCAGAGCTGGCATGTTTGGTGAGCTTGACGATGGACTCGAGTTGGCGAAGGAGAATGAGCCAGGTAGGTTTGGTGACGAGGCAGATGCTGCCGCCATGGTATAAGTGCTCTGTCCGGATGATTGTTGGTTTGCAGTGTTGTTGCTGCTGTTTGTTCGAGAGTGCAACCCCATGCGGCGTCCGAGTAGTAGCAAGTCCTGGAAATCGGCATATTCAGTAATGTCGTTTCTAAGCACCGGTGAAATCAATTGCGAGAAATGTAGAGGGTGTTCAGGATGTAGATCGGGTGTGGTGGTCGTGTTGGGTGATATTTGGAGCGCATCGAAGACAGCCGTACTGTTTGTGACTGGTGTCGAAGGAATGCTCAGATCTCGAGTTGGTGTCGCTTCGGCCTGCAGCTTCTCCATGGTGGCCTTGAGATCCTGAAGTTGCTCCTGCTGCGACGCAAGAAGCATCTCGGTGTCCTGAAGTTGGCTTCTGAGCTGTGCATTTCTCTTCTCAACACTCTCAGTCTCTTTCCGCGCAGCAGCGACCATGGTGTTCGCTTCTTCGAAAAGAGCACTCGTCAAGTTTTCCAGTTCTCCCTCAGTCTGCTTCTTCGCCTTTTCCGCAGCATCTCGTGCTGCACGCTCACTCGCCAGCTCGCCTCTGAGTTTAGCAATGGTCTTATCCACATCCGCCTTCTTCAGTAGCAATCCAGCCGAGAGCATGCCATCCAGTCTCGCCTTGTCCGCCTCAGCCGTCGTCCGTAATTGCCTTTCCTGTTCGAGTTCATGTCGCGTGTGCTGTAATGAATCGTCGAGGTTCGTCTGATAGTTGATGGCATTCACGAGCTTCGTGCTGAGCATGGCCACCTCGGCGCTCAGATCTGGTTTGTATGCGTCATCGTCATTATTCGTGCTCTCCGTGCTGATGCTCCGCTGCACGGGGCTGGGTGTTCGTGTATCCATGACGATGTCGTCCCGCATGGCATTCACTGGTGGCATGGGACCGGCCACTGCGGCCATTCTTTTATGGATATCCGGCGTGCTGCTGGACTTGATGAGCCGATGCGGGAAGCCAAAGCGCGATCTGGTAGGAGTGGCCGGCGTCGGGGTCTGCGATCGGGCAAGAGTCGAGGGGCGCTGGGAGGTGGGCGAGGCGTTGGGTGCGCTCGTCAGGGAAGAGCCATGCCAGCTCGGGACGAAGAGGAAGCTGGAATGCGCGTGAGTATGTGAGCGCGAGTTGCTTGTGGATGTTCAGGGAGCATACTCCGCCAGTTTGCCGGCCTAGACTGCCCGTCGGCTACAACTCGACAGCGGGCGAGATGAATATAGGTGGGTGGCTGCGATAGGGCCTATGGTTGGAGGAGGTTCGTGGAGCGGCGTCAAGGTCTAAAAGGGGCTGGATTGGTCGCGCGACGATTCGATCAGCGTAGCGGCGATTTCACTGCGGCCTCTGCGCGACATGGGCGGCTATTCCCATGGCCACCGCAGGACAGGCGAGGAGTGAGTGAATGACAGTGATACAGAAGACAGAGGCAGCTGACGCGGGCGGCTCAAATTGCAGACGGCATGTCCTCGTCGCGCCATGGAATCTCCCCATCGCCACCACGCCAAACCCAGAGCCTCAACGGCCGGAACCAACGCCTTCGTCGTCATCACGCGCTCGCCACATGCCTACAAACATCTGCTACACCTCGCAGGTCCACGGGTCTTTGGGTAAACAACTTGACATTCTGCAATCGCGGTTAGAAAAAATTCTGTCGGCATCTGCGATCACACGTCGATCCAGCAATCACCGAGCCAAACATCTGCACTCTGGTACGCCAACGCTGATGATCCCAGCAAAAGCACGAACTGTCCATGAATCTTGTACCTCTTTCATGGGTCCAAAACGGGAAATAAAAAGTCAATACAGCGCCGCACTGGCTAATTGGGTATCTTTGCTGTTATACTAGCAATTAAAGCAAAATCAAACATCACGCCTTCCTTCCAAGCTCAACACCTACTCTCTGCCATCTGGTCACCACGACCAACGCTCCGCCGACAAGCAATGTAGTACCGCAAAAGGCCTGCAGCCCAACCCAGGTGCTGTCACCCTCCAAAATTACGCCAGCTATCGGCGTACCGATCAGCAACCCCAAAGCCGCGCAGAACGTGTTCATTCCCAATCGTCCGCCCACTGAGCTGAGATCATCCGTGATGGAAACGACTGTCGATGGCTGCAGACTCACAAACGCACCGCTGAATGCGCCGTAGAGTAACGCCCACACGACCAATCCACCCACGCTCGCCTGAGTTGGTATCGCAATCCAGCAAAATCCCAGAAGACCCGCAATGAGCGTGCATACCGAAAGGACGTTCAGTGGTCCTAAGAAGTCGGCCACGAATGAAGGCAGGCTTCTTCCAGCAACACTGCCCGCCGACAGGATAGGCAGCATATAGAAGGCCAACGTATCATCCAGCCCACCCTTCGACGAGGCGAATGTCGAAATGAAAAAGAAAGGAACGTAAAGTCCAATGAACCCCACGAAGGAGGCCAAAGAGAAGAGCGAGAACGGTGCTTCCCGGAAACCGCTGAAATCGATAATCTTCTTTCGTGGTGCCGGCGTTGTCCGCGTCTTGATGCAGAAACATGGAATCAGCAGCGTCCCCAGAGCCATGAATCCCAAGACTCGTGTCGCCCAGCCGAAGCCAAGTTGCGGGACTAGACGGTGGAAGACAATCGTATAGATGACACCTCCGAGGCTGCTTCCACTTGCCGCAAGTCCAAGAGCAAAGGAACGCTTCGTGCTAAAGTATGAGGGAACGATGGCGATGCTGACGATGAAGAGACCTCCATGTCCGACTCCCATGCATAGTCCTTGAGCTAACATGAGCTGCCAGTATTGCGTGCAGAGGCTCGTCATCATGAGGCCGAAGACGACCAGAAGAGAGCCAGAGATGACTAGCGAGCGAGCATATCCTCGATCGAAAATAGGACCAGCGAAGATAGTAGTGCAACACAGCAAGAAAGCTTCGATGCTGCCAATCCAGGAGACTGCGCTTTCGGAGTGTCCAGGTATGAGCGTGGTGGTGTAGTAGGACTGAAAGACTCCGAAAGCGTTAATCAATCCCCACGAATTGAAGAAGAGGAAGAATCCTGATAGGACCTGCAGCCAGGCCGTGAGACCACCGTTGGGGATGAAAGGCGTTGGTGGCTGTGATAGATGCGAGGGCGAGATTTCCAATGGAGAGCCATCGGTGCTGTAGTTTCTGAGGATATCAGGATTGTCTTCATGGCTGCGACCTTGGTGATTTTGCTTCTCGATGTCATGTTCGGAGTGCGCTCGAGAGGTGTATGGCGTGTAGTCTTTGCACTCCTCGATGGATTCTCTGCGACTGTGTACTTGAGACATGGTGCAGGGACCTCAAATAAGAGAGTATGGTTGAGGTCGAGAGCAAATAGTAACGAAAGAGAACAAACCTCAAATACAAACCATGAATCCATGCTACTCATATCCCCAGCACATGTCACCATCCAGAGGTACCGAATCCTCATCCCGAAGGGCCTTGTCGCACAAGCCAGAAAAATCGCACAATGGCGCGACAATCCTGATAACGAAAGGCAGCGAAACCGGCACATGCTGAAAGAAAGAACGTGTTCGCCAATCTTGCATTCCTCGTGGTGGGTCTCTTTTCGGTAGAATTCCCGTGGCGCTGGTGCTGGTCTTCGGCTTTGAGAGCCGGCTTTGGGTGGCCGTGGGTTGAATGTTGTTCCTGGGGGTGGGAAGGGCGATACAAGTTGCCCTGAAAGCGTCTTGGTATGGCTTGTGTCTTCGCAGAGGTCATACGAGGATATCGAAGGCTGGAGCAGCTATTGTGAAGCTGTGCAGTGTGATGGAAAAGAAAGTCGTTGTGATGCAGTCGCGATGGACCGCAGAGCCGCCGCCGATGAAGCCGAAACTTTGGACATGGATTTTCCTGTTCCTTGCACACTTCGTCACCGACAACCACCACCATACCGCTACGACCTCCCGTGGACTTCGATCACGGCATCTCCGTCTTAACACAAGCATGGAACAGTCATGCTCCGCGACTTCCCACCCTTGGGCCCTCGAGTCTCAGCCGACGAGCAGATCTTTATGAACACTGCACCAGTCAACGAACGACCCATCGATCATGCGCCTATAGATCCTTTGGACGATGTCTTTGGGTCTGCGCCATCGTCGCCGACACTGCCTGCTCAAGCCGGTAACGGAGGAGAGGATGCTGTCCTGAGCAGCGGCGCCCAACGTGCCGAACACTCAGACATCCCCAGACTTCGAAGCATCCACGTCACGAATGGCTACCGTGAAGGTATCGCCGTGAGCAAAGAGAAGCATATACAAGCTGGCTTCGACGAAGGCTACAGTCTAGGAGGGGAAATTGGTGTGAAAGTTGGCTGGTATCTGGGCGTACTGGAGGGAACCTCTCAAGCTGTCGGACGTCTTGAGGGAGACAGCCATGGCGAGCTCAAAGACGAGGTGCAAAAGACGTATGTGGAGGCGCAAGAGGCGCTAAAGATGGAGAAGCTGCTCGGCCCGGAATTCTTTGGGCCAGATGGTATTTGGCTATATGAGGTCCCTGGGCAAGACGACGAGGGCAGTGAGTTGCAGGTGACTTTTGCAGATGTTGCTGCGAGGCATCCTGTGCTCGTTCAATGGAGGGAAACGGTTGAAGGGATCGCTAGCAAGGTCGGACTCAAGCTGGGGTGAAGTGACTTCGCCAGCTAGAGACCACGGGCTTTGTGAAAGTAAGGGTTTGTCTTCTGGCCTCGACTGCCGATATCACTCAGCCTCACGGGCTACCTCTTGGTCGACTAGAGGAAGTAGAGCGGCCACGCCCAGAGGAGCCTCCCAAGACAAGGCCACGAATGTGCCACTCAAGAGACAGCGTGACATCTCATACCAGCGATGACCTCTTGCGAGATCTCCCGAAACGCCACTTGCTCACTACAGCAGCCGTCTTCACAGATCAAGAATAACCAGCCACTGGAGCCACGCAAGTATGCTGCTCTGCCCGTCTTTTCCGCCCACAGGATCGACACGCCGCGTTCCTGGCAGCTCTCGGCGCCGGGCCGAGTCCCCTTGGCAATGCCGAAGATAGCAAGTCACGTAGCCTTCACTACCAATAGAATTGACGATCCTTGACTTCGAAGATTTCAGTTTGACGTCTACTTGCAGGTAGACAGCACCTGTACTGAGTAGGCAAGATGGCTGAGTTGCCATTGGCATGTACCTTACGTTTCAGAAGTAGTAGATGCATATTCTCCTTGGCTCTGGTGTGTTCGTAGATATAAGAGGATGCCGGAGTGGTATCAGGATGGGTAGATCCAAGTCCAGACACACTCGCTTTTGAACAATCCAACACCGCATCCAACCTATCACCAACATGGTCGGCACCAAGATCTTGACTTTCGGCGCTCTCGCCACACTCGTTTGCGCCAGAGTCGCTCCTCCATCGAATGGGCAATACAGCAACGTCGTACATGCTCGACAGAGCGACGACGATGACGATGACGATAACAACAACAATTCCAGCTCCCAAACGAGCGCAGCTTGCAGTGAGTCCTTGTACATCTTCTACCAACTCCATTCTTTGCTGACCAAAGTCACAGACGCCGTCATCGACGCCACTCGCAGCAACTCTAACTACTGCTCCGACGCCAACATCATCAACCAGCTCAACACCTGTCTCGCAACATTCTCAGGCGACGACGACGAAGACTGGGAAGAGACCTACGACGACGTGCTGGAGGGCATTGGAAGGGCTTGCGGACAGACCGCCCGGCCAGGATCCACTTTGACGGTGTCGGGTTCGACTGGGGCGTCGACGACAAATGGCGCTACCTCGACCCCTACTCCTACTGCTACTGGAGTTGGCAACAACAACAACAACGATGACGATGATGATGATGATGACAATAATAACAATAATGGCAATGCTACGAGGACGACGTTCAGTTCTACGACGACGGTTAGCACTGGGGCGCCTACTGGGACTGGCAATAACAACAACAACAATGATGACGATGACGACGACGATGGAAACAATAACAACAACAATAATACATCGCGCACGTCTGGCACTTCAACGCCGACTACGAGCGTCACTACGACTGTTGGTGGCGCCACTGTGACGCCTACATCCAATTCTCAGGCCAATAACAACGGCGACGATGATGGCAATAATAACAGTGTGGGAAGCACCAATGCCGGCAGTGTGCTCAATGCTGGTATTGGGGCTGCTTTGGTTGCCGTGGTGTTTGCGTTGGGGATGTAAGAGTGGAGGGTGTCGGCAACAGGAGACCAAGATTCGAACAGCTTAGAAGTTTCATTGCCTTGATTCGAGTTCGTCGAACAACTCACGACAGTCCTTTTATTGATAGATATGGTCTTTCTTGCTTAACGCATGTTTTGTCAATCAATCCGTACGCCATGCACTTGGGTATCACATCAGGTCATTCCTTTTCATCACAGACATCCGATCAAAATCCACTGTCATTCACAGCCATACTCTTCCTCAACTGCCTCTGCCGCTGGCTCGCCTGCAACTCCAACCTCCCCACCGCATAACTCAAACGCTCTTTCTTCTGTCGCAGTTGCTGCATCTTCAACTCTTCCAGATTGTTCGATCCGCCAGCCCCACTGGTATTCCGTGCTGGGCTTTTGCTCCCTTGACTGACTCGTGATGGCTGCGCGAGTCGACCCTCCTGCAACTCTGCTTTTGCTATGAGCGATTTCTCTCGTCGTTCGAGTTTGTCCAGGGACGTCTCGACACGGGAGAGGAGGTTGGAGACTTCGGGCTGGATTTCGGATAGGAGTGTCGATTGTGCGGTTGTGAGGTCGTGTTCGGAGACGAGTTCGAAGTGCTGCATCTCAAATATTAGATTGCGTGAGCAATTGACGAAGTAGTTGTCTTCTCACCCTCGTCGTCTGCAACACCTTCCCAAGCCGTGGGTAATCGCTCACTCCGGAGTCCAGAATGTTAATGCTCGACTCTAACAGTTGCATACTCGACTGAAGCGAAGACACGCAGCCCTGCAACGCATTCTGCGTACTGGTGTCCATCTTGAATGGCTTCAACAAGTCCAAGTCAACAAAGCCGTCGCGTGAAGTTGAAAGACGCGGTCGGCCCGCAGATCCCCGCCCGAAGCTTCAACATCCCTGCACTGCACAGCGCACGGCTCACAATTTCTTTGGGGGCGGGCACACGACACTTCCACTTCTGAGAGAATTGCGGTGACACTTGCAGCTGAGAGCAGTCTTGCGGACGGGCTGAGCAAACGAGTTACCTACTCAATAATACTGTCTCATCCTCAAAGAGATCCACTATCGTCAGGCAGTCGCGACGGGCGCTACCTGAGACATGGTGGCATTCAAAACACCTCCGAATATCTCCTTCAACTGACTGCTTCACCTCTCCGAACACGCACCTGGCCTCCATCCAAAATGCTGAGCGACAAAGAACTCTCCGACGCGGCAAACCAGCTCGCTTCATTCCGGGTCAAGGACGACGAGTACCATCGCAATCATGCCAAGATTCTGGACAAGTATGCGGCTCTCATGGAGGACTTCAAGCGTTTGAAGAGCGACTTTGAGGAGGCGAGGGATTCGAGAGAGCGGTATAAGTCTTTGGCGAAGGGTGGGGAGAGGAATCCTTTCGTAAGTTTGATGTTTTAGTTCAGCCTGGCCTTGTGGGGTGACCTTGATGAGCGGCCTTGCTGGAGTGTAAAGGGCCGATGGCTTGTAGCGCCAACCAGATGCGGGCGTCTTTGGAGGAATTGGAGATGAAAGCTAACACCATAACAGGTCCTTGTACTCGTGGATGGCGATGGATACGTGTTCGACGATGACCTGCTCGAAAGCAAGGCCGAGGGCGGCTCGAGAGCTGCTCAGCTTCTCAATGACACAGTCCAGCGCAGCTTGAGAAACCGTCCTGGTTTAGAGAACTGCAATATTATGGTTCGCATTTACGCCAATGTAGTTGGTCTTTCGAAAGCAGTATCGAAGGTCGGACTGGCTGGACCTGAGAAACGCTCCTTGGCACCATTCGTAGCCAACTTCAATCGGTGAGTGACTGGGGCAGTTACTGAGACGACATGAATACAACTTTTAACATTCTTACAGATCCAACGGCCTTTTTGACTTCGTGGATGCCGGTGAATTAAAAGAAAACGCGGACTTCAAGATTAGAGGCCTTTTCCGCCAATTCGTGGAAAATACTCAGTGTCGACACATCTACTTCGCAGCTTGCCATGATGTGGGCTATCTATCGGAGCTGACCTCATACACAAGTCAGCGCGACCGAATTACGCTGGTACGCAACTATGCGTTCCATAAGGAATATGCCAGGCTGGGACTTCGCACAGAAGAGTTTCCCGGCATCTTCAGAGCAACTGCTCTTCCATCTCCATCCTACACAAGTGGCGCCGCAGATATGCCGCCACCGCCAACTCCGTCCAAACCAGTCACCTCGCCTATTCCAACAGCACCACGCCATGCCAGTTCTGCTTCAATTGATGCAGGTGAGTAGTATGATGACGGGGTGTCGTATGCGGTATCAAAGGAACTTCTCGCTAACTCATCGCCACTAGAACCCTGCACGTTCTACCAGAAGGGGGCGTGCAAATACGGCAAAGGCTGCAAATTTGCCCACGTCAAAGTATCATCGAACGGTCATATGGATAGCTCGGACTGGAGAACCCCCAGCAAGACAGATACATTCCAGACGACACCCCTTTCCAAATCGGATAACAAATTTATGACAGGCAATAGTTCATTTGCCAGCGGTACCCCTGACTTCACAGTGCTGCCCCGAGAAGGCAGCGTACCACCGAATAAAACACCAGTCAATGCTCGCCAGGAGCGTCTCGACTGCTACCTACCACCAATTAGTGCCGATGATCGAGCCCAATACCGGGCCAGAATTGCTAGGCAAAAGCTCTGCAACTCTCACCACCTCAACGGATACTGTCCAAATGGCACGGATTGTCAGGTAAGTTATCCTTTCCATTTCCACCTGCCTGTCTGTGGGCAGGAGTGTTGAATGTGCAGGACCTTGTAAATACCGCAACATATAGCTGACCCACTGGCAGTACGATCATTCGCCCATCAGTGAGGGCGTAAAGAATTGTCTGCAAGAAGTAGCTCACCACGCACCTTGTCCACGTCGTCAGGCGTGCCGTTCTCTTACCTGTCTTGCCGGTCATGTCTGTCAGCGCCAGGATTGTCAGAAACGTGGAGGACGAACATTTTGCAAATTTCCGTTCCCCATGCACAACGTCGACTTCAACATGGCGGAGTACGTGCAAGGCACGAATGCTCCCCAGGAAGAGAATGGCAGTGCAAGCGGCAGCGCAAAAGAATCGCCAACGTCCTACTCTAGCGGTGGAGAATCTCCGCAAGCGGACACTCAGGAAGGAGCGCCACTGGGCGCAGTCGAAGCCGAGACAGTTACACTGCATACCTCTGCTTGAGTTCATGCCGGGGGTTTGCACTGACGCTCTGCAAGGTAAAATTGCAAGCAGTCCAATGGAAGGGTGGAGCAGGGAGAACTCGAACGATCACTTTTTGCTGGCGCTCCATGGAATCACTTACGACGGAGAGGTAACAGAGCATGAATAGGACTGGAACGAAATCTAGAAAGGCTAAATACGGAAGAAGACGTCAACGCTAATGCTCGAACTTCAGTGAGCATTACGTTGACGTCTCAGGAAACCATCAAAGGATTCGAAAACTGGACCAGGGTCAGGGGTGAATATGGCAAGGACTGTGGTGGCCGATGCGTGGAGCTGGAGAGGGCGGACATAGCTACTGGATATGAGGTATGAAACTGTATGGAACAACACTTCGCGGGTGGTTGTCCTAGGACCCGAGGCCAACGAAGCTGAGTTCGGATTCAATCGACAAGACGTGCAATCGCGAGATGCGTCCAATGCTTAGTGCTCGCCCCTGCTGCGAAGCCCATGTGCACCTCGCTTGCAGAGCTGCATCTGAGCCACATCTCTGAGACCCCAAGCTGAAAGAGCTGAATGGATCTTGATCATATCTGAAGCCTGCGAAAAGCGTAGGACGAGCACAAACCTCGACATTCGTTTTCACGAGCAACTGACCATGGATCGGGATCAGTGTTACGACGCACCCAGCTTCTATGCCCCGCATCCACTACTGGGCTCTCGACAGACTCGGGTGATCGACCTTCTGCCAACCGCACGAATCTACTGAGCACCCCGTCAGAGCCCAGATACGAGTAATCGATCTTCCGAAGTCCTGGGCTCGGTTCCTGCGAAATCAACATGCTCACGAATGCACTAGGATGCAGTTGGGAATCAAGGGATACCAGGCATTATCGTATGCATGGGGTTGTTTCGAGAAGGACGAGAGTCTTTCCTATGGCGATTTCCGGCTAAAGGTTACCTCGAATCTTCACGGCGCACTCGGACCCTTTCGCCGGCGGATTTCAAACGATCAGCCCCTGCGTACGTTTTAGGTCGATGCGCTTTCCATCAATCAAGAGGACGACTGTCAATGCAGAAGCCAGTCTCGATGATGATACCACAACGCTTCTGTTTTTGATACGCAGGACCATCAACTACAGGGGGGGTGGACCGACTCCATCAGGCGCCAACGAGCTGGGGTTGAACCAGAACGAACAGCTCTTGTGGGTCAAGAATTCCAAGTCTCGGTTCGTGGCAGTACCGTCGGAGACTCGCGTTGACGAAAAGGGCGTGTGTGCTTGTCGTATCACCTCCTGCTTCGCTGTCTTTGAGGATCGGCAAGACCCCATGTATCTTACTTGGAAGCTGCAGAAGTTGGACGCTTGGTCGACAATCAAGACGTTTGAGAGATCCTATTATATCTCACCGCTTGCTTTCAGCGACAAGTGGTCGATGAAACCGCCAAGAATGGGACTTCGGTTCGCAGCCGGCAAACGAAGGATCACCATTGCCTAGACAGGACGGAGGCCTCGAGGCGTATCGACTACAGCGACTCTCTCCAGGCGCAGAAAGTCACAAGCAGAGGGGCTTGTTGGTTTCACGGAAGGTTGTTGCAGTCAGCTTACGGCTGCCACGCGAACACAAACCTCCATGGATCGGCTCCGAGGACCCGCCTGACTTTGGCACTGCACATTACATGAAACGTTTGATTTATACAATCTACTGCTCGGAACTTACCCTTGGCGCACATGGCTGAAAACATCAAGTAAAGCATAGGGCTGGTGAGTGCCAACGATTTAGGCGACCTTAGTCATACCCGATTACGAATTGACACACGAAGGATTCGCGTAGTTTCCAGCTGAGTGAATGTCGGGTCCGCGGCGCCCACTGCAGTTCCAAACAACACACTAGCCCTTGTTGCTGACGCGGCTGAAAGCTGCACGACGAGGTTGCCTTGACTCGGCTCGAACAGAACACATTATCACCATCTCATCTGGGCGGCAACAAGATGGTATCGCATGACGATCCTGCGACGGATGACAAGTACTCAAAATCAATACAATGTTACTAACGAGGAAGCTGGCACGACTATCACCCGAGTCATTCATTCGCTCTCGATGCGCTGATATCGCGTAGCTGCATGTGTCTGTGCCCTTGTACCACGGAGGAGACGTCGGCACATGCGCAATCCTCCAGAAGTCGCGAGCGAGTAAGGCGGAGCCATATCAACAGGTCGAACCTTCCAAAACCCCTAGCCTCGTGGACCCTTGTGTGTAAGTCTTATAGTGCTGACTTGAGGCAGCTCGCGTAGAGGGCCTGACGCTCTATCAGCTCGTGCTTTCGACCCGACACGGTAAATCTCTCACAGAAACCCTGGCGCCCATGGCGATGCAACCAATTGAAACGAGAGACAGAGTGCTGCAGCTAGCGTTGTGATGGCGCGGAGCTCTCAGGGCTGGGTGGGATGCCTTGCCCTTGACACGTCCGTGGAGGATGGTATGTCAGTGCAAGTTCTACTCGCATTAGGATTCATGAAGGCTTGGAAGGATTTTTTATGAGGAAGGAGCGCCCACGGTCTAGCACTTTACTCTCGACACTTCACTTCACTCCCTCCTCGAGCTTGACAACACTCACGCAACACAATGAGAGTCGTCATCGTCGGCGGCGGCATCGCTGGCCTAACTCTAGCCAATGCACTGGAAAAAGCAGACATCGACTACGTCCTCCTCGAACGTCGCGGCCTCTTCGACCCCCAAGTCGGCGCCTCCATCGGCCTGAGCCCGGCGTCCATCCGCACTTTGGACCAAGTCGGAGCTGCACAGGAGATCCTCGACGCCACCAAGTCGATCAAGAGAGGCCGACATCATCGCGCGGATGGTAGCTTGATCATGCCCCCGGACGAGAACTTCCCGCTCCTCGAGCGCCGCTTTGGATATGGACTTTGCTTTCTGGATCGTCAGATTGTGTTGCGTGCGCTGTACAATGCGATTGAGGAGAAGGAGAGGTGTCTTTTGAACAAGCGGGTTCGGGAGATTGAGCATCTGGAGTTGGGGGTCAAGGTTCATTGTGAGGATGGGACGACGTATGCTGGAGACGTCGTCTTGGGGTGTGATGGCGTCAACAGCAAAGTCCGCGACGAGATGTAAGACGCAAATTTCAATGCTCGTATTGGCGATACATGCTAACGTGCTTTGTGTAGGTGGCGAATCGCAAGTCAAGTCGATCCCACATACTTCTCGCAGAAAGAGCGAGAAAGGATGACGGCCGAATACACCTGTCTCTTCGGCATCAGCCACCCGCTACCCGGAATGGAAGAAGGCGACGTCGACCACGTCTACGACAAAGGCCACGCCATGCTCGTGATCCACGGCAAGGGAGGGAGGATCTACTGGTTCTACTTCCAGCGACTGCGCAAACCTGTACACTTCCACAGCGACTCATTCCCGAAATACACGGCCAAGGACGCTGAGGACATGGCTGAGAAGGAGGGTTGGCGGCCGTATCATGATAAGTATAAGTTGAAGGATCTTTGGAGGAATCGGATTACTTATACCCTTGTGGCGATGGAGGAGGCTTTGTTTGAGAATTGGTCCTATGGCCGCATCGCCACGATGGGCGATAGCACACACAAGATGACGGCGAATCAAGGCTCCGGCGGAAACGCAGCAGTCGAGTCCGTCGCGGCGATGGCGAACGAACTCAAACGCCTGCAAGAAACCTCCTCTTCCCCTTCAGCCCCTGTTTCAGCAAAAGAAGTCCGCACAGCCTTCGCAGCATGGAAAGCCAAACGCAAGAACCGCATCAACTCGACTTGGAAGGACGCCGCGAAGTTCTGTCGAATGCAAGGCCTGGAGAGTCTCGGTGATATCATCACCGTCTTCTACATCCTGCCGAATGCAGCCAACTACATTACGGCTATATACACGAAGTCTCTGATCGGTGCGGAGGTGCTGGAGTACCTCTCTCTGCCGGAGAGGAGCTTCAGGGGCACTGCGCCGTTTAATCCTAAGCAGGGTACTGGGCAAGAAGAGAGCACAGTCGTGCGGTGGCTTTTCACGGTGCCATTGCTGGGGATGGCCTACTTCGGCTATCAGAACACGGCCACGCAAGACACATCACTGGTACAACCCTTCTCAACCCTCTTCGACCCATCCTCCTCACAAGCCTCCTGGCTCCAATCCTTCTCCCTCCAACTCACCACCGCCGTGATGTACTCCATCTGGCTCATCGAATCGAACCGCCGCGCCAACACCCTCACACCCGTGCAATTCAGCATCGCTTTCGCCTCGCTCTCCAACATCTTCGGCCCGGGATTCATCGCCCCGATCTTCTACGCCTTCCACTACCTCTCCAGCCCCATCGAGATCTTCGCCCCCTCAGATATGCGTCTCACAAACGTCGCTTATACCCGAACCGTCCTCCCCATGATGCTCCTCCATACTCTCGTCCCTCTCACCCTCCGCCTCACCAACGTCTCAATCCCCATGGACAAGACCGCATGCTGGTGGAACCTCCTCCTCGCGCCCTTCCTCGTTGGCACACTTCAACATCTCCTCGTCCGCACAAACGTCAGCACCGCAAACATCTACCAAGATGCCCTGCACGACCAGAAAAAAGACCTCCCCGCCATCACCCGCACGCTCTACACCCTCACCGCACTCTCCACGCTAGGTTGGTGGTCGACCTTCCCCACCCTCCACGCAGCGGAAGCCTCTCTCCTCCTGCCCACGGCCGTCTGGCTAGCCCTCCTCTTCACGGATCTCAAAAGCGCGGGTATGCTGCGTAGGTCGTGGTTGACTATCATCTCCGCCGGCGTTGTGGTCAGTGTGATATGTGGTCCTACGACGGCGCTGGGGTTGGGATGGCTTTGGAGGGAGAAGGTGCTCGCAAACGAGAGGCATAAGAATGCGCTTACGAGGGAGAGGTATGGGGGTGGGAAGACGGTTTGGGAGGTTGAGGGGACGGGTCCGGTGGGGTTTGGCAAGAAGGTGGGGGTGGATGGGAGTGTGGATGGGGAGGTGGAAGTGAATGGACATGCTATTGGGGGATTGAATGGGCACCTGAATGGGAGCGCGAAGTAATGAGTAATGACGATCGATGGTGAAGATGGTCCAAGTACTTTTGAGGCTTTTAGCAAGAATGTTCATTAGACAGGATATCGAAAGGAGAGTCCAACCAACGCTGTGCGAGGATGGTCATACACGCTTCCAATCATGTTTCTTTATACCCAACAAAAAAATCTCGATTCCCTTCTTTCCCCCCATCTAACCTGCGATGGAAGACAGAAAAGCGCCAAACGCAAATGCAATGCTGCCGTTCGCCACACGGAAAATCTACATCACACTCCACACACTCACTCACTCACTTCCTTACAAAGCAGCAGCAAAGCCCACCGCCAACGCCAAAACAGTCAACATAGCAACGGGCCTCGCCGTCGACGCGGCGCCCTCATCGCCACCACCACTGCTGCTCGAGTTGGATGAAGAAGAAGAGTTGCCGCCGCTGGCACTGCTATCGAAGCTCGTATCCTGCGCCTCGGTGGAGCTGACGCCGTTGCTGAGATCCGGCTCGGTGGCGGAGGGTTCGCCGGCCCACTGGGATCCGTCGCCCTCGAGACCGGGGCCGGTACCCGCGCCGTCTTCGAAGTACCGCTGTGCGCCTTCGGGCATCTCGGGGAGGAGGGTTGTGCCGACGCGCCACTCGTCGGTCTCGGGTGGGCATTCGGGGACGGTGCGGGTGGTGCGGGCGCCGCCGTCGCCAGTGGGGTTGGGGGTTGCAGCGTAGGCTTCCTTGAGGCGGTCGAAGTCCTCGTTGGGCTGGACGCTGTTGCCGGAGAGTTCGACGAGGCCGTAGCCGTTGGCTTCGAGGGTGTATTCGTAGGCGAGACCGCCGGAGTAGGCGATGGTCATGTTCTCGGAGTAGAGGGCTGCGATCTCGTTCCACTCGCGGGTGTTGGTGATGCAGCCGAACTCGGAGAGGAAGAGGGGCAGGGAGTAGTTCTTGTAGGTCTCGACTTTGGCGTCCCAGCCGGAGAGGGTGAAGGAGGAGGGGTCGCACCAGGAGTAGTCGTTGAAGGCGAAGAAGTCGGAGCGGGCGATTTCGTCGTCGCCGCAGGCGAAGTAGAGGGCTTGGGCTTCGATGTTCTCGGCGACGTCGGCGGACGAGTAGCCGACGGGGATCTCACGGGAGGATTGGGCGCGGATGTAGTTCTTCATGTCGCGGGTGACGGCCTTGACGTAGGGGGCGGCGTTGGTGTTGTTGCGGGCGTTGATGACTTCGTTGCCGGAGAAGAAGAGGAGGAGGTTGCCTGTAGAGTGTTAGTGGTGTTTGAAAAAGAATATAAGATGGAGGCATCGTACTGTAGCCAGCGAAAGCGTCGATCGTAGCAAAGACGGATTGCAGGTAGACATCGTTGTACGAAGCATGGAGCGAGGCCTCGTTCTCTCGGTTCAGAGAGTACTCTGGGGTGTTGGCGTCCAAAGCGAGGTAGATGCCCGCCTCATCCAGCAACGCCATAGCCTCGTCGTGGTTCTGGCTGTTGTCGATGGTGTAGATGCGGACAGTGTTGATGCCCAGCTCTTTGAAGTTCTCGACATCACGACGCAGGGCCTCCAAGTCGAGCAGGGGGTCCGCGGCGTCTGCGGCACCTCCTGGTTGGTATGCAACACCGCGGACGTAGAATCTCTCGCCGTTGGCCCAGAAAGCGTTGCCCTCGCTCGTCACGGCGGGTAGGCTTCCTTGTTGGCGGGGGATGACTTTGCTGGAGACTGCTGTGGCGAAGGAGGTGAGCGCCAGCGCGGCGCCGGAAATGACGCCCTTCATGTCGGTGGTGGAATGTCGATATCAAAAAGGGTAAAGAAAAACGAAGGACCAGGGTGTAAAAGGTGTGGTTTTGAACGAGTGTGGGTGTCGGATAATTGGAATTAGAAAGTAAAGGACGAGAAGACGGTAGAAGGGGAGGAATTGATCGAAAGGGCAGAAGATGTCGCTGTCTGGAGGTGCCGGCCTCTTATTCGGATGAGGTGACGGCCAAGGCTCCCAAGCCTCCAAGACTCCTGCCAATGCCAGGACTCGCAATCCGCCCAGCAGCGAATCGACATGGCGCTCGTTTTGTGTGACAGCTTCAAACACGCTGCGGAGCGCGTTGTGTCCTCTCTTACCTCATGATTCACGGCCAACATGTCAATGACCGACAGCGTTGTCCGCACCTGGCAGGAACCTGTGCAGCCAAGTGAATGAATCCCAACGTCCATCTCCAGCTCTTTTGTAGTGCATGTCCATCTCTTATCGGGCGCATCCACGCGTCGTAATCATCTCTCTCCCGCCACGTCTGGGCTGAACCACTGCAGAGGCATCGATTGGAGTCTTGGACGTCTTCAATAATGTCGACGAGACAGCGACAAACAGGAGACGTCTTGGCCTTGGGATCTCGTGTGAAACGCTCGGGCCCTCGGCAGCCCAGCCGCCGGCCGCCGACGGACTCGCGCCTCGTAATGATTTTCACCCGGGATATGAGAAAGGGCGGCTGCGTCTCATCTTATCCACTCCACAGATCTGCTGCGGTCTCTTCTATGTATCATGAAGGTACACGAACTCTTGCCACACAGATAAAGCGACACTGGAACGGGGGTTGAGTCAAGTCTGCCCCTACGGCGGCCGAATATGCAAGCATGTCGAAACTTCTACAAATACTACTCTTATATGCAGACTACGTCTCGACCAACAGGAGTAGACGTGTGAGAGCGGAGCAACAAGACCACGCTTTGGCATTGCTTTGCCGTACGACCGTACTGCAACATTCTCTCATCGTGGATTGACATCCTGTCTGCAACTGCGCATAGCCCCAAATCCGCCTAAATGCGCTCTCCCTTCGCCAGGATACAGCTCCCGCGCCTCGTCTATGCATACTTCAGGATCTCTGGATCGTACGTAGAGTACGCTGGGCCAGATGTTGGCTCAAGGCTGAACATGTACGAGCCCCACCATGGCCCAGCGGCCCACCAGAGAGCACCAGTCCATACATCAGTGTTTTGCTGAATGTACGAAAGCATACCGTCGACTGCAGATTCGCACACAGAATTCACCCCGCCCGCGAACTCGCCGATGAGACCTTTCTTCTTGTTGCTTCGGAGCCACTGCGTGGCGGCTACTAGTCGGTCTGCACCGATCGTGCTGTTGACACATGTTGCCGATGTTCCACTGCCATCAGCGTCGAGATATTGATGCATCTAGTCAGTTTTGAAGGTCAGCGATCCTCCATCATCGTACTCTACCATTCACTCGGTATCGTTACCTGATAAATCAGCTTGTTCGACGAGTCTGTCAGGGATCCCATTGTCTGAGCGTTCGTTTTCCCATCTGTACCTGCCTGGGTTGTCCATGTCCAGGCGCCGGTATACGCATTACCTTCGGCAGTGATATACTGTGACGTCGCTCCAGCGCCGCGTATACCGTTGATTGCGGCTTGATTCAGTTGTGCGACCAAGGTTCCCGCCATATCGTGGTACTGAAATGTCGACTCGTTAAGATCTCTGCTCGTCGTACTACATTGTGTGCCTCCAACTGACCTCGTTATTGGTGTCGAATATCACACGCGAGTTGCTCTTATAAGGCGTCGCGAGCGTCTTCCAGAATGTCTGGAAATCACTAGCACTGGTGATCACATTGCCATAATAGCGGCCGTAGTTGTGCGGGACGATGATCGCATATGCACCCAGCGAAGTGATATAGTTGACCGTCTGCGTCAAGTTTCCCAGGTAATTCGGATCCAAAGGTCCGGTCATTTGGTTGGGGATGATGCGTTCCATCAAAATATTGACACGAAACACGTTCATACCCTGTGACACGAAGGTCTTGATCGTTGGCAGGTTCGGCCAGGTATAGTCGACATTGTAAGTGCCAGGCAGATTCTGAGCACCGAACTGTGCATACTGTGAGCTCGGAGTCAATGCTATTCAACGATCTGGCTGCCTACCTCCGGGCCTGACTCGTTGATGCCGATGAATTGGAACTTCGCGGCACGGTTTTCATTCAGCGGCTTGGCCACGGCAAGGACTGCGAGGCAACCGACCAAGCATAGATTGTGAAGCAACATGGCTGATTAAGAAACGGTATTGGAGAAGTCAGGGGGTGTGGGCCCTTCACAAGCGTTGCAACTAATGAGGCTTTCATGGTAGCAGCAAGGCCCTGCTATATCATCATACTCAGTCCACTATACATGTCTGCACTGAATCAGCGCTCTATCTTGTAGGACTTTGCTAGGAAGAGAACCACAGCATGACTACTTTCGCTCTCCTCGTTTCCTAGAGCAAAGGGGTCAAATTGGGGAACTCCGAGCTCACTGCGGCAGGTGTACTTGCATTAACAGCCGCCATCCACTCGATTTTAGTGCTCTCCTAGCTAAAGGATGCTAAGTAGTTACGTTGTGTCTCCTCCATTGAATGGGAGGTAGTCTTCCGCTCTAAGACTGGATTAGCGTCGAAGCTTGCCTTCCAAGCTTTCCGAACCAAATGTGGCAGGTGCGTAAAGAACCTCCCTCCCAGTTGTCGAGAGAGCCTCCACTGCAAGAGTTAGATATAGTGGAGAAGATTTGGATCTGGTGGCATTCGCACGCGACGCAGTGCCGAACCTGGAACTTAGTTTCCCTCCAGCCCAGCAGAGTACCTGGCATTGCTGCCCATCTCGTCTGCAACCATGAACAGGCTCTCCTGTGCCTTGTTGGCCATTGCTGCCATCACCATCGCTGGACCGATCAGAGGCCCACGCACGGGATTCGTTGACACCCAAGGAACACATTTTGCGTTGAGCGGCAAACCCATGTTTTTCGCTGGCAGCAATGCCTACTACTTTCCGTTCGCAAATGTGAGTTGTATTTTACAAGGCCAATATGATCGTTCCGAAGTCAAGGAGTAACCGAGCCATCACAGAACCAGTCAGACGTGGAATTGGGCCTTCGAGCGGCCAAGAAAGCTGGCCTGAATGTCTTCCGAACTTGGGGCTTCAACGACAAGAATGCAACTTACAACCCTGACGGCCTTCCCCAGTACGGAGCGGAAGGAGCAGGAGCGACTGATGTCGTTTTCCAGACGTGGCAGAACGGCAAATCGACCATCAAAATTGAAGCTTTTGATAAAGTCGTGAACGCTGCGGCCGCTACTGATATCAAACTCATTGTGGCATTGACGAACAACTGGGCTGACTATGGCGGCATGGACGTCTACATTGTCAACTTAGGGGGGACTTACCATGACGATGTAGGCCGCTCCGTCACATGGGACATATCTGGTGGCCGCCGGAAATGGTTCAGCTGATACTTTGTGTAGTTTTACAAGATGACTGCAATCAAGAACGCGTACAAACGTTACGTACGGACATTTGTTGAGCGATATAGATCATCCACTGCCATCATGGCCTGGGAACTGGGCAACGAACTCCGATGCGGTGCCACAGACGGGCGCAACCTACCCCGAAGTCCCAATGGCTGCACGCCCGAGACGCTTACGGGTTGGGTGGATGAGATGAGTACCTTCATCAAATCGATCGACCCGTTCCATCTGGTGACAGTCGGGGGTGAAGGTCAATTCAATGACCCGTCGTCCCCCGACAGCTTCTACAACGGCAGCGATGGCGACGATTTTGCCGCGCAGATTGCCCTACCGAACGTCGACTTTGGCACCTTTCACACCTATCCTGACTGGTGGAGCAAAACGGTGCAGTGGGCTAATCAATGGATCATTGACCATGCCAACGCGGCCAAGAAAGCCGGGAAGCCTGTCTTGCACGAGGAATACGGTACGTGCTTGTCTTGGACGCGTCGTTCAACTTTGCATACTACGACCTTGAGAGCCTTACCGAGCGGCAGCTTTGCCTACTGAAAGGCTAATGGTTTACAGGGTGGCTCAGTCCTGCCGCACGTCTCGCCGACCTGGGCAAAGTCGCACCGCTGAACGAGACTCGAGTTGCGGTCCTGAGCCAGTGGCAAGCCACAAGTCTGTGGGAAAGAATGCCAGACATGTACTGGCAATTCGGCTTCGACGGATATTCAACGGGTCCAAACGACGACGACGGATTTACGATATATCTGAACGAGTGAGTGCAGTCGTTGCCACATCGTTTCCGAGATGCTTTATTGTTGACATCTGTACAGTCCAGAGGCCCAGCCGCTTGTATATGAACATGCCGCCAAGGTCAACGCCTTGAACAGAGGTCGGTGGTGGTAGGAGACAATATTCGGAGACTAAGAACAAGACTTTCAAACAGCATGGATTTTGTATCTAGGATCAATTCCTGGAATTTGAAACACTGACATGAAAATAACTCTCTACGCTTGGTCTGCCACAGTAACAAGCTACTTAGAAACGTCTCGTAAGCTCTAGCGGTTTGTTATCGAGTACTTCTTCGATCTCTTGCATCACAGTATCGGTCAACCTGTCGAGAAGCCTTATACTCTTGACTGACTCCCAGACTTGCTCCGGTTTGCTCGCCCCAGTGATTGCCGATGCTACGTTCTTGTTCCGCAGCACCCATGCCATTGCCAACTTTGGCAGATCTGTCCCAAGCTGCCCAGCAATTTTGCTCAAAGCAATGACAGCCTTGCTTTCTCGCTCCCATTCAGGGGTTTGGAAACGGGCCTGCATACCTTGAACGAAGCTGTCGTTACTACGCGCGAAGCGAGAATCCGCCGGGATGCCATCAATGTATTTCCCAGTCAGAATGCCCGCCTTCAAAGGACTGTACGGCGTGAGTCCCAACCCATGCACCTCGTAAAGCAGACTGTATTCCGCTTCCACCCTTTGTCTGCACAGCATATTGTACTGTGGCTGTTCGACGACAGGACCCACCAGATGCAGCGTGTCGGCGATGCGATGAGCACGTTCAATCTCGTCTGCATTCCACTCCGAAGTCCCCCAGTAGAAGCATTTGCCATGATCGATGAGAAAATTGAACGCACGCACAACCTCCGCCATTGGGGTATCACGATCGGGACGGTGGGCGTAGAGCACATCGACATATTCCAGACCCAGTCTCTCCAAGCTCGCCTCCGTGCTCTCGATAATGTGCTTTCTGCTCAGGCCCGTGTTGTTGATCGGATTGTCGCCATTGGTCTGGCCCCAATTGATCTTGGTGGACACAACGATATCATTCCTCTTCCAGCCGTAGTGCTGGATGCATTTCCCCATGACTCGTTCGCTTTCGCCACCGGCGTATCCTTCTGCACAGTCGAAGAAGTTAATTCCTGCATCGTGGGCGGCTTTCATGCATTCGAACGACTTTTCGTCGTCCACGTGGCCACCACCGGCCGTGCCGTAAGTCAGCCATCCACCGAGCGAGATGCAGGACACTTTGAGCCCTGTACGTCCTAGAAGTCGATATTGCATAGTGGGCAATTCCTCGCTGGACATGTTTCCGGCACAATTGTTTAACGAGAAAGGGGCTTGTTGAGGAACACTTCAGAATTTTGGTAACTTCCGAGGGCTGAACGCTTGACAGAGAGGTGTTCTGCTAGTAGAATATAGAATAAGCCTCTTCAGTAGCCAAGACCTACAGTCAATTGTTGGTCCATGTGTGTGAGGACGAAATGACGTTAGGCTGAAGAACAGCAATTCCGTTCCCAAAGGGGCAAAGGGTAAACCACGCAGGTATGTCTGACTGTGCAAAACTCATGATCACGCGGGAAAACATCAATATGTCTTATTTTGGTTGAGAAACGTGATGCCTTGTGTAGATTTGCACGTGTTCCGTAGCTGCACCGTCGATTTATTGAGCATACAGACTCACAAGACCCCTGGAACAAGCGAATAGTCGAGGCTGGAACACGCTACAGATGCTCATACTCAATTTCCTGCTATACAAATCATAAACTACGGCCACAGTCATGGATGAAGTAGCGCAGCACTGGCTCCGCTCCAGATTCATACATGATGCAGCTGATCCACGATCATGACCACGGAAACGGCGTCGACCAAGTCGATCCACGCGTCAGCAACTCTGAAATTTGCTCGGCAGTCATGTTGTGCAGGCGGAAGGTCGGGTGTAGACTGTTGAGCCAAAAGTACTCGTCTACTGGCACTCCACATTCGGGCAAGAATGTGTACCAACTAGGAGTGCCATTTTCGTCTGAGGAAACACATCAGCAGAGCCCCGAATTGCAAACTTACTCGTTGTCCCCAATACTTGACTTACATGAGGTACAGTACGAGGTGGTGTTTTTGTAGGGACACGTCTGCGAAAACGAACAGGGCGCGTCCAAGACTCGACCGAAAATTCTGTGGAAATCGAAAAGGAAGACGGTCGTGTCGCGGTGTCTGGCTTGTAGCGCTGCTGCCATGGAGGTGAGATTGGCATTCCATGCGACGATGGTCTTTGCTTCCAAGCCTTCAGCACTTGCACCCGCAGCCTTGGTGAGGGGTGATCGGTTGACCGGGGGGACCGTCAAGAAGAGAAAGTTGCGAGCTCCACTTTCGTATAGTCGTTCCATCAGGCCGGCGTACTCGGCCCATACATCTGCGAATATTATCGAAGCATTTGTTTCGCCATATGCATTTCCTACATCGTTGATGCCGATAAACTGTTGCTCGCTTCAGCTGTGCTCTTCACAGCGATTCGCGGGAGATAAGACTTACGCTTGCGAACAGCGTGTTGTCTGACTGCCAACTGTAATGTTTCCGTTCGTCGGCGTAGAGAGGAAGGTACTGGTTTTCAATCTGCTCCTTCACCGACAAGACAGTAGGGAGATACGGCGCCACCAAGGCTGAGTCGACAGTCGCTCCGCCGTAAGCCAAATTGACCGTTTCCATATAAGTTTTGTTATGATGCAGGGTCAGGAAATCGACCCAGTTCGGTCCATTGGAAGAAGTGTATCCCGGAAAGGACGGGTTGCCGAGGGGATTCGCGTGGCTTGGTTGCGCTCCGGTAACATTGAACGAAGTCGTTGTGTAGCTGTCTCCGAAGACAAACATGTGAGATGTCTGATCCCATCCACGCCAACTGCGCCGCTGAGGTCGTGGCCATGCTTGTGCTCCTGGCAATGCAGTTCCAATCGCAAGACACGCTACAATGGCTCCGGTGGGGAACATTCTGACGAAATGAAGGATGAGGCGTTGTGATGCATCAACTTGTTGGAATGGTCGTCGCCCTGGGTTTCAATGTCATTGCAAACGATACTCAGTATCCTGCGACTCTAGCCTTTTCAGATGATGTGCTTTGCAGGGCTCGAGCTTTCTCGGCCCGAGTCCCAGACCTTCCTGAAGGAGTTAGGATTGTGTTCATGCCTTTGGGAGATTGGGCAACGTCGCTACCTGGTCCGCGGCAAATGAGGAACGGAGCACCCAAGTGTAGCCATACAGGTTCGCCGAGAGACAACTGTCTTGATGAGGCTGCCGGATACATGGCCGAGGAGGGCTCTATTCACATGGGCTGACTAGGGCAGATGTCGAATTTGGTCTGCAGAGCTAAGGCGCACCAAGATACGTCCAGCCCAGGGGCTGCTGCCCTCTACCCAAGCCTCTGACCTTGATTACATGCTCATCGCCAGCAACAAGATCCAGAGCGCTGTCTTCTAGAACCAAACCATCTCGCTCTTCAAAAACAAAGCCTTTAGTCGGTTTGCCGACGCTAACGCGAACACGACCCTCGGCCTGCTCGAAATCCACCTCGACGTTCCGGTCCTCCATATCCAAGTACTTGAGCGGTTGATGCCAGTCGACGCTGCGGTGTATGCTTTCCCCATCGACACTGAGGCGCGCGGCTATAACGTGCGGTTCTTCACATGTACAGCCAATGGTGCCCTGCAAGACTTCGGTGGTCCCGTTGGCTAGGACGGTAATGTGCCGCGCGATCTTGTCTCTGACATCCTCCCCGCTTGCGATACTGATGAAGCGGAGTTCGACAATCGCGTTCACGTCGCAGAGTCTGGAGCTCGATACCCAACATTCGAAAGTAAGACTCGTGGCGGGCATCTCGTCACGAACCACACGCCATGAGGTTCGGGCCCCAATCCCATCCCCAGTGATATTGTGCCTTACGTACCGCAAGTCGACTCATGTCACCGTTGAATCCCACCCACCTGTGCTCTGGGTGCGCATCTTTGATCCTGCGGCCTTGTAGGAGAGCGGATTGGACCTCAATCTCCAAGACTATGGCATCTGAGGTATCGGCTACGAGTTTGGTGACGTCCACGCGATGCATAACAAACATGTTGTCACTTGTGAGGACGGCGGTGTTGTTCAGCTTGACGGTCGCAAACGTGTCGAGTCCGAAAGCAAGCACATGTTTCGTGCCTGAGGCCGCAGTCCTTACGGCGCGATGTGGCAGTGTCGTGCGATACGTCCATGTCTTCTCGGCGACCCATTGGCATTTGAGCTCGATGAGACCCAGAAATGGATCGGGGATCCTATCAGAGCGCACGTCAATATATGGTCGAGACCTTTTGGCCAATGGCTTCAGGAGAAGGTGCAACGCCACTTTTTTGCATGCATTAGATCTAGATGCACGTTGGTAGGCACTGATCTCACAGGAATCCATTCCTCAGTGCCATCTTGCCGTACAGCCCATCCCTCTGAAAGCAGAACGCTGCGTAGCCTGCAGTTGAGTGGAGACATAGCAGTCGGCTCTGATGATCGGTCAACCTGCTTCGCGGACAGAGTTGCGGTCATGGACGAGAGAGCGAGCAAGAGAACACAGTGCTCGATTCCTCTGCAGTCTCAATCAAAGCAGCCACGCTGGCGTAGGAAACTGGCTTCGTGGACCTGCATCTAGCCTGGTGGCTCGATATGGCTCCATTGAAAGACGAGAGGCTCTCCGCGGACCTGCCCTCCGAAGCCCAATTCGGAAGGGCACCACATGGAGCCGACAGAGAAAGCTGGGGTGCATCACGCGATCGGAGGAGTGCAACTGTCGACGAGTCTGGATGAGCGCTACCCGGAACACGCTACGTAGAGAGGAGTCTATCCCCGCGACCATTGAGTTTCAAACTTTGCGGTGGCGCGGAGAGACGTGGAGCATAGCAGAACGGTTTTAGCGTGCCTTTGCGTAGGCATGCTAAGTGCCCGCTTACAAGTACTGTAGAGTCCATTGTGTGCCGGCGTGGCTGGTTCATCGTGAGATCCATTCCCTGCTCATCACATCTCGCGTCCACTATTCCAACGTCAGTTTCAAGGGATCGTTCAACTGTGTGAGCGCACATCGTTACCGTTCCATCATGGATGACAACGAAAAGGCCGCCCATGTCGACGCAATTGAGCGAAGGCTTGATGTCAGTACTGTCCCGATGCTGCCTCTGCAGTTCGACAAGTTGATGATGGTGGAGCAATCGATTGACTGAATAGCATAGCCTGACAACATGCCCGCTGTCGTTGAGACCAAGCAGGTCAAGGGAAGCGCCGCATATAACGAAGCTCTGATCAAAGAGCCCATCAACTTCCGCAATCCAACAACCATTCGGTACGCTGTGCATGGGAAACTCGCAGTGCTTTCAATGCCCCGTATGCTGACGGTCTGTAGGCTGATTATGTGTCTCATCCTCGCTTGCTTCGCACAGACAATGAACGGGTTCGATGGCTCTCTCTTTGGCGGCCTGACCGCGAATACGCAGTTTCTCGACTTCTTTAACGGATCTAATGACGGAACATGGGCGGCCCTGAACTCGGCCATGTACCAGATTGGTGGCGTTTGCGCCCTGCCCTTCGTTGGGCCGTTTAGTGATAACTGGGGACGTCGTGTTGGTATGGTCATCGGCGCATCCATTATCGTTATCGGGACCATCATCAACGGAACAACCGTGGTCGATGGCAGTCTGGGTCAACTAAAGGCTGGCCGTTTCATTCTCGGGTTTGGAGTCTCCATCGTGACTTCTGCTGGCCCCATTTACGTAGTTGAGACTGCGCATCCTGCGTGGCGCGGAGTCATCACGGCCTACTGCAATACCGTAAGGATGGTCGAACCCCTGACATGCATCTTTCTCCACTAAGTGTTTCGCAGTTCTGGTTCACAGGCTCGATCCTCTCCAGCGGTGCCATTCGAGGCGCCATAAATCTGCGAGGAAATATCTCATGGCAGATCCCAGTCTGGCTACAGGTGATGCATGCCCAATCCCTAGGCGTCTGGTCACGCCCCTGCGTAGTCGTGTTAGCTGACATGGATCCAGATGGTCTTTCCCGGTCTCATCCTCCTGTTTGTGTGGCTCATTCCAGAGAGCCCGAGATGGTTGTACGTGCACAATAAACGGAACAAGGCAACTGCTACCCTGGCAAAATGGCACGGAAACGGGAATCCTGAATCGGTTTGGGTGAAGCTGCAGATCGCGGAGTATGAAGAATTTCTCAACACTGATGGCGCGGTAAGTTGAGGCCTCGTCCAATCTGTGCCTTCGCCCGTTGACGTCTGACGTGTCGGATAGGATAAGCGTTTCTGGGATTATTCGGCACTGTTTCGAACTCGCGCGAGCTGCTATCGCATAGCATGCAACGTCATTTTCTCCATCTTCGCCCAGTGGGCAGGAAATGGAGTTTTAACTTACTTCCTGCCTGCCGTCCTGGACACTGCTGGATACACCGACGGCACAACACAGGCCAACATAAACCTAGCATACTCGTGCTTCCAGTTCTTTTTCGCACTCTGCGGTGCGGCATTTGTAGAGAGATTCGGACGACGCCCTCTTATGCTCTTTAGCATGACCGGTTGTTGTATCGTGTGGATCGGCATGACTGCTGCGACTGGCACCTTTGCGGCTTCCGGAGATGCCTCATCTGCAAAAGCTACCGTTGCGATGATCTTCCTATTTGGCGCTGTGTTCTCAGTCGGGATTACTCCACTTCAAGCCTTGTACCCGGTCGAGGTTCTCTCGTTCGAGATGCGTGCTAAAGGCATGGCGTTCAGCAGTCTTGCGGTAAATGCTGGCGGCTTGCTAAACCAATTTGCCTGGCCTATATCCCTTAAGGCCATCGGCTGGAAGACATATATTATCTTCATCGTCTGGTGTGCGATCCAGGCAACAGTCTTCTACTTCGTAATGCCAGAGACACGCAGACGGACGCTCGAGGAATTGGACTCTATTTTCGAGGCGAGATATCCAGTCAAGGCCTCGCTCATCACACGAGAGGTACGTCTCGATGCAGAGAAGAGTATCGTGGCGGTGGAAGAGGTATGATGGCTCGAAGAGATTGTACGTCGCATTGAGCAAGACACTGTCTCGTGGACAGGTTTGACGGTAGTATCGGGGTCAAAACATTTTCATGCTCTGCATTCAGCAAAGAACTCACAACTCGCGCGGAGAAGCACACGTCAGATTGTTCGCTGTCCTCTGCACAAATTTTTGTATCACCATGAACCACATCTGCCAAGAAGTACTATGCAAAGGGATCGTTGAGCCACAGAGTATCGTTATCAGTCCATAACGCTGTCCAGTCGAGGAGGTCGGTGTTGTTTAGCTGCCAAGAATCTGGCAGGATGAAATCGTTTGAGGCAGCGTTGTGTAAGGCAGCGTCGACAATATCCTCATCGTAGACGGCCAACGGCGCTGAACCATCATCAAAGCGGTCGTCCAGTGAATCCGTCCCACTCGTGCACTTGCTCGACTCGTACAGGCTTTCCACGACAGATTTGCTCTTTCCAGCGGCAATGGAAAAGGCTGACATTCGGTCAAAGAAACGTATGGCCATCTCGACTTGATGACTCCACACGAGCTTGTCTTGCTCATCCTGTGAAGCCAGAACCCCTCGATCTGACAACTTATGGTCGTCTAGAAGGGACGCTGCTACAGGTCCCGTATGCGTTTCCGTGAGAGACGAGCGATCGCGGCGTCGAGAATGGAGCGACAGGAGCGGCACCATGACTGCTTGGTACATAAGCCAAACAGCGTTCCAGCCTGCAATGAGTTCCCCAGGGCAGGAGAAATTTATATTTTCGATCATCTCGCCGGCAATGGAGCAACATTTGTCCACTGCGGCGGATTCTTCGACGCTGGACACAATGCGCGGATGTCCACGAAGGCTGGCTGTGAGCAAGTAAGGCCGATAGAGGAGTAGTCGCATTGTCAAGTACCACCAATGCATGACCAAGCGTGGAGTTTGCAGGATCTCGGGACAGGTAGTTTGCGACTGGTGATGGGCTGCCGATGGGTTCGAGACGGGCTCTTTGGAAAGAATTGATCCAACATCATCGCGGCAGGTCTCAAAGATATGCGTTTGACCATGCTCCTGATTCGAACCACGGGGCAGCTGGTCAGCGTCACGAAGCACAGGTGGCATGTCATTGTGCCACTGGACCAGCTCTGCATCCACTGTGGCTACCTCTTCGAGGTCCAGGATGGGCGAAGCGGCCAGGCTGTCTTGGATACGAGTGGCCAGAATGCAGAACCTGACGCTGTGTACCAAGGGTAGCCTCTTCAACGATGCCAGATACTGGGCATTGTTCGTGCACTCTGCGATCCTGGGGATCTTGATGGTGACTCCTGTTCCCATGCGTCCCTGGGACGGTCTACCGGTGGTCATGTGTGCCCATGTATCCATGGTAAATAGACACCACCAAATCCTCCGACGGAGTTCGATTTGTGTTTGCGCTTCAAGGTCGTTCCCGCTAGTCGCAAATTCACGGTGTAGACCCATGGCAGATGCCATTCTGAATGTCGCACCCATTATGGCGCTGGCTTCGTTGGGGCGATTCAGCCAGTGCAAGTAGTAGCCAGCAATCAGGCCGTAGGCCTGCAAGACGTCAAGATGTCCGCTCCCAAAGCCTTCGGATTGGAGATGGAAGTTGGCACGGCGGTAGTAAAGTAAGTGGTCGTGGTCATAGCATGTGCCCAATGCCAACGAGCCCAATGCCAGCACAACGTTCAGCAGAGCCAACCAGGGGGCATCCCGGCGATGGAGATAGAGAAAGGTATGGCGAAATGCGTCTTCGTCAAGCAGAGGAACGAGAGTGTGAACACGATTGAAGAAAGCATCAATGAGTCGGTGGGCGACATCAGGGGATGGCAGTGTAGAGGAGGAGAGCTGGTCGGGAAGCGGCGAAGGGACTCTACTCGGGTTACTGGTGACCATGGAGGCGCTGGAGACATGGGCGCGAGCGGTGGGACTGATGGTGAAGATGACCTTGAGAGCAGCCTGGATGGAGGAGACGCCCACGTAGGAGGAGTTGCGGTCGGTGGAGAGCGACAGCCCGTTTACGTCGTCCGAGATGCCGTGATCGGCACGTCTTCGGCGGATGGTCTCGTCGACGGACGGGTGCAAGTCGGGGAGGTGCTCAAGAGCATCCAAGCTGGCGGAGCTGCCGTCAAAGTGGTGGTTGGGAGTGCTGTGGGGACCAGTGGAGGAATGCCCTGAGGGCGGGTCATGCGCATGGGACTCGGTAGCAGCAGCAGCAGGCGCCGGCGCTGGAGGGCGGACATTGCTGATGGGGTCTGGGCTGGTGGCGTATGGGTGCATGGCATCTGAGGGGCCCGGGGATGGTTGTAGCAGTGGCGATGGTTGTGATGAGGGCTGTGTTGGGAGGAGCGCGAGGGCTCGATGGACGAGCTGGGTGTGCGATAGATTCAGCAGATCGGGAATGCTCTGGCCGGGGAAGAGTCGCTCGCGGAGACAAGACAGCTGGGCGAGCTCGGATTGCAGGCGGTCAACGAGGCTGCGTCGGTCAACGCGAGTGTCTGCGTAGCAGCCTTGTGTATCCGTACTTACTCGCGCGTTACTGGCGGCTTGCGTGCAGGCTGGGCGAAAGTGCACAACTGCGGCGTGCGCGACCATCGGCACTGCTGGCATGGCTGCGAGCCGCCACAGCGCAGTTTACGGCGGCGACACTCGGTGCAGGCGTGGGTCGTCGAGATGCGTCGTGAAGGCGCCGCCGGTCTCTTGTTGGGCTCCTCATCAGCCTCCTCGTCGCGGGCGGTGAAGACGTGGTACATGGTCTTCGTCTTCGGTCGACCAGTGCCGCCCACAATGGGGATTCCCTGCAGTGCGCGACGGAGGTGAACGCATCTCCACCCAAGGATCGCAAATATTGAGGATACGGCCAGTCGTCAATAACATCACCACCACCATCATCATCAAAAACATCTGCCGTTCCCCACCTCGTCCACTACATCTTCGCCACCTTTCCCAACTCGGCCTCGGAACCTGGCCCTCATCCTCCGATCCGTAAGCGGCAGGAGAATCGACGAGACGGCGACAGACTGGAGACTTCTGAGCCTCAGGACTGCTCGTCTCCCGTAGTGATCTCCTGTCGAGACGGGCAGAAAAGGCGGCTGCGTCTCATGTTCTCCGCTCCACAGATCTGCTGCTGCTGTCTCTTTTCTCAAGACGCCCCGTGTTGTCTGAGAGATGAGGCGACGTCAGAGCGGAGGATGCGTTGAGTTTGTTAGCCGAGGATGCTGACTGTACATTGTGCACTCCACCTCACCAACATCACCACTCTCTCGTACTGCTCTTCCTGACCATCAAATGCCATGCATGACCATCCAGGAGAGCATACGTAACTCACATCACATGTCTACATATCTCGCATCCTCGACATAGCGGCCGACGAGCCAGATAGGCCGAACAACGGGCAAGAGAGCCATTGGAGTGCTACACTACTGCAGGTACAGGTACACAAGGCGTGAAAGGGCGGGGTCTTGTCACATCGACCACTGTCAGATACTTGATCGAGCAGGCCTATGCGAAGGTAGGATGGAGTAGATAAGACTGGAAAGGTATCTACTCTTCTTCTTAAGCCACACCTCTCACCATACAGCTTCCAGCACAGCAAACGAGACACCTACACTCATCATGCCCGGCGAGATTCATACCACGACCGCGAACGGTCACCATGACCCCCCAGCTTCCAAGAGTCTCCCACCGCAAACAGGAACAACAGCCCAAGCAGCAGCAGCAACTCGCCCACCTACTACTAATGGATCTACACCAACAACCTCCGTCCTCCACGCGAATCTCAACTCCCCACCCCCAAAGATCGTCTCCGCCTCAGGAAACTACCTCACCACCAGCACCGGCACGCAAATCTTCGACGCCACCGGCGGCGCCGCCGTCTCCTGTCTCGGCCACGCCCACCCGCGCGTCAAACAAGCCATCGTCGACCAGCTAGATACCGTAGAATACACATACTCGCCTTTCTTCACCACGGACGCTTCGGAGAGACTGGCGGAGCGGTTGACAAAATCGACAAATGGCGAAATGTCGAAGGTCTTCATCGTCTCCTCTGGAACCGAAGCCATCGAAGCGGCCCTGAAACTCGCTCGTCAGTACTTCGTTGAGAAAGGCGAGCCGGAGCGGACGAGGTTCATTGCGCGGGAGCAAAGTTATCATGGAAATACGTTGGGGTCGCTTAGTGTTGGGGGCCACAAGGCGAGGAGGAAAGTGTATGAGCCATTGTTGAGTGAAAATGTGAGTTTTGTGAGTCCGCCATATCCGTATCGGGGGATGAAGGAAGGTGAGAGTGAGGAAGAGTATGTGCAAAGGCTGGGGCAGGAGTTGGAAGGAGAGTTTCAAAGAGTAGGACCTCGGAATGTCTGTGCGTTTGTGGCGGAGACGATGAGCGGGCTGGCGAGTACTATCAATCCCCCTCATATATTCACGTTGTTGACGAGGTATGCCAGACCCTCGGCGCAGTCCCACCACCGAAAAACTACCTCCAAACCATCAAACACATCTGCGACAAACACGGCGCGCTCCTCATCCTGGACGAAGTCATGTCCGGCATGGGCCGCACAGGAACCCTCCACGCCTGGTCGCAAGACTCCGTGACTCCCCACTTGCAAACTGTCGCTAAAGGCCTCGGGGCCGGCTACCAGCCCATTGGTGCCTTGCTCGTTCACCGTCATGTCGTGGATGTCCTTTCACACGGCACAGGCAGCTTCGTGCACAGCCAGACGTATCAAGGCCATCCTGTGGCGTGCGCGGCGGCTTGTGCGGTGCAGAAGGTCGTGGAGGAGGAAGGGTTAATGCAGAACGTGAGGGAGCTAGGTCCGGTGCTGGGGAAAGCATTGCAGAAAAGACTCGGTGGACATGCGAACGTCGGGGAAGTGAGAGGGAGAGGGTTCATGTGGGGTGTAAGTCCACCCAATCCATCCCTTCCACCACAAGCGTTTCTCAGACCTAACATATCTCCTCCACCAGATCGAACTCGTCCAAGACAAACCCAGCAAAACGCCCTTCCCAGCCTCCAAAAAACTCGCCGCCACCATCCACGCCACAGGCCTTCGCGAGGAATTCGGCATCTCCCTACTCCCCGGAGGCGGCGTCGCCGATGGTACGAACGGAGATGTAGTCATGCTGGCGCCGGCATACAACATCACCCGTGAGGACGTCGAGCTGATCGTGGAGCGCACGGCGAAGGTGGTCGAGCGTGCACTTGGTGCTTGATGTGAGACGCTTTTGTTTTGTGTGTAGGAGATGGGGGCGGTATGTCAACATCGGAATTGAGCAATTACAAAAACGCATAGGATTCTGTAGCTTACGACATGACAATGAGATTGCTCGTCCACCTCTACTCGTGGTGCAAGCACATGATCCCCATCAATTTCTCGTGGCAACTCCTCGACGAGGAGAATTCGCTCTCCTCCCTCGTGCTCTTCCTCGTAGGGGACTCCGCCGCGGCCTGGGCAGCGCTCTCCTCCCTCGAGCGCGAATCCGCAATTCTCGACCATCTCGTCTCGCTGGTAGGCGCCGAGCACGAGGCCGTGGTCCAGAACCCCGTGGAGATCAACTGGCGGGATTGGACGCACGAGGCGTTCATCGGCGGGGCGCCGACGAGTGCGATTCGGAAGGGGGATTTGCAGTGGTATGGAGGGGCGTTGAGGGAGCCGGTTGGGAATTTGCATTTTGGTGGGGGGGAGACGGCGTTTGAGTGGAAGGGGTATATGGAGGGGGCGCTGAGGGCGGGGTCGAGGGTTGCGGAGGAGGTTGTTAGGGAGTTGGGCGGGCAGTGGGTAAGTGAGGGCTGAGTATGACGGTAGAGGAGGGTGTAATAGGTCGGGTCTAGTTATTTAATACGGCATGCGTTTGAAGTCGGCGGGCTGGCCGAGCAAAAGGGGAAAATGTGAACCTGCGAGAGGCTATTATTGAATACACAGCAGAAGGCCCATACCATACCATTCGCAAACACGCCAATAGATTCTTCGAGATATCGTATGCCATTTGCCGAACAAAGCTCATTGACGACAGGCCAGCAACACCGGAGGATACTACGGTTGTGAGGGTACGTTTGACAAGGTGTGCCAGTTGGCCCATCGAATGCGCCAAAAGAAAGCACACAGGAGGCCGTCCAATTAAGGAGAGAATGAGAAAAAAGCTCGCGGGCCATCCCATTGCCTTAGACCGTCAGAAGATGGCTGCCTCATAGGAACTTCTTACGTTCAAAGATACCTTCCCTTGTGTCTCAAGATCCGCGTAAATGGCTAAGATTCCGAGGGCCCCGAGATGAACATCGCACATCGCTGACGATGGCTTGTGCGCATCCTGTCTATCCTTACGGACGGATGTCTATGCCCAGAGCAGGGAGTCGAACAATTATTAGTAGTAATAGCAAAGCCAATCACAGACCCTATTGCAGCGCCTCACGAGGATCCTGGCGCATACACATTTGTAGGATGGCAGGACCGATGGCGAGCGTGCAGGACTTCAGCTTCGCAACATCGCATAGGTCTTTGTCTGCGAATCCGACAACTCCTATTCTTCCAGACGACGTACGGGTCGTACAAAACAAGCGTGAGTAACACGTGTTCGGACACGGCAGCACGCAGTCACCCGTCGTACCTGCTGTCAACAACTCGTACCCCGTATTTCGTGTTACGACCCTATCCGAGCAATGCGAGTCGGCCGTATTCGCACCCTTCCAGGCGCAGTGAAATCTCAACCTCCATCCTTCATCATCATCATCGGCGGCTGCAGTTGTAGTAGTCATCAAGCAATTCGGCCGATTGCGATCAAACATGTATGCGGCTTACGCCCATCCCCAAGTCCAACCGCGGACAAACCTCACTAAGCATCCTTCGTTCTGGGCTTGATGTAGGATCGTTGGTTTTGGGGTCTGTCCGCGGAAAAAGAGGCGTCCAATGGGTGAGCTGATGGACACGCGACAACATCTTTGCATCCCTTGCTTCTGCTATAGTACATCTTTTGCGAGCGTGTGACATCCATCATCCATGTGACGTTCGTCAAGCAGTAGTAAAATATGTGTAAGTTTGCAAAGTATCCACGTTTCGGAAGACCAGATCGAGAAGAATCTCGCAGCGAAAGAGAACCGGTTCCAAAGCCAACCTGGAACTCAATGCCAAGCAGGTTTTTGAGTTCGCATTAGGTCGCGTGACTAAGACTGTCAGCAAAGATCAATGATCCAGACGAGAAAGCTGTGCGCCCTCTGCGAGATTGAACGCAAACGAATGCGCGGAATGCATCTCTTTTGTTGTGGTGGTGCTCATGATGATGAAGAGGGTAGTGGCTGAGTGCAGAGCGAGATTAGTTAGGACCGGGAGCTTGCGCGTCCCAAGCCGGCCGGCAGACAAGACATTTTTATCTGCAGCGACTTGGCTGCTTCATGTTGCTGCAAGTGAGAGCGGAATGGTGAGCGGGTGGCGGAAGCGCAGTCGACCCGACCACGCAGCCATACAGGGCAGACCCAGCGTGTGCGAGAAAACCGCCGTTCTGCTTCTGTTTTAGCCTCGAGTTGGGGAAAACCGCTGTCTCGTCGGGAGAGTGGTTAGCGGTTCTTTCAGCTTGTCCGGGCTGTGCAGGTGCCTCTCATCATCGTGCCTGCAGCAAGGACACGCGACATTCTGCTCTCCTTTCTACCACGCACCCTCTTTGTCCTCCTGTCTCTTCACACATCTCTACCACCACACCTATTCCGACCGACTCCCTCACCGACTCCGACACCGCACAGTCTATCCCATTCTCTTGTACAGCTTTTTATTAATCGGTTATTACTGGCACATGTGCTCGACAGTTCCCTGACCCCAGCTCTTCCGCGGACTGCCGTCCGAATATCACCTCTCAGCACGCGACCTCCACTCTTCCTCTTGCTCGTGCATTCGTAGCGGCGCGGCTTCTGCCATTTCGAGGGTTCTTTATACGGGCGAGGGTTTACTATGGAGGGCCACAATTCGACGATGCCGGACTTGGGCAAACCTCAGTCCGCCGCGCGGTCATGGTTCGAACCTCTGGTTAGTGATTCTCAAAACATCATGTTTCACTTACCGTTGGCGGCGCGACATGCTGACATGCTGTGTATAGCTTGTGGTTTCGATCATGATCGCTTCGCTATACTTCAACCGCGACCGATCATTCAGCATATTCCCTTCACGCGACCTCCGAAGCGACGACGCAAGCGAGTCGTTGATCAAGAGCAATGAGTACGAGGGAAGCAGATCGTCGTCGAGGTCAACGAGTCCAGACCGGCCCAAGGACAGCGTCGATATCCAGCGAGATGTATCTCCAGCGCCATGGTCGAGCGAGTCCTCATCCCCCACGAGCATGAACTTCCCTAGCCGAATCCTGCAGAAGTTCCCCTTCCTGGTCGAGATGTTCTACTGGGCCCTGAACTATGTCGCATACGCCTTCACGAAGCAAATCGGCATCGCGCTGTACTCGCGGATGGGCGGCAACGAGGTGGCTGAGCTGGCTCAGAAACACGGCATCGACATCCTGACCTTCGAGCACGACACCCCTTTCCAGATATTCTTCCCCATTACCGAAGTCGGCTTCCAGCAGTTCTTCTTGAATGGCCATCTCAAGATGATGACCTTCTTCAACCAAATCTACTCCCTGGTCCATATCCCTGGCACAATAGCGTACGTGTTCGACTTGTTCTTTTGTCTTGGCGAAGGTTCAGCTGATGTGAGATGTGATCCAGATTCCTGTCCTGGTACTACTACTCTGCACCCTCTCATGACCTGTTCGCCATTGCTCGCCGGACAATGACCTTGGGTAACTTCTCTGCGTTCATCGTCTTCTCTTTCTGGCCATGCATGCCACCTCGACTTCTCCCCAAGTCGTTTGGATTTCGGGATACCGTTCGCCAGGATAATGCCGAAAGTGTTTGGGTCGGGGGCGCCAATGTGAACCAGCTGGCCGCGATGCCGAGTCTGCACTTCACCTATGCATTTATCATTGGGTGTACTTTCCTTTTCCAGAGTGGAATCCTCCAGGCCATCAGGGGTCGACGGGCGCCGAAGAGTGCCATCAAAAGCTTCATTTACATCGTGGCCGGTGTCCTCTACCCGCTCCTGGTACTAAGTGTGATCGTGGCGACAGCAAACCATTACTGGGCCGATGCGGTGGCGGCGACCTTCAGCGTCTTGGTTTGCTTCTTCGTGAACCGAGTATGGCTAGTCCTGCTACCGGTGGAGAGGTTGTTCTGCCGAATCGTGCGACTGCGGAAACCGACCCCAACGACAGCAAAGTCGAAGATGGCAGAGCGGCCGCGGATCGTGGTGGACCTGGCATAGAAAGCAAGCGATTGGATTTCGTTGTTGTGTTTGCAAAGCGTTGGCGACATGCATCTCGCGAAGGATGGGGGAGTTCATTTAGGAATTTGGGGATATTGCATCAAGACAGTAAAGGCGAGATACGGCCGGTTGTTGCTGTCAGTCATGGCAAAGGCTCGCTTGGGTATAGCAGAGCAGGAACGAGTGTCCTTGTACAGGGTGTTGGGTGGTGAGGTCGTCGAGCCGTTTGGGAGAGGCCTGGGAGCCGAAAAGGCAGTATTTGCATTCCAGCATAGTTAATCGGGGATAGAGAACGAGTATGCCAGAAAGATGTCTCAAGGGCCGGATCCTGCTTTCCTTCCAGTGGACTCGAGAACCGACCGAGAGGCGAAGTGTTGTGAAGATGTCGACAGGACTGAGGTCAGGATAAGGTATGTTGCACATTGCACTGCCTCAGCGTGCAACAGGTCACGAGGCGCTTCCTGGCTGATCCTTTTTCGAACGATGCAGACGGATGGTACGGCTGAGGATGATGATACGCAGTCGAGATGGAGCGGAATCCGAGCGACATCTATGAGCCAGGCTTGATGGTGAACTTGTTCGCATCCGACGACGAGGTTGAAATCATCAAAAACCCGTTCGGCATTGCCTTGCGACGGTATCTTTTCGCGTTCCACGGGTTGGATGTTCGTCGTTGCGTTTTCGCGACGGCGTGGGCGGTTTGCCACACGTGCGGATGTGGTTGGTCGAAAGGGATTGGCTGCGGCGGTGATGCAGTGTGCTACCGTGGCGATGAGGGCTGGTCGTCAGGTGATGGATCCGACGTCGATACGTGCTGGTGAAGAGTTGGACGGGTTTTGGGGGATGTTGTTGTCGTTGTTGTGGAGGTGGTGGTGGTCGGAGAGTTCGGCTGCTGATTGGCGGCGCCGGCGCCGATGGTCTTTGGCGATGTCGTTCTCGGAGGGCGTTTGACGTTGGAGAGGGACATTGCCATTCCATTCCATCCGCGTGGAAGAGACGTATCGCAACAACAATGACGGTGCCAGAGAAGCGTGGATGAGGAGGAGAGGAGAGGAGGCGACAAACGAACGAAAGACCGGACGAGCCTACCCATACCGTGCCAAATGCTCCTTCCTCCAACCTGCGACGCTACCACAGCTGCGCCTTTCGCACCACACCTTCCATTACTAAACGGGCCTGCGAATTCTGCCGCCTTGACCACCATTACATTACACTTTGCATTCCCCAAACGAGCTACCACCACCAGCACTGGGTGGAGTGGAATTCCCGAGCGCTGGCTATAGCTGGAAGGATCGCAAAGCTCGTATGGTCATGCCTCGATTGGGACGCCGTCGATGGACATGATAACAACTTCGACTTCACGAGGATATCCTGAGGCAGGAAATCCACAGATACAGGCTGCGACATTGTCTACTAATCCACCATTGATGATATATCAGCAAGCATCCGGACATTTTCATGGCCCTTGGGGCGCAGCAGGCTCCTTCACGGGGGGCTTAGACAACGAAAATTCAACCTCAGGCCGCAACACCGTTGGGAGAAGTTTCACCAGTGCTTCTTAGGCAGGAGAATGTCCACTTCTCCGCCGAAGGAGGCAATATATGAGAGGAACGATCATCCAGCCACATCGGAGACGCTCCGATTGATTGCACTGACATGAAGTGAGGATACTGTTGACATCCACTTCCCGATCGAAAAGCTACTTGTCTGCGAAAGAATACAGTTGCCTGGGAGGAGTCGTGCATGCTATCAGCAACATCGTATTCTCGTCCCACTAGCAAGGACAACTTGCCCTATGGACCATACGCCAAGGCCGGGATCCGGGAGCACATCCACACATCAAGTACAGAGGGTGCGTGTTCGACGGCACGAGGGCATCATGTTCCCATTTGGATCACGATTGGCACACACTTGCATTGTAGACACTAACAGAGATTATGGTTCAAATCCTCCCATGACGGCGGTTAGGTCAACGGATGTTCTTGTTAGTCACGAGGGCACCAATCTCCCTGCAAAGACGGTAATGCCGTCCGATCACATGTCACGGCGCCGTGAAGTTCCTACCACTGCCAGCAGCCAGCACGAGCGCTCGTGTCATGAATGAGGATTCTTTAGAACGCCTGGGACTGGATGACTGTTGTGGATGATTCCACATCAAGAGCTGTCGAGCAGCACATGTTGTTCTCTGAGGGTATCGGCCAAAACAGCAAACCGCCCCAACGCTGGGCCACGATGGAATCAACCACTTGTGTCTTCTTCCGTATCGATGATGCGATGGACATTGGTGACCCCTGTGCTGCACAGCCATCCATCTTTAGCCCGGGTCCAGGACGGTCCGTCTGCGATCAGAGGTCTTGGTAGACCGGCATGTAGACCACGCCGTCTTCGTGCGAGCCTCCAGGCTCGCATAATTCACAGGCAATAATTGAATCTGGTTCTTTGCGCGACACGCATGGTTTTCGTTCTGTCACGGGAAACCCCTTTTCCAGTGGTTGGACAGTCAATGCTTGCTTCGGCCGATGGAGCGCCGCCAGGAGATTGAAGAGAGGTAGTGTGGTCCATTGACATGTGTTGGCAGACGGCGTCGTCTTGATGAGGGAATGCACACTGGTCGTCATGAACCATGAAGCAGCCTTCTTCATCATGTTACCTCAATGACCGTGGTCCTTCCTCGTGGCCGAAGCATTCACCGACTTCCCACGCCAGATCAGATAACATCTCTGTCTCCCCTGTGAGTCCATCACACAACGAGTGCTCGACAGACGCCGCACACTCTCGTCGCGGGTAATCATGGAGAAGAGCCGCGAAGAGGAATAGGCCACACACAGCTTCGTCCCAACTGCACATGGAGCATCAGACATACCCCTGTACGAGTAGCCTCGAGCCGTGTACGGGTGACTTTTCCTATCCAGCATGCGCTCGAGGGCTCAATCCCTCTTCGCAACACTGTCCACCGCCAGACTCGGGCTGGACACAGTACCAGCAGGCCTAAGTAAACCACCAATCATTCATACCGCCCAACATCAACCAACCCGCTGCTCGACTTTCCTCACAAGTCATAAAAACCGAGAACGACTTGCTCCATATACAATACGCCATCTCTACCATCCCCTGACTGAGTCCGGAAGCGAGAAAGAAAAGACTACCCATGTCCAAATATCCACACGACGGACAGGAGACCTCCAGACCGACATACATCAAACAAGAGAAGATAGAGATAGCTGGAAGCGCGGAAGTGGTAAGAGCACCAGCACTCCACGAAAACATGAAAAGGGAATCATATACATGCCCTCAGTTCAATAAAATAAGAAAGCCGTCATACAAAAAGGGGCGGCCTGAGCCTTTCCATCCTCCCCATACCCTCGCATTCGCCTACATTCAATCCCACCACGGCAGAAGATAGTACCAGCGAACGCAATCGCCAACACGACGACGGTATTCTACAGACGCCATCGTCTCGGAGACGCAGTTCGACGTTTCTCCCATGGACGCAAGGCTACATGTCCTTAGTTGGCTCATAGCCAGGATTTAAAGAGCAGACAGTGAGTTCATTCACATTGGCTAAGAAGGACGACATATCGACAATCCAGATTGGGCGGATAAGGATATTCTGCAGAGGTTTTAAGGGCTTAAGAACACCGTGAGTCAGAGTGAGAGATACAGCAGAAGCGACATGCGTGTCAAATCCATAGTCTTGGAAGAGAAAACAAAAGGGGACGCAATGGATTCTCGAGACACTTTTCGCAGTACCTATACACGCACACGCAACTCCTTGCTCCCTCCTCACATGCAAGCTCCACAAAACCCCCTAATCTTCCTCCTGATAACTCAACTTCCTCATCTCACCCAACCTATGTCTCGCAGCCGACAACGAATTCTCCAACTGCAGAATCTCGACCTGTTGCCACAAACAAACGTCAGTAAATCCCACCCACAAAACAATTGGGAAATTGTGGGGATATAACGTACCTGCTGCTCCATCTGCCTCACCTTGAAATCATGTCCGCTCAATTTGCTGTAGTCAACATCCTCGTCGCCATCCTTGTTCCGGCTCTCGATAATGCTCTGCACTTGTCGCACCAGGCTTCGGCAGGCGTTCGTGACGGCTTTGCTGCACTCTTCCAACCTCTCCTGAGTCTTGGACATGAAGCTTGCCTTGACTCGTGAAGCAGCCACGAGCTGTGCTGTGGAAGCCGCTACATCGTTTGACGCGACGATGAGCTGCTCGGGAGAGTTACGTCCGCTGATCACACCATCCGCAGTCTCGATGAGCATGTTGGTGGAGCTTGCAACTGCTTTGGCGGCAGAGATGAGACCTTCCGTCCAGCGGTTGTTCTTTTTGTAGAACTGGGTCTTGCTCATGCTCGAGCCACGACCTTGGTTGACGATTTCTTGTTGGGAAGCTGTTGCGGCCTTGATCAGCTGCGCGATTGCGTTCGTAACAGCAATGGCAGCTTCAAGAATCGAGTCGTGGATCTTGAGCTCATATGTCGAGTACGAGTCTCGCTTCTTGTTCATGAGCTTCGTGAGGCGCTCAGTGGCAGCTTCGATAGCTTTGGCAGCGTTCATCATCTCACGATCAACTGTCTCAGCAAGATCTCCTGATTGCGAAGTCACCTTGGTCTTTGGTGCGAACGCATCAGCCAACTTGCTCAAGTTGTTCAGGGCGATCTGAACGTCGTTGTTCTTGTTGATAACCACATCGGTCTTCTGCAGATCCTCGAGTCCATCAAGGCGATAGGACACGATGCCACGGAAGAAGTCCACAGTGCTAGATGCAGATCGACGAGCAGCGGAGATGAGCTGATCGCCCTTCTTGTCGTCGCTGGCAAAGCGGGTGATACCTTTGGTGTTCGAAAGGACATCGGCGATGGCGTTTGAGAACTGATGCACAGTTCTGATAACTTCAGCGTGGGTGCTGTTGGGACCGTCGGCGATGAAGTTGTTGAACGCAGTGCTGAACTCCATGGCAGTGCTCTGGGCCTTCTCAATCTGCGAAAGCACGTACGGACCACTGGCGTTCTGGTTACCAGCCTGCATGGAGCTGTCCAACTCGTACAGCGCATCATCCACTCTCTGCACACCAGCCTGGAGCACCGAGTCGATGATGTCGTTGATCTTCTTGATGTTGTCGAGGAGCATCACATCGATCTGTTCGTCCATGGCCTTGTCTGAGACGCCATTCCCGTTGCGAAGCTCGTTCAACTCCAGCAGCGTTTGGTCCATGCCAGACTTGTAGATCTCCAGCTCCTCTTCCTTCTCGCGCAGTTGTCGTTCAAGGTCGGAACTGCCTTCGCCATGCTTCATCTGAATGTCATCAAGAGCCCGTGTCTTGTTGCGGAGTGCTTCTTCCAGGTCTGCAATCTCACGGTTGTGCCGTGAAAGCATGGCTGAAAGCTCGCTACCCTTTGCACGATCCGCATTGTCAGCTCTATCAAGAGCCATGCGCAACTCGCGCTTGAGTTTCTCAACCTCGTCGCGGTGGCCACCTGTCGAACGATCCTTTTCATGTAAAGCACGGTCTCGTTCCCGAATCATATCTGCCAATTCGAGGTTCTTGGTCTTCAGCTCACGCTCCAGCTTCTCGCGCTTGTCAATGGCCTCCTGCGCAGATGCAGCCTTTAGCTGCACGCCCTTGAACTTCTGAAGAAGCTCCAAGTGCTCATGGCGCAGTTGACTGTACAGTTTCGCCAAAGCCTCGTATTTCGTGCGCCAAGTGTTGACCTGTTCTTGCAGTGCTCGAATCTGATCGTCCTTGCTTTGCGTCTGCTGCTGAAAGTTCTGCCCGAGAGTCGACAGTTCATTCTCCAAAGCCTTCATTCGTGCGTCATACTGTTGCAGCATGAGCTGATCTCGCTCGTATTGGGCACGGGCATTCAAATTCTCTCGCTCCAGCTCAGCCATACGACCTTGGGTTTGCTCCTGGAACTGTTGTCTTTGAAGTGCCTCGAGTTGTAGCCTCTGCTGTTCAGCCTGCATCCGCTGTTGTTCCTCGAAATCGCGTTGTGCCTGCTGTTGCTGCAATTGTTGTTGCCTCTGAGCTTCTTCCCACTGCGCCTGAAGTCGTCTCTGCTCAGCTTCATACTCCTCTTGCTGCCTCGCCTGTTCATTCTTCCAAAATTCGTTGATCGGCTCGGGGTCGGTGGCAGCTTGCGGGGGTGGAGTGTCTCTGGGTTTGGTGACAGGCTCGTTCCTTGGGCGCTGTGGCAATGCAGGTGCGTTCTCGTCCTCGACTAGCACGTTCGGCGGGTCTTGCGGGAGTTTAGGAATGGTGATGAGAGATGTTAAGTAGCGAAGATTCGAGCACTCGTAGTAAAAGCGCACCAGTCGGTAATGCTGCGCATCATATCGGCCACGCAGCGGTGACAAAGCCTCGTCGTCTCCGAGAGTAGTGTGCATGGCACGAAGCATGCTGGTGATAAACTTGTAGATACCATAACTCTCCTGCACAAGCGGCACAAGCGCACTGATCCGGCACTCGTTGTTTGATCCAGTCCGGAAATGCGCAAAGAGGAGCTTCTGAAAGCTGTCAATCTGGTCCTGCAAGGTCATGAGCTCGGAAATGGTCTCGTAGCCTTCGTTGGGGTCGTTGATCGACTTGAGCGAGATGTACTCCTCATACTCGAAGGTGCCGTTGAACTCGGGGTGCTCGCGGTGGAACTTCAGCTTCGATACCAAGTAGAAGATGTACTCCTGGATTAAAGGCGCATATCCTCGCAGTCCCTCGCCACCCATGCCCCCCATCATGCCGCGCGACAGTCCCTCGAGCCAACCCACATGCTGCTGAGCTTCTTTCAAGGCGATCGGATGTCCCTCCTGCAACACCTTGTGCACGGTATACAGCGCCTTGAAGGTCTGAACCTCGTCTGCCTGGATGGGCTGCACCTTGATGCCATTCCAGAAGCTCTGACTGCTCTTGTGGTCCCAGGTGTAGACAATGCAGGCGCGCACATGTTTGCGCTTGGGGGCGGTCTCCTCGATCGACGTCGCCTTCTTAATGTGCGTGTTGAGGTCGGTCTCGCTCTTGGTCAGGTCCACGTTGCGCGTGGCCTGGCTGTAGAGCGCCATGCTGGGCTGCGAGGGGCTATAGACGGAGAAAGGAGCGGTCGCCAGGATGTGTCGAGTCGAATATAAGCACGGTGAAGGGGTGTGTGAGTTACAGGCAGCAACAATTTCATGAGTTTGCAGTCGTCGCACCCCAAACACAGCTGCCACTCAAGAGTTGTGTGAGAGCCGCAGATGCCGGTCGAGCTGCAGCGAGCTGCGTAAGTTCGACGCTTGGCAATGACGATCTGGAGGCTGACATAACACTGGCTTTTGACGAGTGGAAGAGAATTCACAAGACAACAATAGATGGGGTATTTGAAGCAGTCAGACTTGATCATCATTTCAGTTGCATTGACACATTGAATTTGGGTCGCTATGGAGCCTGGCAGACCTGACGCCATTCGGAACGCATTGTTTTTGCTTCCTACCCCAATCCGAGCAACCTGCAATACGTGACCGCACCTTGAACTCCGCCGCCTTTTCCCATAAGCACGCTGAAATGCTTAGTGGCCAGCCTGAGTGAAGGCACGTCGGCGATCTCTCTCCTCGGCAATGCTGAGCTTGACACCCTTGCCCTTGGGGAGCGAGATCCATGGCTTCTCGCGGCCGATGACGAAGACGTTGGACTCACGGGTAGCGAACTCGTTGTCGATGGCGTCCTTGATGTGCACGATGTTGAAACCTCCGTCGTGGCGCTCACGGTGAGTGATGACACCAACACGACCCATGTTACGACCACCAGTGGCCATGGCGATCACCCCGGTGTCAAAGCGGATGAAGTCCTGGATCTTGCCTGTGGAGGAGTTAGCCAATGATTCAAAAAACGGTATTGCAGCGTATACTGACCCGTCGCGAGGTCGACCTTGACGGTGTCGTTGACCCGAATGGCGGGGTCTGGGTATCGGATCCTATAACCACACTCAGCATTTGTTTATCGCCAAAACTTGGTCCAACGTCTGATAGACATCGCAACCACAGAGTAATTACTCACGTGCGCGCGTCATGCGTAACCAAGAATGGGATGCCACCCTTGCCCAACTGCACTCTCTTGACCTTGCCCAGCTTGTACTCCGCCTCTTCGCCAGTGATACGGTGGACGGTGAAGCGACCCTTGGTGTCGTAGACGAGGCGGAAGTTCTCGCCAGTCTTCTCGATGGAGATGACGTCCATGAAGCCGGCTGGGTAGGTAGGGTCGGTGCGGACCTTGCCATCGACCTTGATCAGGCGCTGCATGACAATGGCCTTGGTCTCACGGCCATTGAGGGCGTACTTCAGGCTGGGAAAGAACTTGTGTCAGCTTGTCTTCAATCTCCCACCAGTCTTTCGTGATGCGCACCGGTTACGGATGAAGACGATGAGCGGCATGCAGTCGCGCAGCTTGTGCGGACCAGGCGAGGCCTTGGGGGCGTAGGCACCGCTGAGCTTGTCGAGAAGCCAGTGCGATGGGGCTGACAGCCGCTTCTGATGCTTCTTTGGTCCTCTACCCATGTTGGCGGTGTTGTTGCTGTTGTCGACGAGACCTGGCGAGCTGCAGAGAACTTCGAGCGGCACACGAGAGGTCGATTCGAAATTCGCTTGCGCCGGAGCTAGGCGAAACGTTTCGCCGCGCCGCGCCAAGCCTCAGCTCCGCGCGACTCCTGTCCTCACCTCCCAACTCGCGACCTCTTCTTCAAGCCTCCAAGCACAATCAAGTCAACTCATCTTCACCACACTCACGACTCACATTCCACCGCTGACGATGAAGCCTCACTCGCGTCTTTGATATTGCGCTGAGACACAGCTTCTGCCTTGATGCCTTAGGACGAGAGTGCAACTTTTCTACTCCCATAACACTGAACAGCGAACGAGTCCGATGGCATTTGTCAGGCCGAAGACGCTTGCGAGAAGACTTCAATCGACTGAGTATCTCCTCACCTCTTCAATTTGCCGTACCTTGTGACCTGCCTTTTTAGTCGGACTTGCCCGATGCTAAAGCTGAACACATGAACATGAAATGCTGCTGGATACGACTATGCCGCGCTTACAAGCGAATGTAACATTTCGCCGACATAGCTTTCCCTACTATCCGTGTCTGTCCACGAAGACGGTTCGCTGTTGGCCAGGAACAGCGCGCAGATCAGCATCCCTTCTGCATGACAAGCGAGAGCTAAACTTTACAGCAGCTTTCGCCAGCTAGCACGTTCTCCGAACGAGTCGTCAGAAACTACCCGAGATGCAAGCACGTGAAGACTTCACATTCCAAGCTACACTGGTCGCTTCGTAGTGCCGGGCATGTGGTCTTTCTTGGCAACGATCGACTACATACTCTCGCGCTCACCAGGCTATCCAACATGGCTTCCACGGAACGGAAACACGGAGCTCATAGCCGACGAGAATGGCTGGATAATACATAAGACAGCAACTTCTCTGCTCAGACGCCTCTCATACAATCTCGCAAGCCATTCGCTTTTTCCATTCGCTTCATACACCTGGGACGTTTCTGCCGCACCTGCAACATGTTTGTCCAAGCAGTCCTCACTCTCGGCCTTGCAGCCCTGTCCACAGCTGCTCCTCTAAGCCCTCGCCAATCTTGTGCATCTGGTTTCTATATCATCGTTGCTCGTGGATCCAATGAAGCCCCCGGTGAAGGCAAGCCAGGTCAAGTCGCAGATCTGATTGAGCAGATGGTCCCAGGGTCGACCAGCGTTGCAGTGGATTACCCAGCCACTATCATCGACGACGACGGTAGCTATCCAGCATCTGTCACAGATGGCATCAACGACACCGAGAACAAGATCAAAAATTACGTTGCGGCTTGTGGATCTGACAGCCGCATTGTCCTCGTAGGCTACTCCCAGGGTGGAAATGTCATGACGGATGTTTTGGCTGGTGGAGTCGACAAGCCTGATCCTATCGGCGAGGAATACAGGCAAAACAGTAAACAGTATCGAAATTTTACATGGCATCTGCTAACGAGTAACCAGTCGCCGCCACTGTCGTCTTCGGTGACCCGTCTTTCACTGCCTCCCAGTCCTTCGATCGTGGCACTTCTACCAAGGACGGCATATTCGCGCGCAGCGAGGGCGGCGACAGCTTGGCACTGCTTAATACCTACGCGAGCGTACTCAGAAGCTACTGCGATGAGCACGATACCTTCTGTGCTAGCGGCGACAGCCTCGATGTGCACTATGCTGAGGTTAGCAACCATGCGCAGGAAGCAGCTAACTTTGTCGCGAGCCTGGCTTAGACGAGGCACAATTTTATATGAGTTAACAACCCCGCAAAATGCACATATTTTGCCTTGAACCAGCCCCGGGTCGCCCTATCCTTTCTGGTCTTTCCACAGTTCAGGCCTGTACCGGGTTCTCATTCTCTGCACACAGGCCATCAGAATCTGACTGAAGATCACATCGAGATCAAGGCCAGTCTTTTACTCTTGCCTCGATGCTTGTACTCCTCATCACCGGGTTGACTTGCGCACTGTAACGAGCGAATGTCGCAGCTGAGCAACCCTGATGTCTTCCAGACCCTATCGACTGGGGCCGTTTGACATGTGCTTAGCCGCAACGGCTCTTAAATCCTACGCTAATCGTGGAAAAAGGAAGAAACAAGGGTTGAAAGATCCAATTAAAGTACCTCGCTAATTAATCAGCCAGATTCGCTTCGTGAGCGCAACGAATATAACGACAAAGTCGCGACGTGGACGTGTCTGAGAGGCATACTGTTTCCCCATGGCAAGCTATGCCCCAGTCCCGCCGGCGCCTCCAGTCTATCCTGCTGCCGACCAACCACATGACCAACCTCACAAGCCATACAACCCTCCTTTGCAGACTTTCGATGTCGATTCTCACCATCTAGACTACCGTCAATCTCAAGGCAGCACGCTGCCTCCCAGGACCAAGGGAGGACGTTCTTTCAAAAATGCCTTGTCCAACCTCTGGCTCTACGAGTCCTTCTGCTGGCTCTTCACATTGGCATGTCTTGCAGGTATGATAGCGATTCTGGTATCTTTTGACGGTCAGCCGGTACCGAATTGGCAATGGGGGATCACACTACCGACGGTCGTGTCCTTGATCTCTTCGGTCGCGACCTTCTCGCTTGCAATCCCCATCGAGGAGGGCCTTGGGCAGCTGAAGTGGCTTTGGTTTCGAAAGACGCGGCCACTTTCTGATTTCGAAGCGATTGACGAAGCGGCTGGTGGCCCTTCCGGGAGTGCGAAGTTGATGCTGAAGCTGAAAGGAGGGTACGTGATGGCCATACTTAAGCAGGGTCAAGACTGTCTGACCTTCAAACAGGCCTCTCGCGTTCAGTGGCGCCCTTCTTACGGTCCTCCTGCTTGCGATTAGCCCATTTGTCCAGCAGGTCCTGTCGACCGAGTTCCGAGCAGTGCCTAGAAACGAGGCCCATCTGCCAATCACACGCACCTATTTGAACAACACAAACACTGTCGACGTCGACCTCTCGATGAAAGCCGCTATCATGAATGGCCTGCTCACCTTTGGCGATGCTGCGCCCTCCCTTTTTCAAGTGCCTGCTCAGTGTCCAACAGGCAACTGCACCTGGCCCGATTACGAAAGCCTTGCAGTCTGCGGCGAATGCGCAGATCTTACTAAACAACTGCAGGTCCAGGAAGCTAATTCCAGCACGAATTATACTCTGTCCAACGGCATATCCCTGATCCAAGATCGCATTTGCTATCGGCGTCAGCATGATCGTGAACAACACCCTCGCCAACGCATCGATCTCGAGTGTCGCATTCAAGGACCGCCTCAACAACACGATGTCTCTCGCAGATGTTTTCGTTGTTCTCGGCAACTACACCTGGGATGGCATCAGTGATAGTTTGGACAAGCTCAATCTAGGCCCTTACGCCGCTGAATGCATCCTCGAACTCTGCGTTCAACAGTATTCGGCCGTGGAAAAGAACGGCACATTCCACGAGACCCCCATAGGACAGCCCGCCCCTCTCGACGCAGGCGCCAACCGCGATGTAGTAGACATGGGATCGCAGTCCCTGGCGTACTACTACCTCACACAGAACGGTCAGAACTACACCATCGGCGAAGACGCCATGAAGGGATTCTGGTTCTACTTCACCACACTCTTCACAGGCTCCGTGGCACAGTACAACTCTCCCTCCCGACAACCCGAGTGGCCCAGCGACATCACGCAGTCGATCTTTCAACACCTCAACGCCACGCCACATACTCTCGACTCTATGTTCAACAACATCGCCGCTTCCGCAACACTTAATATACGCACACGTCCAGATGCGGAGATGCTCCGTGGTGATGCGCTGTATCAGCAGGCTATCGTAACGGTCAGGTGGCTGTGGATGATCCTTCCACTGGCGTTGCTTATCTTGACACTGGTTTTCCTTGTCTCTGTGGCGATTCAGACGAGGATGGCGGGCATGCAGACCTGGAAGACGAGTAGTGTGGCGGCGTTGTTTGCACTGCAGGGCTTGAGGGATAAGGAGGAGATTGAGGCTGTGGCGGAGAGGGCGTATGTTAGGATGGGAAGGGACGGGAGGGGGGACTGGGTTTTGCAGCAGAGGATGTAGTATATGGTCTGTACATTTTGTTCTCCATACCTTTTCCCATTCTCTTCTCCGGACGACTTGTTCAGTAGGGTTATTGCTGTCAAGGTTGCCTCCGTGGACTGTCCGCGAGATCGGTACAAGCAGAAGGGCCAATCTGATCCCTATCCAGGAGAAATTCAAACCGATGAAAAGATATAAGTTAGAAGAGCAGCCCAAGACTGCCAATACATGACGACCATGAATGCAAAGAGTCGTGAACAAGATGTCGTCGATTGAAGCCTTGTGATCGGCCGAAGTCTTCCCTGAGGCTGCATGCCGTCATCACTTCAGACCTGCGAACCGCACTCGCATCTTTCTTTTGAGTCGTGTGAGCCCCTTCCACTCTCTCCACCACCATCGCTGCGCCCAGCGAGACATTGACGAGGCATGCTCCGCACCGTCTCGCCAATATGCTGGCGATGCGCAAGCAGGACCCTCAAGTCTCCATCTGCTACCGCAGCAGACCTGCCGTCGGCGTGGAGAGCCTACTCGACGCGGACGATTAGATACCAGGGATCGAGCAGAAGCGTTGTACAGCACGCCAGATTTCAGACATCTTCGAGGAATGGAATACGAAACTACGCCAGCTCGGCCTTCGAACAGCTCAAACCTCCCTCCCCGTCTGCCCTCGGCGCACCCACCAGAGCAAAGACCTACCCCCGAACACGCAAATGGCTGCGTCGCTTGATTCGCCTCGCCATCGCAGCAGGTGTGATATACGCCCTCGATACCCAGTTCTATGACTCCTGTCTTACACGAAGCGTCCGAACCTTCACCATCGGCTTAATCACTGCCCTTGATTACAAGCTCAACTTTCGCCCCGACCCATGGATCGGCGACAGCATCGCGGACTTGCATGCACGCAGCGCTCAGAGAGTGTTTGATCTTCTGCGCGAAAATGGAGGCTTATATCTCAAGATCGGGCAGGCGATAGCGATGCAGAGCGCGATTCTGCCGCCGGAGTCCCAAAAGATGTTCTCGCGGATGTTCGACGATGCGCCGCAGAATGATTGGAAAGAGGTTGAGAAGGTGATTCGGGAGGATTTTGGTGGAAAGAATGTGGAAGAGGTGTTTGGTGTGAGCTTTGCCGGGGAGCAGGATAAGGGAGTTATGGAGAGGACGGCGAGGGCGAGTGCGAGTGTTGCGCAGGTACACTGGGCGAGGTTGGCGGATGGACGGGAGGTTGCGATTAAGATCCAGAAGAAGGAGATTGCCAACCAGGTGGGTTGGGACCTGTGGGCTTTCCGTGTGGTGAGCCGGATATACTCGTGGTGGTTTGATTTGCCGTTATACCACCTTGTGCCGTACGTCTGCGATAGACTCATGGCGGAGACGAACTTCGAGCTGGAGGCGGAGAATTCGAGGAATATGAGGAGGCTTATTCAAGGGGAGTCGAGGTTGAAGGATCGAGTCTATATTCCGGAGGTCTACCCTGAGCTGAGCAGCAAGAGAGTCATGACTGCCGAGTGGATTGAAGGAATCAGGCTGTGGGATAAGGAAGGGGTCGAAGGAAGCTGGCAGGGTGGATGGCGAAGAGGCTCACCAGGCGCAGGAGGAGCTCGTCTCGACCCACCACCGCCCTCCATCAGAGCCTCCATTCCCTCCAACAACCCCCTCAACGAAAACGTCAAACCCACTCGCGACGCCTGGCGCGGCACCGACAAACAAGGCGGTCTAGGCCTCTCCTTCAAACCCATCATGCAAACCATGGTCGATCTCTTCTCCGCGCAAATGTTCCTCTGGGGTCTCGTCCACTGCGACCCACACCCCGGAAACATCTTCATCCGACGCCTCCCCAACGGCAAGCCCGAGCTCGTCCTCATCGACCACGGCCTCTACATCCAAATGTCGCCCAAGTTCCGCAAAGAATACGCACTCTTCTGGCGCTCCCTCATGACGTTCGACAACGATACCATCGCGCACATCACCCGCGACGAATGGGGTATCAACGCGCCGGACATGTTCGCCTCGGCGACGTTGATGCGTCCGTACGAAGGCGGCGACCACAAAGTCATGGACGAGATTCGGAAGATGAGCAAGAAGGAGCAACGCCAACGCCAGTACGAAATGCAGCAGCATATGCGGAAATCCGTCCGCGAGATCCTCGCCAACCAGGAGAAGTTCCCCCAGGAGCTCATCTTTATCGGACGGAATCTGCGTATCGTGCAGGGGAATAATCAGTTCTTGGGCAGTCCTGTGAACCGCGTGAAGATCACGGGATACTGGGCGAGTCGAGCGTTGGCGGAAGATCGCAGCGCGAGTGTGCAGGAGAGGTGGAGGGAGTATTTCCGGCATTTGCTGTTCAGAGTTGTGCTGTTGAGTACAGACTTGGTATTCTACTGGAGTAAATTCCGGCAGGCGGTGGGGGTTGGCAAGGGGATGGACGATGATATTGAGGCGGGGATGAAGAAGATGGCGGAGAGGTGAGTCTTTTCCATATTCGAGTGATGAGTGAATGAGTACTGACGTGTTGATGGTAGCATGGGTGTGGAGTTGCAGCATGGCGTGTTTGAAGGATAGAGACCAGACGACTAGAAGACACTACTCAACTCTCGACATAGATCTGAGAGATGGAGATACATGTACAGATATACATATTCCTAAACTCGAACCACGACTCTTGGCTCCAAATCCCGGCATTAAGGAGGAGGAGGAGCAGGAGGATGATGTGGGTGAAGAGCGGGGAGAGCTTGCTTGCCTATGCTGTGCTTTCGACTTCAGCTCCTGTCTGGGGAGCGGCAACATCACCTCGTGAGGAGTAGGAGGTTATTTGGACCAAGGTAAAGGTTGGACGACACTTTTCTCTACAGTACTACTATTCATCTCCTTGTAATCTTTCTCTGGCATCGTCGGGGTATTCACTCTTGCGTGTCATAACCTTGTTACGACTGTACTGATTCCTTTTTCAATTCCGAGCTACCTCTTCTGCCAAAAAACCGATCTCGTCGACATACCACAAACTCATCACCTGTAAAAACCATCCCGCTCTCTATCCCCTATTTCAAACCCCAATCAAGAACAACACCCCTGGCCCCTCGCCTCCCAAAAATGTCCACCACCACCCCACCCAATCCCTACCCCTCCCCCCACGGCAAACTCCTGCACAAAACCGCCATCATCACCGGCGGCTCCATGGGCATCGGCGCAGGCATCGTGCAAAAATTCATCGCCGAAGGCGCCCACGTGCTCATCTTCGACATCAACGGCCCCACCGCCTTGTCCCTCGCCGCGACGCTGCCGGAAGGGAGCGTGAAGGTGTTCGAGGGGGATGTGACCAAGGAGGGGGACTGGAGGGAGGCGTTGAGGGTGTGTTTGGAGGCGTTTGGGCGGTGTGATGTGGTGGTGAATAATGCGGGGGTGGTGCATCGGGCTGTTGTGTGTCCATCCCTTTTCCCTTGAGCTTCAATATCGAACACGACTAACTGTATCTCAGCCGAGCACACAAGTCCCCCAAGAAGAATACGACCGCATCATGACCACCAACATCACCCCCCTCTACCACTCCGCCCGAACCCTCCAACCTCACTTCGCCTCCCTCAGGCCCCCAGGTGGCGTCTTCGTCAACATCTCCTCCATCTCCGCCCCGCGGCCCCGCCCCAACCTCGTCTGGTACGCCGGCTCCAAAGGCGCCGTCTCGTCCATCACGCGCGGGTTAGCGGCGGAATTCGCGCCCTTCAACATCCGGTGCAACGCCATCCTGCCCGTCGTCGCGGAGACGGGGATGGTGGCGAGTGTTTTGGGCGGGGAGGATTCGGCGGAGGGGAGGGAGCGGTTGAGGGCTCAGATTCCGCTGGGCAGGATTTGTACGCCGGGGGATGTGGCGGGGGCGGCGTGTTTTTTGGCCGGGGAGGAGAGTAGTTTTATTACGGGGGTGGAGTTGCCGGTGGATGGGGGGAGGAGTTTGATGTAGATTATGATGGGGAGAGGAGGGGGAGGTCTTCCACGTGAAAAGCCCTTGTCTCCGTGTGCATAGTAAGAATGAGTTCGTGGGAATGGGAAGAATGTGCTGATGGTTGTTGGGTTGTCGTGAAACATACTTTTCCGACCTCGTCTCTCGATTCCATCTACACGGCAGGCAGCTCGCCGTCAGACTCCCGCAGCAAACCTCTCTCCATCCCACCAAGCTCAGAACGCTTCCAAATAACCCCAGCAAAAGACCCTCACATCTTCAAAATGCCACCGTCCGATTCCCCTCCTCCATGGCGTTCGTCTCGCATGCTCAGCGATCTTGCCCCTCCCTTCCCAAGTATCGCTTCCTCCTCGTCATTATTAAACGCCTCGAAACGCCTTCGCCAATATGTAGGAATAAGCCATTTTGTATAAATAGTTGTTGTCGCGGTCTTCAGAGGAAGAGTGGGTATATGCAGAAAGAGGCGTTGTGGGTGTGGATATAAGTGGCGTATGGTGCTTTTCGCCGTGCAGCACGCATTGCATTGCATGACCGTGGTATTGTGTCCGGGCACAGCTTTCGTGTCCTTTACATGACGGTGCAGCTCTTGCTCGATTTGTCGCCCTTGGGGTTCTTGACTTGCAGGGCAACGCGTGCGGCTTCGGTGAAGGCTTCGTTGACGCCGCGGTTCTTCATGGCGGAGCATTCTGTGTTGGGATTGATCAGACTGTGCATCACAGCTTTGTAGGGGCATGTGGCTGTACTCACCGAGATATCTCAATGCCTTGATCTTCTCAGCCACGGCAAGTCCCTGCTTGTAATCGACCTTGGCCCGCTTGGGTTCATGCGATCCATCTTCCTCGTCTTGGTTGTCCTCTCCTCGCAGATCGCACTTCAACGCTACGAGCACTAACCGCACGCCTGGGCAGTTCTCGGCGATCTCGCCTACCCACTTGCTCTCCACGTTCTCAAGCGAGTCTGGCGAGTCGACGCTAAAGCAGAGCATAATGGCGTGGGTGTCATCGTAGCTGAGGGATCGTAATCGGTCGAATTCCTCCTGGCCGGCGGTATCCCAGAGTGATAGCTCCACGTGAGTGTTGTCGATGAAGATGTCGTGTACGTAGTTCTCGAAGACTGTCGGCTCGCTGTATCCTGCATGTTAGCGCCGGCGTTTTGGATGGAAAGCTGATTGCTTACTATACGGTTGGGAAGTATCCTCGCGTGAAGACATTGAGCAACGAAGTCTTGCCGCATGCACCGTCGCCTCTGCATCAAACATGCCATGTCAGTGTCTGCCTCATTACAGTTATGCGCGCATGTGTCCACGTACAGCAGTACCAGCTTGCGCTGCACCGTCTTGGTCCCACCACAGAGCGGCATGTTTGCGAGATGTTCTTAAATATAAACTTCCTTCTCTTTTCCGAGCGATTTCGACCACGACAGGTGTGCGCTGACAGGTGGACGTCTCAAAGTGTGCGTTGCGTGGCCGGCGGTACGAGTGAATCCTGCGCGAAAGAGGCCGGGCAAAGACGTTAGCGGAGGAGCTGGAGTTTATGTACAACCGTTGGCGCAGTCGCGCGAGGCGATGATGTCGATGGGCTGAGCGACCGAGTTGGATCACAGAACCGTCGCAGTGTTGGTGGTGGAGTGGCAGCGAACAGGCAATGAGGTAATACACAACCTGAGGTGCTCCGCGCCAACCTCTCAATCTCAATTTCTTTCCTGGCCTGGCCTCGAGGGTTGCGCGGGCGGGATGTGGCGGGTAGATGCGTGGCACAGAGCCGCCGTCAAAGCCGCCGAATGTCTCGGAGGGGGAAAGATGGTGAAGGAGAAGAAAAGGCCGAGAGGCGACGGACAGCGATGGATGAGAAAGAGAGCGGATGATGAGATGAGGAACAGGTGGAGGGCCTGGCGCAGGCTGGACCGCAGCTCATCAAATGCACGCGCAATCGGCTAAATAACTAACCAACTCTACAACTCTCCTCCAACTCGGGCCCCCGTCCAACACCACCACCTGCAGACACCAGGTTGCCGGCACCTTCACACGACCTGGCCTTCCCGAACTTCGAACCTTCGTGCGCCTCTGCTCACCAAAGTGCTAAACTTAGCCGATTCAATCCTCTCCAATGCCAGCGCTATCCAATCGCACGCCCTGCCCAGCTGACGGCCGACGGCTGATCTGGATGCTGCTCCCAGGGACCCCATATCTGCCGAAGCGAAGGTATACGAGTATATGTGTTTGTAGTATTGTATTCTTGACGTCTATATTGTGTTGGGTATGCGGTTGATCGAAACCTCCAACGCACAAACGACTTGGAACGAGTGCACGTGGAGCTGGTGGCTTCTGCAACGCCCAAGTGAAGGTTATTGACACGCGCCATGCCTGTCATTTCAACGGCGGTCACCAAGTTGCCATGAGTAATGATGCATTCAACCTTGAGACTGTTGATAAACAGTCGCAAAAAGACTCTGCTCGCCGCACATCCCCTTGATCTCCTCACTTCAGTCATCATCCGCCCTGCCTCGAGGTCGATCTGCCAATCTCCTACCAAGATCCACTCCTTCGGCGTCTCTTCTCACACCGCCAATGAACTTCCCCTTGTCAGAACGTTTTCGGTCATCTTCCTCGCGCTGTCTCGCCTCGCGCTCTTCCAGGGCTGTGAGTCGAGCCTTGCGATCAGTCTCCAAGTCCGAAGCGTTCGACTGCATGGCCGCAAGCTTTCTCGCTCGCTCAGCCTCCTCATCCGCCTCGTTTTTGCCATCTTCTGGAGGAGACACGTAAGGCTTCTCGTTGCGACCACGTGAGTATGAAGGCGACCGTCTCCGCCGCTCATCACGCCGAGAAGACCGATCGTCTCTCCTGGATTGATAGGGTGACCGCGAGCGTGAGTCTGAGCGCCGTGGGCTCGGATAGGACCTACGGCGATCTTTGCGGTCATCCTCGTCACGCCGTCTAGGAGGAGTACGAGACCGAGACACGCTGTAGTCACGCCTTCTGTCACGTCGGTCGTCCCGCTCACGCTCATCCCGTCGTGGTGAGTGCGGAGATCTTGATCTCGACCGCGACGTGGAATCGGAAGGTGATCGCCTTCGGTGCCTGTGCGAGCGATGTCTGTGGGATCGCCGCTCGTCATCGTACTCGTCACTGTGTCTTCGACGTTTGCTTCGATGGCCATCCTCATCCCGATGTCGATGCCTGTGACGATGCTTGTGCTTCCTGTCCTTGTCCTTGTCACGATCATCTTCAACATCCTTCCCAGCAGCCGCCATCAATTGTCTTCTCTTCGTGGGATCATTCATCATGGCCTCGTATGCGGCTTGCTCCTGCTTCTTGATGGCCAGCATGGGGTCGTTCGAGACCTTGGCCATAGTATCCCTCGCAGAGTTCGCATTCGAGTTCAGCGCCATGAATCCCTCCTCGCCGGCATCTTTCTTCAGTGCCTCTCCTTCATTCCTCTTCACGAGCCCGTCCAACTTTCTCTTCCCCAGCAAGTAGCCCTCCATCTCCTCGGTGACGCCACCCGCACCTGGACCTCCCGACCCCGGGCCATTGTACATCCAGTCCACACGGTCAACTCTCTTCCTGCCACCAGCTGCTTCCTGAAGCCGTTCAAGTTCTTGAATCGCTCGCTCTTCCGCACGTTCCTTCAGCACCTGGTCGGTTTTCTTGCGCTCTTCCAGTGCCTTGAGTTCCTCGTTGTACACCCGGCGCTGGTTGGTCATAAGCGCCGGATGCCATGACTTCTTCAAGTTGAGGTCACCACCCATTTTGGCGGTGTTTTCGGTGCGGGCGAGAGTCGGTGGGAGATGTAGAAGTTTGGAGAGAGAAGTGGCGAGAGGAGGCAGATTGTCGCGCGAGTCATTTTAGGTCTTGGCAAAACGTGGGGGCGGCCCGAGCTTTAGAGCCAGCGTCACTTCAAGCTCCAGGCCGCCAAACAGACGACCAACATCTCCCTCTTCAACTCCATCTTCACCGAAGCCTCGCAACACCTACTCTCCACGTGGAAGGAATCCAAGGCGACGAAGCCACTCGAATCAAACCTCCCATTCAATCGACGAAACCGCGATCATGTCAGACGACGACGACTTCATGCAGGCCTCTGATGAGGAGAAGTAAGTGGAGGGTATTGGATATCACATGCATGCAGGAAGCTGATTGATGTTGACAGCTACGACTTCGAGTACGAGGATGACGATGATGTCGATCAGGGCGGCGACGTCGACGTCGAGAACAAATACTACAATGCGAAACAGATGAAGGTGGACAACCCGGAAGAGGCGATCGATGAATTCTTAGGCGTACCTGCGTTGGAAGACGAGAAGGGAGACTGGGGTTTCAAAGGTTTGAAGCAGGCCATAAAGCTTGAGTTCAAACTGGGACGATACAAGCAGGTCAGTCCAATAACACGCGGTGTATAACGGCGACAGCCCAACTGACTGCTCATCCAGGCGGTGGAACACTATACGGAGCTCTTGACGTACGTCAAGTCTGCGGTGACTCGTAACTATTCAGAAAAGTCCATCAACAACATGCTGGACTTCATCGAGAAGAACGCCGAAGACGAAGCTGCCAACCAATGCATGGAGCACTTCTACTCCAAGACTCTCGAATCCTTCCAGGCCACTAACAACGAGCGGTTATGGCTTTCGACCAACACCAAGCTTGCACGTCTCTGGCTTGCTCAAAAGAACTATGACCGTCTAACTGACAAAGTCCGCGAGCTACACAAGGCGTGCCAGTTCCCTGACGGCACCGATGACCCAAGCAAAGGCACATACTCCATGGAGGCATACGCGCTCGAGATTCAGATGTATGCAGAGACACGCAACAACAAGCGGCTGAAGGTATGACAAATCCGATGACACGCAAATCAGCAATGAGACTCACTTTCAATCATAGGGATTGTACACGCGTGCGCTCAGAGTGCGTTCAGCGGTACCACATCCCAAGATCATGGGAATCATCCGCGAGTGCGGCGGCAAGATGCACATGAGTGAAGGTAGGGCGACAAGCAAGGGATACCGTATGCAGCTGTTCATGTATGCTGATCATTGTTTCCAGAGAATTGGAAGAGCGCCCAGAGTGACTTCTTCGAATCATTCCGCAACTACGACGAGGCGGGATCGTTGCAGCGCATTCAGGTGCTCAAGTATCTCGTGCTGACGACCATGCTCATGGGCTCGGACATCAATCCATTCGATTCGCAGGAAACCAAGCCATACAAGAACGATCCTCGCATCGCGGCTATGACGGAGCTGGTGGATGCATACCAACGAGATGACATTCATCAATATGAGACGGTTCTCCAGAAGAACAAGGACCTCCTTGCAGATCCATTCATCGCGGAGAATATTGACGAAGTCACCCGCAATATGCGTACCAAGGCGGTGGTCAAACTGGTGGCACCATACACCCGCTTCCGTCTCGACTTCATTGCGAAGCGGCTGAACATCTCGATACCCGAGGTTCAGGACATCGTGGGCTTCCTGATGATGGACAAGAAGCTGCGTGGCAAGATCAACCAGGATGCCGGGACGGTCGAGATCGAGAGCCGCGCAGATCTAGATCGGATGCACGCTGTGGCGGATTGGACGGCGGCAATTCGTTCGCTGGCGTCGGTTGTGCTCAACGACGGCGACTTCAAGCAAGACGATGCCGGAATGGGACCAGGTGGCAGCTCCTCCCTTACCGGCACGCCTGAAGCCTTCGACATTATGGCCCCGTCATCACGCGGTGGAAAGCGCAAGCCGAACCGAGCAGCAGGGAAATGACTTGCATGACGATTGGCTTCGTCGTTCCAGCCATGACTTGCACCAGAAACCATCACCTCACAGCGCCACACTGCAGGCGCAGCCGTCTGTGGTAGGCGAAGGCACCGGGAGCTAGAAAACATTTGGAAGCAGCCCAGCTGTATCGCCTAGGCGCCCATCACGAGAGGGAGGGCATCGGCTGCACGCATCACACGGATACCAGACCACGGAAACACGAGAAAAGATAGACCAAGCAGCCGGGGCGCACAAAACACGCACAACCCCATCTGCATCACACCAAGGAGATTTCATGGCTGGTATGGTGGAGTGGGGAAAGAATGATTGCAGAGACGCAACAGGCGTCCGCCCGACAATGCTCATCATCTATTACCGTCGCACTGGCTTCTCTCTCTCCACCTGTTGCGCGGAACCAGCGCACCGGACTTCTTCGGCTTGATTCGTGACATGGCCCCATGCATCGTTACACACGCCGCGAGCGAGGATGGAGTGCAGCGAGCGAGGATTGGATTCCTGCAGCGTTTCTTTTCTCTCTTTCCCTCCCGTTCCCCATATTCCCATGAACCATTCCGCCCTCGCTCGCTCCCGTCGATCGGACCACGCTTCTGGCTGGAGACTCACGTTGGAGTCGAGCGGTGTGTTCAACGTAGATTGAGGCGCAAAGAATGAAAGATGGAGCACATCATCCATCACTTCTCTTATCTACACAATCCACAGCGAAAATCCATCCTCTTCCCTTGTGGTCTTTCCAATGTCCCATCCCCTCCTTGCATCGGACCCTCCTCTCCGGCATCCCTGTTCACCTCAATATCCAAATTCTTAGATAATGCATGCATGCATGCATGTCGTGTGCCACACCCACTAGACTTTCTTAAGCGAAGCGAGAAAGTGAGCAGGATCTGGATCCTGGTTCTTCCTCTGTGGTGTGCCAGTGTGTCGGGTCGAGTGGATTTTCAGGTTCAGGAGTGGTTTTTGTGTTTCCGGTTGCTTGGGATATGTGATGGGTCGGTTTCTTGAGGGATGGATATTATTATTCTGGTTCTGGAGCGTGGTGACCTTTGAAACTGAGGAGAGCTATCAATGTGTACATGTACGATTTGTTCGCTCCAAGCAACGAGGACGCATGGTATACGTGCAGGTGATGAGTAATGGTCGTTCATGTCTTGCAGTGTTGCAGATAGAGAGAGGGCCATATTTACACCGCGGCAATCACATCAATCAATCAATCCATAGGTGAGACTTTTCCTGCCGCCGGGGGAACATGGCAGATGGAGCTAGGTCCTAGTTTGGAAGATGCACTTTTTGACTTTCAGTCTCTCGATATATGATGAGGCGGTAGATTCTTCATCATCGAGTAGACTTGTGCAATGTTTGGTGGCACAAGAGCAGAGTCAATGGAAGAATCGTCTCCTTTCTGCCTGGAGCTTGCTTCGATTGATTGAGGGACGACTCGCCTGACTGCGTAGTAGTGGAATCGTGCCAATTGATGGGTGAGGCTACGCAAAGCACTATCGAAAAGTCATTCGTCAGCTGAGGAGGGGCGAGGCTTGGGTGCGGTTGCACGGTGGCTTCAGTCATGCTTGGGACACAACGACTGGCGCCTGCAGAACACTTTTACCAGTGTGCCTGATGTGGGTGGGGTTGTGGATGTGTTGTGGAGGAGAGTGGGAAGGAGGAACTTGCAGGTGCCTCTTTCGGGTGTTTGCTTGGAGAAAACGATTTGCTCATGGCTTGTCCCGTCTGCGCGGATAGAGTTACTACTATATCTGATCCACGAGTTTCGTTAGGCGGACGAGATCTTGAGGAGGCTTGGAGGATGATGGATTTAGATCTCATGCTTTCTGTCCGCTTACCCTTTGCGCTGGTTGATGATGATGATTCTCTTGCGACACCCGCTTGGACCCGGTCTGTTGCCAGGCGGTTACCCGTACGGTGTCTCCACGCTGACGGCGAACGAAAGGATCCGTTGGTCTGGTGTCGTAGAGTACCCTGTCTCGCGGGAGGCTTGCATGTGGGAGATGCGCGCTAGAGGGCGCCTCGAGAAGTTCCCTTGGGGAGGGACGAGAAGGGTGCGAGGGTGGGACCTGGGCATTGGATCTATTGGTGATGCTTGAACTGCTGGGGTTTCCTCAATCCAATTCTCCCGTTGCTCGCTGCTTGGACGCTCTGCTGCTTTGGACAGGGCGTGATCTGATCGTGCCCGGGTTGGGGGTTCGCAGCACGCGGGCACTCACTTACTGGAGGAAAATGTTGGGCTGGGGGCGGCTCTGATCATGGTCCACGGATGGATTGCTGCAGCTCCCTGGTCGGGGAATGGGATTGCGCATTTGGTACCTGGCATGAGGAGAGCACCTGTGCACGGTGGCGGCGTCGGTTTGGCGAATGGACCTAGCTGGACGAGATGTGGGAAGGGATGTGGGCCTGCCTGGAAGGGGGATCTGGGAATCGGTGGGCGTGCGATCTGGCGTCGGTGCGTGGCCTGGCGGTAGTATGTATATCTGTCCTGGCTGGCCTCCAGTCTGCTGGGAGCTGGGCTTTGCTTTGCTTGTCCGTTCGGAGCTGCGTCGCTTGGTCTGTCCTTTTCTCGTGTGTGGTTCACATCATCTGCAGCGACCCCGGTCGGATTGTGAGGTTACTCTACAGCAAGGAACCAGTCTCTGGCGCGGCAGACGCTTTGTTTCGTGCCCACTGCAGCGCAGCGCAGTCCGAGCCTCCGAGCAAGGCGAGCCAGGGCGCTGGGTTGGGCTACCTATCTGGAGCGGAAGAGGCACTATCGTCGTTGTCGTCGTCGACTCTTTCGTCTGGCCCTGATCGTTCCCTTCGTTCGTTACTCGACAGATCCTCACCTCACCTCACTCACTCCATCGCTCTCTCTCGACCGGCCGGCCATCGACTCTCCTTCCCTGCCGACGAGTGTCTGACCTAAATCACCTCTCCCTCGGGCGGGCGTGTGCATGCATGCTGCGTGCGTCCCGGGCGTGTGTCGACCATCCATTCATCGACTGCGAAGACGAGGGCGGGCGGCGAGCATTTACCTTGGCTGGGCCGCGTGAGTGCATAACGGGGAGAGCTGCTGCTGCTGCTGCTGCTTCCATTCCATTGCGAACCGTTGCGACGACAACGACGACCGCGACCGCGACGACAATTGACGCTTGCCAGCACACGGCCGCACAGCGCAGACGACCATCATCGCACAGGAGGCCGCGACGTCCTTTCGACTTGTCGCATTCCTGGATTCGTGGTCGGAGCCCCGCTTTGCTGCTGCTCTAGCTCGGACGGCGACGAAAAGCCAAAGCTTGCCGCTGGCGTGAGGATCGGGGACGGGAGAGCAGCGATGAGCAGTCAGCGGCAGCCCGTCGCCACGGCCGGCTACTATCAGCATCAGCATCACCTTCACCAGCAACACCACCTCCCGCACCACCCTCACCACCCGCAACAACACCGCCACCCCTCCCTCCCGGCCGCCTTCTCCCCCGCGCCGCCGCCGCACTATCATGACCCAGCCCTTGCGTCGCTGGCGTATCGACCGCTGCAGTTGCCGCTGCAGCACGCGACGCACCAGCAACAAACAGCTTCGTCCGAGCAAACACAGCTGCCATTAGCGGCCCAAGCTGCCGGCCCTTACCAGCACCCCAGCTTCCGCCAGCATCGCCATCCCTCCGATCACCACCACCACCACGCCGCCGCCCTCTCGCACCGCACGCGTGCCCAAGCCCGCCAGCGCCACCACTCCGCCATGGCCTACCAGCAGTCCGCCCCGTCCGCCGACGACGATCTCGCCGAGCTGCAAAAGCTCAGCGAGGCCTACGAGCCGGAGGCCACCGTAAGTTCCACCCCATGCCCTTGTCCTTGCCCGCTCGCTGGCCGGTGTGCTCGCGCAACCCACGAGATGAAGTCCATGGCCGTTGACAAATAGACTTCCGGCGCGGGTCGTGAGGACTTTGGAGACGAGCATCCGAGCGCTGACCGTTGGTGATCTCCAACAGGGGCCGCTTGTTGGCCAGCGCCAACCGAGTACGGCTATCACGACCGAGTACGCTTCGGCTGATCCTGTCTATCAAGCGAAGACTGCTGTAAGTGAACTCCGATGAAGAAGTGAGGTGGATGTGAGCTGACCCCGGTAGGCATTGCCTCAGAAATACTCGCACTACCGGACTGTGCGTGGTGATGGAAAGTGCGGTTGGAGAGGTAATTCCATCTACTACGGTTTTCACTTCTATAGTAGAACTAACACACTGCACAGCCGTCGCCTTCGGCTACTTCGAAGCACTCATCCACCATGGCGACACCGACCGATTTGCCATGGAAGAAGCTCGCTTGCGATCAATGACCAATGTCATGGTCGAAGCCGGTTTCCAAGCCATGCTCATGGAGGAGTTCGCAGAGGAGACTATTAGTCTGCTACGCAAGGTTGCCGAAGCAATACCTCTGGGCAATGCTGAAGATGTGCTGTTGGAGACATTCAACGAGCAGATGACGCAGGACTACATTATCACTCACATTCGGGTGCGTGTTCCAATCCCTGCACACTTCGAATATCGTACTCACTCTCCTCACAGACCATCACCGCGGCGTGGATGAAGACGCACGATGAGAACTACGCACCATGGCTACTGGGTCAAACCGTCGACCAATACTGCGAGCAATCCGTCTTGCCTGTCGCTGCTGAGATCGACCACGTTGGCCTTGTCGCGCTCAAAGACGCCCTACTCTCGCCCGCAGGCATGTCCCTCGAAGTCCTGTACCTCGATCGCAGCGAGGGCAGCGAAGTGACCATGCATCGCTTCGACCCCGTCAACGCAGGTGGTTACACTATTGGAAGTGTGAGACTGCTGTATCGACCGTAAGTACCGTCGCCTTGTGTCTTCGATGGTTGAAGCTGACACCTGTCAAGTGGTCACTACGACCTGCTTTACAAGCCAGAAGACCTCCCTGCTCCACCGCCTCCTCCAGCTGCCACTGCTGTACCAACATACCTCCAATACGGAAGCAGCCATGACCCGGTGTACGACCTGGGTGTCTCGGACTTTATGACATCCATTCCCGGCATGTCCTACGCCAACCTGTCTCAGCCAGGCTGGATGTCATCAAGCTATGCATCAGGAGTGGACTTTCTCAACACGCCAGCTCCTGTCCAGGCGTGTACGCAAGCACTGCCAACACCATCGGCGCCGGCTCCTCAGCCGCAGATTTCATCTCAGCCAGTCTATGTTCCTGCCTCCACACCATCGCAGCTGGTACCACCACCGACGCAAATGCCGCATGAACTAGCAATACGAACGTCTGTTGTGCAGACATCGCTAGCTCACACAGACTTCCAGCACCAACTCAGCGTCGGTCCGTTCAGACCATCGGCGTGGCAATATGAGCCGGACTTTGTGTCAGCCACTTCGCAAATGCCGTTTCAGACATCGATCTTCAGGAAGTGAGTCGCACTTACCCTAGTCACGATAGGCTCGCACTGACGCACTACAGTTCGCACTTCAACACCGCCCACTTCCTCAACCCGGAGTTCCAGCCGGAACAGTGGGATCCCGACGATGAATACGCCACGGCAACCAGCAGCAGCAGTAGCAAGAGTTCGCGGCACAAAACCAATGGATGACCTCCGACGCTGCGTTCTTGCAACGGTGCACAGAAGATTCAGCTGACCAGTCAATCTTCTCACCACCTCAACATGCCGTATCCACTCGTGGGTCGTACCCAGGATCGGGGCTGCGTTCCACGAACAGTCACACGAACGACACGGCACTGTGCATTAGTCTCCTCACATCATCTCCTCTTGTCTCTCGCCAACCGACCTGCGCCGCTCCTTACCATCAATCGGCATCCCACGACCGGTTGAAACACCACTTTTAACGACGGCTTACGACCAAAGACTTATCACCTCAGGGTACCCTACAGTGCAGCGTCTTATCACCCCAACGAAGCATATCATCCTTTCCGCATCGGATACTCTTTGAAACTAATACCGGCGGAGGAGGGAGAGGAGAAGACTGAAACCCCAAAAGGAGACTTCCCAAACCAAAACTGTTTCGAGTCAGCTTTGACTTGCTTTTTGTTTCCACGAGCATTTAGCGACGGCGATTTGGGAGTGGGAACGGGAAGGAAAGAAAGAACGGTGGCATATGGGGATGGAGCTTGGGCGAGGATTCAGGCGTTCTTTGATCAGCCCTCGCGTGAAGGGGGCTGTTATTTCGGTTTTGTGTCATCTGAGTTGACTTTTACGTGGCCTTTTGAAGGCCCGGTTTACCCCCCCAAAAATGGATTGAGTGGTATAGTTAGATTGGTTCTTTTTTGAGAAGACGAGGCTTAATCTGACGCTCCTTTCGATAAGTCGATGTGTATCGTCCCAAAAGATGCCTACGCTGATACAGTCCACTCAAACTGCACCAACACCGGGTCGTGATCACTCAACACACTCCCATTACTCTGCAGGAACTTGTCGCCGGCATACTCGAAGCTCACGGCTGTCAAACCAACGTCATGACCCGAACGGTACAGCACTTTATCCACGATCTCGCACGTCTCGATCGGAGAAGGGTTCTCGCAGACTAATGCGTCGCTTCCTTCCGTCGGCTCCACGCCGCCCATTTCGAGCTCGACCCAGGCGTCTGCGAGACTGTTCTGCGTGCTGAAGATGCGGATCCCATCCCCCGTGCGCGTGTAGCGACTATTCGTGTCGCCGAAGACGAGGACGGGCTGGCCCTCCGAATTCGCGGAGATGTAGTCGGCGACCTGCTGGAGGTTCGAGGCGCGCGCGGTGATGTCGCCGCTATCGTCGCCGGCGTCCGTGTGCAGGTTGTAGACGTCGACGGTGAACGTCTCGGCGATGGTCATGCGCATGTATGTGAATCCTTTGGGGGTGAGGCAGTCTCCCGAGTTGAGGTTGCAGGTGTTCCATTTGGTTCGCGAGAAGGTGGATTCATCCCAGGGGTAGTTGGCTAGGGTGTTGAGGCCGGAGCCGAAGGGGACGCCGCCGGAGGTGGCCGTGCGGTAGGTGTGATTGTCGGTTTCGTAGATGTAGGCGTGGTAGTTGAAGTCTTCTTGCACGTTGATGATGTCGTAGCCGTAGGTGGCGAAGTAGGTGCCGATTTGGTTGGCGTTGTCGGCTTTGTCTCCCGGGACGTCGTTGTTGTTGAGGATTGCTGGGAGGCCGGCGACGTTCATGGTGAGGATGGAGAGGGTGCCGGTGGGTTGGGCGAGGGTTGTGAGGGGAAGGAGAGCGAAGGTGGTCGTTAGGAAGAGGGAGTGCATCATTTTGACCTGGAATTGTCTTCGATAGACAACGAGGAAGCTGGATGTGGTAGGGAGAAAAGCGAATGAGTTGAAATGAGAGCAGCTCGACGTCCATACCTTTAATATCACTTCGAAGACCACATTTGCCGAGCCAGACTGATAATCTTCCGCGAAGACATGCAAAGCATCGCCCAGTCCACATCCAGTAACAAGTCCTGCTGCATCGTCGAAATATGCGCTGAAGTGGTATCGCGAGTGGGGTTTGCCAATCTAGTGTTGATCGCTTCGATGCGTGGGGGATCCAACGTGCGAAGTCGAGTGGCAGCTGGTGCTTCACAGTAGCCGTAGGGGCATATTGAACACTTCGCTTGTTCGACAGCTCGTATGTGATATATTCCAAGCGCTAGCCTTTACACGCACGTGTTTAGGAGTCCAGGTGAAGGGTTATCTTGTCTGCGGCTCCAATGATGGGCATGTTGGCGATTGCCAAAGTTTTGTGGGCGCTGGAAGTATGACTCTTCGCTTGCAGAGTCGGCTTTGTAGCGATGCATTATTATTGCCTTCGACAGCAGGTTTCTGCATCCTAATTCGATGAAAGGTCCAATCATGGAGGAGTTAGATTTGTGAATCATCGAAGGAAGACGACTGAAGTCGAAAGTCAGCGGCAGGCAAAAGAGACTTTCAAGCACGTGCCACCAAAACTCTTGGCGGCGGGTGCTCCCACCAAACGCTGAAAATCGAGCGCTCTCCTCACTCTCGAATCATCACCGACGTACTGCACCGCAACCACCACGTACGGCATCGCCAAAGGTCACCAAACACACCCGATTTCATCGAGACACACCACACACCACCGATTAGCATCAAAACACCGCCAACATGGTACGCAGGCACCGTCGGGATGCGCTGTGGCGAGCGACCCTGGTCTCGAGGCACACGACTGCACCGGGTGCACGAACATGCCCTCGAGGCCGGCGAATCGCACAGCAAATGCATCTGCGAAATTGTTGAGATGGATTCCGGGCTAACAGATTGTCTTCAGGTTCTCGCAGTCGACCTTTTGAACCCGACGCCTCAGGCTGAGGCCCGCAAGCACAAGCTCAAGGTAAATCACACCCGAAATCATCAATCCTCATCACCAGCTCACTGACTTTGCCATCAGACCCTCGTCCCAGGCCCACGCTCTTTCTTCATGGACGTCAAGTGCCCCGGCTGCTTCACCATCACCACCGTCTTCTCGCACGCACAAACCGTCGTCGTCTGCGCCGGCTGCTCGCAGGTCCTCTGCCAGCCCACCGGTGGCAAGGCCCGTCTCACCGAGGGCTGCTCTTTCCGGAGAAAGTAGACGACTCGCTTCCACGATGACATGAGATGGGAGGGGGCGGACACGGCGATCGGCAAGATGAAGGGGCAACACGATGAAACCTCGGCTGGATGTAGATACTTGATTGGAGTATTTACGTCTAGCGGGTTTCTGCGCTTGAAGGACAACCTCGATGAACATGGTCTCTCACAGTTTCCTCCTACGACTTCTTGAAAGATGGGACAACGGCGTTTCCGGTGTAGCGAAAAATGCATTGGAGGTGAGATGGCATGGTGCTGTGAGCTCTGGCATTCTTTATGGCTTCAGGGCGAGGACCCAGATACCCCCCATCGAGGAGTCCTACCCTTGCGTGGTCTGCAAATCATGCAATTGACAATCAAAAACATGTGCAAATCATCCCTCATCTCCTCACCGAATCACGTGATGGTTGTGCTCCTACGCTAATGAAACTGCTCCGACTTCACGTCCACCTTTAGAACTTGCTTCGTTCCATACCGCCGTCGATGAAAAGTTGTCCTACCAATTGTGGCCTACGGGGAACACCGTATTCGTATACTAAGAAATGAGTAGTATACCTCACAGCTTCAGCCCTGCAGACACTCGCCGCCTTCATTGGTCAATGTACGAACACTCCACTTACATCAGCAACTCTTTCTTGACTTTCTGTCGGCGGGATTGGCTGCATGCAACATCAACTTCGTCTTCAGCCTCACACTGTAGCCTGTAAGTCTTGACGGGCCAACGTCACGCATTGAAAATAAATGTCGCAGAGTAGTATCGAGCTCCTCTCCCACTCAGGCAGAATGGCGACCGCACTTGTCAAACGAGCCCTTCTCAGTCCACTGCCATGACCGTTCCTATCGTTCGGAAGCGAGCCAGACATCCCAAAACGAAGACAGGCTGCTTGACCTGCAGGTAACTGTTCTCAAGCCAAGATCAAAACGCATCCTCTGCAGCGGGTCTAACATCTGACAGGGACCGGCGAATCAAATGCGATGAGGGCCGTCCCATCTGTCAACGGTGCATTGTTTCCGACAGAGTCTGTCGAGGCTACCAGCTGCTGGGACTATCTCAACCACACAAGCCCAAACCCACACTATTACCAGCATCATGTTGCTTAGTCCGCCCTCCCCCGACATTACGATCTTACATGTCCACGGCCGAATGCTTGGCGTTCGACTTCTTTCGGCTTTACACGACTCATCAGCTTCCTGGCTGTAGTAAATGGTCTCATTCGTGGGATAAGCTCGTTCTGGAAAATGCTTTGCGGGAACCGGCCATTCGGCACGCGGTCGTCGCTCTTGCATCTCTCCACCGAGCTATCACGATACGGCAGACGGGCTCATCACGCGTGGATCTCGACCAACACGAATTAGCGCTCGCCCAATACAACAAAAGCATCACTTACATCAAGACTTACATCGGTGCGCTGGACTCCTGCTCGACTTACTCGCAAGACAACATAGAGGTGATACTAATCGTTTCACTGCTCTTCTTCTGTTTTGAGCTTCTCTATTGCAACGATGCCAAGGCGGGAAATCATCTCTACACAGGCCTACGCATTCTTCACGAGCGCATGCAAGACAGCTCGAAAGGAGATTCGTTATCTCACGATATTGTCGTTCCTGTAACGCCGCGCGATAACATAGGCATTCTTGTCCGAGCTTTCATTGAGCTTGATTACGACGGCACTGTTGAAAGCCCTGATATGGACCAGCCGGTGAGTAGCTCTGGTGATCGAGCTCATGCAATGTGAGAACTTGAGAAACTGCGACTCTAACGCTTTCCAATGCAGTATCTCACCCCATTGTGCCTTGAAGAAATGCCCTCTGCCTTTGCGTCCATAGATGAGGCGATGGTGCACTTGTACGCTCTCATTGCACGGGTCTGGGACTCAGCCAGGGAAACAATGCGAATCTCCAAAATCGACATCGGCCAACGCTACGACTTGGAAGCCATGGATCCGCTCATACGCTCATGTCTCACCGCGGCCAACTTACGTCGCTTGGATACGACAGGTCACGAAGCTCATAAGGCGAAATTCATGTCCACGAAGCAAGACCTCCGCAAGTGGATGAGCGCATTCGCGACCCTCCAACCTCCCGAACACGAAGATCCAACCCATGCCATGGCACGAATCCACTTCTTCAACGTCTGGTTATCCGTGGAATCGCACTTCGACGCCAGCGAAAGTGCCATCGACCGCTTCCACACTCAATTCGAGCACCTCACCAAGACCTGCGAGACGTACACCCAGAGGTTCTGGTCCGCGGAGCCGCACATCCCGTTCGATCCCAAACTGCCCAGCTCACACACGCGGCCGGCGTTCGCTCTTGGGAGTGGGATTTTGGAGTGCCTATACCTCATCGCTTTGAAATGCCGCGAAAGCTCCATCCGCCGACGATGCATCCAGCTCATCCGCTTCTCCAACTTCCAGGGCGCTTTTGACGCTTTCTATCTGGCCGCTATGGTCGAAGCGGTGGTGGATCTCGAAGAAGAGCGCGCACGTAGGCTCCTCGGCGTCTCAGAATGGGACGAGTTCAAAGACTATGAAGTCCCAGAGGAAGCACGGATCTTGAACGTTGAGCTTGATATGGGCGGTGATTCTGATAAGCATACGTTTTATAAGAGGGATGTTGGATCTTTTGTTTATCATATTTGGGCTGATGGGTTGGGGAGTGAGCTTGAGAGGGGTGAGGGGGTCTTTGTGGTGGAGCGGCCGTTACCTTCTGGGCTGGACCTTGTGAGATGAGTGTTGATGCAAGACATGGAGCAACGAAAGCCATTTGGCGAGGCGTCATTTCAGTACAGTGGTCTCGCTAGCTATTGACGCACGCACCCAAGCTTTACTGGGGGTTATTCGTGCAAAACCTCCTTCCGATCACTCTGTTTGACATGAACATATATGTGCAGCTCACGCCGACATGACACTCAGAACAACAACTTCCAACGTATGCCAGCTAACGCAATGATCATGTCATTCGGGTCGACTGCCTCATGCCTAACGCAGGCTAGAAGAATGGGATGGCATGAAGTGAAGTAAAGTAAATTGCTGTTCTGTACCTTCCCAGCCAGCGGCAGAACGTCGGTTCCTCCTCAACCTGCTTCCACGCATATGGCGGACCTTCTCCATTGGGAATCGCTGTTCTCCAGACAATAGACTTTCGAACAGTGGTTACTCTGAAGTAATCCTGGCGTCTGCATGACGCAGACCAAGAGCAACGATGAACGTTGATGAAACGAAGTCGTCCTCTTCTTCCCCGCGACTTGGACTTCAGGCAGAATGTCGGTCCAGCTTCACACCTCCAATTCACCGGCATACCGACGACGGTACTGACCTCATCCCGCCCGCAGCTAGCTAGCCCAGCGGTGAGGTAGCTCAGTATGTACAGCACGTCTCCCTTGAAGAAGAACGTGCCCTTCGAGGGTTTCGACCGCACGCTCCACAGCGCCCACTCCGACCCCAATCCGCCCGCAATACACCATGAGACGAAACCTGAACCCGGATCCAAAGCTTCAGACGAGGAAGTAGCTAAGAGCAACGCGTCACATCTACCGCCTGCGTTTCTGGAACGCGGGGAGGTGTTTAGTGCGGAAGAGATGACGACGAGGTATACGGATGAGGAGTGGGAGGGCATTATCCAGGAGACGGAGAAGGGAGTGCTTGTGGATGAGGGGAGAGGGTATCCTCTGCCCCACGGTGGGGTGGGAGGGGAGGGGTTTACGAAGACGATTGATCATACGTTGTTAAAATTGGATGCGAAAGGGAATCAGTTCGACGATCTTTGTGCTGAGGCAAGGGTTAATAAGTTTGCGGTATGGACAAGACGACATCCAAGTGGCGGTGATAATATACTGACGTCTGTGACAGACCGTCTGCGTCCGACCGCAATGGGTTTCGAAATGCGTAAACGACCTCAAAGGCAGCGACATCCGCGTCGCCAGCGTGATAGGTTTCCACGAGGGCACGCACGACCTGTCGACCAAAGTCCAAGAACTCCGCGACTCGCTCGAGAGCGGCGCTCTAGAGCTCGACGTCGTAATCAACTGGCCGGAACTAAAGGCCAAGAAGTACTCCTCAATCTACAACGAGCTGGCAACTCTGCGAACACAAGCCCCACATCCAGTCCTGCTGAAACTCATCCTCGAGACCTCGCAATTGGATAGACATCAAATCATAGCCGGCTGCGTCCTCGCCGGCGCCGCACACTTCGACTTTGTCAAGACCTCGACTGGCTTCAACGGTCCTGGCGCAAGCGTGGAGAACGTGCGTCTCATGGCAGCATGCTGCGAGAGACTGGCTGTGAAGGCCCAGGACGGCAACCCACGGCAGATGAGCGTCAAGGCTAGCGGAGGTATCAGAACGCTAGACGATGCTTTGAAGATGTTCGAGGCGGGAGCGAGCCGGCTGGGCACGAGTGGAGGGGTGTGGATTGCGAAGGAGGCGAAGCAGCAGGCTGGTGGTGGAGGGGAGAGTAATGGAGAGAGGCCTGGGATGACTACGAGGCTTTTCACTGACTATTGAGACATTGAGAGCGTGTGAAGCGTTTCGTTGCATAGATAGTATACCCCTGAGGCTGAACGACAGAACGACAGACAGCAAATGAGACACATGAAAGCGAAGGTCCAACGGCGAATTTCAAAGGTTCTGCTATCTTGCTTGGTACTGTTAGATGCCAAAATCGTATGCAGATTGACCTCGCCCTCGTCACCGGAAGTTTTCTTCGAACCATACCAAAATGCCCTCAGCGCCAGCGCTCGCCCAATTTCCGTGCCAAATCGCTCGATCATTCACTTCGTCTCACATAACTCACACATAAACTCCCTGAAATCGCCCTTGGTCGCCTCCTCAATCGCATCCTCCAACGTCGTCCGGTACTTCTCCCAGTACTCCTTCTTGACCCTCGCCAGATGCAGCTTGTCCCAGTGGATGCGGACGAGGCGCGAGATGAGGAGCTCGTAGCGGAGCTCTTCCTCTTTGTTCTTTTCGGCGATGTTGCGGATGGCGTGTTGCAGGAGGAGGGCGTCGCGGGCGGGTTTGTTGATGACGCCGTTGAGGATGTGGGCGATTACTTCGCCCTGGGAAAAGTGTCAGCGTCAAGGTCTTGAGGCGAGATGTTGAGGATAAGGTGGTACTCACAACCAGATTGTTGCTCTTCTTCAATGCCGCTCGCGCAAAGTTCTCGCCGTACATCCTCTCATACGTCCTCAAGACTTCTCTCAAATGGGCATCACTTCGTCTAACGATGATCTCCAGCATGGCGCTCTCGCCCCCCTTTTCGGCCTTGACGGAGCGATAAAGCAGATCAGTGTCCCGATGCACGTATTCAGGAGGATAGACGTCCTGTTCTTCCTGCCTCCTCTCTTCCAGCACCATGATCACGGCCGTTCTGAACTTATCCATCTTCAATTCTTTCTCCATGCATTTCGTCAAACTATCAGAATATCGCTTGTCCTTGAAATCGTCCTTGATATTACGGATCTCGGCGTTGGTGCGTCCCATAAGGCACTCGATCAGCAGCTCTCGACGGCTACCGTGAGATTGGTAGAAGAAGTTTGCCCAATAGCCTTCACTTTCCCATCTACCCAGTGCGGTCACGTAGACTGCTTTGCCGAAGTTGCCCGAGAGCTTCATGTTGATGTGTTTGCTGAGGTTCACGCCTTTGCCCTGGACTTTGACCTGCTTCTTGTACTCCTTCCGCATCTCCATGATTTGGTCGTGGGTCAGACGTGGAAGCACTTCGAAGATTGGCTCAGGGTCCACCTTGTGATGAGAAAGAGCTGATGCGATGGCCTTGGCATCTTCTTCAGGATCATAGAGCTTCACTCGCTTCTTTTCTTTTTCGCGCATGTCTTTGGCCAGACGATCTTCGCCTTTGAGGATTCCACTTTGCCTGGAGATTGCTGGGGAAAGAGGCTCGAGTTCATCAAGATCTAGATCATCATCTGGTCTGAGAGCTAGCGGCATCGGAGAAAGCGATTGGTACGTTCCATGATATGCTTCAAGCATCGGACTTGGTGGTGGAAGCCCGCCTGAAATGGCGTGCATATCAGGTCTGTTGCCACTTACCGACAGTCGGTCCATGCGAGGTCCTAATCCAGGTGAGCGAGGAGCCGCCAAGCCAGTCTGGCGGGTATCAACTGTGGACAGGCGATGCGCTCTCGACGCCGAATCGTGACGGTCCAATTTCTCTCGTCGAGGCGTGATATCCACAACATGGGCTTCCCGGTCGTAGGCATTGTGTGAGTACGTCCTCGGCAGCTGCTCGTGGAATTGGCCTTGTGGTGTATTCGAGTAGTTCAGCGACTGGGAAGGCGGCTGCCCGTAAGGTAGAGAATTATGAGAGACCGCAGACTGTGGAGCCACTGAAGGTCTGGACGTATAGGATACTTTCTCTGGAGCTTTAGCATACTCATACTGTGCTGTTGGAGCTCTTTGGTCATTCGGGTTGTAGCGATATCCGGAAGTGTAAGAAGAATGTCTTGACGGCTGCTGTCTCGCCGTTCTCGAGGTGTCAGATCCGTACGCTAGATCGTCGTCCTCTCTATCTCGCGGTGGAGGACCAGGAGGGGGCGGAGGTACATATCCTAATCTGGGGTCGTATCCTGGCCGCTCATGCGGCGGGAGGTCGGTGTAATCCCCCATGGTAAACCCGCCGTCATCCGTCGGATACGGCATGGCCGCAGTAGCTGCACTGGGCACATAGTGGTTCGAAGGCGGGAGCGTCGATGATGGGAAGTAATTGCTCTGCGACTGTGACTGGGTTGGGGACCTCACTTCATACGACAGCGAAGTGACTGAATTTCCATACTGGGCTCCGGAAGTCTGTGGATAGGCATACGCTGATCTGGGTACTGCACTGGGAGGTTCTGGTGCCTCAGGTGCTCTGACGTTGCTTCGGGATCGTGACCGGTCTCGATCTCTTCCACCTGGTGATTTCGACCTTCCTCGGCTGTGGCGATCGTCTGGTCTCAAGGTCGACATGGTGATGGGCGAAAACGACAGAACATGCGTCGAGCACGAGAAGAGAGTCGAAAATCAAGAGCAAACAATGTCCTCGGGGACACCGGTATGGCCAGACGGCGGTACTTGAAACAAATCACCATCGACTGGCCAAGAAGCGAGGTCGTTCAGCCGCAGCACAAGTGGGATCTCATTGGCGCCAGTGTGGCACTAGGACAAATAGGCGGTTGTACTAGCCGAATCAGGGGCTGGAGGCTGGGGCGCCTCGTTCACAATTTGGGGGCCGTCTAGCAAAGCTGAACAAAATATATCAGGCCATACAACGTGGGCATACAAATACATACGTATATGCGTACGATGGTGAGCGGCCAGCTGCAATACAAAATACAGTATCAGCACATGCATCTCGTACTCGGCAGTGTTCGGGCATGATAATGCAACAGAAAGATGCGAATCCTTCGAGCGATCTATCTCGTTTCAGGATTTGCTGCATAGATGCTTATAGGGCAAAAAGTAGGCTCGCCAAGCAGACCTTCCTTCACCGTTGACAACTTCAGCAGATGCTTGGCGAAATCGATAGACAGACTCGTCCGGGACTTTGTAGCTTTGTCGATGAGCTCGTCCACGAACGCTCGCCAGGACCCAGCCTTAGATATCAGCTCAGAGTCGGGTACATGCGTTATGTGAATGAAGTCGACAGTTTCTGGGAAACTACATCTAGTGTGTAAGTGAGTTGCTCAGGTCATTGACGACCAGAACATTGATATACCAGCAGTCCAGTCACTTACTGTTGAGTTGCTCAGGAGAAAACAAAATACGTTAGCGACAAGAGGTATGTACGTTGAGCTTCTATTGTCTGGCCCGCTTTCGTAACTCAATAACTCGTTGTATCTAATGTACTCGATGCAGAGCCTTGTCGCCGTCTCCTCGGGTAATGAGCCCGATTGAGGCCTTAGGTGCGCTTAAAACCCAAGTCAACATTGGCTTCGTCAGCCTCGCCACGCTTCAGGTACAGATATGTGTCATCGTCGCGCTTGAAGCCAAGCTTAACATCAGCATCGTCACGCTTAAGGTATAGGTATGTATCGTCTTCACGCTTCTTGAACCCCAAGTCGACGTTGGCCTCTTCGGCATCAGCGCGTTTCAAATAGAGGTATGTGTCGTCTTCACGCTTCTTGAATCCCAAGTCGACGTCAGCCTCGTCCCGCTTCAAGTACAGGTATGTATCGTCGTCGCGTTTGAAACCCAAGGCGACCTTGGCCTCTTCAACATCAGCCCGCTTTAGGTACAAGTAGGTGTCGTCGTCGCGCTTGAGGTACAAGTATGTGTCGTCATCACGTTTGAAGCCCAGGTTGACATCAGCCTCGTCGCGCTTGAGTACCTCGACTGCCTCTCGGCAAGCATTAACAACAGACAAACCCCATGGACCAGATATACTCACCTTGGATAGGAGCGGCATTGACGAGTGCCAGGAAGAACGGCAAGAGCTGGAGGAGGGTACGTGTCTGCATCTTGGATGAGTTGAGCGAGACAGCTGAAGGACCTTCGACCAGTACGTACACATTCAGTACGGCTTGGCCATTTTATATGACCCCAGGTGCAAATGGGCAAGTCTCGTGATCTTCTCAGAGGGTAACTATCTTCCCGAAAGCCCGTGGCCAACCTGTTGAGCACGCATACGTGTTGGCGGATGCGCTTGAATGCAATGCAACATTGGCCTTCACGGCAATCAAGACCTACCACCGAGGACCCTCCCGGTGGTATCTACCTTCCCTTTACATCCAAGAGAGCATTAGCAGGGCGGGAGGCTTGGGCGATCGGTCAAGTACCGCCCTTATCAGGCTAGTATATGTCAGGCTGTGCGAGTCGTGTTACTCAGCGATACACCCACAACCAGTGCAGCACTAGATTCTAGCTTCTCGACGTCGGCACAGAATGTTGAACGACTTTCACCTCGATTTTAATCCATCCCAATCATACCACAATGGCTCGACCAGCCTTCGATGACGAGGAGAGCGACGCAGAGTCTACGGAGACTCTGATCAAACATTCTGAAGACTGTGTGCCACACTTACGACGACGACGACGACAGACGAGAAGAACATGGAGAACGGTTGCAGTTCATGCTGCGGCCATCGTCTTCTACGGAGTGATTGCGACCTTGTTCACAATTCATGTGAATTCCAGAAACAGACGGAGCCTCATCTACTGTAAGGATAGATATCCCGGCCGACTTGGTGACCTGGCGCTGAGAACATGACAGCACCCGCGAATCCAGTGGTCGAGTATGAAAACCGAGTTTACAGCCCTCATCTCAAAGGTGACTCGGAATACTTTGGCCGCCCCAGTGCTGAGATCGATTCCAACTGGGAGGATCTAATGCTCGGTAAGCAACAACACTAAAACACAACAGGAACCGGCAAGCTGATTTATCGTAGCATCTACGATTCATTTGACCGAGGCCGATAGGCAGCATCACAGTAGTGATCTTCCGACGGTGCAGCTCCCCGATGGAACGTATGCTGGACAGTTGATGGTATATGTAAGTTCAAGGACAATTCTGCTAATGCTGCACCCATGATCTGATGTTTCACACAGCATGAACTACATTGTCTTGTGAGTGCATCCATGGGACGAAGATGAACCGATACTGAGCCCGCGTATAGAAGCGACTGCATCAGTACATCAACGCGGACCACTACTTCCCGAACCTCACCGATTACGATCGGCGAATGAACAAAATGCACACAGGTATGCTCGGATCCGCTGTACTGCCGCCAGTGGCAACCAGCTAAGACTAGTCCAGAACACTGCCTAGGCACTCTTCGGCAAGGTGTCATGTGCCACGGCGACGTGAGCGTCATGCCCATGGTTTGGGGAAAGCACTCTCGTATACCGCTCGGGGACTTCTCTAGTCCGCATCAGTGTGTCAACTTTGGCAAGCTGCATGCATGGGCGGTACAGCGTGCCGTGACCGACGGGACAGAGCCAGGCGTGTTGGTGCATCCGGTCCTAGGTAATGTTCCAGGGGTTGCATCCGCGGAATTTCAAGCTGATAAGAATGCCAACCAGGCCCGTCGTTTCCCGATGGCAAAGGGACTAAGATCGGATTCGGCGATGAGGACATCGATGCTGAAGGTAACATCATTACTTTGAACAGTCCTGATAGGTAGGTGTCGGGATGAACGCCAGGCTGTCTTGCTTCGCCACTTCTCCAACCAGCCTAATGAGGCTAGACATGAGGATACGTTCTAGGGAGGTGTGGGAAGCTATATACATATGCATATGCAGGGCGACTTCATGTATATTTGGCCGCGTGGCCAGTGGCTCTCAATTAGCTTCTACTGCAACTGAAGATCTTTCACAAAGGATCCTTCCTTCGTGTCCCTCTATCCTGTGATCAGGGCACTCGCCAAAGATGTACGTACTGGCCTCATTATGGTGTCTCTCAGAGGAGACAAGTCTTTTCTCTGCGAAAATGCATACGCAAGTTCTGAGAACGCATAGATTTCCTTCCGAATCCGGACGTGTCTGTTTCAGGCTGCTGGCTGTGATGACCATGTTCCCTATCGCTGAAAGCCTGATATTCGAGACTGCACTCCTACCACATAGTCGTAAATGATGATGTTATCAGTCATGCAGGTGCAGAGAGTGTTGAGATAGATCTGCATCCGTTTGTTCCACTTCCATTCTTTTTTTTTTCGAGCTCAGTGGCTTCCGTTTGCAAGCTTCCAAATCATTGCCCCATTCATACCGCACACTTAACCCCGGCGATACCGATCAGTTCAGCTCGCGTGACGTGCCATGTGGTGTGCCGATGAAAACCGTGGTGGTGCATTAGTCTGCACTAGACAGAGCTCTTTAGCTTTCCTTCGACCTGTTCAGCTGGAATCCTTCTGCAACTCCACAATCAACGTCGACATGCAGAACAAGCATTAGTCTGGCTTGATAAGCATTGTTGACGGGTTCTCCACCGATCAGCTAGCACACCACAGCTCGTCGTTGGGTTCTCGAGTTCTTGCACCCGTCGCCAACCAACGCCCGCCAGCTGATCAAATATGTTCTCCGAAAAGTTTCGTTTCACGCGGATACCTTCGACAGACGAAGACGGGGAAGATGGCTTCGGATCGGAGAGCAAATGTCCACAGCCCAGAAACAGCGTGCTCACGTCGAGCTCGTTCACTCGAGCCGCAGCCTTGTTGACGCTCTTTCTCTCTGTCATCCTGGGCCTCACCATCGTCGCCATATCAACAACGTCTTCCCGTCCAACATGGACATCCTGCGGCAACGACCCAGCAACAGCAAAGTCCCGCGGCTGCTCATTTGACCTCCTCTCCTTCGCCTGGCAAACACCCGAATGCTACGACACCTCGCTGATGGACGAATTCGCCTCCTGGAATCACGACAGCGACTGGAACTTCTACAACGACCCGAACTACACCGAGCCCGTCAGCCAACAAATCGCTTCGCAAGGCGAGCGGGGGCCGTTGTTTGTCAAGTGGGACTACCACGTGGTGCATTGCACCTTTATGTGGCGGCAGATGCATCGAGCGTACGAAAAGGGGTGGATCGATTCGCATTTGGCGAATTACAACCACACGCTGCATTGCCAGAAGATGATTTTGATGAGTCCAGAGGATGCAGTCAAGAAGCCCGTTATGGCGAGGTTGATTTATCCGGAGTGCTTGCGGGTGAAACATTGACGTCGGGAAGTGTCTGTGGCAATGGTTTGTTGTAGATGTGTAGATTCGTCCATTCGAAAGAGTCATCGACCAAATGACGGGCACTTCGCCATGATTCTCTGAGAGCAAGCAGCCGGTCACATTCCGTGGAATCGAACAATCCGCGGGTCCGAAAAGTCCGCGTACTCGTTGTCAGGCTGTCCCAAATGTTTATCCGCAAGCCACTCCACCAGACGATGAGCTTGATTTTGCTTCTTGTCGATCAAGCTTCAGCTGAGACTCACCATGCCCTATCAATCCTTCGACTGAATGCGTGGCGAAGCGAGCGGCACAACTCTCTGTAACCTTCCTATCCAAGTAACGTGTTCACTACGCAGCTTTGAGGGGACAGCTTCATCGATGGCACTAAGGGAGACCTTGTGCCACCGGAGTCGCAACTCGCAATGCAAAGGGGCTATTGCATGCCGAGTCGTACTGATAGCGCCAAGGAAGACCATGTGCAGCCCACGCTAGGAGGTACCCTAGTGCTGTCTCTCGATACCACCTCACCGTGCAGACGGACTATACCTTGTAAAGTCGGGACCGGGTGTGACGGGTCTAAATCTAGTAGGGCCGTGGATGGTGAACACGATTCAGCTTTCGAGAGAGGTTGTCGCAATTTGTCGGACCTGTGTCTCGATCACACGACTTCTGTGAAGGCCTGCCCTCGTCTCTTCCGCCAACAGAGAGGCAGTCATGGACAGCAGATCCGAGTCTGAAGACGGGGTGGAGGAAGAGAAGACTCCCATGATAGGTTCTGCTGGAAAGCCGTCGAGACTCAAAAGGGCCCAGAGATCATCTTGGACAATCCCGCTCGTGTTGGGAATAATCACCGTGCTCCTCGCAGCCAACGCTGTACTCCTCTCTCTCTGGCTCTGGTTCCCACGAGATTTCGACGCAGCATGCGTCAAGCACACATCCGCAGTCTGTGAGTCCGACAATCACCTGAACCTAGTGCTCCGCGTCTTGCTCACGCCCTCGCAGGGTCCCCCGTCATGGACGACATCCACCTCAGCTACCAACCCACACGCTTCGAAGGCAACCCCTTCATCCAATCGAAATACGTGCAAGACCCCGGGCCAGAGGTGGACCAAGCGTGGGCAGATCTAGGTGTACACCGTAAGAAGCTGCCATACCAACTGTATTGAGCCGTATTGACAGTCGTGGCAGTCAAGTTCACGTCCATCGTCCCCGAGGAACGCGGACCAGAGGCCGGAATCGACCCATCGTCGATCAAAGTCAACGCCTCGCTAGGCGGAGGGTACATCACGACCGTGCGAGTGATCCATCAGCTCCACTGTCTGGTTCGTTTCCCGTGCCGTGAATTGTTCTACTCGCGCGGATCTTCTGACTTTTGAACTCGATAGAACATGGTCCGTCAGGCGCTGTCGTGGAATGTCGACTATTATCGCAGCCGCAAGGTGGAACCTTGGAACAAAGTCGATTGGGTCGCTCGCGCTCATGTCGGTCAGTTGATCCTCCTCTTTTTCGCTGTCAATGCGACTCTCGGCGTCGCTAATAGATGTTTCCTTCCAGATCACTGCTTGGACATGGTTCGACAACAGATCCAGTGCGACAGCGATGTCGGCATGTTGGCCACACGGTGGGTTCAGGAAGAAGGCGAGGCGATCAATTTTATCCCGGAGTTTAGTACGACGAAAGTGTGCAAAAACTATGATGACGTTCTCGAGGTATGTCCGCCCAAAAAGCTACAAAAGTGAGGTGTATGCTCAGCGTCTGCAGTGGGTGGTCAGTCATGAGAGGGATCTGAGTTTGACGCCGGCAATCCGTGACGGCGACGTGGTCCTCAGCGACCCGAGACACATCGAGAGGTGAATGCCGTGCCGACAGCTTCCTCCTTGGAAGAATGGGGACGATCGAAACCTCATGAGACGAACGACGCTGTAAGGCTGTCCCAAGGAAGCCTGAGTCTCGTCAGCGTATCGATACGGATTTCCTTTAAATCCAGATCCTCGCAGCGGGATAGAAACCATCGTTTCATTCGGAATAATGTGTCCCGTCAACAGCGTCGCGCAAGTAGTCGGACGAATCGCGAACGGGATGGGCGTCACACAGCGCATCTCTCGCGGATCGTGTGGTCAAGATAGGGGACGCCAACAGGTGATTTAGAAGTGAGGATTAGTGGAGAGGTAGCGACTCTGGAGAGACTGATGGAAGACGAGATGATGAAGGAGGTTTGTCCGAATGTGTTTTTGCTAAGGCCTTTTTCAGAGATTCCGGGGCTGGTGGCGAAGACTTCTCAGAATGGAGGCGGCCAACGACTTCCACAGGCGAAATGTAAGGTCGAAGCGGCGCCGCATAGCCTAGTGAGAATTCTACCATCGAACAAAGGTCTGTCTCTATCATAGCACTGCCCTGACTTCATCCCTCCGTCATATCGTAACGGGTGCACCGAGCGTCTTCTCGTCCTCCAGCCCGGGCGTGGCAACAAGTGCCTCTCGTAACCCATCAAGCCCCTTTCCGCCCTCACCGAGTGCATCGAGCGCATCGAGTCCCTGAAACCCATCTTCTACGACCCACTTCTGAGGAGACTTTTGCAGTACTTCACACGAGGCTCCAACGACAAGCAAGCCAGGCGGCCGACTGCCTTCTTCCTCCACAGCTGCGTTGACGTGCTCGAGCGTTGTGCGTATGACTCGCTGATCTGGGCAAGATGCCCGTTCGATGACCGCGCAGGGCGTCGAGACTGGATACGGTGATGCTTTGTGGCTCACCAGACTGGCTATGAGATCTTGGAGTCTATGCAAAGCCATGAGGAATACCACCGTCTGATTCGGTAGGAAATCGGGCGGGTTTGGCGAGGCTCCCTTGCGTCCTGTACCTGTGCATATCAAGATCTGATCACTGACTGATCGATGTGTGGCAGGTATTTGAGCGAAAAGGGGTGCGCTGAGCGAAGATGTGATGCCTGGGAGTACAATAGCTTCGTGGCCATGCTCGCGGAAGAATGCAACTTCTTCAGCGCCTCGACCGTAAAGATACGGATCGCCCTGCTTCAGACGAAGTACAGTCTTGCCTTCCTTCAATGCATCCAGACCCATTCTATGCAGCTCGTCTTGAGCTTGATCGGCGTTGCCTGGGAACTTTCGAGCGATCTGGATGGGAGTTCTACGCGGGACGAGCTCCAGCACAGGGGCAGGGACGAGCTTATCGGCAAGAATAAGGTCGGCACTCCGAATAGCTTTCAGGGTAGCAGTGGTCAGCAGATCAGGATGTCCGGGTCCAGACCCAGCCAGGATTATGCGGCCGCGATTTCGCCGTGCATCAAGTACCGCCGTGCTCAGTAGAGGCTTCTCGTCTGTATGCTGTGAAGATGATGTCTCGTCCTTGTAATCTTGCAAGATGTGATCGACGTCGTCGTCTGTGATTGCTGCCAGTCGTCGTAGAGGCCAATACTCGCAGATTTGAGCAAGCCATCTCATGCGTCTCGCCTTTGCAGCTTCTGCATCAGACGGAAGCACGAGCTTGTTGAAGGTTGAGGTCTGTCCAACATCTTCCTCTTCAGCTTCGAGATCAGTGTTTGCTTCATTGGCGTGATCCTGTTCCCAAATCCGTCTTCTTACAGTACCCAAGCGTTCTACAGCCTGACCAAGATCTTGGGGTAAAGCGGCTGCAATCTCTCTCCGTATCCGCGATGCCAGCTTGCAGCCCTTGCCTGAGGTTGTCACGCCAATCTGTAATGGTCCAGACGAATGTGTTGACAGCAATGTGAAGGTGCAAAGATTCGGTGCATCCGCCACATTGACAGGTATCCGCAGCCTTCTGCACAATGTAGATATCCTCGTGCCGAACGGACCTTTGCCACCAGTTGTGACAAACACTGCATCAACCACATGGTCTACTTCTTCTCTTCCAAGAGTCGTCAAGTCCGTCTCTTCAAAGTCTCGTTTTACCCATTGCACGGCGTTCTCTTCGATCCTCTTGGCGAGACCGTAGTGGATGTTGGCGGTTGGTGGCGCGATAAGGATAGGCTTCGCCCCGACTTCGAGTGCCTTGCTACACCTCGCGCCGGCCAGTGGGTTCGAACCTATAATCAAATGGGCGTGTGCAGAGGAGTCCACTGCAGTCAGTAGAGCTGGTGGCGCCATGTCGTGATGTTTGCTAAGAAGACAATAAAACCCGCGCTTTGACAATGGCAAAGGCAGGTAGAGAGTCCGGCAAGATAGTGATATCTATATTGCTTTGCCACGAGAGGGACCAAGACATGTGAAGTGGTGCTCTTGTTGGAACGGACCAGTCATGTCGTGGCTTTGCTAATCATTGACTTTTCCTTGTCTTATCGGAATTTTCGCTTAATTAGCGTGTCAGCTTCGGCCGCGGAGAAAGCCTCTTTCGTGAACCTTAATCCAGATACACCATATCAAACAACTGATTGTTCGAATGCTTGAGAGCATCAGCGGAGATGCAACATTGTGGGTTGTGTCGTGTAAAGGTTTGTCGCCTTGCAATTGTTCAGCCTTCGTCCTGCTCTTCGCCCATGACCACATCCAGTGCACGTCTAGACAAAGCCACATTCCTCTCCAGAGCACCTAGCTTGGCCATGGCAGCCATCAGACTCGGGTCTTGACTCTCGACTCTGACCTTGTCGCGCACTCGAACGTCTTGTCCTTTGTATGCGAACACCTCGTGTGCCTCGTCGTGGAAAGCCTGCCTGCTTCCACCCAATGCTGTTGCCAACCTTTCTCGCAAGGAGAAGCCGCTGTATGATTGTCCACCAGCACCAGCATTGAGGGAGAGAGGTGTGTTGGTGCCAGTATTCGGGTATGCGGTCTCGAGGGTCCGAACGTTCAGCAGGACTGCGGCTTCGGAGATAGAGAGGTGAAAGGAGACGTTGGGTGGCAGAGGTGGGTTGAAGGCATTCTCATCGACCGAGTCTTCGTACCAGGGCTTCTGGTGCTCAGTCCAGCCCTTCAGAGCAGACTTGGCTTCCTGAATGTTGTCGTGCAGCAGCTTGAGCTGACCAGAGATGAAGTTGGCGTTGGTGCTGTCACCAGTCCATCTCGTAGCATCCACGACGTCCAAACAGGCGTTGATGAGCGTTCGTATTGTGGTCAGCTGGTCCAGCACTATCGTGGGTGCAGTGGGCAGGTTCGATATGGTGAGTTTGTAGCTGTTCTGGCCGCGCGGCGGTGGCAGCGAAGGGAGTCGTAGCTGGACATCGCCCTTGACAATGCGCATGCCTACGCGGGTGATGAATCCCTTGAGATTCTCAGATCTGAGAGAAGACAGAACCAGCGTCGAGCCAGGCTCTTTGGGTGCCAGCAATTCGGCACACTCTTCCAGACCCTCTTTCAAGGAGCGAAGAGTGTCCTGCAACGAGGAGAGCAGCCACTCGAGCTCGCGTGCCTGGGTTTCTTCCTCCTCCCTGATCAGGTCCTCGGGAGGAATAGCAGGCCAAACGAGAGTAGACATGGCCGCGCGCGATGCCTTTCGCAGGATGGCGTTTGTCACGCAGCTCTCCGACGTGTTAAGCCGCTGATGATGAGGTAACCGTGGGTGGGATAGGTGGAAGATCGGGAGGAGTGCCGAGGGAATACCCACAAGCCACAGTCCGAGCACCAACAAGCTGCAGCCATCCGTGATCGACGGCAGGAAAACAGGCGCCAAGGCGCTGTTGGGGGTGGCTTGTGACCTCTTTGGCATCATCATCGTGCATAGCAACGAGCAGCTCTCTCCACGCTGCTGGGTGTAGGTATGTTCTCCACGTTTTGCATTGTTCGTGAAGCATTCCAGCGCCACGTCCTCCCCTCGCAGCCAATGCCCAATGCCGTTTCATACCATGCAGTGAGCTTTGTCAATCAACAACAAGAGGAGCGGTGCAGCAGTAATATCCGCGGCGGTCCGGTGCTTCGTTCGCTCGAGATCCAACCACACGCCGCGACCAACAGCTCCCAGCGATTGGGTTTGGCTTTGGGTGACGTAGCGCTGGATTTGATCAAGATTGAGCGCCCAACGCGCACGGCCGCACGCCCGGTTTTGCTGCTAAACAGCTCTGCTCTAAGACAGCGTCGCCCAGATCCTCACCTCCTCTGACGACTCGCCCATCACTCCACCGCCCGGCACCACGTCACACGCCCACGCTCCATCTTCTACCACTCTTCCCTGCTCTTCGACACCCATCCGTCCTCCTCCCCTCTGCTACTATCTCCGCCGTCTGGTCAAGGTGCTGCGCGTTGAGCGTTTCAGGAGTCGACCACGTTTGGTTGATATACATACTGCCTCGACGCCCCCGTGTGGCTTCTGTCGCACCTCCAGCCCTCGCCAGCATCTTCCCTGCCAATATCGACAGCTGCGCATAGCTTCCATCCGCAATGGCCATCGCACGTGAGTATAGCATTGAATACATGACACTCACCACCGCACTCTCTCACACCCTTTAGGTCCGCTCCTCGGCCTCGCCGCCATCCTCCTCCTGGCCGGTGGCATTGTCATGGAGTTCTTCATCGTCCTCTCCGGCCTCGACACCACCCCGGTCAACCAGGTCTACTTCCTCGAAGCCAGCACCAACGGCATCACCAATGCCAACACCCGCTACCGTAACCCAGCACGATGGACGTACCTCGACATCTGCGGCGTGGGCGCCAATGGCCGCAACACCGACTGCACCCCCACCACCGCCGCTCTGCCATTCGATGTCCCGCGCAACTTCGGCACCACCAGCGGCGTCCCAGACCGCTTTGTCAATGACAGCAGCTACTACTTCTACATGAGCCGATTCGCCTGGGTCTTCTACCTTATCGCCCTCTTCTTCGCCGTCGTCGCCATCTTCATCAGCCTGTTCGCCCTCTTCGCGCGTCTTGGTGCCTACCTGACCGGCTTCGTCACCTTCCTCGCCCTGTTCTTCCAGACGCTGGCTGCTGCTTTGATGACGTGAGTATACTCTTCCCGCACGGATCCGGCCAATATGCTAATGACTGTAAATAGCGCCTGGGTCGTTCGGGGACGCGCCGGATTCCGCGACAACGGCAACGACGCTAAGATTGGTGTCAAGGCCATGGCATTCACCTGGTCGACGTGGGCATGCTTCTTCCTCGCGACCATCTTCTTCTGCGTTGGAGGTACCGTCAGCCGCAACAACAGCACCCAAAAGTCATCGTACTTTGGCCGCAAGCGAAGCACGCGCAGCCGTGGCAGCTTTGTCGACAGCAGCAGCGAAAGGAGGGGAGTCAAGGATGAGTGAGTTAATCCACACAACACATACAAAATGTATACTGACGAAACACTAGCTACGAATAAGTCATCCTTCCACCCCGACCGATCGCACGACCCCCACGTTTATCAGAACGAAAATGACAATACCAAAAGAGGAAGAAGAATGATTTAAAGATCTCGTATAACGTCCCGAAACGCCTGAATTTATCATTCCCAAAGATATAGTTACGGTTGGAATAACGAGGGAAAGAGGGAAAGACTCGAGTTTCACGCCCCAGATACCAGGAAGGTAAACATGTAATGTCTCAGAATTGTAATTGCTTTAATGACAGGAAATCCATAAACCATACTTTGAAATTCATCGTCTGCTTACAGCTAGGTAAGTCTCGAGAACGTTGCAGGGGTGTACATGGGAACGAGCATCGCCATGCACCTCCTCGTCTTTCCCCATCGACATCTGCATTCACAACAATTTGACGCCCGCTCTCAATAGAGCATGCTCCAAATGAACTTCTGGACGTCACGCGCGATGGATCGCCCGAGGCTAGATGCATCTCTGGTATATATGCACGCTGCCCTCACTAGCGACCCGAGCTGCATACGAACTGCATACATGCGAGAACTCCACACTCTGGTCTGAGCGAGGGCGGCCTTTATGCGCGTTACTTTACTTCAGGCTAGGATCCATCAAACCACGAAACGAGCGAATGATTCGACCGACACCATGGACGAGATGAGGCCCAACAGCTCTTGACGGGGACTGGGACTGGCGACACTTGCATAAGGCGTTTTTGGGGTGAGAGCGGCGGTTTTTGTGGGTGGGAGTGTCTGTTGACTTGCAAGACAGTGGCACGAAAGAAGAACGAGGATCTGCTACAGATACCATTGTCAAGTTCCGCGAGCCTCGCATTCAAACCATATCTTCCAGCGACGAACACACAAGAGCAAGCATCGCTTCATCCAGCAGAAGATTCATCATTGCCTCTCCTCCCGAAGTCGAATACGACAACAACCGCAACGGCGATCCTACCATCACAGGAATCGTCGACTCCAGACCTCTTCAAATCAGCAATCCCATCGACCGTCTCATGACTATCACATCCAACCTCGATCTCCGAATCTCTCCCATCGACCCACCTCGACCGTGGCAGCGAGCATCAACCCAAACCCCTTCAAATACTACACCGACCCCAACCCTGCCTTCCCCTCCAAATACCCCCTCACCCTCCCCGCATCCACCTCCACCCCCAACAACCACCCAACCCCCCTAACCATATCCCCCACCGCCTCCCCCGAACTCCTCAACCCCGGCATGAACAACCACCACCCATGCGGGAACTTTTCATACACATCCAACCGGGTCGCCACACCGCCTTCCTCCCGCAACAGCTTCTCATAGATAATCCCGTCGTCGCGCAGGGGATCCAGGCCGCAGACTTGGATGTACGTCTTTGGGAGTTTGGCCGGGTCGAAGGAGAGGCTATTCACAGGGCTGAAGAGCGGCGAGCGCGGATTCGGCGCGTAGCGCCGCAGGATGGCGTGCAGGGAGGGGAGAGATTGGATCGGATCTTTGTCGTTGAGGGAAATGGAGGTGTACATCTCTCTATAACTCTCCGGTACGCTCTCCTCCGAGGGGAAGATGAGCGGCAGGCTGAGAAACTGGCCCGTCAGTGGTGGTGAGAGGTTGTGGGTCTGAGCGAGCTGCGCCACGACGGCCGCGAGGTTTGCGCCGGAGGATGCGCCGCCGATGATGAAGCCGCGCGCGAGGTCGACGCCGGGGGGCGGGTGTGAGGCGAGGTGGGAGAGGGTATCCCAGGCGTCTTGGGCGGGGGTGGGGAAGGGGGTTTCGGGGGCGAGGCGGTAGGCCGCACTTATTACCGTGCAGGGGAGGAGGGAGACGAGGCTTCGTGCCAGGAGGGTGAATTGGATGGGGGAGCCGACTGCGAAGCCGCCGCCGTGGAAGAGGACGATGAGGGGGCCGGGGGATGAGGTGGTGCTGGGTTTGCGTTGGAAGAGTTGGGCGGTGTTGAGGTGGGTGTCGCGCATGGGGATGGGGAGGGGGGATTCTTTGATTGAAGGGGGAGGGGGCCCGAGGTGGGCGATGGCGGTGGTTTCGAGGGCGTGGGAGATGCTGCGGAAGGTGTGGATGTCGGTTGGGAGGGGGCTGTTGGTTTGGGGGTGGGTGGTGAGGTACTGGATTGGGTCGTGGATGCTTAGTGAAGGCAGGCTTGGTTTTGAAGGAAAAGAAGTGATATGAATGCATGCATACCTCTTCGACTTCTGGATCCATGGCGGTGGATGTCACTGTAGAATGGGGATGGCAAGATGATGTTGCAATTGCATTGATATCACGTCGCAGGAAAAACTGACTTACTTATACGGAGATCTGGCCATTTGTCTCCTTTCTCCATTCAGTCTCCCTGTGATCTCTATTCGCACTCATGAGACGACCGTGCTATGTTCAATCAAAAGCCCGGAGACAAGCGGGCTTTATAGCAGTGCGGCTTTCACAATGGCTTTTGGGCTGGAGTTGTGCGCGACACCGATGGAGATGGCCCGTGTTAGGGTTGATCCCTCTCGAAAGTAGATGGACAATATAGGTATATCCGTCGACTGCTCAAAATCAAATGTATAGGTAAGTGATCTGAAGCAGGTTGCCGCAGACTTACAGAAACTCGAAAACGACTTTCACCTGTACCTCCCCGCCAGCCATGAAAGTTTTCATCACCGGCGCCGCAGGCTTCGTCGGTCGAGCCGTGACGACCGAACTTATCTCTCATGGCCATACCGTCGTCGGCCTCTGTCGCAGCGAGACGTCCGCCTCGACAGTCAAAGCTCTCGGCGCAGAAATCCATTGGGGCGACATCGAAGACCTTCCCAGCCTCACGCGGGCCCTCGCACCAGAGCACAAAGTAGATGGAGTCGTCCACCTCGCCTTCACAATGGACTTCTCCGACTTCCCGCGCGCCTGCTCTATCGACCGCACCGCGATCCAAACGATGGCTGAGGCGTTGAAGGGGAGCGGGAAACCGCTCGTGATGACGAGCGGGACGCTGCTACTTCCTGATCGTGCCGACGGCGTAGACGAGGCGACGGAGGTAGACAGAGAGGGATTCCTAGCTGTGCGCGCGCAGTCCGAGGATCTGATTAAGAATCTCAGTAGCGAGCTGGGCGTGAGAGGGTGTGTAGTCCGCTTGGCGCCTGTAGTGCATGGAGAGGAGGATAAGGGGTTCGTGCCCATGCTAGGGGATCTTGCAAGGAAGAATGGGTTCGTGGCGTATCTGAATTCGGGAGGGCCATATCGATGGCCTGCTGTTCATCGTCGGGATGCTGCGGCGCTTTTCCGTCTCGTCCTGGAGAAAGGGAAACCTGGGAAGGTGTATCATGGTGTTGCGGAGGAGGGGGTGGATTTGAAGGGTTTGATGGAGGGAATTGGGAAGAGGATGGGGTTGCCGCTGGAGGGGAAGTCGCAGGAGGAGATTGGGCGGTTGTTGGGGTTCTTTGCGGGTCTTGTTGGGAGGGATAATTTTGTGAGGAGTACGAAGACGAGGGAGGAATTGGGGTGGATGGCGGGAAGGGAAGGGCTCTTGGAGGACATTGAGAGGAATTATTTCCAGTGAGCGGTAGAAGCCTGGGCTTTATGTAAGAGATATGGCTGATAGGGTATACCTTTCGTTTCGATTGTGGTTGATGTTTTGGTCAGAGGAAAGGATGCTCCAGGAGTCGAGATGGTCGGGTCGGCAATTCCTATACCGATGACTGTACTTCCGATGACCCTAGCGCAAACTCTCGGATTGCCGAGCCGAAGTTGGATCGAGACCTTCACCTCACCTGGATGTTGCTTCCCTTGAATACATAATCGCAACAGCAAAACAAGCAACGGGTAAATGATCGTGATGCCCATTCGAGAGTAACAGAAGATCTTGACGGTTGGCTAGGATGAAGAGCAGATATTGTTAATGTTGGTGGTATTCCATCTTGTACAGCTCTTTTCTTTTGTCCTCCTTTAGGCTCACCACCAGCTGCATTAGCTTCGAGTATCTCTTCACCTCGTAATGACGCCCATTTGCCTCGGGTCTGATTAAGACGGCATTGATTCAGAAAGGAAGGTCGTTGTCCAAGGTCGTGGTTGGGTACGTACTCGAGTTCATTGTGCAACCATTGGGATATGACTGACGAAGATTGATCTCCAGCGCATCTAATTTCATTGCATGTCCCCAGGTAGTGAGTCCGACATTGCGCTACTGATTTGACAGGATGACAATAGGCTCGATCCTTCTGGACCACCATGCCCATCGATCCATCACTGTCCGTCGGCGAACTGCTCCATTGCCATGTACGAATGCCGTTGTCGATCATCTACACATGGCTAAGCTATAGGATCGCACTCCATGCGGAGGCGGAACGTGTCCTAGTATCTCCAAGTGGATCAGTCTGGTCTCTCTCTTTCTTTCTGTTTTCTTTAGTCTTCTTGCGAGCGCTGCGTCTTCAAGATGTTCATTCTCTCCATCCTCACATTGTGCTTAGCAGCACTCATTTCTGCTCTTCCGCAACTGGGCGGTCTACTTCCGGGTTCAGACCCTGAGGTGACCCTCGACTATGGCACATTCAGAGGCAACCGTGCCTTCTCTGGCGTTTCGAGCTTTCTAGGAATGCCCTTTGCCAAAGCAGGCCGCTTGGAGAATCCGACTTTGATCTCTGCGGCCGACAAACTTTCTGGTATCCAGGATGCCGCCAATTATGGCAAAGCGTGCCCGCAGCAAGAGCTCATTGCTCTCAACCAAGAACTGGGAGGTCTATTGGGGGCAGTGGAGCAGGTTGCGTTTGCGCCTGTGAGCCAGCAAGGCGAGGACTGCTTGACCATCAACGTGCAAATTCCAGAGGGTGTGAACAGTACCAGTGATTGCCTGTCATGATGTGGATCTTTGGAGTGAGCTACCGTATTTCGTTCCCAGGAGCCAGATCACGAAGGGCTAATGCTGTTACAGGGCGGCTTCGAACTCGGCTCAAGCGCTTCTCTTGGCTCTGAAGCCACCGCCGTTCAAGGACTGATCTATCAAGGTGCCAGACTTGTCCAACGATCTGTCGAAATGGGCCAGCCGATCGTTTTTGTATCAGCAAACTACCGTGTCAACGCTTTCGGTGGACTAGCTTCGCAAGAGATCACAGACGCTGGCGTATCCAACCTCCATCTCAAAGACCAACGTACTGCTATGGAATGGATTCAGAACTATATCGAGATTTTCGGGGGTGATAAGTCTCGTGTTACACTCTTCGGCGAGAGCGCGGGCTCCATGTCTATCGCCACGCACATGGTCCTGAATGACGGCAATCCGGACGGCCTTTTCCACGCAGCGATCATGGCCTCAGGAGGAATCGGCAAGTTTAGAGATTATCATCACAAGCAACCCACATTCGACTTCATGGCTAGCTGTACCGGATGTGGGACAGGGGATAAGCTGGGCTGCCTTCGAAGCGTGGACTACAACAAGTTCTACAATTGTGTCCAGCAGATTCCAAACTTCTTCACGTACAGCAGTACGTCAGTTCCGTGGTATCCAAGGCCGGATGGGAAGTATCTTGTCGACTCCCCGCATCGGCTTCTACGTGAGGGCAAGGTTGCGAATATTCCATACATCATTGGAGACATGAAGGATGAAGGTACGTTATTTTCAGTGGTGCCGCAACTGAACATTACCGACGACGCCGACTTTCAATCATTCTGTAAGTCAATATCAATCGTGAACGTTAGAATGCTTGCAAGCTGACAATCTCATCATAGGGAAGCAAAACTTCTTCCAAGACCTGACACCGGAGCAAATCCAAGCCTTCACATCCCTCTACTCCCAAGACCCGGCAGACGGCTCTCCGTACGACACAGGCGACGCCAACGCCATAGGACCTCAGTGCAAGCGAGTCGCATCCTCAGTTGGCGACTACACCTTCGAAGCGGGCCGACGAGATCTCCTAAACTACACGTACGCCCTCCGTCAAGGTTCACAGAAAACCTACACCTACCAGCAACAACAATCGCTCTACCTCCTCAGCCAACTCCCCGGCGGCCTCCTCGCCAACCTCACAAACCTCCCCGTCCTAGGATCCTTCCACGTCAGCGACGTCGTGCTAAACTCCTTCGGCCTCGTACCCGCCGCGCTGTCGAAAAACACGCTGAACCTAATGAGCACGTACATTGCGTTTGTCAACTCGCAGGACCCGAATAATCATGGCTTGGAGGGATTGCCGGAGTGGCCGACGTGGGATCCCGAGGGGAAGGCTATGTTCAAGTATCAGGAGAGTGGGCCTGTCATTATCAAGGATGATTATCGGGAGGAGCAGATGGAGTTTGTTAATCGGAATGCTGATACTTATGTGTATTAGATTTTGGAGAATGGGTCAAGGTGGAGTCAGGATAGATCTTTACCACGCTGTGTCGTTCGTCAATGAACTTGTCTTGAAGTGGTACACTCCACAGGTTCGCTCGTATCCGCCTTACTCTCGAACACCAAGACCCCAAGACCACAGGCCTCCTGCCCAGCAAACATCTAATCAACCAAGAATCCAACAACTCAAACGACCCCTGACTGACACTACACAGCCCTTCATCTCGCTTCTCGTCAACCCTCGTACAAGACACACATCACCACGCATCGGACAATCAGCCGTGTCAGCAACGGAGAAATAGGCGTTGCTGTGCAGCGGCTCCCTCCCTGAGCCTGCAGGCTCTAGTGCCGAGACAGCCCAACAGCAAAGCGTTGACGGCTCCAAGTTTTGGTGCCCCCGATCGGCCACGATGTTGGCTGAGCCGTGGCACGCTTGCCCTGGGTATGAGGGGTGCAGATATGGGGATTTCTGGAACATCTCGAGCGGTGTGGATGGGGAGAAGGGTTGTAGAAGGAAAGTCATGAATTGATGCTGTCGCGTGCTATCTGTACAGTCTGGTCGCTGAGAGAACAAATTTGCCATTGATTCGATCATTAGGCATGATGCAAAAAACAAGAAAATACGAGAATTCACCCTCCCATCATCTTGCCGTGAGCGAAGTAAAGCGTCCCTGTGTACCACTTGAAACGAAAGCAAACCCCAAACTCCAGCGCTGTATGTAAGAAACAAAAACCCGTGTCACTTTTGAGATCGTCTATCCCGCAGCGAATGTGCTCTTCTTGCGCAGGCTTTCGCCGTACCACCACAAAATGAACGGCGCGGGGAATCCAACCGCGATACCGATGAATGCCAGTGTCGAATTGCCCCAGCCATAACCAAGCGCCTGGTACATGTATGGCGCAAAGAGGGGAAAGGCGAAACCTCCCAGTGATCGGAAGACGGCTGTCGCAGCGATGGCCGAGGCGGCGTAGCGAGTGTATGAGTCGACGAGGTAGGTCTGGCAGTTCTGGAAGACCAGCTGGTTGCCTGCCGCGAAGATCGCCGTCCCGATGTTGGGGACGATCCAGTGGGTTTTGTACTGGGCGCTCCAGCCGTAGATGATGAGACCGATGGGTACCATGACTGCTCCGGGGAACATGAGCGGGACGCGGAACTCGCTGCGGCCTTGGTCGTTGTTCTTCGCTTTGAGGTTCTTGTAGATGCGGTCGGCGAATTTGGCCGCGATCTGGGTGCCGATGAAGAAGCCTATGCCGAGGGAGATGTAGTTCAGACCGGCGATGCCTGTCTGTTGGTCGTAGACTGATAGCCAGACTTGTGGGAAGGAGGCCAGGACGAGGTAGAGGACGCCGTAGACGTAGCCAATGTAGAGAGCTAGGACTTGGACGATGGGTTGCGTGAAGAGGAGAATGAATGGGCGTTTGAATGCAACCCCAATGTGGTTGGCGAAGCTGCGAGATGGGTTGTCGAATTCGGTGTGGAGATCCTTGTTGCCAGTGATCTTGATGAGCATCCTCTTCTTCTTGCTGAGGATGGCAGCGGCGTACGTCTCTTGCAGGAAGAAGATGCCCATAACTTGAATGATTGCCGCGCCGATGGTAGTCGACCAGAACACCCATCGCCAGGTAGAGTATTGTGCGATGAAACCACCAGCGATAGGGCCAATCGCAGGACCCAGAAGAGGCATCAGAGAGTACAGGGCCATGGCACGTCCACGTTCTGTCGGTTGCCAGATATCTGCAAGCACACCACCACCAATACCGAGGGGTGCGCTACCTCCAAGACCAGACAAGAAACGGAAAGCAATGATCTCGCCAGCGTTCTGAGAGAATCCACCAGCAAGGTTGAAGATCAGGTAGAACATGTTGCTGAGCATGAGAATCATCCGTCGGCCGAAGAGCTCTGACAGCGGTCCAAGGAACAGCGGGCCAAGAGCGAAACCCAGAATGAAGACTGACATCGCGAGCTGACCTTCGAATTTACTGCCAATGTGCAACTCCGCAGAAACCTTCTCAAGGGCTGGAGCAATCATGGAACTGGAGACTGGCGAGATGAATGTGAACAACGAGACTGTGATCGTAGCAAGCCATCGCTTTTTCTTAGTCCAGTTCTTAGGATTCTCAGGATCGTCAGGACCATCCCAGGTGACGAGGTTGATGTCCTTTTCCTTGGTCGATTTGCTCGAATGGTTTCGTTTGAGAGTACCGTTCCTACCCATCTTCGATGCATTGCGGATGATTTGAATCTGGCCAAAGTTGCTGCCCTCCTGACCTGGCTTGCTGGGCCGGTCTCCCACTTTTTGCTCTTCATCCAACTCTTCCTCCTCACAAAGTGCCTCCTCTTCGGCTTGATAATCGTGGACGGCACCGGCATAGTAATCGAGATCGGAGACGATCAAGTGAAGATCAACGATACTCTCTCGAGGAACGCTTCGCTGGCTGCGTTGGCTTCGTTGAGACCGTTGTGAGGTCCCTCTGTTGAATTCCTGTCCTTCTCGATACCATTGTGGCGGGCTTCGAGTTCTGGTGTTGGGTACTCGAATCGGTTCAAACTCTTGTGAAAGCCAGGGGAATTCTTCGTTGGTTTGAGGTCGTATCTTAGCCTGTTCGACCTCTTCGAGTTGACCCTGATTAGATAGATTATAAGACTCGTCGGTCCAGTTGCTGTAACGACTGTTCCAAGACTTCACCGTACCGACGGTGCTCCTGGGCGTTTGCGCCATGGTGTAGAGTAACCAGAGTGTAAACGGAGAAAAACGAACGAAAGAGTCGAGGAGAAAGCCATCGCTGCGGGCCAAGCGGCCTGGACGTGTATATGTCGCAGTCCGCCTCGTTGCTGACTGGGGTGCCGACGAGCAGGACTCAAACTGCGGTACCACGACATAGCCGTGCACACGCGATACGCTCCACGCTGGTGGGAAACGTGCTGCTGTGCCCCGTATGCGTGAGAGTCGTCCGCGCACCCATGTTGTGAAGTGATATCTTGGCTCCGGGTATGCAAGTTTAGAATTAGGCACCTTGCCAGAAGCAGTGCCCTCAGGTCGGATAAGTTATTTGCGGGCGTCTCCTTACAGGCTGAGTGGTGTTTTGGAGTGCCTGATTCCTTCCGTGCTGCAGATCGCGACCAGGGGTGGGGCCGAACTGCGTCTTTCTGCGAAGCACCCGCGCATTGTTGTTCTTGCTTGCGATATTTTAAAAGAACATGATGTTGTCTTCAGGATGACATTTCTCCAAGGCTGTGTCGAGAGTTGACGCTACAACAGTATTCAGTGACCGTTTGCCCCCGTTACAGCGTTGCACCGTTTGCTACGGCCACCAAGGCACACCACCTAACGGTCCAGCGGTTGCCAATCCGACGAAGCACGGGGCTCTACCAAAGACGAACTGACCTCACGTGCCTCGCGGCAGAGTGATCATGAAGCGCCGGTGTGATGGAAGTCCCCTCGTTTGGCGGGACTGCGAAGTGGTAGCGAAAGACCTCCCTGCATAGCTCTAATCTTGAGCCGATGAATCGCGTAGCTTCTGTTACACGAGTAATCTCGTGTCTCGACGCAAACTCCTTTCCGGAGAGCCATGTTCTCAATACTGTGAGCGGTCGTCCTTGCGAAATTGTCGAGGGATTCGAAGCTGGCCAGTGATCGCAACGTTGCTGGAATAGACGCTGTGCTTGCGTGGACAGACAGGTTTTCCGGCTTTTCAATGCCACTGCGTCGTCCGAATAAGCCGTGTTCGCATATCGCTCACCTTACTGGGATGATGCTGATACATGTTAAGTCCAGTCCGATGCGGCATCGAGAGGTGGAGATTCGAAGGTTTCGATGCAAGTTTGACGGGTTTGTTGATGGTCGGCTGCTTACGTTGGGTATGCCAAGACATTCACTCACATCACGTGACAGCGTTGGCGTGCCTTCCACCTCAACGCCCACACAGTTTGTCCATCAAAATCAATGGCTGGAATAGACAGAACGGACATTCAGTGTGAAACAGGGAAGTCTGTGGACCGCATGTCGAATGCAACGTTGTTCTGCGAGTCGTTGATGGGTCGAGATGTGCGTAGGTTGAAATTTGGGGGCGAAAAGTCTATCTGGAAACCGAAGCAATCTGGCCATGCGACAGCGATGTACACCTTTTGCTTAGGGCGTCACTTCTCTTGCAAAGCACATTTGGAGAAGCAAGAGTTATCCGTTCATACTCTGTCCAGAAAGGGGCATAGTACCGCAGCCTTGCCAAGCCCAGAAAGAATTTTCCCTCCTACGATGCTACAAGTCAACACCACTCAGACCAAGACTACAAATGATATCTGGGTACTCTTTAGGTCCATGTGACGTAGCTGAAGTGGTAGGTATAGGCCCAAATCCACTCGTAGGCAAAAAATCGTCTGGGCCGCTGCTGCTCATTTTCCGAGCTGAGAACTTGACGGAGCGAGATATAAGTTTAAAAGCCAAGCCGTACGCTCACAAATAGCCGTAAAACGATCCGCAAAACGCCAAAAAGCAACGGGTCAATCCGCGGATTGAACGCGGGACCTGTAACGTCGTGAGTCCATATTCGATATTATTATCATCTCAACAGCTACACACCTCTCGCAAGCGTATACTCAGGGTATTCCCTAAGCGAGAATCATACCACTAGACCAATTGACCGATTAGAAGAGGTACAGGACCTTATAGGAGCTGCCCGGAACGTGGGTAAGCGTTAAAGCGGGGAAATCCAAAACTTTTATATTAGCTTCCGCTAACGCCACGGAGCTTCGGCCCACAGCTGCGAGGGATTTCTGCTTGGATCTAGTTGGAATGTGTTCATTGAATTGATCAGAATAAGTACCAGGTGGTCCGGGGGCTATCGTACCAGCCAAACGCTGGCAAAGTGGCCGAACGACATACCAAGCCCTCACGACGCCCGAAGTTTGTTCCCGAACGGTTCCCAACGGTTTTGTTGGCTCTCAAGAACGCTTTTAAAATGATCTTTAACCAACCCAAACTATACTCTGTGACCTAAGGAAGATTTGAGACATTAGCACTTTGGATAAACTTGCCCCAGGGGATGCCGACAAGACAAGAGCTCTTGAGCACATTACCACACTGTACACACGCTCAAAGACGTCAATGTGCATTATGTTAAGTGCTGTCTTCTTGTATCTGAAGTTTATAAATCACCAATCGACCAAAGCATGAAAAGGGGTATCGTGCTTTGAAACCCCGTGCAATGCCAGAAGCCGTGTACAGATTCAAAGTGGCACGACAACGAATATCTCACCAAGCTGACAGGGAGTCGTCCATTTAGGCGCCCACCAACACAGTCAATTGATGCAGCATCGTGAGAAGGACGTATGTCTTCTGCAGAACGTTAACGAGTTCATACAGCTCCGACGGTATGTGAGAACTAATGGCCAACCCTCAACGACCAAAGACAGAGACAGAAACACTCATCACGGCTACGGTCCAATTCTTTAAACTTGTTCAATACGTTACTGGGTATTCTATCGACATAACAACCTGGAAAAAGTTGCGACAACATTTGTCTCCTTATCGACATTCGCCGACTCTCGAAGGATATCCACACCGTTAGGCCTTCACCTCCCCAACCCGCCAAGTCCTTCGTCCTTATGGTTCTCATGACAAAAGCACAACGAATCTTCTGCCCTCCATCGACCTTCTCATTCATGATGTCCTCACCAACCCGGCCCTCCAAACCTCATATCCGTAGCCATCGACATAACCAAAAAGACAAATAGCCCAATAATCGCCACCATCAACACCAACTGAAACGCCTGCACGGCCGGCGAGACATCATATGTATACTCCTGGATTTCCACATGTCGTGCTCGATGCTGCGGTAACATCGTTCCGTAAACAGGCTGCGCGTAGTATGGAGGGGGTGGATACATGTAGTGGGAGTCGTCGTGATGGTGGTGTTTGTGGTGATGATGGCCGGAATCATGGCCGTGATGGTGCCCATGATCGTGATGTATCGGAGCATGTGCGAAATGACTTCCAGAGTCGACGTGGGCGACATGACCACCGGTGTCGACATGCACCGCTCCTCCTGCGTCGCCGCCGTGCATTGCTGGGTTCTCCGATCTGAAGTTGAGAGAGGTATTATGATCGATGGAGATGTTTCACAAAGCAGTATTGTCATCGGCTGCAGCAGCCTAAAAAGACAGAGCAAGTACCTCAGGCACAAGTGATCCTACATGGGCTGTGCAATCCTTCGAGCTTGGCTGACATATGGTCTCCTCGGGAGCTGTACGATATAGCCAATTGAAGAGTTGCAGACACGAGGTCTGGACTGCAGTCATGCCTGAGGAACATCGAGAAAGAGTTCGTGCGAACCTGATCATTGCCAAAATCGTCACTGATATAAATCACATGAACGATGACTGATTTTCGGGCGATCTTGGTCGTTCATGCTATGTGAGTGACTGATCACATCCCTTAACATTCCTAGCACTGCAAGAGATCTCTGTCAAAAGCCCTGCTTCGCCATGTTTAGATACATGACGTTTGAAGAATATCAGTACAGAATGCAGGCCCAGTACAGAGGTAGTAGCCGCTGCTTTCCTGGTCCCACCATCCCGACTTTCATATGATCAAACCATCATTCCATTCGAACGTCTAGTCGACAGGGAGAATGTATAATTCAAACTCCACGAGAATCGGCACCATAATAACTGCGGTAAAATTCACCAAGATCTCGACAGCGATACGGTACGATTTTGTTGAAGAGCGCTCATGTCGTCGTCCGCCTTTCCAGTCTATGCTACGGTGCCGTGAGTATCGTACTTGGTCGCCGATGCATATGGCTCTGCATTGGGGTTTGACTGAGTGGCTCCGTGATATTCGTGCTTCATTCGATTCATTTGCTGACTGGCGGCTGTTTCGTCATTGAGGTAGGTGATTCAGTTTCACCATAAGCCTCGTCAGGACTGAAGTCGATCTGAATGGGTAAGACAACGCTGGAGTCTCAGTCAAGGCTTCGTGCGGCACAGCAGTGTAGATGAGGCATTGCTTGGCCGTGGCGAATCGAATTTTCCAGGTCGCTTCTTGCCAACAGCTTCGGTATGGCACTCATGCTAAAATGGCACTTGTAACATCATCAATACCGGCTCCGACAAAGTTGGATCCTGGCCCCAAAATCTTTCGCGTACGGCACGGTAGAACTCAAACGGGCACTATTGCCGCGATCGCCCTTCATGAGACAGTCGGGAGTTGCTGTACATTCAAAGAGCCTCTCCCGCTGCCTCATGAACATGAACCTCCAGCGTCGTACGCAGACCATCAAAGGTGCGGCCAGTGTCCAACCATCAAGACAGCCGCAACGGCCCAAAACGCCCCAATCACCACCAGCACCCCCAGTCCGACCAGAATAATGAAGATCAAGATTTGAGTGGCGATCAGAAGCTGGCTCTGAGTTTGTGGCTGCTGTCGTCCTTGTTGTCCCCGCTGTCGCCGCTGTCTCTCGAGCGTCCCATAATTTGAAGGTCCGTCTTCTGACGTGAGGCGGAGAGGTGCGACTGGTGACCGTGGTGGGTGCGACATAGTCTTCGGCGCTGAAGAGGCTTTTCGAAATTGCTTTCTTTTTGCTGGCGGTGAGCTTGGAAGCAAGTCGGCAGCACGGAATCCTGCGGCCTTGAGGGATGCAGGTAGGTACTTATAGTTCCATGCGCCTCTTGTGACTTGCCCGCTTTAAATCTGAGGTGAGTCGTTCCCTTTTCAAAGATACATGATCCAGTAGATACATGTTGGGATAACGGCAATGGCAACGAGTAACGCATTCGCAGCGATGATGAGGTTGACGATTCGCTCCGTTCGTTGCACTTCGCGGGACAGTTGGTCGACTTCGGATCGCTCCAGGGTGGAAGAGTCCATGGTTTTGAAGATCACCGCCGACGACGATATACCGCTACAACATCGTAGCGACTGTTGAACCTGATTACAGTAAAACAAGTTCATGGAAGAGGTAACTGCAGTTGATGCCTAGAATACGAGGTCGCTCACATCTTCGAATCCTTCCGCGGGTGGTGTCTCGAAAGCAGCAAATGCGGTGTTGAAAAGTACCTCAGGTTGCATGTCTGGCGGAAACTCTGCACTCAACTCAGTAGAAAATAGAACTAGTCCTATACGTACATGACGCCTCACTACACTCCCGAAGTGTTGCGAGATGCTTCAATCATACTGTCACCGCAGTACCCTGGCCAAACACATGTCCGTTAGTGACCCTCTCAGCTTCAGCACCTGGAACCACATCTCTCTCTTTCTCGACGGCGATGACGGGCTGTGATACTTGAGCCGCAAGTCTCAACGTATCTTCAAAGTCTGGCCATTCCATTCGTCCCCCGCCACACTCGGTTGCAACTCCGAATTCAGGCACGACTTTCTGAGCAGCTTCGACGTACTTCTTCGTGAGCTCTGGCTTGTTCTCGTGGATGACTCCGAGGTACAATTCCGTGCCATGTTCCTCGAGCAGTGGTACCAGATCTTTGAGTGGTGCGAGATAGGCGTCGATGTGTCCCTCAGCACTCTTGGGGACCGGGCAGTGGAAGAAGTTGATCTTGTGAGCGCACGACTTCATGAACCACTGCGCACGCTCGACTACAACGGCGAGAGAAGCTGGTTCGTGCCAATGACGGTGGTCCATGTCACCTGAAATATCGTTAGTGATTTGGTTCTTCTCATATTGTAAAGCTGACACACCATAACAGTTATGAATACCCAACTCGACATCCTGATCAACCTGAGCAATGAAGCGCTGCAGATAATTGGTGTAGTACTGTTTCACATCGCCCTCCCACCATGGTTGAAACCATGCCAAGCCAGAGTTCTCCTTGACCGTCTCCGGGTTCGTGGCTTCCCAGAACGCCGTATCAGCAGCGGTATCGATCTGAATGGCAAGATCGTGGTGCGGAATCTCGTCTTGGATTCTCCTCAGTGCGCGGAACAACGCCTCTTCGTAAATACCCTCAACGCTCGGTAGGAACGCTCTCTGAACGAAGGGAAGAATGACGTTCGCCACGGTTGGCAAACATACTTGGAACCTCACGCCCTTTGGGATTACACCTTGATCGCGTAACTTGCGGAAGACGGCATAACTCTCAATCGCTGCATCATCGTACCCCGTTCGAATACCGGCCTTCTTCAACGTTTCAATCCCCTCCTCAAGCTGCTCCGGCGTAAACTCCCGAGTGTTGATAGGCGCATTGTGGATGAATTCAGTCAGCATAGGCGGATAGGCACCGAAGACCTGTGCCTGGAAAGTCGTGAATTGATGCCGTTGGCCAGTCTCTCCATCAGGAATCCGCTTGAACCGGCCCGGGCATGCGGCCATGCATTGCCGAAAGACTGCATCTGTGTCCGAAAGAGGAACGCTGCCGACCAAATGGCAGCCCTTGGCAATGGCCATATTGGTAGACGGGGACATTAAAGTGCTGCGTTGGCTAGGTGGATTGCCTGAACGAGGGCAGGGAAGATGAAAGAGGTTCCAGAGAGCTGGGGACGTTACAGATCACATTCTTTCCTGTGGCTCTCTCCTTCGGGAGGGCAAATTGCCGCTCCTGATAGGCCTTGCATTGGAGTGGAGGCATTGGGGAGGTTCTGGACCGAATCAATTCACTTCGAGATGGCCTGGAAAGTCGTGTGCTGCAGCTAGGAGAGGAAGGGAAGGAGTGGTGCATAAGCTTACAAACGGCGTGGTCTTGAGCATGTGGGTGGCATCTTGGGCATGCAAGGATCGAAGGACCGCAAGATGTGCCGATAATGGCAGGCCATACGCGTACACAGTGCGGGAATGGCCTTCGTCGCCCGCGGAAAAGACCCGTTATCTAACAGTCCTGCTTCGCGTCAAGGTCTTCAAATCGGCATCCCTTGTTCTGGACGCAAAGATGCAGGTAGGCGGCACGGGAGATATATTGCTGTGCTGTGGTCGTGGTGGAGAAGGCAAAACAAGCGACGACGTTCGGGCTGGACGGTCCCGTGGTGCAAGCAAGGATCATATCTCCGGCATTATTGGCAACGTGATGTTGCATCGTGGTGAGGAATTGTTGCAGCGGATTGTAATACTCTTTACTTCATTTTGACCGACCGAGGTTGAGGTACTTCGACACAAGTACTACTTCTGCGAAGCACATATACTTAATTAGTCGAGTTGGTGTGATAGGGGGAAAACAGAGCTGCCCGCGAAGGAAGAATCTAACCATATCAAGCTAGCGCGTGCTTTCACGGCAACTGCAGCTGTGGCATGGCGATTGCATGGCAGCTCCATCCACGAGCCCAGCACTTGAAATAGTGTGACAGCCTGACCACCTCGCTGGGTCTTGCGAAAAAAATGACACGCTCCTCGTGCCTGCCACACACAATGGCACAAACACACAAGCACTGCATCTTCACGCCAAGTCGGGCCGTACCACCCAGACTTCACAACCACAGGCAATGGAAGCCGACGAACATGAGCACGATTCGACGTTTGGCGGTGATCGAGCCAGCATCGCGAGCAGTAGCACCTCCGTCCTCTCCGCGGTGACCAAGTACCAGTATGAGCATGGCAGACGCTATCATGGCTACGAGGCGGGCAAATATCTGTGAGAGGTGTCGAATACAAACTCTCGTATGTGTTCGTTCTCATGCGTCTTCGATAGCTATCCGAACGACGAGAAAGAACTGGAGAGACAAGACCTTGAGCATCGGAACCAGCTCATTCAGATGGGTAGGACAAGATCAATGCAGACGACCCTGAGATATATGCTGACCTTCTGTCTCAACACACAGAAGGCAAACTATTCCTATGCCCACTAGTCGAAGACCCCAAGCAAATCCTCGATCTCGGCACCGGTACAGGAATCTGGTGCATCGACATGGCCGACCTCTACCCCAACTGCGAAGTCATCGGCACAGACCTATCACCCGTCCAACCGGCATGGGTCCCACCGAACTGCAAATTCGAGATCGACGACTGGGACAAAGAATGGACGTTTGGCTCCAATCGCTTCAATATGATCCATCTCCGCTTCGCCATTGGCAGTGTCAAAGACTATCCACTGCTGTATAAGCGTGTACTGGATGCGTTGAAGCCCGGTGGGAGTTTCCAACTCGTGGAGCTGGAGTTTGGGGCGTATAGCGATGATGGGACGTTGACGGAGGATTCGGCGTTGGTCATGTGGGGCAAGTTGATGCATGAGGCGTTTGACCGGATGGGCGTTACCATCCCCATGGCCCCAGACTATGAGAAGTGGTTGAGGGAGAGTGGGTTTGAGAACGTGGAGACCAAGATTATGAGGAGGCCGATGAATGACTGGCCGAAAGACCCGAGAATGAAGGAGATTGGGAGGGTATGATGATCTTCTCACCAGGGGTATTTGGTCTTATGCTGACATGAAACGTAGTATTGCTGTCTCAACTGGCTCGAAGGTCTCGAAGGATTCACACTGGCACCTTTCACCAGAGTACTTGGGTGGTCGCCGGACGAAGTCAACATCTTGATCGCCAAAATCCGGAAAGAGTCGTGTGCGAGGAGGATACATGCGTATCACAAAGGGTGCGTCTACGATCATGACTGACTAACAAGATCGCTCACGCTGACCGTCTTCAATAGTCTAGTATGCTGGGGCACGAAGCCTTTACACCCAGCAAATCAACCGTGGGCGTAGTAAGCTTCACGACATGCGGTCGGACAGGATCATTTCTTGTGGTTTGTTACGCTTGTATAGTGTACATAACTTAGCATACACCAGACGAAAAGCATGGCAATTCAGAAGCCCATCTCGGGACTTTACGATCCTCGCCGGCTCCGCGACAACTCACGCAAGGTAGCCTTGCTGTTGCTCAGGCGATGCTCATGACCCGTCGACCTCATTACTCCTTGCCACAACGCCAACCCATCCTGAGTACACTCTCCCCACTCAATGCTCACAGAAATTGAAACTCTCTTCCTGCATCCTCTTCTCACAATCCTCCACAAACAACTTCCTCTCCTCCATCAATTCCTCTCGAATCTTCTTCGCCTCCTCCAACTCAATAGGGAAATCTCCCGCTGAGTCGACCACCGCATCTGCCAACTCAGGCGGCAAATCCCCCACCCGATCCAGCGATTGAACCATCTCCCTCCACCACGCCTTCTGCTGCGGCGGGACGTGCGCACTGGATGGAATGCGAGTATGTGGATCGACGAGGAAGAGCGCGAGAATCTTGCGATGGCCGGGTTGAGTTGGGTCGGCGAGTTGGAAGGGAGCGACTTGGTGCTGGAGGATGTTGGGGAAGGTGAGGAGGCGGTTCTCTGGGGTGGAGATCCGGCCGAGGGTTTGAATCGCGGGACCGTGCTGTTGGATGTCATAGAGACGCTCGAAGTGCTCGTGGTCGTCTTGTTCGTAGGATTTGTCGGAGAGGTATTCGACGGAGATGGCTTCGCGGAAGGAGAGGTGCGAGGGGGTGATGTTGTGGGTGGAGTAGTAGTAGAGGGCTGAGGCGCAGATGTGGTCGTTTAGTTGGCCTTCGACGTGCCATGCTGAGAGACAAGAGTTAGTCGGTACTCAATCTTTGCGTTAGATTTGACTTACAGCCGCCGTCATACGTTGGCTTCTCTGGCGTGAGGTGGATGTTGGCGAGTTTGACAATGACTTGCAGACCTTGCTTTGCCCAATTCTTGCGCAAGTCTACGACACTAGGAGCGGGATTCCAGTCTGGATACGTGTAGTCTTTCCGGACGGCGTAATCGTCGGGCTCTGGCATGACAAGGGTACGATTCCGGTGTCGTTCATCTTCATCTTCATCATCCTCGTCCTCGTCCTCGTCTTCATCCTCGTCATCGTCATCCTTTGAGTCTTGCTCGGCGTCGTGGTCAATCCAGTACGCATTGTCGCTATCGATGCGAGACGGGTAGTTCATGCGCTCCGTGGAAGTCAACGTCTTATTCCACATCGGTATGGTCTTGGCAATGACCTTCTCGATGGCTTCATACAGGGGCTTGTGTTGCTTGGGGTGCAGGTTGTTGATGTAGCTGCTGATCTTGCAAGACTCGTCTTCGCCGAACTTGACTTCGCATGGAAGCCACTGAAACTTCTTGGAGAAGAAGTGCTGCTTTCCCCCTGCGAAACGCCCACCCCAATTGCTGAGACCGGGGAATGAAGTGACCTCAAGATGCTTATCATCGGGAACTGGCATGATCTCGCCCTTGCCGGTGAACTTCTCGCAGTCCTCGAGGGTGACGCTCCCATCTTTCAGGATCCTGCTGCGGCCATAAAGGAGAGGGAAGAGCGATGGATGCACGAGGTCCAGCACCTTATCGTCTGAGCCCGGGTGCCAGTCCTTGTCTTTTGCTGGGACGTCCTCAAGCGGTGCAGCTGCCGCTTTGAGCTCGTCTTTCACTGCGTCTGGGATGATGGTGTCGGATTTGTACACTGCAGCCTCGGCATCAATGGCGGGTACGAAGCCATTCTCGTCCAGGAACTCGGCATAATCGCGAAGCTCGAGAAGACACTGCAGCCATCAATTAGCATCTCACCAAGACAATCAACGCTTTCACCCACGTAATCGAACATCTTCTCAGTCAACGCCCTCTCCGGCTCAGTCTCTTTCTCCTTATCCTCCCTCTCCTTCCGCCACTTGCCCACAATCTCCTCATCATTCACCTTCCTCGTCCACTCCGGCTTGTCGGTGATCTCATTCATGAAAGCAATCATACTCCTCTCCCGCAAAGTCAACGGCGTACCATTCCAGTCCTGGATCGCATTGGGGAATCTCGGTCGCGAGCCGTCGACCTCGGGGAAACTGTGCTCTGGATAGCCACTGATCGGGCGGTCGAGGCCGAGCAGTTCGCCAGGCTTGATCGTTTGGGCTTCTCTCTTTGCGTTGGCGCGCGCAACGAGTGCATCCCATTGCTCCGACATGGCCAGCGAGCGTGTTGTTTGTCGGGCGAAGTGGTGTGGGGTTGAAATCAGTGAGGTGGCGGAATGTGCGGAGAGAAGGTTCAAGGCAAACTGTCGTGTGCAGGTTCGAGGCTGATTTTATAGTGCTTTCACGACTCGAGCCCATCTCGTAATGCTGAGTCTAGGCCAGGCTTCAGTGGGTGGTTAGAGTGACCTGACCCGGAGAGTGTTTGTGCGAAGGAGCATTTGAGTTTCAGGCACAGGCACCAAAGTGGAGGTTTGAACGAGCCAATCAGAACTCAGTTGCATGTGACACCAGGAAGCTTTGAACTTCTACACTAGTCTCCCAAAAGATCAAAGCTGGAGTTTGACAGACTTCTCACCCAGCAACTTCAACGCATACGCAGTCGCGTCGTCAAGATCCTTGTTTGGAAGACTCAGCTGCTCGTTTGCCAATTTGTCGCTGAAAGTCCCAGAGCCGTCCGGCCAGAAGAATCGGGTGTACATGCGAGTCACCATACCTTCCAGATTGATCATCTTGTCCTCATTGCCGACCATTTTGCTTGTACGATCGAAGCGTGCTTGGGTATCTTCTCTTTCGATCGTCCAGCCATTCACCCTTTCGCCGCGAAGTCGTAGTATCGACTCGAACATATCGTGCTGACTGATCAGAAAGGAGGCGATGTGGACTGAGCTGTTCTTGAAGTCGCTCAATGAGGGACCAGCGTGTCCCATTCCCGAATCTATAGGTAGAGAAAGCAAGGCGAGCACCCCACGAGCGACTTGATTCCAAGTCGTCGTGTGAATCTTGCTCCTTCCGTCATGGTCGAAGAACGTAACGGTCTTCGCATCAAAATCGAAACCAAACCGTGCGGAAGAGCTGCAGTCGAAGCCACACACGAGCGAGAACTCGTACCACGGTCCGCAAGTGATTGAGATCCAAGAGGTGTCTTTGCCAGTGATAGCGGATTCAATGTATTCTCGGTGGGCCACGACTCCCAGTCCCATGCCAATATCCTTGCCGAGCTTCCCATCTGCTCCAGGAAAAGCCCATTCGTTCGGCATAATGAACTTGACTCCAGCTTCGACGGCGGCGTCTACGAGCTGCTTCTGGGACTCAGGGGCTGCAAAGAAGTTCAGAGTGATGACAAGCGCATCTTGGCCTCGAAGGGCGTCGACGACGGCAGACTTGTCGCTGTAGTTGACTATCTCTACTTCAGGAATGCCAGGTGGCAGTTGGCTTTTGCTCTCTGGACGTCTGATTGCAGTGACAGTGAAGAGATCCGAGGCGATTAACTCATCGATCACAAAGCTTCCCAGGCGACCGCCGGCCCCTACAATGGCGACTCTCTGGATTCGGTTCATGTCGAGACGATGTTGTGATTCAAGGAAGGCTTGACTTGATGTGTTTTGCAGTCCTGCTGTCTAACTCCTTGTATTATCTTATACAACGCAGTCAACTTGCATAGACAAGCACAAGTTGTGCGAAGCACCTGCACCGTACTCGTATCTCGGATTTGCGGATTTTAGAGTATGACATGGTCCCAAACGCCTGGACATAACAACGATTGTCGTGAGATAAGCCAAGCCTGGATGAGAAATTAGTAAGATTATTGCCGTGGGAAGAAGAGGAATGCCAAACAGCGTGCTAGGGTTGACGAGAGCGAATGGATGGCAAGCTTGTTAGTAAAACATGGAGGAAAGACTCGCTATCCAGCCCACAGTGTCCGGCGTTACTCTCGATCCTGAAAGTCAACATGAATTAAGCTGCACAAAGCTATAATACAAGCTAAGGAATCGGAGAACATAAGTGAAGAACGCACGAATGATTAAGTCTTTGTAGTAGTCCCTGCCCAGCAGCCTTGATGACTTTCGCTTATGGCATATTGCAGATGAGAGAGTCTCCGCCCTAGGCATTCGATGTTAGCATCACACTCGGAGCAATCGACAACTTGACCCCACGTACCATTGGTAGCAGACAGCAATTGGCCGTCATTCCGATCGCATGGCACTGGTCGTAGAAGTTGTCTTTCGAGGTCGGTGTATCGTCAGCTAAGCCGTTGATGTCAGTGCCATCATCACGAAAATTGGCATTGCTGCGACAACGTACGCGAAACGCAAGTCAAAGCCGCAGGACCACCAAGAACATCGGTCTCGCAGCACTGGGCAGCGTAGACGGCAGGACAGACAGGAGCATCGCTTGCACTGGTACTTGCATCGGCGGTGCTGTCCGTCGAGGTCGACGTCCATGTAGTGGAAGTCCACGTGGATGAGCTCCAAGTAGTTGCGTTCAGAGTGGACGTAGCGAGAGTGGTGGGGGTGACTGCCTTGGCGACTTTGGCATTTGTGGTCGTTGGCTCAACGTTGCTGGAAGTCGTGGACCAGGACGTTGGCGCGGCCTCGACGGCTTTGGCCTTTGTGGTCGTCGGCTCAGCCTTGGAGCTGGAAAGATTGAGAAGAGGCAGACCGGTAGCGATTGCAGCAGCAGTAGAGGCCTCGACAACGGAAGTATTCGCCGTAGTGTCTGATTCTTTCTGGCTTCAGTGTTGGGAGAGCCAATTTGTACTTGGACGGCTCGCCTGCATCGCGATCCTGAACCAGAGGGCTGGCGGCGGCCAAAGAGGCAATAGCTAGGACTAAGAACTGCATGTTTGAATGAAACGAAATCAACGAGTCACAAGAGTTGGCGTTGCGAAAGAGGCTGCAGACGAGGACAGTGCAATAGCGTACAAGAGAGAGGTAGAAGAAACTTACAGAAGGGAGGTTGGCAACAGCAAGCGACGACCTGCCTATAATTCCCCCGAGTAGAGGACGCATCCTATTCGTGCCTGCGACTCATCAGAAGCCCATCTATTTGTCCCCAAAAGTAGCAAACGTGGCGTCGAGCAGTAATGTCGCGAAATGATTTCGTGGTCGTTTGAAGATGTATACGAACCCAGACAGGCTACTGTACGTGATAGACACCGGTCGTTGCATTTTCCTGAATCGTGAGGATGCCGGTGGAGAGCAAGTCTACGCTGGCAGAGCAACGTTCGCAGCGTTCGTCTGAAGACTTCTGGATTGGGTTTCTGGGAACATTCCATCACCTTTGGATGTACACTCGGTATTTGATGCGCTGACGCCTGGCTCGTACACTCATAAGTCAGCACTACGATCTCGTCTTGGCCATGATGAGGGTCTGTAGCGTGGTCCTCGCCCCAGGGGGACCGTTGGATGCCGTTGAATGTTGCTTGCAGATCGTTTGCATCGCGAGGCACAGCTTGTCGAAGATCCTGATACACAACGCACTGTTATCCGAGTTGGAGAGAGAGTCGAAGATATCCTGATTCATAGCTCTCAGCTTGTTGAAGGTGGGTTGGTAGTGCTAGAGAGGGAGAGGAAGATGGCGGCAAGGGAGGTAGGTGGAGGTGAAGTCAGCAACGGTCTGAGAAGTGCGCCGGTGCTGAGATATTTCCCGACTTCCTTCTTCGAATGGGGCGACAGCAATCAATCTTTCGCATCTGACAAGCAACAAAAACCACTGGACGACTGCATGCAACAAGCTCAAATGCAATGGGAACATCTACCGGATACCATCTTCTGTCTTTATGCCTCCTTATATAACACCTGACCTGGCGCCAACATCTCGCGGCAAGTGTGTACAGGCAGTTCCGACCTCTTCTTGACGCACATCTCTAGAAGGACCCAAAGCCTCCATCGGCTGCAAAGACACTTCCGGAAGTGAAGCTGTTGATGCTCTCCGCCAGAGTGACATACAGCGGCGCCATCTCCACAGGCTGAGCAGCTCTTCTCCAAGGCCTACCGGCGCCAATGTTCCTTACAGCGGAGGTATTCCAGCCTTGAGATGAATCGAAGTTCGACCAAGTTATGGCTGGAGCAACAGCGTTGATCTACCAGGAGTTTTAGCTTTTCAGTCACAAGCATGCAAAAGCAAGCAAGAAAGGACGTACCCGGATTGCCAGTGGAGCGAGCTGAATAGACAACGATCGGACGAACGATACCAACGCTGCCTTCGTGGCTGCATAGTCGATGAGGTAATTCACACCCCGGGGAGCCACGCCTGAGACGGTATAGATGATGCTGGAGCCAGGCAGCATAATTCGAGCGGCAGCCCGGGTGAGGAAAAAACCAGCGTAAACATTCGTGCGGAAGGTTCGATCAAACTGCTCCGTCGAATGGTTCCTGATATCGAACTCGTTCCTTGCGTACCCGGCATTGTGGACGAGGATGTCGAGCCCTCCGAGGCTTTCAGCAGCAGAAGAAATCAATTCAGTGCAGAAAGTCTCATTAAGGAGGTCTCCTGGGATGGCGAAGAAGTTTCTGCCTTCGGCTTCCACGAGCGATTGGACCACATCTGCGTCTGGCTGCTCTTGTGAGAGATAGTTGATGGCGACATCTGCTCCCTCGCGAGCAAAGGCAATGGCAACTGCTCGGCCTGGTTGACTTTCAGCTGGTGGATCTTCGTCTCGGATGCCATGGACCTGCTCTCACCTATCCCAGAGTCGCCACCAGTGATCAATGCCCTTCGACCACGGAGACGTCCAGTACCAACATAAGTCTCCTCACCGCTGTCAATCGGAGGACGAAAGTTCGACTGCAGCCCGGGGAACGACTGGTTGGGCAGGTTGTAGTCATTCGAGTACCGTTCGAGAGGGTTGATCAAGACAGAAATGGAAGCATTCTGAGCACGAACAATGACAACGGCCAGGAAAGCTGAGACGGTACAGTTGAGGAGCATCATGTTGCTGTACTCTGCTTGTAGGTTGATGGATGAGTTATGGCGGGCTCATTGATGGCGCCAGGCTCATCTTAAATGCTTAACTGAGCCTGGATAGACTTTGAACCTCACACTATCCAAGCCATTGAGCATTGCACAACGCGCGTTTCTTTACTAGCGGCGGACATTAGAGAGAATACATCTTGAGATAGGCTTTAGGTGATGCACAGCCTTCATTGGCAACGAATGGAGTAGATCAACTCCGACGCTGGGATCGACTGGCTTTTCGACTTCGATTCAGACTGACCACGCCGCACTCTGTTGCCCCTTTCTGCGGATACCTGCGCTTTGATGTGCAGTAATTGAACATCTTTGTCGAAGTTTCATGACTGTCTCGAACAATTCGCACTTTATACGTTCACTTTCTACTTAAACTATCTCCTTTCTCTGAGGGGTATCGGCGACTCATGTCGCTCGATGCGAGGCTTACTATTTCGCATCGGAGGACGGGTAAAGAGAAGCCTGAAGACTCTACCATGGCTACAATATCATGGTGTGAGTGTTCATATTCCTGAAAGGAGGCCTATGTAATTGAACAGCCTTGAATATGAGTCTGCATACTCCTCCACGGTTGCAACACAACTCTACAAGATGCCCCCTACTCATATTAGCATGCGATTGGTGAGTTCTATGAATATGGACGTACCTCCGTCGATAGTAATGAGCGTGCCATTGGCATAATCGGCTCGAACCTGCGCTTTTGTCAGTGATGATTTCACTTCGAGCAATGAGTGACTTACGCAGTATAAGTAAGCCTCTGCTATCTGCCGTAATGTCAGCTTCTTCTCAGGCACAATTTCACACTATGATTGTCTTACATCTTCAGGCGTAGCCACAAAGCCTACAGGCAGACTGTCTCCGACTTTCTTGAATGTCTCGACTTGCTGTTCTTTCGACTGGCCCATCTTGTCCCACAACTCTGTTTGAACTACGCCGGGAACAACACCTGTCCGCATTAGTCGAATGATCGCTCCACAGCCGTTCTGTTGCATTGCTTACAATTGACCCGAATCTTTTTCGGTATCAACTCATTCGCTAGTCCCTGTGTCATCGTGAATAGACCCGCATTGAGCGAGCCTCCTATGGAGGCTGTAGTACCCGGTTTGATAGCTCCAGTACCCGAAGTAAGCGTCAACGATCCCCCTGGTCGAATGATATCGTGCTTCGAGACGACTAGAAGATTTTGCGGTCAACGAATCGTTCGGCCAAACCTCTTTGAGCACTTACTTTTGCCCGTCAACGCCGAACCCCAAAATTTGACGCCAAAGTAATGCTTCGCTTCGTCTAGATCTGCCTCCGCGATAGCGCCACGGATGATCTTGTCGACGCTCGAGTAGACAATGTGGTCGACAGGGGCCAGGCGCTGGAGGACAGCGGTGTAAGCCGCCCCGTCGCGGACATTTCCAACCTCGCCTGTGACATTGGGGCTGTTGAGCCTCTGTAATGCAACCTTCAGGTTCTCCTCTGATGAGGAGATTATGGTGACGTGAGCGCCATGTTCGAGCAGTGCAGCAGCGGCACCCGCGCCGATTCTACTAAGTCAGTGTTATTCTATCAAGTTCTGAATTTGGGAGTGTACTGACCCAGAACTTCCACCAACAACAATAATCTTCTTGCCGGACAATTTATCTTTCGAGTTAGGCATGATGGAAACGCTGAGGTCTTTGAGTCTTGACTGAACGTTCACTAAATCGGGAACAAATGAAATGATGAAGTCTCCAATGCTTGGCTGAAGCGACTTGGGTTGTGGACAGTAAGGCTGCTGATTACGCGGTAGGTAGGAGATAGCACGTCACCAGATGTGGATATAAGTATGACGAAACCGGTTATTCCCGGCGCGCTTACTGAGGATGAGGCCCAATGGCGGACTGTTTCCAAATCGCTCTATGACCTCGCGAGAGCGTAACGATACAGGGAGAGTATCAGAAAGTTGACGCCGGAGGTAAAAATGGTCGGAGAAATCATTCTCCGGCTGGCCACGTAGGTCTGAGTTGATAGTTCTGTCAAGACCCACAGCACGACGAGGGCAAACGATTGCAATGGCCATTGAGCAAGATATCGAACTCGAGCCATCAAAGTCGTTGGGCGAAGTATAGGGTCGAAAGAATTGTAGAAGCCTTTGGGGCCAAAAGTCCAGTTTGGAAAGAAGTGTGCTCTGCTCCTTTGCCGCCCTGAAAGAGCAGTGAGGAAATTGAAGAGTGAGACCCAACTCGAATTTCAAGGCTGATCTAGTACACTGGATCTGTGAGGGGAAATGCTGATGCCATGAAGGAAAGGTCGCTTGATCTGATCAACGCCTTCAATGAGCGGTAACGTCGTCTACTTCAGGAGTCAACATACCAAGGCAGTTGTCGCGGCTAGAAGATACCATTGAGATTAGTTGGACAATCTACAATAGCCCTACAATCTTGGTTCGTAGATCAGCTCTGTCCATTGGATGAACAATAGTCTGTCGGCGATTTCAACAATGTCGTTGTACCAAACGTCTCGAGGACCAGGGGACCATTTCCATCTGTACACGAAGATCAGCAGGTCAGCTCTATCAAGACTTTGATTGTGCTTCAGCTTGTTGTAAGGAGGAAGCAGATATGGAGTCGCCAGAGCAGGGGGAAATACTCATCTTCATAAAAAGTGCCATTGATTCCAGACGCAGAACTCTCGGGGGTTGAGTTGGGATATGCCTAGAGGTGCTACTACAAGCACTTGAGCTTGAGGACTGTCAAGTCTTCGTTGACTGCAGAAAGTCTTGGTCCCCGACAAGCACTTCAAGATCGCATCAACAGATCTCTGGCGCTCAGCGAGTCGCTCTACAGTTTCACAAGAGAAGCCGTCCAAATTTCGTTTTAGTTGGCAAGAAAATTGGCCGCATGGCTGTGGATCAACCGAGGCTTGACTCTGCATGCAAAGTCGATGAGTACACGGTCGGGTATCTGACCATGGACTTCGAATGTCGGCAGAGTGAATCCGACTTGACTCGAAGCTCTGATTGGACTGTGACTGTCTTGAGACAGTACCAGTTGAGGCATCCTCGACACTTCCCGCTTCCCCAAGTTGCACCACTACTGCCGCACGGTTCCAAAGAGTCCACGTGGAGTGCACACTTGTACTGCTTGCATATTGGCGCATCTACAACCACGCGACTGTCTGTGATATCGCATTAAAGTAAGGACCATCAGTCGAGATCATTGAACGTGTAAGGACTTCTTCCAATACCTGCCTCGGAGTCATGAGCACGTCGTGCCGCATTGCCGAGTGGAGTCTTCCTCGGGGACTGTCGTGAAGTTCTGGTCCCAAGGTACGTCTTATTGAATGAAGGAGTTAGTTGCATGGCCCTGAGTAATACTTCCTGCTCCGCGCACAGCAGACGGTGTGCTGTATGTGCATTCCTCGCGTGGCTTGGGTGCTTCATTCGCTGAAGCACAAGGCTTGTCGTTTTCTAGCTCTTCAGCAACCTTGCGGCGCGTGCTCAGCTGTCGGTAGGAGCGAAGCATAATCGATGGGAGGTCCAGCTTTTGAGGCCTTGCACCATGCTCGAAACAGAAGAGATACCTGAGTACATATCGTGTGTTGGATCGAAAGAGGCAGGATCGGCGTCGACATGCCGCTGAACGATTTCGGGAGAGAGAGCTCCCAGCTGCACGAGTTGTGCAACGCTTGGAGGCACAGCAGCGCGCTGTTTTCAGCCCCCGTACGACTGTTGCGCTGGTGAAGGCATTCAGGCCAGCAGGCGATGAGGTTGGCTTTGACTTCTGACGGTGCCAAGAGAGCCGTGCCGAGACTCCATTCCCGCGGTGATGACCAATGAGAAGACAGGACCCCACTTCCCCAGAATTCCTCCTCCAACTTGTTCATGCTGACTCCTCTCGTGCACGCCATGTGCCAGACTTGTGGCCCAGCAGGGCCTGCATCGGGCTTGGTTTGCCGCCATCCTCCACCAGGCCGTCTACACGATGGTCCTGCTTCTGGCCCTGAACGGACGAATTGAGTGGAGGACGGGCAGCTTCTCCCTGCAGCAGTACAGGGATACTCGTACCTCACGCGATGCTACACTTCGCAAACCCCGCAAAGGATTCGACGCCACGAGCAACACTTCGCTACGCCCTCTCGGCGACCAGTTAGCTACTTGGCAGCGATTGGCCTTGTTGGTTGGCATCTTGGCCCTGCAATCAAAGCCCGCCCTTTGCTGAAACAAAGGCCCCAAGCGGCCACGCTGTCAGTGGCTGTCTGCAGGTGATATGGACTGGCATCCTCCCGGTGTGGAGAGGGGCCTTGTTCTGTACGAATCGTTTGAGGTTCTGTACATTGACTGGCACGATCATCAGTACCAGCTCGGAAATCGGCATGGTGGAGGGGTCACGCTGGACGACAGCACAAATGCGAGCTGCGGTGAAGCAAGGGATTCATAATTGATATGCGCCCGTCGCCCGTCCAACTTCCCCAGACCCCGTCTTCCCTTCTACTGGGTGATTGTACTTGACTCTCTTCCCAAACCTTGTCGACAACAGCCACCATGGGCTTCAAGATTGGCAACATCTACGTGATCACGGCCGTGGCCGTCATTGGCGGCGGTCTGTTCGGTGGGTGATGCAGCGTCTTGGCTTGCAAAGTCGCATACTGACCATTACAGGTTTCGACATTTCTTCTATGAGCGCCATCATTAGCACTCCAGCCTATCTCTGCTACTTCAACCAAGGTCCAAATGGTCCTGGCTACCCTGGAAGGCAAGATGAATGCTCTGGACCAACGGCTTCCGTTCAAGGTGGCATTACAGCTGCCATGCCAGCTGGGTCTTGGCTCGGTGCTCTTGTCTCTGGCTATCTGTCTGACATCTTCGGTCGCAAGAAGTCCATCATGATCGGCTGTATCATCTGGGTTATTGGCTCCACTATCATCTGTGCCTCGCAGAACATTGGCATGCTCATCGCCGGCCGTATAATCAATGGCTTCTGCGTGGGTATTGAATCTGCGCAAGTTCCAGTCTATGTCTCTGAGATCGCACCACCTTCCAAGCGAGGTCGACTGGTCGCCTTCCAGCAATGGGCTATCACATGGGGCATTCTGATTCTCTACTACATCTCGTACGGCGCTTCCTTCGTTGGTGGCGACACCCCAACCACCTATTCCACCAGCGCCTTTCGCATTCCATGGGGTCTCCAGATGCTCCCGGCCGTGCTCCTCTTCTTCGCCATGATGTTCTTGCCAGAGTCACCACGTTGGCTGGCCCGCAAGGACCGCTGGGAAGACTGCCATTCTGTGTTGACTCTCGTACACGGCAAAGGCAACCCCGATAGCCCACTGGTCCAGCAAGAGCTGAGCGACATTCGCGAGATGGCCGAGTTCGAGGCACGCAATGCCGATGTCACGTACTGGGAGCTGCTCACGCCCAAGCTCATCAACCGCACTCATATTGGTGTATTTACCCAGATCTGGTCTCAGCTTACCGGAATGAACGTGATGAGTAAGTCGGTCCTTTCCAAACAGAATCCTAGCACAAGGCTGACTTCATTCAGTGTACTACATCACCTACGTCTTCTCCATGGCTGGCTACTCCGGCAATGCAAACCTCCTGGCTTCGTCTATTCAATACATCATCAACGTCCTGATGACAGTGCCGGCATTGATCTGGCTCGATCGCTGGGGTCGCCGCCCAACCATGATCGTCGGTGCTACTCTGATGATGACATGGATGTTCGCCAACGCAGGCATCCTCGCCGCCCATGGAGAAGTCGTCGAGGGAGGCGTTGACGGAATCGCAGCTGTCAGCATGCGTCTGACCGGCGCACCAGCCAAGGGCCTCATCGCCTGCACATATCTCTTCGTCGCCAGCTTTGCGCCAACTTGGGGACCGGTAAGTACAACAACATAGCACAGCACACGAACGACACTGACATTCCCACCAGGTCTCCTGGGTCTACCCACCAGAACTCTACCCTCTCCGCGTCCGCGGCAAAGCCGTCGCCCTCTCCACATCCGCCAACTGGGCCTTCAATACCGCCCTCGGCGCCTTCGTCCCCCCCTCCTTCGTCAACATCCGCTGGAAGACCTACATCGTCTTCGGCGTCTTCTGCCTCTGCATGCTCATCCACGTTATAATCGCCTTCCCCGAGACCGCCGGCAAGACGCTGGAAGAAGTCGCGGAGATCTTCGAGGATCCCAACGGGCCCAAGTATATCGGCACCCCGGCCTGGAAGACCAAGGTCGAGTATCGTAGGGCTGTCGCATTGGAGCATGGCGAGCTGGATCTGAAGAAGCATAAGATGGAGGATCATTCGCCGGAGAGGGTGGAGCATTCTGCTGAGGAGAAGGTTTGAGAGGAGGAGTGGAGAGAAAATTGAAAATAATGCTGACTATCGAAACGTCCAAGTTGCTAAGTTAATGAGATAGTGCTGATATCTTCTCTTGATCTAATGATAGCTTCCATCTTCTCGCAAAGCATTCTATCTCCCGGCGCTGATCAGACCAGTACAACATCAACCTCGTCTATTCTCTCGGCCATCCCGGGAGCCTGCAACTCCCCTCCCATGATCCCGTTAACATGCGCAAAGCCGCAAAGCTGCCACGTCTTGCTGCCTTGGTAGTCCATGATTCGCTGCGAATGCGTAGGAGCTGCCCAAACCACGGGCGCGAGGCCTCCATTTGGTGAAAAGATCTGAGGCTCAATATACGAGGACGAATGCCCGAAACCCACAAACCCGGACTTTGTAATGAAGATGGAGAGCTGCAAGTACTGAAGCCAGCGTTCGAGATCGAGTGGCTTTTGGTCTGGTTGTGGAGGCTCGAGGTTGTGTCGGCTGCGGAGGACACTGTGCCATTCGTCGAAAAGCTGACATATGGCGTGGCGAGAGTCTGGAGCTTCGGAGAAGAACTGACGAAGACATTTGAGCACAGCCGCATGGGCAGTGGTGGGTTTGTTCGGATTCAGGAGGGCCTCGTAGGGAAAGTTGAAGGTGAGGTGTGCAATTGCATCAGTCCAGCAGGAGAACGTCAGAGGAGCTTTCGTACGTCCATCTTCCTCTGTGTCCACGATGTTGAGACCCTCTAAAGGCAACCTCGTCGTTTCCCATGGCGTGGGTTCTATCCTGTCGAGCATTCTACCTCTTACAATCAACAGTCCATTGTGACAGTCGTGACGTACACATACTTGTGTATCCAAAAGGACGGCAGTTCAGCACCTCGGAGTGCGGCTTGAATCGCGAAACGACGGGCGTTGAACACTTGCTCCAAAAGCGCACGTCTTCTGCACCAAAGTCGAAAGCCCACGAAGGTACCGGCGGCAATCTCTCCTTCCCTGTGATGGACTTGCAAGAGAACAGTAAAAGGTCCAACGTTCCGCTTGCGGCAATCGATGCGTGCGTAGCCTCTGCAAAGACTTCGGCGACGGACTTGCTGTAATCGGGCCTGATATATGACCGAATAGACGAGTCTACGAGACTGAGAACAGCGTACACTTTGTCTCGGGGATCTGTGGATGTCGTCCGTCGCACTGTGCCTAAAACTGAAAGGAAAGTTTTGTCACTTGCGGAGTGGAAGTGCCCTTCCCGAAACGAATGTGCGGATGAGGCCAATACGTCTTTGCGAGCGTACCTCCCACCACTGACCAGCCACTGCCAGTCGGAGATGTGGTAGTCGAACATTACCAAAGGATCTCTTCTGGCAAGGGCAACTTCTTGTACAATCTGCAATCAGACTCATCAACATGTCGAAGGGCAAGCGGGATGGCGGCTGTACTGACCCATGTTCGCTCCCACCAAGAATGCGAGGTCTCCTTCATGAGGACTTGGAGGTCGTCTTCTCTGCTATATGAAAGCCTTTGATCTGGTCAGAGCCAAGTGGCCACATATAGTTGAGGGGCATGTCTGGAATGACTCACTTTCCACCTCGACCGTACCCTAGCCATACAACCACTTGAGATGCCGAGCGGTAGATTGTTTCCATAAGCCTAATTTGCCGATTGCGTTCCTGCATATTTGCCTGGTTGATGCATATCTGATCGATCCATATGTCCCTGGGCCACTTCCTGAACCGAAGTGATCTCAAGGCAAAATAGGGATTCATGGTGACCAAAATATGCCCCTTGCTGCCGTTCAAGTATATAGGAACTTGTCCGACCTTCGAGCCCCAGGCGTAAGACAGTGCGTCGAAGTCGAGGACAGAACTGCTTCCACTTCCGTGCCGAGAAGACGAGGAAGTAGGGAGATCAACAATAGATAGCTCGCCATATATTGCGGGATGTCTGTCGATCGACATCGAGGGCGCCAGAGAGAGGACTCGTATCTGTCGCTCTGCATTTATTTCTATCGGAGGGTAAGTGCCTGTACCAGCAGGGAGGGCATGAGTCGCTGCCGAGGTCATTGTATATCGCGTGGTCTGTCTGTGCCTCAGTAGCAAGGGTATGGGTATAGTGTCGTTGTTGAATGTTGGCCGTATGTACAAAGAAGAATTTCATTAATGGCTAAACGAAAGAGTTGACTTGGAGAGTTCAACGTCGCGAGGTCGAAGGCGCTGCACTTCCTGGGCGCTTAAGAAGACCTCGAAAGGCTGAAACTGCCAGGAGGCAGCCCAGGGCCAAAGCCATGGCTCCTTCGCTTGCTGCCAATACGATGAAGCAGAGAGTCGCGCCATGAGCTCTTGGCAGTGAGGACTGATTTTGAACTCAAGCAGCAGTGAGCGAAATATATTCTCGCCGCGTACCCAAGAACATCCAGATTCCAGGCTCCAAGCAGCTTGTAAATCCAAGGAGAAGGGCATGATTTTGGGAATTCTCCTCTCATTGCGAACTACATGTACAACATCTACAAGTCCGGATTAATCCCCTGATGATTCCTCGACCGCTGTCCCTCCACGGGCACCGAATCCTGATACTCCCGTCTCGCCATCAGAGACTTGCCCAACACCGTCTGCATGATGGCATAATTGACCACACACTTGACGCCGAGCTCCTCGCCGCGCTTGACGATATACCCATTGATGTACTCGATCTCGGTCTGGTTCCCGTTCCGGATATCGGCCAGCATGCTGCTCACGTTGTCCCGGGTCTTGTTGCTCACGCTGACGACGAGGGTCTCGAGACGTTCGGCGCTGAAGCGGTGCGGCACGTTGGGGATGCCGCGGAGCTCGGGCAGGGAGCGCATGACGAGGGATGTTTCGGCGAGCATGAGGCGCATTGTGCGCGAGAGGGGGAAGTTGTAGAGGAGGGCGCCGTTGCGGTTGTCGATGAGTGAGGTGAGAGGGTTCATGATGGAGTTGACGGCGAGTTTTTCGAGTTGGAGTTGGAGCAGCTCGATTGGGGTAAAGCCCACCGCGCAGAGGACCGGCGTGCGGGTGAGTGTTCGCAACATGTAGCGCGCGCTTGGCGACCACTCTTCGATCTGAGACTCGCTCATATGGCCATCATTGTCGGTCCCGAAACCGGTAGGAGTTGGCGGCCGATCTGCCGTGGCGGTGGTGGGTTCCCTTGGAATGGCGCCGAGAGACAATGTCCCATGGCCAGCGTGAACTACAAAGAAAGGGTCCCGCTCAGCCATTTCGGGTGGAACGTTGGCTCCGTGAGAGATGATGCCTTGCACATAGTTTGGCCTCGTGGCGGGATCTGGGAAGAGCTGCTCGTTGACATCGTCAATAACGCCCATGCCGTTCTGTAGGAAGCAGATTGTGCTGTCTCTATTCAAGCGATGTCGAATACGTGAAAGAGCCGAGATAGTCCGTATCGTCTTAGTGGTGAGGATGAGATTGTGAATGATTTCGGGGGACTCAGCGTAGTCGCCAGGCAACGGACGCCTTTCACTCGACTCGCTGCCGTGTGCACCCATCATCGGCGTATATCCCGCCGTGCTGTCTTCCTCTTGCTTCTGTGCTGCCGCCTCCTTCTCCCGCTCTGCGAACACTTTGGCCATTTCATGGGGTGGAACGCCCGCCTGATCCGCCGCTTCATATACATTTTGCGTTCCGTGTGGGATCTCCACACCATGCTGGCGTACGTTTCCAGGCGCAAATTCGGCGTCGAACCCATCCCTCGGGACTTTGTATTCTCCATCCTGGACGGTAATGACCTTTGGACTCCGCTCCCACGCATGCAAGACTTTGTACCGATGAAAGATCAGAGTGACAGGCGGTGGATTGGGTATGCCCCGCAAAGAATGCGCAACAAGCTTGCCAATACTCCCCGTGCCCACGATATGTATGCGCCGCTCGACATTGGGTTGCGCAGCATATTGGCGATCAATCGCAGAGAGCGACTCCCTCAATGTCTCCTCCTCTGTCTTTTCCTGCGCCTGTACGTCTTCTCCATTATCGATCATCGACTCCCGCGTTCCTGCCTGGGCCTCCATTGTTCCAGGATTCCACCACGAGCTCAGCGGGGATTGTGTTGTCGAGAAGAAGGCCACCCGGCCCACTTGGATGCTACCGAGCAAGCATGATCCGTTGGACCGCGGTATCCGGCGCGGGAGGTGGTAAAGGGCTTTGAAAGGCAGATTTACTGTCGGTTGCTATGACAGGGCGATCATAGCAGGTGTGGAGGCCAATGTCGGTCGTGGCGAGGGTGTATATGCTGCGAGAGGTGGTGTGGTGAAAGTCTCAGGCGTCATGAACATTCGACAGGCGAAAGCTGCGGTCACTCCCGACGGCTGGAGCTTGGACCTGTGTTGACTGACATTCACTTCACCTCGTGCCATCGAAGTTCCACTGTGTACAACCAGCAGTCACAATGTCTTCAACTAAGACATTCCACAAACTGCTCTCCCTCCCTCCTTCCATCCGCGCACGAAGCTTCTCCGTACTCAACCGCCCACCACCAAACTACCCCGGCCACGTCCCGCTCACATGGCTCGAACGGGGAGCTCTCGCAGTCGGCTCGGCATTTGGCTCTCTGCAGAACCCATACCGCCACGACCTCATCGCCTCGCTAGGTGAAGCCACCGCAAAGCCATACTTCGTCTCCCGTCTGCGAAGAGCAATGCTCGAAAACCCTACTGGAAGGCGCATCCTGAAAGACAAGCCACGAATCACGAGTCAGAGCATGCGGTTGGAGGAGTTGAGAAAACTGCCAGAGAATACTGTCGGGAGGGCATATGCCGCGTGGCTGGACAGGGAGGGCGTAACGCCGGATACGAGGGATCAGGTGCGGTATATCGACGACCCCGAGGAGGCGTATGTCATGCAAAGGTATCGCGAGACGCACGACTTCACGCATGCTATTACTGGACTGCCCGTGATCATTGAAGGGGAGTTGGCCGTGAAGGCTTTCGAGTTTGCAAACACACTTTTGCCTATGACGGCGTTGTCACTCTTCGCGATAGTGAGGCTGAAGCCGGTGGAGAGGGAGAGGTTCTTCAGCATTTATCTGCCGTGGGCGTTGAGGAATGGATTGAAAGCAGAGGAGTTTGTGAATGTGTACTGGGAAGAGGAGCTGGAGACGGATGTGGATGTGTTGAGGGAGAGGCTGGGGATCGAGAAGCCGCCGGATTTGAGGGAGATCCGGAAGGCGTTGAGGGATAAGAAGAAGGCGGAGAAGGCTCAACGGGAATCAAGTGAGAGGTTGGGTGCTGTGAAGTCAGCGTGAGAAGAGAACACATTAAACTCTAGCCCAAGGAATTCGACCTGAAGTGGAGAGTGTATCTGTAAGATGTCTCTTGGGGTAAGTCCCACTGTCAGAGCCATTTCGGCTCATACAGACCCGGCGGCTTAGGCATAAAGTCCCATCCAGGCTGCTTGCCTTCCACCCGTGCGCTATGCCTCACGGCCTTCAGCAATCCATACCCAGACTCCTTCGTTTCCATCATGTCTTCCGTCACCAACTCCTTCGGCAGTTTCGTCCCTTCTCGAAAACCTTCCTTCCCAGGTAGCTGACCCAGACTCTTCAGATACTTCATGGTCCCAGCGAGTGTCACATCAACCTGCCAGCTTCCACCCTCGACTGCTCTTTTGTACACTGCGGCCGCAATACCAGCAGCGAGAAGGTACCCGGAGGCGTGATCGAGTGCTTGGAGCGGCAACGGTTTCGCTGGTGTGGCGCTAGACGGATCGAAATGCTGCGCCTCTGACACGTTCATTCCACTGGCTGTCTGAACCATGCTGTCGAACCCGCGGTTCTCTTTCCACGGACCTTGTGTACCCCACGCCGCTAGATTGGCACATATCAGGCCTGGACGGATCTTGATCAATCCAGAAGGGCTCAGGCCACGTCTGGAGAGACTCCCAGGTCGATATGATTGCAGGAAAACATCGGCGTCCTTGATCAACTCGTAGAGAGCTTCTTTGTCTTTGGGGTTGTTCAGATCGATCGAGATGGCCCTCTTGCCCCGATTGACATCGATGTCAGTCATTGGTCTATCCGGTAAAGTGGGACTGGTCACCCATAAGACATCCGCTCCGTGGGCAGCGAGGGTTTTGCCAGCGACTGGAGCCGCGATGATTCTGCTGAGTTCGACGATTCGCAGTCCTCTTAGGCAACGATCGGATCCAAGCGGCATGCGTGAGGGATATCCTCGCTCTCCTGCAGAAGAGATTTTGTTGATCGATATCGAGAAATCAGGCACGGCTTTTGCCTGTGGTGTGGCATTCCACTCGTCTTCTGAGCGGAGAGCGTAAATTACAGCCTTGTTGTCGATGCCTGCCTGTTCCAAGTCGGTAGCTTTCCAATTTAGGATCTTCTCTGCGACCTGTTCGCGGGTGGACTCATCTGAGAGGCCGAGGATTCTCAACAAGGCCAGGCGGTGATTGATGAGGTTGTCGTGAATCCTCACATATTCGTCTTTGGTCTTGTGCAAGCCACCGAGAGGGCCCCATTTATTCTCTGCCGGCTTTTCGTCCAGAAAGTAGAGATGTTCTGTGGCGAACTCTGCAGAGGCATGCTCTAGTGGGACGCTGACTGCAGCGACTGAAGTAGAGTTGTGATGCGAGTCGTTGAGAGCTGCAGCGAGTGCTGACAGTGCGATTGAGGACTGAGCCAGATGGGACAACTTGTAAGATGAAGCCAACTCATGGCCTGTTTCGTCCAGCCGGAGAGAGTGGAGAGCTTGGGGTGGTAGATCGAGACCAGTCCAGATGTTCCTGACGGTGTCCATGGCTCGAAAATTCGAACGATCTGAAGCATCGCCATTGCTTTCCATGTTGAAGGGTGTAGAAAGGTATGTCCGCTGTTTCTGGATGGAAGGCTTCAAGATGGATCCTAAGGTTAGTTTGCCTCGACAATGTGGGATTGCGTTCATTCACGCAGTGTCTTTAAATCCTCTAATGTCTCGTGTGTAATGCTTGCGAATGCGAGACCCGAGGCTCGAGGTTATAGAGATGTATTTAGAAGTCCTCTCAAGGCTGAAGGGCGTGGGCGAAGGGAGAGTGACTCCGGTTTCGGCAGGCAATAGATGGACTGTATGGGACATGAGCATTCTCCAAGGCTGCCCACCAGACAAGCTACTCTTCGAACTCAGTATCGAACAGACGAGGGCAAAACACTCCGCCACGGGCTGACATTTTGCCGCCTTGTAATTGGAGCATCGGGATGCGTGGCCAGAGGTGAGTGAATGTTGACGGGCGACGTTCTGGAAGGGCGCTAGAAGGACGTCCGCCTCTGGGCCGAGCTCCGATCTGCCAAAGCTTGGTGCTGACCTCTGGTACGACTCACTGCACGCCGGAGCGAGCCATCGACGACCACGACGACATCCCCCTCCACGCCGCAGCCTGGTCTCTCTTCACCTCACACCACCCGCACTCCCTGACATGCGCGAACCACCCGAGCGTCGCCAAGCATGACCAAAGGCGCGGTCAACGGCGTGTACGACGATGGCACGCATCGCATCAAGCACCCCCAGCCTGTCCTAGATGATCTCGTGCCCGAACACCGCGACCGCAGCTCGTCGCTGTCGGGCGCCAGCACCCTTTACCGCCCAACGACTTCGACATTTGCACTTTCACAACCCAACGGCCACTATGGAGAGGGCAGCGACTCCGACGACGAATCCGGTCTGCACATGCCCGCCGCCAACGGCCACCGACGAGGCAAACCGCTCATGTCACGTGCGAAGAGTGATTTCGGTCAGGGCACGTCACGACCGCGAGGGAAGAGTGCGAATGCGGAGGAGGAGGAGCTGAACATGCGCCATGGCTGGCACACACAGCTGGAGAGCGAGGAGCAGACCCGCAACCTCTCCGAGAACTTCTTCATGTACTATGAGGATAAACGGCACGAGACCGCCGGCAATCTGGCCCCCGACTTCGATCCTAAGAGCATGGTTAAGGAATGGCGGATGAAGGATCGGCTCAAGACCGTGTCGGCGTTGCTGGCGGTGTGTCTGAACGTGGGCGTGGATCCGCCGGATGTGATCAAGACCAACCCGTGTGCGAGGCTGGAGTGTTGGGTGGATCCAGTCCCGGCCGACAGCTCTAACCAGAGCTCAAATACCAACGCTCAGATCGGCAAGAATCTGCAGTCTCAGTACGAAAACCTCTCTCTCAGGACCAGATATAAGGTCATCTTGGATCCAACCATCGAGGAGCTGAAGAAGTACACCACGTCGCTTAGAAGGACGGCGCATTCGGAACGGATTCTGTTTCACTACAACGGCCACGGCGTACCGAAGCCGACGCAGAGTGGCGAGGTGTGGTGCTTCAACCGCAGCTACACCCAATACATTCCGATCAGTCTGGTAGATTTGCAAGAGTGGGTTGGTGCTCCTGGATTGTGGGTCTGGGACTGTAGTGCAGCTGCTGGCATCATCAACGGATTTCTCGAAGGCGCTCAGAAGCACAACGTTGCCCAACAAGATGCTTTGAAGCGTGATCCAAACCGGGCGCAACAGCAACCTCTGGTCAAGTGGGAAGACTGCATCCACCTCGCAGCCTGTCGCGAGAATGAAGTCTTACCGACGAATCCAGATCTACCAGCGGACCTCTTTACTTCATGTCTGACCACGCCAATCCCGATGGCGGTCGGCTTTTTCATTCTACAAAACCCTCTAACATCGACATCCGGCGTCACACTCGCACAAGCTCGAAACATTCCCGGCAAAGTCAGTGAGCGTAGAACGCCACTGGGAGAACTTAACTGGATCTTCACTGCCATTACGGATACCATAGCTTGGAATTGCCTCGACAAGCCTCTCTTCAAGAAGCTCTTCCGTCAGGATTTGATGGTTGCTGCTCTGTTCAGGAACTTTCTGTTGGCGCAGAGAGTCATGCGCATGTACCACTGCCACCCACAATCATACCCTGCCATTCCAGACACCCATGACCATCCTTTGTGGAAGAGCTGGGACCTTGCTGTTGAGATGATCCTGGCTCAGTTGCCCAGCCTCATCGAACAACAGAAGGCCAACGAAGCTGCGCTTGAGCATGTTTCGAGCAGTGGCACTCAGCCTTCGCAGCAGCAACAGTCTCCAGAACTCGAGTATCAGCATTCTGACTTCTTCGCCGACCAACTCTCCGCATTCGAAGTCTACCTCAGTTCAGCTCCCAGCAATCCAGGCGCTGCTGGGTATGCGAAACCACCAGAGCAATTGCCCATTGTGCTGCAGGTACTGCTGTCACAAGTGCACCGACTTCGAGCACTCGTCCTGTTGTCCAAGTTCCTCGACCTCGGCCCCTGGGCCGTGAACCTCGCGCTTAGTATTGGCATCTTCCCTTATGTGCTGAAGTTGCTCCAGTCCCAAGCGATCGAGCTCAAAGCACCAATGGTCTTCATCTGGGCTCGTATCCTGGCCGTCGACCAGACCTGTCAGACCGACTTGCTCAAAGACCAAGGCTTTTCATACTTCAGCAGTATCCTCGTCTCCACCCAAGGGATACCAATGGTCAATGTGGCCGAGCATCGGGCTATGTGCACGTTTGTCATCGCCATGTTTTGCAAAGACTTCAAGCAAGGCAAAGCCGCCGTGCTTGATACTCATCCCGAGATTTTCGAGCAATGCTTGAATCACCTCAACGATATGGAGTATCCACTTCTTCGACAGTTCAGTCTTCTGTGTCTCGGCAATCTTTGCCGCGACTATCCTCCAGCACGAGAGGCACTTATCGCACATTCAGGCCACGAGCGGATATGCGATCGCAGTCACGATCCAGTACCGGAAGTCAGAGTGGCGTGTTTGAACGCGCTCACGAGCTTCATCGCCACGCAGGACCTCGAGATGCGGGATGGTGTAGAGTTGGAGGAAATGCTAGTGGGTGTCATCTGCTCCATGGGCATGGACGGCTCCATCATGGTCCGCAGAGAGCTGACAATTTTCTACTCTGAATACGTCAAGAAGTACGAGAAACGGTTCCTGTGTACGGCCTGGGAGCAACTCCAGGAGGAGCAGGACAAGAAACGGGGCAAAGCGCAGGCCGCGGATGACTTCCTCACGTCAAATGGTAATGGCGTTGCCGATGCGCTGAATGGTGGCATCAACGGCATTCGCACTGGTCACCAACGTAGCGTTTCCGCATCAACGCCTAGGGGTAACGAGCCCACCTCAGCCTTTGTCAACCCCGGCAAGAGGACAGACTTCTCCAGAGCCACCATATATCGTGCTGTGTGGCGGCAGCTAATGAGTCTGTCTGCGGACCCGCACCCCGAGGTGTCAAGGAATGCTGGCGTGATTGTTGATTATGTCCTTAACGCGCTGTTGGAGTCGCCGCTGGACCCTCATGCAGAAGCTTTGCTTGATACTGCTCAAGCCCAGTGGCCTGCTATTGACACTGCTGCAACACCGGCGGGCGAACCTTTAGCACGGCAGCGATCTCGCGACTTCCGACCCGAAACACCGCCCAGTCCTGTCGCATCGACAGTGTCGTCAAAGCCAGACGGTTACTTTGCACTCTCACGAACGGCGAGCGTTGCCGCAGCGATGAAGAATCTCATTGGATGGGGAGCCAGGACTCCGGGCGAAGTATCGACACCTACATCACCTACACATGCTCGCCGTGGTTCTACTTTCAGCACTACGACCACGCCCTACAAGTCACGCCCACTCACACCTGCTGATGCTGCTCAGCTTCCACCGGATGCGATGGACAATATCCCGGGTCCGCCACATCAGCCTGCCGCCAAAATGCCGCCGACACCCTTCTACAAGGACCGAAACATGGCCGAGTTGCCTGCGATTCCATTAAAGTCGGCGTTCTTTGACTGGTCGGCGTCATATTTCCGCGAGCCTCAGATGAGACCGTCTGAGGGTGACGAGCCGGGGTCGAAAGATTACAACGAGAGGCTCTGGCGAAGAAACCGCAACGACAAGATCATCGCGTCTACTCAGCCGCTCAAGGAGGCAGCTGGTACTGAACGATGGGATAAGCCTTGCGGATGGTTCGGCATTGGGGCTGCACCGGTCAAGATGGTCTTTCATCAATTCGAGAATCACCTTGTGACGAGTGACGACAGAGACAGCATAGCTGTCTGGGACTGGGCAGAGGCAAAACAGCTAAATCGATTTAGCAACGGCAATCCCAAACACAGTCGAGTCACTGAAGTTCGGTTCATCAACGAGGATGACACGGCCATGCTTATGACTGGATCAAGCGACGGCATCATCAAGGTCTATCGCAACTACGAAGATCCGGATGAGATTCAGCATGTATCCAGCTTCCGAGCTCTGAACGACCTGATCCCCAGCGATCGCCAATCTTCTGGATTGGTCTTTGACTGGCAACAAGGGCAAGGCCGAGCGCTTGTGGCTGGAGATGATCGCGTTGTGCGCGTATGGCAAGTGGGCCACGAGCTCTGCGTGTCGGACATTCAGACACGATCATCTGCTTGCATCACCTCCCTCACCTCGGATCAAGTCGAGGGCAACGTATTTGTGGCCGGCTTCGGCAATGGTAGCGTCAAGGTCTTTGATCAACGGCTGCCGAAATCTGATCAGATGTTGATGACGTGGAACGAACACAAGTCGTGGATCGTCGGCGTGCATCTACAACGTGGCGGCATGCGTGAGTTGATCTCAGCGGAGAGCAACGGTGGCATCCGTCTGTGGGACATAAGATATCGCGGATCGGTCGACCACTACAACCCCCGTTCAGCTCGCAGTCCTAGGAGTCTGCGCACGCTGTCGGTGCATGAACACGCCCCGGTCTTTGCCACTGGCGGCAAAGATCACACGGTGCGAGTGTACTCGACGTCGAACATCTCCTCGGGCAAGTCCATCTCCTCGTTCGAACCGTACATGAGCTTCGTGAGAGGCTTGAACACGCCTCGCAATGCACCGATCACTGCGACTGCCTTCCATCCCCACAGAATGATGTTGGCTTGCGGCGCAGTGAATGACGGGCATGTCAATTTGTTCAAATGCGATGTGGAGGAGGAAGCGAAGAAGACGGGCGGTGTTGTGGACGAGTACAACCCCAACAATGAGAAGTGGGCGCCGACGCACTAATTCAGCGAGAGGATGATGGCATTACTGTGGGATTAGCATGGCGCTACCGGCGAAGGTGACGACGATGAGATTGCTTTGACATTGCGCATGGGGGAGCTTCTTAGCAAGCATGCATCGGCGGTCTTGGAACGGCATATAATATGTAGCATGGTACGACAAGCATAGCAGTAAGAAGCGTGTCTCGCTCTCGGTTGATGATGGTCCACGGAACATGATATGCCATGCTCTATCACATGTCTGGCTTGGTGAGTGAAAGATGGTGGTCAGCCGGGAATAGCCGTGATGCCAAGACTGGGGCAAACTCCGCATTGAGAGTTGGACGGAGCGGGGAAGCTAATGGGAAGCTGCGATGGAGGCAGATGTACGTTGTACACCACCACGAGGCAGCACCGGCAACAAGCGAGAGAGTGTAGCAGGAGGAAGGAAGCAGCAAGCAAGCGGCAAGCAGCATTGACAGAGCTCACCACCACCACCGTCCGACCTATCACGCCCGCCGCGGTTCTGCTTAACCGTCCAACCCACCAAAAACACCGCCCTCACCCGCCCACCCACCACCGCCAGCGTCAGCGACCATGTACTCGCGACGCATCCTCCCGCGCCTCTCCCCCACCACCACCGCTCCATCCACCCCCTCCGCCGCCGGCCGGCCCTTCACCACCGCCGCGGCACAGTGGAACAAGTACTCGTCGACGCCGGCCCTCAGCGACATCGCCCCCGAGCAAGGCCACGTCTTCGACGCCAAGCAGAAGGAATTCCGCCAGAACCTCGCCGAGCAAAACCGCAAGCGTAAAGAACAAGAGCGTCAGTCTGCGTCCGCTGCTTCTTCGACTTCCGCTAAGTCCTCTTCCTCTTCCGCTTCTGCTTCGTCGTCGGTCTCTCAGGGACTAGGCTCACTCAGTTCCGCTGCAGGGGAAGCCGCGCGCCAGAACGATGGCTCCGACAAGAAGAAGGGCTCGGGCCGGCTGTCGAGTCTGATCTACGGCACCGAGGAGGGCCGCGAGATGGATCGCGAGATTGAGCGCAGCTTCAGCCAGGTGCTGGCGAGGGGCAAGTATGTGCATAGTATTGTCTTTCACGAGGTCAAGCCGGACAAGGTCGATGAGTATGTCGAGCTCGTGGGGAGCTGGTACCCGCGGATGGCGAGCATGCCGGAGAATAAGGTGCATCTGGTGGGCAGCTGGAGGACGGAGGTCGGCGATTGTGATACGTTTGGTGGGTGCCAATCTACAGACTTCAAGGATTGTGTCGAGGCTGATTTTGATCGTTACAGTCCACATCTGGGAATACCAGCGTTACGCCGGCTACCACGCCTCGCTCAACTCGATCCAGAACCACCCCGACTTCCCGGCCTTCGACGCGAAGCTCAAGACGCTCATCACCACCAAGAAGACGTCCCTCATGCAAGAGTTCCGCTTCTGGCCAACTTCTCCACCACGTTCGCTTGGAGGTGTGTTTGAGCTGAGAACATACACGTTGCACCCTGGCAACCTCCTCGAGTGGGAGACGCACTGGCAGAAGGGCCTGGCTGCGAGGAGGGAGGTCATGGAGGGTGTTGGAGGTGCGTAACATATGATTATTACAATGGGCGAGATTGAGTTACTGATGTGAATACAGCATGGTTCGTCCAAATCGGCGCCCTCAACGAAGTCCACCACCTCTGGCAATTCGCCGATCTCGAAGAGCGTCGTGCCCGGAGAGAGCAGAGCTGGAGCGTCCCTGGTTGGGGTGAGACTGTCCACAAGACGGTGCCGCTGATCCAGACGATGAAGAGTCGGATTATGGTTCCCATGCCGTGGAGCCCGATCGGATAAGATAAAAGTCGGCCTTCATCGACCAGTCAGACACAAGACCTTTTGCATCGATCTTCTACGAGTTTGAGCGAAAAGCAAGCATCATGGCGTTATGGGGTATGGGCGGGTACGGACAATATGAAATAGCGCAGCATTCACAGAGGGGGAGAGACATGGACGAGACCGTCTTCCTGCTATGTGTGGGTGATGATGAAGTAGCACTCGATGAAGGTGAGGGCTGCGTGGTTCTTAAAGGGCAGCCTTGTGCATAAGTACGTAGGCCACCGAAATGAGAAAGAAAGACAAGAAATGAAAAGATTCCGAAACCCAGACGAGATGTCTTGAAGAACGAGCGGATGCCGGATACATACATATCTCCCCTTCCCATCCGTGCTTGGTGAAGGGCTCATTGCATTGCTAGATGAAGGCGTTGGAGGGAACTGACCACTGCACTCATCGGGTCTGCGGTATCAAGATTGTCTCGGATTTCAAAGACATGGAAGATGCGATTTCTCTCTCTTTCTGCATAATTATGCAGACTGCCCTCCATTCATTCATGCACTGCCCAGGAGACAAGGATGGGAGGCTAGGTAGCCTGACTAGGAAGTCGGGTTACTTGGCGAACAAGGACTAAGTAGGTAGACTTCACGGACACAGATAGATGTAGAGAGAGATGGGATTGTTGGACTGCAAGCGAAGGAGTCAATGATCAAGATACCGCTATCACTAGTATTCGAACGATAGGGGAAGATATTGCGAAGCATAAAGCGTGAAGAGGAATTCCCGCGAGCTCTTCGTTCATTCGTTCATTTGTTGTATCCGGCTGATCTTTCACGCGACATGCTCGGCGTGTAGTGTAACGTCACCCAAACCCTCATAGTCGGATACGAACGCTAGGGGTGTCAGAATTGTCAGAGCAACTACTCGTTTTAGTCATCCATCATAGGTTCGGGCATTTGGGCGAGGAGGTACCTACTAGCAATTACCTTGTCCAGACACACGTCGGGAAAGGGTCGTTTGTGATGTGAGACTCGGAGTCGATCCGAAGAAAGGGAACGGAAGATAGAGCGAGGGGAGAAGAGCCGGTTGTGTTGTCAGAGAGGGAGGATTTTTAAGCAGTTGTTTACGTATACGTAGGCTGGGTTTCTAGTTTGGGGGATATGGATAGAAAGTGTATGTAAGTGGACATAGACACACCAGACGATTGGGTAACCTAGTTTTATCTTTTCAAGTCTAGGATTGCACAACATGACTACCCACAAGACGTATCTCATCGCGGGTGCTACGCGAGGGATTGGACGAGGACTCGTGGCGAATCTCTTGAATAGAGAAGGGAGTACCGTCATCGCGGGCGTGAGGGATTCTAAAGCTGAGACGGCGAGGAGTCTGGACGAGCTACCCAAGGGGAAAGGCTCGAGATTGATCATCGTGGGGATCGATGCCGAGTCGTACGTTTCCTCCTCCTCCCCTTCCACTCAAATGAGATCATTCACTGATTCTGTGCAGCGACACATCCGCCTCCACGGCCATGCACACCCTCCAATCCACGCACTACATCACGCACCTCGACGTCGTCATCGCCAACGCAGGCAAAGCTAACCCGTTCGCTTCCATCGCCGCTCTGGATCTCAACACCGCCCGCGACCTCTTCAACGTCAACACCCTCGGTCCACTGCGCTTGTTCCAGGCCGTGTTTCCCCTCCTCAAACCCGGCGCGAGGTTCCTCGTCATGAGCTCCATCGCGGGTAGCATCCAGACGGCGTTGGCTCTGCCGTTTGGTGTCGCTGCGTACGGGATCAGTAAGGCGGCGGCGAATTTTATTGTTGCGAAGGGTATGTTCTTTCCATCGGTCGACAAGATCTGTGTTTTCGGTGACTAACACGTGGAAACTCTTCAGCCGCGCAGGAGAATCCCGAACTTGCCATCACGGCGCTGCACCCCGGTACGGTGGAGACGGATATGTCGGTGGCGGTGATCGAGTCTCTGGGTCGCGAGGCCTTTTCGGATGATCAGGGGACCTCGTTGGTGATTACCGTGGAGGAGAGCGTGAACGGGATGGTTGCGTTGTTGGAGAAGCCTAAGGAGGAGGTGACTGGCAAATTTTTGGACTGGCGGGGCGAGGTGATTCCTTGGTAGGGAGACGCATCTGCTTGACTGTCAATGTCGTGGGTGTCAGAGATAGGAATGCAGTTCATCGATTGTGAAGCCATTTCAAACATGTCGGAACCATTCCTGTCCATCATATCGCACATTCTTCTTACTCGCCGCTTCGACTTCCATCAAACTCTGTGCTGTATCACGCAGACAATCTTCCAAGCTGATGAAGCTCATGAACAGGCTTTCCTTCGTCTTGGTGTTGTCGAATGTATAAGGCGGTTCCTTATCGTCCACGTTCTTTGGATCTGGGATCCTCAGTCTCCATTCAGGGAATTGAGATCTTAACGTAGAGCACACTTGAGCGTAGGTCACGGAGCCGCCAGAGGCGATATATCTTTCTGCCCCTCCATCACTTCCATCTTGATCAACTTCCAGCTCGTATGCACGGAGATGTGCTTGCGCGACGTTTCTCACGTCCACGAAAGCCGGAAATCGAAAGTCGCCCTTTCCTTTGCCTTCCAGGATTCTCCAGATCTCGGTGAGATCTTCTGATGACTTCTTCACTCCATCAAGATCTGTCTTGTGCGCCAGTGGTCCCAAGATCATCGCGGGGCAGATCGTGGCCAGGCTGAAATTCGAATTGCCGTCCTTCACAAAGGCATGCAACGCCTTCTCCTCCGATGAAGAATTCCAGTCTTGCGCGGAGAAGACGTGCCCCGGCTCGGATAGATTCGTAGCATCAACCACGGCGTCAAGTGATGAAGTGACAATGACCCTTTGAACCTGCGGCGCCTCCTTCACTATCACCTCCAGTAAACCCTGCCACTCTTCCAACTTCGTGCACACAACACCATCGACACCTTTAACCAAGTCGCTCCATTCGGTCACCCTTGTCAGGACGACGATTTCCAGGTTATGCGAGTACTTGGAAAGCGTGTCCCTAACGTCCTGCCCCTCCACGTTCGATCGCACTGTAGTTCGAACTTGATACCCGTTGGAGAGGAATTGTCTGATGATCCATGTAGAGACATAGCCAGTGCCGTTGGTAATGAGGACGAAGCGACCGTTGTGTTCAGCGGCGTTGTCTTGACCGCTGAGCTTGCGTTTCATGTGATGGACTTTTACTTTGAGGTGGTCCATGAGCGGCAGTCGTCAAGGAGTAGTGAGCGTGAGAAGCGGAGTCGCAATTTGTTATGTGGATATCGTGTCGTCAGAGAGCGAGCGTGCGGTATGCTGATATATTCTTTGTCATTCGAAGCTTCAAGTCGGCCACGCAAGGTTGCTCACAGCTGCAAAAACTTGGAGTCGATTGAACTTGACGTCATGCCACGAGTCTCCGGCCAAAAGGTTGGTTCAACGGAGTGATGGCCGACGCGCATAGAGCGCCAGCCTCTAAACGAAGCTCAGATAAAGATCGAGTCGGGATATTGTACCGCTGTCACATGCAAATACACCACCTCAGGTGAAATATCAGGCAACGTCCAGTTCCGGGCCGACGTCAGCTTAGGCATAGCCGAACATGTTCCTGAGCCGAGAAAGATGGGGACAGTGGCATGCCAAGCGCAATCAAACCGAATAGCTGCAATGCATATCGGCTTCATAACCTTCCGGGAGTGTATTGAAGAAGGACACTGCCGTGAAGCCAGCAACTTGTTGACGACCATAGTCTCCGCGAACGTCTGTTAAATGCTGCCAGGCATCCTGCTTGTAAAGAAGTGCACACCGCGGCCAAAGGCCACAAAGTGTGAAGCACGATGTTGCCGGCGCACTGGATCATCGTAGATGGGATCTGTACAACCCGTGAAGTCAGCATCGCTCCAACAAAACCAAAGTGAACACTGACCGGCAAGCCATACTTATGTGTCTTCTGCCGACTGTTTGCACTTTCAAAAACAGCTCTCCCCCCAAGACACACGCCTCGTCATCAACAGTCTCTCGACGGTCCCACCGAACCACTATGTCCAACGCTCGGTGCATGCTCTGCGCCTCAGCTGCGAGAAAGCCGCTCCTCACCACTTGTGGGCACCTGTTCTGCCGAGAGTGCATTATACCGTGGCTGTCCAAATCAACATGGGAGGGTCCCTCGTGTCCAGAATGTCGAGCATCGGTTTTGGAGTGGGAGCTCATTTCTTGGATGAACAACTAACTGCAAAGCTTCCCACATCAAGAAGGCATGTTCGGAGAGATGTTGTCCTCTCTGATAATTTGCAGCGGCCACTGCACCATCTCGCTCCAGCTTGGTGGTAGTGCCATGCAGATAAGGGGAACTTGGCGCTGTGCGATGCCTCTGAACCAGGAAGATCGAGGCTCTGCCAGTTTGATAGAGGCCAAGACGTGGGCGAGGAAGGCGATAGCTCTGGGTTGATGCGCTTCGACCAGTTGTGCAAACCGATCCGGAACACGCGCAGGAAATGCGAGGACCCGGCGGTGCGTAGCTAGCGGCGATTCCGTTTGCTGAACGATGCCCTTGTACATGAGGCCGATGTAGCTGAGAGAGTGTTCGTATGCAATCCTGTCTTCTTCGGCAATCACATCACCATGAACAGGCTCCAGTAGATACTTGAAAGGTTCGTAGTGGATGGGTCGGAAGAGCTCATCGCCGTCTGACAGATCTGGCTCTCCGTAGGTTCCTCCAGCTAACAGCACTATGTCAGCATCGGAAATGTGAAGTGCGAGATGAAGACATACCTTCCAAGAACCAGCGCTCTCCAACAGCTTCCTTCCACTGGTCAATGATATAGACTGTGCCTTTGGACAGGCGAAACCATTTCATCGGATCAAGCATGAGAGAGTCTCCGCCTTCAGCACTTTCACTCAGCGTAAAAAAAGAGTAGTACGAGACCATGACGGACGAGATGTACGTGGCGCGGAAGTTCTTGACGTTGAGATTGGCAAGAGCCTTTTGGTGGCCTTCAAGAGCCATGGAGAAATACCTCCTGGAGATCTCCAGCATGTCACCGTTGGGGTCGGTGGAACGCAAGACCATAGAGTCAGCTCCTGCTTGTTCAATCATACTTCGACGAGCCCTGTCGGCTTGCTTCCAGCCCGTGTTGAGAGGTGCGTCAGATAATGGAGTGGCGAACTCTCCCTCCTCGGCAGAGACCATCCGACCATCTAAAGTAGACCAGTAGCGTGGCCTTTGACGCGAGGCAGACAACGCAGTCAAGGCCAGGAGAGCATCCAGTACATGGCGAAACTCAAAGGCGACCAAGGGGATCTCGTACTTCCAGAATTCCCAGGTGGTGGAGAGTGAGTGGCAGGTGTAGGCCATCCATTCGTGCATCAACCGAAGCTCCAGCAGCTGATCAGGGTGTTGATGATGAGGAGCGTTCAGACCGTTCTGCGAGGGGCTCTTATGGTCGGCGTAGGGTGAAATGGGATATTCACACGTCACGCCATGCCGGGTGCAGGCGCCACAAGATGGCTTCTGTTCATCGCACTAGGCCTGGTGAGCGATGGGTCGTCTTGTTATGATGGGTTTAGATACCTTGACTTTACGCGCCTTGCAACGAACGCACCCCTAGAAACGAGGTAAGCAAACTGGTCGATTCGTGATCGGGATAGTGGCTGGGGGGATATATACAGTACGGGTCTTCTTATGGCTCAGGCGAGGCGGCATAGCGACGATTAGTAGGAATAGTTACGGCAGAGCTGCAGGCAGGCGACGAGGTGGCATCGCTTTCGGGATCCTGATGCGAGCTTTGCGAGGTGTAGGTCGTGGTTGTTGTGCGTGAGACGGAGAAGCTGCGGCGAGGAAACAAGCTTTCCTTAAGGCCCTCCGTTAAGGTTTACTAGCCTCCATACATCTGCCTATTTCTCGAGTGTATGCCTGCCGATTTGATGGCTATACGCTGAATTTACTCAAATCGGCGAACCACCCTTCTAAGTACCGCGTGGCATATATTAATGAAGTGGTGGTTTGTGGCCGGAACGATGGCCATGTTGTTGCGGCCTGAGGCTTCAACCAATGACGTGGCGCCAGCGAGGATTTCCCGGGCATCGTCGCGCGTCGAAAACATTTGCCCTGTTTTCATCTGCAAATATCAACCACGGTGAACTTCGACTCAATTCTATCGCTGCTTGTGTCATGATCACGTTGTGTCCGCGATAACAAAGAGACCAACCTTCAACTGCACCCGCCCGGATTGAGATATTCGTAACGTCTCCAGCTTGACTCCCTCCAGAACTGCCAACAATCCTTCCGAACGCGTCTAAGCACATCTCACGATGGGCTACATACGGCAAGAACAGCTGCCCAAGCTCAAGGAGTACAAATATTCAGGTAGGCCACATTACTATGTAGTTCGTCTTTCAAATGCTCACATCTGCCATTATTAGGCGTCGACAGGAGTCTCATCTCCCGATATGTCTTGAAGCCGTACTGGTGGAGCCAGGTCATCGAGCTCTTCCCGCTGTCCATGGCCCCCAACGCCATCACTCTGTCCGGCTTTGCATTCGTCATCATCAACGTCTTCACCATGCTCTACTACACGCCGAATCTTGACCAAGATTGTCCTCCATGGGTGTACGCCAGCTGGGCCATCGGACTGTTCCTGTACCAGACTTTCGACAGCATCGATGGTTCCCAAGCGAGACGAACCCGTCAAAGTGGGCCTCTGGGCGAACTGTTCGATCACGGAGTCGATGCTCTCAACACCTCGCTGGAAGTCTTGCTCTTTGCTGCCGCCATGAACTTTGGCCAAGGATGGAGGACCGTGTTGGTGCTCTTTGCGTGTCTGCTCACTTTTTATGTCCAGACATGGGATGAGTATCACACCAAGACCCTCACACTCGGTCTTGTATCTGGACCAGTCGAGGGCATCTTGACCCTCTGCATCGTCTATGCTATCACTGCGTATGTTGGAGGTGGTAGCTTTTGGCAGCAGTCGATGCTCTCCGCGCTGCATGTCCCTCACTACGACTGGCTGCCTGAGCGTCTTTACCAGATGGACTTTGGCGACTTCTACATGGTGTACGGAGGCTTGGTCCTCATCTTCAACACTGTCGATAGGTGAGTCTCAACGAATGACAAGCGAGCAAAACATTGTTGCTAAACAATATTGTAGCTCACGCAATGTCATGGCCGCACGCCGCGAACGAGGCGAACCAGCACGTCATGCCCTGCTTGGCCTCTTGCCATTCTTCTCGTCCTGGGCGCTGATCGCAGCATACCTCGCCCTGCAGCCAAACATCCTCTACAATCACCTCATCCCCTTTGTGCTCTACGTTGGACTCATCAATGCCTACAGCGTCGGCCAAATGATCACAGCCCACCTCACCAAATCGCCATTTCCCTACCAGAACGTGCTGGCTTTGCCTCTCATCTACGGCGTCCTGGACTCAGTTGGACCCGTCCTGCAAGAAAACATTGGCTTCGGCTGGCCCAGCGCACTCGGTGATGGCGTCTACCAAGTCGCCTTCATGTTCACCTGTCTCGGCTTCGCATTTGGCGTCTACGGCAGCTTCGTCCTCGACGTCATCGTCACCATTTGCGACTACCTCGACATCTGGTGTCTGCGCATCAAGCACCCCTACACAGGTGAAACCGAAACGAGCGGCACCAAGACCATCAACGAGAAAAAGGCGGCTTAAAAATGCAGTATATGCAGTGAAGTTGTATATGGAAAGAGGTCACACGAGCACCTTCCAGTACCAGCAATTTCTTCCCGGCCCAGCTTCCGGCGCATGCCGCCTTGCCGATTCGGTCAGCGCGCATGCTCGCATGCCGGTCACGATGCACGTTCCTCCGACTATTAAAACGAGAAGATGCGTTTCGCCATTGTCGCGTCTCCCTCGATTCCTTCCTGACTTGCTGGTCTCGTGGACACCGACACTGACTCTGACGACTTCCATGGAACTTCGATGATTTCCCACAATTGCCTACGACACTGAACGAACGAACGAGAGCAGCACTTTCCAGTTTCGGACTTGATTTCAGCAGCGACGGAGAGCGATACCTTGATACCCAAAAGCGAGGCAGGAAGTGGAAGTGAGAGATTTGGAGGAAGGGAAGGCGTCGAGAGAGATCTCTGTACTCAACAGAGAGACACCACACGATATAATGCACCAAACATTCCAAGACCGACCCGCCGAACCGGATACCATCATGGTTAGTAGCAGCCCTAACAAAAGACCCACTTGTTTTAGATTCCAACTCCCGTCCTCTACCCATGCCTCTCAGATTTTGTTTGCCCTGCTTGTTCCATTTACATCAACCACGAAACTACACCCCAGAGCCCCTCCACCATCCATGTGACCTCCACATCCCAAACTAACCATTCCGTGTGCACATTCCAGTGGGACACCCTCCACCTCATCACCACCTCGATCCGCGACGTCGTCTTCTCCCTCAAACCCGCCCAAAGCGAAACGGGCCTGAAAATCCGTCCCGGTGTGCCTGAGGAGTTTGCGTTTCAGCAGCAACAGCAGCAAGGACAGCTGAAGGCGAATGGTGGTGTTTGTGAGAATGGAGTGAGGAGTGAGGTGAAGGCTGGTGGTGGTGGGGAGGAGAGGGGGAGGACGGCGTGAGATGAGATGAGATTCGAGGATGAGTTTGGTTGGGTGGGTGGGTTGAATGGACGGGCGTTGGTTTTATTGTGCGTGTTTTGGGAGGCGATCGCGGCGCGTGAGGTGTTTCGAGGACTGGATGGGAGCCGACTCAACGTCGAGCCATTCTTTCAAATCACAAGGGAATGGCAAGAGAGGTAATCGAAAGCACAATGGAAAGAATTCAACCAGCGGACAAACTCGTCATGAAGAAAGAAGAGATACTCGATACAGACATGTCCCTACCTTACCCCAAAACCCATCCCTCCATTCGTATCATACCTCGAATTGCCGTGTTTCGCCGCGCTCGCCATCCATGCAACGACGACAAGTAGTAGTCGTCTGCATCAAAACGTCGCTTTTTGCTGCTCCTGTGGATTTATATCATACAACGCTGTTTCTTCCTAGTAGACGACACTTCAAAGCTCGTCCTTGGTCTTCTTCTCCGCGTCACTCGCTGGCTCGGGGGTGGCTTTGACGTCTTGCACGCTCTTCTCCTTGGCGATGTCGTCGTTCACCTTGTTCTGTTTCGGTGCCTTCTCAGTATTTGGCTCGCCTTCATACGCATCGCCACCCTTGACCGTCTGGGGGTCAACACCCTCCGGCTTGGGAGGTGCTGGGAGTTCGCCGTCCTGGACGTCGACTTGGCCGTCTTGGATCACGTTGCCGACTTCATCGACAAGTCGTGTCCGCGTCTCGTACCTCGTCGAGAATGAGACCTTTCCTTGAAGAGCGGCGACTTGCTCGTCATTGAGCAGGTTTCCCTCCTCATCACGGTACTCCACTTTCTCCTCAGTCACACTATCGCCCAGAGGAACCTGAAGCTGAGGTGTGACGTGGACGTCCTTCTGCGGGTCGTCTGCGACCGGTGGTGCAGGACCGTGGGCGGCTTGACCAGTGGCTTCAGCGCCGCCCGCTGGGCTTGGCACAGCAAGGGAGTAGTCCGCGTACTGTTCATCCTTGATGTCAGCGAGAGCTTCTTCAACCCAGGCGGGTCGGTTGGGTTTGTGTGGAGGGGATTGCTCGGCTTGGGCTTGACTTACGTTGTCGTAGAAGGTGTTGCAGTCCCAGTCCCAAGTATCGAACAGCTTGACGCGGTTGCACTCTGCCTTCGTCCATTGGTTGCCGTAAGACAGAGGTGCGTAGAGAGCAAAGACGGCGATGGAAAGTGCCATGAAGATGGTGGCGGCACTCATTCCAAAGTAGGGCTTGTCTCGAAGCGTGAAGCCCGAGACACTGATGCGGTTGAAGCCGAAGTCGAAAATTTGGCTAAGTGCAATGATCGCAAAGTAGAGCGCTGGGAAGTAGTGGTGCAAGAAGAGCTGACGCTGCATCAGGTAGAAGGGGAAGTAGTGGAAGGCCCAGCCAAGAACAGCGGTACCAATCTCGTAGTCGAATCGGCGGACAATCGTATTCTTGTAGTCGCCGCAGCTGCGTTGCCATCGAAGGACTGCGAGACCCTTGAACAGGACATAAATGGCGATTGCGGCAGTGCTGGACCACCAAATGAGAGGGTTGCCCGTGAGGTAGATCTGGCGATGGTCCTTGCCCCAGAAGTTGATACCACGTCGAAGGACTGGCCATGATGGAGGGCGGGAGTCCCAAGCGTGGGATTCCACGAGACCAGCGTTGGTGGTCCACATGACCTGCTGCAATTCCCAGAACTTGCCAAAGAAGCCAGGGTTGCGGTAGTTGACCTTTTCAGCGTCGTCCTTGAGCTGCGGGTGGACGTTGCTCTCCACGTACCAGATGCTGTTTGGCAGGGTACCGCCTCGCGCGCAAGTCACTTCTTGCTGCTCGAAACCCCAGTCGGGAAGCTTGACCTTGTGGGAGAAGAGGACGCAGCCAGTCATGACGTGGACGAGCTTGAACTTGGTCTGAATAGTTCGAAGGCGTTCCTTGGATGCTTTGCCATCCGACATGTGCTTGACGATCTCGACACGGAACAAGTCATTGGCATCGCCCTCGAATCCTTCGTAACCGTAGGCGGAGACCTCGTTCTGCCAGTCGGCTTCAGTGACAGGTGGGCGGACGTCGTGCGAGTGGATGCGTCGGTCGGTGGTAACGTGGTAGAGACGGATAAGATCGCCATCCTTGACGAAAGTCGGTGGTGTTTCATTGTCCCATGCCAGAGGGCCAGGAATGCTAGTGTTGCCCGTTGGGTCGACAGCCCAGTTGATTGGCTGGGTCTGGTTCTCGACCACGAAGACATTATTTTCGTCCTTGTGAGGGTAAAGAGTGATCTGCTGCTGCTTGCTGCCGCCTGGGTACATGTGGGAGTGGGAGTGCAGGTAGCCACCTTGGGTGTTGTGGTGGCGGATGCTGATGCGAGAGCCAAAAGCAACATCGGCTGGAACATCTGCCATGCCCTTGGAGTTGAGAGTCGACTGGAATTCGCTGCTCATGAAGCCATCGCCATCGCCAGGGTTGACAAGGCAGACGAAATGAATGGCAAACATGCCCATGTAGAAGGCGACTGGGATGATGATCAAGCAAAAAATGCGCGCGAAAAGGTGCTTGAACCAGACGCGGAGGGTAACGTTTTTGTTGTCGCCGAGTAGAACCCAGAGCTGAAGTGCGGTAAGGGAGCCAACCCAGGCGATGGTGAAGAGACCAACCCACTTGACGCTGACTGTCGCACCCAGACATACACCAGTCGATGCCAGCCAGAACCACCAGCTGGGAGTGAAGGCCTTCTTGGGGCCAAGCTCGTGCTGGTTGGTGAAGGAGAACCATGACAGAGCTGTCAGTGCAGTGAAGATGACCAGGGGCGAGTCCAGGAGGATCAATCGTGACTGGGTAACGAAGCCATTCTCAAATGTCAAAAGTCCAGCGCCCAGCGTAGCGGTCACAGTCCTGCATCCCGCAGCTTTAAGGGTCAAGTACATGACCGGCACGGACAAGACCCCCAAGAGGGCGGGAAGCAGTCTCATGGCCACGTAGGGGACGCCTGGCTCCAGGTAGTCCTTGCCAATGTCCTTGAAATCGAAGTTTCCATCGAAGCCTGCCAACCAGCCGGCCAAAGTGATCAACAGCTTGGCGAGAGGCGGGTGGACGTCCATGAAGAACCTGCCCTTGATGTATTTTGTCGCGAATCCACCAAAATGCACCTCATCGAAGACGACGCTGCTCGGCTGGTAGATGCGGAACAGGCGCACAAACAGCGCGACCAGCGTGACGCCTGCCATCCATTCCCAATCATATGATTTCAACGTCGTGATGTTGTTGTCGGATACACCAGGCGAGGTGTAGTCGTAGGAGGGGTGAGGGGGTTTGTCGGGGCTGGACTGGACCATCTCACGCGCGGTGATGGTGCCATTGGCATATGCGTCGCTGTTGGATTTGGCAGTCTTGTTGCTCTGACTTGAGCGCTGCTGCGCGGGTTTGGCCGCCATGTCGGCGACGGTGTGTGGAGGAGTATCTCAATGTCGAGGGTGATGGTGTCCCATGCGCTGATCTGAAACGAGGTGAGGGAAGCTGGGGATTCCGGTGATGTTAGTCCGCGCAATGTATGCGCAACAAGAGGCAAAAGAGCGGCGAGAAGGGGGGATAACAGGCACAAGATGCAAGAAACAGCGGCTTTTCGCTGGGAAAAGAAGCAGCAGCTGAATTGGTGCAAGTGAATACGTGGTCGTGAACTATTTCGAGGAGCGGCCGCCAGCTTTTGGACTAGACCCCTTGCTCGGCATGGCCCGCCAGCCCTTGCCGTCGTCCCGTCCCGCGGCTCGCATGGATTTCATGTGCGAAGCTTCGACAGCATCAATCTTCACTCCAAGCACGTCCCTCCAACATCACCACGACATTTCAGCGTTCACACACCACATTGAATGAGATTGATTGAAAATTGATTGAAACACACGGTTAGCTCAAGAAGACAAGAGGAAGACATCCACCCGCCATGGCCGCCGCCAACGGCGAGGACACCACGGACGACATCGCCAAGCGAGTCCCGACTGGCACCGTGCTGCCCCCGCGAGGCGTGCGCGACACCATCGAGAAGGTCGCCGCCTATGTCGCTCGCAATGGAAAGCCGTTCGAAGACAAACTGCGCGAGAAGAACGCCGCCAACACATCCTATCTCGACCCTGAAGACGAGTACTATCCATACTACGAGTGGCGCCTCGCCGAGAACAAGGCTGGCCGCGGCCTGGATACCAACAAGAGTCTCACTCGGAAGACGGATGTCGGATTCGAAGGCAAGGCCGTCTACGTGCCACCTCAACCAACCGAGTTCCAGTTCAGTGCCCGCATGCCCACCATCAGCGCTCAGGATCTCGAGATCGTGAAGTTGACGGCTCTGTTTGCAGCTAAGAATGGTAGAAGCTGGATCACGGGGCTGAGCCAGAAAGAGGCGGGCAACTACCAGTTTGACTTCTTGCGACCTCAGCATTCGCTCAACATGTATTTCAACCGTCTGATGGAGCAGTACAAGGATTTGCTGGATGGCGAGACGGAGAACGATGGTGCATCACAGAAGAAGCGTATGGCAGAGCTGGAAAAGAACATCACCAACCGCTTTCACGTCCTGGACAGCGCAAAGCAGAGAGCCGAGTACCACAAGTATCTCGAGAAGCAAAAGGTGGACAAGGAAGAGAAGGCCGAGGCGGATCGCATCGCCTTTGCGCAGATTGACTGGCACGATTTCCTCGTTGTGGCGACTGTCACTTTTGACGAGAACGACGAGACAGCTGAAATGCCACCACCAAAGACACTGAATGACATGATGTCGCTCAGTCTTGAGCAAAAGGCCAACATGACCATCGATGCAAACAGACGTCTGGAGGAAGCAATGCCCTCGCTCGACGACTACAACGAATTCTACGGCCAGCAGCCCCAGTATCCTGCTGCTCAGGTCATCACCCCGTACCCTCCACCTTCCGCCTCCCCTCCACAGGCATCGCCATATTCGCTTCCTACAGAGACGCCTTCGCTGGCGGTCGAGCGAGAGCAGGCACGAGCTGCAGCGAAGCGAGCCAACCAGCAGGCCCGTGTGCGAACCGACTACGTCCCCCAAGCTCAGCGCCGGAACCAGCAACAAAACACCTCCATTTGCTCCATCTGCAAGCAAGCGATTCCGAACGAAGAGATGGAGCAACATATGCGTATCGAAATGCTGTCACCAGAGTGGCGTGAGCAGATGGCCAAGAACCAGCAGCGCAGCTCAACCACGAACTTGTCCACTGCAGATGTTGCCAACAACCTCAAGCGACTGGCGTCACAGCGTGCCGATCTCTTCGACTCCGTCACCGGCAATCCTATCACCGAGGAAGAGGCGGCTCGGCGGAAGCGTGCTGAGCAGGGAGCGTATGACGGCGTTAGTCAGATCCCCAACGCGGCTGCTCTCGGCGCAATGGGCCAGCAGCCTGGAGGTACATATCCTCCAGGCACCGAGCGACCGAATGTGGAAGACCAGATTCGGTACATCCATGACAAGTACAAGAAGTGAAGGGAAGGAGGGAAGAAGTTGCTGAGAAAGATACCCAAACCGGTCTTCCCGGTCTGCGTTTTGTCAATGCTCAACATCGCAGCATGACATTCCTTCAATGGTGATTGAAGCAGTGGCAGAGAACACTCAAGCACGGGCTTCGAGCTGTTCGTGAATCAAGCCTGCATCAACACCACTGCAGGAAGACTGCACACGATGAAATGTGAAGAAGAGTAACGACATTCAGTACGTTCGAAGGGTTGTTAACACTGACTTTTTACAGTAGCACGAGTTCGCCACAGACAGCACCGTACTACAGCGAAGCATACCACGACTTTCAATGGCAACCACAGCACTCTCAGCATGCATCTATCGGGTAAGGTCTTTTCATTTTCTTCTTTTTGCGGCATTCCCTCCTCAGTATACGTCGTCTACCCTCGACCGTTTCGACGTCGATCAATGGGAGACTCGTTTGTCAATGGAGGTAAATCAAATCCCAATCCGTCCCCACTCACGACTTTATTTTTGACCAAATGCATCGGGTGTCCTTGAATGCCCTTCGGGTGGTGTGAGGGCACTGGCTTGCGAGGGCGGATACAAACAGGATACACTTTTCATCACTCTGAGAGCAGCGGGAGGAGGTGGTGTCAGAGTGAGGCTTGAGGTAATGTACTGTGCACACCCTCAGGGTCAGCACATTTGTCTGATTGGCATGGGTGACGCGGTAAGCTAATGGCTGCTTGCATCGTGGGTGTCACGACTCGCTCTGACGATGGAGGTTGCGCGCCCTGCAGGTGAGCTACTGCACGAGTCTGTGTTGAGAGCACACCAGTCGGGAGCTTCACGCAATACTCCTCTTTCGTGTGTCAGCCATATTTCAAAATCGAAATCTTGCTTCTTTCATTCCTCTTTTGTTACGGAACTGTGCAGCGGCAGCATTGCTTCTCAATCATACTTCGACAACCTCCGTGGACATTGATATTGGGTGGGCCATGCCATGGTGCCCTACTCTTGGTATAGTGATGCCCTACTTATCGAAAGTGAGAGGTTCCATTGTGCCCTGTCATGGCCAAGCAGCGGGAGGATGAGGCATATCGCTCAGGCTGTACTTCATCTCGCAGCAGGCCACTGGTAAGTATCGAGCCAAGAAACGAAGGCATTGAAACATGTCGAAGACACTGTACTGTATTCCTCTAACCTTCGTTGGGGAGTAGGGCCAGCGCGGCGGACCGGTGGAAGAGTGTTGTGTGAGGAAAGGAACATGAGATTGCGAAGTCCTCGGGTTGTTGAATTTGAGGAGCAGGCCATATACCAAGACATGGCAGAGCATAACCTTACCTCGTAAGCTTTCGATGCTGCATGTTCAGCTCATGCGGGTACAGCTGACTGCGTTGCAGTGATAAGCATCAGGCTGCGTTACGCCGCACCTGAACGTTATTAGAAGTATCCCCTCCCCATGTAGGTCGCGAAAGTCATCTTTCGTCTTCAGCACACCTGCTTTCACATAGCCTTCATCAGCTCTGTCCACTATGGCCACGTCAAACAAGATCCACTTACGTCTAGCGACCAACGAAGACGTGGACAGCATCGTCCACGTCATGTCTCGTTCTTTCCAACACAACGCCGCATTCGTGGACATCTTCTACCCGGACCACGACACCCCCTCAGGCCACGCTCAAGCCATCCAAACCTTCCAATCCTACTGGCAAAACTACAAATCCCACGCCGATCTGGTCGTCGCCACCACCACCACCAAAGACTCGGAAGAAATCATCGGCTTCGCCCTCTGGACGTACATGTCCTCGTCCATCAACCTCTCCCCGCCAACACTGGCCTTCTCGCCCTTCGCCAAGACCGAAGACGACGCGGAGTTCGCCAAGCAAGTCTGGAAATCATTCGTCGTCCCCCGCCGCTCCGCCGTCCTAGAAGCCGAGAAATCCCACCCGGGAACCGGCCTCTGGGTCCTCGAGTATCTCGCCGTGGATCCTGGACATCAACGTAAAGGCGCGGGCAGAGAGCTGGTTCAGTGGGGTTTGGATAAGGCGCGGAAGGATGCGACGGAGGCGATTGTTGAGGGGACGCCGCCGGGGCAGCCTTGTTATAGGGCGTGTGGGTTTAAGACGGTCATTAAGGAGATGGAATATGTGGTTGAGGAGCGGTTTGAGGGGAGGAGGCTTCCGGAGATAGCGTTTATGCGGCATCCTTGCAGGTAGGCTGTGGGATGTCAATTGCTGGAGTTCAAGATATGGGTATGTGAGCCTGCTATGGCATTCGTGTCGTCACTGAGCTCAACACCGGACTCAGTAGATACAGCCTCTACTGAATTTGGAATGTTCGATGTCCATTTCCTGCCCTACCATCCGGAAATCAGCGCAAAGCTCAGCCTCAGCCTCATGCAAGGGCGTATTCGCCAAAACATCAACCACCGATCTGCGCCCCACCCCTCAAAATCGCGACTCGCCGAATACATCCAAATTCCATATTCTCACTTGATCCTTTTGCGCACTACGCGCGAATGCGAGTGTTGAACGGTGCCTTGCAACCGAACATTCAGTGGGATGTCGAAGGCACGAACGGGCCAACGTTGCGAGGATCGACATTGATGGAAGGACGGACCGGTCATGGCGATACCTCAAGCTTTAGCATGTCGTAGTGTTCCTGTCGACGATGTCTTGTTGGTTCTGCACGTCTGTGACGGAGTATATATACATTGCAGTACGTTCCCCTGCTCTTCGCGCACATCAGCCTCCTGCTCGTACATCAATAGCTTATTCGCGTTTGGTGCAAGCTCAAAACCTTGCGGTCCCCTGGGAACCATCTCACCAACACCATGCTCGCCCTTCCGCGGCTCATACCTCTGGCAGCACTGTGTGTGGCAACATTATGTGCTGCTCAAAGCACCAATCCGAGTCCCGCTGAGCTGGCGGCATACGGCGCTGCATGGGAAACATCACAGCATGCCAGCGCTGATCCAGCTTGGTATGAGACTCCCGAAAATTTTTCCGACACGCTGAAACCTGGTGTGCTGTTGAAAGTCGAGTATGCCACCAACCTGACGAACTACACCGTACCAGGCAGTCTCAGCATGTCACGCATTATCTACACAACGCTGGACGTGCACGGTTCGGTGCTGCCAACATCCGCTTACATCCTTTGGCCATACCATGCCCTGCCTGAGAACGATACTTTGGGGTACGATGTTGTTTTATGGGCACACGGCACGTCGGGACTATTTGCACCTTGCGCTCCAAGCAACTACCGCAGTCTTCAGTATCACTTCATGGTTCCTTACCTACTTGCCACGCAAGGCATGGTCGTCGTAGCGCCTGATTATGCTGGCCTTGGAGTCGGATCCTTTCCCAATGGCACCAGAATCTATCATCCCTGGGCGACCTCACCCGCGCAAGCCAACGACATGGCTTACGCCATCCAAGCCGCTCGCTCGGCCTTTCCGCAATACCTTGCACCAGGTGGACCTTTTGTTGCCATGGGACACTCCGAAGGTGGTAGGAATGCATGGGGGTTCGCCGAGCGTCAAGTTATCTCCCCAGTCGATGGATATCGTGGCACTGTCCTCCTGGCGCCGGCAGCGTCCCCTATCGACATCATTGAAGATGCAATTAAGAATCCCGATGCTCCTTGGTCGATCCCAGGCCAGTCTCTCCAGACATTGACCATCCCATCTGTCACCGCCGTTTATCCTTCATACAACTGGGCTGGCTTCACGAACGTATCTGCGGATATCTTTTTCAACGCATATGACCGTTTCCAAGGCTGCATCCCAACCCTGAACATTGTCTACGGGACGACACCACCCAGCCAACTTGCCCAGCGAGGTTGGAGCAATGCGTCGGAGGTGAGAGCCTGGCAGAACTTGACACGAGTCGGCAACAAACGTTTTGCTGGACCGATACTCCTGCTCGCGGGTAACAATAACGGTTCTGACGGGATCATACCCTATGACGGCCCACTATCCTCGTCGGTGCTGTCCACCGCGGACCAACTTTGCGACTTGATGGAACAGAGAGAATGGGACGAGTCTCTCCAAGTCGTAGGGTTCAAAGACGTGGATCATTTCCCCCTCATTCAGGCCAGTCAGAGCATGTGGTTGGATTGGATCAAGCAGCGTCTCAATGGCGTATCCTCGTCGCCTCCGAGTGGATGTAGTATTGGGTCGATGAGAGCTTTTAGGGATGGGAGGGATTCTTTCCAGGCGATTCCTCCGAATTTCTTGGTGGAGTGGGTTAATGCCACTGACCAGTGGCAGTATTCGTTGTAAATAGAGACAATTGGGCGAAGGGGATGCCCTTGCTCAGATGCGTACATACTTTAAAATCGAAGTCTGGGTAGATAGTTGATTGCATTTAATGCTCATTGATTTGACTTCGATTTCTGGCTACACTTGTTGGCGAATACTGAGTAAGATTACAGTCCTAAAATCTGCAAAGAAGCACATGCCTCATATGGAAGCTTGCAGAACTCGAAGCCTGCGGTATCATTCCAGCCTCTGACAGCGATGCCGACGACAGAACATGTCCTGAAAGGTTGCTTATCAAAAGGGTATTCGTTCACTATGGAAACACCTCCATTCGATATTTGCATGATCTCGTTTGAACAGATGTTCATGATAACGACATTTTGATCACCGTCGAAAGAAAAAGGGGGTTGAAATAAGCCGTCTCTAGCATATACTCCCATTGTCATTGTTGCTCTCGAGCTGACTACACTTGAACTACCCAAAATTACTCCAGAGATCTAAACTACTCGTTTCGTAAATGTCAAAGCAGTCGCAAAACACAATCAAAAGCCTCCTGCAACCAACTCGAAGAATTGGTTCGCCGCTCCTGCCCACTGTGGAAAGGACGTGGTGAACTTTTGGTAGTTATCGACTGGCAAGAAGCTGTTGATGGTCGATTTACTGCACGCCCGGGATCCGACCGGCTTGTTGTTGAAACGGTCCTCGATCCACTGAAGCCACTGCTGCCTTGTCGAGTCCATACTCGGGAAGTGAGCCACGCCTGGGAGAGAGACGAACTCGAAAGCTCCGCTGTAATGGTCCTTGCAAGTTGAGTCGAAAGTCGATAAAGCGTTCTTGTACGGCCTGCCACCCTGATCCTCAGTTCCCTGGAATAAGATCATGGGAGCCTTGTACCGGCGGTTGCCAGGGTTACTGAATTGCGTGTATGCAGAAGCATACCACGACTCGTTCCAAGCAGGATTCAGTACTTCGGTTGCGTTTGCCAGGAACAGAAGTTCTGAGACGTACTGACCGCCCTGGATCTGGGTCAACAGCTCTGTGCGGTCAATTCCCAGTGGCGATAGCCAGTCGGATAGGTTGAAGTCGGGGTACATTAGGTGCAGGTCTTTTCCAATCCAAGAGGCAAAGACCTCAGGGGCGGCAATCAGCGAATCGATACCAGGCGCGAAGATGATGGAGCCTAGATAGTCACGCTCCAAGTCATCGAACTTGTTGTGGGAGTTCTCAGCCAGTACCTCTGAGACACCCCAAGCAGCAGCACCACCTTGGCTGTGCCCGACATTGACATAGTCCTTCGTGATCTTGTCGGGGAAAATCTCTCGGGCGGCGCGAAGAGCGTTCAAGCTGTCGAAGGCCTGAGAAACACGATTCTGGTACTGAGCCCGAACGTGACTCCCATCCCAAGATGTTTGGACCCCGAGACCAGCGTAGTCCGCAGCGATGACGACGTAGCCTGCCTGGGCAAGCGTGAAGGGCATGATGTTGCCGTAGAAGAGGGATCTATGTGCGGAAGGGGAGCCATCTGCGTAGAAGCCGGACGTTCCGTGCGACCACAAGACTACGGGAGCCTTGCCATTTGACTTTTTACCAAATTGTTTCGCCGTCCAAGGCCATAAGACATACGCAGAGACAGGAATCAAAGTTCCATTTGCGGTGGTCGAGGTGTAGATGAACCGCGAGAGCGCTGTCGTGGCGGGAATATTCCAAGCTCCAGGATCGGTGGCGTGCTTGACTTTGAGTACCTGACCAGGAGCATTGGGAGCAACATGGTCGATTCTGTAGAAGTCGTCCTGGCTCGGCCCACCGTTCGCGAGCTGTGAGCGGTCATAGTTCAAGACGGTTTCCAAATTCTCGGCGAGGTCAGGCCAGAGTTGACCAAGCTTTATCTGTTCGTCGTTAAACTTGAACGATGAGTTGAATGACACAGACTGTGTCTCGGGTTTGGGGAGCGTGGGTAATGTCTGGGCGAAGGTGCTCGCGGAGAACAGCAGGATTTCGAAAGCGCCTTTCATGACTGGACAGGTGGTTGGATATGCGAGAACAAGACAGGAGAGACTGTACTGCGTATATATACCCAAGTCATCAATGAAGTCCTTGGACTCTGACGTATTTTCACGCGATCCGGTACCGCTCGCTTCCAGTGCGGACATACGGACTTACAAGCGACCACGGAAATCAATCTTCGGTATTTGTATTTGTGTAGCCAGTCTTGAACGACGGCTGAACATATCCCTAGCCAAGATATGTGACCGGCTGACTGATTGAGGCGTTGCACATCAGGCTGCAGACGGCGTCGAAGGAATACGCTAGCGTCGTTAGCCGAATACGCCAGATGTGAATGAATACAGCTGCGGCTGAGCAGGTCATCTTGGTGCATGAATTTGTATTATTCCAGGCTTGAGGCCTAAGCATACGTCCTGTCTTGACCGCCAATTTACTGCGATGACGAGCAACGACGTGGTATGTACAAAGCAATGAACCAAGTTACCCTCCGGTTGACTGGTCCTTTCGAAAAAGATTTCATTATGCTATGGGATCATAGAAAGCATCAAAATCTTGCACGAAATTCAGACTCTAACATGAAAACTGGACATGCGTACTTTATCAAAGCTCCTAAGGCGACGTCGCTCAACTTGAAGTAATAACCCATCCCGGCAGCAATCCTTTGTCGAACGCCGGCATCATCCCACCAAAACGCAACTATTTACACAAAGCGCAGAAACATGATTTCTTGAACACAGCAGTACTGAAAAATCGCTCGTTTGCCAAAACTCCCCGCTGCCGCAAGCCACTTCATCCTCTCTTCGCTTTTAACAGACACGTACAGCGGGATGCTTCGGCATCTCTATCGAGGTATAGGACGGTAGGCTGAGGTTGCCGTTTTCGAATTCCTGATATGCTGGTGGCACCTTTCCATCGATAGTGTGGAGACCCGCGTCGATGTCTTTGGGCCCACTGCGGTTGATTTTGCTTTGCCGGTGTCTTTGAGACATGGTCTGGCCGCTGGCTGTCGCCTCAGCTTCCAGCTCTCGTCTTTCACGCTTGCGGTCCTTGCGGTCCTTGTAGATGGCGATGCCGGCGACGGCTAGGAGGACGGGAATGAAGAAGACCATGGCGTAATTTGTAGAAGTGTGGAAGAGGATTGCGAACTGGAGGTAGTGTACTCGAGATGGATCCGAAATGTCGATGTGGAGACGGTAGTGATTTGGAGTCGTAGGCTGGTGAGGTGCGTAGATCGCTGATTATAATGTTGGTATCTTTGTGATTGAGTACAGACCGAGAGCAGAGATGAATTGTTATATACCACAGATGACGCGGGGCTGATTTGATGCTGCTCAGATTCTCAACTCCAGAACTAGCTTAGATCAAGCCACACCACTTTTCTCAAATCATTGTCGCATTCGGAGCAACTAGACGCAGAGGCGCAGCTTTCACAACCCCTGGATGGGGCACAGCCTCGCAGCTCAAGCTTAGCGCTAGCGTTGTTGCGTATTACAAATACGGCGCTGCTAGTATAGGTAGCGCCTTCAAGTTGTGAAACTCTACACTCGACATGGTTACTGGAGATTTCAAGACAGACTTTGCTGGCTTTCTCAACAGGAGAACGAACGACGACTCAATAGCTCTCAGCAGACGGTTACTTCTGTTCGGTCTATCGACATGAGACATGTAAAGTAGCAGCACTATTTAAGAAAAATATCGAGAGTGAGTGATGGGAATTCATTAAGAATCATCTAACATGTTAAGATCTAAAGTTTTGACATGAGCTGAGTGATAAGGGATGAACGAAGAGTGGAGACTACTTGGGGAAACAAACCAAGCCAGCTCTCATGCACAAGACTCCTGTGAAGCAAAAGCAGCCTCCAGCTGTCGAAACATCTCAGCATACCACCCAGCATCTGGTGGTGATCCTTTCACTGTCTTGGGATCGATGTAGTGAAAGTCGGGCAGCTGCGTAAGATATCAGCACAAGCCTCGATCGTCATACTACCCTTGCTACTCACCGAAACAAAAGCACTCTTCTTCCAACTATCATCTTCGCCTTCCCCTCGAAGCGCCCTCTGCACATAACTCTCCCAAACCTCCGACATGTCTCCCGCAATCGATGGATGAATCGCCGGTCCGATGATCAGAGCTCTCGGCCTGGGGTGGAGTGAGTTGAGGACTACCTCGAGATTGTGCTTGGTAAACTGCAGATGTGACGGCGAGTCTTGTACGTCCAGAAATGCGGTCATTGTATATGGTGTGTTTTCGAACGTGCGAGGCATGGTCTTGATGCCGTTTGAGCGTGCGTAGCCGATTACGACCACTGGGATTGTGGCTTGAGCTGCGGCTGCCATGACTCGGTAGTATTGTTCGTTGATGGTACTGTTGTATGGATGAGAATATGAGTCTCGAGACGATACTCAGCCTGTTTTGTCTTCACTGGTAACCATCACTCGGACTGATTTGAGTGTGATAAACGGGGATTCAGGGAGAGCCCAACACCCGAAAATCCGGATGCTTCTGACAAAGCTTGTACTTGTCGAGCTTCAGCGAGAAAGTATGTGATCTCAACTATTTCAGGGCGTCCAATTTGAAAGTTGTGGTCCACTGGAACCATCGAGTGGGTTCTACATGATTCAACTGCGGTGTGAAAAAGGCTTCCAGACTCCTCGATCACAGGGAAGACTCATTCGAAAGCAGAGTAAAGAGGCATGCAGTACAGAACAGAGAGAAAATCTGTCCAAAAGCTCATCAGCCTCACTGTTGACTTGGTTCACACTGTTGGATCAGGGGCATGAACCAGGCTGCCTTTGCGGCTAAACAATCATTCCGCTTCGGGATTTCGGGGCATGAAATCTTTCCGCATACTCAAATTGTCAATCAGTATCAAGTTGCCAAGTGGCCAGAGAGTACTCATATTCACATAACACTTTGTATTGTACGGCATATGCGGCGTGCGCAGATTATGAGGACAGGTAATGATATCGTGAATGAGACGAAATCACCCACGAGTCTGCCAAAGACGTCAGAAAATCCAAAGTGGTATATGCTCGAATCCGGCGGCGACCCTCATTGCCATCTGCCACTTCATCAGCGCCTACTGACTCTTCTGTGCCAACACCATCGCAATCTGAATTCAGCCTCACCGCCCATGCTCCGTCCCGAAACGACTCCATGCCTCCCCCTCACATCTTTCACCTGGTTTGCAGCATTCCCCTCCCCACAACCGCCGAAGTCTTCGAAACCACCGCTAGCCAACTAGGCCCCATCCTCCACAGCGTCCCCGACGGCGAAGTCGCCGAACGCAAGTCCTTCGTCCAATGGCAAGCGCCTCACATCCCCGCCGTTGTGCGAAAATCCCTATTCGGAGGCACCCCAACACCAGGCTGTCCGCCCGTCTCCCTGAGCCTGGAAGACATCCACCCCTTACGCTACGACGACGTCGCGGTGGAATCCTACCGGGAGTTCGTCGCAGCTCGTGCACGGGGTGGGTTCGCTCCGAAAGCAAGGCTGCAAGTCTGCCTCCCAACGCCTGCGTCGGTGGTCCGCTCGCTGGTCGAGCACGCCTACTGCGCGCAGGTCGAGGCGCTGTACGAAGTGCGGCTGCTGCAGTGTCTTCGAAAAGTCCAGGCTGAGATTCCTGCCCACGATCTAATGATCCAGGGGGACATGCCGATCGAGATGGCGATGCTCGAGCTCGATCGGGGGGAATTGACAGATCTGTTCTTTGTGGAGTTCTTCCGGCCGTATTTCGCCCCTGTGCGTGCCGGGATTCTGGAGCGGTTCGAGAGGCTCGCGAGGGAGGTGCGTCCTGGGGTTGAGATGGGAGTGCATTTGTGCTATGGAAATTTCCGGCAGAGGCACTGGCTGGAGCCCAAGAGCCTTGAACTTGTGGTTTCGTTGACGAATGACTTGCAGGGCGCTATGGCTTTGCACCGTCCTGTCGACTTTGTCCACATGCCTGTGCCGAAGGAGCGGAACGATGTGGCTTGTGTCCTGCCTTTGGCGGATCTGGGAGATTTGCGCACGACGGTCATCCTGGGGTTAATTCATGCTGGTGATTTGGAGGGCACGTGGGAGCGGGTGAGGGTCGCGCAGCGGGTTTGCAAGGTGCCGTTTGGTGTGAGTACAGAATGTGGATTGACGAACAAACCTCTTGAGTATGTTCAGAGTGTGTTTGAAATAGCTTCGACTGTATGCGGAAGAGCAGAATGAGTCTTCATTACCATAGACAAGTTGACAAATACAAAAGAAAGTACGGAATAGCATGCTATCAACGCTCCATAAATCAATCACCCATCTCATTCCATCCCCACCCACAAGAGTAACAATCAAAAGAAACAAATCGTCCGAATCTCACAACTCTCCCTAAACGGCGCATCCGCCTTACTCGTCGGATCCTCAAAAGCACTATGCCCGACAAACTGCGCCTTCGCCTTATCCGAGTCATACGTCTTGAGCAGAATCGTCTGCTCCGGCACCATATCCGGGAAATACCACCACTTGTGCCCGCTCGAATGCCGCATGACATAGTTCTCGCCGGTGCGGTCGCGGTAGCGCAGGTAGAGCTTGAAGAAGTCTTCGGGTGGGGCGGAGTGCACGTCGCACATGGCGAGGGGGTTTTCTTCGACTTTGTTGATGGGTTTCCAGACGTTGATGAAGGCCGTGCGGCGGGTGAGGAGGTTGTCGGCTTCTTCGGGGAGGAGTTGCTTGACGCGGACGGGGCCTGATTCGGCGGTGTAGTCGCAGTGGACGAGGCGGACGGGGGCGCGTTGGGAGGTGTTTGTTTCTTGGGTGAGTTTTTTGTTTTGATTGCCTTTCGTGCGGATGGTGTGGTCGAAGACGAGGACTCGCTTTGCGCCCAACTCCTTTTTCAAAAACTCCACGACTTCGGGATAGAAGTCGTTCTTGACCAACTCTTCATCCTTCCATTTCTCGGTATGATCAAATGAAGAAGGAAACTCTTTTACAGCAAACCCATTACGATCCACATCAAACTCTTTGGCTCGATCCCAGCCGTTGTACACGCTCATTGTCTGAGGATCGTCGCCAGGCTCGTGGATGTTTAGGCCGTTTGGGTCTTCGTAGAAGTAGAGTTCCGTAAGCTTGGGGGAAACGTCTTTGGTATAATTGAACTCGGCACGAACCTGTCTGTTGGGAAGCAAGGCTTTGTCAACCGCACCTTGTGTCTTCTGCCATTCAGGGATCGCTTGGATGTCCTTGTACCAGCGGGAGAGGTTGGAATGCTTGTCTAATGGGAGCCCCTGCTCTGGGGACAAATGCATGCATGATGCGATAGCAATATCGGCGATGCTCACATCGTTGCCCAGGATGAATTTGTTCTTGGCCAGTCGTTCGTCGAGAATGCCTGCAGCCTTGTTCCACTTTGGCTCTTCATTGGAGAGAATCGATTGGTCAGGCTCGGATTTGAGAAGAGGCTTGACAACGTTCTCGACGGCGTAGACGTAGCAGGTGCCGAACCAGACTGAGGCTTCCCACAGCAACCAGCGGTTGCAGTCAGCGCGAGCCTTGAGGTCTTTGGGGTACAGAGAGCTGCCAACTTGGTCTGCAGCATACATCAAGATGGCGTTGGACTCGGTAAGGATCAAGTCGCCGTCCGTCGCAGCTGGAACAGTCTGGCACGGATTGATCTTTGTGAATGCATCGCTCTTCTGCTCGCCCTTGAAATAGTCGATGTGGTGGATCTCGTACTTGGCTCCAATCAAGTCCAGTCCAGCCAACACCTTGCGGCAGTTGATCGTGCACGGATCGAGGTATACCTGAAGCACCATGGTTGCTGTCGTCGTCCAGAGGAATCTGTACTGAGAGTGTGGGGTGCGTCCCAAGGAGCGAGGCAGGTCTCTTCCAACCTTTTATAGTTGCATCGTAACCGGGCCAGAACCTCTCCAACCTTACGCCAGAACACCTACCCCGCCTCATTTCGTGCTACCCCACGATGATATTCTTCCTTTTGCGTCACATCCTCCGTCCCGCCGAACGAAGGACAACGAGAGATTGGCACCCTCATGGTCGGCAGCGCTGCAGTAGCTGGAGTCTAGAAGTCTGCGTGTACTGCGAAGCTCGGCCGGTTGGCGAGCTCTTCCAAATACCGTGTCTAGCAGCATGACATCTGTGAAGAGCTTCGCACGGTCATGCTTTCGAGAATTGCGCATGATGATGCTGTGTGCCATGGATGATAGTGAACAGGGTTTCGTACGCAAGAGATCTCCAGTATGAATTCATGTTGTGTTTCCATGTCTCGACCTTGAGCAGTGAGAAGTCTTTGAGCAGCATCGCCGGCCGCTCGATTCTCTCAAGAGACCTTCTCCAGGCATCTATTCTCAGAGCCGAGTGTGTTCGCTCACGGCATGGCGATCCATATGGAGCCCTGTTCGCCGCCAAGTAGAATCCCTGCGAGACGAGCCTGGGTAGAAGTGGTGAATGTTCGACACCTTGACTGCAAGTCTCCGAAAACGAACGAAGTGCCGCACTTGATTTCATCCATTCTGCTTGCCATTGGAAAGCACCGTCGTCATTAGCTTCCCAAACTCCCGCTGAACCAAGATACCAGGATGGATGAAGTCTGCCCAAAGGCACGGCTGGCCCCGAGGATAGCTGACACAAGTGTTGTTCGGGGCGCCATAATCTTGCGCATTGTCGAGTACGCTGTTGAATGTTGGCGTTGGATCAACGATCATGGATCTCGCTGCGGCGTATCTTGATTGGAACTTCTTGTGCTGTTGCTGCATGCGATTGTTCCACCAGGATGTCAGCTGCCGGACCTCAAGTGCGTTGATTGCACGGCCGTAGTCGTACACTGGAGCTCGGTGAATTGCTGCGTTTGGGATTAGTGGATGTGGCATCCTGGTGTACGGCGGCTTCAACTTACGAGGAACAAGCACCGAGATGAAGTTGCGAGCGCCGAGTTGGTACTGACGTCCTAGAAGAGCGAAGTACTGGTCAACATCAGGCGCAAGGATCGCCGTGCTTTGGTTGAAGTCTCGCCCTTGATGTATCTGGATGGCAATGTCGTTGATACCGAACCAGCTGATGAAGACGCTGTTTCGAGGTGACCACGGAATACCCTTGTCCTTCGCAAGGACTGCAAATTCGGCCTGCTGGTCTATGAAGTCCCTAACGGATCCACCGGCGGTAAGTGATCCTGGTCTGACTTGAGTGTGATTGACCATGTTGGCTCCCACTGCCAGGTCATAGACGATAGTATGCCCAAGGCTCTTCACGACAGTGTCAATCCAAATGTCGCCGCCTGAAGTTCTCTCTGTGCCGGCAATTAGCGGATGTCTAGCATAGGGCAGACGGTACCTGCCTCCTGGAAAGACTGGGTTGCCAAAGGGATTCCTGAGAGATGGTTGAGGCTGGTAAGACATGTTGTAGCCCGTTGACGAGTAGGAATCGCCGCTGTTCGAGCATCAGCTTGGGACATCGCAGAGAAGGGCAGCTTGCTCACAAAAGAAACACATAGCGAGTGGCCAGGCTTGTAGGCGCGCCAACCCATGCGAAGGGAGTTTTCGTTTGGAACGTATAAAATACCAGGACGCAGAAAATCAGCAACGAGCCAAAATGAGAGACGCGATGTGACCAAGGGGTTGTGGGCGTCGAGTCTGTTCCTGCCCTGGTCTCCTTCGAACATCGCCTGTATTCGCAATCTTTGGTGAACTTCTCGCAACAAGAAATGGTCGGGAACGGAGTGAAAGCTGGTTCATCGCCGATCATCGCGACAACATCATGCTGCGAAATCAGGTCGCATCCTTTGCTAGCGGATGCTGTGGAAGTGCTCAGATGTTGTCTTGAGCAGTCGAAGTCGGGGTCGTCGACTGAATCCATCAGACATAATGGACGGGCTTATCGAGCCTTTCGGGTGTCCATGTCGACAACGCTTCTCATGATCGCATTCTCAGATGAAGACGTCACTCAAACACTACCTTTGTATTCTTGTTGTAGGAGAGAGGAGGTCCAAGCTGCAACGAGATGAATCTCGGGTGGGGCCGGTGATGTTGGCTGACAAAACGGTCCTGACTGCTTCGAACTTTCTCTCTTCTCGTGTCCAACTCACCTTCTCTCCGCGACTACCTGTTAGAGGACATGAGGTGTACTTCAAAGCCTCCCCTTTGAACCTGGCCACGTATCGAACGATCATGCTCGGCTACACTAAATCGCCTCGATTGGGCAGGTTAAAGAGCGAGTAAGTGGTACGCATGAAAAGAGAAGGAAGGAGGTCTCGTGCTTGGTCTGGTATACTCTTGAAGGGGACATGAGGATGGGCGGTCTTTGCGCGTTGTTAAGTCTCGTTCGTGCAGCTACATATATCGGTCTTCAGCCGGTACAGTCTTGCTCCAAGGTAGACTTGGAGTAGTCGTGGAGAGCCAGAGCGCGTCTAAGAAGGCGCTGCTGGTCTCCCCCGGAGGCTGGGCTCTGGATATTGACCACTGCCACACGCAGGCAAAGTGTCGATCTTCGCGGCATTGTGCAGCTTCCAATGGAGCTGCATTCCATCTTGGGACACTCATTGGACGCCACCATTCCGCGCTTTTGCAGCAAAGCGAATCCCGAGCCGTGGTCGTGATGCCATGGCTTGCATATACAGCCCTTCTTGCCGCTTAGGATGTTGGCAAGACCATTTCAGGTGGCACTGCCCGGTGGACTCGACTGAGAAAAGACACGAAGGGTCTGAACCGATTCGCCATCGAGGTGCGGTCGCCCACCACTGCCTATCACCACGCTCAACCTTCGAACTACAGCCCTTCCGCTTCCACCATTAATACCAAACCCTCGTGGACATAATGGAGGTCGTAGGATCCACGATAGCGATAGTCAGTAATGTTGTCCAGTAAGCAGCATTCTGATACCGTTGCGAAGGCGCTTGGCTGACTATCCGAGGATTGGCCATGATTTGGTCAATGTTTATCAGACACTGAGAGACGCCAGAAACGAGTTGTCTGAGCGAATAGCCCACGTGGAATGCTGCTGGAACCGCACAAGATGGCAGCTGGAATTCATACAACGAATATGGCCCACTCTGAGCGAGGACCACCAAAGCATCCAGGAGGAGATACTCAAAGTCTTGAAGTCTAAGCTGGAGTCTGCGGACAAGAAACTGAGCAAATTGCTGAAGAGACCGAGCGAGTCTACCGATTCTAACCACGGGAGACCTGCCGTCAGCCGTTGGAAGTACCTCTTCGTCAAGTCGCACTTGGATGAAACAATAAAAAGCCTTAACAAATGGCAGGCTATGTACGATCCGTCTTGGTATCTAATCATACGTGTGGCCAGCCCGATCATTGACGCCGAGTTGAGAAGTCCTAAGATTGCGGTATCTCAAGATGCCACAGATGTCTGGAACACGGCGACGCGCATCCGGAATACTCTGCAGCAGGGTGCTTCTGGCTATGAGCATCTTTTTCTTGACCGCAAAGGCCTCGACAATTCCAAAGCCTACCACATACCTTACTCCTCTGCAAGGCATATGCAGAGACTGGGTTCTGATAAGTGGTTCATCGTTGACCCGGTACCCTGCTTGGCCAATGCCTATGTGGGACTCATGACCAAAGACATCCGAACTCTGGCAGCGAAACTTCATCATGCAGATCCTTTGACTTTTGGAGTGTTGAGATGCCGCGGAGCTGTCAAAGTGAACCGGAACAGCAACGGCAAATTAGTTGCATTCGACCTTGTCTTCGAGACCTCGACGAGCGAGAAACCACGCACTTTACGTAGTTGTCTCGTCCAGCGTACGCCTCACTCGCTGACAGAGCGACTCGAGTTGGGCAGGCAGCTTGCCAAGTCGGTCAACTACGTCCACACTCTTGACTTTGTCCACAAGAACGTCCGGCCGGACAATTTGGTCGGCTTTGGAGACGCAGACCTAGGACTGTTCTATCTGGTCGGATTTGAGCAAGTTCGAAGTGCTGAAGGCATGACCTACCTGCAGGGAGACACAGACTGGCAGAAGAATATTTACCGCCACCCATCTCGTCAAGGACTGTCCTTGGATCAGCCGTATTGCATGCAACACGATATCTACAGTCTTGGAGTTTGCTTGCTCGAAATCGGACTATGGGAATCATTCGTAGTATTTGGGCAAGACGATCAAATTCCGCTGCCGAACACTACAATGCTACAAGTGTCCATCGAAGAGCTCAGAACAAAAAGTCCCATTCAGGTGAAAGACCTGCTCGTGTATCTGGCGAAGCAAGATCTACCCCGTACGATGGGGGAGATATACAGTGACGTCGTTGTCAATTGCCTGACATGTCTCGACGAAGACAATGTGGATTTCGGAGACAGCACTGACTTCGAAGGTAACGATGGTGTTGCTGTTGGAGTCAGATACATTGAGAAGGTCAGTAAACTTGAAAACTATCCGTATATGACACCACTGACATGGCTCAGATTCTACTAAGTCTTGGTAGCATCAGCGTCTAGATATGGACTTGACCAAACGAGACAAACGCAAAACTGTTGTTTACTGTCAAGGGTGAGCTTGGAGCCATATTCGTTCTTTTCCTTCATCACGAATTTTGCCCCAGAATTCAGTATGCACATCGCCACATTGGCTCATGCAGTGGACACGGCATACAGCCACATGGCTTGATAGGTGCAGGACTACTGCAAGAAGCACTTAGCCTCATTTCAGAACCGTTCCATCGTGTGGGAGCCAATGCCTGCATGATCGCAGTGTGAGCAGCCTTACTTCTCTTCTTCGCTTTCCACTCTCCTCACAACCTCGAAAGCAACCACACGGTATGCCTCACATTCCAGATCTCGTGCGGCTGACGAGGCTGGATACACAGTTCTCGCCCAGAGACTCGCGCACGCGATACACCCAGCACAAATGTACCGGCTCGAAAGCTGGGAGAAGGAATACCGAAGAGGTGGAGCGATGGCAGAGGACAAAAGCATTGGGAAGAGGAAGTTATGGAGCCGTCTACCTCGAAAAGTGTATACATGGGGAGAAGGCCGGCAGAGTACGAGCTGTGAAGAAGATTCGCAAGCCTTTCGATACAAACTACTACAGGGAGTTGGAAGCACTTGCGTTCTTCTCGTATCCCAAGGTAAGATGTCAAAAGCGGCAGTGTTATCGGTTTACGATCACGACAAACTTACTCGAGATGGTCGGCAGTATGAGCATTACTTTGTCAAGTCGTTGGGCTGGTACGAAGATCGAAGCAACATCTTCATCTCTATGGAATACATCGAGCACGGCGACCTTCAGCAGTATATCGACGCGCCGCTCCCCCAAGAGGAAGCCAAACACATCACCTACCAAATCCTCGAGGGCCTGGACTTTATGCATGAGAATGGTTTTGCACATCGAGATTTGAAACCTGCGGTAAGTCCACGACTACTCTCAGCGAGGACGTGCACTAAACATGCCCGCGGTGCAGAACATCATGGTCGTGTCTACCGGTCCGGAATGGTGGATCAAGATCGCCGACTTTGGCCTTACCAAAAGAGCTCTGGAAGATTTTACACAGCTTCGTACCGTTGCTGGTACTCCGGCCTTTGCAGCCCCAGAGGTGCTAGGTTATGGCCCTGTCACCGACGCCAGTGATACGAGTTACACCACCGCCGTCGATCTCTGGTCAACCGGCGTTATTGCCTTTTTGATCGTCACAGGCGATATCCCGTTCAGAGATCAACGCCAGTTGGGGCAATATGCTCAAGGCTTGGGCGCAGCGCCATTCGATGCCCTCACGGCTGCGAATGTGGACGAGCACGGGTGCGAGTTGATCAGGACACTCATGGCACCAGACCCAAAGGTTCGGCCTGGGACAAGATCCTGTCTGAGAGACTTGTGGTTCGCTAGTGTTACAGGAAACACTGTTCATACCATGCAGTCGTTGGGATCTGAAGCAGCACCTGCATCGCTAGCATCCGGCTTCGAGAATGGCCACACCAAAGGCTCGTCGGTCACCAATGAGACGTATGCAGATTGGCCTCACTCTCAAGAACCTTCCGCTCGATGGACGACTGGTGAGGAAAACACGTCCATGGCATCGGCATGGTCCGTGAACACAACCGACAAAAAGGACAGCGTCTTGTCTGATGTCGTCGACCTTTCCTTGGCGCCAACGACTTCTTCTACCTCTCCCAGAAATCCATTTGAGAGCGGAGTCGATCGCACAGGGGACCTAGCTGGGAGGCTACAGTCAGAAGAGGAGCAGTCGATGTCCTCCGAGGAAAGCTATGATGATTCCCCTCACATTGTTGAAGCATTGCCACCCAGTGACTTCGTGGATCCAGCCGAGAAGACGCCTCCAGAACTACCGCGGCTGTCCGAACTACAAACAGATAACATATCGCATGGCTTGACCGTCGCACCGTCTGTAACGACAAATGACCAATCCAGTGAGGCTCGCGATGACCATCCTCAAACGTTGGAAGTCCAGTCCAGTCCCGTCAAAGACATTGCAGCCGGTCAAGCATATTACGAACGGAATTTCGCGTCGATAAACCGTGGCAAGGATAGAATGAGCGTTGCGAATAGTGCAACACGCAAGTCCTATCATCGAGACTCTCATAGCCCTGCAATCACACCTTTGGCACACGAGACGGATCTGAGAGACTCCCGTGGAACTTTGAGCGAGAAACAGAATCCGCGCACAGGTAGTACCAAGTACAGTTTCCTGCCGACGACGTCAACTCCTGCGCATGCCCACGAATCGAGGCTAGGTCCGAGCAGTCCGCGAGCTTGGGGCAAAGACCTGCTCGTCAACCAGAACTGTCATGTCTGGAGCATGACGTTCTCGCCGCATGGGAGACATCTTGTACTACCGATCTCAAACTGGTACGAGGGTGGATCTGCCTTTGGTGGCGAGGTGCAACTTTGGGATACGGCTAGTGGCATTCTGACGCAAAGCCTGAGGTGCGACAGCCTCCCCACGGCCGTGGCCTTCTCACCGGACGGTCAGATACTGGCATCGGCGACCTCGCGAGAGCTCCTATTGTGGGACAGTACAAGCGGGGCTCGTGCCATCAGGATACCGTTCGACGAGAACCATCTTCGTTGCCACTGTGTCGCTTTCTCGGCAGACGGGAACTTTGTGGCAGTGACGGCGTTTCGATATCTGAGCGACGACTTGCAAGCGCCACCAGAATCGTTTGTGGGCGTCTGGAGCGTCGGGAGTGGAGGTCTCGTCCGGCGCCGGTATAGCAGCGCTGACGCCAAAGTGTTTACGGTCGCTGCCTTGCCGAATGGCAGCCTCATCGCGGCGTCCTGGGCTCAGGGCAGACGCTTTGGAGAGAATAGCCATTCATTGCGACTGTGGAACGTCATCACGGGCGTCGAGGTCCAGACCATGAATGCGGCCGAGCGGCCAGGATACGTCACCATCTCTTCGGACGGCAGGTTGATCGCGACATCGGCCTACGGCGAGAGCACAATCACGGTCTGGTACGTAGGGAGTGGTACCCTTCTGAGCACCTGGAGGGTCCCAAGCCCAAGAGAGCGTTGGTTTCCAATAGCGTTCTCGTCAGATGGTACGTTATTGGCATCTGGTGCTTCCACGGTTGTGGCTGTGTGGGATGTTTCCACCGGACGCCAGGTTCACCGGCTGGAAAACAATACAGATTGGATCCGCTGCCTGGCTTTCTCCCCAGACGGGGCGTTTGTGTCGTCAGCTTCAGCGGACGGTACCATCAGGCTCTGGGATCTACAGTCGACAGCACCTGCTGATCACAGTCTGGACGACGGCGCCATATCTGCCGTTGCCACACGGGGGAATATGTTGCCTAACGTGCGCATTTCAACACCCAAGCCGGGCAAGGGCAAACTCTGGACGAAGCTGCTTGGACGCTCTGAAAGACCGCGAAGAATTTCGCAGCAACTGTTCTAATAAGAAGCTTCCGTAAACCTACCAACATCAACAAGGGGACGATGATACGATCCTCATCAGGCTATCTGCCTCGCCTTTACAGAGTTCTGCTTCAATCCCGTTTCCGTGGGAAAAAGTAGAACCGTCTCTGTAATTGACTCGAACCCCACGATCGATCGGACGATCAGGAGGGCCTCTGGAGTGACTATTCAGGATCATTAACTCGTTGTTGGTCGGCAATGCAGTATTCTGGACAACGACAAGAACGAACTGGCTCCTCGAAGCCGATTCGATCCCCTGCAATTCTTCAACGCCAATTCGATCCCCTCGTTGGCAACTTTTGAACTTTCGAAAAGCGATCATTGTTCCTGAGCCTTTAAAGCAATACGAGGCTGCGGCAATAGTCCATCTTTGGCGTTCATCTGGGCCATCGTCGGCAGGCAGGGTCTGAGTGGGGCTCTAAGTCTCCCTTCTGCGGCCACTTTTGTGCTGCATCAGTCCAAGCGCTAACATATCGCTCTTTCATTAAGTGTGGTGTTCAGCATCGTACGCATCGAAAAATCGGCGGCAGATGGCGTAGCCGTGGAATGTAGAACGACGGTCAGCCGATGGAGCCATCAACCAAGCCAGTCATCACCGTATTAGTAGTCGGTCTGCTAGCCATCCATCAATATGACATGATGGCAGCTTGCAAGTACCTTGTAATAATGTTTGTGTTGTTGTGAGACAGGTGAAGTTGAAGCTAGTAAGCTGGACACGTTCCTCACGCGCTGTCAGCTGACATTTACTCTCATGAACTGTACCATTCTCATATCCAACTCCTCAAGAGTAATGCTCTCCACTTGATGAGGCGACTTGTCCGAACGAAGCGTCGACACACAGAAGGTCATACAGCGTTGCGGGCATCTTGACAGAACAAACGACAAGAAAGAAGTTGGCGGCTATAACTTTCATGTCGTCTAGTCAGGTATGTGGGTATATGAGCTGGGTATATTGCTTGCTGTTGTCTTTCGCCTCCTTGAACTACATATCCTCAAAACTTGTGCACCTGCTTGCCCGTTACGCCCAACTCGGCCAGCACTCCCCCTTTCCCGCCGATGGCCTTCTCCATAGCAGGCGGCCCACATAAGAAGACCTTCGTTCCCTTCTCGTCGCCCCATTGTCCGCTCTCACACCTCGCAATCGCCTCCTTCAGCACCGCGGCATCGATATAACCTTTCTTCCACTTCTTCTCATCGCCGAAGCTGGGTGCTTCCGGCTTCGCTTCCGGGCCTGACACGCAGTATGTGACTTGTAGACGCTCTGGGTATTTCAGTTCTAGATCTTCCAGCTCTTTCTTAAGCACAATGTCTCGTGTGCCGTTGACACCCCAGAGAAGTTGGATGCGAGTTTGCTCGTTGCTTGCAGAGAGTATACCCTTTGCGAGGCTGTAGATTGGTGTTATACCTGCACCGCCGGCGACTAAGAGTACGCTTCGTGCCTCTTTCGGCGGCTCTTTGGATACGATCCAGGTGTAGCCGGGAATTGGGCCTCGAATTGAGAGTTTGTCGCCAGGTGTGAGCGAGTGCATGTGTGAGGATGCTCTGCCATTGGGATATTGCTTTACCACGAGTTGGAGGACGCCACGTTCGTCAGGGTCGGAGGTGGGCGTATAGGGTCTGAGTACTGGGAACCAGGCATTCTTCGGGGTATGTTGGGTCAGAACGGCAGCTGTAACCTCGATCAGCGCTTGTCTGCTGCATATGGTGTGCAGATCAGATACCTCCTGCCGGTACACCACTGACCTCTCCCTCCCCACCAGGGAGCTGGAAGGTTATCCTCCTTGTGTCGTGGTTGATTTGCTCCGTGTTGGTTACTGTGAGCTGTTTGCTGAACAGCATGGAACTTGGGAAGTTGAGTGTTTTGGAGGGCTCGTTGGCTTTCGAATCAAGTAGCAGTGGCCTTCTCGTTGCATAGAATGCTGTTCCTGCTGCACCGACAACAGCAGCTCCGGTCAGGTATGGGAGAGCTCGCGAGGCCCGCGAGAAAAGGCTGGCCATTGTGAAAGAGATGGGGAGAGGGTTGGAGAGTGCTGTAGTTCACTCGTGTCAACCTGGCCAGCACGCTGAAGGTATAGGAAAGGAAGAGAGTGGTAGTAGTGGTCAACCGGTAGGAGTATCAGCTCTTGAGGAGGGAAGCGGCACAGCTGAGAGGAAGATTGGGAACTGGAGAGGGACTTCAGAGGACACGATCGGGTATTCAAATGGTATTCCAGCGCAAACAAGGCGTTTCGGGGGAGGGTTCTATACGACCCGACAGGTGGTATGAGATGTTGCCTGTGGTTGCCGGTGATGTTGTTGTTGGACAGCTTGGTCGGGACTATCAGAGCCGACGCGCTAAAAATAGGCGAGTCGGGATCCCCGTAACCGAAACCCCGATCAAGCGAAGATTGATATACCATTCTTTGCAGCTGCTGTACTCTTCTTGTCTTGTCTTGTCTTCAGAACAGCAACCAGATCTGGTCGCCCATCTCGAGCTGGTTCCTTTGCAGGCTGCCGTCGCCCAACATAGGCCGGTAGAGGATAAGTCTTCGGCTCGTGCAATGGTCGGGGTTGGGAGAGAGTTCATTAGCTGCCCGGAGTCCGGGTCGGTCGACGATCGCATGAGTAATGAGTGACTTGGCAGATCTTTTCCCAGTGGCAGACGTCGTCTTGTTAGCTTCTTCTTTTTCTACTTCTTCTTCATGTGAAGGAGATGCAAGTGAATGTTGAATGCATGATGGCCAATCTCTGTGCGACCCGAAGATTCTCCAGCATCCCCAGATCGACGATGGCCCGACCATGCATGTGTTCAGGCACGACCAGCTGTGTGTTACAGCAGGGCAGGTTGACGGCGCTCTTCAACAGACGTCGTACCATATCTTCTTCTCATCTTCCCATCCTCTTGTCGCCGGAGAATGTCATGACGGACGCAGGTCCGCGGCGAGGTTGAGCTGAGCCGAATCGCCCTTGCAGACGGGGCGAGACTCCCATTCCTTGTCAACCAGACCCTCGCTTGCGTGGCGGGCACCAGCACTGAGTGTGGCGGCGCCTTCAATTTGGCTGCGTTTTTCCACCACCTCTTGCCTTTCCGCACGTGGCCGCCCAGCTATTTCTGCCTCATATCCTACGACATCCGCCAGCGCTGTTCGTCTCAATGCGCCCATAGCAGAAAGCGCGGATTTCTGTGACTGCCCAGCGCGGCGGGGCCATCATTGCCAACCCCACCATGTCGCTCGAGGAACGCGAGGTCCAGCGATACTACCAACCCTGGCTGGCCGCCCACGGATCCTCGCTCAACGTCGCCAACAACGTCGACAGCATCGCCGAGTACGACCTCAAAGGAAAGGGATACACGCCCCGCGCCTCCCGCGACAAGGCCCTGACCGCATTCGCCCAGCTCATAGCCCTGCGCCTCAACGTCAAGAGGTGCATGGTCTCCCTCATTGACTCCTCCAACCAGTACATCCTAGCGGAAGCCACCCAGCACAACGCTCTTTCCGGCGCTGCCAGCGATGTTGAGACTGGCGACGACCTATGGCTCGGCAGCGCTATCCTCAAGCGCCCCGATGCCATATGCGAACACTGCATGTACAACACTTGTGTAGGTTTCGAGGAAGATGGCCGCCCCTACGCCGCCAAAGGTCTGATTGTGAATGATTGCCGTCTCGATGAGCGCTTCCAGGACCGCCCATATGTTCAGCAGGAGCCTGGCGTGTGCTTCTACGCTGGAGTCCCTTTGTTCTCCCGACACAACTACATGATTGGTGCGCTGGCCATATCCGACGACGAGCCTCGAGATGGGTTGCGCGCCAGTGACATTAGACTCCTCCAGGAGACTGCTCAGTCCGTCATGGAGCACTTGGAGTGGGCTCGAGATCGTGTGGACCGCTTCAAGGGAGAGCGCATTGTTCGTGGGAGTAGGCCTAGTCATTTATTCATTTCTCGCCTCTCCCTACTGACACTTTCTAGTGGCATCGTTCATTGAAGACTGCTCATCCATACGAGACGGTTCTCTACCCGAGGATCCAGATCAAACACCTGCCGCTTCCCTCAGCGCAAACGAAGACCATAATGCAAAGGCTCCATCACGACCACGATTGACTACCAGGAGATCATCTCGGCGAGTGCCACAGCCTGGTCCACATAAGTCAGTTGACAGCATGGCTCACATGTACACGCGCGCTGCGGACATTCTTCGTGATGCTACTCTGGCCGACGGGTGTGCCATCTTCGGCGCCTCACCTGGCTCAGGTAGAGCCAATAGTATCAAGACAGCGTTTGGAGCAAGTCCAGCAGAGACCGCCCACCCATCTCCAGCCTCAGATTCCGACAAGCACGATACCAACACTTCAGATTCAGATAGTTCTCCGGCAGCCAGGCCGTGCAAGATACTGGCGTACTCTCTCGCTGACGAACAGGCTCGAGCTGACATTGAGACTGGTACTGCTTTGACACTAGGAACTCTTGATAAGTACGTCGCACAAAGATGTCCATCTTTCCATCTACTAACATTTTGGCTGCGTAGATACTTTGCTCTCTTTCCGCAAGGCCGCACGTTTTCCTTCACATCCGAAGGTGCCGGTGTATCATCCGAGGACGACAGCGCCAGTGACAAGGAAGTACGCCAGAGAGCTTCATCAATCGTGGGAGACGGCAAAGACAAACCTCGTACTCGCAAACGCAGGATGGATCACAAAGAGCTGCTGAAGAAGATCCCTGGAGCCAAGAACGTCATATTTCTTCCTCTCTTCGACCATGGTGAGGAAAGACTGATCGCTGGCTGCTTTCTTTGGACCTCAGTCACTGGTCGCATGATGTTAGACGCTGATCTTTCGTATCTACGAGCGTTCAGCAATTGCATAGTAAGCGAAGTTGTTCGCATGAACATGCAGAAGAACGAAGCGTCCAAGACGACCTTCATTGCGTCAATGTCACACGAGCTGAGATCTCCGCTCCACGGCATCCTAGGAGCAGCAGAGTTCCTGACCGACACCATGACCGACGCCTACCAGTCTGGCCTCATCACATCCATTGTTACATGTGGACGAACTCTACTCGACACTCTGAACCACGTACTGGATTACAGTAAGATCAACAAGTTGGGTAGAGCCCAAATGAGGAGACACGCTCGCCAGAACAAGCTTGTCAATCTTGCTTCGGATTCGTCTTTGGAGAGCTTGAACATGACTGCAGAGATTGATCTGGGCGTCCTCGTTGAAGAGGTCGCCGAGGCGGTTACTGCAGGACATTCCTTCAAGAGACTACCAGGGGCGGGCACTGTAGCATCATTCGATGCACTCACATCTGGTAAGAGAGACGCAATCGCCAATGCGCAAGGATCTAAAGGGCGCTTGGCCACCCATCCACTGGTCTTGCTGGATATCAGCCCGCGAAGATCCTGGCTCGTGCGAGTTCAACCTGGAGCATTGCGGAGAGTCATCATGAACCTCTTGGGCAATGCTTTGAAGTATACAGAATCGGGGTTCGTCGCAGTCTCACTTCGAGCACAGGAAAGCACGAGTAACTCGAAGATTGACGCTCTCATCCGCGTCGTCGACTCTGGCAAAGGCATGTCGGATACATTCCAAAAGGACAAGCTATTTCTCCCCTTCAGCCAAGAGGATCCTTTCCAGCCAGGCACTGGTCTCGGTCTTAGCATCGTGAAACAGATTGTCGACTCACTTGGAGGATCCATCGAAGTCACGTCTCAGCAAAACGTTGGCACCGAGATCGACGTACGCCTCAGTTTGACGCCCGTGGGATCCACCACAGATCAGACGCCCGATCCTGAGATGCTATCCATGGAGAGCAGAACTCGTGGCAAGCATCTGGTGATGCTGGATGTTCCACGCGAGGGTAGCGCAAACCGACCACCCACCGATCCGGTGGCGAGGCTTGAGCAGACGGTGCGCGAGGCATGTACGCGGTGGTTTGGGATGCGTGTCACTCGATCCAGCAACCTCGATGAATCACAAGACGCCGACTTCTATATCTTCTGCGAACCACCCCCAGTCGAAACGTTGATTGAGCGTAACAGACAGTCACCCAGTGGCGGTCAAGGAATTCATGGAGAAGTTCCTGTCATTATTGTTTGCCTCAACGACGAAGAGGCCATCTCGATAAGTCGCAAGCATCAGACCACTCTGCGAGAACTTGGAAGAGTGGTGGAAGTTGTCCCACAGCCGTGAGTTATAATCATCAACAAACATTTTACGAACCAAACTGCTAACCTCTGAAACAGATGTGGGCCACGTAAACTTGCGAAAGTGTTCAACCATTGTCTCGAAAGAGTCGAGGAAGTTCAGAACAACCCAAGGACGCCAGAACCGACAGATACCCCAATGGAACACAGTAAGAAATCACCAGATGTCATGGAAGACGTGCGGCATACAAACAGCAAGGACCTGGGAAAGACCATGAGCGCTGCCATCTCGTATCCTACCGCGCCGCCCATCGATCCGACCACTCCTGCATTGCAAAAGAGGGCCTATTCGGACAGCGCTTCGTCTCGAGCGAACACTAGCAGTGGACAAGCTACGCCAGCCGAATTGCACCTACTTTTGGTTGATGACAACAAGATCAACCGGCAGCTCCTTGTCATGTTCATGAAGAAGTGCAACTTCTCCTACCGCGAAGCTGAGAACGGCCTCGAAGCGGTGGAAGAGTACAAAGCTTCCTGTCTACCTGGCCCTCAAACCTCTCAACCAGGTAGACAATTCGATTTCGTGCTCATGGACATCAGCATGCCGGTCCTCGACGGCATGGAAGCCACGAGGAGAATCCGAGAGTTCGAGAGCGAGAACGGCCTTAAGAAGACCAATGTCATTGCGTTGACTGGTTTAGCTTCTGCACAGGCGCAAGCGGATGCGGAGACGGCGGGTATTGATGTCTTCCTGCCCAAACCGGTGAAGTTTGCAGAGCTTAGGAGGCTTGTGGATGCGGCGCCGAGGTTGGAAGGAAGCTAGATCGGGCGGTTTCGAGTAAATCGACAGTTTTTGTTATGTTTTTTTGGACGGCACGGGCGGTCGGTTTCCATGGGCCTGTTCACGAGGGATGAGTGCATGGGGAGATCTCGTAGCTCGGTTCTGTCATCACCTAGAGGTATAGAGAGGAGTTCGTTTGCAGCTCTTCGTTGGACTAAAAGCTCAAGTTCTCGCCATCTCCACTGAGAGGGATCTGACTGAGGGACTGGGAAATGCTTCGTCGTTGTGGTAGGGGGTTTGGGGACGGAGATTGAGAGGGAGGTGGATGGAGGCATGTGAGATTCACTTCCATTACTTCTAGGCTCACCCTCCTTTCGCTTTCTCGCCCACTATCCCTTTCACTCTTACTTTTACTAGGTCTCTTGAAGCAGCACCTTCCTGATCACCGTATCGTTTAGTTTTACCTTCACTGTGAAGCTCACATGCTCGCTCTACATATCGTTTTCCAGCTCACTATTAGTTTCACCTCTATATTTACTATTAACCTTACTTCTGTGCTTATCCTGCGGCTTACTTACAGCTTCACTGTAAACTTCACATGCAATTTCACATGCGCCGTTTGCCAAGGCTCACATGTGAATTCATTTCACAGTCGTGCCTTCCAGAAGCAGCAAGGTTTCCAGGGTCCGACCTTTTTAGCGCGTTTCAGATTTCCGCACTTCTACTCTCCTCCGCCAAACATCTTCCAATCCTCCTCCCCTAAACAACAACCACGACGACGACCACGACGACCACCATGTTCAAGCTCATCAAGGCACCGACCATGGAGCAATTCGGCCCGTACCTCGGCGAGCTGGGGTTCCAAGTCACGGACGACAACCAGATCCGCGGCATCCACGACAACAAGTTCTTCGACTACTTCTACAGCGAGAGCGACGATCTCAACAACCGTCGCAAGGAAACCGTCCACGAGGCCGTGCGCGAGATCATCGCGAGCACCCTCGCGAAGTACGACATCGTCCCGGTCCACGTCGTCGGCACGCAGACGTACATGAACAAGCCAGAGGCGCCGCATGTGACGCTTCTGGCGACTGCAATCGGTAAGTTGGCGGAGAAGAAGGATGTCATCGTCGTGATTGGCGAGGCGGGCGGCGGCAGCAGTGGGCAGGATGCGGGCATTTGGGCGTACCGTAGCTTGATGCGTGAGGGAGGTTTGGAAAAGGGCAGTGCGGTGGGACTGACGGAGATGTTGCGCAAGATGGGCAAAGAGTTGAAGGTGGAGGGTGATGAGGAGGGCAAGAAGGCTGAGGCGGGCGTGGTGATTCTGAACCCGGGAGCGCTGCTCTACTCGCACAAGGAGAAGAAGGCGATGACGCAGACGAGTTGGATGGGGCGCCAGAAGAAGGACTCGCTGACTGCGGGATATGAGGTGGATGAGAAGTGGAATAAGGTGGCGAGTGAGTTGCCTTCCAGAACGTACCCATTGGTTTTGAGACAGCTGACAGCATCATTAACCACAGTGCACACCACCGCGACCGAGCACATCAAGACTGTCCTCGCGCACGTCCTGCCAAAGCACCTCAACAAGAAGGCTCGTGTCCACATCTTGTGCGTCGGCGAGAGTGCCAAGGACACCATCGACTATCTCGACGACCTGTTCACCAAGAACCCAGACGACAAGGATCTCGCCGCGAAGCTGCAGTCCATCGTCCTCATCGAGCCGATCCACAAGCATGAGGAACTCCAGTCCGCCAAGTTCAAGTACTTCCTTCGCAAGCGTGGCATCGCCTTCGTTGAGTCTGAGACGGTCCCCGTCAGCGGACTCGTCGCCACGCCGGACAAGACAGAAGAGAGGAAGATGGGCGACAGCTGGGTCAAGGTCGACAACAACGCCTCCGACAGCAACAACGAAGCCGCCATCCAAGACCGCATCGACTCCATCGTCGCTAAGACCACCGACCTCGATCCGGCGGACGACAACGACGCCCCACCGGCCCCAGTCTCCACCCACACCTACAGCGCCAGTGACCTCGACCACACGACCGAGCTCATCGTCCCGGAGATCCTCAACCGCGCCCTCGGCTACATCTCCCGCCACATGTCCTCCCGCGAAGACTTCCTCAACAACGACGCAGACGGCAAGGTCGACGAGGTCATCGACAAGCTCTCTGAGGATTTCGACAAGACCCAGCGTCTGTACCCGGACATCATGAACCCGATCATTCAGGCGGCTCGCGATGAGTATGAGGAGGAGGGCAAAGAGGACTGGGCGATGAGTCTCATGCTGGATATGGAGAGTTTGCAGCGCAGCCCGGAGAAGCAGTAGATGGTTGGTTTCTGCACGAGGAGGAGCTTTACGACGATGATACCCTTGAAGCACGCGATCAGACTTTGGGATGAGAGACCTCAGGAGAGCCCACGGTTGACGTGAGAGCTTTGGCATGGTCCAGATTATACGCGCATGAATGAAATCCTCTTCCAGATGAAGAGCTCAAGTGATGCGTTTTGACCTTTTTCATTTCTTGGTGCTGTCAATCCCAATGCCTTCTAATGACCGGTCTTGCCGGATCCCACGGCCCATGAATCTCGTTCTTGTACCGTTGCAAACCAATCAACCACCAACTCGTGAGACCCATGCTCAAACAGCAGACCATCCCACCCAACACAACTCCCAGACAACCCATCGTCCATCCTCCACCGCTGATGGTCATGCTCAGTCCACCGCTTGCCAATACCACGAGAAGGACCGTCAGCCATAGATGGCCTATCCATGAGTAGTGCCTCAAATGCCGTCTAAACACCGGGAATAAGCCGAAGACCTCGATGCTGAACAGCGTCAAGCTGAAGACGTGGGTTGTGCTGGGTAGGCGACTCGCGAGCACGGTGGAAGCCATGAGAGCGGCATTGGTGGATAGAGAAGCGGGGAACTTGGCTTCAGGTCCTGCTCCGTAGTCGAAGGTGAAGACGTTGATTCCCATGAGCCAGGATGACAAGGCCCAGATGCTGTCGGAGGAGGTGGATAGTGTGAGGGATTTGAGAATGGGCGAGAGGCCGAGCAGGGAGCAGTAAATGAGGATGGCGGATTTGGCGGTCGTGAGTCGGTCTTGCATGCGGGGTGAGAAGGACGACGGTGGGCTGCCGTACGGTTGTATAAACGAAGCGCCATTTGACGGCAGAGGGCTAGGATCGCTTGGGTTGATCGGTGAGCTTGCGCCGCTTGTGCCGTTCAGGACGACTGATGAAGCGCTGTGATTGCGCGAGTGGTTCCTGGTGGTTGCTTTAGATCCGCCGGTCAAGCCATTGCTCTGCTCCTTGAACGGCACTCCAAAGTCTGCCTCCATCTCTATGCTTCGAGGGCTGTCCGCTTCGTCCTCCGCTGGCACCTCCTCGTGATGACTCTGACTCTGCCAATAGTCCCTGAACACCCACCCAGCAACCGTGCACAATGTGGCCCATCCCACCACCGTCTGCGGGCTCACCCTCTCTTGAAATATTGCCGTGAAGCAACACACAAAGATCACAACCGAACACACATGCTGCACGATAATCGTGCTATCCGCCACCAACGGCCAGAACTCATACGGCCTCAGTCGCGGATTCCTCTGCAAATGATCCAGGAACGTTTCCTCATCGGTATAGTTGTCCGGATACGACTGCTTCACCCAAAGCAGTTTCTTCCACTGCCCATTCCCCGCCTTCGGAGTCGTCCCCGCATTGCGTCGTCGTGAACTGCTCCTCCCCTTCCGCTTGTCGCGACTCGAGCGTCGCGTGCTCGTCGAGGCTGCCCGCACGGTATCGCTGCGGCCCAAGGGCGGGATTCCGCGCTGGCGCGGAGGGGAGTGGTAGATTGCATCTTCGGGGCGGAGGTGTTGGGTGGATTCGTGGCGGGAGAGCGGGCGTCGCGACTGGACGCTGCTGGCGCGGGAGGAGAAGGTGGTGGAGGGTGCGGTGGGTGGCATTAATTACTTCGAGGGGGCCATGGTTGGGGGTTTTGGTGGAGGAGGCGTGAGAGTGTTGGAGTGAGGTTCGTGGAGGATCAACAAGGTTTGGCGGCATTCCGAGCCGAATCCGAGACCCGCTTTTTCTCCTTCCTCGTTCAGCTACTACAACAACATGGAACTCTACGTTCAACAATTGCAATGATTGCTCATTAGTGATGTCTTGCGTAGCTCTTCAATAGCTCAGCCAATAATGACATGAAATTGTTCGCCTATTCGACCGAAATGCACTGGCACGAATACCGCTTTCTGTCCTCGCTGATCGAATAGCCTCGGTCCTCTTGAGAACAGGATGAGAGATGGCCTGGCCAGGACGATCGCTCGAATCTGTTCTGAAGCGCTGGGTGGAGACACATCCAGTCTCTCGAACGCCTCATCACAGCTACCAGTACAAACCTCTCCGGGGCGATGGCAAGGAAACCGTACGGCTCATGATCCTCTTCCCAGCTGCTACTCCAAGTGACCCTCTGGTATGCTGCCTCATTGAACGCGCCTTCACTGGCTTCAGTCATGAGGCTCTCTCATACGCCTGGGGTGATATGACAGAGAACAGGCCAATCTATTGCGCAGTCCCTGGCAAGGATGAGTACGGGAGACTGGACATCACTCGTAGCCTTGACGAGGCGCTGCGAGCTCTTCGCAAGAGACATGGTGTCAGAAGTATTTGGGTAGACGCAGTGTGTATTGACCAGCAGGATTCCCATGAGAAACTACAGCAAATCTCTCTCATGGCGGACATTTTCTCCAGAGCTTCGCAGACGCTCATATGGCTGGGTGACAGCGATGGGAATACTGCTCGGCTGTTTAAAACTTATCAGAGGCATCATCTTTTGAAGAAGCTTTCCCCGGAGGCTGCCAAGAACTATATAAACAAGTATGGGGACGACTCCATAGGTGAGTCTTATCACACTGCAGTATTGTTCAAAATCTTGGTCGTGGCTGACAGACTGGTAGAGAAGAACGAGCGTATTGTTCGAGCGGACCATGCCCTTCGATCTCGTCCTTGGTTTTACCGGCTCTGTACGTATGGTGTTCATTCCTTAATGTAGAAGTCAACTGATCCTCTGCCAACCTGCACTAGGGACACTGCAGGAGTTGCTTTTGAGCTCTGATCCTTTGGTTGTTTGTGGAACATACTCCATCCGATGGACATGCATCGCCGAAACCGATTCTCTGAACGAGTTTCGCGGAGAACTACCGAAACGCAGCAATTGCACGACGTCTTTTGCAACTCTCAAAGCCTTGCCTCGCGACTACGCTTCTTATGCCGGCCACTATGGCGATCTCGTTGCCAACGTGAAGCAGCTTCATACGTCGGAGCCGCGAGACAAGGTGATTGGCAACAAGTCCATTCTATCTGACGCCGGCCTATGTCTTCCACCTTTGGATTATTCGACGAGTGTGGCAAACGTATTCGTAGCTGCGACTCGAATGTGGCTACGTCACACCAAGTCACTTGGGCTGGTGTATCTCGCTGTAACTGGGCGATCAACCCGTGGTCTACCTTCTTGGGCGATCGATTGGAACCACACTTCTATCAAAGACCGCGATATCTTCATGTACTGGATCAACGTACGACGAGATGATCAGCCACAGATCATGTCAGACGGCACCACTCGCTCTGGTACCGAGCAAGATGAGCAGTCCCGAAGCGCCTTCGACTTCCATCTTGGAGTTCGCGGAATCATTGTCGACAAAGTATCTAGCTTCATTGCTGGGGCATCCGACTCAACCGATCGTACGCATATGGTTTACGCAATGATCACCTGGCTGAAGTTCATGTTTGAGGCCCAGTCTCACGCCGATATGCCTTCAGCCGTAGAACAAGCCGTCGCTCTGATACCAATCGAGTGTGAGGACTTCGACGTGCCAACTCACATCGCAGTAGGCGTCATCAACCACAAAGCAATGCTCATAGATCCCACCTTGGCCTCGATACCCTACGACGAACCTAAACACTCTACGATAAAGTATAACGACTTCTTCATCCCAGACGACGCTTTGGAAGTACCGATCCGTAAGCCACGCGATGTCATGGGGCCAATGTATCGACTGGAGCTCAAAATGAAGAATGAGACACTCTTGATGACTGAAGCTGGCCGTTTGGGATTTTGTTTCTGTGAGAACATGGAGAAGGGCGATGTTGTCGCCATCCTTGTTGGCGCCGAGTATCCTGTGATCTTGAGAGAAGCTGGGTTGCCTGGACAGTACCTATTCGTTGGTCCGGCGACAGTGTATGAAATGATGGAAGGAGAGTTGTGGCCTGAAAACCTGAACGACCTGACGGATTTTACCCTTGTATGAGTTCCAGTATATGAGCCCACCATGCACGGTTGTTGAGCAATACTGGATCTACGAAGATGCACAGTCACTTCGATCATTAGAGACTACTTCCGTCTGCCGAAGTTAACATTTTCCTGGAGGCTGTCTTGATAAGCTGGTTGGCCAACGACTTCCCAGCGCCGTGGCTCGCTTTTAGCAGTGCCCCTTTCGCAGCATCGCGATGGTAAGCAACAATTAAATTTTGCATCAGACACCAGAATATATATCACCCTACAGTCTATCCGCTTCTTCCTTTACCGAACTTCAAAACCCGTCTCGATCGATACATCTCGCACTTATCACCATTCCCAAAAACAAACACAAACAAAATCCGACATCATGGCACCTCAACGCCAGCCTCTGCCACGCCATGGCTCGTCTCAAATGTCAGATCTCGATGTCCAGTCCGACATGCAGTGCCCACCGACTCCTCTCCTCGAAGGTAGGCACATGCTACGCCGCGAAAAGCCCCTCGACCTGGAGAAGTGTCAAGACAGCACCCGTTTCAGCAAAGAGGTTGAGGGAGGGAAGCAGATATACGCACTCTTCGGAGTTGAATTCTTCCCTGACTCCATTTCTTCTACGGAAAAGGACGACCTTGTTCGTGCCTCCAACAAGTATCACGCTCTGCGTAAGCCCTTCTTCTCCGTACCTGGATGATGAGATCCCTTTGACTGACTTTTGCATAGAGGTCGCATTGTGGATTTTTATCTGGTTCGGCGGACCAGTCGTCATCTCCATCGTGGGCTGCCTTCCGAAGGAGTCACTCGCGGAACACGAAACATTGATCAAGAGCACCGTACTCGCTGTGGTCATCGCTATGATCATCGCGCTTCATCAGCTTACGGTGCTGGCGGTTAAGACGGTGGTGCAGTGGGTCGGAGATCCGACAGACCGAATTTCTCGTGTTTGGTTGTGCTGTTACAGTCTGTTGACTCCGCTTATTGCCATCGCGATGGCGGCGCGGCTGGGCGTGTCGGTGCAGGTGAGCATCAATGCGTAAGGAACTGTGATCGGCAAGGAAGCCGGGATTTCAGAGACAGGCTGCGCAGTCTCGCAGGAGTGATCGGGGGAGAAAAGGGCAATGGGATGTCTTGTTGAGAGGTTGGAGAAATGAATCGTTATAGTGCAATTCCGCAGATCGCCTGCTGTTTAGCAGTAAACGAATACTGAGCGGCCATAAGAACATAATGCGCTTATTTCGTGTCCTCCTCAAAGTAGCTCGAGTACGCATTCAGGGCCGGCTGTCCACCAAGATGCACATACAGCACATTACTGCCCGGTTTGATACTCCCCTCCTTAATCAACTGCATCATCCCCGCCATCGACTTGCCCTCATACACCGGGTCAGTGATCAAAGCATCAGTCCTCGCAGCCGTCTTCATGGCTTCAATCGTGCTGGGTCCAGGGATTCCGTAGATGCCCTCGTGGAATCTCTCGTCTAGAACGATGGCCTCGTCGGGGATCTCCAATTTGGGATCCAGGAGTTTTGCAGTGTTCCTTGCAATGCGGGCGACTTGTGCTTTGGTCGCTTCTGGTTTGCCCGATGCATCGATGCCGATGACCTTTCGTCCTTTGCCTTCTGCCGCGGCGCCGGTAATCAAGCCGGCGTGCGATGATCCAGTCACGCTGCAGACTACCAGTGTGTCGAAGTACACACCCAGCAACTTCTCCTGCTCAGCAAGTTCTACCACAAAGTTGGTGAACCCAAGGCCTCCCAGTACGTGATCCGATGCTCCGGCCGGAACGTAGTATGGCTTCCCGCCTCTGGCCTTGACGTCCTCCACGGCCTGCTTCGTTGCCTCCTTGTGGCCGATGTGGAAGCCTTCCTGATTGAGCCGCACATCACCGCCCATCAGCCTCGAGAGCAGGATGTTGCCAACCTTGTCGTAAAGCGGCGGATCGATCGGCACCCATTTTTCCTGTACAGTGACGGCTTTCAAACCGGAAGCCGTCGCAACGGCTGTCACAGCGCGGGTGTGATTGGACTGCACTCCACCGACTGAGACCAGAGTGTCGCAGCCCTGAGCCAAGGCGTCAGCGACGAGGAACTCGAGCTTGCGGACCTTGTTGCCGCCGTAGGCGAGTCCGCTGTTGCAGTCATCTCGTTTGGCGTAGACTTTGACGTCGCCGTTTGGCGAGAGTTCTTTGGAGAGCCTTGGGAGGAACTGGATGGGCGAGGGACCGAAGAGAAAGTTCGCTTTGGGGATGCCCTTGAGCTTTTGCAGGTATGTTGGGGTTTCGGTGGCCATAGTGACAGTTCGACTCCTTTCCAATACAGAGTTCGGCTTTGCGTAGGAGCTTTTCTGCTTTTCGACTTGGTGTGGAAGTCTCGTCGTTGCAATGTACACGTTTTGGAAGCCCGACGTCGGCATCCAAGGAAATGTGTTGTCTGGTCGCGGCGAGATGTCGGTAGGGCGTAAGACGCGGCCGGCAGATGTTGTGTAGGCCGGCCTATCACCTATCGCTTGAGTTTGGTGGAGCTCTTAAACAGCTATTGACTAAGATTTGCTGAACCTGATGCCCTATAAGCGTACTGGAATAGGATTTCCATTAAAATTTGCCTACCTCAGCAGCATCAAGTGCTGGCCGGTCAATAAGTATCAATAGGGCGAACCGACCCTCAATAGTAGAAGGTTTCCATACCAACTCTCTGCTAAAAGCCATGATTCATCAACAGACAATCCCAAACGCACCACATTCAATCTATGTTCATCTACTCCCGGGCAACTCGTAGCTTTGTGCTTGTGTAGATTGGAGCTCGTGCGTCTGGCCTTCTCCAGATAGTTCAGTTGGCTGCGTTGGCGGTGACAATTGCGACTTGGCCATATGATTGCTGTCGTAGTATGGTGTTCCATTCTGTTGTACAGGTGTGTAGCCTCCTCCTGGGCTGTTACCAAAGTACGGCGGAGCAGCTTGTTCCATGTTGCGGCTTTGATCTTGTTGACTTGAAGCCGCACCTTTTTTGCACTTTCTCCAGAAGAAGAACCCAATCGCAGCACCTGCCAGGAGGCAGGCTACACCGACACCGACGCCAACGCCAATACCAATCGTTGCGCTGCTGGAGAGGCCACTCGAAGGTGAGGATGAAGTACTTGCTGCAGCAGTGCTGGACGTCGTGGTCGAGGCGGTCGTGGCGCTACTAGTCGGCGTACTTGTGGTAGACGATGAGGCTGCTGAGGTAGTCGCAGGACTTGATTGATCTCCGGTGATGTTGAAATAGTGGGCAGAAAAGCGATCGCCAATGTTGCCGCCGTCGACTATCTCCCACATTTGGAAGAAGAATACTGCGAAACAACGTCAGACATGCCCGCGAGCACATCAAAAAGGAGCTCACCATTGGGAGTGGCTAAACTGGCACTTGTAATGTTAAACTCGTTATGGAAGTCGACGTCCCACCGTAGAGTCTGTGAAGCCGGTACGGAGTCGAGCAGAAGAATATAGCTGTTGTTGTCGTTTTGCCAAAGCGCCAAAGATATGGTAGTGTAGTTCGTCTTCCACTGTAGATTAATTGTCGACCCGAGTGCGTATACATTGTTGTCGTCGAACTGGCCAGTCGGGCCTGGTGTTGGAGGAGTGATGAAGTAGTTGTTCTGCGCGAATGCTCCTAGGAAGAGCAGGCTGAGAACGCCAAGCAAAGATACAAGTCTTGGACGGAACATCTTGTTGGCAACAAATGTCAATGGGGACGATGAAGAAAGAGAGGAGGAGATGCTGGATCAAGGATGGATCCCCATCGACACAGACCTGGCAGAAGCACCACCCAAGGTTCCACAAGCTCAGCCTACTCATTCATCGCGCCGCCGGCAGGTCTTCAGCCGCAGCGCATCTAGTGGCATGTAGCGCCTCTATCTGGGGGCCAAAACGATGCATCTCGACTCAACACTGTCTAAATTGGGATATGAAGGGCAGTCGTGCCGTGTGGTACCCCGTTGGGGGCCATTTTATGCCAAATCATAGGCTCAAATTGTGTGACCACAGCCACATTGTGCAGCACGATTGGTTGGACTGTGGAAGCATGGCGATAAGGATACGGCGGTATCGTTTTGATGAAGAGAGAGGAGAAGAACGTCGTGAAACGCCGAAGGAATATCAAATGAGCGAAGCTCGCAGTAAACAATAAAAGCCCGGGACATGAGATACGCAGCCGGTATGGTATATTTGGTTCTATCTCCGCCTCCCTCCGCCCCCTCTCTCTTCTCTCCGCCCTCTTTCTTCTCCCCCTCCCACTGACTTGTATCAGCGCTTCCACGCCGTCCCCGGCCAATGAAGTCATGCGAAGAGCGACCAGTCCTCGACGACTGGGAGCTCGATATCACGAGCCTGGACCATAGGTAATGAACGTGGCCCCATTGGGCCGGTCTAACTCTGTTCTTCACCCATCCTCCAGATGGGAAGCAAGGCAAGGGCTGGAACCGGACGGAGACGCAAGGTCCCCGGTCGATAATGATGATAGCCTCCCGGATGTAAGACTGTCAGCTGAACACCCCTCCTGCAAGTTGTCGTAATCGATTTCATGTTGTCGCTTAGACTACAGAGCTGCCCTGAAGCCGGACGTGGAGCCCGGAGCAAACGGTTAAAGCCTGAGGGAGTCACCTCACCTGGACTGCTCCTCGTCTTACACTGTGGACTTTCTCAACGTCACGACATCGGACTCTTTATAAATGGCTGTCGACCTCGAGAACGATCTGATCCTCGTCACCGCGGCAAGTGGCAAACAGGGCGGCGCTCTTCTACCTTTCCTCGCTCGGACATGGAAACGACTGCGTCTACAGTGTGTTTCAGACTCTTCTCGGGAAAGACTGCACCAGCAGTATCCGCATGCCGAAATCGTACAGACGGACTTTGCAGATTTGGCCAGCGCAAGAAGGTTAATGCAAGGCGTGACAGCCTGCGTTCTTGTCACCCCGGCATTTCATCCAAGAGAGTCTCATTACGGACTGAACATGATTGACGCTGCAGCAGAAAGTCTCCGCTCAGGGGGACTGTTTAAACACCTAGTGTTGTCCAGCGTGCTACACTCTTGCCTTCGTGCATTGGCGAATCATGACAACAAGAGATTTGTCGAAGAGGCATTGATCGAGTCCATTCTTCCATACACCATTGTGCAGCCGTCGCACGTTATGGAGAACGTCCCCGTCACCGCTATCGCAAAGCAAGACTCTCCTGTCTTCCACGCGAGATTTGACCCAGCGACAAAGTTCTCATTTTCGACTGTCTACGACTTGGGCGAAGCGATTTCGAACATTCTCAGAGACAGAGATCAGCATTTGTACGCCGTCTACCCGTTGGTCAGCACTCCAGAGCCGCTCAACTACTACGAAGCTATGGATATACTGTCGGCGAGAATTGGAAAACAAGTACAGATCCAACGGTTGACGATGGAGGATATCACGAAGGGCTTTGCCACGACGATTCCTAGCAACACGAATGATGACGATCGTAAAGCTATACTCCGAGCTTTTGGTCGGTTGATGGTATACTATGACACGAGGGGTCTTATTGGCAATGCGAAAGTCCTGGAGCTCGTGCTGGGAAGGAAGCCACTCGGATATCGTGAGTGGGTAGATATGCAACTCAAATAGACGAGGACGAAGAGAAGAAAATGTTGTATTGAGAATATTCGGTCTAAGGACGACTCCGAGAAACGGTTGTCATGCCTGAATCCCTGCACATTCGATGGTTTGGGCTGAAGCATCCCGAACGACTCGGATTTACTGCTCACTATGCCCCGGGAGTCACCGCTCTCCTACATCGACGTGATTCCTTCGAAGGACTCCGCACTCACGAGTCCGCGAGGTCCTATCTCCTGTCTTTTGCGAAAGGAAGACTCCGCTGCACCGGCTTGCAGACGTCGAATGTAGTCTTCAGGGTCGAAATCAGTACCAATCGGGTTCTCTGCAAATTCAGGTCCAGCCATGTACTTTTTGACTTCGTCTGCGCTTTGAAAATTATCGACTTGCGTCTCAATAAGGTTCCCATCAGGATCCTTGTAGTAGATACTGTTCGTTGGTCCATGGTTGACGTTCCATACTGGCTTGATTCCTCTTTGCAATCGTTGGCGGTAGCTCAGCAGGAGCGTCGAGAGGTCAGGGAAGGCGAAGGCGACATGTTCTAAGCCACAGCTTGTGACGTTCTTTGGTACAGTTTGATCGATTTGAACGATGGCGATGCGGTGGTGTTCTTCGTCGTAATACAGAAAACAAACGAAGTCGTTGCCGTGCGAGATTCTGGCCCCCAGAAAAGTGACATAGAAATCTCTCATCGCAGCCAAATTCTTGGTGCGAAGTACAACATGTGCCAAAGCCGTTGGGCTTATCACTTCTTGGTGCGAGGGGCAGTCGAAGTCGGTCATGGCTTTCGTCGAGTGTCGTATGTTGAGAGTCATGATACAATAGCTGACGTAGGCCGACATGCAGTGAGTTATTATACACTGACGCTGTAAACAACAATATCAGACGACGTACATGCGGTTAGCAGTATCGATGGCATCGTGGCGAGAAGTTGGCAGTCACAGCTTGCCGCAGCGAAGCGGTTGGGTCCGAACTAAAAGAGACAGAACCAGTGCGCGGTCTTCTGTAGTGTCAGCATGGACAGTTCGGAGAAACGCCTTGTGTTCCCAAAAGCGGCGGCTCCGTGTCATCGTTGGAGAGCTCAGCGCCGACTCCATCCAGGGGAACATCGGGGCAAGAAAGATTTCGGAGATTCCATCTCAAATGAGAGCAAGAATCTCATGCCGGGCAAGAATGGTTAGCTTCGCATGGCGACGATGCCAGCACCAGCGCCCACCATGTCGCCCTCTACTTGTTTTGGGGTCGATTTTCATTCACGCTGACGAAGTTACCTGAGTCTACCTTTGCTGGTCATATTTCGGTATGCGAGGCTTCCATCTTGCCTAGGAGTTCACCGCACATTTTATTGCAGCAATGAGTACTTTGACACATCGATCGAGAGTGTTCCTGACACAGAGAGGGAGAAGTAGCATCAGGCTGGCGACAAATCGGAACTTTGCCACCCAGCCTGACGCCTCCTCCTTCTCGCCCAAATTGAACGTACCTATCAATTACAAAGGGTCGCCGATACTGAATGTCGGTCCGAATTCCCCTGACGGAGCCCACAAGTACCCACGCAATGAGCCACATAGGAAGATGAACCTTTGTCAGGCGGTCAACGATGGCCTGAAGGTCGCTCTTGCGGCTTCGGAAGATGTCCTTTGTTTTGGCGAAGACGTCGCCTTCGGTGGTGTGTTTCGCTGTACTGTGGGCTTGCAGAATGAGTTTGGGCCGGACCGCGTCTTCAACACTCCAATTACTGAGCAAGGCATCGTTGGAGCAGCCATAGGCATGGCCGCGGAGGGCGCCAGACCTGTCGTGGAGATCCAGTTCGCCGACTACGTATTCCCCGCGTTCGATCAGATAGTCAACGAGGCAAGCAAATTTCGATATCGAGAGGGCAAGACGGGTGCGAACCTTGAAGGTTTGGTTATTCGAATGCCTTGTGGCGGAGTCGGTCACGGTGCACTGTAAGTAGAAACATACATGGCCAAGGATGCTTTGATCTGACTGCGCAAGATATCACACCCAGTCACCAGAATCGCTGTTTTGCCATGTGCCAGGCTTCCAAATCGTGATGCCAAGATCACCCACGCAGGCAAAAGGCCTGTTGCTCGCGTCAATTCTAGAATCCAAAGACCCAGTGATATTCATGGAACCGAAGATACTGTATCGTGCCGCTGTTGAGAACGTGCCCGAAGGTATGTTCACGGTCCCCATTGGGCCTGCAGAAGTCTTGAAAGAGGGCAATGATCTTACCATCATCTCTTATGGCAAGCCCTTGTATAGCTGTATGGAAGCTATCACTGCTTTTGAACGGGAGCACACCGATTTGACTGTCGAGCTTATCGATCTACAAACGATATATCCATGGGATCGGGAGAAGATTTTATCCAGCGTTGCAAAGACACAGCGTGCTATTGTAGTGCACGAAAGCATGGTTAACTACGGTTCGCCGCGTAGGATATTCGTAAGCGAGGTAATCGATTACTAGATCGCTTAGCTACTACTATAGTACCGAGGCTAGATAAGGTTAAATATTATAACTACTATTAGTATAGCTATTACTCTCCTAACTATCCTTAGAAAAAAGTACTTACTACTTAGGCGACTCGTAAAGTAGAAGTAGATAGGCTTTAGGTAAAAAGAAAAAGTAGGGGCCTAGCGAAGAATCGTAACTAGGCTTAA